GTACATGCCAGGACATGGTACATGAAAATGCGGTACGGTACCCACATAGGTAACTTGAAAGGGAATACCCCCATTAAACGATTAAAGATAACTAGTTATGTGGATGGATGGGTTCAATTTTCGAGGCACGCTTATCTCTTTGTCGGAGTATTTATCCTCAATCAAAGCCATCCTCATGTGCCTCATGTCCCTCATGACGAGACTAAACGCACAGGAACAATTTACCCAACACAGTTAAAGCGGTTCTAATTTGGACAATTACTATGTAGTTAGTTACAATATTTCCGGCTTGATACTTGTCAAACCTACATGCAGAACACAACGACTGCAACTGTCCGTATAGTTAACTACTCTTAGCCCGGGAATAATACATATGTAGGATACCATTTAGTAATATTTACCATATGAACTTTTTTGAGCATTGAGCATACCAGCCAGGTACATATGTAGATAAATCCCGGTATTTCAGATCATCAATTAGATCCTGAGATGCATACGGGTAGTAGATAAAGTAAATAGGGCCATCTAGGTGCTAGAGTTCAGGGTTACTGTAGCAAAAGATTAAGATTCCGAGTTTTTTCTTTCGAGCCAGTCTCCTCAAGTTTATAGTCGGCGACTAACCTAGGCGGTTTAGTTTAAATAAAACACTGATCAAGTCCAAGCTGGTAGTGGGTCGTCGTGTCAAGTCAGCCGCTGTTGCCGAGCGTTCGTAGTTGCAAATCATGTGGAAGCTTGTCCATCCCTTTCCTAAGACGTGCGAAGATTGAATTGTCTTTTACATAAGGTTGTCTAACGTGAGAGATTCTGGAACAGCAAACGAGGTCTGCGACAGCGAGAGGAAGGGAAATTTCGAACTTGTGTAGTGTGATATGTTCACGGGATAAGCGGGAATACCTAGTATGTACTATGGAACCAAATGACAAAAGACTAGACCAACAATATTAATACATATTTTGAGGCTATTGTGTGGGTTTTGTTGTATCGTGTCAGCAAAAGAAATTGAAGGTGGAAATAGCCAAGCGAACAAGAATCGTCATCTCCCGATGATCCAGGGGGTGAAGAAACACCGACGATGTGGCACCAATTTTCTTTTTAGATTCGGGGGAAACGATGAGAAAATAGAATAGAAAAGAAAAATAGAAAAAGCTGGGGAGCTAAGTATGCCATCATTCCTATTAAGGTAATGTAAGCCATCTACACTAACATCTTCTTAGGAGGCCCACGTGTCATATCAAGAAGGGGCTGGAATCTTAAAATGTTTGGTCTGGGGCTTAGGCATTTCTTACCCACATACGGCATAACTAGTAGTGCTCCGTATTTTGTATTTTTTTTTTGGTGTAGTTGCATACATACATACACTAGCACTGTATATACATACCATACATACCTACTACTAGTATTCAATTTAGTTATTATTTACACATTATTCATTACACTACATACATGTGCATATGTATGTTCATATGTATGTAGGTAATGTGCTACTAAGCTTCTTACAAAGTATTTCCTCGCTGGAATCGGCTGGATTACCCCCTAGATTTTTATTCCGAGGATCTGGAAGTAACTAGTAATTATAGTGAATCCCATGGAGATGTTCTAAAAGCCGCCGTTGGAAATCCTTGCAGGCTTACGGTAATATTTAGCTCCCTGCCTAGGAAGGGTGTCAACTTTCAAGCACATGAAGTGCTTTTCATACTCGACTACTAGGTACGATACGACACAGTACCCCCAAGATCTCAAAGGGTTAGTTAGACCAAGGAGGTGGGGTTATATTCCTTGCGAGAAGAGGGCAAAAAGGGGGGGGAGGGGAAGGGGGAGAATTGTACCAAGGTAAGTATCATTAAAGGTGTTCATGAGTCGAGTCGGAATATTGAGTGTTAGCATGTTTAAATAGTCGCTTTCGATAATCTACTTTAGATTGATTAATCATTTGGAAGATGGCCGGTTGGTTAATCGCGATTGTGTGATCGTCATGACCAGGGCAGTTGAAGGGGAGCTTTCTCCCGTAACTTGCACGCAGTACGCATGCAATATGTGATTGTCCGGCATAAGCGTCCGTGGAAGTGGGAGTGCGCGTGGGAGTGGGCGATGAAATCTATATAAGGAGAGAAGGAGTGAACGCAGAAGGACTGCAACATTGGTCGCACGATAGGTAAGTGACTGTGCAGGCAGGCAAAAGCAGTTCGAGTTGCCCCAGGAAAAGAGAAGGCAGGTTAAATAAAAAGAGGGACAAACGGGAGAATTGGGGCTGGCGGTCGGTCATCACGGTTGAGAGAGGGCTCGTAGCCGGTGTGACTTATCCCATTTTATTATTATTAGCTCAGCCAGATTAAGTATACTATATTATATACATACATACATGTCTACATACATGTCTACATATATATGTATATGTATATGCGTACATGTTTATGTATGCTAGTATGTATGTAGGATTGGTGAGTGTATGTACTATGTATGTATGTATGTATGTATGTATGTATGTATGTATGTGTGTATGTGTGTATGTACGTATGTACGTAGGTAGGTAAATAGTTAGGTAGTTAGATAGATATGTATATGTATATGTATGGATATGTATCCTGCATCTCGCGCATATGTAAGCCGTTGGAGGGTGGCTATTATTCGCCAAGTCACCAGCGCTCGGTACGCTTGATGTGCCACACCTCCAGATTCACTTACAGATCACCCTACCACCCGTGTGAGTGGAGCTGCAAGACCCTGGCTAGCCGTCCTACCTAGTACCTACCTACCTACCTACATCGGGTCCCCGGCGGTCTAGTATTGATGGATGACGATGATGGTGTGCTTCAGGATGCACAAGGTACGTACCTTTGCTGTATCACACCAGGATCAAGGCACACCTGGGCTCGCCTGGCACGCCTCCGGATATAAGTTACGTACCGGGTAGGTAGGTAGTTAAGTAGGTAGGAATAATAATACTCACATTTCCATATAATAGGTTGCCATACCCTGCCCATGTGTACCTACATAGTAGGTAAGCATCTGCAAGCACCTTTCCATCGCCGCTACTCGAGAATCGGTCATGGTCGTAACTGTTGGCCATGGTAGTAATGGTTCGTTTCGGGACAAGTCAGCATTTCGACCTCCTTCCTTCGATCAAGCTTAAAAAGGCTTTATCACTTCGCATATACTATGTAGTACATACTTGAAGTTGTCGGTCTGAATCGTTTGAATCGTTTGAATCGTTTACTTGACTACATATATTGTAGTCACGTATGTAAAGAGGCAGGGTATGGCAAGACGTATCAATGTACATACAATACATAGGTTCAATGTTGGAGCAAATCTTCTGCCGCCCTTGGCGCTCTTATATAGGTAGGTAGATATTCGTGTGGATGGTTCTGTTAGCGAACGTTTAACCGAACGACGTTGACCGACCTGTCAATAAGCAAACTCTATCAAATATATATCTACCGACTGACTAATAATAAGAAATGAACAGATGGGTGGGCAAGATGTTGGGAGGAATGATAGTTGAAACAAACTCGGCTCGTTTTAGTAAACCCAGTTGGCACATGTAGGGCAAGGTGACCGGGAGAGAGGGCCGTTCCAAGTAACACTTGACCTACAGGGGGGGAAGAAGCTGACTGAGCCTGACTCTACACTAGTCTACCAGGTGGTTATGATACAGCACTATGTACGTAGATAGAAAGGATGGGACTGGGGTGCACAAGGATCCGTGGCGGAATCGAATCGTTTGAAATACCTTCAGGGCTAGTATTCAAGCATGGGGCCATTTTTAGCAAGCTGATCTCGATATCTTGACGACATGAGAATTGCCGACTTCTGCTCATTTTCCAAGTCACAATGCAATGGACCTGAATGGCTGATGTCTCAGCGCATCGGGGATAGGAGCCGTGCGACTTCAAAACTCGAGCGATACGTGTACACATGTGCCCAGCCGATCCGGTTGTACTCAGATGCAGTGGAACAAACTGATTATGATGAGACAATCTGTGCCTGTTTGAGGTTTCCCCAAACTTGACGTACAGCAAGCAACAAGCCACTTATTGCCGCCCTCCCCAGCTGTGACAGCTCACCCACACAAGCCACACACACACACACACACCACACACATATACACACACACACATACCGTGACACACTGTTAACACATGGATATCTGACCGCGCCAAATTTGGCCAGTCTAGGCGAATCTAAGCACTAGCGGAAGAGACGAAGATGTGTTGCTTGGGCATCCTTGCTTACCTACCTACCTAAGATATTATATGTTTAGAGTACTATATATTCCAGACATCCCAACGTGAGAATACTAGGTAGTAGGTAATAATACCTACCTACCCTAGGTACATATGTAACCTAGTAACTATTATGTAGGCGCACGTTATTCAGAACCATTCCAGGTGTTTATTATGGTACATACCTTGGTGCTATATCTAGATATATGTACTGTCCGTACACTAACAGTTCGCCAAGCCCAGGGCAATTCAATATAGTCTCCATCAATACAATCTGAAGCTATCGTATGTTGGCTAGCCAGAGATGTACACCTAGGTAGGTATCATATAGCTGTTCTATTCACTAAACAGCATTATTTCACATGGGGATCCAAAGCAATAGAATTATCAGAAACCCCATCCTCACCATGTATTAGAGGATGGTAGCGAATATCTCATCTGCTCAAAGATTTAAAGCTGGGATGTCATTAGCTATAATTCGAGAATACGTAATTAGCAGCATGATATCCATCATTACAAGTTCATATCTTATTATCGATGCCCCAAGTACCGTTAATATTATATCTATTGTAGAAAATAACGTAGTGTCACACACTAAGCCCTCCCAGCCTAACTCCGTCATATGACTTCAGTGTAAGTCTTTAGTTAGGTAGCTATCCCTTTGACTACAGCTGGCACAAGGTCAATCATCTGTAGCCCGGCGGATATCCGCCTGCCACCTAAATCTGAGCATTACCGAAGCTCTGGCACTATTCGATTAGTGCTATATCACCCACCAGCCCCAAAACCGAGATGCCTCATCCTCTGATACCGACTCCGAGCTCGCAAGTGCTCCTCGCGTAGAAATGCATACGAATCATAGTTGGAGGGGGGGTGGTTCAAGGCCTAAATAGGGGCGTCTTTCAAGGCCTCACCGAAATCTAGACACCTCAAGAATCGCTCTTCTCGCTATGGTCATGATCGGGGTTGTAATTTGTTTCTCCCAACACTGTGGTTGGCTGTGATGTCATTGCTGCCTGGGTATTTGGATGTGGCTGCGTTTGTATCGTCGGGCCTGACGGCTGAACAGGAGGCTGGGACTGGTTTCGTGGAGCAGAACTACTTGAACTACTTCCCGCAGTTGCGGCATGTAACCGCTGATCTAATACTTTCAGGGCCAGAGCTCTTCGCCTTTCAGCTTCAGCCCGGACACCTCCATGCGCAGTACGCTGTATGAAGCTACTACCTTGAGCAGCGGATATATCGGCCTGAGAGAACGGTGTACATAGCCTCATCGCTACCAGCACATTGAAAATGGGCTCCGTGATTGCCGCGACGAAAGGTTTCATTGGCCCCGGGAAAAACTCAGCAAAGGCAAAAGTCTCACTGGCATCTCCACGCATTGAAGTTGGTTGTGAAGAATCGAGGTCCGGAAAGACAGTCTTATAAAAGCGCAAATACGTCCAACTCGAAAGAAGACCGAATAGGGTTAGGAATACCGAGGCGCTCGTAAGTAAAGGCGTTAGGGAGAGTGCTGACACGAAACCGAAATACAGGAGAGGGAATCGAGGTACGCGCAAAGACAAGACACCGCGGAAGAGGGTAACCGTATGCGCCGGGACAAGCTGGCTGAAAGCAACGAGAAAGGATATCTGCACAGGTATCGTGCCAGCGATCGTCATCAGTCTAGAATTTCGTCTCATGTCAGCATATCCGAGTACACCAAACAAGTATTCATATTTGGAAGTCTAGGCTTACGTCCAACTCTCGTTACGGGTAACAGTAAATAGTGAGACAAGAACTAGGAAGGTCAAGGTATTGGGAATCAAGGAGGCCACGAGGAGAAATTTAGCGAATTCCCTGGAGGACCATGCTCTCTCCAGATACCTCCCCCCATGATAAAGAGTAAGTCCGGCAATGGCTAGGGTGAATATGTTGTTCTCGACCAAGGTAGCCGTCAGGAAAGTCCAAGGATAGAAGAGGGATAGTTGAGGTATGAGAGTAAGCCATTCGACGACGATTTCGGAATGTGCGGACCATTGGCGATATCGAACTGCAGCACTCAAGACGGACTGTAGAAGTAAGACCACCAGCACGACGCGGGTGACTGGAGGAATATTTAGTCGCGGAGGCATGATAGCCGTTTAGAGGTGATTGTAACTTCAAATAAGCCAAAGCCACAGGGTGCTAGGCTTTCTGGATAGAAAAGTGCAAGGTTTGGGAGGGAGATGTCGGATTGTCGGGATCGCGTTGAAGCGCAAATCGCACATCACGAGATTGAGTTGTCAACCAAGGCTGATGTGGCCCGTGCTTTTTTGGGTTTAACCCTTTACTTACCCGCAGCCCTGAAAAGTTAGAAGCATGCGTAAGACCCGTCCGTTACTTCCTGCGTCAAGCCACAAATTTAGAAAGATACATCATACATCCATGGATAGTAATAGTAGCCTACCAACCTGCCAGCCTGCCTAGCCCTAGCCAAGCTTAGGGTAAGGGGACGCCTTACTATTTTAGGCCAAAAAGGCAGGATCAAATTAACCTTTCCAATGTGCCGCTTTCCTTTCCGGATACCACATAATGTAGTACCTAGTACATTCAAGTTTAAGGTGCTCAGTGCTGGTTAAAGCCTCAACTTGAAGCTACTAGGTACTACATGTAGGTAATGTATAACATTTGAAGTACAATACATACATACATACATATACTACACGTAGGTAATAATATTCTCACCATATACATATAGGTAATTAGGGTAAGTTAGGCGCTTCTCTAATTCGAAAAAGATTAAATTCTTTGGCATAACTACACCATTCCAACAGCCCTTCTTGAAGGCTTCTTCCATCTATCCGCCCCCGACCCTACCGGAATGAAAGGCTCGTCCGCATACCCAGAACTTGAACCCGCCACTAATCAAGTTTAGCCCCGGGCTCTAGGGCAACGAAATTTCTGCAGGGGAGCAACAGGCTCCTCATACATAATACACACACACAAGACGTAGTCTACAGTGGACACTGGACAGACCCAAACCCTAGAACGTCAGGATTCAAATATTCTTCTACGTAGTATGTGTCGATACATACCACACGTGCTTCAGGTTGACTTACAACTCCGCAAAAAAATAAATTCCAAGAATAGGCCCTCCAACAACAGACTACGTGTAGCCTTGGGCTTCTACTGGGACAAATCAATCTTACATATGATTACCTACGTTAACCTACATACATAGTATTATATGGTCCATTCGAATTATACTTACATGTAGCCCTACGGAATAATAGTTAACAGCTGAAGGATTGATGACCTAGGCTACTAGGTTAGGGAAGAGCCTTCAAGGATTTAGGACATCTCTGAAATTTTAGTGGTGTTTGGTGATGCCGGAGAAGCATATCTAATACTATGATCAATGCACTAAGCCTAACAAAGTTAGGGATAGATGGCAAAGACTTAAAAGATCGCCTGTTTCCTCGTCTAAGCTTGGTACGGTACCACTTGGTAAGTACGTATCCATCTCAGCTCTGGTTGACTGAATTCCAGCCTGGCCCCTGTTCTAAGATGATGCGTTCAAAACATTCTTAAGGCCTGGCTGTTAATACTTGGAAAAGATGCCTTTATCACTCTCGTCAACAAGAGCATTGCACCGGTTATGGACTCAACAAAGCTACTCTATAACGTGGTATTAGTTTCCTTTTCTGTTGTTTCCCTTTCCTCAAGCTGGAGCACGACCGATCTCAGTTCTGAGATCATGTCGATTACGAATTTCCGGGAGTACCCCAGCCAAGCTTACTGGCCAAGGCTAGGATGGCGGATTAATCAATGGTGAACCCTGACCACTTGCAAATGTGGAGTCGTCTGGAGTTTCGCTGTCGGTTTCCATTGTTCGAAAAGGAAAAGAGAGAAGCAAAAACCACCTCATGGGTTGATCCATCTTTTTTTTCTTGTCTCCCTAGCAAAAATAAAGCCTAGCCTCTCTCCAATCATTCTGCTACCCGCCAGAACACCTGCAGCACCAGGAGACGCCTTACCGCGTGGGTCAGCAACCAAAGGCGGTGCTATGTTGAAGAATGACACCGAGGTAATGATGTACAACGTACATACATACCTAGGTTAGGTACCTAGTAGTGACTGGGCCTAGTTCAATGTTATTATACATATAATGCATACCATGTTAGGTATTATAGTATCGAATGTATGATGAAAAGAACTTGAAAGGTTCAGTGTTGTAATGCCGAACCTGATTCGGGACAAGGTTTTGATTCAAGTGCCTGCAGTCAAGCGATTCGCTAATGCAACCTGATGGGACATAGTATTAGATAAATAGTACATACATATTAGTCGACATATAAATTGCGTTTTTAAAAGGGAAATATGATAAACTGATGGGTGTCCAGTCACAAACTGTGGCGGATCACCAGCCCTACTAGGTACTATACACTAGGAATCCATGGTTACATGTAGGTATATGTATGGGTACTTCAATGTTATTGTATTGTACCTACATAACTAGTAGTATTGTCCCTATGTAGTATCAGTGTTGGCATACATAATCACTGCTAGTTAGTTACATACCTAGAAGCAGAAGAAGAAGAAGAAGAAGAAGAAGAAGAAGAAAAAGCCGTGCCAAATTAGAATCCCTGTATTTAAATAACATTTGGAACTCTCTCAACTTCACGTCTCATGTAATTATTATGTGTGGGCATGTACGGATGAGTTTATGGTTTTATGGGTAGATGAGGTTAAATTACATGCATACCTCCTTAAAGGCTCCTTTAAGTCTAAAAGTTCAGTGTTGGTTCCAACTTGAAAGTACTACTAGGTTAGTTAGTCAGACAGACACAACCGTACACAATTTGGCTCAACATTGAGCAATGAGCATTGGATAGAACTATGTAAAACAAAAAGGCTGTCTCCACCGAGACTTGAATATCGAATGTATTCTGTAGTATCTCAGTGCTGTACTGCACTATGCATAATACATGGTAGTATGGTACTAAGTAACTATTAGGTAGTATCAATGTCAACATTGAACATCAATGATCATGTACATATATACATATGTACAATAGTTACATACATGTACTATGATACTACTGTACTACATATACTACCTAGTACTATCCCCATAGGAGCTACTAGCACAAAGTAGGTAAGCACTAAACTTTGAAGGTACCGAGACTGGCTGTAGCTTCACAGCATGTTAAGCTGGTAAGAGTACCTACATATATGTAGTCAACATACTAGGTTCCTGGTAGAAGATCCACACCAAATCCATCCTAGTCAGTTAGTTGGCCCCGACCCTTGGACATGCATCTTTAATCTGTTCCAAGGCCTCACGGCCAAAATCTCGTTGTCCTTCTTCCTTCACCATCCTCAGAAGAAAAGCTCGAATACGGTCTATCCTGATATACTGGCGCCACGGTCCATTTCGGTAGATATTGTAGCTGTCACAAAAGAACAGTAACTCATTGCTTGCGATCATGAAGGAGTATTTGGACTCAGATCGAGTCAATTTCTTGATTTGGAGGTATGTTTTGACTGACCCCGATTTCTACACACCTTCAACCTTCAAATCTTCAAAAGCGCCAGTCTTGTCTCTCCCTTCCCCCCCCTTCATCACCGTATCCTTTATACTTATCCTTCCTCTCGCGTTATTTATAATGCTGTCACTCTGCGCTGTTTTGTTAATATGATATCGCAGGTATTTAATAGAAGGCAGTATGTGTGCTCCCTTGTGATGTTATCTTTTGCGCACCTCACTCATATGAAAAATATTTTACCTTTTACTATGTGTGATGGTGATGGTGACGGTGTTGATGGTGATGTTACCGTGGACGACTGCAGTCAAAATTAACCAGAGGTTGCAGATTATCGAGAGACAGCCGTCAAGTTCCAAAAAGAGTGGCACGTCCAGGAACCTCACCGACAGCTCGATTTCGCGCAACATGTCAAGAGTCATGCACTAGTCAATGTCATAAACAAGGGTTTATTGTATAATTCGCTAGAGAGAGAACATGTGCAATCACAACAGGTATGTTATTTACAATTTCCCAATTATTCTTCGATATTTTGTATTCTGTATTCTGTATTTTGTGTTATGTTTTGTATTTGTTGTATTTTTTGTATTTTTTGTATTTTGCATTTTGGTTGCGAAGTGAGTGCACCAGGCAAGACACAACAAAAGTCCGACACGGGCGTTGTGATGCGATGCAAGCCAAAATGTCTTCTCCAATCCTGCCCAGGATCCGGCCAAATGGGCACTGACAGATTTTTCTGTATAGGTACCTCGTGATGTCGCTACCACGGCGGCATTGGCCGAGGCCCTGCAACTAGGGATATTTGGTCCACTACGTGCGCACCCGCCGCTTCACCAACAGGTACAGGAGCAGCTACGGATTAAGGAAATTGAGCATGATGATGAGGCCGATGCAGAGGCAGATGCAGATGCAGATACAGCAGTAGCCGCACCAAGTACATCTGGAGGTGATGTAGAAAATAGTCGAAAACGTCAAATTGACAGGCAACCGCAGGCGTCGCTTCTGAATGGTTCCCCAGCTAAGCGACCAAGACTGAGTAATGGGTACGAAAATGGGGTGGATGCAGCCACAGCTCCAATGGAACTTGACGGGCAGAACCACCATGGCGACAACCATGCTTACCCGTCTCCCCAAGAAGGCGAACAGGCATCAACACCCACTCCCCGAACTGATGGACCTGAGCAAGGCACTCAGGTTGAAAAGGTAGAAGAACTGACTACAGAAACTACCTTCCTACCCTTGGGTTCTAGCCTTGACGATGCACCAACATCCTCACCAACCACGGCATTAGCAAGAATTAATAACGAGAGCGCGCCTGTGTTACTGCATTGCCAGTGGCACCCCCAAGATCCCACCATCTTGGCGGCTGCTGGAACCGATGCGCTAGCCCGCATCTGGAACGTCTCTCGTGGAGCCATAACCGACCCTGCATCTGATGGTCACGTGAATGGCATCTCGCCAAACTTCCATACTCTGGTAGAAGATGACATACAGCCGAGAGCTACTGTTACTGCCATGGCTTGGAATTGGGATGGCACTGCTATTGCTATTGCTACCGACTCGGAGTCCAAGGCTCGAATTAACTTATGGACCTTGGAAGGTACCCATATTCAACGCTTTGAAGTTGCTGAACCGCCTGTTATCAAGCTTCGTTGGAACCCCAATAACGCGGCTATCCTAGGCATTGCTCCCGACAACGGGGGTACTCTGATAACAGTCTATCATGCTTTGACCCCGAACTCGATGACTTATTTCCTGCCCCGGCATGATCTAGATTCCGAGCCGCTTGACGCAGCATGGACCAGTGAATCTGATATCATTATCTGTGGTGGCGATTTATTAATGACCTTGAGATGTGCTGATGGAGAGATTACCGAGCTGAGAAAGTTTGCAACCCGCGAGGGCGACAGTCTAACACATGTGCAATTTGATTGGAGAACATCGCTAGCAGCAACGTGTGGAGAGAAGGGATTTGTCGATGTAAGTGATTTTACCCTGCGAATCTCCACCGCTATCTTTAACATGATGGGTACTAGATCTGGGATAACTCCGGTAAGCGACGTGAGATAGAAGCTCACTGCGATGCGGTCACAGCCCTAGCCTGGCAACCCCTACAACAGCCCCTTCCTTCTAACGAAGAGCGGCTTTTGGCTTCTGGTGGTGATGACGGAGCCATATTCATATGGAATGCTCTAGCCCCCGACGGGAAGGCAAAGTGTTCCATGACCATGGGTCCACCAATCGTCGCATTAGCTTTCACCCCTGATGGTGCTTTCATTGCTGGAGCTACGAACGAGAGGATTTTAATCTGGAAAGTCGGCGACCATAGTATTCCGCGAGCCAGTTGGAGTCGAGCGCCACACCCCGGTTGGCTTAGTCCGCGGATGAACCCCGAGTCTGATGAGGAAGATGAGCATTGCCTAGGTTGGGATGCAACTGGTCATAAACTCGCTTACGGAGTGAATAGCCGAGTGAGTAGCCCAGACTGATATTCTAAAGCATTTGTCCCAACGCTAACATGATAACAAAAGCTTGCCATTATCAACTTCCGATGATCACTACGGGCTCTAATTATATGAATCTATAAGACGAATTGTCAAGCCACCTGTCCCCTCCCAGGCTGTGGCTAAGATGAGAGAGTCGTGGTGTGTTGGGATATATACATCGGCCCTCGGCCTTTGATACTCGCTGGAAAAGCAAACAACGTCCGCCACTGAGATATGGTGGAAATATGGTGTCGACTAAGCCATGACGGCATACCGCGAGGCCGTTAATAATATATGATCCGGCACCAGAAGTCCTCGAAAATACGAGTTGCGTCAGAAGAGAAGAGAAAGAGAGAACAGAGCAGCTCAGCTACAAGCTCATCGTGATAATCATCACTGTGCCCTTTGTGGGTTCTCCTAATTACATACCACTCTTGCCACGAGGAAAACGATGAGATGAGTCCTTGAGGTATCAGTCGGATTGATATGTCTAGGGATTCGGGGAGTGTAGGGGGGTGTGTGTAAGTGTGTGTGTGTGTGTACGGGTTGTGTACGGTGTTGTGTATGGGGTTGTGTGTGTAGAGGTGTATTGAAAAAGGCGAGGGGGAGGGAAACATGGAGACAGTCTTGTGTGGCCAAAGTATACGACGACATTGCCGGACATGCATCTATGCATGCTCAGGTACTTCTGCCTACGGGTTTGTTTATTCTATTTGTATAAAATGCTCACTGGTAGGAGGTAGGAGGTAGGAGGTATACCTTACCTTAGTTACATACCTACCTGCCTGCCTGCCTACCTACTTGTATCGCTCATATCCCATAAGGATTAGCTTGAACTTGCTTGTTCGCTCACATGCTTGCTTTAATTGTTTATTATATTTTACAATCGTTTTACTAATTCTCTTTTTATATTATCAAACAAACAAAAAGGAGGGTATACGCATTGGAGACGTCGAGAATTAAGATTTAATAGCATTGTTGTTAATCAAACATAACCTACCCTATACTAACTTGACCTGTCCTAGGTAATCTAGTACCTACCTAACCACGTGTTTCATTCCAATTCCCTAAGCCTTCTTCCATCTCAGCAACGTGAACGTGTGCTTCGGGAAGGTGTATTTCCCCCGTCCATCCCACTTCCCCTCGACCATCGCAACTACCTCGTTGCCTTCGGTGTTGGTGGAGCTGACCTGGGGCCCTGATACGGTGTAGACGGACACGTCGGAGCCGACGCCCTTCAGCTCGGTAGCAAAATCCTCCAGGTCATTGCTGTTGACCACGGCGAGGTTCACATACCCGTCGTCGCCCAAGGCAGCACTGACATCAAGCCAGGGCGCGCCATCTTCGCCGAGGGTGTCCTGGAGCCAGGCGGGCTGGGTCGCGCCGGCGTAGGAGGCAGAGCGCACGTGCGTGGCGACGGTGGAGCCGCGCATGAAGCGGCTGAAGAGCCAGAGGGGCCACCAGGTGGACTGGCGAACGACGCCGCGCTCGGTGGTCATGAGAGGGCTGATGACGTTGACGGTCTGGGCAATGTTGGCCATGCCAATGTAGCGGCTCTGCCGCACGAACACGTTGAGCCAGACGGCGACGGCGAGCGCATCCGACAGCGTGTACTGCTCCTCGGCCCCCTTATCGCCGGGTGCGCGCTCAGGGTCCCAGACGTTCCATTCGTCAAAGCAGATCTTGATGGGCGGCTTGGTCGGGGACACGTTGGCCTCGATGCGGGCGAGGTCGATGAGGGCGGCGGTGATTTGAATGGCGCGCTCGGCGGCGAGGGGTGCGGTAGCATTCTTGCGGTGCTCCTGGGCGGCGGTATAGATGTGGATGCTGTGCATGTCGGCAGCCCCGGCGGGGACGCACTCGTGCAAGACGTGGTGATCCCAGGAGCTCTGACCGTCCTGACCACAGAGGATGAGGCAGAGGGAAGGGTCTAGTAAGCGCAGAGCCTTGGCCCACTGCACGGCTTTGGTGGCGTAGGCCTCCTTGGTCATCTGCTCCACCTGCCACGGGCCCCAGACCTCGTTGCCGAGCGCCCAATACTTGACGTTGTACGGCTCCGGATGACCGTGGGCGCGCCTTAGGTTGGCGTAGTGGGTGTCGCGCGTTCCGTTGCAGTACTCGACCCAGGCGAGTGCCTCATCAAGAGTGCCGGTACCGAAATTGAGGCAGAGGTAGGGCTCGACGCGGCGTTCCTTTCCCTCGCTCAGCACGTCGAGCCACTTCATGAACTCGTCGGTGCCGAATTGGTTGCTCTCAACACCGAGCCAAGCCAGCTCGGGCCGCTTGGGTCGATTCTCACGCGGCCCGATGCCATCCTGCCAGTGGTACGTCGCCACAAAGTTGCCTCCCGGATACCGGACCACGGGGATGTCGAGCTCACGCAGGGCGGCGAGGACGTCCTTCCGGAAACCGTTCTCGTCGGCGAGCGGACTCCCGGGCTCATAAATGCCTCCGTAGATGCAACGGCCCATGTGTCTAAGGTTGTTAGTCAGCCAGCCAGTCAGTTATGTGATGAATTGCATTGTGTCTTCTTACTCAGTAAACCCTCCATATGTCATGGGATCAATCTTAGACAAACGCTTTGCGGCATCTACCTCGATGAGCGGGGTTTCGTCCCCGACGATTTTTGTGAAGGTCGTCATTTTAGCTTAAGGGGGTGAATTTGCTTCCTTTCACTTCATAGAAAAAAGGGGAAAGGGGGGAGGAAAGCTCCAACATAACGAAGAAGTCTCGAAGGACTCAGGGCCTTAATACGATATATCGTCTATGTGGTGTTTCCTTCCCCTCACGTATCAGGAGGATCTACTACTACGTACTAGGGACCGGAGCGGATACGGGAGGAGTGCCAATTCGGGAGAATCGCATCCGCGAGGTGCCGATTGGTGCGCATAATGAGGTCCTCGTGTTTGGTTTTGACGGCTCCTTGCTAAGATATCAATATGTATGAAATGTCATTCTAAACTTGGGGCAGATAAGTTTGAGAAAGACAGTCTAGATACATTAGATGATGAAGCTGAACTGTTGTGCTCCACCTCGATGAATGTTTGCATTTGACATGTGACTTATTTTATCATTGAAGAAAGATGTGTGTTTTTTTTTTGTTGCGTGATTCAACTTGATTTTACTAGGTTACTAACCTAGGTAACTATTGATATTCTCTATCACAAATTGAATTCCATTATACTTTCTTTAACTTAAGTAGGTAGTACCTGCACACTATTAAAGCCTCTTAGCACGTACATTTGAAACAGATAACATAAGACATACATAGTAAGACGTTTCTTTTTAAAGTTCTTTTCTTTTTACCTAACCTAGTAACTTAATTACCTATAATTTTAATAGACGTACACCATACCCAAAGCCACGGGCAAGATCAACTTACATACGTGACTGTAACATGTACATATGTATCTGATATGCGGGGGAAACTCCCAAGTACAGGAGTACATACATTAGTCGGTACAATACAGTACATTACTACATCCATCATCAACAATTCCTTCTCCTCCTCTCTTCTTCCCTTCCCTCACCCCCCGCCAAACCCTATTCGGTCCGGCAACCTTTCACTAACTTACATGCTTACCAGGTACATAACATCAATTGAACTACCTGCACACTGCACAGGGTGCACAGGCTGCACTAGGTAGGTTACCTAACCCCCCGCCGAAGAATTTCTAGTCTAATTTAGTCTTCGGTGTCCTCAAGAGGCTCGAGCTACACCATATATACCTAGGGTATGTACCTAGGTAGGCTACCGATCCACCAAATTGATTTAGAGGTACAATACTACGGACCTACTACTTACAACCTCAGGCACCCCTCCCCAGCCCCCAAAATATAATGTCCAGTCACCACCCCGGCTACGGCCCCGGTCAAGGTCCGGGAGTACCAGGAGGATTACCCACCGCCGGCGGAGGAGCACCGGTAACAACAACAACAACAACAACAACAGTAACAACAACAGCACCAACAACAACAACAACACCAACAACATCCACAACCGCAACCACTGCGCCGACAGCAGCAGCAGCAACTGAAGCATACCTAGCAGCAGTAGCCGCCGCGGCAGCAGCAGGAGGAGGAACCTTCCGACCCGAGATGCAGGACCGGCAGGCGCGCGGCAAGGACCCGTACGACTCCTCCGACGCCAGCAGCGACTACACCAGCGACGAGCCCTTCGCCGTGCTCGAGCGTCGCCGTGTCGCCGCCCAGGTCCTCGACAGTCCCGAGCTGTTGATGATGGCCGCGCAGCGAGATAACGAGGTAACTAACTCATTTCCCTTTCCCTTTCATATCCCCTCCACTCCCCCGCGCCCCATCTCCATCTCATCACCTCTTTCCCATACCCAAAACAACCCCAACCCCAACCCCAACCCCCCCTCTAAACCCACCAACAAAACCACGATCCTAACCACCACCACCCCTCTCTTCCCACAGAGTATCCCCGCCACCCGCCTCCGCTACACGCGCATGCTCTGCGGTTTCGAGGAGCCGCCCGCCGCCCCGCGGAGGAAGAAGTCCCAGCCCAGTGGCGGCGGCGGCGGCGGCGGCGGTTCTTCGTCCCGCGCCTCCGGTGCGTCGAGGAAAGACTCGAGATGACGGCCCCCCCGCAAATTGGTAGTAAAAATCTTTGGTGTAGTAAATAAAATGGGTGGGTTCACTCACGAGTTAAAGCAAGTAAGTAATTTTAAGCGAGCCCGAAAGATCAGGAAATTTTATCTAACAAAGCCAGAAGAGATAATGATGAGATAGACAGAAGTCGGGAGCAAGGGAGAGAATACAGGCAGCTTCAGTGTGTGTTCTCTTTCATATATTCTTCAATAAAGTCATTCATTGCTGGGAAGTAAATAGGTAGGGCAATGATAGATAGTATTTCTTCGACAACCACCACCAACTCTTCAAAGTTCTTTTGGAACAAAACTACCTAAGCTAGGAATAACTTTCCTGTTTTGCTCCCTCCTTTGTACTATGATAACTATCCCCGACCCCCTATCATGCCGGCCGAGGTTTGAGGATTATATATACCTAAGATATTCGTTTCCCTCTATGCTATCCAAGAAATCCCAAATAAACCGGGTTTGTGACCCCGTAAAGTACCAAATGCATGCTTGGCCTGAAAACGCCCAAAACACCACGACATATGACATCCTCCATAATATCCTTTAATAGGGGTAGAGTCCCTTGAGTTGTCCAGATTCCCAGTCACCAGCCTAGGTCCTCACGCGCGACCCTTAGATCACGCATACCTCACCGGGGCTGCTCTTGGTTGCCATTGGTTCCCACCCTGCCAGGGCTGTTGCTGTTGCTGTAACCTGCGACCACGGTCTCCTCGAGCCGTGGGGGCTGGACGCGGTATGGAGTTGGCGGCCCACCCTGGCGCGTTACCAGCGTTCCCACCAACCCAACTACTGTTGGGTTGCGTGGTCTTAGCTATCCTCCTTCTCCGCGACCTACGTCGGCATGACTGACAAGTACAACAACATAAACCAATAAGAAGGAGACTACCGACAACTGCTGCTACAGGAATGACAATATTCAAGTTGTCCCTTATCCAGCTCCCTACTTGGTCGGTGAAGCTGGAGCCCTCACATCGTCCGTTGGTACAATGCCCTCCGCCTTCACATGGAGTGCCATCCAAAAAGTACTGCTGCATATCATAACAGCTATTGGGTCCAATCTGGGGTGAAGCGCATCGTACTTGACAAGCCTGCGAATCGCAAGCTCTTGTTTCATTGTTGTTAGTCAACGAGCCAACAAGTGTTGAGCATTGTAGATCACGGGACGTGCATTGTCCGGAAGCACATGTTAAACCAGCGCCAGTGGCGCCACACGCTTGACCATCCGCTGCCTTGGCATCTTTAGGACACAGCCCAGAGTTGCCGCTGCAAGTTTCCGCAGGGTCACATGTACCACTGCTGGCTCTGCAAACCGAGCCAGAAGATTTGAATTGGCATTGGTCGGTACAACAATCCTCGTTGGACGGATCACAGACAGCATTGGTCCGGAAGCGACAGGTGTCAGGGTCACAACAGCTATCAACGCCGCACGCAGTCGTTCCTCCGCAATCACATTCTTCTCCTGCTTCTACAATCCCATTACCGCATTGACTTCCTGTAATGGTGACCACGTTTTGGTTATTGCTCAAGCATGCCGAGTTGACACTATTGCGATTCATAGCTGAACAGATGTTCCCGATGGTGCAAGGGGAGAACCGCGTGACGCCCGGTGATGTAGAAGGATTCATGATGAAGCCCTCATTAGCATCGCAAGTAGATGCCGTAAGCGGACAGCATTGCTGCATTGTTGATGTACCATCCGAGCAGGTCTGGGAGGTGCAATCATGCACAGCACCAAACGTATGGCCAGATTCATGGGCAAATACCTGCCACTCGGTAGAGGTTCGAACCACGACATTGGCTCCTGCAATCGTTTCGTTTCCTCCGCCGGAATCTCCACCTTGAGTGCCTGAACCCTGGGCGCATAGTTGGCCTAGCCATGCAAGACCCACGGCCGCATCAGTATTGCACGTGCTCATCAATGTCCAGTAGGCATTCGTGTCATTGAACTGCCCTCTCCAGGAAGAGAATTGGTTAAGGCGATCGGAGATGGTGACGCCATCGCTACAGGCGACGTTCCATTGGGCGTTTTGTGGCGGTGTCCCAGGACAATCCGCATCACTGATAGTCAGATTTTGTATTCCCAAGGATATATTGAAAGAAGTTTCAAACAGCGCTGACGCTGAGCTAACCTGCTGGACGATATGGTCCTGTAGGGCTGAATTATTGGCGAATTGGGCTGTGTACGTGCAGTCTGTGGCAATGCCTACTAGAGCAATCTTGCGAGTAGTAGGACAGCCTGCAGTAGACCCGATAGTCTGTGCTAAGTTGACACCAGCGCCGTTTCCACCCGTTGTTCCATCAATCGATGACTGCCGGCCAAAGAGGTCTCTGGCATTCACCGCTGACATATCACGGAGGTCGATGCCCTGATAAATCGGATGTCCTTTCTCGTTGTTGAAATTAAGCGAATCGGATGAACATGAGGTTTGGCCCAGCCCGCGTTTTAGTTCCGAGGCATCATATGAATCAGACATGATGTCCGAGTCCCTCCAAACGACCATATACTCATCTTCGGCAAAATCCATATGAGGATCTTCTTCGTGTTGCGTTTGTTTGTAATTAGAAATAGTTTGAATGTGATGATGAACTCCGTTTACGCGAAAGGTGCCTTCAAATAATGGTCGCGCTCCATCTCGATGAACAGTTATTCGCGCCCAGCCCGTATTAATCCATTCCAAATGGTCTGGGTGTTGTATGAACGCATGACCCTTAAATACTCTGTGATCCTTCCTCTCTATCTTCTTCTCCTCCCTTACTGAGCCGTCAGCGGCAAGGTAGCGCACACTGGCCGAGTCCGCAAGGACATCATGATTAGGTTCTAGTGATATTCGGAACTGGTCCCTCTCGTTGTGGAGTAGAAAAGTGAGGTCGAAGGAGGAATAGGCGTGAACTCGACTAGAAGGAGTTTGGATTACGGGGTTGTCGAGTCGACTAATGTAATTCAACGCATTTCGTTTAACTGAATGCGCATCTGTATAATGTGAGAATATCGATAGAACCGCGGCCGTAGCCTTGAGAAAGCCACGCATATTCAAAAGTGTGAAAGGTCCTGCTCCGAGGACAAATTAATTAATCTCAAGACTCCATGCGACGATACGATTCCGAAAGTAAATCGCCGCAGGCGTCTCCAACAAGTAAGGTAAAATAAAATAAAAAGATGATAAAAAATGAAAATATCGTCGTTGGCCGCTCAGCAGGGGTCTGACAATAAGTCAATGGCTTATGAATGGTAAGAGTTCCAAGAAGAGTTGGAACCACGTTGAAACTTGAAGTACCAGCGTTGCCGTAAGAGCCGATGCCGAGACAGGGTAACGAGGCTCAGCAAAGTTCCTAATCCTAACAGAGATTTGGGCTTGGGATCTAATCCTAGAGGGGCTGAAAGGGTGTAGTACGTGTGGTGCTGTATTACTACTGGCTGAGCTGTAGATCCTATGGGCAATTTTTGTAGCAAGAATTCTAACTGGCTAGATAGTCTCAAGCCGTATTTATTCCAACCAATAAGCTGAAAATAGGCAGAATGAAAGCGAAGGGATTTGGAGGACGAAAAGACAGTATAGAGGAGGATCAGATGTTTCAACTTGGTAAACGGTTAAACAACAGGTATGCAAAAGAAGGAAAGAAAGAAAGAGGGTGGGATTGAGTATAATGTTGGCTGCATAGGCGTCGAGCCTTAGTACAGACAGACAGCACACTAAAAAATGATACGAGAAACAAGAAGAGGGAAGAAAAAGAAGAAGATGGGAGGTTCGGAGGAAAGTATTGATTACTGGCGACAATCAGGGCCAATAATATCTTGGTATTTCCTTAGAAAGGGAAAGATCATTGATCAATTGTTACCAGGTACTACTAGTAGTACAAGTATATACATAACTACATAACTACATAATACATACATAATATTCATTATTGATAACATCAATTGAACTTGAATAGATCTGGGAAAGAAGAAGGGGGGTTCATATTTGCCATCCATGCAGTTGCCATCCATGATGTTACAGCGCAATTCAGAAATGCCGGCTGGTTGGTTGATTACCCCATACCTGGAACCCTGAACCGTCTTGGCAATAACCAACTCTTGCATTCTCTTAAGTACGAGGCCAAGACTTGCATACCTGTGTACTATGCATACATAATTTGTAGGAGTTATACATAAGCACCAGACATAAACAGCCTTGAGATAAGGTAACTATAACATAGTTAGTTACTTGCCTCCAGAGGAGGTCCAGAACATCAATCTACATACTAACTATGTAATATATAGTATGTAGGTGTGTAGACGGGCTCGTCAGCAGACATATGCAAGCAATCAAGAAATATATCCAAGACGCCGTACCAACTTGATTTTGCGAATCGCTAAGACTATGTACGTACATAGTACAGTAATTACATAGCACGTATTTGGAAGCTTGGCCCACGATTAACGGGGCAGCGGGGATGTCAAGACTCAAGAACGATGATTAACATCCCCGCCCCGGTTCTACATACATCTACACCTGCATACTCCGTACATCACTCAACAATCAAATCCATGTAACTACGTCCGATCAACCTCCTTGCGCTGTTTCAGCCAGGTGTATTGACTACTACTTGAAATTATGTGGGAATCCGGCACATTAGCATCGAAAACATCTTTCTTCAACTATCGGATCGTGCCGTGCCATCCTAGCCACATCGTTGATATCATCTACATAACTAACTAGTTATCTGGTTGCGCTCGCCAAGCATTCCAGGGCGTTTTGTTGGCTTGTTGCTAGTACGTAGTCATCGCCATATTATTTATCTCGTTGGCAGCACTACCTATTATGCTGACGCTGACGCGCTGGTCAAGACCTTGCCAAGAAGCTGAATTACGAATACTCACTGCATGTGGCGGTCGTGACGCGGCCTTGTGATCTCGTGCTCTTTGCCTACATACTAATAATCTACTTTTGGACCGATGTGGCTTATTCGGATTCAAAGAATCTATTGATCATCAATTGTGGTTATCTGTAATAGTTGAAATAGTAACAAATGGTTGACTAATAAAACACTGACAGCGAAATGATTGCCAGGCAATCCATAGCTTTGTGTTGTTAAGCTGTAATCTTAAATAGCTAGCAACATTTATAAACACATGGTCTGGACGGCTGACATATACCTAGTTCTCGAATTTATAGTTGTGCCGAGATCACGACGCATCAAAAGAGTAAACCCAGTCGCCACAATACGGGTCCAACACGTCCAGATCATACACAGCTCAACCCCTTAATTCCAAGACAGAATGGTATCAGAATTTCAATAACAAGTCAAGCCCGTCTACCAAATCAAACAATTACTTCTTGCGGCTTTCGTGGACTATAGCGATGATTTTGTCTACTATAGAAGGGTCGGAAAGCTATTGTAACGTGTGAGTATTCATCGTTGAAGGCCAGGAAAAGAGAGGGAGAAGGGGGGTAGGGGTACGAACTGTAGTCACGTCGCCAAGCTGGTCTTCTTCCCCAGCCAAGATCTTTCTTAAGATACGGCGCATGATCTTGCCGCTTCGCGTCTTTGGTAAGTCCGGCACGATATAGACCGCCTTGGGGGCAGCAAAGGGTCCGATGCTCTTTCGCACTTGCAGAATGAACTCCTTTCTCAAAGCATCTGAGGCGTCATTGCCGTTCTTGATAGCTACGAATGCGTTGACAGTTTGTCCAGTCAACTCGTCAGCAACACCAACTACGGCAGCTTCAGCAACCGAGTGGTGCTCGATCAGAGCAGCCTCAATCTCAGCAGTTGACAAACGGTGGCCACTGACGTTAACTACGTCATCCACTCGTCCCCGAATCCAATAGAAGCCTTCGTGGTCACGGCCGGCTCCATCACCCGTGAACTTGAACTTGTTAGCTTTCAAGCAAGTGAATCCGGTATTCTGCACTTACATAGTAACCCTTATAGACATTCAGATATGTGTCCAAATATCTCTTGTGTGCACCCCACACGGTACGGGCCATGCTTGGCCACGGCTGCTTGAAGGCTAGCACACCTTCGACATCGTTGCCGTAAATCTCTTCCCCGGAAATGGGATCAATAATAGCAGGCTCTATCCCGAAGAAAGGTAAAGAAGCACTGCCTGGCTTGGTCGGTGTCACTCCAGCGAGGGGGGTGATCACGTTGGAGCCTGTCTCAGTTTGCCAATAGGTCTGGTGTTTTTCTGTTAGAAATTGCATTTTAAGATAATCGTCACAAAAACTTACATCAACGATTTGAGCCTCCTCTTTTCCAACTACTTCAAAGTACCACTTCCAAACCTCGGCCGCAATAGGTTCACCCACGGATCCTAGGACTCTCAATTTCGGCATCTGTGCCTTGACAAAATCATCGCCAGCACGCTTCAACAGTCTCAACGCCGTCGGTGCTACATAGAACTGTGTGATTTCGTGCTTCGCGATGATGTCCCAGTAGCGTGAGAAATTCGGGTAAGCCGGAGTACCCTCGAAAACTACCGTAGAGACTCCTAGCAAAAGGGGTGCATAAACGACGTATGTATGACCGGTAATCCAGCCGACATCTCCACCACAGAAATACCGGTCCCCGTCGTGTATGTCAAATACGTACTTGCCAGTCATCGCAGCACCGAGCAGATATCCGGCAGTGGTATGCATGACACCCTTTGGTTTTCCGGTTGAACCAGATGTGTATAGTAAGAACAAGGGATCCTCAGAGTTCATGGGCTCCGGAGCGATGTATGTGGGCCATTTCTCGACTTCCTCGTGCCACCAGAGATCACGGCCAGGCGTCCAAGGAACATCAGCACCGGTGCGCTTGAAGACGAGTACGCCATTCACGTCGGGGCACTGTTTAAGCGCATCATCGACGATCTTCTTGGTACCTATCAACTTCCCTCCACGCTTTCCCTCATCCGTCGTAATAACTACTCTGGACTGCGCATCGATAACACGGTCACGTAAGGAATCAGCCGAGAAGCCAGCAAAGACGACGGAATGGACAGCTCCAATCCGAGAAATTGCAAGGAATGCAATGACGGCCTCGGGAATCATTGGCAAGTAGATAGCGACGGTATCACCCTTTCGGACACCCATCTTCTTGAGGACATGTGCAACCCTGCTGACTTCCCGAAGGAGCTCGCCATAGGTTAAGTTGCGACCCTCATTTGGCTCATCGGCCTCGTAGATGATTGCGACCTTGTTGGGGTCTTTGAAAGCATGTCGGTCAACGAGGTTGTAGGAAGCATTGAGCTGGCCCTCAAGGAACCAAGCGACATCGCCATTGGCTAGGGACCCGGTACGGGTAGTTTCAAAATCCCGAGTCCACGTTAATAGTTCCCTGGCGTTTCTAGCCCAAAACTTCTCAGGCTCGGTGATAGATTCTTTGTACAACTGCTGATATTCCTCCAGGCCTGGCTTGTGTTAGAGAAGATGAATTCTCGCGTTTCTTCTTCTTTGTAGTGCTATTTGGTCTTACTTACCAGTGAGATGAGGTTTGCTGGGATGCTCTGTGTTCTTGTTAGTTTTGGTTCACAACTCGTATGCGTCGGAGCTGCATGTATGACATGATTGTATCTCCTGGACGAACAAACTCACTTTCAAGCATCTTTGCCGGAGGGTCTATTGGGTCTGAGTCAGCATTGCACGACTTTCAATGTTTCAGATACTTTAGGTGAATTCATGGGAAAGCATGGGAATCTCACGGAAGGTATCGACCAGATGGGCCTCGGCGACCACTGGAGCCTTTTTTTGGTCACCCATGATGATGGCGGGGTGTTGAAGAGGAGGAGGGTGCTTCGGTCGTTGACACTGCGGGGTACTAGGTAGGTACTAGTAAGTTCAAGGATGAGAAGGTTAGGCGTAGGTGTAGGTGTAGGTGTAAGGCGCAAGGTATAAGGCACAAGGTATAAGGTGTAAGGCGTAAGGGGAATTGGTAGTTATCTGTGTGCGACGGGATATCCGGGTTGAACTTTATATAGAAGTGATTTAATAACTGTACTATGTAGGAGGGTACTATGTAGTTTAAAAGTTGAGTCTAAGGTAAGTCGGAAGACTAGGGTAGCTGGGGAATGAGAGACAAAAAGCAAAACATGGCAAGTATAGCTCAGCTGTGGTGGACGAGGGCGAGGCACTTTTTGTATCATTTTTGTATTACGGCAAAAGTATTGGGTGTCACGCCTGAGCATGCTATGTACATGTATGTATTGCACCATGAGCTGTACCACTATACTACTACGAGCTGCACCTACCTACCTAGGTATGCGAAGTGAGCGAAGTACGGATGAGTACTTTAAGGTCCATAAGGCAGGTACGTGGAGTCGTGGACTAGTACAGATGTATATGTAGGTACATGTAAGTACTACATCCCAACATTAACATCGGCATGATCCCATACATATACATATGCAGTAATTACCTACCCAGTACTGTGCAATGCAGGTTAGTCCCTTCCACATATTCACCTTTAGGTTCCAAAACGTGACCTGCTAGTCAAGGTCACAACTACCTATTACCTACCAATCGCACTTAACTGGCTCTTGGTTGGTCTTTTTGTTTTGGTTGGGGCGTTCGCCGACTCGGACCGGGGTGTTTGAAAATGACGATGTGGGGCTATATCACCTTCCGCTCGACCGTTCGACCGTCTCGTACGTATGGATCCTAATCCTCGTCTTCTCCATTCTAGACTACTTGTAGACTACACTACTAGACTAACAGATTACCAGACATACATACATACATACATACATACATACATCCCTAGTAGTCTATTGAATGGAACCTCCCAGCTCTCCCCACGCTATACATATGTAGTAGCTTCCTTGGGATGCCGAGAGCGCCTCAAGTTTATCTATAGTGCAATTATCTTATTACGCCTTCACCTGACTCTTGACGCACGCAGGCTGGTATTGACCTCACACCCTCTTAGATTGCCTTACTACCTACCACTACGTATGTAGGTACCTAGGCAGCTAGGTAGGTAGTAATTAATGGATGGGTAGCATGAGCAGGATGGGCTAGCTGGAGCCCTAGGCTGCAGGACCCTTTGGACCGGACATTGGCATTGGCATACACAGATAGGTCGAGATTTGCAACCTCCCTGCCTGTTTCTATGACTTGATACCTGGATTACCTATAGACAATCATGTCTCCAGAGACTTGGAATCATCAAGGCAAATTTGAATGAATGAATGCCTAGTAACTAGCAGTCTATATTCTAGGTACCTTAGAAATCTACCTAGGTAGGTATTAATCTTCACAATAGTGAGGATATGGCCCATTATGCTTGAAGAACTTGTGAGCCTCCCACACAAGCTACATATAAATATAATATATTCAAGTTAAGGAATACCATTTGACTGGTGAGTTGGTGTACCCCTTCAGGATGACCGGGTTAAGAATGAGGAAACATTTTGGCGAACCACACCCAAACCTTTCCCATCTCACTATTAGAACGGAGAGCAATCTGTTCATCAGTGAGTAAAGAGACCCAAGGTTCTCTCTTTAGATTATCTAGCGTTGTTGGCGTAGCGAAAAGGGGGATAGCTACATATAAACTGCATATGAGGTAGGGGTAAGTACATGGTTTGTAAGTAGCGAACATGTCGCTCAATGCAACAGAAGTGGTACATACATATTATAATAGAATAATAGATATTCACTACATTATGTACTTACATAGTAGGTAGGTAATATGTAGTTATAGGTAGTTACCGTTGTCCCAAGAACGGGGGTAAGCTTGTCTTCGCCTCCAGGGTTCTTTACCCCTCGTCCCCCCCAAAATTCCCCGCATCCGTTCCTTCCTAGTACCCTAGCCCTTGCATGAGCTAATGCGCTTAACATATCATTCCTCCGCAGCTCCGTTACAAGTATAGGTATGTACTCTCATGTTCCTCAAGAAACATTGAATATCTAGCCCAAGCCCTACATTATGTAGGGATCCTCGCAGCTTACATAAACGCATGTTCATTGCGTACCTACATATGTATGTTTCATCCGTACTTCGGTGCATGTTCATAGTGATGATGACCAACATAAATTTCGGTTTATTAGTAGGTGAGGATAACTATTATATTGTATCTTTGCTTTCAAGTAAAATTATACTCATAATAATTAGGTGCCTGCCTAGGTAGGTAGATAGATATCCCGACTATTATCTAAACACCCAGAGCAGCTCGGATACCCAGGTTAGATGTTCGGGAGATGTATCATGTGAGATGTTACTGCAATACCATCGTCACTTTGCCAAGCTTCCCTTGATCCTTGCCCAGAACGTGGTCTTGGGATTGTGGGGGAAACTAGTTTTCCGGTTAGACAAGATGCTCGGCTTGGCTATGTAGTAATCATGAAGTCGAGCGATGGGAGTTGATCGTACCATACTGGACATACATACTCTTTGATTAGGAATGTATATCTAAAACTGGTACGATATGTTGGACACTGATCGTTTACTAACCGAGGTCGAATTAAGCATTCTGTATGGTGACGGCTATGTATATGCAAGACTGGAGCCTTAGTCCCACCATTGCTGCAGCTGCTATCCAAGCTGTCGGCACTCGGTCACTCAAAATGTGTCCGTTGTCGGGATGACGTTGAACTCGAAGCGGAGCCAACTCGGCCTTTCGGGAAGAGCGTGGTTGTTGACATACTGGCGCTTCCGGAACTCATCGGAATGGATAGGTTGTAATTGGTTATATATGTAGGTAGGTACCTACCTATTCACCCAACCCACAGCTCCTGAGCTCAGTTGACTGCCTCGAGTCCACTCATATCGTCTGATAAGAGAAATGGTTGCCAAATCCTGTTATAAATTTGCACTCCCGAGGGGGAACGGATACCATTACTACCTAGGAACCAAATACGCCTTGTCTTCCAAACAAGCCCGCCGCGATATAGTGATCCAGCCCGCATTGCTCTATGAACAAGGCGCCGAAGACCTAAAGTACCTATCCTTTTGGTTATCACATATCCATGCTCATCAAATACATCTCGATTATCCTCATGAACTTGGCGACAAAAGCCTCCAGGTGAAATATGACCTTGGTTCCCGTTCTTATTCTGTGCTCGTAAAAGGCGGACCACTTGATAACTTCATATTTCAAATCGTCGTCAATCATAGGGATAAGTTTAAAAGTCAGGGTCTTGAGGATAGTGGTGGGGGGTATGCAGTGCGTAAGAAGATCGTATAGCTTCGACCGAACTTGCAAGATACGGGCTGGTGAGTGTTCTTCCATGATCTCCTTGGCGATCTGCGAGATTAGTGCTTCCCAATCAGGGGGCGGAATAGGAGTGTTGTCCGTGACTTTCTCACTATCATTGGTCAGTTAGATAAACGTGCAAATAAACTGGGAATGAGACGAGAACGCACTTTTGAGCATGTACAGCCTCGTACATTAGTAATGCTCTTCTTAAATTCCGTCCACTCTCCTCGGCAATTCTCTTATGTAATCCCTTCACAACAGGCCACCCTTCTTTCTTGGCTGAATCTGCTAGAACACTAGCAATCTCGTCGACTGTGGGCGCAGCGACCCGTACAAGGAGTGTTCGACTTCGAATGGGTGCAATTATATTGGCTGTGCTGTTGGCTAGCAATATCAACCGTAGGTTTGGGCTATACTTTTCCATCGTTCTTCTCAGAGCTGCTTGAGCATCCCGTGTTAGATGATCTGCCTCATTGATGACAACAACCTTGAACTTTTGCTTGGCTGACTGATCAACTTGTTGTGTCTGGGCAACTTCTTTCAGCAGATCTTGGACGACAACTCGATCATAGTTTCCAACATCTGACGGAGTAATCTCGAGGTGGTAAACCGAAGCTACAATGTTGAATTCTAACTTGCGGTTGCTGGTAGTTTGGAAAACTCGGGCATCAATCTTGATTTTCTCAACACCAGGTCCATAGAGCTCTTTAAGGGTTGCAACGATTCGAGTTTTCTTACCCGCGCCGGAGGGGCCGTAGACGAGGAGATGAGGGAAGTCGCCGCTTTGAGCCTATTTAAAAAAAAAAGAGTTGTTAGGTTAGCTATATGCTTAGACATGCAACAGTCCTAGGGGCCATGTGATGTGGAAGTACATACTAAAGATCGAAGTCTCTCGGATAGTTCAGAGTGGTAAGTCAATGAATCGAGAGAGCGCGGTCGGTGTTTGTCCACAATCAACGCCATATTTGTGGTTCATGGGTGTTTGTATACAGAGTATGTAGTTCCAAGTAGTAATAAAGCTGCGATGATGAATTATAGACAGGCGAGAGCTTTTGTTTATTCATTCATTCATTCATATATTTGCTGATAAGACAAACATTGAATATGAAAGACAGGCAGGTATAGGTACTGGTTAGCTAGCTGGTAAGTAACTAGATACCATTTGAATAAAAGTGACTTGTTAAGCTGCCAAGAATCGGGGACGCGTTAATTGAATTTGGAACGCGTTTTATTTTAATGCCATCTGCCACCGCCTGGCGTTTTTGGCACTACCACAGCAGTCAAAAAGTATTTTAACCTACCTAACCTAGGGTACTTCAAACTTTGAACATTTAACATATGTACGTCTTGTCTTTGTGCGGGGCAAGTCCAAGTACCTAAGATGACGGAAAGTACAGACGGGGACTCCGACAGGAAGTCCCGTCCCCCTCACCGGCACAGGGATTGATCTTTTACGAAAACCAGTTTGAGACATTCATGGATCTGATCTGACTCGCCTTGAAATCTGTGTAACAGTAGTGTTGCAAGCAAGTATGCTTCCATGAATAAATGAATAAATATGGCTAAAATATGAGTACTTTGCATATTATATCTGCAAGTGAATGAATCGGGAAAGTAAAGAAAAACAGAGAGCCTAACTTGAAGTATACTTCGATAACATCAATTTTGATATAATATAGATTCATCTGTTCACTTCAAGTTTGTTTCCTCCGGCGGCCAGGTAATATAAAGATTGGTAGGGATTACATTGTCTCTCCAATATGAATTCCGGTTTCTTCCATCCTGATGTTTCAAAATTGCACTTACACGCGAATGATGAGTTACATTTTAACTATAAGTACCACTTGCTAGATATGTAATGGAAGGGAGGTACGGACGGCAGTGTAACTTGATCCTACCTTACTTCCGTAAGATGCACTGTTGGGTGGCATGCATAGATCGATCAGTGTCCCAAAAACCACTTTTTATTTTATTTTTTTCTTATCAGCCTATCGACAAAATTCACTACTACTGTATTGTACATACTACTAGTAGTGCCTAGTAGTTAGGGCCAGGCAGGTATGATGTTAAAACTTGAATAAACCAGTAGACCTAGTAGTAACAGTTGATATCCATTGTCTATCCGACTCTATCGATCGTACTTGCCTAACCTAGATACCTAACACGTAGGGAAGCATCTACCCAGTGTCTACTACTAGGTATGTACATAGTATCCATAGTATCCATAGTATTAGGTACTCTGTGGTACCCTCCTGTCATAAGAATCGGAATTTACCATTCCACCATTCTTCTTTTCTTCTTCTGCAACTTCGATTGTAACAGGACTAGACTTACTTACATACCTACCTACTAGACAAATGTCAGATTGATTGATCACCGGCCCGCGTCCCATGCCATTTCAAGTTGGGTCTACAACAGTGCAACTTTTTACGTGTACTTTGACTTAATGATCCACACAGCCCACAAGAATCGACGTTCCTCTTTGGTAGTACCCCACTTTGCCATAGAACCCAAAGGGCACACCGACAACGATCGCGATATCATCCTCCCCTTCCCCCCCTCCGTCTTTCTCAGCCTGAACCTGTCTTGCGTGACTCTCATCCCTTGTTCAAGTCTTTAAAAAGGAACATTGTTCCTCTTGACTAATCGACACCTTTGATTGAGTACATTCTATCTATCTATACTCCAACTTCTCTCGCCTTTTACTTACCACTTGCGACATTAGGTTGCCTGCGCAAACCGTCAAAATGTTCAACAATCGCAAGTTTTCCATGTAAGTCCATACCTCAAATTCTCTCATAAGATCCCTGTTGCATACTGCCTTTCCATCTGGTCACCTTCGAAAGAAAACACACCAACAATTATTGTAAACCTGTGGACATTACTAAAACTCAACCATAGGAACAGGAACACTGGGGTCCCACGAAGAAGATTTAGCATCGGTGATCCAAGTGCTAATGGTATGATATTTATATTTATACTCTGTGCCCTCCCCCGCTCTTATCGGGACTTTCATGTTGTAATACTGCCAAGGACCGCACGTTTCTGCCTTGTGCTCGGCCTGATATATAGGTTGTGGCGGTCTTGGCACTTGGCAAACGTGGCCTTGATACTCTATTTGCAGCAGTATGTCTCGGTAAAAACAATAATATATCACTAACAATATATCTTGGCAGAGACGAGTTCCAAGATCCATCGCCAGTTCCGTGCGGCCAACCCGGGCCACCTTCCCCACGCTGGCTTAGACGCTTCACGTGCTTCTACCGGTGTTGTATGGTGTACGGAGCGTGCTGCCGAGTACGGCTTCCTTGAAGAGCCTGACAAATGGGCCAACCTTGGCCAGGGTGCACCTGAAGTTGAAGATGATATCGAGGGTTGCTTTGAGCGCCCCCATACGATAGATGTATCAGTCGCCCTCAGAGAATATGGCCCAACTGCTGGTATCAAGCCTCTCCGTGCCGCTGTAGCGAGGATGTACAACGAGATGCACCGTCAGGGCAAGGATAGCCAGTACTCGTGGGAGAATGTCGCTATTGTTCCCGGTGGCAGAGCTGGCCTGATTCGAATTGCAGCCGTCTTGAATAATGCTTATGTCGGCTTCTTCATTCCTGACTACACCGCGTACAATGAGATGCTCTCGCTCTTCAAGAACGTGAGTAGATTCCTTCAAAGGCTACAAAGTCTAATTTTCTAATATCAAATAGTTCGCTGCCATTCCCACTCCTCTCTCCGAGGAAGATGGCTACCACATCCATCCTGATGTGATCGCAAAGGAGATTGCCCGAGGTACTTCTGTCATCATTACCTCGAACCCTCGAAACCCTACGGGCAGAGTTGTGGCAAACCCTGAATTGGCTGAGATACAAGACATCTGCCGTGGACGTGCAACGCTTGTCAGCGATGAGTTCTATTCTGGTTACAACTACACCAGTGACTGCGACGGTAGTACAATCTCAGCTGCCGAGAACATTGAGGATGTAGACGAGGACGACGTGCTCATAATCGACGGGCTTACCAAGCGTTTCCGTCTTCCTGGATGGCGTATTGCATGGATTCTAGGACCCAAGGAGTTCATCAAGGCGTAAGTACAAGTAGAGACTATTTTATCGAACAAGATCACTAATGAAGCGCCCCCAGCATCGGTTCTTGCGGTTCATACCTCGACGGTGGAGCCAACGCGCCTTTCCAACAGGCAGCCATTCCTATGCTCGAGCCGTCCCTTGTTCGCAAGGAGATGGAGGCCCTCCAGCACCACTTCAGAGTAAGTTACTTTCTGACCCTTAAATTCCTGTATCTGTGCACATGAAGCCTGACAGTTTGTCTAGGACAAGCGAGACTACGTGGTTAAGCGCCTACGAGACATGGGCTTCGTCATCAAATACGTGCCGGACAGTACTTTCTACCTCTGGTTGAACCTTGAAGGGCTGCCGGGCCCAATCTCAGATGGCCTGAATTTCTTCCAGGCTTGCCTCGAGGAGAAGGTGATTGTTGTTCCAGGCATCTTTTTTGATCTGAACCCCTCTCGTCGTCGGGACTTGTTCGACAGCCCCTGCCATCACTGTGAGTTTGCCCTGTGAACTGTCCAATTCCCATATACGAGGATGATTGTTTTTCGTTAGCCGCTAACTGCTTACCAGTTGTCCGATTCTCGTACGGTCCAAAAATGGACACTTTAACGGCGGGTTGCGACGGTATTGAGAGAGTAGTCAACAAGTAAGTTAAACTCTTATTGGAAACACAAAAACATATGACTAACAAATCTTACAGATTCAAGAAGTTCGTTTAAAGGTTTACTTTGCAAAGTGCCGAGTATTGGTACATGCCGGAAGGTGACGTTTACGCGAACAATTCTCTTTTCTTAGATTTATAAGAAAAGATACTGGTATTCGAGATGATACAGTCTATGTCTCTTAGAGCTATCTTCCCTACATCAAGTTGCTGTTTCTATTATAGTTTGCAATTCTCTTGTGACAATTAAATGCCGTAAGGGATACACGCGCGATAGCGGTATCTCCATAAGCCATTCTACGCGTCCGGATACGAATTCTCCTCCTAAATCTGAATCACTCACTATTGGACTCAGCAAGCCTGGAGGAATTGACATCAATTATCAGCTTCAACGTTGGTATTCCTTTCCACCTCTTAACTAGATGAGCAATATGAGCCACGAACCACTGGCATTACACTCGTTGCAAGAATTGCTTGTTTCACTCCCAAATCATATCATCACTTAAGAGTATGAAATCAAGAGTACTGGACCGTAATACCCAGCGAGTAGACTAACTACCTGCGAAAGCCAATCATGCGTCTCAATGGAATGAAATAGACCGGTACCGATTTACCATCTACACTACGGAGACACGAAATTCCTTCCTTCCCATGCCACTACCAACCTCGCCCGAGGGGGAAAAAGCAAAAGAAAAGAGATAATCTTCTTCAAGACGGAAGAGGAAAAGCGAGCAGCTGATGACCCAAAGTATTATTCGCCATCAAACTCGAGCTCGGTCTGCTGTTCGTTCACTAGATCGATAGGTAAGTAAGGGAAATAATGAGAATAATTTTTGAATGGAACATACTAGAATCTCATCCTCCATGGGGGCATCGCCGTTGGTGGTAGCAGGGACTGCACCGTTAGCGTTCTCAGTCGCAGCTTCGAAGTAATCCGCCATCTCATGGTCCAGTTCCTCAGCCGTCTTCTTGGCCGGTCGGCTGTTACGGACTGCACGTCGCTTTCCGCCACGACCACGAGCACCGGAGCCACTGGCCTTTCCGGCAGCTTCTTTCTTTTTGTCATTGGCAGCAGACTTGGGCTGCGCCTTTGGCTGAGAGATGCGCTCAGTCAACGTCTTGGGAGGAGGAGCAATCTCGGCGGCCTTGGCGGCGCTAACGACGATTTCGATCTGTAAGAGGTGAGTATGTGGCGTAAAGAGGCCGAGTATGTGAAAAGCTGACCTTGATGGGTCTGTTGTCGACGAGAAGACCGTTCAAGGCGTTAAAGGCCTTGCTGGCACCATCCGGCTTGGAAAAGGCGACGGTAGCGATACCACGGCTGACGCTATTCGGGCCATAGGAAAGCTCCACACGCTTGATGGGTCCAACTGAGGTGGCAAAATACTCCTATGGAGGGCACGAATGTTAGTCATATGAAATCCATGCGACGTGCACGCAAGGTGTGAAGATAACATCGACGGTCGAAGAATCCTAGCCGACAGAAAATGTTCATGGCAAACATCCAAAGGTAAATCAGCATCAACGAGCACGCAGTGAGCGTTAGTAGTAAGTAACCAATCCCACTGGCCATCTGCTCATCCCATGATGACTCCCGACTCCATCACAGTGCGGCCAAATGAACCATATGTGATGGACATGATTACGCGTAATGACGCCCGGCTCGTCTTCAATGCTCTCCTATATCCATTTCGTACTAGATGCCTCCGCGTCCGAGTAATACGATTGGAGGGCTCGCCTTGCTTAGCCCGGTCCCACTATAGGACTTATAGCGCCAGTAATCATGTTGGCATAAACAAGTATGCTCTGGTCTGCTGCTGCTCACTGACATGCTCGCTGGGTTGCAATTATCCCGTAAAAGGATGGATTTCCGCCAAAGTCTCAATCTCGAGAGCCGAGATTGAAAGTTCAAGATATGCTCAAGTCCATTTACGCCTGCGCATTGTAGTCTGCGATGGAGGGTTGCCAAGCCTGCCAGAGATCTAACAATATTGGTGCGCGACAAGGACAGCTCAACTCCCGACATTGCAATAGCACGAAGCGCGCGCATAGTCAGGGAGGAGACTAAGCAATACTATGGCCTTTCGACGAGCCAAAATGAACCATCTCTGGAAGGGAAGTATAATCATTCCGTTCGATTTCAGATACGAGCGTACGGTTCAGGGAAGATGCCGACGAAATTCCGCGGGCAATAGCCCTAGGAAACATACCTTAATCTGGGTTTCGTTTACATCTTTGGGCTAGAATGTTGTTAGCAAATTCGAAGAATGAAGAGAAAATCCGCCTCAAGACTTACTAGGTTGCTGACAACCACTTTGCTCTCTCCATTTCCACCAGCCGCTTTAGCAGGAATCTGCTTGTTCGCAGCGGTACGAGGCTGTTTCGAAGTCTTTTGAACCCCGCCAACGGGAGCCGTCGTGGTAGGTCGTCGAGTAGAACGTCGCGGGGCCTGGCGCCGACCGCCAACTGTGCGTCGCTGAGTGGAGAGGATTTCGTCCAGAGACTGATCGAGCTTTCCAGACATGTTGATTATTGTTTGATTAGAAATCGGTGATATGTGTTGAGAGCGAGTATGGGGTAATGATTAAGCGCGTCGAAAGATCAGGCTACAAATAGAGTCGGCCTAACGGATGATGTACTAAGGTGATCGGTAAGACGCAACGGCTTGTAATGAACCTTGGTGTATCAACACAGGGAGAGACTTGTCAAATTTTGGAATGTTGCAGCAAAGGGCCCTGGCCGTGTGCGCAGAATGAATGAAGGAAGGTGGGTAGGCGTGTTGGTTTATTGATGAAGGCGTTCGTTGAAAATTTTGTCTCGCGATTTGGCAGACACAAGACAGAGACGGCTGACGAAGTTGGATGCAGCCCAATAAGAAGAAAAGGTAAGTATTAAAAGTCTTCTCAAGTTGGCAGATTTCAGATAGGAAGAAGACTGCGGCGACTGAGGTTGGTGTTGGTGTTGATGTTGTTGGGAGATGGGAAGTTGTAGTTGGCGAAGGTTGGAAGATGGAAGGGTGGGCTGTGGAAGAGTCACAGTTATTAAGAAGAGAGAAATCAAGAAGGGAACGCGCGAGGGAAGGAGGAGCGGAAAACAATGAGTCGCCCAGATCACCAGAGGCCTCCACTTTTCAAGGCGCACGTGTACCAAATTGAGCTTAGCTTAGAGGTACAATGGTACATAGTACAAACAATGGCTACAAACGGACCTAGCGCTGCGCTGGTAGTAGCCACCTACATAATACTAGGTTAGGTACATCTCATACTATGTTGAAGTGAAGACTGCCACTGGTCCTGCATGATTCCATTGTGCAATCAACTTTTATCTGTGAGATACAACATTAGGATAATTATGAGGTTCATCTACGATGAATCATGAATGTTGTCAAAAGCAATGAACCTACACAAGTCATAGCAGATACATGTAGGTAATCCATAACACCTAGTATATCTTCAGTTCATACATTCATGAATTGCTACCTAGTATAATCCCTCGGGTAGCCGTCAATATAGAAAGGTTTGATACATTGTATTGGTTTAATGAGATCCCCCGTGGATCCCAACTTTTGGTAGCTTGAATAGACAATTCCCGCCTCTTGGTGGCCCTTCCATCCTAAAGGTCGCGTTGTTCGCATCGATATATACCCTTCTAGACCATAGATGTTTTTTTCGCGCGTGTGAAAATTAAATTTCACCATGTTTGCTTACTTTCCAACGGCCGCAGGTTGTCGTGCTGGTATTGACTTGGCGGCCTTTGCAGCGAGCGCGCTTCCTTCTTGGGAGTTGACCTCGAAGAAATGGTATAAGACAATAAGAACCATGGATACGGAACCGAGGAAAATGGCGAGGCGGTACAAATCGTCGTCGGAAATCATCGTGAACGATTGACGGGAGTGATTAGACTCGAGATTTTTGGTTGAGAGTTGAGAAACTGGCTAGTATGTCAATCAATGGTCGTTGTTAATTTTTATTAGGACAAGCGCAAGCTTACTCTTCTGTGCAATTACAAAATCTCTCTTTGCCTTAGGTCCTTCCGCGAAGATTGAAGAGGCCTGATAAATGTCAAAAGTATCAAGAGTGAGTTCCTTTATTTGTTCATGTTGGATAAAATTCAAGTTGAGGCCAGCTTGGAGTTCAATGTTGTAGTTACGTACTTAGTAATAAATACTTAGTAATAAACTGTACAGGTGTAGCGTGACTAGCGTCGCAATGCACGGTACGTATGTATTGTACATAAAAGTACGCTAGTAATGGCAGATCAATGATTGAAGTACGCCACTACTCTACATACCTAGAAGTCATGTGACGTAGGCGTGTAGTTCTTTTATTCAATGCCCCCGCCAGCATACAGCCCACTAAACTTCACTAATCTTTGAAGTGTAAGATCTAACAGGAACTGTGACACTCTAATTTGTGCTCAACAACACTTTGTCGCGACACAATTAAATCCTCACACATTATTCGAACCCCCCGGATATATCTGGAAGTTAGCGGGATATCTATTATGAGAATCTGAAAAGCCATCCCCTATACGAAATCACCAATCGTTCGAATTTCTCTCCACCACCATGCCTCCCAAAAAGAAGGAAGAGCCCAAAGGCAAAAAGCCTTCTGCCTCGAAGGTAGCGGAGGACAAGACTTTTGGTATGAAAAACAAGAAAGGCTCAGTGGCCCAGAAGCACATCAAACAGATCCAAGCATCAGCAAAGGCAGGGGGTAGTGCCGAGGAGAAAAAGAAGCAAGCAGAGAGAGAAGCCCGTCTTCAAGAGAAGAAGGCTGCCGAGGATGCGAAGCGAGAAGCTGAGGCTATGCTCAACAAACCAGCACAAATCCAAAAGGTTCCTTTCGGTGTCGACCCCAAAACCGTTGTCTGTATCTTCTTCAAGAAGGGCAATTGCGAAAAGGGGAAAAAGTGCAAATTCGCACACGATCTCTCTGTTGAACGTAAGACGGAGAAGAAGAACCTCTACACTGACGGCCGGGCAGAAGAGGAGGAAGAGAAGAAGAAAGAGACATCTGAGGATTGGGATGAAGAGAAGTTACGAAAGGTGGTACTCTCCAAGAAGGGCAATCAACAAACTACCACCGACAAAGTTTGCAAATTCTTCACTGAAGCGATCGAAGACGGGAAGTATGGTTGGTTTTGGACATGTCCAAACGGAGGCGACAAGTGCAAATATAAACACGCCCTTCCACCGGGGTAAGTACCCGTCCTCCTTTACTTTACCGCGTTGTTTCACTGACATGATAAATTCAGTTTCGTGCTCAAGACTAAAGAGCAGCGCGCTGCCGAGAAAGCACTTATGGACAAGTCTCCGCTTAAGACTTTGACTCTTGAAGACTTTTTAGAATCGGAAAGACACAAGCTTACCGGCACTCTCACGCCTGTCACCCCGGAAAGTTTTGCTAAATGGAAGCAGGAACGCTTGGGTAAGAAGGCTGCCGAGGAACAAGCTCGACAAGCCAAGGAATCTACCGGCCGTGCGTTGTTCGAGAGTGGCAACTGGAGGTATGGCGAAGACGACTCCGAAGACGAAAATGATGATGACGCCTGGAATCTGGAGAAGTTAAGGCAAGAGACACAAGCTATCCGAGACAGAAAGGAGGCAGAGCGAGTAGCCGCAGAAGCAGGCTATTCGGCCGATTCATATCAACCGCCTAGTACTGGCAGTGGTACTCCTGTGGTTGCAGGCTCCTGACTTGTTTCGCAAATGGGCACCGAAATGAGAACTCTGGGTGAATTAGCAGAGTTCTATCTCGACAAGTGGGTAATACACAAGACAAGCGACGAGTCAAGGATCACGACCCGTCAGCTTGGCTCGGGTATACCCGTTACGTCTAGGCCATAGCAAATCCTGCATGGGATTCAGCTATTCTTTTGAACCATGCGAGACAATAGGGGATCTGTCATCGTATTGACGGGTTCAGTCTTCTGACTTAGGTTTATATAGGCCATACCAATCGGGGATCGAATCAAATTGAAGAGCATAGGACAACTTATACATTTTGCTGTCGTGTCTTCCGAACAAAGTGTTTGATATCAGCTGATACTATTCAATTCATTCACCTTCTGGAGTGCTAAATACTGTTTTGATAGGAAAAACTGAAGCTCGAGAATACCCAAGCATCCGTACCGGGCCACGCCTGCACTAGTAGTCACAATGCCAGATCTTGTGTTGATACAGACCATAGGCACTAGGCACTGCCGCACGAAACACTCAATTTTGGGTTTTGGAACGGCCCTTGCCTATCAAAAGAACACGCAGTTTACCACTTCTCAACAAATGGGCGCATGTCCACCTCTTGCGTGAACGCAGAACGGTGCTGCGTGTGTAGATTCCAGTAACTCTCAGCAATCTAGGGGTAAGTCAGTATCGAGACCAGAGCTTTGTGGCTAGGGGCACAGACCGCGTCAGCTCTGAGCTTACTATCCTCGACTCCATTGTTCACGTTGTAATGGCTAGTCCTGGGGATGTCGATGACTCCGTCAATGATGGCGTGTGCTACGTGTATTCCTTTGGGGCCAAACTCCCGCGCCAGAGACTGTCCAAGTGCTCGTCGAGCAAACATGCTCGCCGCCATCGTGGAAAATTGGTTTGACCCCCTAACAGAAGCCGTGGCTCCCGTGATAAGCAATGTCGGCGGATGTTTGGAGTCTGATACCGATTCTAGGAGCAGTGGAAGCGCCTTCTGAGCAAAGTTGAAGAGACCTCGCCTGGCATTATGCTTTAGCTCGGAGTACTCGGAAACATGGAGTTAAGCATACATACGCATTACCACCGACAGCGCCGTCAAAATCGTCGACGGTTAACTCGAGAAAGGGCAACCTCTTAAAGCCGGCACCGACATTGTAGATAGCCGCAGCAAGCTTCAAGCCAGGCAGTTCCTTAGCGATGGCCTCGAAGGCTGAGTTCAATGACTTGACGTCTGAGGTGTCAGCGCTAATTCCGATTGCTTTGCCTCCAGATTTATTGATCTCGGCTACGGTGTCTTGGTACGACTCGGGCGTACGAGTCAACAATACAACGGGGTAGGCTTTGGCGAACTGGAGAGCACATGCCCTGCCTGTGCCTGGGCCAGCACCTGCAACGATGGCGAAGAATTTAGAAGCCATGATAGTACAAAGTACCTAGGTAATTTAGGAGTTGTTGAAATAGCCCTGGAGGTGAAATAAAGTTGGACGGGTATCTCTTTTGGATGAGTATCCTTAGATCATTGATCTGAATTATATATGTAGGTCTTGAAGCTGGCTTATAAACCTACCAACTTACCTATCTACCTACCCAGTAGCTATTAGGTACATGTAGGCATTCGGGATTAACAAAGAACATGACATGTACCCCAATGGTGATTAATAATTCTATATGCAGTCCGAAGAGTTGGTGTATTGATGACAAATTCTGTGAGATGTCGCAATTCTTCTCTACATGCCGAATCTCGGTCTGTGAACTTTGAGGTTGACGGTTGCATATGTATTAGTAGGTAGTTACTAGGTATTGCATCAAGTTGCGCAGTTTGGTGGTAACTATGTAGGTAGTTATTGTACAAGTACATAATTAGTTATAGCAAGCTCCGGCAAGGCGCTATGACCCCTCAGCGCAACCGTCATTAATACTTGACTAAACTTAAATTTTACGGAGCTTACATCAAATTTCAATGATAGTATTGTACCGTTTTCATGTGTACGGCATAACTAGTACCTAGCAACTATATCTAATCCTTACCCAATAGTTAACGGCCATACTACTACTACTACTTATCCCTATCCCTATCCCTAATCCATGGACGTATGCCCTTTAATTCATTCAATCTTCGTCGAACAACGCGCGCTTTTGCATATGTAACCACGTGCAGTGCCTAGCGAATTGCTACCCTTCAACCCTTCAAATGTTTTATTAAAGGGCCTTAAGGCTTCAATGATTACATCTAATTCTAATACTCCATTTAAGAGAACGAACTACGTACATATGCTACATACTAACGGCAGCTGTCTTTCCAAAGATTAAAATCAAAATTCCTAACCTAGTAAGTCTCATTCATCACTTCTGATAATCTTGGCAGTTCTAACTCCAGCCTCCAGGTCCACCAGAAAAGACGCTTACCTATTGTCTCGTAGTATGATAATCGGGGGTGGGTATGATGGAACATAACAACACAAGGAAGGAGGCCAAGGCAAGGGCCATATATGAGACCACCAGGAATGCCTCTACCGACTCTGATGATGAGCTGGGAGATGAAGCTACGATATTTCCCGTCCCCTCGACTAAATTGCGACGAGGTCCTAGTGCCGGACTTGTATCTCCCCTATCACATAGATCGAAGCAGCAGGATTCAACCAGAGAAGGTAAAGTGCAGCAAAGTTCTCCCTCGGCTGCCTTGAAATCCCCAGTACAGTCTATGCCACGATTGGCCGTGCAAATCAGGTCATCAGCCTCACCATCTCATATACGGCAGAATCCCGTCCTAAAAGGGGATCAGGCGTTGCGCCCCAAATCACCCCAAAATCCAACGGAAAGCAAGTCTCCCGTGGCTCTACCCCCCGTAAAGAGTGAAACGAAAAGGAGAGGCAGACCTAAAGGTTGGAAACCAGGAATGTCCTACATAGACACTAAACAAATATCTGACGGAAACGCGCAACAAAGCAAGTCCAAGAGACCAGCAGATCCTCCCAGAGAATCAAAACGCCGTGGGAGACCGCTGCATGCCAGAGAACGATATCTCCAAACCAACCCCACATATATGCCGTTCCTATGTGAATGGCATTACCGTGGGGGGAAACGCTGCCCTGCGGAACTACAGAATCTGATGACCCTAGTCAAACATGTCCGTTTACTTCACTCAACCGTGAAGCCGCCAACTTGTGCATGGGGAAAATGTGGACTGGGAGGTAGTCTTGTCTGTTTCGGAACCAAGGAAGAATTACAGGACCATTTGTTGAAGGAACACATCTTACCAATTACATGGTATAGGGGGGAGGGATATCAAAACAAAGGCATCTCGAAGCTGAAAGCCGACCGCCTGAAACCACCGAGCTACCTTTTCGATGAAAGTGGCAAGCAAGTTACCCCATGGTCAGCAAAATTGATAATAGAGGACGACCAGCAACGCAAAGAAAGGATACGGAAGCTGGAAAGGTTCCTGATTCAGCAGGACGAGAATGCTCCCGACGACGAAGAGTACACAAAACAAACATTGGGGATCCAGTGATCTATAAATGATCCGCGGTTTTGAAATTTCCGCTCCTTAGTGGGCTTGATTCCATCCTGGGCCGCAGCCTCATCGGAGATAACGTACATCCAACTCTACCTACCTAACCTAGGTAGTTTTGTCGATTGGGCAGCTCTGAAGAGCGGCCCTCGAATAGACCGCGCCAGAATCTGCTCTTTCAGTGACACTTTCTTGGGAGTGATATTCAGGAACGACTGTGCGACTCATGGAATTGATTGAAAGGCAAGCATCTGACCAGCATTCCTTTGAGCTTCGGCGGCTATAATTATCATCCACAAAGAAGGTTGGCACCTAGAGTTTTTTTTTCATAAGCTTTAACTACACCGTTGTTTTTTCATGCACCCACCTACTGACGTTGCCAACGGGCAACAAACCTTGTGTAAGCTGCCCGCCGCCGCTTTGATTCTTATTACAACAAACAGAGGTACATGATAGGTAATAGGGTCACCGCCCTAGCTCAAGGTTATGGTATGCGCTCACCTAGAACTGTTGATGATCCTTAAAATGCCCGGTTACGCGGAGGCTGACCCATCCACCTTGGTATAGCTACAATTTGTACTGTGAAGTGGGATTCTCCATATCTGGGCATCAATACAAATTCCTATTTCCCATATCCCATATTCCATGGTCTTGCCAGCAAATTTTAAACCATCAGCTCGACTACAGTATATATATACTTGTTTCCCCCCCATGACGTAAGAGACGTAGTCGGCATTGATGAGTATATATGTATGTATTGATGGTACGCCAGGTAATTATGGTACCTACATGTATGTATGTATGTGTGTATGTACACAGGTATGGATGGTAGCAGCTGATGGATCCATTGATCCATTCCATGTGGTGGATTGCATGAAAAGGTGGGATTCCAAACAACTTTTCTACGTAATACGTGGGGAAGGGCTCTGCAGTCTCTGCAGTCTCTGCTAAGGTTAGAGATCACGATGAAAAGAGGAAAGAGGAAAGAATGTAACGCAATGAAGCCAATGAAGCCAATGAGCATTGGCATTGAATGCAATGCTGCGCCTTGTACATAAGTTCTGTGCCGTAACTTACATATCTGTACTTTTCTTCCAATCCTTTGTCTTCCTGCGTGATAAGAATATGAATGAGGAGGATCGTGAATGAACATTTTGCAAAGGGAATTGCTGCTTCAAATATTAACAAATGTCAATAGTGTGGATTTGTATGAATATTAAAGTTGCAACAATCTACCTACGCCGTATGAGGCCCTACCAGCTTGTAGTACCAGGTCCTAGTCCACCGTCCTATGGCATAGTACGTTAGGTAGGGTAGGTACTAGGTTAGGTATGTTAAAAATATGGAATGATTCAATGTTGCGGGAATAAGGTCTGGTGGCGCTAGGATAACGGCGTGATTGAGGGAACACAGACATCAATCAATTAATCAATTATCAATCAATCTGGATTTCCAGCGTGAGTTTACAACGGTTGTGTACATATATATGTACCTACATCTAGTAGGTACTAGGTACCTATTGTACCTAGTACTTACCTACTGAGTCACTGCAGCAAGTACCCAACGCAATAAAATAGCTAAAGGGGTACATTTTCTCATATAAAAATCGGTGCACTGTTGGTGAAACTAGGCGCAACATTGAACATTGAACATTGAACATCAATGATTGAAGTACCTACAATACTTACCCGTAGGTACCTGACATTTGTTCCAGACTAGATGTCCTCATTCACGCCCATTTTCAAATTGCCTTTCCCTGCCTTCCACGTTTTTCTTCCAACACCAAAAAGAAAAGAGAAAGGGAATTAATCATATCCATCCCTTCAACGTTCAATGTTCTATTTCACCCTTTCTTTCCTAAAATACCACCTACCTAGTCTAATTAGCACCTACCGACCTTCTTATCCCACCCCTTACGACTGCCGGACTTTATGAATTAAAATAAAACAAAATCACCTTAATCATCCATACACTAGTTCTACATATCCATGATCGTGCGGACTGAATCGGTCTAGCTAGAACGTCTAGACTTGGGTATCGACTTACTTACGTATCCTAGAGGCCTAGAGGCCGTGCTTTATTATTAGGTAGTTCATCCGCAGCAATCGGAAACATACCTAGACCTAGACCTGAACCTACATACCTAGAACATCAATTACCTGCCTACCTGAGTTCTGACGTTTGTCTATTTGACTCTACCTATACATACATACAAACATACATGTTACATATCATCCTTACATTCATACATACATACACATACATACATACATACATACATACATACCTACTTGCCCCCCTATGGTACCTACCTCAACCTACCAGACCTTGACACTTGATACATTTGATACACTTGGAATTTGGATGCCCCTTTCAGACATCCTTCTGTCGTATAGGTAACGAACAGTACCAAGGGAAGAACGAGCAAGTCAAAATAGGCATTGCCCATGTTTCCGAGCTTAAGGCGCTTGAGACAACACCGCACCCTAGCTACTGCTAAAGGTACTACTGTCTGATTAGCAAGCAAGCAAGCAAGCAAGCAAGCAAGCCAAAAAAAAAGAGTTAAGAAAAAAAAAGAAAAAAAAAGGAGCTGGACGCAACGTATCCCAAGTGGGGCTCTGTCCACTTACATACCAGGTCCGCCCCTTTTGCCCCTCGCTCCGGCTCGCCCTAGTGGTTCCAGTGGCTCCTGGTGGTCTACCAGTGATCCTAGTGATCCCAGTGATCCTAGTGACATCTTCCGACCGAAACACAGCCTGCTACATAATAGCAGCATTGAACAATACGAAGTGAGCATAGTGCTCTCTTTGGTGTCGTCTTGGTGTCCAGTGTCGATTGGTGGTCAGTGGTCCTAGTGCAACTTGTACCTTTAGCACAGGTCAACTACGACGTGCATACAACTGTTGTCCACTACACTATCTACGGGTACATACCTAACCTAGGTACCTAAGTTAGAAGTATAACCACCCCTACCCCCCCTAACCCCCTGTCAAATAAACGCCCAGCATCAAAGTAACCCAGGCTTAGTTTGGCCCAGTTTGGCCCAGTTTGGCAGATCTAGCCAGTAATAAACCCCCTCTCCTCGCTACTACAATCGCCGCCTACCCGCCGACATGGGTTCCGACGAGTCAATTGAGCACCATTCCAACCTCTACCATTCGTCTCCAAAGTCTTCCTCTCCAACAACCTCTACCTCCGCAACCCGACGAGGTCCTCATTTTCGATTAAAAAAGAGACTTACATCATGGCATCATACCAATGTTGACCTGAGGGACTCTAATTTAGGCGATAACACAACCAACGAAAAGATGCCTGTCAAGTCGTCCGCCGCTGCTGGCACCAACAGCCACTTCAACCAGAAGCTGAAGAATTTCTTTCGTATTAATAGCTCCAATACCAATGGAGATAAAGAGAAGAGTCTCGATCATTCCTTGAAGTCAGAAAACAAAGTCGGCTTTCGTCAATCTAGGAAGTTTTTCACCAACGTCGGTAGGATTAGATCGACTACCATAGCGAGTGAGGGAAATCCATTGGACGATGCCCTTAGTCCCACCGCGAATGCGAACCCATATTTTGCCCACCAGGGCCAACCTGGCCTTCGTCATCACAACGAAGGCTCCGTGCCGCCGAGTCCCCCCGATACCCCAAGTCTAAAAGTTCATGGTCCCGACGGCGAGAAAGAACAAGCCACGAATGCCACGAAAGAAGAGTTAGCGAGAAAGTTGAGAAGAGTCGCGAGTGCCCCGAATGCGCAAGGGCTCTTCAGTCATGGGAAAGGTAGCGGGGAAAGACCGGCCACCGCAGAACTCGGAAAAGAGCCGCTAATACAAGGCGAGAATCTCGCTTCCCTAGGTTTCGTTGATCCCAAAACCGCCATTGCCGCATCTAGAACCCTCACCGTTCCCGAGAATGATGGTCTTGGTGCTCTACCTCCACCAAGCCAAACCAACCTCGCTTTCCGCAGGACATACAGCTCCAACTCGATTAAAGTGCGCACTGTCGAGGTCAGCCCGGCCAGCTTCGACAAGATTAAGCTCATTGGCAAAGGCGATGTTGGAAAGGTTTACCTCGTCAGAGAGAAGAAGAGCTCCCGGCTCTATGCTATGAAGGGTAAGTCATTTGCCTTTCCCCTTGTCCCCTTGCGCCTACAGAATTACGCTTACCAAAGTAGTCTTGAGCAAGAAGGAGATGATTAAGCGCAACAAGATCAAGAGAGCATTGGCCGAGCAGGAGATTCTAGCGACGAGCAACCATCCTTTCATTGTGACATTATATCACTCTTTCCAGTCCGAGGACCACCTCTATTTGTGCATGGAATATTGTAGTGGCGGGGAATTCTTTCGGGCGTTGCAGACTCGTCCCGGCAAATGTATCCCGGAAGATGACGCCCGGTTCTATGCTGCGGAGGTTACAGCCGCCTTAGAATATTTGCATCTAATGGGATTTATCTATCGAGATCTGAAGCCAGAGAGTTTGTTCACCCCGCGCCTTCTACATAACTGTCGCAGTGCTAATATGATGGACAGATATTCTACTTCATCAGTCGGGCCACATCATGCTTTCCGATTTCGATCTCTCAAAGCAGTCAGACCCTGGTGGCAAGCCAACCATGATTATGGGTAAGAACGGTGCTAGCACATCGTCTCTTCCTACAATAGATACAAAATCGTGTATCGCCAATTTCCGAACCAACTCGTTTGTGGGAACCGAAGAGTATATCGCCCCAGAAGTTATTAAGGGCAGCGGGCACACAAGTGCTGTAGACTGGTGGACCCTTGGTATCTTAATATACGAGATGTTGTACGGCACAACACCGTTCAAGGGCAAGAACCGTAACGCGACGTTCGCTAATATTCTCCGCGAGGAGATCCCATTCCCGGAACACTCGGGGGCACCGCAAATCTCAAAGTATGCTCTTTCTGAAACCAACTAACCGACTATTGGGTGCTTAAGCTAACTAAAGACTCAGTCTCTGCAAGTCGTTAATACGAAAACTGCTGATCAAGGACGAGACCAGGAGGTTAGGTGCTAGGGCGGGAGCATCCGACATCAAGGCCCATCCATTCTTCCGCACGACACAATGGGCACTTATTCGACACATGAAGCCACCCATCGTCCCACATGCAGGCCGTGGCATTGACACGGTCAACTTCAGGAATGTCAAGGAGAGCGAAAGTGTCGATATTACAGGAACGAGGCTCAACAAAGGTGTGCCGTTGGACAGTGGATTGGCCACACCGGGCAATGAAGCTGTCGATCCTTTTGAAGAGTTCAACAGTGTGACATTACACCACGAAGGTGATCCTTACGACAGTGATAGGTAATTGTTCAGAAACATACCCTACCTTGCACGGCAATATTGTGTGTCACGGCAACTCCATGACACCTAGAAAGGAAGAAAGAAAGACCTGCTCTTGGGGCCGGGGCCTTGTACGTGATTGTCAGGGTGTCAAATTTTGTCACGACATTAACTTCATCGTCGACAAGGCATTGTACAATGAAGCCTCCAATAATAAATGAAGAAAGAAACAGAAAAAAAAAAACATCACCATCCATTTACGACTTTCCTCTACGGTCAAATTCATGTTGAAGACTGCGACCAGGACTGAGCACAAGAAGGAACGGGACAACGACGGCATACCAAGCATTCATATGTAGGGCGTTTATTGGTACGAGGAGTTTGGGAGAAAGACTACAGAAAAAGGACCGTGGGTTATCAATGGCTTGCTTGTATGACAGTTGCAAATAAGGCTTGCTTGCTTTGCTTACTTACGTCGAAGTTGTTTCTTAGAAAGTCTTGAAACGGCCCACGCTGCTTGCCCCCCGTGTGTGACATAGCATTCATTTTAACTAGTTCCTATCAGATTGCATCTCTTTGCCTCTCATTCTAATTATTCCTCTAGTCATTCTTTTACGTCGCTTTGTTGGGCTTGGTCAGGGGGAGGGGGTAGTATAGTCAATTTTCTTTGCAGTCAGCCTCTATAGTAATTGTTGAACATGATGAAACGTGCTTATTATATCCATGATATAATATATCTTGTCATTACACTAACCAGGACAGATATATTCATAAGCTACCCGCAGGTAGGCAAGTAGGAGGTAGGGAAGTAGGAGGTAGGAGGTAGGTAGGGATATGTCGTATTTGGAGATCATCGGTCATGAGTGGGGAGGCCCATGAACGAACGTATGTATTTGATTAAGGCTTACGTCCGCTGACTTCTGTAAGGGGGGGGGGAAGGGTTGCCATATCTGATACCCCCATGTGACAGTGACTCTATTAATACACGAGGCTATGTAGGCAGCTACCTCTGCCGATGGCATGGTGCAATGCAATTCTTTTAATACGTACAGTACATACACCATACCATGCCTCTTGACTTCAATGTTAGATCTCACGGATAGATAATAAAACGACACTAGGTACTACTAGGTAACCTAGGCTAGGTAATTACACACATACCTAGTTAGGCTGCGTCGCAAAAGCCGGCCGGCTATCGATGTGAGACGGCGTTGGATCGACTTCCTGTTCTGGAAGGACGTACGGCGGGAGAACTTGTACCTTTTTGCACTTTTTCGCATTCTCACTCATCAATTTTTTGTAAATTTTTCAATTCTATGTTGGTTGCCGTAAGATTCCGACTTATTGGATAGAAGGTACATACCTAGCGAATGGGCACCGCTGACGAGACGTATCATGAGACTACCTAGATATGTCATAGGTATTAGATGCTCCTTCTTTTTCTAGGCTTAGTGGGTTATATATATACTCGGGTAGGTAGGAAGGTAGGAAGGTATGATTCAACCCTTCTTAATATCGACCAAATACAATTACTGCGCTTCCACCAACTTCTTATGAGATAAGAGTTAGGTTGGTGAGGACAGCCAGGATGCCAGTAAAGGACGGAATAGGGCCCGAGGGGCATTTCCAAGGGGTGCCTACAATATTCACCACTCAGGATCATATCGCCGCGGCCGCGGCAGAGACGGTTGAGGCTCATGGTCTAGGGCTTAGTCCACGAGACCATGCCTACGTGATAGAATGGACGAGCGAGCAAGCTCGCTACACGCGCCGGCACTTTCGCGATGCTAAAGAGCTGCGCATGGATGTTATAGCGCAAGGAGCGCAAGGAGCGCAACAGGAACAGCAAGAAAAAGTAAGAGGCATGGGACGATTATTCGTTATCCAAGGCCCGCCAGCGGAGTATATGCACGTTCTACGGGAAACGCTGGAAATCGAGCCCCGGTTCATCGAAGCGCACGTTCGCCGACGCAGCTACAGGAGGAGTTTGAGGACGAGACGGGGCCGGGGAGGTAGCGGTGGTGCGGAGATCGAGTCTGTTTATTTCGAATACCCGGAGCTGATGACACCGCTAGACCGTCGAGCTTCGTTGACGGATGCTGCGGGAAGAATCGTCGATGGCACTGTTGGCGAGTCCCTCGTACACACGATATCCGCTGGTGGCGATGCGGCCGCTTTCTGTCGTGCTTCGCTGTGGCTTGGCCCAAAGGGAAACGGCAAGTACCCCTTCCATCTTCATCATGAGATTCTAACTAATCTCAAATTTGCGTAGTACTTCTGCTGGACCACCCATCACCTACATTCTCACGAGGCCAAACTCTCTCAAAAAGGGACAGTGTCACTCTATCAAACGATGCCACGAGCATCCATGACGAGACACCCAGCTTTGAAACACTGCTCTACGCCAACCTAAACGAGGTGCTATCCAACGAGTCGGGTTGGGACGTGGACTTGGCGTCCCTCGTCGAAGACATAGCACTGCACCAATGGACCGAGTTCTTCGAAGCGCTGCCTACCGACACAACCCCTGACGCAGCGCTGTATCTGCAGGCCCAGAAGAGTCTGGAGCGGAGCTTAAACATGTCCTCGACATCTACGTCCATATCTACCGCGGACTGGCAATCCTTGCTCTCTCGCCTCCTACGACGTGCCGAGCTACAACGACACCTCGGTGCCTCTATTCAACTCCCTTCCAAGCCCTTCACCACAGCCACCACCACCACCACCATATCTCCCCTAACCGGCCGCCGCCGCACCACTCTCACCCCCACCTCAATCTACCCGTACCCCACCTCCTCTCCCTCCTCCTCCGACGAGAACAAGCGCAGCCTCGACCGCGTCTCCTACATGGGCGGCGTGCTCCTGCCCCTCTCCATCGTCTCCAGCATCCTCTCCATGAGCGACCCCTTCAACCCGGGCGGGAGCCTCTTCTGGGTATTTTGGGCCACGGGCGTGCCGCTCGTCTTCGTCGCCGTCCTCGTCATCTACGCTGATTCTATTCGGAAGGCGGAGGTTTGGATCGAGGATACGGGGACGGGAGAGGGGGAGAAGAAGAAGAAGACTAATAATAATAATAATAATAATAATAATAATAGGGTCTCGACGCCGGTGCTGGAGCAGGGAAGGGTGGTGGTGGTTCCCGGGAGGGCGGCGGCGGGGGGTGGGTTGAGGATCGCGGCGATGGGGCCGGCTGTGGTGTTAGGGGAGGGAGGAGGTAGAGAAGAAGAAAAAGAAAAAGATGAAGATGATGGTGATGGTGATGATGATGATGATGATGATGAAGGGGGGTATGACCCGATTATGGAAGAGGTATTCAGGGAGCCAGCTATGATGGTGGAGAAGCGGTTCCGGGACGCGAAGCAGAAGAAGTGGAAGAAGCAACAGCTTGGTTGGGCAGGTGCCTGTATGACGGCGCTACAGCTGTACCATCTCAAGAAGGGCAGGCCGCCGAATTGGGCCGCTGATGGAAGAAGACACGGGAGGAGGATTTAATGACACGGGCATTAGCGAGATACAATTTCATTTCAAATTATGAGTTAACTATCTTATTTGTATTCATAGGTATCTATAGAGGTTGGGGGGAGCCTCCACGGCAGTGTTTAATCCTCGAGAGACTCGTCGTGGTTCGTGATGCACAGTCGAAAATGAACGACAAGTTGCATATCTGGCATGGCTTTGATAACATTCCGACACCAAGGATCATCGTGGTTGAACTGTTGTATGGTGTGGAGGACAGCGCCGGGTTCGATGAGTGATCTCATCTGAGCGCTGGCCTGGTCTGTCGATAAAATGGGAGCTGACGAAGACACATCGTCCTGCGCTTTGAGCCAGAGGTTTCTGAGATCCAGGTATGATTGCTCACTGTATCCCTCGTCGAGGTTAATGATATCCTCGAGCCAGTCAGCGACCCTTCGCTATATGATAGTATTGTGTTAGTTAACATGCTATTTTGACCATTGAGAGACCGACAAAACCAGTATAGCTTTAGCAGGAAGAAAAAAAAACACAGTAAAACTTCGGAAACTGACCTGGAAGAACGACGAATCGGACTCCTCAACGTACAAGTCCCTTAATCGTCGTAACTTTGCATAATCTTGAGCATCGACTAAGAGGGTATGGCATCTATCAACGCCTTTCCCAAAGAACTCTTCCACTTTAGGGGATCTACCCAAGTGCATCAGTATGCTATCGTGGTAGAACAGGTACCGCGGCACTCCTGACCACTTCGACGAAAGAAGTTAGCATAAGTTTTGAATAAATGATAAAGAGCGTGTTAAATACGAGATCCTCCGAGATTTAGCTCGGTCTAGGAACTACTGGTCCTCAGAGGAGATTAAGAAAGGGGGAAGATGTCTCAAGAAATCACGTACGAAACCTCGCTTACGTTGCCACTGCTCTACCAAGAACTTCCCCGATGAACCTGCCAACGCAGCCAGGCTGACGCAGACAGGGCTTGCGGGGGAACCGGCGAAATACATCCTGGTGATGGCAGGATTGTTAGTGTACTCGGTGACAAGGCCGTTTCGCTCAGTGACACGTCTCGTCAGAAGCTGCGAAGCAGAGTCGTCGAAGCAGAGAATGTCCGTACGAGGGTCGAACCATGTTGCCATCCTGATAACCCGATTGACGCCTCGGGGGTGGCTTCCTACACATCTCCATGACCCGGACCGTAACGCGAATTTGCGGGCCTCCCGGCAGACGTTGAGCAACGCCGGCGGGGCTAGCTGCACGGCCACCAAGTCTGAACTGCGAATCCGCCAAGAATCGTGGTCTACATCCTCTGTGACATCTACTTCACCGTCCTGCTTGAGGCATACCGTCTCCCTTCGAATCTCAAAGACTCGGCGTGGTAAGGCGAAGCGCCAGATGATGAGTCTCAGCTCGGCGGGGAGTGACGAAAATCGTGGAAAGGTAGTAGCAACATCAACTGCGGCAGTCTTTTCAAGCTCTGCCATGACTTCCCCCGGTAACGGCTACGTCTCCCGATGTAAAGCCACACAAGTATATCTGGAAGTAGAGAAGGTGGCTCGACAGTAAGTATGTCTTAATGAAGACTGAATACCCTCGCCCCGGACTGAGAAGGAATACAGTCAAACTGACAATGGACAGTCGAAATAGAAGAATATAATCACAGGAGGACTACAAAATGAACCGAGACAGATGGAATGCTACCAAGAGACCAAGACATGAAAAGGCGGCGCTTGGCGGGCTGCCTAGATACCTGGCCGAGACTCGGTAGGTGGTCGGAAACCGACAACTTGGAAAGACGTGGCCGAGCTAAGGACTTTGGACGTTCGGTTGGTGAATAGGGCTGAATAATACTATCAATGGCAATGGGCGACTATTTAGTATAAGTCCGGCCATGCTGGCTGGTCATAATATGGGATGTCTTCATGCTTCTTATACGAAGCCGGTAACTGGCCGACGCAAACGATGGGAAGAATGAACAATGCATTCTGATCTGTTGGTTGTCTTTCACACACACAAAGACTTATGTTACTTATTTGGCATTAGAGCTATCGGAGTTCGGCAAAAATAGACAAGAGTATGATCCGAGGCGCGAAGGATGCTGAAAGAAACTTGTAAGGAAGCAAGTTACGCTGTCTGAGGTGTCTAAGCTGTGAAAGAGACATTCATCTCGGATATACGACCAGACCCATATTAATTTTATCGCCGAATGTCTCAAATTCGGTATATACCTAATACTTAGTACATGCATACATTACATACATATGTACCTAGGTAGTAATGTACGATGCACGCCGCATCCATCCACTAGAATACCCACAATAACCTAACGTCACTAACTTAAGACAGCGGGGTGGAAACTAACTAAATTAACCTTTTATGTTCAAGAACTTCAAGAACCTACCACAGGTAGCTCACTCTTTTCGCCATGGACGGCCAAGCACCCAACCCGCTGCTATCTCCGCCCGAGCTCTCACCTCTCGAGCAGGAGGTGCTCGAGGAATATGAGCGACTCGCCGAAAGCATGAAGAAGGTAAGTTTGCCAGCATCTTAAAGCCCCGCGTCATGCGACATCGCGTATATAAGAGCTAACCAAACGGCCACCGCGCGCGCGCAACCCCTACAGCTCGCAAACGTCCTCGACACCATGGCCGGGCAGCCCACAACCGAGATCCTCGACGGCCTACGCGAGCTCGAGCGCAAGGCCAGTCTCGTCTTCACTCTGCTCAAGGCTAGCGTCTACAGCATCGTCCTGCAGCAGGAGATTGACTGGGGTGACCAGTCGAGAGGCTGAGCCGCAGTCGATCCGCAGTCGAGCCGCAGCCGAGCTGTAAGCCATGGAATTTGGCTTGCCTACCTACCTTATCTTACCTAATACGTACTGTGGATGTGGTGGGAGAAAACAAAAAACGGAGGAATGAATGAGCGAGGGAATGAACGCTAATATGATTATGACGATGATCATGTTGATGCTATCGAGGTTCTGGTCCTGATGAATGAATGATACGGGAATCAGAGTTCACGGACTACATCAATGAAAAAAAGAATAACCCTAGCGTTATGAAGCAAGTCAAAATGGGATGCTACAAACGGCATGGCTTGTCAAATCATACGTGAATCGGGGGATGGTATTAGCATAAGATTGCAAGAGACGAATCCGAGCTATATTTAAGCTACGATAGGACAAGGCATAACGTCGGCGAGGAGCAGCGACAGGACGCACATAACATGGAGATCATGTCCGCTAAACACGTCACAGAAGATACCCAAATAAATGAACAACAAATGCCCTAAACGTAGAGGACTTCTTGTCTATATTTTGATATTTGTATTGGTACAGCGATGTGATTAATACACATTCCCACCATAGTACACCTTCCTTACATCCACGAGCTTCTTGCCCCTGCCGAGCGCGACCTCGTTGGGATCCTTCTGGCTCACCAGGGCCTGGACGCAAGCCTTGACGGAGTTCATCGGGTTTCTTGCCCTCGGCATCTTGGCCGCGATGTCGTGGATGCCCACGGCGCGGAAAATCTCAAAGAGTCGGTGGGATGCGCGCAGACCAAAGCCTATTGAGAAGCAAAGTGTTAGCATGGCACTGGGGAGGAGTCACTGCAAAGTAGCGCGCGAAAACCGAACTCACCAGGTGGGCGGGCGTCGATCTGGACGATAGTTGCGCCGACCTTGGCCTGAACCATGCCATAGATGGTCCTATCCTCGTATCTACGGATAGGCTGCATGTTCTGGACAGCCAGAAGCCGGGCCTTCTGCTTGGCCACGGCCATTTCCACCGACTTGGCTTCTCCAATACCGAGTCGTCCGTTGCCATTGCCGGCGATCGCTAAAACCCATGCGCTACGGATCTTGCCTAGACGTGTCTGGTTGTCGACGAATCGGATAACCAAGATTTTGGTGTTGATTTCTATGATATTCCTCACGCTCAACCCCGTCCGCCGTTTTAGATCCTGGTATACGCCCAGGTCGTCCAGACCATCGTCGGCTGGGTCAATGGGTGCCTTGAACCTGCCGGCAACACCTGCTAGCTTCTTGCCTAGCCCCGGGGCCACTGCCGAGTTGGAGGGGCCGTTAGTGTTGACCAGGGTTTCCGGCTCGAGAAAGTACTTGGCCTCTTCCATTGGGAAGTCGATGCGCTGCTCCAATATTTTCTTTATATTTTCTTCGGGCAAATCGTCAAAGTTCACATCCTTCGGTATCAACCTCTCAAGACGCTGACTTAGGTCCTGCATGTCCTCCTCTTCTGTCATAAACCTAGCATTCGGGTTGGGTGGCGGGGCGGTCCTGGGGCGCTTGTCGACGACGGGGCGAATCTGACTGAAGTCGTCGATGTATGGCAGCTTGTAGGGATCTCTTCGTAGGCGACCTTGTATTGTTAGGTCCTTGGGGTCGATAGCTGCCTCACCAGCTTCGAGGGCGGCCATTTGCTCGGGCGTGTATCTCGTCTTCAGAACTTCCAACTCTTCAGGCGTGTATTTAGGAAACGTCTCTTTGCTGTACTCCTCAATCTTTTCCGGGGTGGTCAGTCCCATCTCGTCAGCGCGTATGCTCTTGAATCGGGGTTTTCGTCTTCCGGCGAGCTGCGCCGAGGTGTGGAAGGAGGGGTGACATTGTGATGGTGCCGCTGTCGGTTTGGCGACGGCAACCAGCCGCCTAGAAAACAGGCATCGTGCAGGCCGTGCTATGCTCATCGCATCTCCAGTGTTTAGTAATTAGCCCTGTTCTGGCTGCGACGGCGGAGGAGGAGGGGAATGACAGGTCCGACACAAATTATGAGCTTCAATTGGTACATATCAAATGTACATGAAAATCAATTTTTTAGAACCGCGATGCTTTAATTCGGCTTTACTATTTACCGAGGATTACCCTTACGGTTTTTCGCACACAGATTCAGTGTCTATTGACTATGATTGGCTAAAGCTAAATGACAGGGGAAGATGGAATTGAATGTTAAGTTACATAATACTGTATATGTACATGCATTCAATGTTCGAACAGTTCGAGATCTCATTAGGGACACATTGTCTCCATCAACTCATCGATCATTGGCCATCCTCCATCAGTCGACTCTGCCGCAGGTCTGAAACGCACGAGTTTCACAGGGATTATCGCGACTGAGCCATCGTCAGTTTTTTGTAGAATAGCCGCTTTGGCTTAATGGTCACTGACTTTTTTACCTTTACTTTCCAAATAATAAATCTAGACATTCTATTTTCTCTTCTATCCTAATTTTGATAAAGTGAAGTTATCATCGCTTTCCCTCCTTTTCCCTCCTTTATTTTATTTATTTCGAGCGTGACTGGTGCACCTTAATTCCATCTTGCTATTACTTGTATACCTCCTTTGCTCGCTCGCCTATTCATTCACTATCCCATCGCTCACTCACTCACTCGATCGAGAACGTCCTGACTTGAAGTCCGTCAACCATCTATAAACCCTACACCTTTGTAACCTCTAAAGTCAGCCCAGATTAAATCGATAAAAATGTCGGGTCAATTCGGATTCATGGGCAAAATTGGCGCCACGGACGCAGCCGTCGCCACCCTGAACGATCAGCCATACCTGTTCACCATCCTCGTCGTCGTCCTTGTTGTACTCATCCTCGAGTCTGTACTCATATGGTACATCCACTATGCGACTATGAAGCCAGAGCAGAAGAAGAAGAAGGACGCCAAGAAGAATACCAAGAAACCTGCAGCCCCCGGAGCAAAGCCGCCAGCACAACGATAAAGACTACGCCCATTCCATTAAATTGGATAGCTACGATATGCCGAATTTTGGTTATGATTTGGGATCCGCTCGCTTCCAAAGGCATACCAGTTCACCAATCAAATATGATGTGCTAGGAGAAGCAGGATCCTCCAGGTGGAATGAATAAGCATCCTACAACTAAATATATAAAGAATCATCATGAAGCGTTCCAGGGGTTTAGCGTTTAAGGGGGGGACGTATAATAGACTCAAGATGGTGCCATCTATAAAAGTGCTTTGATGAAAGCAGGCCGCGTCTAGCACTTGTAATTATTATGTATTTACTTGGTTATGTCTACCAACATTGTTTATACATTTCTGGAACCATGAAATGCCCCTTTATTTTCTCGACCAAGTTCATACATTACATCACCGTCTACTTCCATCATATAATCATCACTATATCCATGTGTGCTTTGCCCAGTCTTCATTCCGCCCTCAGTTTCTGGAATCAGTAAATACTCGTTTATGGTATCGTAGTTGGTATCAACGTCGTAGATGTAATCAGATCTGCCCAAATCATCGTCATGATCCCCAAGCTCATCAAACGAGTGTTGTTGTATAGTTGGTGGGTTATAATATAGTTCTTCGAAGGGGCTGGTAGAAAAATTACCTTGAACACCAAACCCCAGCATACGATTAGGCGTCTCCTCTAATAGGTCTGCATACTCTAGGCAGAATTTCTCATCGATACATTCTATATTCTCATTTTCGAACCTTTGCTGATATTCCTCTGCATCTCGTTCGTCGTCGTCGTCGTCGTCTATTTGAGACCCAGAAAGGTGACGTAGTGGCCAATTCTTGTTGAGGCCATTCCTGAAAACGATGTCGTCGCTACCAAACTCATCAAAGTAGTCGGCTTCTACTAGTATAAGGTCGAGTACTTCATCGGCTGTTTCGCCCCGTTGTGCATATGCATTCATATTGACGTTCTTCGTCGGAATGGTTGATTTCAATGTTGTTCTTACCAAATCCCAAAGCCTCTGCTGGATAGAATCTCGAAGGAGAGTTATGTCGATCTCTGCCTCTGTGTTGTCCAGTGGGTTATTACCATGGGCGTTGCTTATCTGTAATTTCATGCTCTTCTGTCTTAACGAGGGCGATTGGGCTTGAGTGGATGCGGCCAAAATAGATGAAATGATGTGAAAATTATTTGAATGAGTTGTCACTGCCTGGGTTTAGACGTTAGACATGAGATTTGATGATCGAAAAGGGGCAATATAACCTGTAGGTGATGGGCGTTCCATATAGCTGGGGCTAATTCGAGTAACGAGGGCCTCGTATCAAGCTGGAACAGTCGTAGACCACGCATACGTTTCTTGGTGCCAATGATTACGTATAGAGCCATCTGGACCAAATGAGCTGCATTTTCCCACTGCCGTCGAGTATTTTCTGTGGTGATATCCATCACGAAGTCTGGCAAAATATCACTCGACCACTCATGACGATATAAATCATGGATTAGGCCTGGTACTTGTGTTTGCGGGCCAAGCTCGGGGGTATGGTCGTCTATGTCCACACCAGGATGTTTCGTATCAGTATAAACCTCCCTGGAGTTTCCATGTTGATAACGGAATAGACACTCTACACCATCAAAACGAGCTGTAGGAATGTGTGGAGGTGAGAGAAGTACAGATGACTTATTTGGATGCTCGATAATGAAGTAGAGGTTTGGGGCACCATCATAAAGCGGCTGATGCTGGATGTCCTCTTGCTTGATTATAAGGCCTAATGTGGTCCAGAGCTATATTGCTTCGTGTGAGACGTTGCATTTGGAATTTCAGCCTTTTACTTACAGGACATTGGCAGATCACGTCAGCTAGATACTCTAGAAATCCAACCTCAGTCTCGTTTGTTAAGCTGGGAAATTGGTTCTGATCTATTGCGATTTGTATCCGGCAGAGTCCTGGAGAAACGAGCCATAGCTGCTTTGCTTGAATCAACCGGCAAAGTTCCTCCGATGAATGTTGCGGAAATGGCTTGTTTGAAATTAATGCTAACGAAGTTGCGGACAGCGACATGTTGGAATCCCCACTAGATAGTTCGAAGGTCTTGAGCTCGAGCTCAGTATATTCGGCCATAGCAAAGTAGAGGACGAGTGTACGTAGGTAAGCCAACCCATCTCAAGATCTCTAAGAGCATAGAGCATAATACGAGATAGGAGATGGTTTGCAACTATACAAATAAAGCATGTATTGCGATATTGTATTAGTGATACGAGATTTTGGAGTCGGGCATTTAGCTGCCCAGGTAAATAAATTGAGTATATTCACAATATACATACACCATAATATTATGTGTGTGTAGTTGGACAAGTTTGGGAGAGCACTGAAGATTTTAGAAAGGTACCTACCTAGGGTACTGGACACTTCAATGTTAGAAGACATGGATTTAGATTCAGGAAAGAGCATACCTGCCCAAAGTTCCTGCCCTAACCTTTTGCCTCACCACCTGGTTATAGACGATATTGCCTCGCAACTTCTTCATTGGATGATAAACACCTAAGTTAGAAGCTGCCACTTATATGGTATCAATTTTATTTATACATCGAGAACGAGACCTTGGGATCATGGAAGATCCAGAGGTATGCGTTGGCTTTCTGATGCTAACGTTGGAGATACTAGATCTACCGACTCTGCAGAAACCTTTCGTCTCGGTCTCTTAAGATCTTCCAGGGTGACTCCTTCTAATTTGGTAATTCCAACTATAGCAGGTTCTCCTTTCTTTACGAATTTCCATTGCCCTGAATGCCATGTTAAATACAACTCACATAATATAGTGCAGCTAGTCATGTATGGAACTCACCAGGTAGTTTGTTACCGGCTAATCGAAACGCATCGCGCACAACTTGCTCGTGAATCATTCCTCTTAGCTCTAGGACTATTTGGTTCACAGCCACTCTAGCAGCCCAATGGTCGAATGAACCTTTTCCTTTACCCATACGTATCTGGGACTCTATATTAGAGACGAAGGCGCAAATCAAAGTAAGCATTAGAAAAGACCAACCTCGTTGCCGCTGACGAACACGCCAAGATTGCAGCACACCCTTTTGTATAACCGATATTTTTCACCACGCAATCGTTGCTTAATAGTATCCTCGGCGACCTTGAGTTGTGCCGCGCTGATTCTTCGATGGTGATCAATCATCCGTAGGCCATAGTCTCCCCATTCAACTGTGGTTCCCTTGACAGAGCCACCGGTGGCAACCCGTACTCGTCCCTTCATCATCTTCTGCTTTCTGTTTATATTAGGCTCTAGCCAGTTGCCGCCCATAGAGGCTGTCGCCGAAAATAGCCGAACATTTTGGACGCCTTGAATATTATGAGGCACAATTGGGGCGGTAGGTCTTATCGTTGGCTGTAAGTTCGGGGTGTGAGATATTCTAAGGGATCGGAAAGCGCCAGCGAGACATAATGCCCCGTTGGAACGCATCGTATCGAGCTAGAGACTGAGTTGTAGTAAGCTCTGTTTTTCAACTTGAAATTTGAAGGTTGAATTGGAGAGCTCTCAAAAGATTCGCTACTGGGTACATAGTACCTAGGTAGATAAAGCACGAGCCAATTGATTGCATTCAACGTTGCCCGCAGAGCCGCTAACTTTTAATAGCACGGTTCACAGGCTGGCAGGGGCTGTAGGGTGCACTGTCCACATCCACTATTTTTACCTGCTAGGCAGCTATCGATAGGCTGGTAGGCAGATAGGCTTCTGCGGGCTCGTGCATGTTTCGCGAGTCAATTCAATTAAAGAGTGAAAGTCAGACAAGGGCGAGCGCGTCATAACTCGCGTCGAGCCTAGAAATAAGTTCTACTTCACTTTCCCGAAAAAAAATAATAATAGCATTCCTTTATTAAACCTTTTCACAACATCTCAAACATCCGACTTGATCCTTTTGGATGTACTCTACATTCAACTAACATGTCAGATATTCGCTCATTCTTTGGGCCCAAGGGCGGCGCGGCAGCCCCAAAGCCAAAGCCAGCTCCGAAGAAAGTAGAAGACGAATCTTCAAAGAGACGTACCAGTATGTATCTCTTGAATGCAAGTGGATACCGTTGCTAATGATGTTGGGTGTTAGAAGCTCGAAAGGTTGTGCATGATAGTGAAGATGACGACGACAATGCTGGTGCTGTCGAGTAAGTAAATATATATATATATATATATAATCAAATATGTATATTTCTTTGACATGAGCTAAATTTACTCCCCTCCCAAAGGACGAAGAAGCCAGCAACACGATCTTCTCCCAGGAAGAAGGTAGCGTAGGTATTATCATTCCAAGTTATGGTTGTATAGGTAACCTAACAGACATCGTTAGCACTGAGAAAGCCCAAGGAACTGCTACTACAGCTAGTGAATATTTCGCATCGAGCAAATCGAAGACTCAACCAGCTACAAAACCCGAGCCGCCAAAAACACAGTCTAAACCAAAAGTTGAGGTACGATCAAGTCCTAGGACTAAGAAGACTGTAGTGAAGGATGTTACGACTACAACCAAGAAACCGGAAACCTCATCAAAGAACCGCTCTTCCACAGCGTTCAAGCGGTACGACTTAGATGATGACGATGATGCCTTCATGGATGATGAAGATGCTGGAGATGATATTTTCACTGCTGATGCGAAGAGCCGTAATAAGAGAAAAAATGATGATTACGTTGAGGAAGAGAGTGAAGAAGAATTCCTCCCCAAACCCAAACGGATTGCTTCTCGTAGCAAGCCAGCCGAGAATGAGAAAGCTCCCGCAGTAAAGAAGAGGAAGACACCCGAGGCCGCCTTAAGCGAGGAAGAGGAGGACGATGACGAAGAACTGCCGTCTCGTAAGAAGCCAGTAACAAAGAAGCCAAGAGCCCCGAGAGCCAAAAAGACAGATGAACCAGAAGATCAAGAGATCCAGGCAATATTGGACGATATTCCCATGGTCAGACCTCCAACACCACCAGCAAAGGATCCGGACGCCAAATTTGACTGGAGAAAAGCGGCCGCTGGGGGAGGAAATTCCGGCCCGCCACCGAACCCAACTGCAGAACTACCCGAAGGAGAAGAGGATTGTCTTGCAGGCCTGACGTTTGTCTTCACTGGACAGCTGATCTCGATTGCACGCGAGGATGCCCAGGCTCTAGTGAAACGATACGGTGGGAAAATCACTGGTGCTCCAAGTAGTAAAACTAGCTATGTTGTTCTCGGCCAAGACGCCGGACCCAGCAAACTGGCTAAGATTCGCCAGCATGGCATTAAGACTATCAATGAAGAAGGATTGTTTCAACTCATTCGCCGACTTCCTGCCGCCGGCGGGGGCAGTAAAGGCGCCGAAAAGCTTCGGGAAAAGAAAAAACTGGAGGAAGAGAAGATTAAGGAGCAAGCCGCTGAGATGGAACGAGAGGAGAAGGCCCGGAAAGCAGAAGCTGAAAAATCACGAAAAGCTGCTGTCGCACGTGGCGCTGCTGGCCCCTCGCCGGCCCCAGCTCCGCTTTCTCAGCTGTGGACGGTGAAGTATGCCCCGACTCAACCAAGTCACATCTGTGGAAACAAGGCCGCCGTTGAAAAGATCCAAAGCTGGCTGAGGAATTGGCCAAAATCCCGCAAATTCAACTTCCAAAAAAGAGGAGCAGACGGAATGGGTGGTGCCCGTGCCATCATTGTTTCCGGTCCTCCGGGTATTGGTAAGACGACAGCAGCGCATCTTGCTGCTAGGCTAGAAGGTTACGATGTTCTAGAGAGTAACGCCAGTGACTCGCGCAGTAAAAAACTTGTGGAGTCTGGCGTTAGCGAAGTCTTGAACAATACGTCTCTCAATGGCTTCTTCGCTGGCGAAGGCAAGAAGGTGGACCAAGACAAGAAGAAAATTGTACTTGTCATGGACGAAGTCGATGGTATGTCTGCTGGTGATCGTGGAGGCGTAGGTGCTCTTGCGAAGTTTTGCAAAAAAACAGAAGTGCCTCTTATTCTGATTTGTAACGAGCGGAAACTACCAAAGATGAAGCCGTTCGACTTTGTGACGTTTGATGTCAAGTTTCAACGACCAACAGTCGACCAGATTCGCTCACGAATGATGACAGTCTGCCATCGAGAGGGAATGAAATTATCTCCACAGGTCCTCGATGCCCTGATCGAAGGCAGCAATCGGGATATCAGACAGATCATCAACATGCTATCCACGGTCAAGCTTGACCAATCCTCTATGGACTTTGACCAGAGCAAAAGCATGTCAAAAGCATGGGAGAAGTCAATAGTACTGAAGCCGTGGGATATTTGCCAGAAAATGCTCGGTGGCGGGCTTTTCTCTCCCGCAAGCAAAGCAACCTTGAATGACAAGATCGAGCTCTACTTCAATGACCATGAATTCAGCTATCTGATGATACAAGAGAACTACTTGCGGACTAAGCCGGCGGCTTTAAGCAATAACCAGTACAACAAGCGAGAACAGAACCTCAAGGCTCTGGAAATGATCGATAAGGCGGCAGAGAGTATTAGCGATGGCGACTTGGTAGATCGGATGATTCATGGTCCACAGCAGCATTGGAGTTTAATGCCAACTCACGCAATATTCAGTACAGTCCGGCCAGCTAGCTTTGTGGCTGGTCAGCTAATAGGGTCAAACTTTACCTCTTGGCTTGGTAACAATAGCAAGTACGGCAAGCTGGGTCGATATATTCGCGAAGTCCACTCGCACATGCGGCTCAGGTCTTCTGGGGATCATCACGAAATTCGTCAGCAATACCTGCCAGTACTCTGGACGCAGCTCATCAAGAGACTTGCCGACGAAGGCAAGGAATCTGTCGAGGAAGTTATTGAGCTCATGGATAGCTATTATCTCACGAGAGAGGATTTTGATTTGATCAAGGAACTCGGCGTTGGTCCGCAGGATGAAGAACGTGTCAGCATCGATACTCAGACCAAGTCTACCTTTACTAGGCTGTAAGTCAAACCAATACAGTATCTATCTATATTCGGTACCAAGCTAATCTGTACTAGGTATAATGCGAAATCCCACCCCATTCCTTTCATAAAAGCTAGTACTATAACAGCGCCGAAGATGACTTCGAGGGACAAGCCAGACCTCGAGGAGGCAATCGAAGAGGAAGATGACGAAGCAGTGGAGGCTGTTGAAGCTGCTGACGAGGATGAGGATGTGGATATTGAGAAGGATAAATACATCAAGAAGCCAAAGGCCAAGAGTGTAAAGAAGAGTAGCAAGAAAGCTGTGAAAGGGGGCGACGAGAGTGAAGATGTGCAGCCAACAAAGAGCCGTAAAGGCAAGGCAGGTGCGGCCAAGGGCAAGGCCAAAAAATAATGTGTGTACCTACTATGCACGGACACGACAAGGTTCTTACAGCATGAAAGGAAGTTGCCTTTCTATGCCTCGACGTACCTTAGTTATCATAATGCTAAGAAACAGTTACCTGTATGGTTAGGCTTTGGGGAAGTGGATGAATAATAGTGAAGACATTATGAAGGTTGTAATAGGTATAGAGGTAGAGGTAAACGTACGCAGGTATTTTAGAATTCAAACTTATGATTCAGGGGTAAAGGGACTCTACATGGTATGATTCCTACCTAGTATCTACATAAGACTAAGCAACTGGAATGTACATACATATGCTAACACTGAAGCAGATATGAGTAGTACCTCTTGTCGAGATCGATATACATATATATATACCCACCTACCTACCAAATAGTCATTCATCATTACATGAGCTATGTATACACAGCGGCCAGGAAGATGAGAACATCTACATCGCTACATAGATGTATATGATCTTGTAACCCGCCAGAATAGCTAAAGAAAGTCAAGTCCAAGTGACAGAACTGAAGAAGTATGGTTGGACAGGGGTAAAGTTGTGCAGCAAACCTCAGCACGCGTCTTTAGGCAGTTGCTGGCTGCAGTTTTGAAAGGGGATCAAGGAGGCAAGAGGGCAGGAGGGCAGGAGGGCAGGAGGGCAGGAGGGCAGGAGGGCAGGAGGGCAGGAGGGCAGGAGGGCAGGAGGGCAGGAGGGCAGGAGGGCAGGAGGGCAGGAGGGCAGGAGGGCAGGAGGGCGAGAAGGCAGGTACTTGCCCTTTCCCTTTCCTGTTCATGTGATGCTCCTCTTAACTGAAGTGATTTGTAGGCCTGATTCGGTTGGTACCTTCTGTAATAGAGGTGTGGGTACGCACCAACTAATTATCTTTGATCCAGCAGAGGAAGGAACGCAAGAAACGCGACAAACAGGATGGCTGTTAGCTGTTAGCATGTGGGGACCTCACCGGCGGTCCTTCAAAGTCAGGCACTGATTTCAACGCAATCATTTGTACTTAAACATTTCTTTTCCATGGTCTTGTCCCAGTCCCGTCTTCTTATTTTTTTAAAAATTCTTTTTTTCTTCTTTTTTTTACAACTCGCACATCGATAGCTTTTCTCGCAGTCGTTATTTAGCAACGCTTCCAACGCTTCCAACGCTTCCAACTTCATAGCTTTTCATCTTACCCTCATTCAGTCATTGCTATCTTGCTTACCATTAGGTATTCCTTTTACAACTTCAAGTCCTCTAGTTCACGCAGCTATTAGCTTTTGCGCAACTATTTTCGTTGTCGTGTCTAATCAATCGTGCTCTTGACGTTTGGGCATACCTTTCTACTACCCTTCTTCTCGTTGTCGCTATTAAACCCACCTATCACTATCACTATCACTATTACATTCTTCTTTTGCTACCGTCTCCTTTCTCTATCCTATCGTCGCAACCGTTCATTATTGTTCACTAGTTGCCATCAAGCTTTATGCTTCTATGATTGATTAAACATGCTACCCTTGAAGAGTACTTCTCGCGGCGAAGGCAGCGATATGCCAGCAACGAAAGAAAGCATTCCCCAGGACAGTGGTGAGTACTCCCGCTATTAACTGACTATCAGGTCAAGGCTTTGTCAGTCATTCATTTTTCTAACACATGGCCAGTTGAAGCCGTACCCAAGTCATTCAGTTCTGAACGCTTCCAAGCCATGGGAGATACCGACACAATAGTATTCGGTCGCCAGAGTCTTTCAGACTCCTCTGCCTCACACGTCGGTGTGCAGTCTGTCACTGATCCAATTGCAACTGATGCTGCGCCCACCTTCTCAGGTGGATTCCTTCTTGCAGGAAGTTCTATTCAGGGACCTCATGGCAGCGACAATGCCGATGACCAACTTCTGAAGAGCGCGATGATACAAACATATGTTCAAATGCGCGGCCCCGATATGGGATATACACCTGGCTTGGAGCTAGAGGATATGACCAAGAACCCTCAGCAGCTTTCTTCCAAGGGAAAGTGTATCCCTCCCCACCCCTTGCGCCCACATGGGAAGAAGAATATCGTAAAGTATGTAATATATGCTTAATACCCATTTCTATATCATCCCCCTTCGCGCTCCTTTTAGTTATGAGGGTATCCCCGTATATCATCCATGCTAACTCATGTTTCTTTAGAATGCTGGCCAAGGCAGGTAAGGCTCCAGATCTCAAGGATCTGGAAGGAGACTCTCCTGGAGACACGGTCTCCCAAGCACTCAAGAAGGCTGCCTATGATACTGAGCCCCAGGCAGGTCCAAGCCAGACAATGAATGATGCAACACAATCCAGAGATAAGGCCCGTATTTTTCTAGACGGTCTGCTTGATACTGAGGGCTTTAACACTACCGGTAGAGTCACACCAAGCATTCTAGCTTTGTGGTCTACAGGATCGAAGAAGTGGAATGATGTGAAGCAAAAGGATCCTGAGGAGGTAAGTTTCGACATCCCTTCTCCCTTTGACCTTTTCGAGTCCCTCAGTTTAGCATAACCCTAACTAAATGCCACAGTTTCTTGGTGCTGCTTCTCGAATTCGACTCTTAGCGACTGTCCCCTCTGTTCCTCAGGTGGGCCATTACCCTAACTGGACTAGAAGCATAGTGCCCCAGTTTGATCAGCACACGGGAGAAGAGATTTCTCCCTTCTATTTCGTTCCCACTAATCCTTCTCTCATCAACACACCTCCCGGTGTCCCCGACACGGTCGTCAGCGCGCGATTTTACGACTCGTACAGTCGAATGGTCCCTCTAGTTGCAAACCAGAATCGTGACCATGTGTACGGGAAGTTTGTTAGAAGCGTGATAGGAACCAGTACTGATGAGTTTTACTCTCAGGTAAGTTACTCTCTCATTCATATTTATTTCATTTCCCCGACACGCCTACAATCTCGAAGTAAACAAAACATGAGACTCGTACACCTCTTATTGACATTGACATCCATCATCTAGTCTTCAGCAGATCACGCTACGGCCAATTCGGGCAGATTTGGGATCCCACATCTAACGGGATCCCAAATCCCCGGTTGGATTGACGCGCATCGCGGGGCCATTCAGGTCCAGAACGCTCAACGCGAGGCGCTTGAGAAGGCAATCGTCAATCAGGAGCGACAGATTGACGCCTTGTTGGACGAGAGAGAGAACTTACGTTTCTCTCTCTCGCTCCTTCAAGAGCGTCAAGAAGTCGGCTCCCGTGCCCGCTCTCACGCCGAGCAGGCCAAGAAGGATGGAGAAGACGTTGCCCACGCGGGCCGCATCCGCGGCCAAGTCGCCGTCCGCGAGGTCCAGCACAATCTCGGCGTAGCCGCCCTTCGTCGTGCCGAAGCCCAGCTGAGGCACGACGACGGCGCGCGCTACGTCGAGCGCCTCGAGCAGCAGATCGCAGCAGAGCGCCGAGAGATCGAGAAGATCCGGTCGCAAGAGGACGATGACGACGACGAGTTCGAGCGTCCTCGTCCGAGCAGAGGGCTGGCTGGCTCCTCACGAGAAGCTGATCCCTTCCGGCCAGCCAGTCCCTCGACGGAAGCTGGGCCCTCGAAGCCGGCCCGCCGCCCTCGCCACGTAGTCCGATCCCAGTCTACCACCTCGTCCATCGACGGCGTCAAGGCCCACTACTGCAAGTATTGCCACCAGCCCAGCTTCCGCTCGGACGAGAGCGCTCCCATCGCCAAGCCGGCAGTCAAGTACGACATCTACGAGGGCAAGAAGGCGCCCAAGATCGTCCACACGGCGGTGCAGATCCCGAGCGGCATGCCGATGGAGCCGTTCAGCTTCGCCCCGTCCCCACCATCGCGTGACAAGGTAAAGGGCAAGGGCAAGGCGAGGGCGCGGCGCGTGATGTCCTTTGGTGCGCACTCCGACAACGATGCCGGTCAAGAGTGGGAAGACGATGCCTCCGATTCGTCTTCCCGCCGTCAAGGTCGTGCGCACTAAGGGCATCACCGTCAATGTCCTCGTCTAGTGCTATTGCTGTGGGCTCGCCAGCTTGTCTCTACGGCTACGGGTACAGGTACTCTGTGCTTAGGCTCTAGAGATCGCCATTACGACAACTTGGCGACATTGGGCTTACTGAGGCATCGAAGAAGACGTAAACAACACTCGCCATCGCGTCGCCAGGCACCTTCCATCCCCACTTATTCGCGCTACACCCGCTGCTTTTGCCCTCTCGGTTGTTTTCCTATCACCTCGACACGAGTCTACCTTATTCCTCAGGCACAAGACCCACTAGGGTTTAATTTACCGACAAAAAATAAACACAGGCCCACCTGTGTATCTTCTTTTCCCTTTTAACGAGATACGACCGATTTAATTTTCCGATAAGGAGAGGGGGAGGGGAGCTAGGAAATAGGAAGGCGAAATAGGAGTAGGGGGGATAGGTATTTGGTGGAATGATACCCAGCACTGCTACTACTTGACCATGATCACGTAGACAGATGCTTGCTTGATTGCTTCAAGCCATTGCTTTAATCCATTGCTTAACAATGAATTGCAATAGTTTCGTTTATTAAATTTTTTTTTTTTTAAAACTCACTTACGTGCTTTCTTAATGCGACTTGTAGTAAGTAAGTAATTAAAAAAACAGAAAGGTTCTTTATGATTACAACAGTATTGAAGATACCGTAGAAGCATTGTCCTCCAGAACTCCAACCAAACTTATGTAGGACGTCTATGTACGTACTGGGTAAGTAGGTAAGTAGGTAAGTAGGTAGGTATGCTGCCCTTATCCTTCAGAACAGCTATCTACCAGGTCCTACTCAGGTACACAATCATTTTTTCAGAAGTTCAGCCTCCCTGCTAGCTTGTAGACTCTCTAGTTAGGTTACTTTGACTTTGGTGTAGGTAACGTAAATGGCCCTGATCCACTTCAGGCCAGATTAATAATGGCATTAGTGCTTAGAGGCTCAATAACACCCACATTAAAAGAACTTCCTTCGCCTGCACTCCCAAGAGTCAAGACAAGCCTAGGCAGTAGATTACTTCATCCTAGCACGCATCCAATTCATCGCCACCGAGCTCGACTCTCCCTCTCGTACTCGTCCACGTTGTACCCGTCCCACTCAGCGCGTAAGGCTCTGGCGTCGATGTCGCTCCTCGTACCTTGTCCTGGGACTCGGGTGCCCTGGAACTCAAGGTTCATGAAGTCGATCGCAGCATCAAACCGGCCGCCGCCGAGAAATCGAAGCCAGCCGTAGTTACTGTCGCCGTACATGATGGGTCCCTCGTTTTCACGGCCGCGCCAGCTGACTGTTTGTAGTAAATAGGATTAGTTAAGTGATTCGTTTTTAGTAAGTAAGCAAGGGGCAACCCCCCTACAAATTACTCGAGAGGATGATTAGTTAGTTAGGTGGGTCAGGTACTTACACTGAATCTTCTCATATGAGGACTGCCAGGGCCGCGTATCGAAGCGCAGAACGCCCTCGACAACACCCAGGTCGAAGCGACCCCAGAGCTCGGTGCCGCTGAGCGTGAACGTGAGGTTGAGGCCCGTGTGTCCCCACTGCCGATACACGTCATAGGACTCGACATCGTAACGTCCGTTTAGTAATCCTAGGGGTTGGAGCTCTTGGCTGTCATCTTCGTCGGTGGAGTTTGCATATTCTGTGTACGGAGGTGGTGGGACATCGTCATCGTCGTCGTCGTCGTCAATGACGTAGCCCAAGGTCTGGGCTCTCGAGGGAATAAATGGTCCACCTCCCCTACGTGCCCACGAACCGCCTCGAACGGGGGGGGTCGCCGTGGATCGAAGGGGACTCGAGACTACCGGCGCAGCAGCTGTAGCACCTCCTCGACCACCTCTGATGGCCCGCGCACCGCCTCGGCGGGCTTGGCTTCCAGTAAGAGTGGAGGAGGCAGAAGTCGAAGCGAAAGGTGAGGCAGACGGTCCCTTTGGCTTTGGCTCCGACTTTGGCTTAGGTTCCGACTTTGGCTTAGGTTCCGACTTTGGCTTTGGCTCCGGCTTTGGCTTTGGCTCCGGCTTTGGCTTTGGCTTTGGGTTGGTCTTGGGAGTAGACTTGGGAGCAGGTTTGGGAGTGGACTTGGGCTCCTTCTTTGCAGCTTTGGCTGGCGTGCTCGATGCGGCTGTTGTCTTGGCCTTCTTCGTCGATGATTCTCTAGCCGAGACGGTAATATTGATGCCACCAACGGTTACGGTAAGGTCAACGTTGGAAGATTCAGCCTTGCGCTTGTTATTCTTGACAGCAGCTGACGAGGTACCCTCGAGGGCTTTTTTAGCCTCGCGCTCATTCTTGGTCCATTCCTTCTTCAGGTCCGTCTCCAGCTTCTTCACGTGAGCAGGGACGGAGAGCTTGCCTGCATTGACGGCATCATAAAGGCGCATGCGAGCTACCGCCTTGGTCTTGGAAGGTGGCAGACCATAGTGAATAAGTTGGGCCTCGAACCAATGAGCTGGGTGATCCTTGTCGGATCCGGACTTGAAGTGTTCCTTGAGTTCGGCCACAGTAGCGCGCCGATGACGATTCTGGCCGCTCGCCTCGACAAACAGGTCTCCAGCATAGGAGAACCCATCCTTCGAGACGGCTGGTGCTAAAGACATGGTTTTGTGACAATGAGGATAATTAATTGGTGTTCAATTTCTACCTACCATGTTAGTAGGTAGGCAATTGATGAATACCACCAACAGTGTTTATTGAGATTAAAAAACATGAAGTTGGAAATAACATTGAACGATACGAACCTCAGATTAAATGGTACTAGGTACCTACCTAGGTAGTTACCCAATAGTTTTAAAGTTTAAGGAGCTCGTTCTCCTTTCTGGTCTGTGCATACCATGTAATATATGTATTTAATAGGTACCCAGGTAATTACCTATAATTACCTATGAGCTAATACAGTAGTTATTACGGCGTAGTATTATCCATACTTGTTGTCCATACCTGAACGTGACTTAAGATCCGAAATCAACATTGAACCTCGGAAGTTTGGATTCTTGCATGTTTGCATGTTCATTAAATTGTAGGCATCGTGAACCTGGTCAAGTCCCAAACCCGCTGAGCATAACGTAACCCACAACCCCCCCTCCCTCCCTCTTTTCCCCCCAATCCCCAGATCCCCAGATCCCCATTCCAGATCAAGAGGTTGCTTGGTATCAACAGCCGTATCATGCACGCATAGTATGTATGTATAAAAGTCCCCGCCCGCCGCCTTTTTCATGAGAGGAGCATTTTTATATACAATCGCCCAACGCCAAATCCCATCACATGGTTTTGTGTACAACGTCTTTTCATATTGTACAATGGTAAATGAAGTGCTGAGACGTCATTTTCTTTCATATCCTTTACGAGCTCTTCACTACGCCAACCTTGGCGGCTCTGAGTACTCTTCCGTTTAATTTGAATCCCTTCTGCTGGACGTGGAAGACCGTGTTGTCTTCCTTGTCGGGCATCGGGGTCATGAATGTGGCCTCATGCTCATTAGGGTTAAACTTCTCTCCTTCGGGATCGAACCGCTCTAAGCCGTGCTTGGCCAAGGTCTGGAGCATGTTAGTCTCCGTCATTTTCACTCCCTCGTAAAAATTGACGAGATCCTCGTTCTTGCTCTCTGCTGCCGCGGCCGTAAGCTTTTCCTTGCCCATTATAAGGGCTCTGTCTAGGTTGTCGACGCTGTCAACCAAGTCCTTGGCAAACTTCTGGATAGCGAAGTCGCGTGCTGCCTTCATCTCCCTCTGTGTTCGATCTTGAAGGTTGCGGAAGTCGGCGACCGACCGTAGGCATTTGTCCTATGTGAATTACTATTATTAGTTGTTTTTTTGCATCAATTTGCATTGCGACACATCAGGTGTACACACCTTCCACTCAATAACCTCTTTCTCCTTGGCTTCTAGCTTCTTTTTGAGCTCGGCCACTTCATTGGATGGCGCATTGGCAGCTGCGCCATCTTGAGCTTCAGCCTGAGCTTCAGCCGGAGCCTCAGCAGCTTGGGCAGTTGGCTCTTCGCCTTCCTTCTTAGCTGGCGGCTCACTCTGGTCGCTATACCACTTGAAGCTCGGTAAGAGTCCCGCTCGTAGAGAATTTGAGGTTGTCGGGAGGAATTGCGACCGCCCCACCAAAGGTCGTTGCGCAATTATTCTAGAGCCAGAATAAATGGCTTTGGAAGATCTGGAGATGATTTGTTTTAACATGATAATGGATGTGAGGTGTGAGGCGTGATCGTTTTAAAAGTAGGGCTAAACGGGTCGCGTGCTATACGGATGTGGGTGATTTGATCGTGGGTTCGATGGAAAGCGATAGGTAGCACTGTAGCTCTCAAGTTTTTTTTTTCTCTAAATAAAATTTTAGTGACTTCTTACCCGTTAATAGCCCGCACGCGGCACGGCAACCTCTTGCCGTCAAGAGCTTCGTACAGTGCTTGTACTACTACATACTGATGTCAACTGACAGCTTAGTGGGGTACAACCACAGAATTTATTCTGCTCATATTCACCGCTCTTGATTCTCTGGTGGGGCCTGTGCTGCCGCCCTGAAATATATAAATAAGTGCTACCTTCCCTCCCCTCTTTTACTTTCCCTTCTTTTTCTTCCTTAGCTCTCTTTGCCTTTTGGCTTAGATCAAGTGTAGTATCTGTTCTTTTCAGTTTAATCTCTGAAAGAGTCACATAGTGGCTCGATCTATGATTATTCTTATTTTTATACCTAGGGAGTGCACCCTCTGCGCTTGCGCATGGTCGCTCCCACCGTGTCCCTGGTATTACACTGCTTCCAGGCGATGCTAATTTTCGTTGCTTTCTCTGGCTTGCCCAGTGTTGCGAAGAAGGTCATTAGTAGACTCATTACGACTAGGTTAGCTGGTATTATTAGATGATTCCTTTGAATACCAACATGGAGGTAGTTTGGATTTGCTTGTGTCGGTGAATCAGATACCAGGTAGATTACGCAACTTTGTCTCTAAATTATATGTCGATGAATTGACAAATCACGTCCCTACTGTACATATGCATACAACATCCCATATATATGTACTTCCTGACAGACGCCATTCACATGCATGTTAACAATGCATAGTTACATGTATGTGTAGGAATCATTGATGTAGCTGAGACTGCTGAATACTTAGGTAGGTACCTACCTAGTAGTAGGGTACTGTGTAGGACCTGTAGGTACTGTACGCAGTACTAGGTAGGGTACCTACAGTACGGCGTAATATAGGTCCTTCAGCCTTGCATAATAGTGATCCATTATCCCTGCTAGCGTATCCATCCCACAGCGCATCAGTACTTGGTACTCAGCCTCGACAACTTCTCAATTCTAAAAGCTTTCAATGTTCTCTTCCTTTCAACATTCCACTAATAATCATCTACATACTAATTAAACACCTCTTCTTACACTACAGATGGTCGCTTGAAATAACGTCAACGACTGTTCCCTTATCCTCTTATTATTCATCCCATTTAACTATTATCTTCTTTACAACACTCTCTTGCTGTCGTCGCCACGATGGAGTACGACAACATGATGGATGGTGATTTCAAAGAGGATTTCGGTCCTAGAGTTCAAGTTTCCGCGGTATGCGATATTCTTTGCAATCGCGTTCCCTAAAGCAGTCTTTCTAACGGTTACTTCTTACAGGCGGATAACAATCACGTCGACTTCGAGCTTAGCAATGTTGATTTGTCACTAGCCAACTCAATCCGTCGCGTCATGCACGCCGAGGTTCCGACCATTGCCATCGACCTGGTCGAAATCGAAGCCAATACCACGGTCCTAGCCGATGAGTTTATCGCCCACCGCCTTGGTCTAATTCCCTTAGATTCCCGTGAAATCGATCAACTCAACTACTCGCGCGATTGTGATTGCGACCAAAACTGTGGACGCTGCAGCGTTACCCTAACTCTACACGCCAAGTGTACTTCAGCCGAGAACATGCACGTGTATGCCCGAGATCTAGTTGTTGGATACGATCGACCCAACAACCACATCGGCAACCCTGTCATCACGGACCCTGACAAGCTCGGTTCTTTGATCTGCAAGCTAGGCAAGGAGCAAGAGATAAAGCTCACCTGCATAGCTAAGAAGGGGATTGCAAAGGAACACGCCAAGTGGTCGCCAGCTTCCGCTATCGGCTTTGAATATGACCCTCATAACAAGCTACACCATTTAGATATGTGGTACGAGCGGGATGCCGAGTCTGAATGGTTAGTTTCTCCGCCCATAACATAAAGAGCGAAGTGAAGTTAATTGTCTTTAGGCCCAAGTCAAAGTATGCCGAACTCGAAGAGCCTCCCGCAGAAGGACAGCCCTTCGACTACGATGCTGTCCCATCGCGATTCTACTTCGAAGTGGAGAGTGTAGGCAACATCGAATCCGACACCATTGTCTTGGAGGGTGTCAAGGAGCTACAAAGAAAGCTCGCTGGTCTAATACATGGTTTGGGTGAAAACGACGGCATGAACGGAGATTACGATGGCCCACGCAGCCCGGACGCCATGGACGCCACTGCAAGTTATTTGCAAGAACCCGGTTATACTACTCCCTATGCTGGTGCCGGAGGAGCGAGCGCGTGGGGCGGTGGAGCCACAGCCTACGGAACGACGCCCTATGGCAACTCAGGCTCCAATGGATGGAGTTAAATGGGTTTTATATCCCTAGACGATTCCGCGTCCTAACAATTTTGATGATTACAACGGCAGCTTCTATAAGCCTATTTTATACCATAGGAAAACAACCAGTCCAAGGACAACTCCTAAAAGTTCTGGATGTTGGTTTAATAGTTGATGAATCATGGCACGGAGTTTCGGGAACCCTCTAGTTTCGAGGAACAAGGACTTTTGCTTTTTATCGTGATGAATTTCTGAGACCTCACTGTCCTATAATGTAAATACAGTGGTAAAAAAGAAAAGGAAAAGAAAAAGAAAACCAGACAAAGAGCTTAGCTCCACGGCAACATCAGGACATAGCATGGGATAATGGATGCCTATCTAAACCTAGATAGTCATGAGTACGCTAACAAAATGAAGCATTCTTCATACCGGTTTTTTTTTTCAGGTTTTATGTTCAGAATATGTATTCCCCCTCCCTCCTCAGACGCCTGGTGCGATGCAGAAAAGCCTCCAAAGTCTAAAACGCCATTGGTTTCCAGGTATAGAGAATCTAGGTCCCGCGTCCGTTCTATATCAAATCTGCTTTGCTAGGTACATGGATAGGCAGGTAGGGTAGGGTAGTACCCAAGGTAGATGGTAGGTGTGGTGGTGTCTGTATACGAACTATACAGGGAGTTAGAGCAGCAATCAGTCCTTCAGTCTTCAATTCCCTTGAATCTTCTATAAACCTTGCGGTGTGCTTCTAGGAACATGAATGTACATATTGTTTGCCTATGTCTCGTCGTTAGCGGCTGGGCTTTGCTTAGGGAGAAGAGGGGGGAGAAGAGGGGGGAGAAGGGGAAGACAGGGATTCAAGTAGTTGGCTGAATAGGGGCAACACTTACGGTCCCAATCTCAAAAAAGCTGGTACCCATCCCTTGAACATCCAGGTTATTCCCTCCTTAGCATATATATCACGTAGTAAGTGAGCGATGCCTTGCTCGTGGCTGGTACTCATCACCCGGCTCTTAATCACGTCTACAGGTGAACAAATCGTCGTAGCTACAAACCCAGCAACGAGTGAGCTAGCGAAATGAGTGGTTGTTGTGTCGCCCAAGGGTGTATACTCCATCAACAGTCCCTTGATAGTGTCATAGCTAGCCAACTGGCTGGCATTCATGAGAGCGGCACGAGTGCTGTTAGGCCAGACACCGCGGAACCAGCTCTTGGGACCTTCCTCGCGCAGCATACGGAACATGCCGTCAAGGCCGTGTTTGTAGCCGCGTCGCTGGGCCTGGGGTAGAGCAAGGTCCTGCTGCATGCGAACATTGGTCACGTCGGCAGCGTTGCCCGATATGCCACCCAAGAAGCCAGAGAAGGTGGACAATCCGATAAGCAAAGGGAGTGATGGCTTGGTACCATCTGCGGGGGTGAAGCGAGCCTTGAGTTCCTCGTACACGCCGAAACGCACTGTGGAGTACGTCATCTGCCGAAGCAGCGATGCCGTCAACCCATTGTACAGCCCGAGCGGCCCCTGGTTTCGCACAATGTGCATAAAGGTGCCGCTCATGTTCTTGGGGGCATCGCCAGAACGCAATTGTAGTCGGACTTTGACTAAATACAGACAAGCACGTTATCGATTAGCGATTGGTTGGTTTATATGGTGGCATAAGTAGTATAATCCATCCCATCTTGGCCGGTAAGGCTGAGGAGAAAGATCGGAGAACGTACCGAGATCGAGCGGATGTGTAACGCAGGCGGCAAAACTACTTGCGCTACCACCAAACCAGAATGGATAGGATATCCGATCGTGGGCCAAAGCCTGCTGCTTCTTCTTATCGAGGATCTTGGTCTTGGCTACGGCAGCCGCGGTAGAGGAGGAGGTAGCGGCTACAGAGGACTCATTGGGGGTGACGGACTGCATTTTCTTATCTGGGAGAAGAATGTTACAGTAAAGGGGGTCGTAAGTGGTAGATTGACTGGACCGAAAGCAGCATCCCTATACAATTTTGCTTACTGTTTGTCACTGCTGTCTCGTTTCTGTATGTAGGTATGTATGTATGTATGTATGAATTCTATAAGAGAAGATGTGAAGGCGGTAAAGTAGGAAAGTAGTAACAGTAGTAACAGTAGTAACAGTAAGAAAGTCAGTGCAAAATGTACGTATACATGTATGTATAGCAAAGAACTTTATACTATTCGTATGTAGCAAAGAACTTGAAGACCCTGTTCCAGCTCATCCTACCCAAAAAAAGAGTGAACTAGGGCCATTTAAAAGGAAAATAGAAAAAAAGGTGTAATTGAACAATTGAACAATTAATCTGGGCGGCATTCAAAATACTATGTATCAGAAATCCAAAAACGCAAGCAACGCAGCAATTATAAATCACCTAATCGTCCAAAATGAAAAGCCGTTCAAGAAAAAAAAAAGTTCTTAATTCAAAAACACGGGCTCGGCTTAACCGGTAATTCTTTTTCGGGCGGTGTTTTCTCACCCGAAAAATATGGCGACTCTTTATCGTACATATGTACATACCTAGTATAATACCTAGTACAGTGGCTGCTAGGTACCTAGTACATCATACATACAATACATGCATGAAAAGGGCCCCGCAGCAACATTGAATTGGATTATGGATCTTCAAACTTAAAGTCTGCAAGGTTCAAAGTTTTAGTTCAATGTACCCAAATTTTCATGGAGCCTCAACTTTGAAGCTTTTTATATGCACATGTTATATGCACATGTGCATCATACCAACTTAACAACTTGGTGTCTTGGAGTCTTGGAGTCCTAAAGCCAAATGCACACAACAATGTGGGCAGGCCGACTCGCTTCAACATGTCTTCGAGTAAGAAGAGCTACTGGCTCAACTGCTAGCAGCGCAAATAGCTGTAGCCCTTCTCTTTTCTCACGAACAAATCACCGCCCAATATTATTAAGAGGTGTGTGGTAGCTGTTACATATATGCACTATGAAGCTCATGAAATTCACCCGTCCTAATCTATTATCTGCTCCCTAGCTATATCGGCTGCACAACCTCGATCTAATTCAACCTGGACCTATCCAACCTCTGTGACAATCAATGGCTCTACTTACCCCAGAGATTCTTGGTTCAATGTATCTCAGAACGTTCTTGACAAAGTCCCTCGCCGATTACATTTGCAAAAAGATCACCCCATCTACATAACCCGACAGATCATCGAGTCGGTTTTTCCGCCGCCCACCTTTAAATACCACAACGACTTTGATCCTGTCGTTACCACTCATCAGAACTTTGATTCGCTAGGATTTCCAGAAGATCATCCCGGCCGAGCGAAGTCGGATACCTATTATATCAATCGCGATACGTTGCTGCGAACCCATACGAGTGCTCATCAAGCAGATATATTTCGAGCTAATCTCAGCGACGGGTATCTGGTCAGTGCTGATGTCTACCGCCGCGATGAAATTGATCGGAGCCACTACCCCATATTCCACCAGATGGAGGGTGCGCGGTCGTGGGACCGCAGTAAGGCGACCAATGGGGATGTGGCCCAGACTATCTGGTCGGACCTAGAAAAACTACCGAAGCATGATATCGAAGTCCAAGACCCCAACCCACCCTTTCACGAGGAAAGGAACCCCCGCCAAGCGGAACATCACTCCCCGGCAGAGACTGAAGCCATCGCTGCCCACTTAAAGAAGTCGCTAGAACTCATGGTAGTTGAGATATTCGCACGTGCCAGAGCAGCCGCACTAAAAGTCAAGCCTGAAACGGACGACGAGCCATACGAGCCACTCAAAGTGCGATGGGTTGAAGCATACTTCCCCTTTACGAGTCCCTCTTGGGAGCTTGAAGTCTATTATAATGGAAATTGGCTCGAGATCCTAGGCTGTGGCGTAGTTGAGCAAGACTTATACATCAAAGCAGGCGTGCCGAACCAGCTAGGTTGGGCTTTCGGGATCGGACTCGATAGAATCGCCATGTTGCTTTTTCAGGTTACCGACATCCGCCACTTCTGGTCGGAGGACTGGCGCTTCCAACGTCAATTTCATGGCGTTTCAGACAACCTGAGCTTGATGAAGCCCTTCAAGCCCTTCTCCAGGTATCCTAGCTGCTCGAAGGACGTCTCGTTCTGGGTGAAGCCGTCATCTGCGGCCGGGAGCAGCGCCGACGTACCCGAATTTCATGTGAACGATGTCATGGAAATCATACGGGACGTGACCGGGGACTTTGCCGAGGATGTGAAACTAATTGACGAATTCACCGATTCTAAGACTGGCAGGCGGAGCCTGTGCTATCGCATTGTCTACCGCTGTCTCGAACGGACCTTGACAAATGTAGAAGCCAAAGAAATTCATGCCAGGGTCACCAAACGTCTTGTGGAGGATCTTGGCGTGGAAATAAGGTGATATAGCTTCTTCTAGGATGGCTGATTCTGACTCCGCAGCCTTCAAAATACTCCATGATTCGGATTTGCAGAAGAATGGGAATGGGAAGCTATAAGATACCTAGGTTAGGTACCTCTGTAGTATACTCATATTCTCTGCTTGTATACTATCATATAAAGCCATCATTGTCTATACCTATAGAATATGTTACAGGTTATACATAATAGACTATGCTAGTCGAGGCGGTACATGTACCGGCTCGCTTGCATATGTATAGAAGAATTCCAATTACTACATTGAGTTGCGCCTTGTCGATATGTCATATCAGGAGTTAGTCAGCTTCTAGGTTAGCCGGTTAGATACGCCGTAAAGTATGGCAGGCTGTCATGATTAAGGGCATCAGCATATAAAACACGTGGTGGGCAAGCGTAAAGCAGCGCCACACCTTAATTGTTCGACTGACTTTCGTGCGCCACCGTGATATTGGCTGACTTTGAGGCAGAGACATGCATAGGTACTTCAGTGTTAGGTACCTAGTAGATATCTCATCGATGAGTGCCCAGGTACCTACCTACCTACCTACCTAACCAACCTGAACTAACAACTTGCGCCGATACATAATTAGCTAGTCAGCGACGTGGGCTGCGATTGTTTACTCCCAACCGATTATGGCTTATAAGATTACCAACTAACGCGGCTTTTGAAGTTTTCCTTAGCCCGATGAAATCGGGTTGGTGGGGCGAAAGGGTCCAAGCCGGCTACATTTGCGTCGCGGGGCCCGTCTTATCGCCGTTAGCGGTTGTTGGCCCGGGCTATGCAGATACAGATAGATAACTAAGAGGCGAAAGGATGAGTTGGTAGAAGAAGTTGTGCAACTGTCTTGAAGGAATACGTGTCGGAGAGGCCGTGTACTACTAACTAACCACACCATGTTACTGTATAGTCACGTGGTACTATCAACTCTCTTGATTACTTATATGCGACTTTTGGATGGCTGACGATAGTCCATACCTATGTACATACCTGGGCAATGTCGCGCGCAAGGCTGAGTAACACAAAACACCGCAAGCTTGGCTAGGGCGCCACAAGGGAAGCACATGTCTAGGTTAGCCTCTAGGCGCTGCCGATCGTGACACGGGCGCCTCGGCCTTGTCTGCGCCGAGTAAAGTTTTGTTCTCTGACTTGGAAGTACCTGGTCTGTGCGGAAAATCTCCGTTTTTTTAAGAATTTAACCTAGGTACTTCGTGCCATGGGGACAAGAACGCCAACGTGGCTGTGCAAAAACCCGCGTTTCGCTTTTTTCATAACTAACTAAGGTTACTTAGGTACATAGTTAGTTAACTTCGAAAACGCATGTAGTAGCATAACCCGATGTTGTATTCTGTGTGGATGCCGCCTTATCAAAAAGAATATTGAAGAATTTCCTTGCTGATGATGAAATGCGACTCATGTGCGGTTTTGATAGATAGATATGGTCATTTGGGGTGATATCTACGTATTGTCACTAAGTAATTCTTGTTATATATGATATAGAAAGGTTGGTCATCACCATTGCTTTAACAGGTTCACAACATGGAATAGGTAAGCCATGTGAGATATGCTGTGCAGCGTGATATTCTCAAAAGAGACCAGCGATGATAGTCACGATGGAACCGATAACGTCAAAAATTCAAGACAAATATGCCGTGTTCAGGAATTCCTGTGCCTCCATGGATGGATGGATGGCTGGATGGATGGATGCTGGTATTGTACCTGCATCTGCAATCCCTTGACTAATTACAGCTGTTAATTGCAACAGTTTAATTCAGATGTCGTGTTCAAATGTTTTTTTGATATTAACTATGGAAAGTTTAATTTTGCCTTGAGACGGTGGAGTAATAGATGTAGTATTACATAGCCTCGGATGATCTGGATGGATGATCTCTTCAAGGTTCACTGTTGTCTGGCCATGCATGCATGCATGCAAAGCAGTGATACATGTCCAGACGGATGGGCGAAATACCCTAGGTAACTTAAGGTAAGCTACTGCAAAGCCAACGAGCTCTCAGCGTTTACCTAGTACCTACATAATCTAATACACCTCGGTACCTGCCTATACCTATGTACTATGTATGTATGTAGGAATACATACGAAGGTTGTGGCCAAAAGTTTAGACCAAGATATACCTCAGCCCCACAGTTCCTCCACTTTTCTACCACTGTAAGAAATATTATCGCCAACATACTTACCTATTTATAAAGCCTTATAAATTTATTTAATAAATATTAAATATGTTATTACGTTATTTAATTAATGTATTTAATAATAGAAATTTTTGTAATTTTTTTTCTCTATTAAATTAATGTAAATATTTGTATAATAATTTAAGGTTGTTTAGGATTAAAGGCTTTAAGTTTATAGCATATTATAACGTTTAAGTGTGTTATAAGGTGCTATACTTTTAAGGGTTGTGGGGGGTTTGACGTTAAATGTATATCTATTATTGGTAGAAGCCTAAAAAAGAGTAGCGCATTGTGGGGCGGAGGTATATCTTGGTCTAAACTTTTGGCCACAACCTTTGTATCAAGATAGGGAACTTGCAGATGCAGATGTATGTAAGTAAGCAAGATAGAAGATAAGAACACCATTGGTTCAACTTCTTCCACGATGTTTTCAAGAAACAACTTGAAGGTCTTTGCTAATAATGTTGATTCTCGTGATTAACACATGTGCCCTTAACAAGATTGAACTAACTAAATCCATGATCAAGGCTCAGCCATCATCTGGCAATATGATTCAGCAATTGTTGAGGCAATCCGAGGCAATCCTAAGCCTATAAGATACCCTGGACTAGGTCAGGTACTACTAGTATCTACTGTTCCTTGCATACAAATTCTATCATTTTGACATTCAGCTAGGATAAATACGTGTTGAAAATTTACCATACGATGGATGCTTTGCTGCGGCACAGTTAGTTGCGTACATAGTGTAGATACTAGATACCTACCCTAGGTAGTGTGTATTAGCATCCCGTTGCATAGCCGCCCCCTGCCAGTACACTGTAGGCAGGTTGTACAAAGTAGTTACCTGTCGGAAAAGTCCAGTCGCTTGAGCCAAGATGGATTTGAAGCGTTAGTTGTTTGTGGAACCAATTTACTGTAGCACTATGGATCCACCAGGGCGGTTCTGAGTAAAGGGAACATGCGTTTTCGCGTTTCTCTCCTTCACGTTCGAAACGGTCTAAGGACCTTTCAAGGTACTACGAGTAGTATTCAAGGTTTTCAACTAACTATAACGGTACAAGTTGTGTCTGCATACCTAGAGAGTACATATGTAGTAGAGAGTCTACTAGAGACATATGCTAAGTGCATGCCCCACATGGTCCCGGCATCCATGGGATTATTCAAGGTTGATGTTTAGAATTGAACTTGGGAATCAATCCCACCGCTTGCGCAGCCACCACCCGCATCACTCAAATACCTACATATTCCACGACTTGTCCTCTTGTCATCTTGTTTCGTTGCAATCTCTCCTACATAAGTAACAACTTACTTGACAAGTTGACAATAACATTCAAACTCGAATTCTACATAGTACATAGTACTTAGGCAACTACCCACCTAGTACCTACATAACGATAAGAAATCCGTTGGTTTCACTTGGCTGAACTGACTTGATACATACATACATACATACATACATACATACATACATACATATCATCAACATTTACCCCCCATTGTCTTTTAGACTAGACTTCTACTTATCTTCTTCACATCAACTTCACATCAACTTCTATCCTCCCACCTGAAGTTCTCTATTGTCCTAAAAGGACAATATCATTAAAAATGTCCGAATCACAATCACCAAGATCTATCCCCTCTTCTCCCTCACAGTCCCTCATGGCACGCCGCGGCTCTTCCAGATCGCTATCCTTAGATATTTCAGGCTTACCGCCACTACAACAACCCACGCCACCTACAAACACCCTGCTCCTCACCAACCTCAATGACACCGACATCTTCCGACCTGATAACCTACAAACCCTCCGTGACCTAATCCAGGCAACCGCACCGATATATACATGGTCCCCATTGAAGTCATTCCGCCGCATAATAGTATCCTTCTTTGACGAACAGGCTGCCATTCAGGTACGGGGAGTATGGGACGGTGAAGCCATAATGGGCGAGCGATGCCGAGTCTACTTCGGCCAACCCACTCCTCTTGACCTACACAAGGACGACCGACTTCAACTACCCGATGCCGGCAAGCTATTCTTTATCAGCCCCCCGCCTTCGCCGCCCCATGGCTGGGAGATGAAGCTGGAGGACGCCCCGAACAAGCAGGTCCACGCCGAAGATCTAGCCGAGGCCTTGGCCAAATTGCGCCACCAGGCTGGTCCCGCCACCGACCTCTCCCCTGTCTCCCCGGTCGACGCTGCTTCTACCACATTCAAGTCCAGGAGCAGGAGTAGCACCCTGATCTACCATCCCGATGAGCACGGCGGTAGCCCGAACCTACCCGCTATCTCGGTCGATGATATGACAGATTCACCGATGCAACTGAACCATCCTGTTAGCGATGGCAACGGCCCCATAAAGGCACATACATCACGGCCGCCTGTGGAGCTCATGGAATAGGAATTCCGCCACGCGGGTCTTGCGGATAACAGGTGTTGACAAAAAAGTTTTATATTTCCATTGCAGTTCGGGCAGTATGGCGTTAAGGACGAGTAATTATGGGCACATGAGTGTAGGGTTTAAACTCGATATTCCTATACCACACAGCATGGCATCATCTACGAAGGGTTACGGCATTGGTACATTGAGCACGTGCATCGCGGATAGACTGAATGTACTCGATTATCACTGCATAATACGAAAGGAGTAAGGGCCGAGAATCAAGAGCGAGCAAATCCAGGAGTATTCCATATAAATATCCATTAAATCTAAGCGTTCTCTACATACATAGGTATCAATCAACAAGTGGGATGTACAAAATATCCATATTTGCTACATTTACACAAGCCATACATCTACTTGCCATATATATGTAGTCTTCTCGCGAAATTACACCTGTAGATATGTATCCATCCATGATAGCCGAGTACTAATCCCTGATAGCTCACCGGGAAGCCACCGATGCTCCCGTAGGATTCAAATGCCTTCCAGGGTTTGTGTATACCTTTGTACTTATCCATGAAATGCACCTTTGAGCACCTCAGAGAAACCTCTTAGCATTCCCCTATTTAGTTTGGTTCGGTATCAAAATTCACACATACTACGACGACTAAATAGATTGGCCTCGGCAGGAACTGGGTAGATCTAGACCAGATGCATATACCGCATGTATGTGTTTGCATACATATCAACAAGCTACCTATGGTCTACGAAGTATAGATATCTACTCACCGAAGAGCCTGCCCAACTAATTACCCACTTCCCTACTCTAACGCAGCACCACGCGGAAGCACCAAAGAGAGCTGCTGACGCGAGCAGCGTAACCAAAGCCGTGCGCTCGACGCTACTACTAGACTTAGTGTTGTTGTTCTTCCGCGACTCCGGGGGTACGGAACCGCGCACTGTCGACGGTCGGTCGAGGGAAGGGATGAATTTCAGGTTGAACCGGGCAGTGTAGCCTAGGCCGCCTTGGGACTTGTCGTGGAGAAGCACCTTGTGGAGGGCTTTGCGGGCCAGCTGATGGGTTGAAAATGTATAAAAACTTCGTTAGATGGGTGTTAAGGGGCTTGTCGGCTTGCGAAGAAGGGTTTTCCTGGGACTTGGATGTGTACGTGAATATGGAAAGGGTTATGGAAGTGTGCTAGGTTAGGCAGGTTTGGTATGACAAAGCAGCGGGCGTAAAAGAGGCGCAGGTTGCTTTGAATGAACTAGGTAGGCAGGTAGTAGATTCGCTGGCTGTGGAGAGATACGATACAGTGTATACCTAGGTAGGTAGGTATTAGGTAGAGACAAGCAGCATATGTACGTATGATACGATATTATGCCTCAGTAGTATGCCCCCGGTTCATAAAAGGACAATATATGGGTACATACTTCCTATCCAAGCTTTTGAGAAGTTTGTGAGCTGGAAGAGGGGTTGGATAGGAGTGGGACGCACAGCCTCATCACAAGAACGAGATAAGACGAGAGCGGGCCTTGGAAAACACCCAAAGCAAACGGGGGGGAGAAGCTTAAGCTAACCTTGATATTCCGGTCATCTAAGTATTCAATGCCTCGGTTTACATAACTTAATATCATGAAGAAAATAAATTGCCCAAGAACGAGAACTGAGTAATACATGCTCGGATGCTCGATTTCCAAAGCCTCTGACAGTTCTCTGCCGTTGAGCCAGTACGTCATTGCACACATGAACTGTCGCGAGGCATACGTAGGCGGTTGGCACTGGAGACCAGAGATGATGTTATTAGCGAGGGTTGCAGATACCGCGGTAGGCTGAATCTCCGCTACCAGCAACGACTCCATCATGCGCCTTGCTGACGCCGGCGTAGACATCCACTCGTGAGGCGCACCCATCAGATACGCAACGTACCGCCAGAGCGCGAGGTAGTCGGTAATCTCCTGCTTCCGCAGCCAGATCCCTTGTCGTGGGAGACCCATCCATATCACTGTTGCCGAGAACGTGTTGATGGTACCTACGCAGTCGAGGTCATTGATCGGAATGCCGAGGGATTCCACGTTGTAGTATGAAGGGTTCACTGCTGCTATCTGTAAAACGCGCCGCCGCACTGCCGCGTGGAGCAGCCGAACGCGAACCGAGTCCACGAAACCGTCACCTCCTGGCTTAATGGATTCCAAGTCCTGGGTCACGTGTAGAGTATGCTGTAGTGTTTCTAGCAGCCGGCGTCTAACAACGTCAGCACTGAACCCACCAGTACGGTTGAGGGTCTCAACGGTTCTCCCACTTCCCATACCCCCTAGCAAGGACATGAAGGTCAACTAGGCAGGCCAAGTTTTTTGTGTTAATTAGGGCTGAGTTGTCAGAATTATTCGACTCACGGCAGTGATAGTCGGGCCTCCGTATCGGTAGAACACTCTTTGGCCCCTTTCTATCTGTTCCCAGTCGACCCAGTCTGGGACGGTATTAATCTCCTTCCATAATCTCCCCGTATCATGATCGTTCGCCGCACACTGTTGTAGCAGCTCATAGAGGTCCCTCCTGGGCCTCTCCTCTGCCTGCGTTGTGCCGTTGCCCTCTCCAGAAAACCCAACATCGGAAAAGCGAGAGGACATATAGTCTAAATGTTCCGCAGCTTCAGTGGCGAGTGTGTCGTATGTATGAATCATTGGTTGCAGGTCTGTTGGCGTGAGATGCTGCGGTGTCCACCTGAACTTCACGCCCCAACGTTCCCTCCAGCTGGATTCTTTGTCCTGCTTATTATGATATGAGAATGGCATGATTAATATGCCTAACCTAGGCTTTAGCAAAAAATGGCATTGGATTGCCATATGTTAAGAGACCGAAATAGAATGCGTTAGAGAAATGTAACGACTCAATAATACTTATAGTTATCTTTATTAATACCTATTATGCATAAAATATAAAATACAAACCTTGGTAAGTACATCGGCTCCATGTTGATTATTCATTATTCATTAAAATAAAGTTTCATCAATCTACCTTCTATGTAATATGTACCCTAGGATAGGGGTACATCGGATGTGAATGCGGATGAGTTGACGTCGTTGATGAGGAGCCTAGCATTATTCTGCTAACTTTTCCCCACAACCACCCATTCCCCACATAACCTTGGCAAGATATATGTACAAAATCTCCTTCACAATTGCATATAGGCCCATGCAATTACATGATATGCACATAACTATTTATACCCTTGTAGATAAGTAGATAAGAACCAACTAGTTATTGTATGTAACTTTTTTTTTTCTTTTTTTAAATCTTGGAAAATTTTGTTCATCCCACTTCATACTTGTAACCTTTCACGCTGTCGTTAGATAGCCCAACACAGGAATATGAGAAATTGTTCTTGCAAGTTAGATTCCTTGAGGACCTTCGTACAAAGTCTTACAGGACTCGGAATATCTCAGCTACCTGTCACGACTACTCGTCGAATCTTATCGCGAATTCCCACTGCAAGTTTTCCGTCAGAACCCGCCTTTTCGAGGCCATACAGTGCTACTGCAGCCGCACGATTTCCTCGTCAAGGCTTGAGGGGATCATATTCTCGCAACAGGAGTGATACACCACTATCAGAAGCTACGAGTCATGAGTCGTCACACAATGCTACTGCCGACCTTTTTGGCGCAGCGCCGCTTGATGCTTCTACAAGCAACCTAGACCAAGCTAAACGCCAAGGTGCAATCCTCGATTTTTCGCCCGAGTCAATAGACAGTCTCATCTCATACATAGACACGTCGTCAACTGGAGGATCTTCTCCGGACGAAGATGTTGAATCCCCTCGTTACCGCAAGCCAAAATCTGACTCGGCGGCAGCTTCTCTTGGTGCCAGCAAACTAAAACGGCTAAAGATCATCAAGGAAGACAAATATCGAGAGAGGGGTCCACGACGCGAGGAGAGAGAGCCATGGCAGATACAAAAAGAGGCACTCAAGAAAAAATTCCCGGAAGGCTGGCACTCGCGGAAGAGGCTTTCACCAGACGCGCTCGACGGGATACGGGCGCTGCATGAACAGTTCCCCGAACAGTACCCAACGTGGGTACTAGCGAGTAAGTTTGAGGTCTCACCGGAAGTCATCCGCCGCATCCTCAAGAGCAAATGGCGGCCCAACCCCGAAGAGGAGACCAATCGCCAGACGCGCTGGTTCAATCGCGGGAAGGACGTCTGGAGTCAGATGGCGGCTTTGGGTACGAAGCCCCCAAAGAGGTGGCGTCGTGAGGGCATTGTGAGAGATCCTATTTGGAACGAGCCAAGGGGTCCTAGAACGCAACCACCGAAGCGTCGTCGAGATCGAGAGTCGCCAGAGTCGCCAGAGTCGCAAGAGTCGCAAGAGTTTGGGAATAGCTGGTCGTAGTTGTATAACGCAAATGAAGAATACCTAAGCATATCTCCCATGAATCTGAGGACTAGCATGCTTAACCTTGTCCCTTTTTTCGATGAATATAATTGTCATCATCAATACCCCTTGTGTATACCCCTTGTGTCTTACATGGCGAGTCTTGGTTCAGATCTACAACGTTATGGGTGACTTTGCTTCACGTAATCTCCGAGAATGAGCTGGTCCTAAACCTTATGAACCTTGGTGATCGGGAACTTTCTAATTATCTATCAATTCCATTTGAGTACTAGATCTTTAAAATCCTCCCATTAGGCAAATCTTGGAAGACGAACAAAAAATATTAAAATATTGTGTGCTTTTTGCGCTGGTAGTGCAACCCATGATCCATCCCTGTAGTATAAAAGTTATTGTAACATGTAAGTCACAGGGTAGTACGGCCTTGCCGTCTCGCCGGTATTTAGCCTTTCAATCTTCGTATCGAATTCGTCACTCCTTGGTATATACTATGATATATATAGATATATACTAGTAATACCCTATATGTATGCTGGGATAACTATATGTGATACATATCGACGACGTAGGTAGTGTAATGAAAACTTGGCCATCTTTCAACCTTGACACATAATGAAGAACGCTGATTTAACTTACATGTTATTAACCTTTGTGTTACATTATCGGCGATGAGCTATGTTAATTGCAACATGATATAGTGATGAGATCAGGGTAAATGTAAACTTCAGTTCAATGCATCGCTGCTCTTGTAGTAGTAGTGTGATAAGGGGGACGATACTACTGTAACCTTTCAAAGGAGCCCTTCAAAGCAACGAGACGTTTGTAAAATATTGATAATGAAGCGTCAATTTAAATCTCTTGATGAACTTTGTGGATGCTGTGCATGATAGCATTAACTACTACATGTATGTATATGTAACTACATAGTCTACATTATGTAGGTATGTACTTTTGAACCGCATATTTTATCCATGTAACTATGTCTTAGTTACCTATCTACGTGGCCTTTCTGACTTCAACATGATATGCTGAACTAAACAATTGTATTGCTTGAATAGACTTTACAAATCTGATATATATCATATAGGTCGGCATGCACGTACTATGTACGTGCGACTTGAATTGAAGTGATGATCGAGCAACATTGAAGCGCTGGAGCTCATATCTTGACAGCTCATAAGAAAAATTTAGACAAGTTTTGCGTAACAACGCTCAGGGAGTGGGCTTCAGGGGTTCCCTGTCGGGTCTTGCTCATCGGTTGGAGTGGATATGTAACCGTGCGTGGCTGCATTGCCGAATGCAGTTTGCTTGGGTGTAATTGGCGTTGTCGATGGTAAGACTTTGTTGTATGTAAGGTACGGTATCTCTATCTAGGTACTACCCACAGGACCTGTATGAGAGTAGATCGATCCATTACATTCAATTGGGATTTTTATAATGTTCAAAAATGTTTCTTCCCAGGCTGATGCGCTTTCAGAAGAAAAAGAAGATAGAAAGTAACTACATACCCTAGGTAAGATCGGTAACACAACAGTAGCTTTGAATTAGAGAACCAATGTGACGTCCTTGTAAACCGACAACCTCCAGAGCTTGCATATGAGCTAGGGTGTGTCCTAGCTGGACCAGGGTAAGCGACCTTTTAGAGAACCCATCACGCCAGAAAGAGCTAACTTGATCCGCAGAAATTCAGGAACAGGCCAATCATTTTAGTTTTTCGGTTCACCCCGTTAACTACCCCCAGTCCAGCTGTCCAGCTGTCTCTTGTTAAGCTCTTGCTAGAGAGGAAACAAAGCAATACTATGTAGTATGTAGTATGTACATGCCAATACATCCACTTTCGAAGAAGTTTCTTCTATCTTAGAGGTCCGAGACTTTGGGGGGTTGGGTCCAAATGCTGTACTTTGCCTATGTACTTTGAGTCTTTGCCTACCTAGTACCTAGTACTAGGTAACTACTTCCAACTTTGTAGGTACGTACATGCTAGACACCTTACCCTACAACTCGAGGCCCAAAATCTCACCTTCTTCACACCTCTTTTTTGTATTTTCCAATTGCAACTTTGCAAGAGCTCTGGCCGTTCTGTAAAGACGGAATTGCTTCAATGACTATTATTATTCTTCACTAGATACCAACCTACTTGCCCTTAAGACCACCCTCTTCTTAAACGAGGTGTGAATTGTTGGTCCTAATAGCCTTTTTTTTTTCTTCCTTCTCGGATTTTTTCTTCACTGGCTTTATCTTTCTCCTCATCTTTCCTTTTTTACTATTACCCTATTATAAACTTCCTCTGCCTAGTATTAATAGTACCTATTTCTTTCACGTCACTGTAAGTCATCGAGGACAATGACTCGCTACGTAGCTTCCGATTAACATATGTACTTCTAGCATTTGAAATTTTCAGCTATCTTCCTTTATACATCCTACTTACCTTCTCATATCACCAGACAAAAAAAACACCATCTATTGTTTTCGCTAGTTTTGTTTCTTGGTTGTCAACTAGTAGTCCACACCTTCTTACTTTCTTACCCCCGAGCACGCTACCCATGACACCTCACCTATACAAAAATAAATCCAGCACTATCAATATTACTTGAAGACAGACTGGTTACTAGTTCAGAATCTCCTCGGTCTTTAAAGGAACTAGTTTGCAAAAACCAATGGCAATAAAATGGCCTCTACTCCTTCGAATCGGTTAAAATTAACCCCATCGAACTCGCCATATGTTCCGCATCCTATTCGGTCACCTTACCGCGGCAGAGGTTCTATAGAGCCTCGCCTGTCTTTAAAAAGGGTCGTCGGTACCACCTGTACCTCACCTACCGGTTTCGATGTCGTGAACTCTTCTTTTGCATATATTGCCGGCGGAGCTGTTGTGGTGGTGGATGTTGACGGGTCTGAATATACTCAGCGTTTCTACCGCGCGCGCCCAACCGCTCTCCCTGTCTACAATACTCCATCAGCTCCTTACTCACCCTCGACGCCGACGCCGACCCCGAAAGCGAACGATAGTCGAAATAGAGTATCGTTGCGGGAATCAAACTATGGCACCCATGATTGGGCTGACTCTTCCACGTCATCGAAAACGTGGACGAGCCGAGAACGTATCAAGGCCGCGACGTGTTTAGCTCTCAGCAAAGAGGGGAGGTTTCTCGCTGTTGGTGAAACTGGCTACGCTCCCCGGGTTCTCATCTACAATCTCGAAGATGACTCGTCAGATACTCCACTTGTCTCTATTAGTGAGCATGGATTTGGGGTAAAAGCCGTCGCATGGTCGCCCGATTCCAAGTATCTTGCCTCCCTCGGATCTGCGAATGACGGTTTTATTTACATATGGAGGATAGACACGAAGACTGGTGCTGCAAAGCTGTTTCAGCAAAACAGATGCACATCTTATATTCGCGGTATGATATGGGTGGGCAATAATTTGATCACCCTAGGCGTGCGTCATATCAAAGTATGGAGGGTCGAGGAGGGACAAACAACGTCTCCAATGAAACAGAAACTCATCGGTGATTCGAGCTCGAACTTGCAACCACATCAGAAGACGTTGCCGGGTCGAAACGTTTTGCTTGGCAACATGATAGAAGCAACATTCTCATGCGCCGCCGCCATCGACGACACAAAAGCTATCATCTGCTCTGAGACGGGGGATGTATGTTTATTCGACGACACGGGCAAGCAGATGAAGTTGACAAACGTCCTCGAAAGTGGATTTGCAACAACCTGCGTGGCGATTCGTGGAAATGTTGTTTATCTGGGGGGTAAATCGGGAAACCTAGCTACCCTCGACTTGGCATCCCTTCTAAGCTGCAACTTGGATTCCTTATGCACGAACGTGGGCTCTTTTGCGGGTTTCTTTGCTATGGGCTTTCTTGAAGAGAACATGGTGACAGTTGATGCCAAGCGTTCTATTCACATTTGGAGATGTGACGATGCCCCGGAAAAACTGGACTTGAGCTCTAGTCCCATCCCTATCCCTGGACACCAAGATTCGATTCTCGGTGTCGAAGCACTGAGTCGTCCTAACGCACCAGGTGCTGACTTTTACAGTTGGTCGGGAACAGGACAAGTTATATTGTGGGACGTTGACGGCAACATCAAATGCTCATTCCAGGTACCACTTGAAGATGCCTCCACCGAAGACGAGCCCAATCTAGTCAATCAATTGACTCTAGTACAAGCTACAGAGGGTGGCAACTTTTTTGTGACGGGAGATAAGTTGGGAATTGTTAAGATCATTGACTTCTCAACGCTTCAATGTGTATCTTCTATGAAAGCACATGCCTCCGACTGTCAATTCATTACCACCTTCGAGAACAAGACTAGGTTCGTCATTGCGACATGCGGTCGTGACCGTACGGCACAACTTTTCCACAAGACAGCCACCGGAGAATTTGAGCACTTCCAAACCCTTGAGTTTGCCGCAAGGGTGGTGCAAGTCCTCGTTCCGTCGGCAGATAAAGTAATAACCTGTTCCATGGACAGAACATTACAAGTTCATGACCTAGTAACAAAAGAGGGCGAACCGGACGCCATGGCGGCTATTCCTTCAAAAAGCTTTCCCTTAAAATCTTCGCCGGCATCAATGGCAGTGGACGCGGACGGAAAGTTCCTATTTGTGTCGCTACTAGATAGATCCCTTTGTATATTTGACTTGGAAAGTGGGAAACTGGCCAATTCATTCAAATGTACTGACGAGAGCGGGACAGAGTCCGTCGTCCTAGATTCCCTTACTGCTCGAGCAGCAACCGATAAGGAGCCTGCGTTGCTCCTAGGCATTTCGAATACGGATAAGTCCATCCGGATCTATGACGGCCAAACGGGGTCTTTCTTAGACCGTGAATGGGGTCATACCGAAGCTATCAATGGCGTAGCTTTGATCGAAGATGAAAGTAGCAAGCGAAGGGTTGTAAGTGTCGGGTCAGATGGCACTATCATGATTTGGGAGATGGATATGCAGGATTCGGCATGGGGCTTCAACAGTCGTGAACCATCTCCAGTCAAGGACGGTTCCACTGTCTCTCGAGCTACGCTTCGACGCGTGCTATCCAAAGCTGAGCTTGCCGAGTTCCAACGAACTTCACCTTTTTCGACCGGACGACGATCGCCTCCGAGGACACTTGCTAAGAAGAGATCCGCGTACAATTTGGCGTCTACGTCATCTGTCAGAACACCACCTGTCCCTACATTACAAACTAGCCCTTCGCCGACAATTACTGAGGATACTCCAACCAGGAGACCATCGGATAGTCGTTCTGGCAGTCCACCAACCAGCCCTAAAGGAAAAGTAAAGAGGCGTCCGTCTCTACCGGCCCTCAACTCGGCAAAAACTAAGAGCAACAGTAACTTGAGAGGGTATGGGTCTTTAAATATGGCCACCGAGCAGGCTTGTCGTACGCTTCGAACCTATCGGAAGAAACTGACCTCCTCGGATCCCGTCAGCCAAGAGGTCTTGGCTGAATTAGACCAAGAACTTCGTCTTACCGCAATTGCATTAGGCGACAGGGCTACACGGAGCAAGGCTATGAGTGATATGATGTTGACTGGTCTTCTCGATCAATATTCGGAGCGCTTAGTAGCTATGCTGGACGAAAAACTACGGTTAAGTTACCGGTCCACTTCAGACCCTGAGCCGGACTCTCCTAGAAAGCGACGTGAGTCGTCAGGAGCTGGCTCTAACAACGACTCTTCATAAAGCATACATTTACCCCATAATGTGTATTAGTTATGTGTATATCACAAACACGCACCATTAAGCATGCTCCAATTTTCATGGGTTACAAGGAGATGGAAGGGAAAGGGGGAAGGTAACACAGACGTCCGTGACTCTAGGCGTTTAGGGGTCATTCATACACTTTTATCGGAAAGGGGGTAATCGTCTAGGAAACAGATGGTTGGACAACGGCGTCATAGCATTTCGGGGAGAAGGGGGAGGTTTTTCTATCCGTTTACTGAGTCCCATTTGTTGGCTAACTCAACATGATACCACCGGACTTGGCAGGAGAAAATAACAGGAGTTGGTGGGGTGGGTGAAAACACGCTGTGCTGTGCTGCTGTACTGCTGTGCTGTGTAGTAGAAGGGAGGGAGGGAAGGAAACCGGGGCCATGGTATGGTAACTTGTCATTATCGTTTATATTTTCTTAGTGACGAAGCTACTTTGTTGTTTTTTTTTTTCGTTAGGACGCATCAATTCATTCTGCGCGACACAGTGGGTAATTCCGTGTCATTATCAAACGGGGGTTTTTTCAAGTCTATTTTATAAAAGTGAATTGTGACGACTTCAACATACATACACACCTATGTAGTTGAAATTGATAAATAAATACGTACCTCAGGTACTCTTCATTCCCAACACCATTACCACCCCGGTCAATATTCCTACATACATACAAGATAGATAATAAATACAGTAATACATGATGGCAGTAGTAGTAGCAGCAGCAGTAGCAGCAGCACGAGTAGGTGCATACCAAACAAGCCAGTCTCCATCGACAGTATAAGAGCGAGCCCCTATTCGATTATCTCTATGAGTTCAAGATAAAGATCCCCATTTTCCATATCGAATACCCCCCCACCCCCTTTTCCCCCTTCCCCTCCCTCCCTTCTTTTCTTTTTTCATCGGATACCTTGAACCTGACCTGACCTGAGTAAACCTAACCTGCTAGGGTACCTAGATAGGTTACGGGTTCATAGGCCACTAATCTATTCCAGACAACTCCTAGAAACGCTTTGGTTGCTCTTCTCCACCCCACCCATCCACCACCCCCTTTTCATTTACATACCCCTTCCCCTTCCTCCCTTTAACCTCCTTAGTAGGTATCCCTTTCTTCCCTCTATCCTTCACATCGCTAATCATATATTGTTCGCTTCACTTATTCTGTTGAAAAAAAGAACCCCCCGCCTCGCTTGCTGGGACATGTTCCTTTGATAACTCGTACAACCACTCACTTTACTTCTCTCTCTCTTCCTCTCATCAATTTCTCGCCCGTACTAACTAACCATACAATTGAGTTGTCATCTCCATGCTTTTCCATTTGTCTTCATGTCAGTTGGTTAATTTGTTTGTCTGGATGTTCTGTAAATACCAAAAAAGATGGGTAGGTAGATAGAGATAGATAATTATACAACAAGCCCCTCAGAGAGCCGCCGATCATCGCGTTCTAGTTTCTCGAGGCCGTTGCACACGGCGCCATAAACCCTTAGCGGGACAGCAACTTCGAAGCTCTCGCAATCCAGGGTCTCGGCAGCGACTAGTACTAGCCCGCCCCTCTCATCGCGTGAAATTTCCTCGAGCAAGGGATGGGCATCTCCCGAACGTGGAAAATCGGCAATGGAGGAGTCTGTGGACGAGGGCACAACGAATTCGATGCGAATCTTCCACTCGAGGCTAATGCCGCTAGTGACGAACTCAGGGGTGGCGACGATGGGGATGGTGGGGTTGAATACAACACGACGTGTGAAAAGCGTAGCCTCACTCGAGCTGCCATACACCTTGCGGGTGACGCGATGGATGCTGGCCTCGCTACGGAGGGCCAGAGTTGGCTCGACGCGCTCGGCCGTCTCTAGGGCAGCATGAATAGCGTAGCAGGGAATCTCAGCTCCGGTAAAGTCAATAGCCATACTCACCGACTCACCCAGTCTGTAGGCGGGACGCGCCAGCATGACGACCCCAACACGGCGGCCATTCCGAGCTATCTCGAAACGGTTACTGCTTTGTCCAGACTCGGACGAGAGATTTGATCGAATAATTGCGAGATCGATGGCATCTTTTGCCGAAGTAGACTCTTCATAAGTAGAGGTACGACGGGATTGCGGAGCGGTAGCGGTTGGGGACAAAAGTCCCATGCCCTGCCGAGGCCGATCAAGAAGTTCCTCAACGTACCCGAGGAACCCATTGTATGTGGATTCCCGTCGGTCAGGCGTGCGTTTCTTCAAAGGAATAGAGGCAGATAATGTCTCAAGGGACTGCACCTTGGCAAGGTCGCGAAGAATAATGTAAGGTGACAGCAGGTCGTGGCCAAGAATCTCGCCATGGTTGTTGACACTTCCTAAGACTCGAAATGGGATCTCGACTGATCGTACTTGTTGTTCCTTTGTCCCGCCCGGCCGCTGGGTGCCAATCACCAAGCTATACGAGATTTTCATAGCCTTGCCCCGATGGGTTGGAGGCAGCCCCTTTGGTAGCTTAAACGAATACTCATAGGTTCGACTCTCGCCAGGAGCGAGTTGTAAGTCCACAAATAATATAGACTGCGGTGTTGATAATAAGGGAATAGACTTGGTGCTTGCAACACCTCGCAACTGCTTGATACTGCTAAGCTCCCCACCACCAAGAAGTTCTCCAATAGAACTACCGAGGCCTCCCCAGCCGAAACTGGTTAAGAGTCCGCTACTTCTCCTTGAATTCTCGACGCCAATAACGCCACCTCCTTGCCCCCCAAGCACGGCCTTCCGTTTAACTGCCTCGAAGGGGCCTAGGTTTATAAGCGACCCATCGAGAGTGAACGAGCCTTGGACTTGAGCGTAGCCCATCATTAATGACTCTGGCAACCGTGCGTGATTAATGGTGGTTAAGTTGGAGCCCCGCCGTAAATGGGGTGGCCTCCGCCCGCCTTGTAACGGCTGCGTAACGTATTCTGATGCTAACGTCTCGGACGAGTTGTTACTCAGCGAATAAAACTCACCACTGCTCCTAGGAGTCCCACCAGCAATGCTTGTCGTAGATAATATTCGTGCTGCGGGGGCTGGCTGTTCGGTAATGGTCGGTATCGAGTCCCTTGGTCGTACTGGGAGGTGTATCCCTTCAACTTTTGAGATGGGGGCGGTCAAGTAATCGACCGGTTGGCCCTGGGGCAAGTTTGAAGTGGTGTCGGTGGGTTGTGGTGAGGGAAGCATGGGGAATTTGAAGTCTGGCATGGGCCCCGGGCTCTTTCTTGGGGAGTTGGTGCTAAAATAGCCAGGTGTGTTTGGGGCCGAGGCGCCTGGGGGACGAGAGAAGCCGTTAGATGGAGGGAAGGAGTGGTTAAACCCAGCAGAGCTTTCCGATCCAAACGGGCGCCGTGGCAGGGCGGCTGATTGTGGACCAGCTATTAAACCGCCCCTCGGGGATATCTGCAAACTAGCGGACCTTCCATGGCCGCGAGGAGGTCGTTGAGATCTTGGCGGAGGTGGATTCACAAGAGACTGTTCTTCAATAGTTGCAGCTGATCCTATTGACACTATAGACAGGGAGCGCTTATGGGTATGTCCAGATGGCTGTGGCGATGGCTGTGGGGGAGTCCATTGTTGCGGCGGGCCCCTCAAGCGCGAGCTGCTCGAGGGGACAGTTAGAGACAAGGTAGAGCGGTGCCCTCGGGCGGAGGACGGAGGGGTCAGTCCATTGTTCGGCTTAGCCCTGGGACTCAGCAGAGGAGAAGGCTGCCTCGATCGTTCGTTTAACGAGGCCTGTGGATGGTGAGAGTGGTTCGAAGGAGGTCTCGTGGGATTGGTACTGGGGGCGATATTTTTGAAGGTTATGTGACACTTGATATCCTCGCCAGCAAAGACAGTTTGGTCATCCCAAGATATAAAGACTCGGATGTTGCTTGATACTCCTTCAGTCGGCATGATGGCACTCCTTCGAGTTGAAGGAGAGTACTCATGTATGTGGCCGCATCGTCGTCGTCGTCAGGCTACTTGGAAGTCGATGGATGAGCTGCCCTACTACAGGCGTTGATTTCTTGTTGGTTTCTTGTTGGTTTCTTTTTATCGTGCGAGGCCTGTGTGCCTGTGTGCCTGTGTACCTGTGTAGTTTCTAGGTAGAAAAGGTAGAAATGATAGAAATGGTGGGATTATTTTGGTGGAATTGAAAGCCAATTCGTACAATTCGTACTATGTAATGGCGCGAGACAGTTTACCGAATTAATAAAATTGAAGGTTCAAAATGTTGAATTGTCAACTGTTCGTTATCACGTCCGAACGTCGCCAGGGAATGGATACATATAACAATAATGCGGTAATACATTATATAGCTTTAAACCCATGCAGGTTTTAGATCAGCAGTTACACTAAGTACCTATGTAGTACTAACTATGTACTATGTAGACTATGTACCTACCCAGGGTATCCTTGCAGATCGGCTCGAGGGAAATCTATTTCCCGAATTAGCACCTCTGGTCCATCATATCGAATAACCCTAACCCAGAACCTCACCCACTCCTTTATCCGTCTGAGTACCATTAGGGATTTTTTGTATAAGTAATAGCTATGATGATGCAATAGTCACGAAATAAAATGCCTTGGATACTTACCTTAGTACTCATATGTTACGATACATAGAGCACAATGTAGCTAGGAAATTGAAAAAGGGGTAAACTACATAGGTAGTCTTAGTGAAGATATGTAGAGTGCCTATATCAACAAGCTGTGAGAAATCTAGAAGATTTGTATTAACTTAGGTAGGTAGGCACCTATCCAAGCTCTTTATGTCTAGGTACCTAGGTAGACAAAGGCAGGTTTGCTTACCTATACAAAAGCTCAAAACACTATCTAGAATCTATTATTATCCATTCATCACATCATCATCATCATCATTCATAGCCTCCACCTCGTTTCCCCTTTCTCTCTCAATAATAATCTTATAGGCCGCATCCGCAGCCCTCGTCAGAACCTCCTCTCGACTGACGCCCCCGCCGACCTCGACGATGACCTCGTCGGCGACTAGCACTCTGCAGACCAACTCCTTCTTGCCGGACCCGTCGGCGGTATCATCACGGATCTCGGACTGGTACTCGACCGATTGGCTCTTGAATGCGGCGTGCTGCCCGAGCCGGTTCTTGGGGTGCAGCGTGTCAACGTTTTCGACGAGCATGCGTTGCAGGTACGGGAGAATGCCTGCCCTCTCGACGACCCGCGCGCACGTGTCCATGCATCCCGAGGAGTCCACCCACACGGCGCCGAGCACGCTCTCGAAAAAGTCGGAGAAAAACTTGGGGATATGGAGGTGCGCGAGCTGCGTCCACGGGTACGTCTTCCCGTGGCCGATGACGTCCAGTATGGCATCTCTCTCCAGCATGTGCTTCTCCTCTGCCACATTCTGTGCTATGCGCAGTTCCTGCGACATATGACGCATGAACTTCCAAAACGGAATCTTCTTCTTAGTCACCATGGTAACCAACCCGTCTTGGGAGATCTCTGTGACCTCCTCGGGGATGGACCATTCCATTCCTATGAAACCGAGTAGGTCCGCGTTGACGGAGGCGACGCGAAAGAGATGCATCTCTCCTTGGGACATTTCTCGCTTGTGTGCCCAAATAAATGAGGTGATAATGTTGTCGAGGATAGCATCCCCGAGGAACTCCATACGCTCCATGCAGGAACCCGCCGAGTTGACGAAACCAAAAGAAGAATGCGTGGCTGCGTCGATAAGCAAGTTCTTGTTACGGAATGAATAACCTATTAACTCCTCGAGAGGAACAAGGCCCGGTGGAAGAACTTCACTCATCGGTGTCTGGTTGAATAGAGCACTGCAAGCAAACTCTAGGCTATGCCATCTGACTTCAGGGATGAAAAGTTTGATGCATGCCAAAGCTTTAGGCATCCCTCCATCTAGGTACGCAGCGCCAATCAAGGCCTCAACGACATCTGCAAGAACCTTTGTACTTATCTTCCTTTCCTTGCCTTCACATGCATCTACCTCTAGAAGATCTTGGACATAAAGTGGTTTCCACTTTTTGGACATGTATGATTCGTAGAGAATGAATTTATCTAGACCAGTCTTGATCGTAGAACGATAAAGTCTCGCGTTGGATACTATATTTGCCTTCATGGCGTCAAGATATCCCTCTGGGAAGTTCGGGTCTTTGTAATTTTGTAATTAGTTAGCATACACTCCACCGTAGGCTGTAGATTTTAACCACATACTATTAGCTGTCACAGTGGCAGTGGTAATCGTCTTGAGAATCATATCGCCAAGAAACTCCAGTCTTTGGTAGTGTGTCGTCTCCAGGGCTGCTGGGGCGCTGATCGCAGTAGTAACCAAAGACATATCCGAAAACCCAACGTCTTTCAATAAGGTATTGCATAGCTCGGTAACAATCAAGCTGACTTCTATCTTGTGCATGAGGACGGGGATGATAGCACCAAAGTAGATGTTAGAAATATGGGTGCCGTCCATTCGGCACAAACTTACAGGCCAGGCTGACTGTAATCTTTGAGAAGTACGTTCGACTGGTTTTACCCACGAGGGCCTCCGTCGTGGCCATTTCTCAACTATCAAAAAAGGACCCTCAGTCGGCTCCTCTCTCAGCGTGTACGGTAACTGTATCGATGGGTCATAGCAGGGCAGCCATTTCTTGAAAAGGGAGAGATTCCCGTCACTTGTGCGTATGGCTGCTGTATCGTCAAGACGAGCTACTTCGATTGGGTCTTGGCCAACCAATCGTTGGAATGGGATATCCTGGGTGGGTGATCGAACATGTAGTGTGTGTTGCATGGCAGTACCCTTGAGCTCTACACGACGATGACGGTACGCTAGATCTATTAATGCTTGACTTTGATCAGTTTGGAGATCATGTGCAGGCAATATTTTTACGTCGCTCGTTTCGACTCTCCAGAATATTGTTGCGGCTAGGAAAACCTCAAAGTCTTCCAAGTGTGGAAATAAAATCGGCATCGAGACATCAAATTCGCACGTTACATTGTCCTGTTGGTCTATTAGACGCACTCGGCGTTGGTAAACCTCCGCCGGGCGACACCAAGCTTGGGCGATTCGTGGCCAGGGGCTCCATCGCCCACGCACCAAGACCTCTGAGTCTCTTAATTGGGCTTGCCGCAGAGATTCGTCCTTCAGGGGCAATAAATTGTCATTGAGAAGGCCAGCCTTGTAGATGGCGATATAAGCTTGGAAAGCAGCATCCTTGCTAGCATTCTTCTCGGAGTACCAGACTCTACTGCTTTCTACTCGTCGGAGGTTAGGTAGCGACAAGGGCAGGACTACCGTTGCTGCTATCAGTGGGAAGTCTTCTGAGGATGCATTTGTTCGTTTGAATATATAGTACGGCCGTGTATCGGAGTATGACTGAAGCGAGAGACCCTTGCAAAAGTGTTCCAGGTGCGCTTTCGCTTGGTCGAAGTCAAGGCAAGCTCCCGTCTCTGGCACGAGAAGAGGTTCAACTTGCGGTCGTTCAGACTCTTCGAGCTCGAATAGTTCCTGCTCTCGTCTGATCTCCTCGGCATACCGCTTCTTCATTTCTTCTTCAAGTGCTGTCCACTCATCAACCTTACACGTAGCAGTATCCGTCAGCAGAACAAGTTTGGATTCCCTCATCCGTGCTCTTCCTCGCCTCTGAATGAACGCCTTCAGATTACTGGGCATGTCGAAGCATACGACCATATTACAGGCTGGAACATCGATTCCTTCTTCTAGAACACTCGTGGCTACAAGTAGGTTGATTTTGCCATTTTGGAAGTCCTGCAGATCTTGATAACCACTGGTTCGGTTGAGGCCACTTAGATCCCTTTTTCGACCTGTGTAATTATTTACGCCAACCATACTGCCAACACGAAACCGCTTCTTTAGTAGCGGGTGGATCGAGAGCATGTGTGACAAGACAACAACCGACGCGATCTCCTTCACGAAGATGATGCCAATGGTTTCGTTTTCGTCAGCCGCAAGTGAGAGCTCTCGCACGAGGGCTGCAAACTTGTCGGAAATACTATTGCTGGCGATGGCATCCTCAAAAGGTGGCAGTGCTGTTATCTTTGCCTGTTCTAAGGCGCTCGCAAGGTATTTTTTATCGTCCCTCCACCATTCACTGAACAACACATCATTCTCCTTCACCGACTTGAGGAACTGAGAGATGACGGTAGAAATGAAGTAATCTACAGCCCACTATATATAGTATTAGCGACTGCCCAATGTCAGGGTTGTAAAATGTGTAGGAGGAAAAAGGTGAGTGAAGCCAAGTTACGAATGGAACGACTTACTGATCCAAGTTGTCGCTGGATCTCGATGCTCTTATTCAAGAAAGACATCATCTGTTTCTGGACAAACGTGCTTCTAGTCTCGAGAGCCTTCCTCAGCTCTATTCGACTACGTTCACTATTCTCTCCTTGCAAGTAGATGACTTGCGGATCCTCATATATGTCTAGATTGTCATACACGCCGATTAGACTCACCGTGGTTTTAGTGAAGGACGTATTATTAGTATCGGAATAGAGGGAGTAAGTGACAGTCGGCCGCTTCACGATGGACTGGAGCTCCTCGCGGTGAATACGCGGACTCCTGCATACGGCATCTAGTGTCTGCTCGATGATTTCTAGAGCTTCAATCTTCGATTTCATGATGGGGCTTGCTGTTAAGCCGAGTATTGATGGAATTGGAAGGCCGGCATTCTTGTTCTTGTAATACCGCTCCATAATCTTGCTTCCGGGATGTTTCCCGACGCAGTTGTGCGCTGCTTTTATTAGTTCTCATAATCTCGGGTGCGAAATAGATTACCCACCTTCGTCAAATACTATCAAGGAGAGCCGATCAATAGGAACAAAGGCATGCGATATTGCATCGAGAAGGACCTGGTAAGTTGAGACAACAACGCGAACATTTCTCAAATAGTCATTCCATATACGAATGTCCGACCAAGTATCTAGACCATCCGCACCACTGAGAAACTTGATCTGGACGGCTGGAATCTGCGATGTTAGTACCCTGGTTTGCTGCTCGCCTAAAGCCACGGTAGGGGCTAAGAACCAAATAAGCTGTCGAGAGTCAACAATGAGTAGCAAGTTTGTGAGTATGCGTTGACTACACTCACCTTCTCGGGGGTGGATTTTTCAAGCTCGGCCTGAATTCTGAGTACAGCACTAAAAAGGAGGTGAGCCCACATCAATAATACAGATAGGGGTAGAACTAGTGATATATTCGATCGTAACGGTGTGGGCAAGCAATTTTCACTTCTTCTAAGACCTGCAGTGCTAGCAGGCTGAAAGAAAAAAAACTTACACTTGTGTTTTACCTGTGCCAGTTTCCATCTGCAGAAGTGAGTTGTTTCAGTCTGGGAACGGCACAAACATGGCGGCATTGACCTACCGCAACGATTATGTTATGCTTGAGACTTTCCTCAAACATTTCAAGCTGGTACTCGCGAGCATGTATAACCATCGGGTCTGGGTTCAGATTGCGTTCCATGAGAATGGCATCGACCTGGGCCTCGGATAGCTCAATCTTTGGGGAGATAGAGTCCTTATGGCACAGGTAGGTGATGTTGCTATTGTCATAGTTTGGGTCCTCGGATATCGAATCTACTGATGATGATGGTGATGGTATCCGGGGCTTAGATTTTGGAAGAGTCATGGCTGAAAAAGGGAAGCGGGTGCTGGTGAATGGGAGGGTTGCTCTGTATTGGGTGATATGGCTGCAGGCTTGTTTGGATATAAGATGAAGTCTATAGAAACAAGAGGTTTTTTTTAGGTCGGCAAACAGGAAACTCATAGGCATCACTGCCTGATCAATGTATGCGTTGGGAGACACATTGGGAAAAAGAAAAGACGTCAGGTTTACACCTATACATACATGTAGTAGACGTATAACATTCGTGGATGGCTGTGTGTGTGTGCATGTAGAGTAACCTGCCTACATATTCATGAATTTCATTTAGCGAATAACATTGAAGATGAATTCGGGAATACATACATATGTACTAATAGGTACTAGGTACTAGGTAAATACCACCTATTAATTACATACGAGGTATAATCTATAGAATTACATGTACTATGTATGTACTACCTAGTACGTATACATGCATCTGCCAAGTACCTACCTACATACATATACATAACCTCCAGATGTCGTCCCAACATTGAATTCCTTATGTATGAACATTGAATATAGTGACAAACCATGGAGCTCCTCGCCACCGGCTTCAATGCTTGGGGCCAACTACAATTTAACAGAGATCAAAATGAAGTTGACGAGCCCGATGACATTCATTCATTTCAACCCATTTTGAAAGATGACTTTATCGGACGCCTCTATCCCTCGTTATCATGTACCTTCGGTTAGTTATACATATCTACATACCTACACACCTAATACTATGTAGTCACCACCCCCCCTGCCTCGAACCAATTCATACTAAGGGAAACAAGTCGAAAACACTTCTGGAATACGACATGCAGGCTTCGTCGAAGATGATCTAGAATGTATCCAGGAGAAACTCCTCTCGTCGACGGCAGCGATTGCAGGGAACGGTATCGTAGCTGGCAAGTTTTTTTCTATTTTTATTTTTTATTTTTATAATTCTTTTATATATATACTTCAACCTAGGATCGTGATTTCTGCCATATTACTTATACCGGGCCTTAGAGTATGACGGCCGAGACACCGTCTTCCAGTATCCTTCCAAATCCAAAGACGAACAGCAACGTTTTACTGGCATGGGGCACATTGTCCAACTGGCAGCATTTGAGACCGGATTTGTAGCGTTATCACATGATGGCAGTGTCTGGTCTTGGGGAGATGAGCGCTATATTGCCTGCCTTGGAAGAGAGGTAACACATTCGAGGTAGGCTACACCACCTTCTACTACAATATTCAGGACTGATAAAAGATGTATAGCCCAGCCGAAAGACCTGGCCTCGTGGAGGAGCTTGAAGACTTACCGACCGGTAAAATAAAAAAGATCAGCGCGGCTGGTTACCTAGTTCTTGCTTTGACAGAAGGATGTGATCTCTACGTTTGGGGTGGGCACCCGGGGCGGCAAGCTCTACTCGAGGGACTATCAAGTAGTCCGGTGCCCTTAGTGGTCGAAGAGAAGGACATAACAGATTGTGGGGTTGGAGAATCACATATAATCGTGCTCACTTCCGAAGGGGATGTATATAGTATTGGCGAGAACGCAAGTGGTCAGTTAGGCCTCCCACTCAAGGAAGCAAGATCGTGGACCAAGGTACCCCTTTGCTTGCGAGCGGGACGTGTCGTTTGTGGTGTAGAAGCAGGATGGCGTACTTCATTTATATTGACCAAGCATCAAATACTTTGACGATTCTGCCTCAATTGGGTCCTCTATGCTGTTCTATGATACACACAAACTCCCCACAAAATCTAATAGCCACGATGCTTACAGATTCGTCAAGTAGTCCTCGATCTCTTGTGGAGTCAATTTTCGGAATCGCGGGCCAGTCGCACCCTCGACACCTTCAACACCGAGTAGGTGATCAGCAGGTGGGCCAACGATGCCTTTAAATTGTTAGCTGACTCTCCAAGAGTATTTTTGTTGCGAATTGTTGCAAGCTCACCAATCTCGACTGTCTCTCCATTCATTTCGCCTTCGATAGTCTCTTTGAGGGTTAGGAGTGCAATGTGCACGGCGTCTTCTAGCTCTAGACCTTCGGTGTATCGCTTCTCCAAAAACGTCTTGGCCGTCGTGGCACTCTTTCCAATAGCGGTCGCTTTCCAGGGGAAGTAACTTCCAGATGGGTCGACCTGATAAAGCATAGGACCGCCCTTCAAAATCCCGCCCGTTTTGCCTGATGGTTTCTTCTCGCCCTCGCCCTCGCCCTCGACAGCTGCCTCCTCATCGGGCATGATGCCCTCGTCCCATCCGGCAATTAACAGACTAACCCCGTACGGTCGAACACCACCGGACTGGGTAGCTTCCTGCATCACTCGAGCGACATCCTGGACTAATATTCTGGTGGGAGGATATTCGTTATAGATTCTCTTGTAGCCGGTGTGAGAGACCTTTCGTGCCCTGTCCACTAAGACTCTGTAATCGGGACCCATACCCGAATAGACCATGCCGATGTTGGGAGTGATCAGGCTGACCTTGGACAGAGAGGAGGGGTCGGCGAGGGGCGAGGAAGACTTCTTCTCGGTGGCTAGGACGATGCCATTTGTCGCTAAAAAAAGTTTAGGTGGCATACGAACCAGCGTTCTAGATGACTTACTGACCTTTGATACCGAGGGCTGTTACACCCTGGTTAACTGCGTTCAAGGCATATTCTAGTAGAAACAGTTTGTTAGCCACCGTCACAAATCTTCTTGGTAGAGGATCATTCAACAAAAGCTACACCCGTAGATATGCGCCTGGCAAGGACTTTCGCATACCGATCTGTACTAGTTTCCCACTGTCTAGGTGTTTAGCTTAGTAGAGTTGTTATAGGATATATGGAGGAGTTTACCTGGGGGAGAAAGTGGTCAAGGAAAACGAATAACGGTCAGCCATAATTGCAGAATAATATTAGGAGACCAGATTGTGGAAGGGTTATTCGAAATTATTAAGTCGGGCGTTGGGGAATATGGTTGTGGTGGATTAGATGGCGAGGCTATGAAACCTCGAAGCTGGTTTGGTGGTTTGGTGGTGGAGAGCTACGGTTAACAGTTGCAAGGTGCTGGTGTGGGTGCTGGTGTGGTGCTTGCAGGTGGGTTGCTCTTGCTAGGCACCGCGAGTTTGCGCGTCAGAGCTCAGCTACTATGTACTTGTACCTAGTACCTAGTTATTGGGTACCTATTACTAGGTAGCAGGCCTTACAGAGACTGGAGCTTTTTAGTGTAGTTAGTTACTTGCACCTGAATTGGAACCTGGAATTTCCATTTTCTAGTGGAGATGACTAATGATACGGATGTACAAGGCACCGGTACCGAATACTACCTTGAATTACATAATCAATTCAATTTCTTCCATGTTTTCTTCCATGTTCCCAGTTATTATGCATCCCCAAATTTAAAAAAGAAAAAACGGTAGGAACGTGGCACACGTTATTCATTATTTCTCCAAATCAAAACTGACCAAGTTGAACTTGATTTGCCTGCGCTTTAAACAATATTGAAGTTGAATCAACTCGAATTGCCCGTAACGAAAGCTTGCCACGTGCTGTGCTGGCTTACGAATCGAGGTTTGCAAAAGCCCTAAAGAATCAGACAATAAGATTGAAATCTGTTTGCAGCGATACAGTGTATGCTATTAGGTGTTCTATCCTTTGAGGCGCACAAATCCTTTCTTCTTGTGCCAAGTCTTTGACCATACGTGGCCAAGTATGTTCCCTGGATCGCCTGTTGAATGATGGTCCGCGACCTCGAACTTCTAAATTCTATTCGAATATTAGGGGTTTCATTATGGTGAGGATTTGAGAAGACGCTCGATTCTTTTTTAATACTGTCTAGCGTATCCTCGGCTTTATTCCTACTATAGCCTATAGTCAGGCATTCTAGGCGGCCCCGTCGTTCTCCGATCCGCTATCATCTCGCAATTCTTACTTCTTCAAGCATCGCAGAGAACTAGATATAAGCCGATACTCCAACCAAGACCAACGGCTTATTTCTCGCCAATATGTCGTTCCGAGAAGAGACAAGGGAGGCTCAGCCTTCGTCCGGAATCGCTTCTGGTAATGATTATTCTTCAAGGCCAGGACCGCAGGATAAGCCAAACCCGAGTGACTCGAGAAAGCATGTTCGCATGTGCTGGATCTGCCACGATGACGTAGAGCCTACGTACGAGGAGACGGGGTTTTTGGACGGTATGCGGAACCGGCGCCCGAAACGACATTATGTGTCTGAGAATGGAGACCGCCTTATCAATCCGTGTCATTGCAAAGGCAGCGTCAAATACGTCCACGAAGGGTGTCTCAAACTGTGGATGAACGAAAACCCGAATGCTTGGAAATGTGGTCGATGCCAATATCAATATAGGATGGAGAGATTGAACTGGGCCCAGCGACTACGGAGTCCAATCCTAGCCTTGGGACTCACCATCTTCATCCTGTTGATCACAGTTTTCCTACTCGGCTTCATAGCCGACCCCATTCTTAACTTGTGGCTTGACCCTGTTGGTACCATTGCAGAGTCGGTTACATCTGGTCATATCATTATGGATGACGGTATTGAACTGTCACCGGACGCAGGCTGGTTTGACCATTTCTTGAAGGGGCTCTTCTCGTTAGGTCTCCTCGGATTTGTGAAGGCATTCCTTGTTATGAGTCCTTGGCAATGGTGGAATTTACGGACTAGTGGTATAATCGGGGGAGTGGGTGGCCGTCGTGGTGGTACTGGGCGTGACCGAATGGAAAATGTTAATATGACCCTTGTCCTCATCGGCGTACTTACCTTTTTATATGTAAGTTTTTGTTTAGTGGCACCTGGTGCCTACGTATGCAATGTCTCGCTAACTTTCTTAGACTGTGTGGAAGGCTACTCGAAAATGGACCGAGAAGACCCTTGATAGGGCGAGTCAAAGGATTTTGAACGTCCAACGCGACAACAATGACGATGATGTTGACAGTGCTGATGAAGAGGACTAGCATTAAAAAGCGAAAATATAACCTACCGACTAATTTTTTGAAAGACCTTCAAGGCAACTGAGACATATGACAGCTTTGATCATGACCGTCTTGTTGCATCGTTTTGGAATTATGTACTGTTTGTTGGATGCATTGCACACTCTTAAGTTGCCTCGAAGTTACGCTTCCGTTTCTTGTCGACTAGTCTGTGTGCAAAGATTGATATCTTGTTACTGTCTGATGGGTTTTGGGCGTCTTGCTTATACCCGTATGCAGATATGTTCAAGGACGTCGGATCTCCCGCCCTATGTTGATGGCTCTTTTTGAGCCGAATCTACGTCTCCGCCCTTTTTCTCTTCCTTTGAGATTTATATAAAAGGTGTGGATTGGCAATTTTCGATACAGAACAGAATATAACATTCCATGTAGTTGCATACCTACCTATCTAAGATTCTACCTACCTAGTACTAGGGTGGTAGTATTGTATATAATACGGAAAAATTGGAATCCATTCTGTCTGAGGTTGAATTGCATGCATGTGGTATTAATTCAGGATATTTCAGGATGTTTCTTGCATAGATGCCAAGTCGTACACGGTAGAATTTAAGAGTGAATTAAGATGGAATCTGATGGATTATGTAGCATTTGAGGGCAACCCCCCATTTATTCAAAGAAGATATCCAATAAGATGCATGGATATAGGTGGTCTAGACGTTAGATACTTTGATACTTAATTATCAAATATCACGGCAGGACGGGGGAAGGACTGGGGGGTCAGCTGGGGGTCGGGGGACACGTTCGACGGTTCGAGCCATTTGAGCCAACAAGGATGCAAGTTAGGGCCTGTTAAGGCATTCTAAATTTCTAACTTTAATTGATGTTCAATGTTAACAATTACTAGCGTAAATATCATACGAAATACTAATAAATATACTGCGACATAGGTAGTAGGTACATGCATGGATAACTACAGTTTTTTGCGACATGTCAAATGCCACGGCCTTTTCGCGCTGATGTGGTGATTTTCCAATCGATAACCATTAACTAATACGTTATTGTTAAGCTTCTTAAGAAGATTCAAGAATTAATGCGATTTTAATGCGATTCGAACAGGATCAGACGCCAAAAGCCAAAAGGATTTAATTTTCCAACTGCTAGGATTAATAGGTTAGGTTAGCAACGTGCGCTTATCTTTCTTCCATCTTCAATTCTCCTTCACTTTCTTCAACGTTCGTCGCGATCGATCAACATCAATCAGTGATGATACATACATAATACTTCCAAATAATACCTATACATGCCTATACATACCTTTTTGTCCCATCATTTGCGCCAAAGTGGCCACGTCCATTCACTTCTAAACTTTGGGCAAAGTGCCGGCCTCTTGGCTTAATCGCTCGCTACTCACAAAGCCAAAGGTTGATTATTTATTAATTTGATTTGATTTGATTTGATTCGATTTCGATTTCGATTTGAATTATTTCCATATACGCCGTCAAACACGGAGACACTGAACCTGGACACTGAACGCAATCTGGGTAGGATTAGGAAGGCAGGAGGTCTTTTACCACTGCTCGACGCTATTCATATTTAACGTCACCCACGCCTCCGTGTGCGAATCGACTGCCTTTACTTCCCTTCCCTCTTCGATTCTTTCGATTCTTCGATTCTTCGATCTTCCACCTTCCAACCTTTCCAACGGGGGACATTGATTCCCTTCATTGGCATACATAATGCATTACGCCTACCCCCCTCGAAAAAGCTCGAACCCACCGCCTTACCTACCCCGTTCATCGCGAATACCGAGAATACGGAAGAGTCACTTAAGGTCGATCGCTTTGTTGGTATTGGCCATCTTTGGTTTGGTGTGGCTATTTTCCGGCCGCTCGAGACATGCTGGGCGTCGCACGATAACGGGAAAGCCACCAGTCGTGTTGGTGACCGTATTCGACGACAAAATTGTCGATTCGTTATATACCAAGAATATCCGGGAAAATAGGATGCAGTATGCAGAAAAGCATGGTAAGGTCGACCAAACCGTGGTTTTAATATTTCGTGCCTAGAATTTCCTAACGACGAAAGTAGGATATGGGACATTAATAGCTAAGACGAGTGATTACAACCTTAATGGGTCGCCTACGTCGTGGGCGAAGGTCGTGGCGATGCGTCATGCATTGACCAAGTATCCGGATTGTAAATATATCTGGTACCTCGATCAGAATGCGCTTATTATGAATCCGCACCTAAAGGTGGAAGACTACGTGATGAGCGGCAGCAAACTCGAAAGCAGCATGTTCAAGGACCTCCCGGTCGTTCCTCCAGATAGCATTATCAAGACGTTTTCACATCTAAAAGGAAACGATGTCGAGTTTGTTCTGACGCAGGATAAGGAGGGTTTAGCTTCGAGCAGCTTTGTGATTAAGAATGGCGAATGGGCAATATTCTTCCTCGACACGTGGTTCGACCCGCTGTATCGAAGCTACAACTTTCAGAAGGCTGAGACTCATGCTCTGGTACGTCCATCTGACCGCCTAACCCTTTTTTGGCAATGGGGGGAAGAGTTCTAATAGGCTATCAGGAACACATCGTGCAATGGCATCCGACAATTCTATCCAAACTAGCCATTGTCCCACAACGAATTATTAATGCTTATAGTAGTAATGATCACGGCGAGCAGTACAAGGATGGAGACATTGCCATCGTATTCGCCCGCTGTTCTAATACGGGAGACAAGAGTTGTGCCAAGGAGGCGGAGCGATTCTCTCAGCAATGGCGGACGTCGTTTTCAAGGGCATGAGGATAACTACCGAGGATACTGAGGATACACGCGATGATGTGCTGACGACAGCCGATTGACTGCCTCAGTGCGGGCACTTAACTCAACAATTGCGCGGCAGCGGCAGCAGAGTGAGGCAGGCGGCTACACATTAGTAATGGGTTATGGGCGTTCAAGGAGCATGATGACAGGTAGTAGATTCGGATATTCTAAACGGACCGGTATTCGATTAGAGGGACTCTAGCATTTACATAGGTGTTTTGATGGCTTGGAGATCCCCTTCTTACAAACGGCCGTCACAACGTCTGCGGGATGTATTATTTCTCACTCGATTTCTCACTCGGATGAGGGACGGGCAAAATTACTAAAACTTTTGGTTGGTATATTCTTGAAGTTGAGCACCATAGTCAACTTTGGAACCGTTCTATCATGTATAGTTCCTCTCAGCGAACGATTTAGAATATATGTACGCAATTGACGTCAAATATTCAATGTTGTATGTGAGTGATGTAAATACATACCTAGTGTTAGTACTGTGCCTCTGGACTTCTCAAACCCATACATAGCCCTGGAGGTAATCCTCAACAACTACCACAGTATTGAGTATTGAAGAGTCAACATTGAATGTCGTGATCATGATAAGGGAACCTTTTTGGTTGGTGGTGTTGATTGACATGAGATACCGTGGATACCTGGGGTTCATATGTACATAGTAGGTAGTATGTATGTAACTACATATACTGCAAGAGCTACATACATGTGCCTACCTCATATTCAAATGCCAACCCTATTTTCGGCTCGGGTCCATCCGATCTTAAGGAGATGTTTCAGCCCACGCTTAGTAGCCCACGCTTAGTAGCCCACGCTGCCCACCTACCTAGTAACCTACATATGTAGGTATACTTCGTATAGTGCTTATGTGCCTATTCAATGTTCTATTCGTCTGAACATCGAAGAAAAAGAATCCTTCCAGGGCTCGTCATGTACATAGTAGGGAATAAAAAAAAAGAGCAGGTTATAGGATCCTGCAAGTAGACTGGGTAAGCGTGCTAGGTAGTATCCCCTTCAAGCCAAGGAGATCGGGTCTCTTTGGATTCAATGCCAGAATACCGGAACGTTTTCGTTACATACATATACCCGGATCCCGCAAATTTGGGTAGACATTCAATGTTGTTGCCCGATTATTAACATCTCTTTCCTTTTCCTTTTACTTTTCCTTTTCTCTCTTTTTCTCTCCCTCTCTCTGTCCCTCTGTCCCTCTGTCCCTCTGTCCCTCTCCCCTCTATCTGAATTCAAACAAACAGTTGATCTTTCTAATAACCTACATATTCAGGTACCTACAAATTTCCATTGTAGAATTGAGACCTCGAATAAATGATGTTAACCTTCCAAAACCGGACGCGAAGTCAATGCGGCTCATCTAGATTGGCCGGGGCACGCCGCTCAATCCTACCTTGTTGAGGCCCCTATTTAGTCGTTTCTGCTTGTAGATCATACAGTTGACCCCAAACCACCGAAAAGGGCCACTCACGCTGTCAGCTTGAGAGGTGACTGCGGAGATCAGACATACCCCGGTTGGCATCTGAACAATTTGTAAGGGAACCTCAACTAGGCAATCCTCATCATCCAGTATCTACGCCAATGGTCCGGCTACTATCCAACGAACGCATGAACAAACATGCTCTGCGTCGATAGTTCTTGGTAGATCGTTTCTACCGAGCAACATGCCGAGGCGAATAAGACAGGGTGGAAAGAGTAGACGTCTGTGCCCATGTGCTGCTCTCATATGTGCTTTGACATTTCTCTTCTCGTTTCAACATCGTCTATCGTTCCTCTCTTCTTCTTTCCTCTTTCTTTTTTTACATTCTTTTCCTATCCTGGCCACTTAGTCCAGGCGATTACTTCCAATTCTAGTCATTCGTTATGGGCTCTTGAACAATGCTGCGGAGCGGGCTCTTGCGGTTTTTTATACTGGTCGCGCTGGGCACGATAGGGATTTGGGGTCGTGAAGGTGGAGATGGAGAAGGGGGCATCAACTTGGCATCCCGGGGAGTGGCACGAGTGCCGAGAGACGACGAGCCATTGTTATGGAATAACTTCAAGCATGTCTCTCTTGGGAAAGATGACGCAGTAGAAAGACTTCTGGTGGAAAGGGTACCCGACCCAACGAGGGGATATCCTAGAGAACAGGCCGCGCCAGCTTTAAGCACGCCCAAACCGACAGCACCGCCACAGAAGCGTCAGGATGATGGACAGATACAGGCGCTCTCGTCACAGTTGCGATCGCTTTCAGAGTCTGCTACCCAAGCCATATCGTCCGTTTCCTCGAGCGCCTCTTCGGCTATGAGCCTTGTATCTCAATCCATACAATCCGTTCGACAGTCCGCAGACCAAGCGGTCCGGTCTGCTAACCAGAATGCCGACAACGCTAACCGACAGCTATCTCAGACCCAGTCGTCAGCTTCAAGCGCTGTCTCTGCCGCTACCCAGCGAGCCAGCGATGACATGTCACGCTCATTATCGAGTATGAGCAGTCGTATTTCTTCCAACCTAGCTAGCGTCCAAAGCAGCGCGAGCAGTGCCATAAGTGTTGCTCGGGTAGAGGCAAGTTCAAGTGCGGCGAATGCCGTAAACATAGCTGCTAGTCAAGTTCAGGGAGCAAGAGCTGACGCGACTGGCGTAAGGGTACATTAACCGGTCAATATCCATTTTATATTGAGAGCATCGACTAACGTGAAATGGTAGGGTGATGCGAGTTCTGGCGCGACACAGGCGCAATCTAATTCGATTTCAACTACGACTCTTGCCATAATAATCACCGCATCAGTCGTCGGAACTGCCATACTCACCGCTATCGCTGTATTTTCCATTGTTCGCTATCGGCGCAAGAAACGAGGTGGTCGTGAAGCTGAAGTCCCAACTATAGCTACGAATGATCGCGAAGTACAACAATATGAGAGGCCGATTGCGGTCCGCGAAACCTTAGAATCAGCGATACCTCGCTTCACACCATTTGGCGGAGGGACGGGCTATCCCATGGACAAGTTCAATCTTCCTGACTTGAGTCTAACTCCCTTCCTGAAGAAGAAGACCAATGAAGAAACCCCGAGTACTGTCGGCTTTGCGAGGAACAGCTACCCTTCTACAGATGGTGGGGAGGTACCAGCCAGTAACGACGTCTACGGTGTTTCGCCGACGAGCTTTAGACTACAAAAAGAAAACAACATCAAACGTGCAACAAGCGTGAGAATAATCAGAGTAGGCAGCACTAAAGGCAAGGCTAAAGCATCGGAGGACCAAAGGGCCCTTTTGAGCCCTACACCGTCAATACCTCGTGTGCCGACGCCATCATCATTTGCAGAATCAACACAAGAGCCAGCACTTATATCACCAGAAATACAACAGCAATTTCCTGATCCACCTTCACCGGCGAAGCCGCCACCTGCAGAACTTCCACCAGTAGCTACTCGACCTGTCCAAGATCCAGAGATGGAGGAACCTGGCCTGGGCCCAATGAAGCATACGACAACTATGAATAGTCAACAACGTCTCCGTTTCCGCGACAGTAGCGACGTGGAGTCAGCAGAACCATCCCCAGCTAGCTGGCAAGCGTCGGCCGCTCCCAGTGCTATGCGGAACACGAACACAGCTAGCCTGCGTGCTATTACGGATGGAAGCGATCTGTCGCCGTCCCGACGACCTAAGAATGCCGGCGCTAGCTTTGCTACGTTCCCCAGGGTACGCAACGGTCCGCCTAAGGGCTCTGCCGCCGAGGCAATCTTGAACAGGAATCGTATCGGGCTAGACGGGATCACGGCGAGGGCACGTGAGGAAGCAGAGCGCAGGCGGCGCGGTCTAGATGAAGGTAGCGGTGACGATGCTACGCGGGTTGTGGAGAATAGGGATGGACCCGCGCCGAACTGGCCTTTTGGGAATTCTTGACTTTCCTACCTAGGTACTTAGTACTCGCCTAAATTATAGGTTCGTAGCAAGAGAGCAGGAAACTCGGTTGGATATGGGTATAAGTGGTTTTAATTCGAGACAAGACACCATGATTCCCATGAATCTGAGAAGGGGGAAAGGGGGGGGGGGGGGGGGGGAGGATGAGATGGAAAAGGGCAAGGAAATATATACCGAGCCATATCCCGTACTCAGGTAGTAGTTGGTAATCGTAACTACAATGTGTAAAGCCTCTTGGAAAATACTCAAAGTAGTTAGCTTATTAATTATTTTATTTACTCAACATCATTTTTGTCTTACGCCTAAGTATCCTCCAGAGCATGTGATCGTTAGATAATGCACCTATAAATCCTACCTAGTTACATACTCAACCTCACATATAACATGGGATGGAACGAATACAAATAAAAGCTACCCGGCTTAAGTATGTGTACCTACTCACCCCTAAACCATATATATATATACCAAGGTATGTATATAAAGCTTTATCAGTTACACAACACACCTACCTACCTACCTAAGTATCTACTTACTTACTTACTTACTTACCTACCCACAAGCCTAGCCTCGGTGTCCGTGAATGGCAACCCCGGTGATATGATGATACGAGGTCGAATGCGGATAACACAACATAGGCCCTTACACTAGGTCAGATGAATGAGGTGTTGAATCACGATGATCTAGGTGCCTAGTACTAGACGCTTTCATAACTTTTAGTTTCTCAAGGAGATTCCCTCATCCCCCCTTCCCACCTAAGAATCACCAGTTTGGCCTGGTAGGCTATTGGCCATGATGTTTTTTTACCCAGTATATGTACGCCGGCCGAAGAATCTAGTAGCAACCAGCCAGCAGATCACGCGACTATCTACCCTACTACCCAAGAAACGGCTTCGTGGGGGGAGGCGCGGCGTCTTATTCTTGATTGGGTGTGTGATCCACGTCTGACCTCTATATACGGCAATGTGTCACTTTGCTAGTCGTATTAGACCAACGATGCAGGAAATTCAGCTTCCACGCATTTCTATTCACCACGCGCATGAGCTTTCAGCTGAAGCAGGGTGGTAGAGTAGTAGGATGACAGGGTGGCAATCTACCCCGATCCTGATACATTTTCGAGAAGCCTTGTACGTAGTAGCCCCCGCCTGTTTCTTCTGCGCACCACTCCGATTTGTAGATGTGCCGGTTCTAAACACCTGCTCAGGAGGCGTATGTATGTAATGCCCTTTTTGCTGTACTAAATCTTAATGTCAACAACTCTATCCCATGTTGTCCACAACGCCTAGTTTTATGCAAGTTCGGCCTTGCCGCCTTTCCATTGGAGAACAGCTGTGAGCAGAATAGAAGGAAATGAGGTTCTAGTAATACTAAAGCCTATCCCCTTCATTAGTTTAGTTCTCTTCCTTCCCCTAATCAGGAATAATAGGCAAGAGAGGTGAATGCTATGATGCCGAATGATAGAAAAATGAATATCTCGAGGGGAGATACCACTAACTCCAGGTTCCTGGTCTATGTAATTGTCCCCAAATCTCAATGTAATCAAATGAATCGAACGGGTAAGAGAAGAATATGCGCCGACCTGCAAAAAGAGAATTGGGTCATTGGATGATGTTGTAGATAGTTTTCCCTAAAGATTTTTGTCAGATGGAAGGACCAGAGCTTGCTAAGTTCTGTGCATCGTGGATAGTTCCAAAGCTTGGGAGAGCTCGGGTCGGTCGGAAAGGGCCTCCTTCGCCTCGGAATACGTGAACCACTGACGCTCCCTCTTGTGCTTCTCGGGCCAGTTACTTTCCTCTGACACGACTGTAGCTTCGTAAAAACGATATAATGCTTTTGGCGCTTCCTTGGACAGCTTTTTGGGGGGGCGCGAGTCAATGACTTCGCCGAGGTCATAGTCGATACGGATGATAATACCGGCTTCTTCCCAAGCTTCGCGTTCGGCGGCCTCTGTACATTCTTCGTCCGATTCCCAACCCCCCTTGGGAAGAACCCAACCTTTCCTTCTTGTAGATTGGATGAGCAATACGTATAATCTATCCTCCGTCAGAGGTACCACTCCCGCTACCAATCGTTCACCCTTTGAGTTGTAGCCTGCCAGTTCAAGGGTCAGTTGGTCTACGGGGTAGGCGATTCAAAAACCGACGCGCCGCGAGAACAAATCAATCAAGATAGATCGGTCAAGAAGCTTGTAACAAACTTACGTTGTTTGCTTCTACCAGTACGAGACTCCATTGTACGATTATTCGACGAGCCGGACGCCATCTTGGGAGTTTTGGATGTTGTAGGGCAACAAGGATGACGTGTCATTCAGACTCTACCTAGGTAGTAGATCAAAGGCGTAGAAATTGTGGTGCTTTTGTTGCTGAGAAGTCCTGGGCAGAGGTGCCGGCCAGATGGAGCTGGAACTATGGCGATTTACCGGACAATGTTGAGCTGCATGGTCATATATGGTCTCAGAATATGGCAAAGTCGTCGATCCGCAGCAGGGTAATGTGATAAACCCGTAGTCTCGTGATGCTGGCGTGGTGGGTGAAGCCGTGAAGCCGTGGTATCTTCCTACTAACTTTTTCTCTCTACTGTTTGCTTGCCGAGATTAAGGCTCAACGCACAAATTTTGTTTTGCAGGCTCCTGGGGTTCCTGGGGTTCCTGGGATTCCTGGGATTCCTGGGATTCCGGTCCTAGCAGCTAACAGGGAAAGGGAATGATGAGCGGTATTGGCAAACTTGTATACAAGTCTGCGCAGAGCCTAGAGTCCTAGACACACACGTTCGAACCCACGTGTGACCTCGGGGGTTTTTTTCTTCAAGAGGTTCGGAGAGGGTTACGGAGGTGTAAAAAGGAGGCGCGGCAGATCCGGAGGGTTGCAGTAGTCAAGGTAGCGGGCGGAAGAAGGAAATGGTCGCATATGCCGACTTTCTATATGGCCTTGCAGCTGGGGGGAGTGTTATTTTTTTTGTGGAGAGTGAGGGAAACACAAGAAATCCGGGCGGTCAAGTACTAAGTAAAAAGTGTATGGATACTTTACTAGTATTAGAAAATAAACTGAGATGGATGTGATGATAGTTGTTGAGCCAGCAACGAGTGAGTGTACGAGTGAGTGTAAAAACTGCGGTTCTGGCTAGACCAGCGCGGCTGTTGTAAGTCTCGTGCCATGCCTTTAATAAAATGGAGGGGCACAGACAAGGAATTGTAGGCAGAGTTGGTTTTTATAGTACTGTGTCTCTAAAAAGGGAGTTGTTTAAGGAAAAAAAAAAAAAAAAAAAAAGGAGCCCCCAGCCCAGCGTACTATGTACACTACTATGTACGAAGTACACTAGACGAGGAGCCGCGGACCAGGGCAAAGGCATGAGCTAGGAAGATAGGTACAACTTACCTCTAAGCAAGGTTGTAAGATGCAGGGCCCAGAGTCCCAGAACTACCTAAAAGGTACCTAACCAGGTAGCTAGCTAGGACCTGCTAGGTACCTACAGCAGGTATGCAACTTTAAAACTCGAATCTTTGGCCTCTTGAAAGTATCAATTGATACATTCTGATGTCCATGTTAACATTAGTACTAGGTAGTTATGTATGATTGATACATACTACAACGCAGTATGCACCGTGCCACCAGGAAGCTTGGTTCCCAACATTGAATGCTAGGTGAGGTAAGGCAAGCCATACAGCTTTGCCACATGAACTTGAACGAGTAGGGTAGCAGATACAGTAGACGCAACGAATGATAACTTTCCAGAGTTTCAAAGACTTTCAAGGTGTGTTGCTTGTGTTGCTTGTGTTGCTTGTATCGCCAGTAAAGCCGGTCATGTAAGACAACATAAAACATAGTTATGTAGTTACCTCGCTCGCTCGCTCACTCGCTCACTCACCTACCTAACTTGCATGGTTTAGCTATCTATGCTGGTGCGTTTGAGTTGGGTTGGCCGAGCTGGTCGAGTACACATGATGAATGTATAATCATGTACGGCGTAGTATGTATATCATGTATGTCATGATATATGTATGTATGTTAGTATGTAGTACATGTCATATGTACGCTTCGGTAATAAATCACACGCACGAAATGTCCAAAGTAACGAGCACTAGTATGTAAGTATGTACTGCCTACCAGGCCCTACCTACATGCAGTACTTTACCGTAGCTGGAGGTAAATACTAGGAACCACAACTGGAGGGACCGTAATCCAACAACTTCTGGCTATGGGTCCTAGGCCCGAGGCTAATAAACTGGCCGTGTTGGCAGGGGGTTTTATCGAGAGAGCAAAGAGAACGCGAATGAAACTAGAGTGGAGGAGAAAAGTAGGCAAAGGGAAAATTTTTGCTCAGAAAAATGGACTGGAAGAATCTACATTTGGAGCTAAAGATTGTGGTAGCGACCTCACTACTTGCATTAGACTCAATTAATCAGTATATACACCTTTAATACCTAATGTTCACCTAAGCATAAGTTATGTACACGCCTAGGTACATATATAATATCACCAATATTCATATGTATTTGTATGTATTTGAAGCGGTAAAAGAGAGATTAGAAGGGATGAATAAACATCATTATGACCCACGAACATACCTACATATATACATGTATACATGTGAGGGGCTTTGATGAAGAGGAAAGTTCCGAATAGTTAGTATTGCTCGCATCTACACTAATGCCAAGAATGATATTCCTATAGCAAGATAAACATCTTTACTTTTTAAGGATAGGGCTGGCTTTAATTATGTACCTCTTACCTGCACTCTACTCTACATATGTACATACCGTCGATCAACGATACCCCCTAGTTGAAATACTACTTGAGCACACATCCATGAATTGTAGGAACTTACTATGGTTACCTTTGCATGAGCAAGTAGACATTGGCATGCGTGCTTTCATGAATCCGTTGAAAGGGGTTCAGCTTCTTATGCGGCATCTCGATGGTAACCCAGTTCTGTCAAGAGGAAGCAACTGTATTACTATAGTAAGTAGCAAACTCCATCTGAGTGACAACACCAAGCCGAGCCGTTGACGTACTTATGTAGCACTTGAAACTCGAACGAAAACATATCATTCTATTTACTTCTACATGTAGGGCTGTAGGTTGTGCCGTCGTCCTATCTACATATACACATTCAATGTTGACATGTATGTACATAACTTTAAGAGGGTAGGTACCTAGTACTTGATATGTTTTACCCCTTATCCATCATTTCGGTATTATATACTAATACTAGTAGTATGTATGTGCCATTTGAGCTCCAGACATCATGTCTACACTTACATGTTGGTTATGTACTCGGTACCTAGATATTATACATACAACGTTTGAACTTGAACATTAGTTAACTACATAACTAGGTTAGTTAGGTATTCATAAAGGTTGGGTTGTACAATTCGTCATAGCACCTGCATAATGTCATGCAGGCCTTAATCCAACGCTGCTACCTCAAGAAACAGTCAATTCCCAATCCATTCAATCTTCAGTTTAGGTAGGCACGTACGTGACACTATGTAAGTGGTACGGCAGAATATACCTCTATTCCGGCGCAAGGTTAGGTACCTGCCTACATATATGTAGTACTAATTTATGAAGAAATACATAATCTACGACTTCTTCTTCTCTTTCACAACATTGAACCAGGACATTTCAATGAACATCGATTCAAGTTGGAACCAACATTGAATCTTCAAACTTGCCAAGGTACAATAACCACCACTGTTAACCACCACTGTTACTACTTAACTATGTATACCTAGATATGTATCCCCCACACACAGTGTCTCAGTTTGATACCATACCCTTAGAAATATTCCACACAAACCATCATCGTCATCATAATAATAATACTTATTTAAGCTTCATCGTCTGACTCGACACCGACTCTTTCATTCGATCCGATCCACATCGTACACACATCAATCATACATACATAACATAGTAATGTAGGTATACATAACTACACTACACGTTACCTTGTCTACTTTGTCTACTTTGTCCAAGCCCCCCCATGCGCGCGTGCGGTCTTTCTCTGATCAAGTGTCCTGTCTGACCGTCTCATTAGTCTAGCCACCGCGGGGCGCAACTTGAAGGATGCAGGCCCCCCCTGAAGATGCATTTTTGTATATATCGCCAATTGGTAAGTTAGACCATCATCTTAAGTCTATCTACCCCAGAACCCCTCTTACGCCTCCTCAACCAACCATTCCAGCCCGTGCTGTGTTGAGACAACCTCGTTGGCCAGCTGGTTTACATATAGTTTTATGGGGAACGCAACACTCCATCTTGTCCGTTGGCACGCCACTACCAGTCTACTGGCGTCTCCTTGAACGCCGCACGGCTCCGGAGTGCCTACACACGGAACACAGAGAGATTGTGTCCATGCCAAGCATCCATTTATTACCACACAATCAGCCACAGCCTCAAGGGACTTGGTGTGAATCTCACGTGTCACTTTGACCAACCCTTCACTGTTTTTGACTTCGTGCAATTTTTTTCTTTTTTTTTTTTTACTTTCGGTCTCTCCCCTTTTGCGTCTATTTTCGTAAACTATAAGTGTGATCAAGTGATCAGTGATCAGTGATGACTATGAAATACTACACGTATATACCGTATATTCTCTTTCTCGACCATCTCTTACTCAGCTAAACACAAGAGCTGGACCTGACACCTGAAAATGACCTAAGTAGATTACCTATAACTAACCTGTTGTAGGCTATAGAAGATCATCTAGTTGCGGCTACTGCCGTCGTAAGGGTATCGGTCAGTCCCGGGAAATGCGTCTATACGGCCAGGCCTCACGATCCATTACCCTCCATTACAAACTCACCTAACCACTGATGTTCAGATGGCTCAGGTATACATTCCAGTTTTTGTCGTGCTACCGTTAAAAAGCATATTGCTCCGTGTACCGTTCTACATAGATTTCCGGCATAAGCACATGGCGCGTTTCGCCGTCGTGATTTGAGCAATGTTGTAACTTACCTTCATCCCTAGGCCACACCTACTATGCACGTGCAACATCCATGAGCCCAGCTGGCTACCAGACTCTCATTGATCGATGCTGGAGACGGTCCGGGGCGCTTCTTTATAGACCAAATCAGCGGGATGCTTGCTGTCCACACTACACCATTCGTCTTGACTCTGGCCGCTTTCGGACGACAAGAGACCAGCGGCAGACTGTCAATCGCTTCAATAAATACATCACAGGCGATTCATACACAAAAGAGGCAGCTCGTTTGCATCCGAAGTCATGCGAACAAGCTCGGAAGCGAGATACTGAATTTGACCTAGTAGAGAGAATCCACGAAGGCGAAAGCCCATCACTAAAACAGCCACCACAGCCATCCCACGACTTCATCGTCACACTAGAGTCTGACAATTTCACAGAGGAGAAATTCCGCGTTTTTGAAAATTACCAGCAGGTTGTACACCATGAAGACCCCTCATCGATATCCCGAGAAGGATTTAGGAGATTCTTGTGTGACTCACCCCTGAAAAGGGAGAAATACACGGCACCGGATGGACGTGAACGCCAGCTAGGTTCGTTTCACCAGTGCTATCGGCTCGATGGTCAGCTGGTAGCAATAGGTGTTCTGGACCTTTTACCAGACTGCGTTAGTGCTGTCTATTTTCTATATCATGAATCTATTCACAGGTTTAGTCCTGGAAAACTTGGGGCATTACGAGAGATTGCGCTAGCAATGGAGGGAGGTTATCGGTACGTACATATACAGGATTGTCTACAACATAGTTTGATAGCTTCCCCCTTGAAGACATCCTGAAAACCTGCTACCATTACGTTCACCTATTTATTACGAACCCTGCCCCTCCCCCATTTCTTCAACGAAGAGGGGAATTATCATAGCCCCAATCAAAATTGAAGGCGACGTATTAACATGGAACTAGGTGGTGGTATGCCGGCTATTACATTCATACGTGCCCTAAAATGAGATACAAGATCGATTTCTCGCCCCAGGAGATCCTCAACCCGGACACCTTTGAATGGGTAGAGCTTACTCAGGAAGTAATTGAGAAGTTTGATAAGCACGGGTATCTCAACCTGCAGAGAGGCGAAGGGGAAACTAAAGCAGTTGAATCCATGGACGGCAGTACGCCGATGGAGACGGAGGGCCATGGCGATCAAACATTCAAGGAGGAGGATGCTGATAGCGATGAAGAAGCATTCCTATTTGACGGTAATATGCCAGGCATTCCATCCATTGAAGAAATGAACTCGGTGGACTTGGACCATATCGCCGTGCGTCTGAAACAGGGATACTGCTACGCCGGCAACCTGTTTCAATGGCAGAGCGAAAAGATCGAAAATAGCGGCTCTGCCAAAGCTATGGTTGCAGAAGTGGTGGCAGCGGTTGGGCCGGAATTTATTAGCAGATTGTGTCTGGACTTTGGGAGATCTTAAGAAGAAGGGAGTCAGGGTTAGGTGATTTATATAGGCCAATAAACTAATACCCCCCTGAGCTGGATAATGCATGATGTCAAATATTATACCACGGTATATTGCATATAACTTATCACTTGTTTAAAGTACTATCGATTATGCGAGTATTCCGTACGGCGTACGCCAATCTTTCAAAAATAAAAGCAAGAGCCCCACCAATAGCTTTAACCAATGAACCAAATTCAACCAATCACTTCTAGCTCCCCACTAGGTAGCGCAATGAAGCTTCGGTTCAAAAAATCTCCCACTTCTTCAGCCTTGCGATCAATTCCCATACATACCAACCAACGCCGCAAGTTACAACAGAGAGAAGCACTCAATCCGGACCTGTCTTATAACATAGGGATAAAGACAACCACGAGCGCATGAACTACAGTACATATCCCTAATTTATCCCGAACACAATCGAATCACCTGGTCGTCGAAACCTGGCTTAGCAGGACCAAACGAGGCAGCTAGCGCTCCCCCAAGGGAAAACAAAACAAAAGGGGCAGAATCAAAAGTGGGGAAGGAAAGACAGAGGTAGGAAAAAATGGCGACAGCAACGACCCAGCACCTGCTCCTCTCGCCGGCCGAGCTCGCGTACCTGCACACGTCGCTGAGCCTGGGGCCGCCGGTGCGTCCGGACGGGCGCACGGCGTCGCAGTTCCGGCCGCTGACGGCGGAGACGGGGGTGCTTCCCGGCGCCAACGGCAGCGCGCGCGTGTGCTTCGCCGACGGCACCGAGGCCATCGTCGGCGTGAAAGCCGAGGTCGAGAAGCAGACGCGGTCGACCGCGGCGCCGTATTCCGAGTACTTCTACGAGAACAAGGAGTTGAGGCGGAGGGATAGGAGAGGGGGGAAGGGGAAAGGAAACGGAGAGGGAAAATCTGAGAGTAAAGGTTTAGTTGAGGAGGAAGAGGAGGAAGGAGAGGCGGATATGGGGAAGGCGTTGGGCTCGAATGACTGGGTTGATATCTCGGTCGAGATCCCGGGGTACAGGGACGACGACAGCAATACCGTGTTCCTGAGCTCGATGCTGAGCGAGGCGCTGCTGGCCGATGGCGAGTTTACCAAGAAGCTGTGCATCAACCGACGGTTTCACTGGAAGGTGTACATTGATGTGAGTTTTTCTTTTTTCTTTTTCCTTCTCTTCGCATACATTTTCTTTTTTTCTTTTTTTCTACATGAAGCTAACGTATTATACGTGTTCAGATCGTCCTCATATCCCCACCATTATCATACCCGCTGCCCCTCCTCAGTCTGACGACACACCTTGCGCTGCTTGCCACGCGCCTGCCCAGGTTAAAATCCGAAGCCGACGAAGACCCCATGTTCGACGACGACTGGGCCGCGTCCAAGTTCATCTACCCGCGACAGAGGGACACAAGTACTGCGCTCAGCACCCGACCGCCTATCACGCTGCTGGTCATGGCAGTAAGCGACAACATCATCTTCGACCCGTCCAAGGAGGAGCTGGCCGTCGCAGACTCCGTCCTCGCGGTCTCAGTCGGCGAGAGGAACATCCCCGTGGGAGATGCGCAAGCCATGGATATCGACGGAGGGGCAGGAGCCGGCAGACAACTCCGACTGCTCTCCGTGCGCACGATAGACCCCCCGTCGCGATTAACCGCGCCGGGCGTACCGAACGCGGAGAACGCCGCGGCATGGGGACAGGGCCCGCCCGCGGCCAAGGATCCGGGCGCCAGGGCGGCGGAGACGGACAATGTGGAAGGCGTGTGGAAGGCACCCAGAGGCGGAGCCAAGGTCGCCGTCCTCGGGACCATGGTGCAGAAGGTACTAGAAAAGGGGGGCATTGCGGATAAAATCTTGGAGGCGTTAGACGCCGTCGACTTAGAGTAGCTTCGTAATTATGATACCACGATGAACTAAAATGCCACATTTCGCCTTGTCCGGGAGCAGAGCTTCATTGCTAAGGAGGCCGCCGTAAGGGACCTCGCTGTCATAATATTGTTTTTTGCTTATTCGCGTTACTTCGTACTTGTACATGCATACAAGCATATTCCTCTCTGTCTACCTACCTATATTTAAAAGATGCCGAGCCACTTCTTGCGCTTTTCTTGCGGCACAGGCTGCTCCACCACCTCCTCAGCAGCAGCAGCAGCATCAACAACAACCGGTGCGGCTTCCAGCTCTTGATAATGCGGGGACTGCGGGGACTGATCGTCCACGACTTCATCTCCTTCGCTCACAACAGCCTCGGCGGCCATGGGGTCGCCCCTGATGCCGAGGCCGGGGAAGTAGCCCTGGGTGGGCTCGAGGCCGTGGGCCTTGCGGTACTCGTTGCGCTTGGCGACGTCGTCGAGCTTCTGGCGGCGCTTCTCGACGGTGAGGGCGGTCTCGCGCTCCTCCTCGAGCTTGATGACGTTGAGGACGACGCCCATGTACTGGATCGGGTGGCGAGGGAGCTCGGAGATGGGCGGGATCAGCTCGGCGAAGGGCGACTTGGCGTTGAAGTTCGTGATGAAGGTGTAGCCGGCGAGGGAGAGGAGGGTGCCCTGGGTTGTTGCGCAAAAGGTTAGTGTGTCTGTACGTGTGTCTGTGTGCGTATGTGTAGAGGAACAAATAATGTGACAGTGACAGGTAGGTAGGCATATGACGGCGGGACTTACCAGAGTGATGAAGAGGTGGATCGCCCGGTTATTGAGGAGCACGTACGCCCAGGTTGTGGGCGGCGGCGGCAGGCCCGGATACGACTTTTCGGTCTGGGCTTGGATCTCGGCGTCGGACATGGGTCCGCCGTAGTGCTTCGGCGTCGAGCGCGGTAGCCGTGCTCCGTGCGACGGAGGGTTAAACCGTTCGGGCTTTTCGAGCACTATCGGTTTCGAAGGACCGGTAGCTGGGGTAGACTTCGTAGCTGGGGGAGGTTTCGAAGCTGGAGGAGGGGCCGCGGCAGACTTAGCTGCGGGTGTGGGAGCTTTGGGCGCAGCCTCGGTCTTCGGTGCTGGCCTAGGCGCAGAGGCTGCAGGCACCAGTCGCGCATTCACTGGGGCATATGAGGCCTTTTGAACTACCGTCTTCGGGCTCAGTGGAGGAGGCTTCGTCGGCGCAGAGTACTTTGTAGTAGTAACCTTGGGGGCTGGCGGCTTAATGCCAATGTTGGGGGAGGACCCCTTTGGAGGATGGAACTTCCCAGCAGTTGCTGTGGCCGGCTTTGCTGCTGGCTTTACTGCTGGCTTTGCTCCCGCCGTAGGTCCCGAGCCGGCCGTCTTGGATGCGTAGCGCACTAATACCTGTCCCAATTCCGCATTGAGGGGTCTTGCGAGAGCTGTAGAGCGTGCGGTGGTCCGCCATAGTGCGCCATATTGAGGTAGCAGGTAGCGCGGGATGGCAATGGCTTTGGAAGCCATCGTGAGAGGAGGAACTCTCGATTGGTATGTATAAATACTAGGTAACTCTATATTCAAGGTTCGTATTTTATTTTATATCAATGACCCCTGACATATGAGGGTATGGGTGTAGGTATGGGTGTAGGTATGGGTGTGCTTCAAATTTCATCTGCACCAATTCAATCGACAACACAAATTTGGAGTGCATTGCATTGTTGCATATCCTTCCGATATTCGATTACTTTCGATTACTATTCGATTACTACTAAATAGTATCTTATCCATTGGATAGCTAGGCGGGTCCGGTGGTCGCCGGTTGAAATTCCCAAAGTAGTTTAATGGATATTAAAAAAGGCCAAAAGTCGGTGTTCGGTAAGCGCGTGTTTTTGGCGTCAAAGGAACAATTGAACATCCAATGTTCAAATGTTGAAGTACATATGTACAAGTGGAAAATTTTCGTAACGATTTCATTCAAGCTTTTCTGGGTCTAATGCCGAAATTCCACCTGTCCGCCCCATCGTAGAATCATTGATGACTTTTCACTTCTCGAAAGAAACTAGCGCAAATACAAACCGGCTTTCCCCGGAGTGTATTACTTATGCATTTTTCTGATTGGTCCAATTCTTGAGTCACCCGCCACAACGTGGCTAAAACTCCCGCACTACCTTGTTGTTAGTTGAATGCACACTGCCAGGTGCGCTGAGCTCATGGCCCTTTTTATTAAAATTTCCCAGCTTGCGCCGATTTTTTTTTTCCCTTTTCCTTCCTTTCGTCCCCTATAACCAAAACATCTTCCTTAGACGACCAACTTTCGTTCTTGCATACCCTTTTCTATTTCTACCTACGTAGACTTTACAACCCTAATCATTAATACTATTCTCTCTCTCTACCTACTTCACCAATCTTCAAACCATCAAAATGGGTTTCTCTGCTGGTATGTTTTGTGCCCTGTTCCTTGGAACCATTTTCTCGTGATACCGTCAGCACAGCTTCACTCTCGAGCCATTGAACCACCACTTCGACCCCTCCCGCTGCGATAAACTTCCATGAGACCCTTAGTCTTTAGATTTATCACGTCAGCTACATTTGCATCTGCTTACCGCCCCTTGTGACTCACTGTCAAGAGGGTCGCAACCCGCCTGCGCCATTTACTAGCCAATGTAGATTGTGTGCTGTGTAATTGCAGACGCATTTCTAAGCGGCGCAACAATACTCAATCGCCTTTGTGGGGTGGCTATCTTTGGTCGACAAGATGTTTATGTTTATGGATCACGGGACCCATTGTGTTCATCGAATCGTATGGCTAATATATTATTTTCTTCAGGTGACTCCAAGAAGGGTGCAAACCTCTTCAAGACCCGATGTGCCCAGTGCCACACCCTAAAGGCTGGCGAGGGTAACAAGGTCGGCCCCGCGCTACACGGTCTTTTTGGCCGCAAGAGTGGTCTAGTCGAAGGCTTCGCCTACACGGATGCCAACAAGCAGAAGGGTGTCACTTGGGATGAGAGCTCTCTCGTACGTTATCCTGCTAACCTCCCTCTTCAAGCAGCTTAGCTAACATCTTTTTTCAGTTCGACTACCTAGAGAACCCCAAGAAGTATATCCCCGGCACCAAGATGGCCTTCGGTGGTCTAAAGAAGGAGAAGGACCGTAATGATCTTATCACGTAAGTCTCAACCAGCTGTATTTGAAGATGATTTGCTCTCCTGCTAACACACATCACAGCTTCTTGAAGGAGTCTACGGCATAAACGAAGTAACGATAAAAAGACGTGTACCAATACCATCGCATTAGAAATGACCGGCCAGTCGTGTATTTTAGACTACTAGACCGCTTCAGTACCCCCTTGTGGGCGGTGCGAACTTATATCCATCTCCTCTTTTTCAACTGCAGTTACATAGAGATTCATGTTGCATGTGGTAGGAGCGTTAGGAGTTCAGGCTTTCTCTCTTGGGTGAGGGAGGCTTGGATCGGACATAATTAATGTCTCCGGCAATTGAACTCGATATATATTTGTTCCGTTTAATATTCGTGACATCTTGAATTGTGGTTTGTATTTTTTGTCCGCCTTTACCACTTACCAGATTCCCGGTATAGCCTAATCAACTTTAATGCATTACCACCTGTGAGTCTGTGACCTATCCCATCACTATGTAGAGCCGCCTTCTTCATGACGTAGATATTTGGAGACTGTAGTATGTAGTATGTACAGGTATGTATTTATAGGAATTTTTGCATGGGTATGATTCAAGTCCATTGACCAATGAGATGACAGCTGACATACCTACGGCTAAGACGATTTAATACCCTACTAGGGAAGATTTAACTTCCGTACTAAGCGTACCATGGATAACCTCCAGGGCTATATGCACTAACCTAGGTTAGGGAGGTAAGTACTAAATGGCGCCATAAAATAGCTTTGGGAACATTGAATGAATGGTCGTATCTTTTAGTTATTCATCACCACTTTTAGACGCGACCTTTATGTATATCGTTATATCACGTGGCAGCACCCAGGACCGTAACATAGTAAATTAATCCCAGCCCATTTCCTTCAAGACTCGGAATTTACTCGAGTGGCTATTAGACACACTCGGCCTGACTTGGTTGAGCGCCGACTCCCAGTCCTCCAAAGTGATCGTGTCCGGGCCTCTAGTCTTAGCACGCTTCACCGAGGCTTGGCCGGCCGCGACGTGCAGATTGTCCAGGTCGGCGCCGCTGAAGCCGGTGCACCGATCGTCTCGAGCTACTGCCTCTAATACGTCGTACTGTGTATATGATGGCAGTAGACGCCTCATGCGCGTTTTCAGAATTTCTACTCGTCCATCTGCATCGGGTAGGTCGACAAATATGTTGGTTCCTAGCCGGCCAGGACGGAGGATAGCCGGGTCGATCATGTCTGGACGATTTGTAGCCCCAACTACGTAAACGCCTGACCGACTGGCCATGCCGTCTAATTCTGTTAAGAGCTGGTTTACCACTCTAGCGCTGGCATCGGGGCCATTTCCGTCACGTCGGGGAACCAGGGCGTCCAACTCGTCGAAAAATAGTATGCATGGAGCTGATGCGCGGGCTCGGCTGAACACTTGACGGACCGAACGCTCTGATTCCCCAACATATTTATTCAATAGCTCTGGTCCCTTTACCGAAATGAAGTTGGCCTTGGATTCGTTTGCCACTGCTTTCGCTAGCAGGGTTTTACCACATCCAGGGGGTCCCCATAAAAGCACACCTGATGGTGCCTCGAGTCCCCTACTTGCAAATCGTTCAGGGCTTTGGATGGGCTCCACGATAGACAATTCAAGCTGCTCTCGGATGTCGTGAAGTGCGCCAATATGCGCCCAAGTTGTATCAGGTATCGTTGTGAACCCCTCTCGCTTGGAGGACGGCTGCACTTTCCCAATGGCGCTTAGCATGTGCTCCATTGCTAGTATAAGCTTGTCCTTGGGTACAGCCCCGTCGGGTGCTCCCATGATCGCAAGGTGTAGGCGAAGTCCTGGTGGTACCTGATAATCAGAGTCTATATCCATCTCCAAGGGACCTGTTTGCGTCAAGTCAGACATGGCCGCCCTAGCCATTTCGTTCTTGGCCACAGAAACCACATCCTTCAAATCAGCGCCGACAAAGCCGGGGGTCCTCTTTGCTAATAGTTTGTAGTCCACATCCGAAGAGACTCTGCTCTTTGACAGCATCTTTCGTAATATAGCCTCACGTGAAGCTTCGTTCGGTATCCCTAAACTTATTTCTCGGTTAAACCGTCCCGCCCTTCGGAGAGCAGGGTCGATACTATCTGGACGATTTGTTGCAGCCAATGTCACCACGAGCTTACCTCCCAGCTTCTGAGGTGTCAAATCATCCATACAGGTTAGCATCTGCGCCACTATTCTCTTTTCCATCTCTCTTTGCGCATTCTCGCGTTTTCCCATGATAGCATCAATCTCGTCGATGAAAATCAGGCACGGCGCAAGTGATTTGGCTTCGTCATAGAGCTCTCTGATCTTCTTCTCGGACTCGCCAGACATACCAGCGACAAGTGAAGGGGCCGAGACGGGTATATATGCCACCCCAAGCGCGGCGGCATACGCATTAGCAAGCATAGTCTTTCCACAGCCCGGCGGGCCATGCAACAAAACACCGCGAGCAGCCTCTACGCCGCCTTCAAGGCATTCCTCGGAAAATCGCATAGGAAAGGTAACAGATTCAGCGAGGACCCTGATAGCATCATCCATGCCACCAAGGTCATGCAAGGAAATATCGCTAGGCGGGTTGCGATCTTCCTTGGGCTTTTCAGTTTTTCGCCTTTTAGCTTTGGCCTCTCCATTAGATTGCCTTTCTACCCCTGAGGCATTTCCGTTTGGGGTGGTTGTCTCAAGTGAGTTTGTGTTTGGAGTCCCAGGCAGGTTCCAGGTCTTAGTTATGTGCTTATTCATGACAAAATAATCCCTTTCCTACATAGGTGTAAATGAATTAGCTTGATAGCCCATGGAAAGGGGATTATTATGAAGCCAGGTATGGGTCTAGCTAGAGGATAACCACTGGCGCATTACCTTTGGCTTCGGGGACTCTTCTTGAGCCTGTTCTAAATTTTCTTCTTCATCTTCTTCCTTTCTTTCTTCTTTCCGGAGGCGGAGGATCCTCTCGATGGAGTCTTCTAGTGGTCGCCTTTTTAGACGTGCAAGGCTCGAATTAGAGCGTTTGATGGAATCGTAAACACCAGACACTGTAAATTTTGGTGGTTTCTTTTTGCCCTTGTCTGTTCCCTGGCTATCTCGCTCAAGCTCATCCTCAAATTTTCTGATTATTTGGTACACATCACGGTCTAAGCCATGGAGTACCTTGGAGGACATTATTGAATCAGATGGCTACATGGGATTATGTAGCAAGCAACACCAGTCTTTTTAGGTAGTAAAGAAGAACAAGAGACTTTTGGATGACCTGATATAACCATTAAAGATTCCAAGGTTCAATATTGAATATGTAAGTTAGGCCATGAAAGTATGAATGTGCTCTTAGATATCTTAATTCATGTAATTGAGCTAAAGAAAAAAAAAGACCCTTGCCGTCTAGGTGAGATTTAGTGGAGCATTTAAGATATGCACAGACCACAATTTGTCATTTTAACTGTTGAACATTGAGGGCAAGAGTCTCCCATTGAACGTTCAAAATTCAAATGCTACTACTACTAGTTACCTAACCTTAGTAGTATGCAATATCAATGTACATAGATCAAATTCAAGGTTTCGGTTAAGAACGGGTCATGTATGTGACTTCGATTCGAACATGTCGAAGCTGCGTCATTGCATTGCCTCTGAAACGGTAGCATCATACTAGGTAGCATGACCTTAACTACTTTGTATTGTACCCAGTAACCCATTACGGTAGTACGAGCCTCCTTTAATCGATAAGACAAGCCCACCTGCCATAACCTGGAACTCAACACCGACGACATCGCTCTCCCTTGTACACCGACGACAGACAGGCACATGATTCTCACCAAGTGCTAGCCGCCTTAGACTAGGCATCACTCCTAGCAAAGAGACTTGTCCAATACAAAAAGGAAACAAAAAACAATCCCTGGGTTTCTTGGGCCAGACAATGCGCGCTTCGGATCCCAAACCAGAAGAAGATTCCAGCAGGATACGGCGAACATGGGGAACAACCCGAGCAGAGTGACCGCACAAGACAAGTAAGTTTATATTTTATTATAAATTTTGAATTCTTACCTCAGAAAACTGTATTGTCATACCTCAAGTTTCTCTTTTGGAATAAAACGCCAAAGACTGAGTTCACTAACACGCCACCCTCCCCCTTTCCCTCGGCGCGAATAGAGCGATCCTCGACCTCAAGCTGCAGCGCGACAAGCTGCACCAGTATCAGCGACGGATCACGGTGCTCACGGACAAGGAGACGGCCATCGCGCGGCAGATGCTGGCGGCGGGCGACAAGAAGCGCGCCCTGCTCTCCCTGCGGCGGAAGAAGTACCAGGAATCCCTGCTTGAGAAGACGGACCTGCAGCTGGCCCAGCTCGAGCAGCTGACCCGCAACGTCGAGTTCGCCCTCATCCAGAAGGACATCGTCTTCGGCCTCCAGCAGGGCACCCGCGTCCTCAAGGAGATCCACGCCGAGATGGGCGGCATCGAGCACGTCGAGAAGCTTATGGGCGAGAGCGCTGATGCCATTGCTTACCAAAGAGTAAATGCCCCCCCTCTCTACTCCCCTTCCTTATCTCCTTACACTCTATCTACTGGCATTATACTAACCCACTACTCTTTTCCCTCCCACTATAGGAAATCAGCGAAATGCTCGGCGGCCGCATATCCAACCAAGACGAGGACGAAGTCGAAGACGAACTAGCAGCCCTCGAGCTCGAGGTCAACGGCCCGGCGATCCTACCCAACGTACCAGACACCAAACTAGCCAAGCATGTACTCAAAGAATCACCACAACCACCATCAGCCATACACCAAGACCCGGACCCGGAGCCGGAAAGAACGGCCATGCTTGCCTAGTGATGATCACACATTTACTAGTCATCTAGCACACCTACACCCACTTACCTACCTATCTACCAACATAGACGCATAACAGGAGCAGAAACTGAAGCAAGAGCAGGAGCAAGCAAAGGAGAAAAGGTAGGGGAGGGGAACAAAGATACACGGAGGAAATAGACCACCACCATAGGATACGCTGGATTCCATCTGGAAGCAAACAACGAATCATAACCCAACTTGCCTACCTACCTACCAACTACAAAACATCGACGCATGGATGTTGGAAATCTCTGGCATAGTGGGCATCAGGGGATAAATCTTTGCGCCCTCTTTTGAATATCCAACCCCCTTTAGGAAGAGATTTTGTACGTTGAAGACAAGTTAGTTAGGTATATGAGGTATCGTGACGAGGAACCAAATAGACATGGGATTTACTAGTTCTCTATGGTAGATTATCAAACTGCTTATGAAGTACCGAGTAGTCAATTACTTACTTGATGATGCCCTCATTATATTAGTTAAATGCCCGTTCAAAAAGCTCTTAATGAATATTGGACCAATGCCATTCCACCAGCATCCCGTTTAACACGAGTATAAGCAACAATCACCAATGGCAGAAAAGATTTGAAATATTTAGTTGTTGTTTTCTTCATTAAGAATCACTACCGTAATAGTGTTCTACGCACGAGTGCTATATAGCTACTGGAGTACCTAATGTATAGTCTACTACTAGGTAGGGAAAGCATCTCCCAGTGATGGCCAAAGGCCTATGCACCTAAGTAGCCAAATCGAAAATGTAACCTTTGTACACTTTGAGATTGAGCCTGGTATGGCTGTTTTACCATCCACCATCCACCATATGCTTCATGCCATGATGCAGGTTGTCAATAACGCCTAGCCATGCAGTGATGCCGGAAATCTTCAAATGCTGAACAAAACGCAAGGGTATCTCAAATGCCATTGTGCCGAAAATCATGCCGGGAGCTCTCCATTCCATCTACCGATTGACCCTGTTGACAAAACCATCGAGATTTATTCGCCCCAAAGTTCATTGACTTGGGGTCATGAATTAGTTATCTCCTCAGGGTTTAGAATCCACCCTTCTTACTATACTGCCACCCTTGAGAATGTGATGCTGAAATATCATCTTGTAATAATTAGTTGTAGCCACCGTGAGACGGAGGAGCTACAAGTTGGGGCTGGTGGGCATATCGATGCTCGAAATGCGGCATCATAGTTTCGGCGGGCTGTTCCACTGGATATCGATAAACTTCTCGTCTATCTTGAGGCGGGTTCGAAGTTGGCGCATAACTCGAACGTTCGTAAAAGTCGTGGTGGGCACCGCTTGCGTACCGACTATACTTGGATTAGCTCATCATCAACAAAACTTGGCACAAAAGTCAATGTAGATGTCACTCCACCTAGACTATCTAGTGCTCTTGTTTAAGACTCAGCAACTTACACTTCGGGGCGTTCTGGTCCTGGCGGGACAGCCCGTATCTCTCGACCATCCATAGGTCGATTTACTGGTTCACGAACCAGATATTGACTACGTACAGATTCTTCGTGACGAATAGAGTCATAATCTGAGTGACTACCGGATACTACGTGACCTCGTAGATCTGTCATTGGAGCCCTATGAGGGCTGGATTCTTGGTGCCAAGACACTCTGTGACTGGGCTGGCCCATAGGCTCCCGGTAGTATTCCAGTCTACCTCTTGATCGACTAGGCGGGTCATCAATATAAACGATTCGACCATTTTCTGGATACCGAGTAGCTCCACGAACGGGGACATCATTCATTGGCCTTTCCGCTCTGTAATAAGAGACTTGGTGCTCCGCATCCTGGTGCCGTTGCATTTCAACTACTTGACGAGGTTGAAGAGCTACCTCATCATCGATAACAATAGGATGTGCCCTGCTCCTATATGAAACATCACTATTATAACGAGCCGCGCTCTCACTGGAAGCAGGCCAGGGCCGGCTCTGCGGTAACGCCCGGTCTGCAACTCTGAACGATGAGACAGGCCTGTCTGGAAGGTACTCAAATAGCCCGTGTGGCGGGTTGTCAGCTCGGCCCAAACGACCGTTGTGAGCATCAAATTGTCCATAGGGATATTCCGCAACATGATGCTGCTTTGTAGCCAACTCACCACCATGCGTCACCACCCTGGGCGACCTAGGATGTGAGATAGAACTCACGGGTTCATAGACCGCTCGAGAAACGAGACGGGGTGCTTCTGCGAGATAATGAGGCTCACCATGTAACATACGAGAAGCGTTCTGAGATTGCCGAGAGGCTACGGGAGATGCGGGCTCAATAGATTGAATCAACATGTCTTGCAGCTCATTTCTAATGGGTGAGATTGGAACCTGTGACTGGCCAGAATTTGCTAATGTATACCCAACTTTGGGCCTAACATTCTCCTGGTTATACATCAGTTGTGGTGACCTGTAATCATGGACTGTGTGAGAGTTGAGAGGCGGCACTGCGCCCGAGTTTCCTCGCGGGGATTCGCCATTGAATCGATGTGACCCGGATCGCAACTCAAACCGACGAGCCATGTGTTCAAGGCTAGGAGTACCGCGAGCCGCTACTGTCGGCTCACGGCTAGCAATATGAACAGAACCTGGACTTCTAGTTAAATCCACAGCCACAGCATCGATGGGAACTGCATTGCTGTCATTGGCATTATTGACAGGGCCAGACGAACTTGCGAGAGCTTCGGCAGCAGCAGCATATCTCCTAAAACGTTGCGTCCTACGAGCACTCCGTTTCTCAGCTCTTGCAATCGCTTTCTGTCTGGTGGGTGTTAGGGAAATTGGAACAGAAGGGTCACGTCTCTGAACCAAAGGTGGTTGCTGATCTGCAGACCTCATAGCCTGCAATCCTGGCGCATATCCTGGTAATGTAGCAGCAGGCATCATGCTGACACGGTTTGCCGGCGTGGATTCCGCGGCGAGGGCCATAACTGGGATATCATCCTCGGAATCTTCTGTGTCCGATATTTCGATGACTTCACGAAGGATCTCATCGAGCTGGTCACGGCCAGTCTCTTCGTCTCCTCGCCACTTGACGATGATGGCTAGACAAGGTTTCTCTACGAGTTTGCGAGCGTTGTTCCAATTCGTCTGCTTCAGTAGTTCGTCATAGCGAGTATGCGTGTGCCGGATGTGAGCGATCGCAGCAAGCTGAACTCGACGTGCTAAAGTCAGTTCTTGGGCCAAGCCAACTCTCGACTCGCCATGAAACTTGCCGTCCTATATGATGAACAGCAACATTAATACTACTTCGCGTGGGCATAGTAACGTAGGGTTGATCAACTTACTTTTTTAAATGCATGACGAATGATTTCGCGTCGATCGGTATTGGGTATTCTTGGGAAAAGGTCCTTGAGAACTGCATCGGCTTGGGCGTCAATTTCTTCTTGAGATTGGGGTATGGGCTCTGGTTTGCTTGGAAGATGAGACTGAGGAATCTCGTGAGATTGCCCATCTGCCATGAGCTTCGCGCGAGCCCGTTCCACGATGGCCTCGCGAAAATGGTAGCCGACACGATTCATGTGGTGGTCAAGGTTATCAGGATTCTTGGCGCCCTAGAATGAGATTAGATAATGAAAACACCCAAGACCGAGGCGAAACATACAGAAACGATGAAGATCATAACGTCTTGTTCTCTCGATAGATCTTTGCATAATTGCGATATGGTTGGATGTCCTATGGGGATGAATTCGAAGCCTGGGGGCGGGTGTCGATCGGTAGTAATCTACTGTTGGTCAGCATTGCTCATTCTTGTCACCCGCTATACAGCCTCCAGTTAGCTACCTTGAACTCCAGTTTCTTCTTCTTGTCGGTATTTTGTACTAGTTCAAATGTTGTCTTGTGTTTCATCTTGGGCGGCGCCTTCAGTGGATTTAGTGTGCGCCAATCGTTCTGCTGTTGGTGTTGCGCTTGAGTCTGTACTCTGTCTATCTTCGTACGGCGATTGAGAGCCCGTATGCCTCGGGTGGACACCGGGGCCTTCTTTCTTTCTCTCACCATTTTGACAGTAATGCTACCTTACCATATAAGAAGGATACAGCGTGTGAGTGATTGATACTGGAACAGTAGTAAAAAGAATGTAATGGTGGCTACGAGGCAGATTGACTACCGTATTGTATCCAAGCGCGTTTCGCGTCTTGTACTGAAGAGCCAGAACACCAGATGGCAAATAGATCAAGGCAAGAAAGAAAAAATAGGTCCTTTTACCTGTTGCAATAGGTAGATGGTGAGACCGACTAGAATAAGGCAACTTGAATAAGGAAACCTAAGATGTTGGATGTCACAATAGTATACCTAAGTGATATGCTAGAAGACGATTTATCAGAAAACCAAATGCCTCTAAAGGCGGTTGACAGAAAAGGAAACGGAGAAAAATGAGAAAAAGATCGCGGTTGGGTTGAGCGAAGAAATGCGCCCAAGAAAAATACTTGTCTCGTTGATTTGAGAAAGTATTGTAGTTGGAAAGATGGAAATGATCTTGGGAACTTGGGAACTTGGGAACTTGGAAGGTTTCAGGCAAAGATTACCTAGTACTAGGTACCTAGTTACTACCTAGTACCTAGGTACACATGACATGCATGTGCATGTGGTAAGTGCAGCAGTTGCCAACTGTGGCTTTGCAGATTGTGTGGCTTTGCTCACAAGTTTTCAATGTTCGGAAAGTTCATTTTTGTTTTTGAACTTTGAACATTGATAAAATCGGACCCACACACCCATTTGACCCACTAAACTTTGCCGGTTCAAGGTTGGAACGTTGAACTTGGGGAATTCTTGCGAGACTTCAAATGTTCAATTGAATAAAAGCCGAAACGATCCCACTAAACACCCTCTCTCCCCTTCCTATATTAATTTCGTTTCAACTCCGTTATGTTCTCCCGACAGGCAATCCGCTCTATTCGAGCTGCCGCTCCTCAGCGGGCCCTTTCCCGGGCTCCCGTACGCTCTTACGCTGCCGCTGCTGCACCTCAAGACGTCAAGCCCCCAGTCGCCGTCTACGGTCTCGATGGTACCTATGCCACCGCTTTGGTACGCAACTCCCTTGCGAGATTTAATATCCCAGTATATAGACTATCAATGTCTTGTAGTAGATAGTCAATTGAAGAGACCGGAGCTCGGAAGGGGCTATGAGAGAAAAAGAAGAAAAAAGAGGCTTATAGAATAAGACCTGTGTTGACTGGATGAGCTATTTAGTACACGGCAGCCGTGAAGACATCCTCGCTCGACCCGACCGCAAAGGCTCTCGGCGCCCTCGACGACCTCTGCACAAAGGATGTCAAGCTCAACTCTATCCTAAGCACGCCTACGCTCTCCGCCAAAGACAAGAGCGCCATCGTCGCTGAGCTGCAGAAGAACATTGGCGCCGCAAACGCCAACGAAACCGTCAAGAACTTCCTCGCCACTCTCGCCGAGAACAACCGCCTGGGAATACTGCAGGGCATCTGCGCAAAGTTTGGCGAGATCATGAGCGCATCCCGTGGCGAGGTAGAGATGGTCGTCACCAGCGCCCAGGTACGATATATCCTGTCCAGATCTTCTTAGCATGTCAGCCCGACCAAATTACATAACTAACAAATGAATAATAGCAATTGGATAACAAGACACTTAACCGCCTCGAATCCGCCGTCGCCAAGTCTCAGTACGTGGGTCAAGGCAAGAAGCTGAAGGTGACCAACCAAGTCAACCCGGACATCGTTGGCGGCCTCGTTGTGGAAATTGGCGACAGGACAATCGACGTCTCCGTCTCGTCCAAGATTGCCAAGCTGAACAAGCTCCTTACGGACACCCTGTAAAAAAAATCATGTCTTCTTTGTTTCGTGTGAGCATAGGGGCTGCTATGGAGAGAGGGGGGAGACGATTTGCAACTAAAAGGCTGTGGTTCTCTCTCTAAAGGATGCATGCATGCCATTATGTGTATAGGCTCGTAGAATAGAGGAAGTTTTTCGTCCCGCTACTTTGACTCTCCATCTATAGAATCAATAATCGAAGATTCCTTTTATTGCTCGTCATATTGGACTAGCTTTCACATCGCAACAGAGCATATTTCCGTTCGGAAACGCTCGCTGCATGCACCAACTATTATTACTCTACCGTTTTTTAGTGACAACAAGTAACAACAGGCATTAACATGCTGGTCGATTTGGGTCGATTGTGTAAAGACTTCATATTAAGACTATCATCTCACCGTATACCAGCTTGTTTCCCATCTAGTATTCATGCAGCCTATGTATGCGTATGCTCTACCTAAGCCTGTTCTCCTCATATACTCACGCGAGTCTTATTTTACCCTTCTAGACCCCTGGTCTTTCCGGTATAGCTCCCATCTATAAGTGAGTTTCGTATTCATCGCCATCGGCGAATTCGTCATGGTCTTTAACTCTCTGTAGTTGTTCCGAGATGTACTGATGCAAGTGGCTGTCTGCTTCCTTTCGCAAGGCCTCGCGTTCAGGGTCATCTGGTGCAACGCTCCGAGTGTCGAAGTCGTCGCCATTGACAGATGCGTCAAAGTCGCTACGTGCACTGATAGACCGTGCTGTAGATGACCGCCGCATATGCCCCTTGTGTGGTTTGGCGGAGTTGGTTATGTTGATATTGCGGTGGAAGATATCATCGAAGTAATGCGCCATGCCTACAGATGGTGTGCGTGGAGTCTGTGGGAGGCGGCAGCTGATGCTATTTCATGTGTTAGCAGTTGAACGTCATAATCATTCTTTCAAAGTAGCTTACCCCGTATCGTGGATCATCCGAGCGATCAGACCCGTCCAGCCGCATTGATGGGTCGCTCCCAAGCCACGACCAGTGTCGCCATCAAAGAACTCGTGGAACCACATATTATCTTTCCAGTGGGGGTCAAAGTCAAGCAAATCGCTTCCAGCATTAATACTCCGACGTCCATCGTCGCCTCTGGCAAATAAGTGTTGCAATCGATGTTGGATCTCCTCAGAGACGTGTCCAAGATGCATGTATTCTCCAGATCCAGTAGGACATTCAACTTGGAAGCTAGGTCCATAGAATAGATAGAATCGCTGCAGAGATTCCACCAGGAGGAAATTGACACATAGCCAAATAGGGCCCCTCCAGTTGCTGTTGCCACCGAACAACCCACTGTCTGAGTCTCCTGGCACATACCCCACTGTGAACGTTTGTTCATTGACTTCCATCGAGTACGGATTGTCTTTGTGGTATCTTGAAAGCGACCGAATACCATGCTCACTGAAGAACTCGTCTTCATCAAGCATGCGCTTCAAGATCTTCTCTAGACGATCCTTGCTCACCATGGAAAGGAGGATACGGTTACCCTTGCCTCTCTTCCGAATACTCGCCATGTTCCTCTCTGCCAAGTCACATCGGTTCTCTACAAACCAATCTACCCGCTTCTTGAAGGACGGCAGCTTGTTGATGAGTTCTGGCTCCAAAGTAAGGGTTGCGTAGAGCGGGATCAGCCCTACAAGCGACCTTACAGGAAGTTGTTGAATCCATGGGCCACCCCAGGAGATGGCATCGTAGTAGAAACCATCCTCGTCATTCCACAGTGACTTTTCATCCTTGTCGCCGGACTTGAAGGTCATAGCATCACTGATAAAGATAAAATGCTCGAAGAATTTCGTGGCGATATCCTCATAAATCCGGCGATGTTTAGCCAACTCAAGGGCGATGTTCAGCATGCATAGCGAATAAAACGCCATCCACCCTGTACTGTCAGCCTGTTCAAGAACACCTCCAGTAGGAAGAGGCTCAGAGCGGTTGAAGAGGCCAATATTGTCCAGTCCAAGGAAACCTCCTTCGAAGACATTCTTTCCATCCATGTCCTTTCGATTAACCCACCAGGTAAAGTTCATCAGTAATTTCTGAAAGACTCTCTCTAGGAAATCAATGTCTTGCCTTCCATACATCTTACGCTCAATCTTGAACACTCGGAAAGTAGCCCACGCATGAACTGGTGGGTTAACATCACCAAAGTTCCATTCGTATCTGTAGCTTGGTTAATAACTGTCTGGGTCTGTGTAAATTTGGGAAACGTACGCAGGAAGTTGGCCATTTGGATGGCAGTACCATTCTCTAGTGAAAAGGTCTATCTGCTTCTTTGCAAAATCTGGATCGATCATGGCAAGTGGGATACAGTGAAAGGCGGAGTCCCAGGCGGCGAAGAAGGGATACTCCCAAGAGTCAGGCATAGATAGAATGTCATCAATGTATAAATGTTTCCATTGTGCGTTTCTGATGGCCTTCCTCTCAGGGGGGGGAGGTGGTTGGGCAGGGTCGCCATTTGCCCACTGGTCCCAGATGAACTGGTAGTATTGCTTGCACCACATCATGCCCGAGAAGGCCTGGCGTTGGATATTACGAAGATCATCGGACATTGGCAGGGGGCTGATTCTATAATAAAAGTCATCTGCTTCCTCGCGTCTCTTTTCGATTACCTCATCGAAAACCTCTTCATCGAGGTATTGCTCGTCCTTTCTCGAGAATCGGAAACGAACAACTACCAATGTGTTAGTGCTCAATATTCCAATATTTTTCCTGTGGTGATTAAAGCCAACAACATACCAGCGCATTCGCCGGGGGCAACGCCCCCTGACTCGTTGAATTGGAACCAAGCGGCACACTTGGTGCCAGTCTTTGCTGGGTTCACCGCTTCCTTCTTGCTGTCGACGATATACTGATGGAATGCGTCCTTGACATACGGGACCTTGTTCTCTCCGTCATAGAGCAGTTCGTAGTTGGTGTCATTGTCGGTAAAGATGAGTTCTGGCTGAACATCCTCACCACTGACTCCAACACCCGGAGAAGGTGATAATAGCACATATCGATCACCTAATTTATGGTGCTTCGACTTAGCCATACCCTCCGCATATTCGGAGATAGCGGGCTTCTTATCCTCTGGCTCCCTTCCCCAGGCCCAGGTATTTCGAAACCAGACGTGGGGAATGATATGAAGAGGAGCTGGATCCGGGCCTCGGTTCCACGCTGTAATCCGGAAGAGCAATTCATCAGGATCATCTGCTTCCTTGGCCGTCTCAATTACGATATCCCAGTACCTATCCTCGTCAAATATGCCAGTGTCGATGAGTTGATACTCTTGCTCAATCTTCGACCTTTTTGCGTTCGTCTCTAAAAGATCCTTGTATGGGAAGGCTTTCTGTGGATATTTGTAGAGGTACTTCATGTAGGAATGCTAGGGAGTCGTCAGTAGGGGGGTAGGGATGAGGTGATAAGATCCGGCGTATCTTACTGTCTGCAAGTACATAATTAGCAACAAATTTGGTTTGTACAGAAGGCGTTGCAAAACTTACAGGAGTGTTATCAACGTGGAAATGTGCTTCTTTGATACTTTCACCATGATTCCCCTGAGGGTTTGCCAGGCCGAAAAGCCGCTCTTTGAGGAATGGGCTGACTATTGTGAGCAAATAACGTCTCAAGGTCCAATGAGGCATAAATGAGCAGGCACATACTCTTGTTCGTTCCAAAAAGCAAAGGCGATGTTCTGCAGCCCATGAGTGTCTGATACTCCAGCAATACCATCTTCACCCCAACGAAATGCTCGAGATCGTGCGTCGTCGTGTGTGAAATCTTACAAGTAAACAAATCAGTGTCGATACGGTTACGCAGGAGGGAGAGATAACCCACGACTCCAAGCATCGCCATCTGCGCTATAATCCTCTCGTACTACGAATAGTTAGTTGCTTGACCGGATGGAGGGGGCTTATCTGGTTTGCTTGCCTGTAGCCCATTGCCTTTCAGCGACATAAGGACCCCATTTCTTCCAATATTTACTTCGGTTGCTATCCTCCCTGAGGCGTTTCTCTTCCTCGGTGAGGTACTCGTAGTTGTCGACTACAACCATATTTGCAGATTACTTAGCCCTCAGCTACCTAGGTACCTAGTATCTAGTATCTAGTATCTAGTTATCGGCCAAAAGAAAGATATTATAACAGGCTCTATAATAAGTTGTGATATTGTGTTTGTGGGAGGTTAAAAGGCGGGTGGGCGAACTAGCTTTCAACAAAACACCGAGAGAGACACTTGCAAGAGGAAACAGAGTGACAGAATGTGACGGATGTGACAGGGAGTATGTGACAATAAGGAAGAAGACGGGAATGGCGTTTGCACAGTAGATCAGTTCAGGTACACGAGCAGAGCTTGACGACGACTATCTCGTTCAGGTAAGCCGATGAGTTGGCGACTATGCAGCTTTGGGGAGAGCTAGTAAGATTTCTACCTGCTACCTACATGTAGGGTAGATAAGGTAGCTAATAAGGTACATTAGTAGTAACTACATTAGCTATTAGCCACAGCAATCAACGTGTAAGTATTACCTTATTACCTAGGTTAGTACTGTACATAGCATTGATAAAGATTTCAGTGTTGTAGTGTTGTAGTGTTGTAGTGTTGTAGTTGCGTCAGGTATCTAATAAGGCCTCTGGGCTTCTAGACCTCTTAGGCCGTAACGGGGAAAAGAGGGAAAGGAGCCCGCCATGCGCAATGAGGGGAAAAAGGGAAGAAAAAAAAAGAGCATTAGTGGGGGGTTAGATGACATCATTAGGTATTCATATGTATGCACATAATATATACATGTATGTAGTTCAATGTTATTAATGGTACTACATAGTATGTACATACTGTAATGTAGAGTACCTACTACCTACCTAGTAGTAGGGTAGATACTAGATACTAGATACTAGATACTAGATACTAGATACTACATGTAGATACTCCAGAGTCTGCAGACTCTGCACAGTGGTAGGCAGGTAAGGTACATACGCAAGCACATGCCAACATACATCTACATACATGTATAGTCAATATGTAGTTGAATCCTTACATATGTACATCCCCTTGTCGTCCCTCTTGATACGTCTCTTGGTATATGTACGTAACACTCAAAAGTATCGACATCTCAACAGACAATGATAATTATCTGTATTTGGAGGTTTAAGCGCCAATAATACAAAGATCCACGACCATAGAATGGTCTAGACACCCGTATTCCGCCTTTGTCTTAGCACTATCTCGTAAAATTTGTTAAGACAACCAAATGAAACCCAAATGATTACAATGCCGTTATCATACCTTCATATGTTAGGTCTTAGGTAGCTTTATAGCTTCACCATTGAGAAGTACATATTGGATGGGGGTTCCATAGAAACCTTACTATAATATCATCAATCCGTGAATGCCCAAGAACGATAAACTAAACAACACAGTAGCAGTAGTAGTAACCACAAGAAAGGACGGACGCTGCCACTTATGACTTCGCAAACCAAGGGAACTTCTTCTTCCCAGGGTCGATCAAACCACCACTAGGCGACTCTACCTCAATGCTGCGCTGATAAATGTCCTACATGTCAAGTTAGTCTCCCACTGTGTACTCGGATTATATAAGCTTCATATAAGCTTGTTGGTGGATGTCTTACCTCTTCGTCTGTTGGCATCAAGCAGTCTAGAATAAGCTCCCTCGCCGTGTCATGCCTGGACAAATTCGGATACGGTGTATTCTGGCTTTTCATAATTGGCAGGAGGATCTCTCCCAAAATTTCAAACTTTTTCCAGTTGATTCGATCGCCTTGCGGTCCCACAAGTGTCTTGCTACCCTCTTCAGCCGCAACAATGTCTCGACGATGTAACGGGATGAATGGGATGCGTGGAAATGGCGAGTTTTCCCACGCTAGCCGATACGCAAAATGGCTCTTTTGTGATCCCATCAGGAGTTGCAGTCTCGCAAACCGTTTCTGCACGTCAGTCGACACGAGTCCCCGGGTCTGGGAAAGACGATGGATAGCCGTTCCGCCGATGCCAGCTAACATGGCCGCGAGACCGTTGTAGTTGTTGAGCTGCCTCAACTTCAAAGCAATGTTCATGAACTTCTCGAGCATCTGCGCCCGGTGCTTAGCTTTATCTCGCATAAGGATCATATTAGAAACCCAAGATGCAATGTGGTTGAAATGGGCAATCATCCGATTCACGTTTTTCATAGCCTTGCACTTCTCCTTTTGCTCGGCAGTCAAGCTGACATGTCGAACTAAGTCACGTATGCGAATCGAGGAGAACATGACCCAATCAATACGCGTCATCTCGTCTGCGATGTCGTCGTTTAGCGTGGCCATAAATATGTGATAACGGAACTTATGTAGAGGTAATGTGTATGTGGGAACCATTGTTGCGGCTTCTCGTTCGTAGTCTTCGTATGAGTGAAACTGGAATGAGTGTATCTTCCCAGCCGCCCCACCATCCGTCTGAAAGGACGAACTCGCCGAAGGGCGTCGTTCGATTTGGTCGTCCACACCCAAAGAGCTTATACTCTCTGATAGATCGGCATAACGCCTCGAAGAGTCTTTTGTGAAATTGGAAAATGCCTCGTTTTCGTCTATTGAGTCCTCGAAACTATCAGACTTCTCCCACCCTGTGTCGTCAGCTTCGATTGTACTGGACTCTAGAGTCCTACGTATTTGCTGCGCAGCCGCAGAGAATATAGGCTCGGAGGATAAATGTCTGATGATGTCCTCAAGGTTTCTTCTTGTCGTTGGTCGCGCAAAATCCCCAGGGTATGTCCCCACCCACTTAGCAATTACCTCAATAATTCGAAGTTGCGCGGCAGTCTTGGTAAGATAATGTACAGATTTGTCGTCCTTGACACGGTCTAGGCGGGATAAGAGAGAGGACAATAGAAATCCAGGAGTTGAGAACTTTCGGTATAAGCACAAGAAAATGTCCATGAAGTTGTTGTCTGCCCTCGACATTTTGGGTCCGATAAGACGTTCTACCAGCTCATCGAAAGTGACGCCGAGTTTCTTTGCGGGACGTTCAAAAACCGTCTCGTCGCTCCGCTGCAGTAAAGGTATGTCGTCGGAATATCGCAACGAGTCTGCGTCGGAGTCCTCGATGTCGAAGAACGAAGCGGTATGTTGTGAGCGGTCCAATCTTATGCCTGGGGTACGGAGCATGTTAGAAACGGAATGGGATGGGTCGTCGTCAGTACTATCCGGGAATTGACTGGTCACATGACTTCCTGTATAATCAACGCGAGGTGACCTTGAGTGTCGATAATCCGCCCTTGATTGGGGAGGGAAGCTTTGAAGCAGCGACATATCCGAACTAGCGCGACTGTGTTTACTGTGTTGGCTCAATGGCCTGGCGCTTGCTGTTTCTAACTGCAAGTCCAGGTGCGCAGCGGAAGCTGCCCTACGCCTTGGACCCATTCCTTCGCTATCACCCTCTACTGACTATCATTAGCAAGAATTGAACATGTGGTTATTATTGTAGACAGGCAGCCCTAGCGCAACACATACCTTGGCTTCTTAACACTAAATGCTTGAGAAGTGTTGACAAAGCTATTCTTGCGCTCTCCGGTTTGCTAGCAGATGTCTTGTAAGTCGCAAGACACGATTGACATGCTGCAGAAACTGCTTCGGTGTCGATATGTCTCGAGGTTTCCGGATTGTCGCATTTCGTCGCAACGAGAACTGCGGGCAAAGACGAATTGACCAGGGCATCTATTCAGGTTAGACTCCAACCCTTGTCTATGGGGTGCTCCAAGCCACCTAAAGTAGATGGTAGCGTCGGTGACTACTTACTCAAGATTTGAGGTAATTCTATGATACTCTCTCGGTTCATTACATCATATAAGAGTAGGACGCCATTTACACAAGGTAATATGGCACCACCCATTTGTTTCGGCCATTTAATTTGGCGATCGGGATCTACGTCAAAGTATTCAAGATCCAACTCGAATAAGGTAACCGCGTAAGGTACGTTGTCGATATTAATGCGTGCCGTTGTGGGATTTGGGCCTGGAACACGTGGTAGAGACATGGCTCTCTGTATGAAATGGGACTTGCCCACTCCATTGGCCCCTATGACACATATGTTAATACTCTCCATGGCGACAGTTATGAGAACGAGACCGTCTTCGTTTCAGCCAACGGAGCTCTGTTGGGATTACTGAGCATTAGCATCGCCTATGGCAAGTAACTCTTTACGTAGAGCAAGCGAGAGATAATTGCGAAAGGTTTATCATGACTATAATTGTTTTGTCTTTCTTGATGGCCCTTCAGGTTCGCCGTAGTATATATTAGAATGCTTGCGGGCGAAGGGTCGATGGATAAAGGAGTTGAGGTAATCCCAAGATTTCGGCGAGATGGAGAAGTTATGGTGCAGTCCAGCAAGGACAGTTGGATATTCGGGGTAGATGGTTTAAGATCGAAAAGGGCGTGCTCGATCGATAGGAATTAGGATATCAGGGATGTAGAGAATAAAAGTTGAGCGCTATGACCGGGTGACGGAATCTAGATTGGGCTCGATAAATTGCGTCGCTCTTGAATCGCTTGAGTATAAGGTACAGGGTTTAATATTCGCTTGGTTGAAAGTCGTTGTAAAGCATCGTACAATGTAGCACACCCGACGTAGCACAAATAGACGTAATAGCCTCGGTGTATGATGGTGGATAATATAAAGACAGTTGGACTGGTCACGAACCGAAGGATACGAGAGGCAGATTGACCGATTCGACCGTGGAATAAGTTATATCGATTGGACGAAGAGCTATACGATATTGCGCTGTCTGACCTAATGCGCGGATATTAGTTCTTATAGCACATCGGAGCCATGGGGCCAAATACATCCATGGATAATACATACCTACTGACTAGCACGGTAATCTCATTCGGGATGCTTCGCGTTAGGGGTAAAAGCTTTGAAAATTTCAATGTTTGGTATGAAATGTGCCGTGGGCTAAAAAGAGTTACCTAACTGACTACAACGTCGACCAGCGGCGATTGGTAAATGAACAACGTGGAACAGCAGGTGAATATAAAAAGTAATAGAGAGTAATAGGGAGTAATAGGGAGTAATAGGGAGTAATAGGGAGTAATGAGGAGTAGTTGGTTAATGGAGAGCACGAAGTAGTGTTCGCAGTGTTATGTGTGAAGGTGTGATGTGAAGGTGGAGAGAGGTCTTCAAATACGACATGGAGGGTCAAGATGAGACTAATTATCCGGTTGCGGGAAGATTGAATCCCCCCTCAGCTGTCCCTATAAATGTGGTGCTTGCTTCAATGTTCCTTCGGGTGCCTCCGTATATAAATTAGTATGTACAGTTGGGGTAATTACATTTCAATGTCCAAATCAATTATTAACAAGGTATGTGCTAAGGTATGTGCTGCCTATTATGTGCTATCTCCGTACATACATACAGTAGTAACAGTACATACATACGTGTAGGTAATAGGTATGACTGGTATGTACATATGTATGTGATAATGTATCATCTTTTGGCACTTACAAGGGTCCATTAGTGCAAGACTCCATGCTTCCACGAGGCACCCCTCATTGCTTCTGCTGCTCTGTATGTAGCAGGTCTTAGCGGCTCCGGAAGTCCTTGCGCTCTCAATATTCCTGTTATTCTATCCAACAGTGATCTCCAACAGTGATCACTCCTTCCCTGCCATAAGCTTACCCCTGCATCTCGCTAAGCAAGCACATCCGCATTTGTTGCATTTGTTGCATTTGTTATCATTTAGATACATGAATGTACTACACCTCCGCCGGGATGGTAATTATCACGCTAATTTAGTGGTCCCACCATTTCCCACTGTGGCTAAGTACCGTCATAGCAAAAGTTATATGTAAAGGTACAAGGCCCAAGTAGTGTAATCATGTGACTATGTACTTCTGCCTACAACTTTCGCTGAAGAAATACATAGTCAGGAATAGTGCTGTGGAGGCCGCTAAATTAGCGTGATAATTACCATCCCGGCGGAGGTGTATGATAGTACTATACTTCGTATAAATAGTTAGCATGCATTAATGTACGATAGTATACACCAACATACATATATGTATGTGCCTACAGAACACTTGCCCACAGAACACTCGACTATGTATCTCACCATTCAAATGTTGAGATGACCTTCCTTATAGATCTTCCTCTAAAGCCAAATCCGAAGGCAAGCCTTACTTAAATCTCAATTAATGTTTGCTTACCTGAGACATTTACCGCTTAAAGAAGTTCCCAAATGCAAACGACCGGCGGCAAACCCACTGCTAAGCTACGACAGACTCGGACAGAGCCTGCTTCTAGTTTGGCCTGAGGCCAATCGGATATCTCCAGACCTGCTTTATCACAGGCGGCCGTCCATCCTCTTAGGAAAGCTCCTTGTACGCACGTGGATAGATTAGCCAATTGGTGCTATCCTACGGATGTTCCTATCCCATATTCGGGGGAGGTTTCGTACAACACCCCTTTCGCGAAATCATGAGGTTTATTTTCTGACGCAAAACCAGATCTTCGTAATAATTATACCATAAGAGTATAAAACTAAACTTATTGGGAGATTATATATGTTTCTAAGCTTTATATTTGTTAAGGGCTTTGAGGTTCTGTACGTATATTAATAAAGGGGCGGCACCCTTTGTTACACCAACCTATGTTATACCTTACATGCCTTCAAATAGGGGCTAATACATAATGCAGTAGACACTCAATATGAAACCTACCACGGAGCTGCACATAAGATAAACTGATTAAGTATATATCTGCATACGTATATATAGAAAGGTATGTAGGTATATTACAGATGATCTTATACAAGTTTAATGGTGCAGCTACATATGCTCATACCAACCCGGCACTTAACATAATGTTGAAGTTCGTATCGGGTAGATCCTTTCGATAAGATCTACATGTACCCAACACAACATCAACAGAGGCGCGTTGACTCAATAAAACACTTAATTATCTAGGCAGGTGTAAAAATATATATAATTGGGCAAGTTTTAAAGTTCACTCAAGACCATATGTAGTACCTTCATGCAGCGAAGCTAACAAATATCCTACACGACCTTTATGGCGGCATGTTCTGGTGAAGTCACACAGAGTGCCGTTACAAGAAACATTACCGCTCTGTGGTTAGCCGAAAAAGTGCAGGCTTCAATGCACAATGTCTTTTTTACGATATGTAGGTACCTACCTACCTACAGCATATGTACATGTACGTACAGGAGTGTGTTTGCTCCACCTGTTCTACTCATCCATCGTATACACACAGGAGCGGCTTCAATGTTCTACATATGTATGTATCTTCAAAGAGCTTCTTTAGAAGGGGCTATGTACGTATTGAAGCAGCTACCAAGCACACGATCACCCTAACCGTGATAATGTAAAAGTTATGTGGTTTCGAATAGGGGTTAGGTATATATGGTTATTCCAGGTTAGCAGAAGCAAAAGATGGGTGTAGATATATATATCTGGCCATAACATTGGAAAACCCTGTTATTTTTTAAGGGAAACAAGCGTGATGTGTTATTACTTAAGTGTATGTTTATTACCCATATCCCTTAGTTACACAGCTTTGTCTGGATAACTTGTACTCACTTGAACGATAAGAACTGATATTTAATAAGCAAGGCCAAATGTGAGTTCTACCTTTATTATATTAAGGCCAGATAAACATTGAAGACCATTAAGGGGCCATGTACAGTAGAATGAGAAAGTCTTGTGCCGTCTTAACTAATTATAAGCTACATACTTATTAACTAGTATAACATTTGACGTTCTTTGAAAGGGTGTTAAAAGGAGTCTAATATCTAAGCCCACGCTTAAAGGCACGTGTTCATCACACGGCTGCAACTTGAATGATAGAAAATAAGGTTCTGAGGCTTAGAGACTTGGAGCTTTAAAGGAGTGGTAACCACTTTAGGAGAAGTTTGCTGGAATGATTTCAAATGCCCATAAGCGACTACTAAAGTCAGATGAAATTAACAACCTTGAACTTCATTAGTGTATATATGTAAGTAGTGTCTACCTACATGTACATAAACATTGAAGAGACTCGGATAGCGGCAGCAGCGTGTGGACCACCAAGAACAGACAGATGCCAGTCACTGTCCGATATATTCAATGTTTTTGCACGTATGTCATACATAGTACATAGGTATCGATACACCATCCCATACATGTACATCTGCCGCATGCATGCCTACATGTATGTAAGTATGTACATGTATGTATGTATGTATGGATTGTATAGCCGTCCGTTTGTACGTATATGTGTACCATGTAGGCGTCTTCAATGCTGATGCGTTCAATGTTCAATGTTCAATGTCAAGCACATGGCATTTAGCATTAAACACTTAAACACTAAACACTAAACACTAAACATTGAGCGTTGAGCAGTAAGCATTGTCCCGTAGTACAGATCTTTGGTTGGAATACCTGGTATTGAATTATTAGAAGTACCTACCCTACATGTAGGTCTGCCCCGCGATTTCTTTTATTAAACGGTGTTTCCAAAAGTTTGAGAGCTTTGGTGGCTCTTTCCCATTTTATGGTGTAGTGGTGCGCAGGTTACCCAAGCATTCATGCTCGTCATCGTCTCTTTCCCTCATATCCACCTCAGAGACAGTGTACATAGTATGTAACTTGCAACTTGCGAACTTAAGAGCCTGAAAACCTTGAAATTCAGGAACGCACTTCACCTGATATTTCAGGCAACATCGAGACTACCGTACTGCGACGACCCCACCGAGCTATTATTTTCCCCTTGTTGTTATCTACCGAGTTCTTGCAGTCATGGATCATTCTTCAATCTCATCCAACTCGTCTGAAGACGAAGACCAAGCAATGGTTCGTCACGGCGCAAATCGCGGGCGTACAATGCCAAAACGTCTGGAAATAGATCTGAGCTCCGTCCTCAGTGAAGCTCAACAGCAACAGCTTAACCGGCTCATCAATGGCGCTGCTGATGAGATACAGAAGCACATTCTCCTCAACCTGGATCTTCTCACTCCTGCACAGGTCGCACCCAATGAGGGAATCCAACCCCCCAAGGTAACCTGTACCCTGATTCCTAATCCCAACAGCCAAAAATACCGAGATAAGTACATCGACACAGACCAAGCTCAGACCGATGGACCTCAGCCTCAGAGAGATAACGTGAAGCCTGCCCATCAACATGGCAAGCACCTAGATCCTCCAAAGTGGAGGCTCCCCAATTCGCCTGAAGAAGCCCTCGAGATATACGGCAAAACAGAGAAAGATATACTGATCCAAAGCGTCGAGGAGACGAAGCGAGAAATTCTGACACACTTCGCCAAATGGCGTCACATAGTACAGAGACGTATGATGGATATCGTCATCAAGAACGGTGGGACAAGCGGCAATGTCACCAACGAGGAACAACCCCCCGCAGGTAATTTCAGAAATGTCGGGCGACGCCCGGACGCCGCAATAGGAAGACCTTCGTTACCAAGTGGTAAGTTCTTCCTTTCGCGAGTGGACGTCATTCGTCAAGCCATCTGTTGTCCTGCTTTCTTTTTCTCATCAACAATCCATGAACACGACCCTACCAACTAGGACCCTCTTCTTATGAAATCATTGGATCAAGGCTGACTCGGTATTTTAGCCGTCCTCACACCAGCCGAAATTGTCTCCAATGCCACCCTTGCCCGACTTCACACCGCAACCTACACGCCTCTTAGGGAAACCCCCAAAGAGAAGCGCGCATTGATATTGCACTGTGTCATGCTGGTGCTTCTCGGAGTGGATCAATATACCACATACGCAAGAATCCTTCTTGTGAAGCTTGCTTCTTCGTTGAATATTCCAATGCATGTTCTATTATTGGATGAGAGTCGAGTAGGCCAAGCTCTTGCCGGCATTATAAAGGGAATCGCCCCCGAGGAAGTTGTACAGAAGCGATCAGAACAATCCAAGACCTCTCGACGCTGGAGACCGAACACAGTCATGACAACTGGGGATAGCATTCCACTTGCCCCCTCCCTCGTGGTTGCCGGCATCGGCACCGTTTTTGGAGGCCTAGGATTGCACCCGACAATAACAGCTACAATCCTAGGAGCCATGAACGACAATACCGTCACCGTTGGTACCATGTTCGGTCTGTATGGAGCCCGACAAGGCAGCAAGACGGTTGAAGCGCATGGCAAAGACGTACAAAACTTTGGAATCTTACCTTTACACGGAGTCGATAAGTCTAATTTCATCGATCCCAAGGATGTGCGTACCGAAGACCGCAGAATGCGAGTCACCTTTGGAGTATCTGGTGTGTATACAGCACAGGATGATATCATCGAGTCATGGCAAATTCTAGGTCAACAGACCGAAGCTTATGTCATTCGATGGGATACGGAGACCTTGACAAAGATGGGTACTGCGCTAGATACTCTGTTTAAGAGTCCAGCCTGGTATGCCGCGAAGAAGGAGATCACTTCAGACACTGGTAAGTGGCCCTCCTCCGTTTTTTCCAAAGTATAAGCTAAACTATTTTGTAGTATTCGATAGGTTAAATCGATCCATATGGCCGGCCCCACTCGTGAAGGTCAGTAAGACTATCGACAATCCATGGTGTATCGGAATGGTTCGAGCAGAAAAGATGGGCGGAATACTAGCCGACATTATCCACAATAGACTCTACGGAGAGAGACCGATCACGTTGATAGGCTACGGCCTCGGTGCCCGCGCAATCTATGCCTGCCTAATGAGCCTGGCCGAGAAGAAGTCCTATGCAAGCATTGAAAACGCGATTATCATAGGCGCCCCCTGCCCTGCCGAGGTTCGTGTTTGGGCAGCGATGAAGAGCGTCGTCCTTGGCAGACTTGTCAATGTCTTTTCTCAGACCGACTATATCCTAGGTTTCCTTTATCGAAGTGGCAGTTGGCAATACGGTGTTGCTGGCTTACAATGCATCCAAGGTGTGCCTGACGTCGAAAACCTCAATATAACCGAGAAAGTATCCAACCACCTTAGTTATCGCTATCTTGTGGGACATATCCTCCAGAAACTGGGCTTAGAGGATATTGACTATGCCGAAATTGATAAAGAAGACGTGAAGTTAAGAGTGCAGATGGATAAGGAAATAAAAATTGACCAAGAACGCGAAGAGAGGAGCAAGGTTACACCAACGAGCTCCGTCCAGAAGGGTAGCATGGCAAAGAAGGACACCGTCGTTGGCAGGATGGGGAAGAAGATGAAAGGCGCAAACCTAGGACGTCAGTAGGGCCAATGTCTAGGAAGGTACAAGTATCGTCTAGGAGGAACATGACCACGGAGGCAGTTCAGGTATTTCTCGTTCTTGACGGCTTTTATGGACTAGGGAGGCTATTGAAAAAAGCCATATCTGGAACATAGCTTGAGCATAAATACGGTTCTTGCTCAGTATGAATGGTCAGACTATGGCCGGACTATGATGGTCAGGTGATTGGAAGTCATCAGTTTAGTACTACTAGGTATACCTCTTAGGGGGGATTAAAGGGGCAAGGTACTGACAGCTCTAGTACAAAGATTCGCATGGCTAGGTAGTTTAATCGGATTGCATTTGCATTAATAACGTTATATCCTGATTTGGCTGATATGCGTTGGTGTTGGTTGGGTTAGACGGTCCGGACCGCACGACGAAGTATTGGCCCACGGTCTCACTGGCTCCTCCCAACACATCCCAACCTTCTATACTAGGGTCAGGACTCAATCCACCTTTCTGCTGTGCTGCAAGGCCTCCTCGTCTCCGCGGGCGTTTCGCGTGACCTATTACTTCCTCCTTCGCAAGAGCATCTTGGAGCTGCTCTAGACCAATGGTCTGTTCCCGCACACCCTCCGCAGTCTCGTCTCGGATGGCGCGCAGGGGCTCGATACCTGTGGTGTCTACCTCGCGGATGGCCCTGACGAACTGAAGCTGCGATTGGAGGTTTGACAACATTTGCGATTCCTCCTCGTCGGACTGGGGTGGGGGCAGCGCCGAGAGGCGGAGAAGGTGGTGAAGGGTTTGGGGGGTTATGGACTCTGGGGGGGATGATATTGAAGAAGATGAGGGTAGAAGCGAACGAACGGACCAGCTGGGGTTCTCGAAAAGGCTAGAGAGGCTCTGGGGTGAAGGGGCTGAGCTTGAGATGCGCCTTCTGGATGATGCGCATGCTTGACGTGTTTGTCGTATAGAATGGAGTGGCTGGCGCATTGCCATACGGCAGTGGCTACATATTGTGGAATTCATTTTAGATCATTTTAGATTGAATTGCTTGATACCCTCTATGTAATATCAGGACATGAGGTTGGTGTTGTCTTTATTAGACGGAAAAAAAGAAGGGAAAAGGAAAGATCCTTGCTGAAAATGATGTTCACTGTTCGGCTTTTCTGGGCCTTGAGGCTGAAGAATACTACATGGCGGCTATGTATTAGTCTAAGTATTGTCTATGTACCTGATCTGAACCTCTACAGGAACAAAATTATTAAAACAGCACAATGCCATACATAAATACTTATAGATTAATTCTCTATAAAGTGAACATCAGTAATGTAAGTAAAACAAAAAATGAGTCCATGTGCTGAGACTATTGGGGCTTCAATGTTGTTTTCAATTACATGCACATGTGGTTATGATACATATTACAGGTACTTTGGATGTACTTTGGATGTACTTGAAGGGTTACAAGGGTTGCAAGGGTGTGCCTCGGGTCTGAGACGAGGCGATGTCATAGCTCAAGACTTACCTAACGTCAGGTAGCTGCGTCGCAATGCCAAACTGTTATATCTTTCTTGTTCCTTTGACAACAACACCAGCGTTTAACTGCCAAACCTTGTAATCCGCCACTTTTGCTCTATCCTTTCCTTCTTGTTCCTAACCATTTTAATATTATTAAAAATATCAAAATCCAAACCAAACCATTACCAACATCATGGCCGGAGACCCTCGCGCATTACTGCTAAAGGTTGGTTACTATGCCCCGCCATTATTCCCCACATCCAATTCAACGCTTTGCTGACGATGATGGCGACCATAGGCAGACAAGGCGCTCGCTGGCGCCTCGAGCGGATTCAGTTTCTTTGGCGGCCGTGAAGAGAAATATATGTCCGCCGCAGACTTGTACATCGAAGCAGCGAACTCCTTCAGGATCCAAAAGATGAACCGCGAGGCCGGTCAAGCCTTCGAAAAGGCGGCTGCGGTGCAGAGCAAACAACTAAACGAACCAGACGATGCCGCAAACACCTTGGTCGATGCCTTCAAGGTTTACCGAAAGGAAAATCCAGAAGATGCAGTGCGGTGTCTCGATGTCGCGGTGAACCAGTACTGCAAGAAGGGCAACTTTAGACGAGCCGCGCAGCATAAGGAGAATATGGGTGAAGTATTGGAGGTCGAGGTGGGCGATACCAAGCGTGCGCTCGAGTGCTACGAGGCCGCTGCTAGTTGGTATGAGGGAGACAATGCTGCAGCGTAAGAACCTTTACCATCGTGAAGAGATAGGCATGGCTCGAGGCTAATATGCTCATCTAGTCTGGCGAACAAACTCTGGCTTAAGGTGGCAGATATTGCCGCCCTCGAAGGCGACTACTACAAGTCGATCGAGCAATACGAAAAAGTCGCAGCGGCCTCCATAAACAACAACCTGATGCGTTACTCGGTCAAGGATTACTTCCTCAAGGCGGGCATTTGCCATCTAGCGACGGGCGATATGGTTGCTGCGAATCGCGCGCTCGAGAAGTACCGAGATCTAGACCCGACATTCCCGAGCACCCGAGAACATCAGTTGCTGGTAGACTTGGCGGGTGCTATCGAAGCAGGGGACCAGGATCAGTTCACGGACAAGCTCTTCCAATACGACCAGATGAGCAAGCTTGACAAGTGGAAGACTACCATTCTTGTGCGCGTCAAGAGCAACATTGAAGAAGCCGGTGAGGATTTCTCATGAGTAGGATTGGGAAAGTTTGAGAATAGGAAGAACAAGACTTTATGAGAGATGTCAAGCCAAACGAGTACGTTTGGATGGGTGGACTGTGTGGGGGATATAGCTGTAATGCCTGCGCCGTCTTGCAAATCGCAAGACGGAGAAGATCAATTGATTCCTGTGTTCAATGTTGTTTCTACTTGGAAAGCTGGGCTACAGCGGACCTACCTACAGTACCTAGCTATCTACTGACTGGGTAGCTACTATCGTCGTGGTCGAAAGACAGCCATGCATGAGATTGCTACCCTACTTACAACCTAATAGTACTACAACTTATTTGTGCAGTTTCCATAGTAATGAGTGACATGAAATACATATAGCATTTTGCTTGTGGCTCCCCTGACCTAACAGCAATATATCATGAAATCATCCGTGTAAGTAGAATGTACGGTGTGATACGCGCCGTGCATGTCAAATTGTCAATATCAATTACGAACTTGGAAGTACTACTAATAGTACTACTACTATAACTAGTACTTACAAACCCACTTTTTGTATGCCAAGCCAAGCCAAGCCAATGATAGATGATGAATAGTGGATGGTGGGGTTGATTTTTAGTTATGGCGATAACACCGATAAGAATTTGATAAGCCAAAAATTTACAAAATTCATTTTGCGATTAACCAAATCTTCGCCAAGTCAAGTCTTTTTGAATTTGCAATTCTTAGAGATGGCGTCCTTAGAAGAAAAGCTGGATAAAATCCGGTCGCCTAATCTTCAGAGTCAGAAGCAGGTAAGCTATTCAAGCCCTCTTTGCTCTAACAAAGTCTCCAAGTCGTTAACCTAACCTTGAATCTTCATCCAGACTCAAGTGATTCTGAAGGCAGTCGAAGAGACACTCCAGGAACAAAACACTCAACCAACCCCGACAGGATATTTTGCCGCTTTGTTGGCTCTCCTAGGCCAATCCCTTCCAAATGGCCAGGTTAACAAGGAATTAACCCCCTCCGTCGTCTATCTTCTCGACGTTATCACGCCCTTTGCGCCGCAACCACTCCTACGATCCAAATTTACCCAGATTCTTACGCTGTTAGCTCCTGTCTTACTCTTAGACGATGCAGATGCGCCGTTAATTAGATCTTCGATTGGATGTCTAGAGTCACTGCTTCTTGCCCAAGATTTGGTAGCATGGAAACTTCCGGCAAGCGAGATAAGTCCGCGACGGGCGGTCGCCGGTCTCTTGAACCTTGCGGTAGATCATAGACCCAAAGTACGAAAGCGCGCTCAAGATGCCCTGCGAAAGGTGCTTAGAAACCCTCCCCCGAGCCCTTCGTTGGACCATCCGGCAGCGGATCTATGCGCCGAAACAGCAATGAAGAGCCTAGCCGAAATAGCCAATAAAGTTGCAGCATCCAGGAAACAAAAGAAATCTGCTGCAGAACATGACCCTGGCCTTATACATGCCTTACAACTCGTCAAAACAGTGGCAGTGGCGAGTGGTGGTTGGCCAAGCAAGAATATCGAGACTCTATGCGAACTCCTGCTCAACATTGCCAAGAGTGGGAACGAACACATGACGATGGCTGTCTTCGAGATCTTCGAAATGATCTTCGAGGGCATGGCGGATGAGGTTGCGTCTACTAAACTTCCACGTCTTCTTGAGATCATCTCTGAGATGCGCCCCTCCGCCAACGACACACAGTTACTTCCTCCTTGGATTGCGATATTATCTAGAGGCTATGATGTATCTGCGCAAATGGAACCCGAAGAGACCTTCCAAAAGCTTCCAGACCTATTTATTATGGTATCCGAATTTATGGAATCTTCCTCACACAACATCAGGATCTCTGCGTCGGAGTGCTTGATTTCGTTTATGGCGAATTGTATTCCTGCTCAAGTCATTGTCGAGCCTTCAATCTATGACGAGAAAGTCCTCGAGAAAATAGCCAAGATTGCCGAGAATCTCTTAAGCGTAAAGTTTCAAGCAGCCTGGATGGAGACTTTCAACGTTCTCGGTGCTAGTTTCGATGCCCTACAATGGCGTGCTAACCCAATGATGTTGAATGTTGTGCGAACAATCGGCGAGCTCCGCGGCAACGACTCTTTCATGGGCAAGAAGGAAGCCGATGAAGTGCTTGGCAAAGCAGTCCGAGCAATGGGCCCCGAGTCTGTCCTAAGTGTTCTTCCCTTGAACCTCATCAAGCCAGTCCAGGGACAACTTGGTCGAGCTTGGATGTTGCCGATCCTCAGGGACTATACTGCCAACACAAACCTTCAACATTTCAAGACCGAGTTAGTCCCTTTGAGTGAGGCCATGTTTCAACGAGTTCTCGACAATGGGGAAGCCGAAAAGACAATGGAGATTAAGATATATGAAACCTTGGTACACCAGACCTGGTCTATTCTACCTGGTTACTGCAATCTACCCTTGGACCTGACAGTGGCATTTGATCAAGTGTTTGCAGAAATGCTTGCCAACCTCTTATACAGACAGGTTGATCTCAGACTCGATGTTTGCCGAGCCCTCAAAGCCCTCGTGGAGTCAAATCAAATTGTGGCAACATCAGAGGATGATGATGACTTGATCATCAAGTCCCGAGTTTCCAAAGAAGATGCTCAAAAGAACTTGGTATATCTTGGAAACTTTGCGGGAAATCTTCTAGCGGTTCTGTTCAATGTCTATAGCCAGACGCTTCCCCAATCCAGGGGCCCTATACTCCAAACTATCAATGCTTATCTGAGTGTTACCCCTGAGAAAGAGTTGATCAGTACGTTCGATCGTGTCAGCACGATGTTGGCTTCTTCCTTAGAAGAAACCAACGGCGAGGGAGGCAAGAACAAGAATCAAAAGTCTAAGGACAAAATGCCTTCTACAAGCCAAACCTTGATGGATTTGGTAATTACGATGTCGATTTACCTTCCTCGCCAGAGTTTTGGAACACTCTTCAACATCGCTGCGCTCATTATTGTTAAAGACGATGACCCTCAGCTCCAAAAGAAAGCCTATAAATTAATACCGCGTCTTGCCGACTCCGAGACTGGCAAAGTGGCCCTTGAAGAACGAACAGCAGAACTCCAGAACTTGATACTATCAAGTGCAGAAAAGGTCTCGGCCCCTGCGCGAAGAGAACGATTAACGGCGATCACTGCATTATTGCCATCCATTCCTGAAACCTCACTCCATTTCATTCCCTCGGTCCTATCTGAAGTTGTCATATGTTGCAAAGAACATAACGAAAAGGCTAGAACTTCAGCCTTTGAGCTCCTTGTTTTGATGGGTCAGAAGTTGGCGGAATCGAAGGGGAAGCTGATTGAGAACAGTAAGGTTCCTCACATGCCTAATGATGCGCCGGCCGTGCCCGCGAGCATAGAAGAGTATTTCACTATGGTCAGCGCTGGACTTGCTGGAACTACGCCTCACATGATATCTGCCTCCATCACTGCTCTTACTCGAATTCTTTACGAATTTCGCGAGCTCGTCAGCCAAGAAGTACTAAGCGATACTGTACAAACCATGGATCTCTTCTTAACCTCTAACAACCGAGAGATCGTCAAGAGTGTCCTAGGCTTTGTGAAAGTGTGCACCATTAGTTTGCCCACAGAGTTAATGGTTCCTCGTCTGCCGACTATGATTCCCAACCTGATGGTCTGGGCACATGAGCATAAGGGCCACTTCAAGGCGAAGATCAAGCATATCCTAGAACGAATGGTTCGTCGGTTTGGCTTCGATCCTATCAACCGAAACTGCCCCGAAGCGGATCGGAAGTTGATAGCCAACATCCGTAAGACTAAGGAGCGTAGTAAGAGGAGAAAGGACGCCGCCAAGGAAGCAGGCAATGAGGAAGAAGGCAATCAACCGGATGAGAAACGACGAGGTCGGTTCGAGAGTGAATATGACGAGGCGTTGCATAGCAGCGAGGAGTCTGATGACTCCGATGACTCCGACGCCGAGGTTCTCGGAAAGTCACGAAAGGCCCAGAAAGGCGGCTCTACGTATATCTTGGAAGATGAGGATGAGCCGCTCGATCTTCTGGGCCGCAAGGCACTCGCCAGCATTTCTTCTACGAAGCCCGGCAAACTGCGCAAGGCAGGCAGGACCAAGGCTAAGACTGACCTGGATGGCAAGCTGATCCTAGGCGAAGACGATGATGGCGACGATGCTATGGTTATCGACACCCCTAAAGATGGCGGTGACCAGGGCGGCGTTGGAGCGTACGTCGCGGCTCTCAAGAGCAAAGATGCCGGGCGTAGAGGCCGGGGTGGACGTCTGAAGTTCTCTAATAAGCGAGGCAAGGATGAGGATGAGGATGAAATGGATGTTGACGAGAAAGATGTATCCGCCATTAAAACGCAGATCAGCAGAGGTGGTAGGGGTGGTAGAGGCGGCTTTAACGCACGGGGAGGTCGTCCTACGGGCGATGGGGGCATGCGTGGCGGTGGTGGAATGCGTGGCCGCGGGGGCGGGATGCGCGGAGGTGGTGGGATGCGCGGAGGGAGGAGCGGAAGGGGGGGCATTACCAACGGGCGACGTGGGCTCGGGCAAGAAAAGAGTCGTGGCACAGGCTTCGGTGGTAGGGTTGGAAAGCCTAAGTCTCCTGGCAGGAGATAAAGTGGCCTCTCGAAGATGTTGGTACCTGGTTCGTGTTTGATACCCATTCGCAGTATACACTTGGATGGATACTATCTAAGTACTTAGCTGTGAAAGGCCTCTTGTTTTTTATTGTTTATTAGTTACCTAAGTGGTTTGTTGATGGTTTATGGCGTAATTAGAGACGGAATCATGAATAAGGGACCCCTTTAAAAACTAAGTACCTAGCACATGAAAAACAAAATCATGACGAAGGTACGAAGTATGAGATTCGTCAATGTTCTTTACATAATACGGGGCTTAGAGTACTCAGTACGGGGCTTAGAGTAAGTATGGGGCTTAGACTCAACTTTCGGCTCCAACGGGCCAGGGTGGGGAACCTAAATAACCCTGAATCATTAAGCTCCGGCCAATCAAAAGTCAGCAATTCCCAATTCCCAAGCTTGTTCACAACTTATGCGGAGGCTTGACCTTCCGTCGGGATAGTCAAGTTAGAGCCCTTAAACTTTCGACCAAGGCCAGATCTGCTTACGTTTCTTTTCCCTTATTGATTAATTACTCTTGTCGTTTTCTTCTCCTTCTTCTTCTTTGGATTATTATGTCTATATTGTAATTCTACATATGAACAATACTTGAAGAAGAAAACCGTAAAAGGGGGAATACCTACGTGCCTACCTATCTATTTATAGAATACTAGATCGCATAGCAGAGCTCGCTAGATATTGTACAAGGCAAGGTACCTAAGAAAGACCTTACCTTGCCCGCCCAAGATGGCAGAGGTACGCCAGCGCAAAGGCAAGAAGGAGGACGAGAAAAAGTCGTCCACGGTGCCCATCGTCGAAGAAATACCGACCTCGGAGTCAGACGCCGACAGCACACAGCCAAAGCCAGCGACGAAGTCGAAGACGAAATCCAAATCCAAATCCAAGCCCTCCACCAAGGAGCTCGTCGACGATGACGAGAAGTACAGCCCGTGGATGGACATCCTGCGCGTTCTCTCCTTCCTCCTCGTCGCCTCCTGCGGCCTCAGCTACCTCGTCTCCAACGGCGAGTCCTTCACCTGGAACATGCGCGCGCCGCCCAAGTACTTGCAGGCGGATTGGTGGAAGACGCAATTCGTACGTCATTGCTTGCTATCTCTGATCGATCACTTTCATCATCACCAATAAAAACATATACACACATATATATATATATAGCTAACCTAACATGTACCACACCCAGCGCGGACCCATCTACCTCACACCCGCCGAGCTCTCCCAACACGACGGCACCGACCCCACCAAGCCCTTATACCTCGCTATCAACGGTACTATCTACGACGTCTCAAGCAACCGGCGCACCTACGGGCCCGGCGGCTCCTACCGCTTCTTCGCCGGCGCCGACGCCGCGCGCTCCTACGTCACCGGCTGCTTCGCCGAGGACCGCACCCCGGACATGCGTGGCGTCGAGGACATGTACCTGCCCCTCGACGACCCGGCCGTCGACTCCCTGTACCCGCCCGCCGAGCTCGCCGCCCTCAAGCAGCGCGAGCTCGCCGACGCCCGCCAGAAGGTCCACGACGCCCTCGCCCACTGGGTCCGCTTCTTCCAGAACAGCCCCAAGTACCCCCGCGTCGGCTACGTCCGCAAGGACAAGGACTGGCTCGCTAAGGAGCCCAGAAAGAAGCTGTGCGAGGCTGCGTCCAAGGGGAGGAAGCCTAGGAAGGCTCCTGGGTCTGCTGAGGAGTAGGAAAGGGGAAAGGGTCGGGATTTTGTTTAAATATGTTGAGTGTTAAGGTTTTTTTTGGTTTTTTTTTATTTTATTTGATTGTTTATAAGAGGCAATCCTACCACATGGTGTTACATCAAGTGTAAAAACTTCGCTGCTGGAATTGTTATCTCGATAGTATGGGTGGGTAGGTACCTAGGTAGGTATGTAGATAGGTGAATAGGCTAGGCAGGTCAATAATCGAGGCAGCATTTACATGCATGCATACATTGGTTGGTAGTGCTACGCGATTGTTAGAAAGAGCTGAAATACGCTGTGAGTGAGTGTGCAATGATAGGTGGCAAAGTTACTACTCTATGAATACTATTATGCATACGAACAAGTCGCTGTCGAAGTACTCGGGTACATACCACACAATCCAAGACTCGAGCTTAGAACAAGACAGGGCCATTCACTCATATCACATCAAAGAAGGCACGTAAACCGAATTATTCTCATGGGATCAACGGGTATATTATCCAAAGCCAGAGTCATCTCATCTAACTGCACAATAATGCAATAAAAACCGATAGCGCCTGCTAGCTAGCCCCCTGGGGCTATAAAGAATCCAAAAAAATGCATAGGGATACATGTGTGCGGTTCTGTTTTTTTAAACAAAGAATTCTAGATCCGCAGCGGCGTGGCCACCTCATTTTCCCTCCCTCCCCATCCAATGGGTGTGGGTAGGGTGGCCGCCCGGTGTCTCGGGGATATTATTAGAGCCCCCCTGGACCCCGGACGGACGCTGCATGACTTTGCCTGCCTCCCTCCCTCGTAATTAGGTCATGGTTTTATATATAAGATCGTAAGTCTCATTCCATTTCTAGTCCAGCCCAGTCCCCATTTGCTCATAGGAATAGTAGGGCAGCGACAACACCCAAAAGCCCCATCGAGCTGGAGGCGCCGACCATGCTTGCGGCAGCAGTCGGGATCGCGCTGTCCGAGGCACCAGAGGCAGGGGTGCTCGAGGTAGGGCTGGAGCCGGAGGCAGTGGTTGAGGTAGAGCCGGAGCTCGACCCAGACCCAGAACCGGACCCAGATCCTGAGCCAGTCCCGGTAGAGCCACCGGTAGAGCCACCAGTAGTGCTGTTGCCGGCAGTACCACCGGTAACAGCGCCGGGGGCGATGTTGGCAGTAGCCTTAGCGGCAAGGCCCTTGAAAGCTGACAGGCTTCGGGATGAGTTGGCAGCGGTGCTGAAGTCCTTGTTAGCTACAAGTTCACTGTCATCATCGTGGGATACCACTTACTTCTCGTTAACTACCAAGACCATTCCGCTTTGGCAGTGCTTGCCTTGGGAGCAGTAGAACCACTGGGGAGTCTTGACAGAGACCATCATGGTGTAGGTAGGGATCATGCCGCTGGACTGGCCAGCTGCGACGGGTTGGTAACCAGAGAAGATGCCAGTCTGGTTGGAGGTGGACTGAGCGAGAGGCGTGCAAGGGTTGTCGAAGTTGGACTGGACCACGCTGTGGTTTCCTCCTCGGAATTGGAACTGAATCATGTCGCCGACATCTGCCTTGACGCTTTCGGGGAAGAAAGCGACAGTGCCGTTCGGAGAGCCAACCGAGACCACATGGACCTTTTGGGCGGAGGCAGCACCCAGGAGAGCGAGAAGAGTTGCGGTAGTGAATTGCATTTTGGCGATTTAGATGGTTATTTTTCTGATTATTTTTCTGACTTCGTTTAAAATAACAATAAAGATTCTTTAAAGAGAGCGTATAAATAAGCGACTCGCGCTGGATAGGACTAGCCTGATGAATATTATGAGAATTTTACAAAAGTTAAGGAAGAGAAAAAGAGAATGAAGATCCCAAAGAGAAAAGACGTATAGCGAAGAGAAAGAGAAGTCCAAACCCAGGATGGATGGGAACAGCATGAGATTTAAAGAGCTGTGGAGGATAAGACGGCCAAGATGAGGGATCGCCAAACTGCGGGCCTGGCTCATGCCCCCCCGACATATCTCGTCAAGGGTTGTAAAAAGTGAGGAAATCTATGAAACACGTTTTGGCCATCGACTACCCAGATGGCTTGTTTAGGAAATACTACCACCTTGACTAGGGTGTCCATTAGACGGACACTCCAGAGCCGGAATCTCATTTCTAGGCTCTGTGGTCCTGTGGTTATTGGCCAATATCGGAACCAACTTGGCAATAGCAAAGCCTCTCGGAAATGTCAAGTTCCTGTCAAGTTCCTGTGTTTAGGTACGAAGTATTGCTCGCATGAGTCGCCTTGAGGATGAGATGAGGCTCTTGCATATTAATGCGCTTCTCCATTGTTGAACCCGATTTCTATCCTGTTCGGAATTGTAGTTCATAATAGTTGAAATTCACAACAACTTGTGTGTTCTTTCTACACATAGTCAATGACGAATATTTCGTATACTGTACCCGATTAGTTACTTTCGTCAACGAAGCTGTTTGAGACTCGGGGGATGTTTCTTGACGTTGAAAGTGTGAAGTTGGGGGCCAGGGTATGAATGTACTATGTATCATAGTATTAGTCTATTACTCGGCAGACGAAGCCGAATTAAGGTTAAAGGGTTAAATGACATGGGTCTGGCCCAGGGGGCTCTCATTCGGAGCACGGATCTTGCTTCAGATGATCCTGTGTGACACCAGCCAAACTCAACCAGTTTCATCCTATCCCCTTTTAGTCAAGCATCTCAGCCGTATTGCACCAGTACCTGATTTTTATTGGACTACATAACTACATCGACTACATAATACATAGTAACATAGTAGAGAAAAGAGAGGCAAAATTACCAACAGTGTCCAACACGCTATGTAATATTATGACATGGATGCTGTGCCTGAGCGCTAAATATTAAATAATCACCGCTACCTCCCATAACTACCTCCCTAAGATCATAGTAAGATGCCTTAATCTCTGGCCCGCCATTCAGGGGGCACCATCTAGCCTGCTAGGCCAGAACATTTTGAGAACCATCTAAAGTTCTAAACATGCGTTCTATTACCAAAACATTGGAGGAATATTTACTTGTTACCTCAGACCTGTGGGATGGACATTACTACATTGAAACCTTTCTAACCTTTCTACATCTCTCGAAGCCGCTTGAAACAATTAGGAACTCATCAGTCAGGTTTGGTGTCTTGGGCTACATGATTTGACACTCGATGGCCACTCGGTGACGTCTGTCCTTTTCAATCGCAGAGTTGAAGGCCCTCATGGATGTTATTCTCGTTCCAACATTGTGCTACTAGCTGAAAACCCACTGTAAGAGCTGCCTCACGCTGACCCAAAAGTTTGATACCTACTCAGGTAGGTAGGTAGGTAGGTAGGTAGGTAGGTAGGTAGCTCTCCCCAAATCGGACCCTCGCCGAAACCTTCCACGCGTACCTGTATCATACCAAAGGGCATTGCAGTTTTAGAGCATGTCCCTAAACACCAAAGGATTCTAGAAACCCTAGGTGCCTTTCCCGACCCAAGGGTCTCTCTCCGAGGGACGGAACTGGCTGGTTTGCTTCTAATCCACTGCTCTAAGCTCTAGAAGAACGATATGTTTGGTTCTATCTGCATAAGCATCTTGGTTTCCTGTTGCCAAGACTCTGAGCCGTCAAATTCTTTAGATCGATCTAGGGGTGAAAAGTTTCATGCAACTCGTGTCGGCATCGCTAGCGGTCGATTGCCCGTTGTTTTGGCCGTTTTCGTTAGAGATCATGATGCCATTCTCAAAACACATGTTTACGCGTCATGGCTACTGGCTATCAGAGACTGGGTTAATAGAGCACTGACTTCCTTGAGACGTACGTACCTTTCGAATAGAACCCGATTGGACTTATACTATCCATTCGATATGCCGAGTTTCCGTTCGTCATGTCGCTCCCTTTCACAGGTCAAGTAGTAGCTGCGGCGCGACTTTCTCGAGGTCCTCGACCTAAATGTTCAGTATAAGCATCGGCATCAGCACAAGACGTCACTCTAGCTGATCGCCGAAGAAAGAAAGAAGGGAAAGGGGAAAGGGGAAAAGAGACAAAGGTAAGTGATCGTACCTCTAAGAACCCCCTCTCCTTCTCCACGACCGTCCTCGCGATCGCCTCGCGCACAAAAATATCCATATACTTCGCAATCGCCGCATTCGCATCCTTGGACACCCTCGTGCCGTCCTTCTCGAACGACTGGTGCAAAATCCGCGTCAGCAGCTCTGGCGGAATCGTCTTCCGCGCCGCTTCCTCGTCCTCTTCTTCCTCGTCCTCCTCCTCGTCCTCCCCATCTACATCCATTGCATCATCACGCCCATGCCCACGTCTCGGCTCTTCCTCCACGTCGCTATTATCGGGGTGGATCACCTGCGCCGAACGCGATGAGGAGTGGCGCGCTGTCGAGGCGGAAGTCGAGGCCTTGGATGTCGGTTTGGAGGTTTTTGAAGATCTACCTGCGGCGGAAGACGCGCTCCGTCCACCACGGGCACTCGTTGTAAATTGCTTCGGTGGCATTGCCCAGGTTGCTCGAATAGAGATCTTAGGTAGGCAAGTACGTAGGTTAATAGGTCACGGATAGATCCGCAAAGTTAGGTAGGTTACCTACTAAGAAATAGGTGCATTTGACCATACAGTATCTAATAGGTGCGCGGTTCCTAGGATGTGGGGACTGGACGTGGTGCATGTGCCATGTGCATTCAGTTAAGAGTCCATACCCTGTGCCACCTGTGCCACCTGTTCGCCACCTGTCCCACTAAACCTCCCAACCGCAACCATTCCAATATCACGCAAATTCTAGAGGATATTTCTATAGGATACTTCAAAAGAATATTTATATCCAGTGAGAATTGCAAATTACGTCAGTTGTAGCAAGTTCACGTAGTCAGGAAGAGTAGTTAAATTTGTCATCAGGAAACCACATGCAATTGAGTCTATGCGTTGTTTACAACCAAGGGGATCAAGTCCTTGTCAAACATCGAAAATTAGCGGAGATGTAGCATGCATGCAGAAAGAATACAGTTAAAGGAATTGCTGAGGTCTAAATTACAGCGGGCAACTAGCTGCTCAAGAAATTCATGGATACGAGACATGAATTTGCCTTCTCTGCCAGTATCATCCGCAAATCAAGCTGTTCCAGAAACGCCACGGCAATGGGGTGATGCCCTGTAACAACTTTCCACCGGAGCTACCGTCATGCCCCTTTTGTCGACGAACCAATCGCCCTATCCACACTGTATTACACCGCCTATCATCCCTAGTCTATCGAGGTGTGAGGGGTATTTAACCAGAGCCACCCTTGAAGGCCTTTCCGAAGAGAAGGACCTGGAGCTGATCGTAGATGGACAGGACACCGGCTCCGGCAACACCACGGAGAATGTTGGCACCAGCACCCTTGAAGAGAGACTTGACGCCCTCCTTGGCGACGATCTGGCGAGCAGCGTCTATGGTACCGTTGTACTTGACGGCCTCACCGGACGTCATCATCATACGACGTCGGATAGTGTCAAGAGGGTATGAGGCAATACCGGCACCGGTGGTGACACACCAACCGAGAGCGAAAGAGGCCAAGAAGTTGTTGGCAAGGGGTCCGACAAGGACGACGGGCTTGATGGAATCGTACATTCCGAAGTAAAGACCACGGTAGACAACGATACCGACAACGGAGGGCATGAAGCCACGGTAAAGACCTTGGATACCATCACTGGCGAGGGTCTTGCGGTAAACGTCGATAAGACCGTTGAATTGACGGTCGCCGCCACTCTTTGCGTTCTTGGCATCGTTGGCAAGACGAGTACGGGCATAGTCGAGCGAGTACACGAATAGAAGGGAAGTGGCACCAGCAGCCTACTTTGCGTTAGCATTGTCTCAAAAAAAAATGATCTCCGTAGTTTGAAACTTACACCACCGGAGGCCAAGTTGCCAGCCATCCACCAGGCGTATCCGTCACGCTCCTTCTTGAAGCCGAACATCTTCTTGAACTTGTCACGGAAGGCGAAGTTCAAGGCCTGAGTCGGGAAGTATCGGATGACGTTGGCAGTGTTGCCACGCCACAGCGACATGATACCCTCATCGGCAGTAGTTCGCTTGAAGCATTCGGCGATACCAGTGTACTTGCGGTCAAGACGACCGGTCTTCAACATCTCATCCTGTTTTTGAGAATTAGTAGGCCATACTTCAAAATTATAGCAGTGATTTGGGGGGCTTTCTGTTCTTTGCCAATTGAGCATGTGAAGCAGAACATGGGGATGGTGGGGCAGGGATCAAATAAACCCGATGGTGAATTTTTCTTCGAAAATAGGTAACGACGGATGCAATAGATAATAACATACCTGGTTCTGGATAAGAAGCTTGACACGCTCAATGGGAGCGGCAGCGGTCTTCGAGACGGCGGCAGAGACACCACCCACTTAAAATATTGTTAGTAACTGTTATTGTGTGGTGTGTAGGGCTTCACGGCGCATCGGCATCGGCACAATGGGATGTGAACGATTTAGATCCGGTCGTTAGAAGAAAACTCTGGCTGGTAACTTACTCAAGAAGTCCGCCAAGAAGGGCTATGATATTCATTGTCAGTAAAATTCGGTATAAAGATGAAAGAGTAGTGTTATAAATAAGGAAAGTTGCGAGAATTTTAGTCCCCAACCATCACCGCCATCCATGATGCCGATAAGAGGTGAAGCATCGCTAACTAGTCAAAATGCGACTTGAATTGTCTAACAGAAGCCAATTGAAGTAGCAGATGACATGCGCTGGGGTCATTGATGGTTGAGTGATGGCGGATCGAAAGCCGATGCTCGCACGCGGGATTTGAATATGAAAAATGAGGGTTAGAGAATTGCGACTTACCGGCATGCCCAGGACCTTGGGCTGTTCCGAAGAAGACATCTTGTCTGAAGTTCAAAGATTTCTTGATCTTCGAAGGTAGAAGGGGTGGAGTGGAGATTAGAAGTGAAGGAGGGAAAGATGTTGATGGAGAGGAGAGTTGTGGGAGATGAATAGACGGTCGAGCGAAATATTTCTACTGCGACTGGGTCTTGCAGAAAATAGGTTTGGGGGAGGGAAAAAAAAAATTGCTTGCGGGTAACAGACCAAAGGGAGCCAGCTTTTTCTAGCGACTCTTCCCGGACCCGCCGCTAAGACCTAACGGTTGCCCCGAGACCAATGAATATCACGTGCTAGTATGGATCTAGCGTTTAAAAAGCCACAACCTGTAACCACTGAAGGTTCTAGGTAACCCCAACTGGGAGCTGTTGGCGGCTGCTACGAGCTGGCCTACAGCGGCCTAAGCTAGTACGCTATAGTGCGCTAATTGATTAGGTACCTAACTCCTAGGTACCCTAGGGTATTCAACGTTGAACACCGGACAATTTCGGGATGGCCTAGGTTATTGAACCGCTATTCAGGCCAGATGCCATCTTTTTCTTTTTTTTCTTTCTTTTTTTCGGAACTCTTTCTTATCCTGCCAGTTGGCAGCCATTCGAGGTATGTACATGCATGGATGTGTATCTAAATTCTAATAGGTGCACATGTGCATTTGGTTTCTGCTTACTCTTCGAAATGACCATTAGTTAGTTAATGTGTTTCTTTATTCTACGATGAGTATGTATTGTTACGTATATTATAAGCCTACAACAAATTCCAACCCTACAACCAAAGATCTAGATAATGGAAAATCCTTCACTTTTGGTGTGTAGATCGGGTCCAGACATGGAGCTCTAAACTAGATTTAGATACCAAGTATCCATGTATAATCTATGTATAATCTATGTACATCTTGCCTTTATGTAGGTACTTACTACTTACCAGTCTTACCTAACTTCAGTAGTATCAGTAGATTCAGTACTAGGTAGTTATTGTGTCGGTAAATGGAAAAAGAGTCAGTATATCCATCCACAAGCATAGCATAGCCAGGGATCTCTTGATCTTCATCCCGTTCCCCGAGTCAAAATTCTCGGCTCAAAGTGTGGCGGGTCTTGCCTTGGCTGGTCGGCTGTAATTTTTGTCTGCTGCTACGTGTGAGATAGCTGGGTAGATGTGTACCCTACCCACGCATCCCATGCTACATATGTACGCTACTATTCGAAATTCCAACCAATTTAGAACTAAAGCCGGGGATTTAAATACATACGTGCTACTATTGTCCCAGATCTTGATTACGTACAGACGACTTCAAGAAGCGAGAGGTTTGTACATACTACATACAGAAGCCTACTTGGGACCTTGGGTATGTGACGTTTGTCCCAATGTTCGATTACAATAAATGACATTACCACTAGGTACCTACTATGCTGATATACTACAGTCTAGGTACAGCAGATTAACATTGAACTTACATCAATATCTCTTTAGTAATTCCCCATGCTTAATGGGCTAGTATAACCAGGTCGGTATACATATATGGCTCAGGCTAGTTAGTATGTGGATAACACTGAGGTAGGTAATATACAAGAGTTTATCAAGTCATTGGGTATCTATGTAGTACATCGGTGTGTCCTAGTTGATATGCGGTGTGACATAAAACAAACATTGTGACAGCTGTCGACTCTATGCCATGCCTAAATCAACTCGAACTCGTCGTTATAGGCCTACAAGTTAGGCTAAGCATGACCAGATAATACTATGCACATTGCATGGCAGGATCGTCTTAAATCTTGTATACCTACGTCCATTGTCATCATCGTCCTTATAAATACGGCATGGAAAGTTATTACAATAATGACACGAGAGAGCGGTACGGTTTAAGCAGAATGATCAGGGTTTTCTCATTTGGCCCTTATCTGAATGACTGAAGCGAAATACTGAACCATAACCGTCCCAATGCTACGCCGAGGACCAAATGCCTGAATCCATCATATTCCCCCGTCCGCGATCCATCTGGTCCGTCACTCTATCGTCGACTGTCAACCGAGCTTTTTTTTCATGGTATCGTGAGATTGATGGTTTAATCCGTAGCACCGACAGCTCGGGCTATAACGAAAGTTAGCGTCCGACTCGCATAATTAATACGGTGACAAGATGAGAAACTCACTGTAGATCTTCATCTTGCTGTGTGTGACGATGGGCTTGATCTGACCCTTCTCCTCGAGATCCTTAAGGCATTTTCGTGCCAGCGAGCCGTTGATCTTTAGTCTGTCGACGAGGGTAGCGACTGTGACGAGGCGGTACGATTGAACATCCTTGTAGAGCTTGTCGGAAGTGGTCTTGTCGAGTAGGACGGCGTGCTGGGCCTTGTCCTTGACTATAAGAGCAGTAAGGTTAGTTTAAGCGCTTGTGAATGATTGCCGTGCAGAAGTTCTCGTTGATTCTGCTTGAGAGAGTCTCGCGAAAATCCCGTCGCGAAATTTCGTGGTACTTGCCTTTGCCCCTGTGATGCGAAAGTTAGCCGAAACGTCCATTTAAAATTCATTCAATTGAAATTGTTACATACTTCGACCACTTCTTCTTCTGCTTCTTTGCGCCAGTTGCTGCGGGAGCCATATTGTCTGATTTCTGAAATTGGCTGTGCAGTTGTAAGTTGTGGTATGAAGATGGAGGGGCCGAATAATTATTTTGTGGAAGAGTTCGCTTCTGCTTGTGGGCAGCTTTGATCACTTGCACGTGACCTAAAAATTGTGAAGTGCTTAGGTAATTAGGTACAGAGATACCTCTTATGACGCAGCTGGTTTATGTAGTGGTCTGTGCATATTAGCCCCTGCAGTGTTTTACCCCTGAGAAGTTCCCGCAAGCCACGATCAACTAGCCACTAGACTGGGCACCAGCCACATTCCCATGTGATCCTTGGCTTTGGCCCTTTTTGTACTACGTACCACAGGTACGTAACGTAAACGGGGCTCCTTCAAGTTTCCCCACCAACGTTGGAATAGGGATTGATTAGGATAAAAAGGACCGTTTCCGTTGAAAGCTTAATAATTAGTACCTACATCATGCATCTAAAACTTTATGTAAATTTCAACCGTTTAAGCTTTTTGATCTCTTTCCTCGAAACTCGAAACTCGAAAAAAGGAAAGAAGCCATCCCGTCATTCGTGGTCGTAGGGGGATGTCCGATTTGAATGTTTGCCAGCTGTGAGATAAGATCGCAACGATCTTCGAAGCTATTATGAAATAAACTTAGTCCTACTTAATTTTACGTTGTGGAAACCATCTTTTTTTTTTTTTCATTCCTTCGTTCGCTCGTTCGATCGCTCATTCGAGATATTTATTGTAACGCAGATTGTTTCAACACGTAATTCATCAATATAATCCATCAATATTCAATGGTTACATAAATGTCCTTTAACTTCCTAAACACTGAATTTATTCCTCCTTATCTGTATACTAGCATAAACCCGCGCGTCCTGCGTTCCATCTCACGATGCCCAAGCACGGCGCGATCCTAGGATTTCGACTAGGTCCGCGGCGTATTTCCTTTCTCCTCGTTATCGTCGGTTTATTCGCCCTATTTACGCTTCTTTTCACACTACCGAACGGCATCCCGACAGGCCCGAGTCTATCTAAGTCAATCGCAGACCATAAGTTTTCCATTCCCAAATACAAGGACAAATTCTCGTCGAGCATCCTCAACCCGTTCCGACCGGCGTCGCATAAGCCTCCGGAGCAGCAGAATTCGACATATGGCGGAAGTTCTTGGTATTCTAATTGGAATTGGAGAAGTCCATTTTCTTCATCTATTACGCTAGATGAAAACCGCTCTCTCCTCCCACCTTTGCAGGATAGAGCTCCTATCTATTGTTATTACGACACTACTACTCAGCGAAGTGAAGCTACGAAAGAGGCCGACAGCGCGTTGCTGCTGACATGGAGACGCGCCTGGTGGGCGCAAGGATTCAAACCAATAATCCTGAGTGCGGCAGAGGCTATGAACAACCCACTTTATGACGAACTTCAAAGGCTGGACGTAGAGCCGACCTTCAAGAAGGATATAATGCGGTGGCTCGCGTGGGAGAACATGGGCGGTGGACTTCTATCGCATCATTTGCTATTTCCGATGGCGGCCCATGAGGATTCTTTGCTTTCATTTCTACGAAGGGGGGAGTACCCTGGCTTGACGAGGTGGGAGGGGTTCGACAACGCTTTATTCGCTGGCCCCAAGGCGCAGATCGCCGAGGCCATCACACAAGCCCTTCGTAATCCTAAGAAAAAGTCGGCTAAAGACTTCATCGCTGCTGTCACAAGTGATACATTTCGTGTAGACCCCTCTCACGAGTCGCTCGCCTTCTACGACTCCAAGACCGTCGAGAAGTCCTACAAAAAGGTCTCGGATGAGGTTGCGGCAGACCGCGACAAGGGTATGAAGAGTTTGAACCTCCTCATAAACTTTCATTTACACAATACCTGGCAAGACAACTTCAGCAGCGGCATTGCTGTCCTCAAGCCTATGCCAGCTCATACATCACATATGATCGAGCCAGCATTGGATCTGGCGACGAGGCTTATCGCCTGTAGCGAATCCCCGATGCCAGCAACATGTCCGCCAAATCTTCCCAAGTGCACACCTTGTATTCCGACACATCCTATGGGCATCGCAACGCCGGCTCGCTACCGAAACACTTCCGGTCTCTATACCATCGGAACTGTGCCACATCCATATACGTTGCGTACGTTAGATACCCTGCGCGACAACATAGACGTGGCCTGGGTCAGACGGGAAATCAAAAGACGTGACGAATGGCTGTATCTAGTCTTCCAGGAGCATCTGGGCACAGGAATACCTAGTTCTGTGCGAGCGGTCAAGTTCAAGGACGCTGTGGCTGGTGATTGGGCAACGTCACACTCCCTCTGGTTGACCGCCGAAAAAGAATCTCTGCCACTTGACTTGGATTGGTGGTTCGGATTCGAGATCCCGCAGAACACGACGGACGACGGGAAGTCCGAGACGCCAGTCCCCGGCCCGGAGCGTAGACCCAAACCTAAACACAATCCGGATGATGGCCCGATTGCCTCTGACGAGGAGCTCTCACGCGAGCCCCATTTCCTAGAGCGAGCTAGGGAGGTGGCAAAGAGTGAATTGGAAGAGGATGTGCGCGTGCGTAGCGCCATGGAAGCTTGGAATTTGGCCGACACGGAAGCCTGGCGATTCGCCAGAGCGTTCCTGGCACGTGCTAGGGTGGAAAGGCTGAAATGGGAGGAGGAAGAGAGCATATACGCCGACGGCGTCGGAAGCGACGTCGAGAAGAAACGGGGCGGCGGCTGGTTACGATGGGGAGATGATGACAAGAACGACGATTGAGATTACAGGTTTTAAAGATGAGTGTTCATGTATTATGCATGGTAATGAGTGGCTTACTTGGTGGGGGGAGGGGTTGAACGTTTTTTGACACTCGTGGTAGCATGGAGTTTGCGCGTTAAGGACATTTTTTAAGATCTAGAATCTGACTCCTAGGTAGATTTACATCAAGATCCTGCCGATTAATGCAGGTAGGTTTTATTTGAAATGTTAAGAGATTTTGCTTTTCTTAGAGGTTACAGATCCAAGTGTTTTGTTCTTGATTGAAAGCAAGTAAGCGATAGAGTGAGTGAGGTTTTCGAGATGAAGCCAGGCTGTTGAGAGCTGGCTCGGGAAAATGAGAATGTTGAATTCAGAATACAAAGAAAAAATATCAAGGACATGTTGCTGGTGATGTCCTTCATGCACCCTAAACCACGATAGTATCGCCGCCCATCTCGCCGCTCAGTTCCCGTGATGTTGCGCCCCGTCTCGTCAGTCCGGCGACCAAGGCAGTATCGGCTACTCCAGATTTGGTGACTCCGTTGGTAGCTGTGTTACCATTGGTCTTCCTGTTTTCCCCCGTTGTGTGACTGGCGAGGATCGCCGAGGAGAGGTAGGATTGGAGAGCATTCCTCGCAGCCTCGACCACCTTCTCGGCATGGTTCAGCGTATCTCTCAGTGCTTGAGAAGTAGCATCCTGAATGGGGACGCCCTTTATCGCAGGATCAGCGGCTACAGTACTACTGCCATTTTCAGGATCAGATTCCTTGCTGAGATCTGCGTTTCGGCGAGACTCTTCTCCAAGCAACTCGTGGATGTGTCCGTTAAGCCATATGCCTTCCAGCTGTGCTTGGGTCATATCCCGAGCACCGCTGATGCGGCCGCGACAGGTCGGCTTGCCGCAGAGACAGTCAAAGGGCTGGGCCATATTCCATTCTGTCGACGGATAAAAGAACTATAGAGGATGTAAGCTTTTGCGAGACGGCCGTGACAGGCTTACCATTCAAGGTGATAGGTGACGGACGGTTAGTTCTTCTCCGGCTTGGAGGCCTTTAGGCCCAGCAATGACGTTACGACTGGCCGTGTCAAAAATCTGTGGTTCAGGATTAGGATTAGGATCTTAGGGCCGCCTTTTGCGTCGAGAACGGGGATGTAGTGGATGGAGAAAAGATTGTCCCACTTCCCCCCCTTTTCTTCTTTATCTCCTCTTTTCATGGGATAGAGTTGGAGTGTCTGAGACGGTTACTGACGAGTGATGGTTCGCATGAGTGATTGATGTATAGCAAGTCGCTATTGAGGTTCAAGTGCTTGTCCTGGCCACACTGAACGGTTGCGTACGTTGGCATCTCGGCCAAAGTACACGGAGGAAAATCCAACTTGGCGTATAAGCCGAAAGGGGGGAGGGAGATCTTGGAAAGACTTTTGGATGTGAATTCATGCTCATTGATGATCACATCTTGAATTTCGGGGTGTGACGGCTGGTCCCAGTGTGGAGTTAGCGGTGGCATGATGAATTCTGATTTTATGGATTTTGGCTCTTTAAGTAAGTCTTTAATGTTTGATAGACGTAGGAGGCTTCTCTTCTGAAGCTAGAGTGAAGCAGTATAATAAGGGGTTGGTTGATTATTGCTCGTCTTAGTAGAAGTCTTATACAATACAGAATATGGCACGTTGCCGGTTGTGGAAGGGCGAGAAGGTATGTGATGTGTACCTAGATATGTAGGTGGGTAGGTGGGTAGGTGGGTAGGTGATGTACTATGTAGGGGGGGGTTAAAGGTATGTTCTCTCGGCAATGGCGTCAGTTTTCTGAGCTTAGCTAGTAGTTACCGGCAACCCAAGGAAAACTATACTACGTAATAATCTTTCTTGAGAATAGTTATGCGCTAAAGGTTTTTTGGAGTCAATTGCAAGGGCAAAGGCCGAGGTACATAACCCACGCGATAGAATATGTAGGTACTATGCCGTACATAGGTGGTCTCGAGGCTTGGTATGTTCCTATGGTATGTAGCTCTTGCTCACTTTCCCAACTGCTTGGTTTTCTAACGCAGCCCTACGCTTTCGGTTACGCACATGTCGACCTAGTCGACCTAAGTCCTGGTACAGTGGTACTAGGCTGGTAGACAAAGTATTAGTGGGTCATGAGGTAGTGAGAACCTGGAACCTTACAGGCTTGGAAGGGTCTGTAATACCCTGGGGCCTATCATAGGTTTCGTACCACCCAAAGCGGGCAACGACTTCTGCAAGTCAACAGCTACTTTACTTAATACGGCCATAGGTCTACAGGGATAAGGGATCTCGGGAGGTCCTCCAATGGAAATGCCTCACGCTACCGTGTGCATGTACCTACTACTAGGCTACTAGGGAATAACCCCGCTCGCTCAGGTGACTTAAAAAGGCCAAACCTCATCAAAGTAATGTTCAGTGGGCTCCAAACTGTAAATTGTAATAAGATTAATGAGATTAATGAGATGGTACTTTCATCATTGTTCATACCTAGTAGGCAAAAAGTACAGCTCTAACATTGATCCCTATAGCCACATGCAAGTGCTAACTTACATACCTACCTTCCTCGGTAGGTACCTAATTACTAGGTACCCTACCCTAGGTACTAGGTAGGTAGGCAGACATGAGGCAGCCCTATGTATGACATTGTATGTACATACCTAGCCTAGTACATATGTTGGCAAATACAACATCCATCGCTTTCCTTCTCATTCTTATTACTCGCATCGATGGAGCAAATCTTAGAAAATAAGACTATCCGTGCGGCGTTTCTATACATACCCCTACGAGGTATTCACCTATCAAGATTGTTGGTTTGATGTCAATTGATGTCATCATGTCCCATACGCGACGCGCTCCTTGAATATTTGCCGTATCGATATATACATGGCCCTTGACAAACTTGAGCCCTCAGACTATCTACGTCGGATCTATGTTCCGTATTTGGGCTCGAAGAGCTTCTGGTCATCAGCCGGGTTGCGAAAACCTAACTATTTAGCCACTTCCCTACCTATCGAGATAGAGAGATGACGTTGGACTCTTACCCGGTATTGTACCACGCCGAGTGAATTTGACAGGCCACTTAGGATACGATGCTTATGTTCCCTTGGAAAGGTCCCAGGAAATCGGCAACGGTGTCTTAATCTGATAACTATATCCGGGATGCGGCTGACTCGATATCAGGTTACCAATCCTGACTCGCAGAGCTTAGTGAGACCTCCCGCGATATGATGCTAGGGTGATGTATGGCCTGCAGGGCACGCAGGGCACGTATTGGTCCTGGCGATATCGTGTGAAGGTTCCACCAAATAGTTATTCTGAAACATACACGACTTGGCACTGGCAGACCAGATAGCCAGACTGAGAGGCCTAGGCGAGTCGGGTCTGGGGGGGCATCCTCGCCCTCTCAAAAAATAACAATAGGCATTGGGATCGCCACGGCTGATGTAGCAGCAAACGTCGATATTGCCCGTCCATCCAGGTTGTTTACTTGTATCCAGATCCTAGAGTATCCTGCCCATTCCCACTGATCTGGGACACGGCCTCAATTCTCCGAAACTTACCAGATGGGCTCTTCCGATTAATCCAAACTAGTCGCTGTCTGTATTTATGGCTCTTACTGTCACCATAGATGTGCCATGAATATGATGGACACATTTAGAGCCAGGTGGAACTCGAAATTTTGACTGGCTGATATCAGACCTTTGTTATACATATGTCGTAAAACCCCGAGCGTCACCGGACCATCATCCCCTGGGATGGTTACAGCGTGTTTAGCAACATGAGAGGAGCATGCGCATGCCGACATGATTCCATTAATATCTTGTATCTTGTGATCAGAACCCTCTTGATTTAGAAGGTAGATGACTACCCACCGTCGTTTGGTATCCCTGCTACTAGCACTCGCCAGGGCAAGGCACGCACCAGGCACGTCGCTTGGGCGGTTGCGTTGAGGAGCCTGTGCGCTCGAGCATCGTCTACCAGTAACTAGCCCTCGAAACTGGCTCGAGATGAAGACACCATCGCCTAGCCGAGAATCAAGCTATGAGAAGAATTCAATGCCGATCTATCACCACGTGGGTGGGTCGGTAAACGTTCCCATAGGGGACTCGGCTGGGTTATGTCAACCATACTCTAGAAAGGAAGGCGTGACGTTTTGGCATAATGACCGTGCCCAATAGTTATCAAGGATATAGAACTATGTCGGTCCGGACCTTAGGGTGGGGGTTACTCTGTAGAAGGACGGGTTCTACATTGTGATTACCTGCCTACCGGTATGGAACTCTTTAAAGGGTTGGTTCCCTTGCTTTTTTTTTCTTTCCTCGTCACCACCACTACCATTTCCCGAAAACGAATCACAACACTCGAAGAACGTTCAAGTCAACGATCAGTGACCTCGTCGTTATCCTCTTCCACACTCAAACTGAAAATTTTTATCCTCAAATTTCCATACCTAGTTACTTGAATATCAAGCTACACGATGCATTTTTACTCGAGTGAAGGGTCATCCAAATCTGACTCCCTTCCCTTGGTCAACTCAAAGGAGACAGATTACTCTCTAGACCACAAGCCCACGCCACCACCGCAGCCAGAACCTCCCACGCCGAACCCACCCAGCCCTGATGATCACACGACTGCCAATTCATAATACCAATTTCGTGTACCCCTTCACGGGCCAGTCATTTCCGAGTCCGTTAAGGCCCAGAGCCACAGCGAGCAGTTGAGGTAGAGTCCTCAGCACCATCTTTATCCTGTACGCAAATGTCTTCTAATGACGATTAGTTAGCCCGTACGAGTTTGATATGCAAAATATCATAGTTAGCTACGATTTTGCCTTGACCCAAGCCAGGTTAAATTCGTATCCTCCTAGGTTAGGGTATAAGTAGCTTTCAGAAGGTCCCTAAGCTTTTTCTCTCCCAAATTCCATGGCCATGTGTTGAAGTTTCGGGTTTCATACACTTGGGTTAGCATCTGGAGCGCAGTCAATACGAACATGATATGGTCTCTTATCTAGCAACTTGGCGTTTGCGTGTTGTTATTTGGAGGAGAGGCTCTTCGAATGATGGATATGCCCTGCATTGCCTATCGTATTTATACGTTTATATTATACTTTTGCTTGGTAGTCAGTGCTATATGGGAAACATTTATATTATCAACATGGCCTGCATACATGCCTATGTCCACAGTACCTATAGTAAGTATGAAAATGAGGAGTATCAATGATGCTGTTCATAACTATGGGAGAGGAAGTGCGCGCTGTATAGCTAAATATATTGTAGCAGAGACAAGAAGGCACACATGAGTTTAGATACTGTGTTCTATGTACCTGCTAGGCACGTTGATACTCCAAGATCCTTGTTGGAAATAAGAGGAGGAAGGAGCTGTATTGTTGACATATGTGCCTGCTAGATAGACGAGCCAAGGTACCTAAGTTCAACCCACAACAAAGTGAAATGTTGCTTCCTTAGGTTGAATAAGAAGTTGCAACCTTAAACGCCTTATTGGCCCCTTGTTGTTGCCATTATATGCCTGTTCTACCACGCAACGTGCAGGGTCGTGTCTTGTTTGTTGACGCAACTCAGCAACTCAGCAACTCATCTTCAACTCAACAACAAGTCCAACTTCATTCACCTCTTCCCTTCTCTTTATTTCTCTCTCTCGCCCATGCTCCAGAATAGTCCTCACAGATCTACCGTCAAAAGGTCTTGTATCGTCTACCAATTGCTGATTGCTCAAGTCGTTCGTTCGCGTTCCCCTTTTTTGGCCTGTAAGTACTGTCCCGTCCTCTATTCACTCGAACAGCAACCCGCCGTCCTCCACCCTTAAGCCCTCACCTGAAAACATTGCGAGACCCGAAATCGTATCCCACCATCAAAATTTTGGGCTGTCGAACCGCCCCCCCCCCCCCCCCTCCCCCATCTCTTCCCATTGTTCATCAACCACCCATCTACCTTACCACACAATCTATATCCTCGCCGACTTTACTCCTTCAATCGTACATGCGTACATCATACTTCATCTTTCGACTTGGGGCTCGCCCATTCTACATTCTTGCAAATTCATTTGTATTCCAGACCTTACATCAAGTAAATATCTCCACATCTGCAGAGGTATTGTTCTCTCCCTTCTTCAAACAACTTCTTTCCCACCGATTTTCTATATTTTCTTGTCAAGATGGCTACCCATCAAAAGAGTAGTGATGATAACCCGAACCTTTCCTACCTTTCCTACCTTTACTCTATCTTGAAAAGAGCCCAAGAAAATGATTGTGCGGTTACGACATATCAACTAACCATAGCCAAGTTTCGCCTTAGATATAGCAACACTATATCTCAGATCAGGATTGAACCTGGTGCTGAACTCGACATCTCGTCCATAAAGCCACCCAAAAACACCCCACGGTTCCTACTCTCGCAACTGGAAGCACAGGAGCTCGCTGACCTCGATAGCATCCCTGTTCCGATATCAGCAGCCCTTCTTGTTTCTTGCGAGTTCTTGACCAAAGACTTTGCTGGGACCGACACGCCCCCGTTTCTCACCCTTTTCCAATACTACCATCCAAAGCACTACCGCACCTATTACCTCTTCGCGTATCACAACCGCTCAATGGAGTCCCGAACTTACACCGTCCAAGAGCTTCTCCAGCTCAGAGATACCATTTCTCATGCCACGCTGAACAAGCTCAAGGCGAACCACGAAGTTGGTAAGTATTCCCTTTGACCAATTCCCTGTACAGATTTATATCCAATAACCTCTGCTCCTGATTCTTCAAACCCTTGCTACATTTGCTAACAAGCATAGCGGACCTTATCAAGGATAAAGCCAAGATGACATCGACCCAGAACCGGGTCCAGAATCGACACCTTGAGAAGGTTAATGGGGATGCCTCTTCTTCTGCTGAAGAGAGCGACGAGATCCTTTTCAAAGGAAAGAATAAGCCCCGGGGTGAGTGGCGATACCGAGGACGCGCAGGATCCGAAGCCGTTTCGAACGAACCAATCGGCGCTCCTGCAGGGAAAGAGGCCCAGAAAGCCGAGGGATTCCAGAGGTTTTTCAAGGCTGTAGTCTCTCCTACCCATGTTCGAGTTACCGCCGGTGGTAGGATTGTACCCAACAACCGTGGCTCCGTATCCCCTAGCGCCAAGTGGGATAAAGAGCACGGAACAAATGGTGCATCGGAGTCTCTGGCATCACCCAGAGACGAGAAGCTTGACGTTAGAAATAGCACCACTGCCCAGTTGTCTCACCCATTGATCTCGCCATCGTTACCTGGCGGTCATAGCCTGTTTCCCCATATGGGGTTGTCCATGCCTATATTCACCGTTCCTCACGGAATTCCCATGGCCTACGGCCTACCGATACCTCATCTTGCTCATCCCGCAATGACATTATCGGCACCCATGAAGAGCGAAAAGCATACCGAGGAGCAAGAGAGAGATGTCGTCAAGACCCAAGATGGTGCCGGTGATAAGAAGCCGAAACCTGCGCCCATTAAGATCATGCCCCGAGACCAATCCGACATGAATCGGCCGTTCTATAGCAATGGCAATGTTATTTACCCAGCCCCGTATGGGCCAGCGCATGGCCAAATGCCAATGATGCTTCCAAGCCCGTACTTCCCACATGGCATGGTTGGAACTCCGGCCCTTATAAGCCCTCATTCAGGATCTGCAGGCCATCAACCCACTGCTATGCCTCTGTATGGCCCCGCAACTGTTCCTCAGTCGCACTTATACGCGCCCCATAGTGCGGGCAGTGACTCCAGGCCACCACAGCCTCCCGCCGCCCTCAAGCAAGGTGTTCCGCCTCATATTACATCGATCCGACCTAGCGAAATCACAAAGCGCCAGCTTGATTCACTTCGAACTTCTCTCAAGTACTACGAGGATCAATTGCAGTACAATAAACACCAGATCGATGAGAAGTTCACCTTAGAACAGGCAGAAAAGGTCAGACAGAGTGTGCAACATTTCGAGCACAACTACAGAATGCAATTGAACTTCGAGGCCATACATTATCCACAGATCCCCCCGAGCTCGGCAGGTTCAACTCAGCGTGGAACATTTTGGAAGGCCGCGTCACAGCCTTCTAGTATCAGAAGCCGCCGAGCAGCCAATGCTTCTCAGAGTAGCTCCGTTAGTGGCCGAAATGTGAACCTTTTCAAGGCTTCGTCCGACCAAAGCACCGCAAGACATGGTGGTAATCGTGGCCTAAAAGGAGTTGGGATCAATGCCAGTAAAGAAGGTCAGGGGCCGTTCGCAATAGATCCTGCGCTAGAATTACTCATACAAGCAAACATGAAGAATGGGTATGGGCTTGATGAATCGATGAAGAACACTGCTTCATCCACTGATAATTCTGTGGCACCGCAACTGAATGCTGGAATCTCACCAATGTACACACCTCAGTCCGGAGAGTTTCATCCGGGAGTACAGGCAGGGTTTTCCGGATATGATGTCAACGGATGGCAATCAGCTGGCATGCCACGTTTTGACCAGCAAGGTACCTGGAATAGTGTTCAAGCTGCTAGCACGTATCCGGCCAACGGCGCCGTGGCAGCGAACACCCAACCGCCAACGACGAGCTTCGTTCATAACAGCTACGGTCAACCGTACCTTATTGGAACATTGCCTCGAGGGGTTAGTGCCTACCATGCCCGTGCGAAGGATTATGTCTACTCGCGAGAGCTAACCGACGCGGAGAAGGAGGCTCGCAGTAACTACTGGGGTCGTGTTCCCAACGTGGGATTGGGTTTGCCTAAGTTCGACGGCAAGGACTTTTACCCACCCTCTCCTGTCAAAGCCAAGAGAGGTACCGATGATTTATCGCAGTCCAGCGCGCGACACGCCTTGAGCTCTGGTGGAGCTGTCGTTGACTACCATATTCATGCCCGGCCGGCCGAGAACGACCCCTTCCAGGTCAGTCGCGAGCCTCAGTCCATCCGATCGCAAGAAAAAGGCCAGAGATATAGCAAGGCGATACCAATCGTGGCACCTAACGATGTCAGCCGAGGAAATGTATCCAAGATAACAAACCGTTCTCCGCCAGCATCGGTGGATGATAGCAGCACCGCAGGCCTTAGCAAACAGATGAGCGGTATGAAGGTCTCATCACCGACCAAGTTGCCCGGATATCTAGTAGCGGAGCAAGTCGAGGACTTAGACAACCGACGGGCTTTAGATCGATCTAGGTATGTGATGTGAGCGCACATTTAGATATGAGAAGAAAAACTAATGCTCTGCAGTACCAAGTCCAGCCGTGAACTATGGCAGACCATGTTCAAGAAGGGATCTGCCAGTGGATCCGCACTCCCCGGTGCCGTCTCCTCCACCACTGCTACGGGATATCTGCCACCATACCATGGACACGCGGCTGCATCCCTTGGACCAGCTATATCCAACGTGAGCAATAGTTCCCCACGTGGCTCACCTGAAGCTGGAGACAAGCCAGTGGAGAACGACAGTCTTCAGGTACCAACAGAGAAGGTTGATGAGAATTGCCCGCCGAATGAGACTCGCTCGGCCGACTATGATCCCGTAAAGGATGTACACGAGCGTATGCTTCGCGACGCGGAACGACGAGGAGTAATTGGCTCGGAGTGGTGAACAGTCAGTCGTATGCCACTAAATGACATACATGACCTACTACATGACGAGAATTCCCCCACAACAACAACAAAAGGAGCATCTTTATACACATTATCTTGCTAATGCCATGTCAATATGGTTAAGTTCATTTCTTTGAGGAATCGGCTCAGGGTATGTGAAAGGTTGCGAGTTACCCGAATATTTTCATCTTTTTCTGGTTCTGCCACCAATCGTGAAGTATATAATTGTGCTGCAAGACGGAGGCGGCAACTAATAACTTTATTGAACGGTTTATTCGATATGTTGATGGAGGGGGAAGGACGGAGGGCCTTCATGAGAGCAGAGGTAATATTATGTACAACTGCTTGGGAGGTATTACTTCAAGTATCAGATTGTCTAATAATGGGAGTGCTACTTACTTGCACTTGTGGCAGAAGAAGCTTCTGCATATGACATGGATGAACTTGTTTTTCCCTATGTTAGCTTTAACAATTCTCAATACATGATATGCATTCAGGAGAAAGCCAAAGACATAATCAGGCTTATAGATTCATACTGTGACAAGCCATTAAGCCATGTCCATGGAGAGTGGCTGGGACTGACTTACACTAGGTACTATATGCATCATATGCATTTTATATTAATTAACTGGCTACCTAGGTGCTCCCGTCAGTACATATATATTAACCTAGATGACACTTCACCACCAACGGCGAGACGAGAACTGGGGAGCTGATAGGACAGTAACAAGACGTAATATAGATATGTATAACTCTAGCTTTTTCTTCTTATGTCTTCTACTTCAACTCCCTCACCACGACGAGGCGAAGAATGATATTATACGTAGGAGTAGATAGGTAGGTATGTACCTCACCATCAAACCCCCAACCCCCATGAGAACGGGGTTGACGGTCTGCAGGCGAGGGGAAGGGCGAATATAATGAAGGGGGTGATTCATGAACCCACCTTCTTCGCTTGCGTTTCTTTCCGCCAGTCGTATACCTCGAAAACTAAGGGTTCTGCAGTTGACGCGGAGATGTCCTGGCGGGTTGTTTTGTGCGTTGTGTATTGGGGGTTGGCTTTTGATTTTATTCTATTTTTTCTTACCCTCTTATTCTTTCTTCATATCTTGAACTTAACCAAGTCTTACAGCCATACCTTACCTACTGGGTAGGTAGCTTGGAGTCAATGAATCTACGTATGCTCAGTGGAACATACTTACTACGTTTAATTAGGTGACTTCGGAGAAGCATTCTTCTAGGTATATGCTTTGAAAGTGAAGCCTTGTCTGTCTCCCTGGCCGGGCCAGAGCCTGTCCTAGAAAAGGTGAGCTTGACGGTTGCGTATTATAGCACAATAGGTATAAAACCACAATATTTCATCGTCAAGAAGCAAGACTTCGGGAAGAACCTCCCATGGAACATTTCACAAAAGTGAAAAGGCCATTGTGTACATGCAAATGTTTTTCATTTGGTGTGTGGTCGTGAGCGTCTAGATGCTGATCATGGAATCCCATGCAATTCGTGCCGTCTCCTTCGACGAAGCAAGTAGAAACATACCCCTCGTAGACGCCATTATTCCGTTGAATTTTCCCTATCCCGCCAATTCGTAGAACGGATGCTGCACGTTCAGCCCATCAACGGGTATCACACCTTGGCCAGACCGAAGAAACAAGGTAGGTTGTAAGTAGTGTCGAGATTGGCGATGCTTATTTGGCAGCGGCCTTGCCCTTAGATCGGAGCTCGCGGCCAACCTTGATGCGCTCTAGGATGTTCTCACGGTCCTTGTCGAGCTTTAGCTTGGTGATGACGACCTTGCTGGGGTGGATGCCCAGAGGAACGCTCTGGCCGGAGGCCTTGTCACGGGTAACACGCTCGATGTGGATCTGGTACTTGAGACGGTAGACGGAGGTGACCTTGCCCTCACGGCCCTTGTTGGATCCACGGACGATGGAGACCTCGTCATCCTTTCGGACGGGGATGCTGCGGACCTGTAGAATGAGAGGACCATGTTAGATATTTGACGATTGGAATTGATGAAGGGGGAAAAAAGAAGAGGAGAGTAAAACTTACGTTATACTTCTCGCGCAGCTCCTTGCTGAGAGGAGCGCTCATGATAACACGGCGCTCGCCGGAGGAGGCGCTGAAATGCGCCTTTCTCGACTTTCGTCGCGAGCTGGCGATACCTGTAGGCGAGAGTTGTTAGAAAGATTTAGGGCTCAATTGACAATGCAGAAAGAGGATAAGAGTATTTCAACATACCTGAGTTAACCTTGCCCATCTTGTCGGTTGGCGTGTGGTGACGGAAAAAAATGAAGGGAAAGTTGGATGTAGTGGAAGGTTGATTGTAAGTTGAGACGGTTCACGATTGACAGAAAATTGAAAGGTGAAAAAAAAAGAAGTTTGGTGGGCGGGAAATTTCTCATAGTGCCCTAACAGGGGTGGTGTGGATCATCAAGCCTCATCTTCAATTCGGTTGATTAGATAACTACCTAATGATGTGGCTGAAGAAGAGTCTCCGCTCTTTACCAGACTCCAATTAGCTTACCTAGTGGAGCCCTGTCGGTACGTACCGAGATGTTAATGATTTCAAGGTTCCAGGTGGCAGGTGGGAATTCAGCATTAGGTGGGGCCGCAGTCTGCTACTTTCAATGTCGAATGTTGCATTAATTCCTTCTTCCCACTGCAGCTTCTACACTAAATGCTGTAGATCGCAGACCTCGGCCGACTTTCATAAAAGTCAATTAAATAATAAGAACTCGCTATGTGGTCCAGACAAGTACGCCTGAGGGAAATATCAGCAGTACCAGCATTACGGAATCGCACATCCTCCGCTATTCGGAATCAACTGCAAAGACGGACATTAATCTCGGCGCCCAAACCCGGCGATGGACCTCTGATGGAGAGACGTCCGGACCGGGAGCTTCCAAGTGTGTTTCTACCCCCGACTCTGATTCTATAACTTATCCATTACACGCATGTCCATGACTACATCTAGACAGAATAGCTGACCCTTCATCACCCCCACCCTACAGGCATAACCGGCTTCCGCTGGTGGCGCACCTTCCCCCTCTTCCTAGCCATCATCGGCGCCTCCAGCATCGCCATCTTCAACTACCAGAAACTATCCAGCCCCGTCGTAGCCTCGACCCTGTACGCCCTGCGGACGAACCAGCGCGCGCGCGACATCCTCGGCGACGAGATCTACTTCAAGCACCAGATCCCGTGGATATCCGGCGAGATGAACCAGCTGCGGGGGCACATCGACATCCAGTTTCCCGTCAAGGGCACCCGTGCCACGGCCACCATGCGCTTCGCCAGCCACCGCCCCACGCCCCGCGGCGTGTTCCAGACCACCGAGTGGAGCCTCGAGACCGCTGACGGCAGGCGCGTCGACCTCCTCGACGGCGACGACCCCTTCCAGGCGCTCCCCGCGCTGCCCATGGACGAGGAGGAGCGCGAGGGAGCGGTTAGGGGGTTCAGGCAGCAGATTAAGTAAAGGGGGGAAGGGAATATACTGAAAAAAAAAAACTCCCCCCCTTTTCTGCTTGGGTGCTTTTCAAAAAAGGAGTGTCGCGATTATGGAATGTAAAGCCTCATATCAAAATAGCCCCCATGAGGCGTGAGGTCATGTGGCATGAATATACTTGCCAAGAGTCGAAGTACGAACCGCAGAAAGCCTCGCATGAACCCAGACTAGTAGTTCTTCAAACTTGCCCGACCCCAAAATCGCAAAGGATGAGAGTTTGTCGGAAGTATCAAGCGTCTTGGGTGGAAGAGGGGGGATGAGGCACATCACAAGCAGGATGTATGGAATATCCTTTGCTATCATGATCAAAGGATCAGCTTGCCGAGATGATGCATTGTACAACGTATTTGTAAATGGGTACACAATTGTATATACGTTTATATATATTTTTACAACAAGGCTGACGAGAATTTTATCGCCTCTCCTATTTTCCCTGCCTTCCTCGCCTCCTTGAACACGGCATGTACCTCCTCCGCAGCCTTCAGCCGTTCCTTGTGCTCCGGGTCCCGCTCCAGCGTCAGCCTCGTCGCCTTGTCGATGAAGGTCTCCACCGGCGCCGGCTTCTTGATGGCATCTTGTATGCTCACGATGCAGCCCTTGGGCCCCGCCACGTGGCCGTTGATGACGACGGTGCCCGCCGCGTTGTCGACCTTGAGCACCCGTAGATTCTGTATCGTCACCCTCTCGCCGCCCATGCGCCCCGGCATCTTCTTGCCCGGGTGCACACGCGAACCACCACCCTGACTCGGACCCGAGGTACCGATCGTTCGGTGATTCTTCGAGTTACCGTGACTGGCCGGCTGACCGGAGAAGCCGTGCCTCTTCATGCCACCGGCGAAGCCCATGCCTCGGCTGTTACTCCTGGCGTCGACGTACTGGCCGAGCTTGAACCAGTCGGGCTGCAGCTGCACACCCACAGGTAGCAGACCCTCCTCGGTGCGCACCTTGAACTCGACGAGGTGGCGCTTGGGCGCGATGCCCTTGGCCTCGTAGTAGCCGAGCAGCGGGGCGGTGACGTTTCCGGGCTCCTTTTGGCCGCAGCCGACCTGGACGGCCCAGTAACCGTTCTTGGCGCGGGTCTTGACGTTGACGACCTGCACTTGGTCCATCTGCAGAATGGTGCAGGGGGTGCGCATGCCCTTGGCGTTGTAAAAGGCGGACACGCCGACCTTGGTAGCGATGATGCCGGTTCGCAGTGGTGTGGATTGCTCCGTGCGCTTGAGAGCAGCGGCGGGGCCGGCAGTGGGGGCGGGGATGCCGGAGCTGGTTTGGTTGAATCGGGTGGGCTTGGAGCGGTGGTATGCTGTGTTCCAGCCGTACTGTACACCTCGTTTAGCGGTTCGTGGTAGAAGGGTATGTCGTTCGGTGATGAGGAGGCGGGGGTTGCTCAGTGCGCAACCTTTGGTTAGGGCGGCTGCCCAGCGGGTTGGCAGTCGTGATGCCATTGTCGCTGGGAGCATAATGTTCAAGCCCCTAGCTGACCACAGGGGGTCTTGAATGAATGGATATAGTTACGTCTTGCTAATTTTCAAAGACAAGACCAAGCACTGGGGCGTATTGGTTAATGTGAAATGGTGTAGATATAAATGTTAAGAATTGATACTGGCAGCTTTTAAGACTTGGCATTGAAACTTTGGAAAAATCCGGGGTCCGTTAGTACATAGTTATGTACATGCGCAGAATTGGCAATCCGGGAAATCTGCGGTGGTATAGGTACTATGTACTTGCCTAGGTTATGGAGACACTGTGGGAGGCCATGTGCAGACAGGACGGGCCTAGAAACTCATTAATTTAGGTACCTACAGTACAGTGCCTAGGTACTTACATAATTTACTTCTCAAAAACATCTTTGCTTTTTCTTCTTCCCCCTTTTTTCACTTATCCCTCCATATTCAATTACAATTACAATTATCTATTCATAATCACCATGGTCTTTTATTTCAAGTCATCCGTCGTGGAACCTGCCGCGTTCGTATATGTCGGCAAAGACAAATTTGAAAGTGAGTGAGCCAGCTTATGTACCTATTGTGCATCTATCCACTTGTTTTGTCTAAGTCGAGCCGGTCATAAAAACTGACAACTCTGGGGGTTTTTATGAAAAAAGATGAAGAGTTGATTAAATATGGATGGGAAGAAGACGTCTGGTGAGTTATATTGGCTTTGTATATACCTAGTATGCAGCATTGATTCATATTTCTCTTGCTTAGGGTATGAAAAAAAAACTCCTCATCACGCCCCATGAGTAAAAATAAAAAGAGTTATTCAAGTCTCATACAATAGGGGGATTTTCCGTTGTCATTAAACAGTTCCACGCGGACAAGCTCTCAAGCGCGCACATCTACCTGAGGCTCAATGAGGGCGACACCTGGGACAACATACCAGAGGACCTGGTGACAGACCTGGCCCAGCTGACCAAGGCGAACTCGATCGAGGGCAACAAGAAGGACAACGTCACCGTCATCTACACGCCGTGGTCCAACCTCAAGAAGGATGGCAGCATGGCCGTCGGGCAGGTCAGCTTCAAAGACCACCGCAAGGTCAAGAAGGTCCTTGTGCCCCAGCGCGAGAACGCCATCATCAACCGGCTCAACAAGACCAAGATCGAGAAGCAGCCCGACCTGCAGCAGGAAAGAGAGGACCGCCGCAGAGAGCTGCGGAAACGGGACCAGGCCGCGCAGCAACAACGGGTGAGTACTTACTTCTAAATTCCCCTTTCCCCTTTCCCCTTTTATATCAGGACGACTTCGGCTAACCACACGGATACTCACCCGTATCAGAGGAAGGAAGAAGCCAAGGTATTGAAGGAGCGACAGGAGAAGAAGTGGCAAAAGGATCACGCCTACGATGACTTGTTCACGGAGGAGAATCTAGAGGCCTCGAGCAACCAGAACCGGCCTGAGAACTGGGAGGATGACTTTATGTGACCTGAAAATGCCTATCTAAAACGTCTCCCGTATAAAAATACAATACAATTACAATACACCTGTGCTGATAATGATGCTGATGCTGATGATGATCATGGTAATCATCGTGATGAAAACACCGATGCCAGGGGTACGCAGTTAAACTCAAAAGGCCTTTTCCTTATCTTTTTTCTTTCTTTCTTGCCTCTTTTCTTGCCAATCAACCACATGTCCGCCAATGAGCCACATTCCTTCCCCTAACTACTACCTAAGTAAATGAGAAAGTAGGTAGGTAGGGAGATATACACCTGATGCACCACAAAAAAGAAAAACACCAAAGCCTTAATACCCACCTCCATGTCGGCCCCCAAGCTCATCACTAACCCGGCTGATCTTCGTGCCCTTGATCTTGTGGTCGCTAGGGTTAGGGGCAGCCTCGTAGAGGATGTTGATAGGGGCGCGGCCGAGGGCCATCCACTCGCCGCGGAAGGCGAGGTAGGAGATGCGGGTGGGGTGTTCCTCCTCCTCATCATCATCATCATCATCATCGTCATCGGAGCCGTCGGAGCCGTCGTTGTTGTAGGCGGAGCCGAAGTTGTCCGCGAAGAAGAGAGTAAGGCTTTGCACGGAGTTGAAGAGGGCGCGGCGCACGGGGACCTCCTGCAGCTCGTTGGTCTGCGACAGCTCCAGCACCTGCGTCGGCGGGCGCACCTCGGCGCTGTCGAAGTCCAGGTCGTCCCGGTTCGTGAACAGCTTCAGCGTGCGCGGCGCGCTGGCTGTTGCTGAGGTCCGGATCAGGATCGAGTGCAGCTTTACCTGCCCCGTGAATCTGCGAGATAGTGAGGAGGTGAGTGAGTGAGTGGAGTAAGATGAGAGTGTATAGTACACAATGTGCATACGACATGGATATCCAAAATTTATAGATGACTTGAATGGGGGGGAAGGGATATAAAAGGGGAAAGAAAATGAAAAATAAAAACAGCAAAACTTACGGGATGGTCATGAGCAGTTGCTCATCCGAGTGGCTCACCAGCTCCGGAGAAGGTTGCAAACGCTCAGTCCACGGTTTCTCCACGATGGCCCTGCCAGAACCCGCCTCGGCCTCGTTATATGTGACGATTTTGTCGAAATTGATATGCTGATACAGGTTGTGATGCAGAGCAGGTGTGATGTCATCGGTATGGTCGTGCTCATGGCCATGGTCATCGCCGTGGCTGCCATGGCCGGCATGTTCATCGTGACAGTGAGACATCTTTTGCAGTGTCCTTCTTGTAATTCGAAATGGATGACTAAAGAGGTTTTTTTTTCTTATTCTGAAAGATTAATTAATACCTTACGAATATAAGGTACCTCTCTATCTTAATCGTCTAAGTAAAATGTCAGGAAACGTCGACTTGATCAACTTATATAGTGCAATGTTGTTGAAAATGCAAGTTTGTAGTAAATCAAGATGTTGGGTAATTGCATAAATACTGCGGGCAGTGGCGGGTTAAAATGACACCAAATCGAATTTAAGCCTTTTTGACTGATGCACTAAGTTATTCAAGTACATACATAATCTAGTAAGCACCATAGGTATCTACCTACATAGGTAGTTAGTGCCTAAAGTTTACGCTTAAACTCCTTGCTATTAGAAACATCCCCCCTAATTTCTTACGTTGGCTCACACTCAGCCGTGATGCTTTGGCCACCATATATGGCTTCAGTACCCAAACATTCAACTAATTGTATACCTAGTAGCTATCCATGTGCAGATAAGTACACAAAGTAGGTTCGGCCGCGGCACTTTTGCCAAATGACCAACAATTCCATGCTTTAACGCCGTCAAAACCCTCCCTTCCGCTTCTTCACCTTCTTCTTTGGCCTCTCATTCCTACGAGCAAACACGCCTGGTACCGGTTGGGACGTCGCTTGTATCGGATCTGACATCATCGCCTGGCTCTGCCAAAGGGTTCCAAGAGGCTGGCTTCGCTGTCTGAAGGAACGGGTATCTGGCGCTGGCTGAGTTGCCGGCAACCTCGATTCCTCCTGCTCCTTCTGCATCTGGAGAAGGGTCTCCGTTCTTCGTCTTTTGCGACTTTCGCGTGCCAGCTGCTTCTCTCGTCTCTGCATCCCGGGTGTTACCTCGTTGTCTCTATCAAGATCGAACACATAGTTTGCTGGGTCAGCCCCAACTGCCCACTTGTCTAGAAGGGCAGTCCGCTTCTCTGGAACAAACTTGCCCGTGCCCGTGTAAGACCTAAGGAGAGCCATGGCTGCATCTTCTTTCTCAACAGTATCTGTTTTAGTGCCCCTGGAGCTCGATGTAGACACTACAGATTGCGCCCTTGGCACACTTCCTGTCTGGTCCTCCGGCTGACTGTCGATAACCATATGGTCTAAGTCATGCGATGATGGTTGCTGTGACTCATTCAAATCAGCTTGGCGCTGAACCAACCCTATTGACGATAAATAAACTTCGCAAGCTATCTGACCAAGTACTACTGGTCTGGTCCCTTGTATCCAACTCTGCACTTTTCTGCTAGAACCAGAATTCATAGTCATGTTAAAAAGCATCGAGTACAGTTCCTGAGGTGAAACTACTGACCCAGTCACATGGCTGGTAGGGCGATCGAGCGCTAATAAAGCCACGGCTGAGTTATCGCGTCCGAATTGTTCTAGTTCGACCCCCCAATCGGCAGCTGTAAGACTTCTATCGTTATAAAGTTTTAGGCTTTCAAGCACTTGAAAACTTCATGGGGGGTCAGTTTTGGGGCTATAATAATACCATAGACAGTGAAACTTACAGAGTAATAGCAGGTAGCATTCCATTTTCAAGTGCTTGTTCTGCAGCGTTTCGAATGTACTCGATGGGGTTAGCCCCAAGCCCTTCTTCGGCTGGGGCTTCATCATATTCCCTAGCCTGGTTGCTGATAACGGCAGTCAAGTGTTCATAAAATAATCCAATAGGGCGTTGCAGTGGTGGCCATTGAGGAAGAACATGAGCTCCTCGATGGATTTCTTCGACATTTTCCTCTTCATTGCCATAATCAGCAACATCATCTGGTACTACGAAGCGTGGTGCCATATATTTCAAAAACTTTCTTCTTTCCCTGGATAGATCTTTGGGCTGGGTTACTTGTCGATCTGGGTAACTTAGTTGGCTGATGGGATATGTGAAGGTGGATGCGCAGAGCGTAGAATCTAGGCACATATCTGTCCTCAAAGTAACAAGCTGATAAAATCGAACTTGTTGCTTAGCAAGTCTACGTGCCAAGTCGGTGGGCATAGTGGAATGCTTTAAAGTGACTGCTGCGGGATGAAGACACATGGTCTGAAGTTTGGAATTCGATAACTCACGCGGATGACCGTCTAGTACGACCGCTTCAGTCTGGTAGGTAACTCTAGAGGGGTCGCTTTTCAGCATAGTGATGCAGAAGAGATCAACCCGAGAATTACTACCAGAGTAGATGTAGACCAGAGTGGTGGCTTGTTTAGACGACCTAGGCCCTGGCGCAACAGCGAGCTTCAAGTTTTGGTCAAGACTATCTCTCAAGTGAGTTACTGAGAGTATAATAACCCATTCTTTCCGCACCTCTCCCCAGTTGTGCCCGGGTAATGAATATATTCTGACCACAAAAAATTTCGACGTAGTTAGGATAAAGACATATTGCGTATCCTGTGGGTTTTCATGTACGTCCAAAATGCACTCTCGGCTTCCTTTGCGCACAAAAGATAGATCAGGGAGGAATGTGTTGTTAGTTAGATCGAGTAATCTAACCAGCTTTGCATTACACAAGAGCAATGTTGAAGATCGCATAAGTTGTACAAACGACCCATGCGCTTCAAGAACATCTGCATCCTCTTCAAAGTCAAACGCTCGTGAACTTTCTGAAGAGTCCTCCGAGTGACCCACCCAGAATATACGGTGCCATTGTGCCACGCCAGCACCTCTTGAGGGTGGATGATTCATAAGACCTTTCTCAATATGCCCGCATCCTTTAAGACTGACCTTCGAGTTTCTGGACGACTTGCCTCTGGTGTGTGCGATATCCCAGATACTCCAGAAGCCGCATTCGTCAATGATGCCAAGTTGAGGCAGCTTAGATCTCACACCAGGGTTGAAGGTCACGTCTGAATGCGGGTTCCCGCCAGTGCGGTCCTTTGCAAGATAGAGAATTGGGTTCGGTGCAATCCGGGAGGGTTTCGCACCACTGGTGTACGAAGAGGTCGTTGGCGTTTTACGGTACTCCGGTTGGAAGACGCGAGTGCCAGAGTCCCTTTGCATAACTAACCAGCGTGTTGGATCGTACCTTTTGGAACTGACCACGCTTTTTAGACGGCGGATAGGTCCTGCAGCATCATCTTGGAAGATGACCGACTCGTCCCCTTCCTTGATTTCGGGGAGAAATAGTGAGACGCTGCCATCATTACCCCATTGCCATTCCTCCACACTTGGCTTCACTAGACGAAGTTCGCCATTTGCTTCGCCAGAGGCAATGGCTACAAGCGGGACGCCCGTGATCAATCGAGGATCACTTGTATCGGTTAGTTCGCCAATTGTAAAAAGGATCGAGTCTGTCAGAGCCTTGCCATTAATCTGGGGTGGTGAAATTGATAATGAGAGTTGGTCGTGAATATACTCGTTACCCAAGCGAGCTTCGGGACATGCTTTTAACAACCATTTCTGCTGGTTCCTGCTTGTATTCCAGGGCTTACTAGACGAAGAAGCCGAATAAGGAATACTACTAGCAGTAGTTGCAGGGAGCCATGTCTTGTAAGTACCAAGCGGCTTGAACACGGGTGCTTCATACGACAGTCAGCGAAACGATTCAAGTGGAGTAGGGACTGGATTCGCAGGTAAATATACAAATTTGGGTGAAGTTCCTCGTGGATTGCCATCCGCGATCCTCCGCCTTGCTTAACCCATAAGGTAAATGCGATAGGCGTCCTGCGAGTCCGATAGTTGATTCAGTAATTTGACGGTCAGTCATTCGGAGAGCTGAGCTCGGTATATATAGTATTCGATGCTAACCGTCGTTGGCCGTACATAGCGGTTATTTGATGAGAAGGGCCAAGAGGACGTGATCTTGACTATGAGGTCAGATGAATGAGACTCAACTGGTAAGAAAAGAAGAAGAAAAGAAGAAGAAAAAGGTTAATTAGTTAACGGGAAAGAAAATAAGAAAAGAAGCTTGAACATTGCACCCCTGGTCCTGGGGTGAGTGCGTTATCTTATCGAATAACTAAGTGACAGGTCAAGTGAGTGGGGCCCGTGCTGCCAAGGCTAGCAGCTCGGCAACGAAAATAAACATTTAGAATTAGTTAGTTAGTTAACTAGTTAACGTTAATTAGTTACACCAACTTCAAATCTTCAAATCTTCCTAATCAACTCTTCAATGTTCCACCTTGCAAATCATTCGAAATTGTGCCCACTAAATATATCGGTCATTCCAGATCGCCAAAGAAAAAAGAATATAATACAGTCAAAATGGCTTCCGCATTCGAATCCTCCCTGTCGTCGAGCATGAACGGCCGTCAAACCCTGTCGGCGTCGGCGCCATCCATGGCAGACTCTCTACCCAGTATCAACTTCGGCTTCGACGAACTGCGCGACCGAATGGCCAAGTTTACCGCAAAATTCGACGCCTTCATCGAGCAAGGGCGAAAGCGCGTCCTGGAAGAGCGCAACCAGTTTCGAATGAACGTTGCCGAACTACAAGGTAAATTAGAAGAAGTTTCCTCTCCCCCCCCGCGACGTATCATTGAATTTCACAGCCGGCCAAGTATTGCTAGCATGCAGGGGCTAACCAAGGTATCGCGACATAGAGGACCAGCGCATGAAGAAGAAAGACATGGAGATTCTACAGCACAAGACGAGCACGCACCAACAGATGATCTCGAAGGAGTCGGCGGAGACGCGAGAGATGCAGGCGCTGATTGCGTCGCTGAGCGCGCAGCGGGACAAGAACAAGGCGGCGCGAGATGCGCTGCAGCAGCAGATCGAGGAGACGCAGCGAGAGATCGACAAGCGACTGGCAGCCCAGCAGGCACACGCGCAGTATGTGGACGCGCAGGCGCGCTTCAACGTGCCCGAGCTCGACTTCTGGATGCAGAACCTGTGCCTCAAGATCGAGGGCGCCGGCCAGTCGGACCGCCTCAAGTTCGTCTTCACCCACCTCGACGAGAAGAACTGGGACCGCGAGGCCTGGTTCGAGCTCTGCATGTCCTCCCGCGACTACGACGTCCGCCACTGCAGGCCCAAGATCGAGCGCGAGAAGGTCGACCGCGTGCTCGAGAGGGTCAACGAGACGAGGGATCTGGCGATACTGCTGAAGGGTATGAGAGAGCTTTTCGTGGAGAGTATGAAGGCATAAAGAAGAAAAGGGGGGTTTCTATCACAATGGCTTTTGTTACGTGTTTACGTGTATGAGATCATGCCGGTCGCAGGCGTTTCGGAGTTTGATACGACTAACCTAGGAACTACCGCCTACATAATAGTAGGATATAGTTGTTCTGGGTATGATTGAGCTACTTGGTCACTTATCAAGTTGAAGCATGGAAGGTTAGGGGTTAGGCCACCAATGATGTTGGATTCTGTTTCTGAAATACGTAGCTCTGGATACCTACAGTACTAGGCATCCAGCTCAGTCGCTTCTGAATGAGTATAAATGTATCATCAATTAATGCTACATAATATGTGCTCTCTGATGTGCAATCTTTAAAATGCTTATGCCTAGGGTACATACTATGTACTCTTTAATGTTCGCACGGCGTTTGACATTTGTATCGTCGTTTCTCGTTAAAGTCAATAGACAGTGGCAGCCAGCTGCGCCCCACACGTCTCAATTCAACTCCGACATCAGTGTTGTGACTGTTGTCACATCACTGCATTGATTAACTATAACTACAGTAACTATTAGTTAGTGTACTAATTAGCGTATTTCAACATCCAATACCAAACCTTGCAACTCTTTTATCGTGAACAGCATTCATTGCTTAGCTACCTGATATCACCTAAGGTTACTTACTATACCTACCTACATATAATTCTAAAGATCCATCCTCAGTTTAAATTCCCATAATGCCGCCAGGTCCCAGCAGAGACGACAACGAAAAGCAGCAGGCTGCACAGCAAGCCGTCGATATCCTGCACGAGATATCCACCATTCTCGTAAGTTCATCCTATCTATCTATTTGAGTTGGCTTCTCATCAAATATCCCTACAGAACTGCCATCTCGACCGCCGCACGCTGTCCATCTGCATATCCATGATCGAGAATGGCGTGAACCCGGAAGCCCTCGCGGTAAGTTTTATCTATCTACCTTCCCTCCCTTTCTGCCTCACAACTAACACGGAAAATCTTAGAACGTCGTGCAATTTCTGCGCAAAGAAGCTCAAAAGGCCGACTTCGCACAGGAGACTGGTCGATGAGAGTACCTACCTACAGACCTAGCAGCAGTAACTGAAGTAATACTACATTCAATGTTACCTAGTATGTAGTAGGCTGTAGCAAACCGAACCTAGTTGTACTGTTGTAGCCTAGATGTGTATGTAGGTACTAGGTTACCCAAGGATCATGCATTTCGGGGTTCGTTATCTACAGACTACGTGGTATACAAGCACCACAAGCACCGAGAGAAAAGAGCGAGATAGTTATACGGATACGGGTATCCTACATACCTTAGTGTTAATGACGATAAATAATGATAATAATGATGTCACGCTATCAGTTGTCCGTAAATGCTGTAGTATCACATACCACAAGAAACACTGCAAGACTTATATACCTTTATCTCATGACAATTCATTCTCTCCCAGGTTTCTAACGCGCCCAAGTATTTTGAAATGGAATACCGATTCTATACCCACCCATATGCCAATTTTGCATCGTCAGCCAACTGCCCGCTACATATGTACCGCGTGCCGACCTGTTTGCCTTGCTTTCAAAATAAAGAAACCCCCGGTGGTATTGCCTAATACGCTCGAATGCTATTCCCGAACGCCGTCCCTATGTTCAATCCTAGCCTAGCTAATCTGCGTTTAATTCCCTGTGTCTAGCGATGACCAAGCAGCTCAAAGTCGTCTATCTCATCTCCTTCGTCCTCTTCGTCATCCTCTTCCTCTTCCGAAGATGACGCCGATTCTTCATCCTCTGAAGCATACGCGTCCTCATTCTCGTCTTCGTTAGATGCTATGCTACGAGGGACTCTACTCCAAAACCCTATGATGTCTTCTCTATCTTCGTCCTCCGCCTCCGCCACGGAGTAGCCTGCCGGTGGGTTCCAAGCAAGTGCTGCGTTGAGAGGCGGTGATACGGAGCGTGCTAGCCTGTCTGCAAAGTTGGGCTCTAGGGACGCTCGATTGATCGTTGATCGGGCGATATTAGATGAATGCCGCCTTCGTATATCGCGTACCCGAGCACTATCACCCACCGGCACCTCAGCAGCAACACCCGCCCCCCTCGAGGCAGCCAGGTCTGGTAACTCCACCTCCCGCCCAAGCAAGTCGGTTTCGATCGCTTCGTCCGCCATACCCAATATCTGAAGTTGTGCCGTGTTATAAGATGAACAAACGCCGCATTTTAGACCTAGCCAGTGATATTTGACTGAGCTTTTGGCTGAACAATCATTGCACAAGACCAAGGCCCGTGTATCCTGGAATTCAGGCGGCATAGGCTGTGTTTCAATCGCGATATCCAGGTTTCGAAATTGTAACTCCATATTTGCAAGACTTTTGTTGCAAATTGGGCATTTATAGGCAACCTTCATATGTTGATCGAGACATTGCCGATGAATGCTGTGTCCGCACTTCATGAAGCATACGGCCTTGGGCGACGTAAACATATAGTCGCCGCATATAGGACAGTCACAATCTGTTGACCTTTCAATGCATTTGTGATCATTCTCCTGACCTATTGCGATACAGGCGCAACATGTCTAATTTTGTTGGTTAGCCAAGAAAACTCCCGAGTCACAGTTTCTTTTATTATCTTACCTTGCAATGGAAGAAATCTTTACCAATGCCTCTTCCAATCCTGCAGATACCACAATCATTGCAATGATAGACAGATTTGTCGGGATCATCGTTCCACAGTTTGCATATATTGCAGTAATACCTCGCAGCCGAGGCACCGCAGGACACGCAAACATCGGAAGCTCTTTGAGCGGTCGCGCAAAACATGCATAGCATATTCTTGGTATCCTTTCGAATCAAATTGTGATTCTCCACCTTGTCATGACAAAACCGGCATGTGTACCATCGATTACACGTAGAGCATTGAAGCTTCACATTCCGCCTGTAATGCTCGCAGCCAAAAGGACGATAATCTGAGTATTCGTGGTCTTCTACCTCTTCACCAGTATCCTCCGACAAACTTCTCAACAGCGCAAAGGTGGGTTGGACATCCTCGGGCGTCAAATCGAACTCCTCGCGGGCTCCCGTCCCTTCCGTTATATTTTGCCAGAACTTGAAGGAGTCTAGTGGGCCTTGGACACGCCGCAGCTCTAGGGTCGTGGGACTGGAAGGTGAAAGTGGCCGTTTTGCTGGATCTACCTGTTTCGACTGGGTGTATCCTTCTATCAACAGTTGGTGCATCAAATGGGCTTTGTCGGGTGCCTCAATGTCTTGGGCCTGGATGGCGAATATGCGCTTCCTCAGGGTGCCCATCCCATCGTCCTCAGGTAGAGACTTCCGTCGTTCGGTCCTCGGTGAAGTATGGGTGGCAGCAGGCAATTGCCTGTCTGCCGCCATATTTGAGTTACTTGTGGGTGTTGACTCGGCTTGACCGCTTGGGGTTCGAAGTTCATTTTCGTGAATAGGTAGGTCGGGGTTGTGGAAGATGGCCCGGGTTACGGAATCAGTCTGGCCAGCACTCCGGTCCGGATCAGTAGCATCGTGGTGTGCGGTAATATGAAGGGAGCTTCGTGACGAAGGGGTCGATGACAAGCTATCATCTACCTCATCGTCTAGATAGGAATCCTCCTCAGTTTCGGAAATGGCGTCGTCCTGGCCCTCTTTAAATTCAGTAGTTGTAACTGGGGGCGAGACGGATTTAGGAGTGGGTAGGTTATTCGATGATCGGGAGAATCGGCGTGCTTGTCGTATGACTGGGTTGACAAGGAAGTCGGTGACTAGGGACGCCATTAGATGGAAAGGAGCGGAAGGATATAATTGGGATACTAGAAGTCAAGCCTTCTCATTGTTAATCTATGTGTCTAAGATACATATAAAATGCAAAATAGAACAGTAACGGGCAGAAATAATTCGGGGTATGTAAAGAAAAGGATGGAAAACGAGTTGATCAATTATTAGTAAGAAGTACTTGACAGATGCAGGTCGTCCTGGCTGGGTAGCTGTCTGGTTGGCTGGTTCAATGTTGGTCAAAGAAAGTAGGTAGAAAGTGAACTTTTTACCCCTTGAAATACCTTGAAATTCCTTGTAATTAAGTTGGAGTTGTAGCCTTTTTACCAAGTAATTACATGTACTCAACTCATTGAATAGTGATAATGTTAGGCAAATATTTATGAAAACAAGCAAAATCAATAGACAAGGGGGATCATGGTTGGTTTTTGTTTTTGTTTTTGTTTCTGTTTTTGTTTCTGTTTTTTTTCAGAAACACATCTTACGATATTGCTCCGTTGCATGTGTTCAAGTTGGAAATTACCTAAAATAGCATTGAATAAGTACCATGTAAGTAACTATTGGAAGTATTGGTACTACATACATATGTAGTATTGAATCTCTTTTGACGCGATATTGCATGTGTCTGGCAGTCAGGTCGCTGGCTACTTCCCACGCCGTCTGGTTGCTTTCACGGCCCGGGGCACATTATTAACAAGCCACAAGAACCGTGCCCGCGTTAATTGGAGCGATTTTGGGTCAGTGACATCAGGTGGATCGATCATCTCCAGGGCTATGATCGAAACATGGCAATTCAAATCGATTTAATGTCCCAGAATAGCCTAGCGGCATTTAGAGTCTGCACGTACTTTCACTACTATGTACTTTCAACGTTCAAGTTGTTAGTAACAGTCTAACAGACTAGGTACCTACATGTAGTACTAACAGTTAGTTACCAGGCATTCAAGTACCTGTACGTAGTGATTAGTATGCTGATGTAACTTCAAGTTGGTGGGATACATACCCCGCTTGTGTCGCTCTACTGTATTGCAATTGATACATTGTCCCAGTTGGGTTATCCCCCTTGTCATGAGGGGATCTCTAACGTCTCCCCGGGGACTACCTAATACAGATACATCGAACTTCCAGGGCTAGCAATAAACGCATTCAATGTTCAAGAGTGCTGACATTGACTGCTAGCACTAAGGATGCTGCATGTGGGTATACGATGTATACTTTTACATAAACTAACAAATCCTTAGTTCTAACCCTTGCACCCCAAAATTTTACCAACCACGGCACCACAACATTCAATACTTTCAATACGCATTGAAACTACGAACAATGAACATACATGTCTATGTATGTATGTACAGTACCTACAGTACATAACGTCAATGACTTATTATCTATCATATGTGCTATTAGGTACGAGTCGAAATGATCTACGTAGCCTACGTAATATAAGGCTATTGAAGTCCACGAGAAGTTAGTGTGCTGATATAGTTCACAACAGATCCAAACTGAGATTAGGGGTTAAGAGTTTTAAAGAGTTATCTAGGAAGGACATCTAGAACCAGCGGCCATGACTGATATCAAGGTCATACATGCGTACCGTCACCTATATCGTGGCTTACTCCATGCCGTCCAGTTTTCGAAACCAGCTCGATTTATTGCTCGAGACCAAATAAGGGCCGCCTTTCGCGAACGAGGTGCCAAGCTAAATCCTCGAAGCGCAGCCAGAACACTGCGATTTTTAGAGGCCGCCGCTGCCTCTCGCGACTTGGAGCACAATATCCTCAAGAATCTCTTATTGACCTCTTATTACCGCCGCATTAATTCTCAAACGCCTTGGAAAATCGTTGAAATTGCGCTGAGGCAGCCTAGGTAAGCCAACCTTATGAAATTGCCCCCTAATCTGAATACGTACCTAGTACTAAACCTCTATGTAGAAGAGGAAAGGATGTCGAAGACCATTTTCTGAAGCTGGCGTTCCGTCATTATGACAGGACCATTGCTATGCTTAATAAGTCTATGGGCTTATGTTTACGATAGCATCGTTCTCAAAGCAGAACTTCGGGCATTTCAATGTTAGAAATGTCCCAAGTCACCAATTGTTAAGATCATCTCATAAGTATGAAGGCCTACCTATGTAGGCTGCCTCGCTTAATATTACCATGTTTCCCCCCTAAAGGCTTCCGGCAAATGTTTATATTCCATCGATCTCCCCGATTGACCTCATGTTGAAGGCGTAACTGACGTCGAGCCCCCTTTACTTTGACATCCGACCCCAGCATGGAGATGAGGCCTCCGCGCCAATCCAATTCGTGATTGCGTCGCATTTGACACGCACCCCTCACGAAGTGTCCCCGGACTCTACGAAAACGTGGGCCGTGGTCAATTTAATATCGATCGTTCATGGGTTACATGCAAAAGCTTAAGTGGTACGAATTGGAGCAAGACGTTACTCAGCATACACCAACAGCATCCCCGTGATACTTGGCGGATTCGATTGAGAGGCAGCAAAGCGAACGATATAAGGCCTGCGTTTTCAGACAAAGGCTCCCCGCGTCGAATGCAATTGGCCTCGAGCAATGAAATATTTGACTAAGTCCGTCATGCCCGGGAAGTACATGGACTTGGGTTTTTCCTTTGCAGACGCCTCAGTGCGTTCATCAAGGAAATGATCGACCCCAACCTTTCCCGATATGTCAGCCAGCCATCTACTAGATTTTTTTTTCGAACCTGCAGATGGCACTCTAGCTAGTACAAGAGGAAGCTTATCAGGGCAACAATGGGTGGTAAGGTAGGAGACTGGGCTACTAGGTAGGAGCAAAGAAATACACCAATGCATGGACATCAAAGGAACTAAATATCTTAAACTTGCTTTAAGAAAGGATTTTGGTTAGTAGTGATCTAGACCTCTCAGATGAGATGATCGCGGTGCCCATTGTCATTGATGGCATTGAAGACTCCTACATATGTAGACAGCTATGTAAGTACCTACAACGTAGAAGTATTAACATCAATGTACAAGTACATACACACATACATTACACATTACATATGTATATTGCAGATGGAGGAGAGGCTTAGGGGATGTCACATACATGTAAATACGTAGGTAGGAAAAGATTGACTATCACGCTGCCACGTCCCAACTCATAAGCTTTGAGAAGAATTATCCATATGACACAAGCAGAAGATCGACGAATTACCTGCTTTACTACCGAAGAACAGATAGGTCTGGGGTGTGGCGATTTGTGATGGAGAATCGATCAACATTGGCAGTGGTTTTACCTGCCGAACATGCACAATATGTATAATATATACATATATTCATCCATGTGGTGTTGATTCAACTTTATTCACCTTATCGGCTTCGATTGATGTTCTTCGAATACATATGTATCTTAATAGGACCAATTTAAAATTCCAGCCGGCACCTGGCAACTGGCAACTTCAATAACAGACCATTCTCAGTCGATCTTCCCCCTCCTTCAATTCTGAGGCACAACTTGTAACTACCTACTTACATACTTACATACTTTAGTACATAGTAGAGACTCTTAAAACTCTTTTTAACCTTGAAAAGTACGGGGGAGTGCAACTCGAATTATGTACCTAAACATTGAACCTACTCCACTCATGCCTCCCGTACATAGGTATTTATGGAGACTATGAGCCAATGATTGATCTACTTATGCTTCCCTGCCCACCCTAATGACCCCATATCGCCCGATAGCCTCCAGTCTCCAGTCTCCAGTCTCTAGTCTCCAGTCTCTAGTCTCCAGTGAGTCCAGTCTCCAAGCCCATGCCCATACCAGCTTCAAATGTTTCCTCCACCCATCCAATTCAAAAACTTATTCCACTTTCACAATCTACAAATCCACAACAACCATCCACACCACACTCACACTCACAATCACACTCACACTTACATACCTACAAAAATTACCAGACTACACTACATAATCAGGCTAACCTTAGTACACTACGTAACTTCCGGGGTCCAATGTCATTCTTTGTATGTATGCTCGAACAAACCCCGCAGAGAGCAGACCTGGGACAAGTCTTGAGTGTCAGTGTCCTTGATGTCAATTGGCCTTGTTTGCAGTAACCTATCCTGCCTACTTGCCTACTTGCCTACTATTGACTGACTTACCATTTACCACCTACTACCTCCATACTTACCTTACCTACCTGCCTGCCTACCTACCAATCTACCTACTCATACCTACACACATACCACATACCACACACCACACACCACACACCACATATTATACCTGCTGCTTTTAACCTACCTTTTTATACACAACAATCATCCATCTTGTGCTTTGTGTGCATGGAATAATACCTACCTACCTACCTACCTACCTACCTATCTCAAGCCACTACAGTAATTGTTCTTGGAATCTACAATCCTTTCTCTCCATCCATTCATCTAACCCATACATACCCTCCCTTCACTCCTCCATCTATTCTCCATTACGATCGAGTTTTACCCTTTCGACCCCGCATCGCTCTCGTTTTGTTTTCAACCCCCCATCGAGTCCTCATAGTTCGGGATCTTGATGGCATATCTCTTGCTAGCAGGAGACGCTATTGTATCGCGACCACGCCGATGACTCTGGTCCTCGTTACGAGGCCATTGTCTGAAGCTTCCCCCGCAATACAGCTTCCGCTACTAAGGAACTGAGCCATGCCAGCTGAGTCCAATCTCCAAGATGTCACCAGCGCCTCGATCCGGACTCGGACCATGCCTCAGCTCAGCGGCGGAAGTGAGAAACCACGGAGGTGGATAAAACGTTACCGGACGGAGACGGCTGCTAGCACCGCCAGTGTCATGTCAACCGTCACTGCGTTCCCTCTCGATAGTGTTAAGACTCGTATGCAAACATATCCTTATGCGGGTGCCGTGGATTGCGTGCGTGTGACTTATAAGTCGGAGGGTATTCGAGGCTTCTTTCGAGGTACGTGACTAAACATCCGGGTGCACGAGCAAAGCTCATGATCTAGACCGCATGCAAACAGCATAGCTAACGCCACCCTGCTATACAGGTGTAACCGCTCCTTTAGCTAGTGTTACACTTGTACGAACAATCTCCTTTTCGATTTACCAACGCTCCAAATACGTTTATTCCGACTGGATGAAGAAAAACCTCGGGTTCTGCCCACTGGAGCATGTCAATAAGAATGGCGCATTACCGAATCTAGGCACAATTGCCTGCTTCGGGGTCGCCGGAGCCACTGCCGGCTCCGGTATCACCTTCATTGCCTGTAAGAATGCTAGATGCTTCCGAGCTGGTATCCAGACCAATATCATCTAATCTGAGTACCCATATAGGCCCCTTCGAATTAACCAAGCTGAGCGCCCAAGTATCAGTACTCATGGCGAACCAGAAGAATGCAGATCCACAAAAACAAGCTATTGCTCTCAGCTATCACAATAAAGGGACTTTCAAAACTCTTGCCAACATTGTCAGGCATAGAGGATTCGCTGGCATGTACACTGGACTCAATTTGCATTTATGTAAAATCTTCCCTCTGCCATATCGTTTTGGACATTTGGCTAATGCATTTATAGTGCGAGATACACTTGGAACGGGAATTTACTTTGCCACGTATGAGAGCGGCAAGCAGCTCTTGACTACCTTTAGTGGGAAGGATGCTCACAAGAATCCCATTGCTGTGCTTGCTGCAGGAGCTCTGTGTGGCATAGTATCATGGGCCATGATATGTATGTGCCTTTTCACACTACCTATGGTGATTATGAGCTGACTCTTTCTCTCTAGACCCAATTGATTCTGTGAAGAGTATTTACCAACGAAACGCCTTGATGTATTCCAAAGGGCAAAAGGTACCAGTCCCCAAAATCCAATTCTTCAGACGAGACATGTACCGCGGGCTAGGTGTATCTATGGGACGCTCTGCGGCAGTCAATGCGGTGTTCTTTTCGGCGTTTGAGTTCCTCAAGAAGAGGATCAATGCTATGAAGGAATTCGATTAGGGTTAGGCCCTCGTTTACAAATGGCGCCGGGTCGATTAGCAATTGTACAATCTTTCGGTGTGATGAGAAGCATTTGATGAGGCGTTTATTATGGGTTGACGGCAGCCCGAGTTATTATGACATCCCCAAGACTACGTAATTTTGGAAGGCCAATTTTATAATTCGTCTCGGGATTCATGACTGAAGTAGTACACTACGCGAAGGGGCACACAGCAGGTTTTAATAGCTGTAAACCAATAAATGCACGTTATTCATGCCACGACAGACCCAGAAACTAATATAACCCTATGACCACATACTCCTCCAAGACAGCTCACGTCCAGGTGGTGTGCCAAAGTAACAGTGTAGCAGTAAACAGCGGTTGACGGGAATAGTAGCATCGTAGCCTGCGTCGTGAGTGTCGAAATTGTCCTTAGTCCACGCCTCACAAAGTAGAAAAACCTATTAGTCCCCTCTAATGTCCGACCCAAACGCCAAACGGTAAAAAGATGCAAACAAACACCCCTTGGTTGGCTAAACCTTCCATGGAGCCTGGTTATTAATGTGAATGCAAATCACTATTTCTCAGAAATGGGTTGGGTTGGGGTGAGGCTGGGGGGGAGACCGAGACCCTGAGAAGTGGGCTTTTGTTGGCTTGTTGGTCAAGCTCAAGCTCAGTCGCTGCGCAGCATGCTCTCGACGAGATCGCCGAGGGGTCCCCAGAAGTCCTTTCCAGTGGCGAGGTTGTGCTCGTCGATGAAGAGGACGTACTGCTTGAAGGAGGTGTTGAGGTGGGGCTCGAGGCCGAGCTCGCGGATGACGGGGTAGTGGTGGCAGTAGATGTGGGCGTAGACGCGGTACATGCGCTTGAAGATCTGGCGGACGAGGGCGGGGAAGGATTTGGGGAAGGGGACGCCGATGCGGGAGGGGAGGACGGACTCGTTGTCGATGCTGGCCTGGACCCAGGACATGAGCTGCTCGATGTAGTCGGGGGCGGCCATCTTGGTGGGGCGGCGGTAGGCGTCGTTGTCCTGCCAGAGGTACTCGAACTCGTCCGTCGCCTTCATCTCGGGGCACGACTGCGGCGAGCAGAACTCCGTGATGGCGCCGTACAAGAGGTTCACTTGGTTGTAGAAGTCCACCATGTTCACCGCCAGCCACTCGTTCTCGTCCTCCCCCTCGGGCAGCTTCACGACCTTGCGCAGGGAGCCGCCGCCCAGTGTCGCCTCCGCGTACTGCCGTAGCTGGTAGCTCGTGTTGCCGCCTTTGCCCGGGCGCGAGCGGAATTGGTTGCGGGCGCGCTGGTTGCTGTTTTGGTTGGAGGCCGGGGTGTTAGCCAGGGATAATATTTTTTGGGGGATATTTTTTTTGGGGGGGGGGGGGGGGGTTGGGAGTGGCAACAGAACTCTGGATTTAAGGGGAGGGATGGCAGTGAGTCGACTTACACTGTCGTGACGAAGGAAGTCATCTTGTCTTTGCTGGTTGCTTTGGCTTGAGAATTACCAGGGGTTTCTACTGTTGGCTGCGTCATTGTGCGAATTGGCCGTTAGCGGGGTATTCTGCTAGATAACCTAGTATAATCGTGTGTAAACAACATGGGAGGGGTTCTTTGGGAGGGGAGGGGGGGGGGAGAGGAGGGGATAATTACCTAGATGAAATAAATGGTGGAGAAGTAAGTGGTGGTTTTTTTGTTATTTTTTGCTTTGGGGAGGGGGACGTTGAATGGAAGACGCAAAAATTTATGTATGTATGTATTATAATGACTGGAGAGAGAAAGAGAAAAGAATACGATGAGCTATGTTCTGAGTGGTTTGTTGTGTCGCTGTCACAGGAACTTTTCTGACGATGGCATTGAAGGTCCAGTATGTTGGAATTGCATACTTGTTTTGGTTGGTTGCTATGGATGCTACCAGGTATTGCACATATGCACGGACCGTTAACAGGGTATTGTATTGTACCTCAGTACCCGTGCTCGTCGTTAAAGGCAGGGGTTCCCCTTATTGACGTTATCCGCTTTTTTCTGGGTAAGGACTTCCTGACATTCTTTCAACTTCATTCTTTCAATTTGATACTTTTTGAGTACCTACCTAGGTAGGGTACTTGACACTTGTGCGTAGTAATGCCTTAGGTAAGCTACATAGCACTCAGGTAGGCAGGTATCTGATCGAAAATAGCAACTTGGAAATCTTGTAAAGTGAGTTTCCATACCCTAACCTAGGTAGTTGATCCATTGTCCTTGGTTCTGACGATAACTACTTCCTTCAAGCTAGGTATTTACTAGCCATTACCACCTTGAAATCGGGCTATCAACCCCCCGAAGAAATATCCTAAAATATGAAGAAAAGAAACTAGCCAGCAGACCCCGCAAGATGGGGCTCCCCAATGGGGTTCCCCAGGTTCTCTAACCCTTCTCCAGGTCTGGTTTGGGGAAGTGTTCCGGGTAATTGGATCAATATCCACTAGGTAGGTTAGGGCGTTGCAGTAGAGCTATCGTTAAGGTAATGTGGTATAACCCATGTAGGTAGTGGGCTGCTATTACTAGTAAATACGGCGGCTCGGTGAGTATGTAGCTATTGTAGCTATATAATGTTTCGTAGATCCTACTATGATATAATAAGCCTACCTAGGTAGGTACTCAAGAGAAGGGCGCTTATATCTCATACGAGCCATAACAATGCTACTTCCCTCGTTTACCTTCCTTCTCGCGAGCCTTGGGGTCGTTGGGGCTGCTCACGATATCAACAGGTGTCAAGTAGTCCGATCGTTTAATCCTCACCGCAATGCTAGCTCCAAGACTACGCCATTGCAGGTTGGCAATGGAAATTTTGCATTTGGAGTCGATGTCACCGGTCTACAGACATTCAGCCCCTTTGCGACAATGTCTACATGGGGCTGGCATAACTTTAGTCTTCCAACTACTCCATGTCAGACGTCTATAGACGGTAAGTATCTAAGAAGGTTCAAGAACCGGGAGCTGTTAGCTAATATAGGATATATGGCAGACTTCACGGGCTTAGACTGGTGGACACATGGTCGATTAGTAAACTACAACCAGCCCAATCCAGCACAGAGTGAGATCTCCAACTGGTTGATCCAAAACCCTCAGCGGGTAAATCTAGGGACGATAGGGTTTTCATTTAACGGGGCCGATGTGACGGAAGAATTGCTGGAGAGCAAGTCCCAGACCCTGGACCTTTGGACTGGTAAAATCACGTCGTCTTTCGTTCATAATGGAGCTGCGGTCGAGGTTGAGACTTGGGCCGACTCGAGCTCAGATACAATCGGGATCTCTGTCGAGTCTGAGCTCCTCTCTACGGAAGCCCTTGGCATCTTCTTTGACTTCCCTTTACCGACTCGCAACAAGTTTGATGCCCCTTTTGTCGGCGTCTTCAATGCTACAGACAAGCATACTACCACTTTACATCCCGAAGAGAGAGGAGCAACCATTAGACACGATATCGATGACACCTCATATTACGTCTCCATTGCGTGGGATTCGAGTGCTGAGATAACTGGTCCAGATGATGATACTCATCGTTATTTGCTACACCCGTCTAAGGGGTCCGGGAGAATAGAGTTGTCCGTAACTTTCTCACCAACTCCAAATACGTGTACATCATCTTTTGGTGACGTTACGGCCGCATCTGAATCGTGGTGGGAGTCTTTCTGGGAATCAGGCGCGTTCATTGATTTGTCAGGGGTCAAGTCGCCAAATGCCACCGAGCTTCAACGAATAACCATATTATCTCAATATCTCACAGCTGTCAACTCTGCTTCCTCGTATCCCCCGCAAGGTAGGTGTTCTTTACTCTGAGCTATTCACACATTTACTAACGACAGACCAGAATCTGGTAAGAAATTCATCTCGAGGCCTTTATTATTGCGGTCTTAAAGGCACGGACTAATGCCAATGGTTTAGGTTTGGTAAATAATGGGTGGTATGGCAAATTCCATGTAAGCCTCGCAGATAATCTACAATATTCCCTCACCTAGGAGCAGGAATGTTCTGGCTAGAGTATTCGCTAACCTTCGCTCACAGCTAGAGATGGTATTGTGGCATCTGCTCCAATTCGCCCGATGGAATCAGTTTCCATTACTATGGCGTAGTCTTCCCAACATGTATAGCCAGTATCTCAGCTCATCCATCGACCGAGCAAATTCGCAGGGTTACGACGGTGTTCGTTGGGGCAAGATGACGGATCCAGCCGGACGATCCGCCCCTGGGGAGATCAACTCTTTGCTCATATGGCAGCAGCCCCATCCCATGTACTTCGCAGAGCTCGAGTACCGGTCCTTCCCGAACGAAACCACGCTGAAATCATGGGATGGCATACTCTCCCCCACCGCAGATTTCATGGCATCGTATGCCTTCTTCAACGAGTCGACCCAGCGCTACGACCTAGGCCCCCCCATGTACCCGGCCTCCGAGAACACCAACCCCAACGCCACCATCAACCCCGCCTTCGAGCTGGCATACTGGAGATTTGGCCTAGACGTCGCCATCAGCTGGAAACAACGACAGAACCTCGCCGTCCCTGAGAAGTGGGTGGAGGTGCGAGACAATCTCGCGCCCTTGCCGGTCACCGACGACGCCTACGCCGTGTACGAGGGCATCCCGGACATGTGGAGGAACACCACGGTGCAGGACCACCCGGCCATGTCGGCCATCTTCGGGCTTCTCCCCCCGCCGAGTAGCGGCCCGTCGCTCAATATGACGGTCGTCAGCAACACGGCTGACAAGATCCGAGACCTCTGGGATTTGGAGGACTGCTGGGGTTGGGATTTCCCGATGCTGGCTAGTAAGTGCCCCCTCCCCCCTTGATTAGATTGCATTGGATACATACCTAAGTACCTAGTGCGTATACGGGATGCTAATCATATCTACTATTACCTGTAGTGAATTCGCTGCGCTTAGGAGACGTCGATCAGGCGGTGGCCTACCTTCTGCACCCCTTGTTCGAGTTCGACGACGCCGGGTATCCTGTTGGAGGCTCGCGGGTGCCGACGCCCTATTTCCCGGGGTCGAGCTCGTTCCTGTTGGCGATGGCCATGATGGCAGGAGGCTGGGACGGCGAGCCGGGAGTGCACTTCCCGGAAGGATGGGAGGATGTTCGGGTGGAGGGGTTTGTCCCTGGTCTGTGATTCCATCCGTGTAGATAGCAAATCAAACTGGGGGGTGTTTTCTACTTTATCATCATAATTGTTTGCATAGTTTAAGTGGAGAGAATACCTATGAGTGTACTAGGTAGTAGGTATGTCTACATTGTCACGCCGTAAGGTAAAACTAACGAAAATTAGCGCATAAAAAAAAAAAAAAAAAACATACAACACCAGGGATTCGCTGGTCGTCACCGACCCAACTACTGATCTGGCGGTATCTGGCTTATCTATGGGAGAGCGGACGGGATCCCGAGTTTTCCAAATCCTATGGTCGTATGTGATAGATTATGGTGTTGTTTTAGCTTATATACCAAACCTCTGTAGTATGCCACCCACTCGCCCCCCCTTTTCATACCACACCCTCCCCTACCACCGCTTCTCAAAATAAGTTCAACTCAGTCGTGATTATGTGTTGAATATGCCGTAGATACAATCAAATCATTAATTGAATTCTTGCATTTATTAGGGACGCCTGGTGGAGTCGCAGCTACTTAGATAGTAGTGGTTGCCCACTAAGCTACCTTCTCATACCTACCGAAATACATGTATCATGAGAATACAAGACAGGTGTTTTCGTGGTTGCTTAACTAGTTTATGATGAGCAAAAGGTTCCATTGCTGTAGTCTAACGAATGTTGATCGTGTCTGTCCAGTTGCCAATATACGCTGCGAGGTAAAATACTACAGCTAGTGGTTATAGATTTGGACATAGGGTCTAGTAGGAAGAGACTCATACGATTCTCCCAAAATCTGATTCGAGATTTAATGCTTCCGAAGAAGTCCCTAGGGCACCTCTACGAAAAGAAGAACTGAAAAAAAAGACATGGCTGACGGTTGTGTCAACCTTCTTCTTCTCTCCCACCCACACTATCTATATGCTGATACATCACACGTACGATTAGAAAATAAGAACTGTTCAGGATCGGGAGTGGACCGTATGATAGATAGGTTACTATCAGGTACTCCAACTAGGGATAGAAGATTTATAGCGGCGGCTTCAGGCTACAAAATGAAAAAACTAATAGGGGTTAAGGGGGGCTGCTACGTATTTGTTAATACGAAAATATATGAACTTCACCTGCAAAACATAGGTCCAAACTGTCAACAATATTCTATTAATAACAGGCTACTTATCATCACCAGGCTCTAGTCAAGTTGGGTTTCGAATTATGAAATTCGGAATCAAGATTGTAGCATCTGAGATCGCCCGAGTATGAATGATATATCCCATATACATACATCGGGCTAGTAATATTGATGGATCGCTTCGCGGCCTTGAGCTGCTTCAGTAGGGAAACTCTGGCTATGGGGACACCGTCGGTGTATCTATGTCGTGCTGAACGGGTTCATAAAGGAGAGACATTTCACAATATTCTGTCTCTTTATCCGTGACAAGTACCTCGAGGTATGCTTGCCACTTTCCTTGGTGTCGATTTTTGCTCTTAGCATGCTGCATGCTGGAGCAACGGTCCGGCTCTGCTTGTTAGCTGTCTAGAGAAGGATCTCTCCCAGATTCTCACCCTCGAATCCAAGCGTGGCAAGTTTCTTTAGCTTGTTCTTCTCCTTCGCCTTCTCCACGGCTCTCCGTTCTTTTGCCAGCTTCTCCACGACGTTGAAGTCTGCCCTCTCGAAGCCCCGCGGTGGTTCGTCGTCCTTGTCCAAGTCGATCTCGCCAAGGAGAAGTACATTTTCTCCGCGAACGAGGAAGATACCATGAGTTTGGTCGGCATACAGACCCTTGGGTGGAGATTCAGAGGGGTCGGAGGTGGTGGCATATATGCGCTCGACTGTAGATTGGAGGACAAGGTTCGCTTTGGAGAAAAAGAACGAGGATTAGAAGCGAGGAACATGGAAGGAACATGGAAACAAGGGACGATCTCTGAAGAGCCATAGATAGCTAGAAAGGTACTTACCGAATTGGTCCCAACTTCGTAGTACTCCAGTAAGCTTTCGACCATCCCGTAGGCATACTAAAAGTTTTTCTAGACTCGGCGGTTAGTCGAGCGTATGGTCACTATTGGCCCGGCTCGGTTGCCTTACTATCGGTGAGGTCTAGTAATTGTGCAGCTGTGGTGAACATTTGAGGAGGCAGCTGTTGCGGCTGTGGCGGGGGAGCACCGTGTCCTAGAGCCTGAGGAGGTATGGAGCCACCCATCTGAAGGTTGCCCGGCTGAGCGGGTGGGTCGTGTAGAGAGAGGTTCTCCATCATATCAAGTGTTGGGTGTTGTGGTCGATGGCAATGTCGTCAGAGCTGTCCCAATCCATAGAGAGGTAGAAAAGAGTATAAAGAAAAAGGTTAGGCGACGACGTCAGTGAGAGCCAGTGAGAGCCAGTGATAGTCTTGCGCCGAAGTCTACAACTATTTCCCTTGCGACAATGGGGGCTCGGCGCAACTTGTAGCTCTGGTGACGTTGTATTATTTTCCCTTCCTTTTCTGTTATCATGCAAGTAAGTCCAGGATGTAAAGCTTAGGATGGGGTTTAGTTGAATAACGGTTCATTATCGCTGGTCGCAATCGTGACTACTGTAAGTAGTACTTTTGCATATCCCCGCCAATTTTAGCAAATTTAGAAAGACTTTAAGGTGGGACTGGCGGCGGAACAAACGTTGTTGCGCTAGTGTAATTGAATTCTTGGTTGTAACTACCTAGTATGCTTATGTAATACAGTTCGAGTTGCTTAATTTAGATACATATGATGTACATTAATTAAGTCATTACCTACCTAGTAGTACTTCGTACCTACCTAGTAGTAACCATGGAACCCCAAGTTAAGGAGCTCTAATTTTTTGAACAGCCTTTTAATTATCTAGTATGCATCAGTGCCGGTAATTACTACCGTGACAACTTGATATTTGAGGTTATATTACTGGTAGGAATCAGTGTCATAGGATCAAATCTAGTAGACTAGTTGGACCTCTGACAGGTCTCTTGAATCTTCTAACAACATAAGAGAAGCAACCCCCCGTTTTTTGTTTTTAGGCGAATAGTAATAGTGACGTAAAAAGCAATCAAGACAATACATAATTACCTTCTACATGTAGATAGTAAAGCAATCAAATATCTACATAGTATTAATTAAGCCGATGCTTGCCTCTGGACAATACACAGGTATCAATAGCTAGTAAGGTGAAAGGCAACTGTCATCAAAGGCGAGACTTCGGATCAGATAAGCAAATATTAATACACATACATACATACATACATACATACATACATGTGCACACTGCATACCTACGTACTTAAGCAAAGTTCCCAAGTTCAACTGCGTGTGTGGTTCGCATTTCGCGATGGGGCTTGGCGGACAGACCAGGTGTTTCCCGATCTGGGAATCTGGCCTAGGCTCGACAAGGGTCTCCTCATAACTTGTTGCCGAATATCCCTGTCCATGCATGTGATGACCAAGTTCCAATCCCCAAACCTGTCCCTTCCTTGAAGTTCCTTCAGTGTTCGATCTCACTTGCTCCCTTTTTTTGCGGGGATCCTTATTTGGTTGTACTGTGTACAGAGCTTTCCCTCGTGTTACCCGGTTCTCGCGGGTCTATGCTAATTAATTAATTGAATTTGTTAATTGAATTTGAACTTCTACACCTTTCACTCCAATGTTCATCAATACATTAAAACAACTAATAACTCTTCAACTTCCCCAAAGCTCCAAGAGCCCTGACTCTTCTTTTATGTGATAGATGTATCAACATCTCCAAAATAATTGCAACTGAGAGGTATTTCGATTGTAAACAAGGTCCAAGGTCAACATTATGCCGGGCTCTTCTCGAATACCCATTAGCTTGCGCGATACCTTCAATACCGTCAAGCGATCTCGCCCAGTGAATCCTCAGCAAATATTTAATCTCGAACTGTATGTTTCTTCATCTTCTAGGCCTATTCCAGTGGCCCCAAGACCTTTATAATCTAGCGTCATAAGAAGAAACAGAAAAAGACAATCATCTAATCAGCCATTCACTATTGTTTAGATTCAAAAATGTGCTCTTTTTCTTCTTTGTCGTACGCATAGTCCGTCGGACGTTCTGGAAACTGAAGGGCCGCGGTATTATCGGCACTATCGTAGAGCTTTACCATGATACTCGACGTGTACTCTATGGGTACTTCCTGCGGGCCCCGGGCATCAGAACCCAAGTTCGGAAACAAGTCACCGAGTCGCTAGCGAAAGTACAGACGAAGATGATTCCCGCCGGCGGGACTCGGTATCTAACCTTGCCGAAAGAGGGTTGGACAGACGAGGCGCTACGAACTGAGCTTGAGGCTTTGGCAAACATGGATCATACCAGATGGGAGGACGGCTACGTATCTGGTGCCGTTTATCATGGTGAGGAGGACCTAATCAAGCTACAGACCGAAGCCTATGGCAAATTCACCGTGTCGAACCCGATACACCCGGATGTCTTCCCCGGCGTGAGGAAAATGGAAGCGGAGGTTGTTGCCATGGTCCTCTCCATGTTCCATGCCCCGCCAAAGGCTGCTGGCGTGTGCACAAGTGGAGGTACCGAGAGCATTCTGATGGCCTGTTACAGTGCGCGGCAAAAGGCATATGCGGAGCGCGGTGTTACGGAACCGGAGATGTGAGCCACCTTGTCTAATAACCCCTCCTTAACATTCATTACTAATACAGCTATGATAGGATTCTCCCAGACACTGCGCACACGGCCTTCCGAAAGGCTGGTGACTACTTCAAGATCAAGATCCACTTGGTACCTTGCCCTGCGCCTGCCTACCAAGTTGATGTGCACCGTGTCTCTCGCCTCATCAACTCTAACACGATCCTCCTGGTTGGATCTGCCCCTAACTTCCCCCATGGCGTTATCGACGACATCTCAACGCTTTCCAAGTTGGCCTTGAAACGTCGCCTACCGCTGCATGTAGATTGCTGTCTTGGCTCCTTCCTGGTCCCCTTCCTCGATAAAGCTGGCTTCGAAACGGAACCGTTCGACTTCCGTCTTAAGGGTGTCACCTCTATCTCCTGCGACACGCACAAGTATGGTTTCGCGCCAAAGGGTAATTCGACAGTCCTCTACCGTTCCGAAGAGTTGCGTACGTATCAATACTTTGTGTCCCCTGATTGGTCCGGCGGCCTGTACGCTTCGCCGGGTATTGCGGGGTCGCGCCCCGGTGCCCTCATTGCAGGATGCTGGACCAGTATGATGCGTGTCGGCGAGGCCGGATACATCGATGCGTGCGTCAAGATCGTGGGCTGCACCAAGAAGATCGCAGACCACGTTGTCAACTCACCAACGCTAGGCGCCGAGCTCGAAATCATTGGACGCCCGCTCGTCTCTGTCGTCGCCTTCACCGCACGTAACTTAGATATCTACGACATCGCTGACGGCATGAACGCCAAGGGCTGGCACCTCAATGCTCTCCAGAACCCGCCCGCCGTGCACGTTGCTGTTACTCTGCCCATTACTAAGGTCTGGGAACGCCTCGTTGCTGATCTGGAAGCAGTCATTGAGGCAGAACGAGAAAAGGAACGGGTTCGCGTTGTTGAGGGTAAGGGACCGAAGGGCAAGGCTTCAGGTGACACAGCTGCATTGTATGGTGTTGCAGGCAGCTTGCCGAATAAAAGTATCGTTGTCGATTTGGCGAATGGATTTTTGGATCTGTTGTACAAGGCATGATCTAATTTGCATAACATACCTAGACTACATAGCGAGAGATGTCACATTCATCCATTGTAAGAAAAAGCAAACATGAGCGGGCTGGAGCCGGAGTGCGTTGCTGATTGCTCGCAACGCGTTTGTTGCCCGTTTGGTAGGGAACAATTTGCATAACCAGCGGGTATGTAATAGTGTATGTTTTAAAGGAAGCCAGGAAGGGGAGAAAGCGGGTAGGAATATTGATTTGGTGATTTGGCTGGCTGGCTGGGTTGTACATATATATAGGGTACTATATAAGGTATTCAAGGTCAAAAAGGGGGGGGAAGTAGGTAGAATCTCTACTACCAAAACATACATTCAACTGCCTACTTAGGTACTCATTGTTCATAAATTGGCCTTTGGAAGAATACATGCAATGTTCATATTGTGATGATTACCATAGTCGCTAATAGGTATCTATTCCGGCTGTACTTCGCACAACGCTCGGTATCGTGCTCTCCCGATACCTGCATGTATAGAAGGGCTTCACGACGTACATACATACCTAACCTAGGCAATATGTATATACCCACCTAATGTATCACGAGATACGAATCCATGATTAAAATGTTAATATACATACATATTATAAAGCAAGGGGGTATTTTAATCAATGTTGAATGCATGTAGTACATATGTATGTAGGTATATTTAGGTGCATGTACCTACTATATAATATATATACAACCCAACATCGAAGAGATGAGAAAAAAAAAAGGAACGGTTGCGTTCGTTCGTTCGTTTCTCCCTCTCTCTCAAAAAAAAATCATATAATGTTTGTTTTGTTATTCAATGCTTTTTTCTCTTTTATACACCCCATGAAACCCGTTAAGATGCTTTGAAGTTAATTCGTTCGTAATGTTTCCGGTAAAAAGCCTGCCTAGGTTTTACCCACACACGCACACGACCCTTTCCTTGATTAACCCTCCCTCCCTTCCCCCCTCCCACGCCGCCGTCCTGCGCCGTTTGAAAAGTTTATGAAACCCAGAAACCCAGAAAAAAAGCAAAAAACAGTTTCTGCAGAGCGTTTGAAGGCGTCTATCTCATCGTTTCGTTAGGAGGGGAGAACGAGGAAGGAGAAAAAAAATGTGATGAATATGCCGCCAGCCACGTGCCTTGGTTCCGTTTTTATGTTTGCCCCCTTCGTCCTGTAGTCCAAAATTCTTGGTCTTATACCCCCATCTCTCTTTCCATTTCCTTTCAACCCCCCCCATGAAGTAGGGGGCAGTAGGCAGAGTTTTGAATAGCAACAAGAAAAGACTAGAGTTCTGCTGCAGCCTCGTCGCGGGTGAAGCGTCCGCTCTCTTGGGTGATCATGGACTCGGCGTCGCCGACCTGCTTACGTTCTGACACCTCTAGGTTCTTAAGCCGCTTCTGCATCATCCTTTTATACGGAAACGTCAATCCTTGGGATGACCACTCCCTCATGACTGCTGATTGCTATTGCAAGGGTTCCGAAGAGCTTGACAGGCGGTTCAGATGAAGGTACACATCTGTTCCATACCTATTTTCGAGGTTAGTATTCCGTTGAATCATCGAATGCAAAAAAGAAGAAGAAAAAAAAAAAGTGTTGCTTACCCTTCCATACTGATCAGTTTTAGGTCGCCACCAAAGTACCGAGCATAGAGTCGCGATATTGGTAGTCCGTAACCGAAGCCAGCCATAGGTGCCTTGAAATCGCTCTTATCGAAGTCAGGATCCAGGCTTGGCGTCCGATCCACGGTTGTATACATGTATGTCCAAACTAGCGGTATAGCACTTCGCGGGATTCCGCCGCCCTCATCGGTAATCTTGATGGTTATGTCTTCCCTTCCTTCGGCAACGATGACCTTGGTTACTGGGAATTCTTGCTTATCTTGCCCATGCGTTTCGACAACGGCTCGTAACGAATTCTTCAAGGTTTCAAACAGCATATGCGACAAATGGCCTGGAACATACATGAAAGTGAGGTCGGGATTGCAAACTAGTTGAATTTTCGGCGCTTCAAAAAGCCCATAATGATCCTCACAGACAAAGCGGGCGTTTTCGATGGCCTCTTGCGCTAGATCGCGCACGTTGGTCTTGGTGCAGATGATACCGACGTAGGTGGGATCTCGATGATGGCTCTGATCGGTCAGAGCGATATGTTGCCCTATAAGCATACGGATGCCTATGCGCGACATGTAAAAACGGTCCAGAAAAGATTGGATGTTATTGTCAATTTGCATCCGTTGTCTTTTTCGCTTGTATTCTAGGATGCCCTGGGCCATGGTCGTGACAACGCCATCGTGCCTCCTCTTGATCTTATGCAACGTTTGAGCGAACCTCGAGTTATATGCCTGGAGCTCCGGCGGCCAGTCGCCGCTGTCGTCTACCATGGCAAAGTACCTCCTTGCGGCCTGGTACTTCTTGCCATTGCCTAAGCCGATCTGCGTGGGCGGCGCTGAGGCATACTGACCTTCGCGGATGCTGGGATTGGGCGTGGCCTCGGAGAGCATAGTAGAAGTCTTGCTGTTGTGGAACCTTCCTGGGTTTAATAATCGATCGCGTACATCTCTCGACAGCTCGGGTCGTCCTAGGTTAATGATCTCCTATTATCACATGTTAGATGACTCACACTAGAGGCATTGTTGATGTGAGTCAAGAACATTTGAATACGAACCTCGAACGACTGCGCATACCAATCCTGGACTCTTTTTACCGATGGCATATCGCTAAGTCCATCAGGTAAGCTTGTAAGCTCCTGTACTCGGTGCGCAAGGCGAATTGGTAGCTCTTCGGCAAGGAATTGGGAGGCGCGAAAAAGGGTTCCTGGACGAGAGGGAAGTGGGATTAGCATTGCGATAATTACGATTTAAAGTATATACTATACATACCTGTTGATGGCCTCTCGCCAAATTGGACCATTTGTCTTAAACTGACTCCAGTAGCAGGAAAGTTGGAGTAATGGCGGATGGTATCCATCAACCTCTCGGATGCCTTCCACGACATATTGGACGGGTCCGTCTAGAGACGGGGTGAACAAACAAGAGTTCAGGGGTGGAAGGGATAATCTCAGGTAGGAGAAAGAGAGATCTGGTCCATGAGATCCGAATTGAATAATGCTAGGTATGTAGAGTGAGCAATGAGCAGTGAGCAGTGAGCAGTGAGCAATAGCACGAGACTTGAGACTTGAGATCTGAGGTTTTGAGGGTTGAGGGTAGAATCGGAGGTCGTAAGACTACTGTAGAAACTAAAAGTTGAAGACTAGGACCACCCCGCGGGAATTAGTGCAGAATGACGCTTGTTAGCAGGGGACCTATCTGCATCTAAAATGCCGAGGCTCTTAAGAGAAGTTGATTAAGACTCCAGTACACAGATCAGTACATAATTATGTACATAGAATTGTAGGTATTGTATGTACCTGTATCCGGTAACGCGGCGCAAGCTGGATATTCCCGGATTTTACCTTAGGCACCTACATATACATATAGTTATATGTACGTAAGTAACTTGAAGCCAAAATAAAATAAATTAAATAAAATGTTCCTTATTCCATAGAGACTTGGATAAGTACCTAGTTAAAGGAGTAGGTACTGCACAGTCTGTACTAAAAGATATTGTATCAAATTGTCAGTACATACATATGTATTGATGCATTGAACATTGACATTCAATGTTGTATGTACATCTTCTACCCTAGCTCCATTTCGAAAGCCGTCATTGGCTTCTTTTTGTTTGGGTTATGGGGGCGCGGAGAAGGGGAAAGTTACACAGCTTTTCGCCAGCTGTTTCTTCACTGGTAAATTTACCGAAACGATAAAAGTCCAGCCGAGGAGTCTCCTTTCACCCATGAGTGCTCTCGACAGGGCTTGACAGCTGGCTTACCTAGGTCCTAGGGTACAGTAGGGTATGTCCATTGTTTGTGTTTCCCCCCATATTTTCTGCCACCGGCACTTCCTTCAAGGTTCAAATGCTCCCTTAATAATAATTGTTCCAAAAAGTCTCCATTCTTAAACATTATTTCCTATGTATTATATTAACACGCATCTTCTTATAAGTGTCTGGCTCTATTTATGCATCTAAGAAAGCGGGTACTCCACGAATCGAATCTAGCCCTTTTCTAATCTTCAATGTTCGTTTCTAACTACCTAACTAGCATTTTCAGTCGTTTTCGAGATTCAAATGCCCAGTACCTTTCTATAGCTTAGGTACCTAAATTACCCTACCTACTACCTAACGGTCCTAACCTACCTAGTAGTAGGCTACCTAATACATATCCATACACAGATGTGTTGGCGTCAATACCTGCCTGCTATGTATAGGTAGGGCTGCTAGGTAGTACAGTTCGCAACTCCATCAACCTTTATCTCGTAATCGTCGATCGACATAGCCCACGATACCTAGTAGTATATGCTCGAAATACCCGACTATACCCATATTCACCTAGTTCTCGGGATACACGACCAGAGCCCCAAATACCTGCAACTACAGCTTTACAGCTACACGACTACACCAATACCTACAAATCTACAATTGCTGCCAAGTCACAGCCTCAGGCCACGCACGGATGTAGTCGGCTTCTCTCTTTTCAGTCTCTAGGAATTCAAGCTACCTGGTAGGTTACTTGGGTATGTAGGTAGCCACACTCCATGTGTCATCTAATAAAACCAATACACCGATCAGGCACCTCTTCATTATTGAAATCCACATACCTAACCACGTTCATTCCAGGGCATGCATCAAACCCCATCCAAGTTCGGAACTTGTTTGATCCTTGTAGCTACAGAGCTCGAGCCCGAGCTGTTTTCTGCCTCAACTATTTTTCTTTACCCTTATGCCAGAAACAGATTCGGATGCAGACCCAGACTCGGACAGAGACCCGAATAAACCGGCGCCGCAGAGACCGAAGAGACCGCAAACACCGCAAACACCGCCTTGGAATGCTAGGCTAGAACCTCACACTGGGTATTCACACTATGATGCGGCTACTCCTAGATCATCACCTCCAGCCTCGCCATCCATGAGTCTCTTTTCTTTGGGCATGTCCCCATTCTCACCGATGCGTCGCCAATTTTCATCGCCTCTTGTCAGATCATCGTCTCCTCTACATCCACCGGACGTCGACCTGATTAAAGAGGAGGGTATTGTGCAGGATAGCAAGGATGTTCTCGTGCAAAGACTAAATGACCTTGCTGCCCAGTTAAGCCAGCAAGAGGACCTTAGGGAGGACAACGTCAATAGTCTCCACGCCAAAGTGGACGAAATGGAGAAGTCTTTATCCACAAGAAGCCTTCTGCCCCAACGGAGACCACCGAGATCTAGGCCTGCTACTAGCACTGGTGGTGAACGGGACCCCTTTTGGGGGTCGCTGACACCGGGGCGAGTGATTCCTAGGATGTCGAACCTATTGATGCCTACACAAAAGTCTGCTTCGACCCAGACCACCAAAGAGAGCCCCACCGAATCCGGGGCGGAGGCGGCTGGCAAGAAGCGGATATCGACAGCAGAGGTCGGCCGGATTGCTGCGGAAGCACAGAAGTTGCAAAAAGAATTAGAGGCCGTGACCTCGAGTCTACGAGCTCGACAAGAAGAGACGGATGTAAGACTATCCCCACTCACCTGCGCTACGACAACTCTGCTAACAACTGTATAGCATATCCACGAGTTACTTATTATGCGTGCAGAACGCGCCGCCCAGAGAATTATACATCTCGAAAAGCGGATCAAGGAACTGTAAGTTTCGCCAAAACACCCTGGTCAGGGGATTGAAAGGGTTGCTAACAATGAAGGGAAAAGGGAAATCGAACGGAACGAGGGCGAGATGGAAATGCTCAATCTACAGATCCAGCTCAAGGCGATTGAAGTCCAATGCCTAAGTTACGTGCCGAAGGATGCCGATGAAGATTTACGGGAAAGCATCTCAGCATGGAAAACGGAATGGTCGGCCTTGAAGCGAAAAAGAGCACGGAGGAAAGGTGGGAGCGAAGATTCTGGAAGTCCTGGAACCCAGATCAGACAGCAAAGGGAATATCTAAGCTGAACAGGTCCGGCAGGGTAGAAATTGCCCTGCCTACTGGGTATGCATCGTTGTCCGTGGTGGTATGTGAGTATTTTTTTGGCGGTCTGTTCTACATGTTTTGCCCGGAAAGGGAAACAACAATGACGATCATACGCCTGCCTCGTCAGCTCGTTTACCGGCCAGGGCGTTTATGTGCTACCAGAGCAACCAGTAACATGCAGTATCTCCCCTATGACAATAAAGATGAGGCTTATCGGTAGGCCTATGAATCTTCATTATCATGAGGTAGGACGTAGTTGCTAATACGGCCACAACTTGGTAGAGATAGGACTAGTTGGAACTTGGGTGAGATAGAGTGATCTCTCATCTGCATAATACATAGATAACATCTAATCACCTACCACACTTGAGGTCTAAATGCTACTCATGCCACCTCCCTTTCCCCTCTTCAGCAGTTGAGGGAAAGGGGCTGGCTCAAGTTGCGTCATTCATGCAACATTTGGAGGTCTTGGCTAATCAATCCCCGGTCTTCCACATGACCTCCTTCAGCCCTTTTCCTTCACAGTGTTCACACACTCTACCAGTAGACTACCACCAACATAATACATACCTATTTAGTCTATTTAGTTAGGTAGGTTAGGTGTCTTACATGCGGAGCGACGTGACAGCCCAGCCGCAAGGCTTTGTGCAAGTACCAGGTACATTACATTGTAACAATACCTAGCTACATATGTATGTACATCTGGGCTTCTTGGAAGACGGCAGCCTTACATTGAAATGACGGCTAGCTATCTGTAGAAATACGTATGTGAGTACCGACAAGACGGCTTCTTTTAGCTTCTTTAGACTACACATGCTAATTCTTTAATACTACAGTATAGTCCATGCCCAGCCGTATCAGCCGTATTGGCATCTCGATCCTGTCACTTTAAAGTTATGTGGGTTATACGGGATCTTCCAATGGTAACATGGGGAATGCGGACGCCATTGTGCTAGCTCGAATCCTTTAGCACCCGTCCAGGGTAGCTTCGAAGGATTCGAACCCTTCAATGTTCCCATGTATCTGTTGTAACTGGTGTAACTGTTATATCCAGGTCTATACTTAGGCTGTCATGTACCAACGACCATTCTGCCAGACACGCCGGCTTTGGTCCTCGACACCCGTCACTACAGGCATCAGACAACAAACAGCCTCTACATATCATATACTTCGTCCTAGTAGGACCATTGTATGAAAATGTATGTACCTATGTAGGTACAAGACATACCTACTCTAGTACCTACTAACCTACGCCATTGTCTCTTCATATTACCGCTATGAGCTAGTTGGTAAAGTTTAGAAAGTGAGAGGAGGGATGATGATTACTATACTTATTGAAGCTAATAGCCCGGGTATCCCCTGTTGTCGTCGACAGGGTCAGCTACGGAACATGACGTCGTCATACCATGAGGGAATCCTTCTGGCATCTCTTCGACCAACGAGGCTCTGGAATACTGTTACGGTCCTACTTCAAAACCCGTCCGATTCATGTATAATCTTGCGTCCTTGCGTCCTTGCGTCTTACACACCACTGATATGCAGGCCTTTTCATATAACCCACCGAGAGTGGCTGCTTCTTGATATGGTGGCCTGGGTGCATGCAGCTTCTCATTAAGAAGACCCCTGGTATTACATTACATCCAGCCGAACAATATAATAAGCCTTCTCCTATCCAAAAAGAAAATTTTTACATTAGTCCCCTTTTCCAATCCTGCAATGCTCTGCTCCCTTGATATTTCCTTGTAACGTATTCGGAATAAAGGTAAAGTTTCTTAATTGCTAAGAAAAGGATACCAGGTCAACCCCTTACCCAGTGACGAACAGCACATTATTATGGCCTCTAATCCTCAAGACGCGCCCGCGGGAGGAACGTCGGGGGATAATTCGGAGAAAGCCCAACTGCGCAAGCATTCGGACAATGATGTGTCCCGGGCGGAAATTGAGCATAGCTCGAGTAAAGATAAAATATCCAACGATGATGAGTACAGGCGGCGCTTAGAGGCGTCAGCCAAGCTAGAAAATCCGCTTGCCGGCCTCACTCCAGAACAGCTGAGCCATATGGGCGAGGAGTTCTGCGCGAAGCATGGCATCACTGAAGAAGAAGATATCAGGGCTTTCCGTCTCGGTGCTATGATCTCTGGTAACATGAATCAATTCACCTCCATCGACGAGCTCACTGATCGTGAGCGCAATGTGCTCGATAGGGAGATTACGCATAAATGGTCCAACCCGATGATGCTCTATGCCGTGGTCGTCGTCTGCTCGCTCTGTGCTGCCGTTCAAGGCAAGTCTGCCTATATCATATAGCCGTCATTGACGCTGTGCCTGCGCCTCCGTATATTCGTCACTGACAATACAACAGGTATGGACGAGACGGTCGTGAACGGCGCTCAATCTATATACAGGGTTGACTTCAGCATCGATTCCGGGTCTCAGCGAGGTCGGTCATCAGTACTAACGAAACGTCTCACGCCATACTAATTTATGTGTACGAATAGATGCATGGCTTCTTGGTTTAGTCAATGGTAAACTCACTTTCATTGCCCGCCACAGACACATTACTGATGCTTATATTCATTTAGCTGCGCCTTATATATGTTGCGCCTTCGTCGGCTGCTGGCTCACCGAGCCGATGAACAAGGTATTCGGCCGCCGCGGGACTGTATTCGTGGCTTGCCTGATATCTGCTCTCGCATGCTTCTGGCAGGCTTTCACAAACACTTGGTGGCATATGTTCATTGCTCGTTTCGCTCTTGGGCTCGGTATTGGTCCTAAATCGGCTACAACTCGTCAGTCAACTACCTATCCCCCAATCTAAACCACAGCAGATAAGTGGCAGAAAGAAAGCTTGAAAAGACTAACGGCTTCCAGCTATCTTTGCTGCCGAGTGTAGCCCCCCGAAGTTGAGAGGAGCTTTGGTTATGCAATGGCAGATGTGGACTGCTTTTGGTATCATGCTTGGATACGTAATGGACCTGGCCTTCTTCGGAGTTCCTAATCTATCCGGCATCATAGGCCTCAACTGGCGTTTGATGATGGGATCTGCACTGATTCCTGCTGTCATCGTCTGTGCCATCGTGTACTTTACCCCCGAGGTTTGTGATAAAAGCCCCCTATAATCATGCTAAGATATGCGAGCACTAATGGAATACAGTCGCCTCGATGGTACCTCACCAAGAACAGGCACATGGACGCATACAAGGCAATTTGTCAGCTCCGGTTCGAAAAGGTTCAAGCGGCGAGAGACCTGTTCTACATGGACACTCTCCTCCAGGTCGAGAAAGAGACCATGAACATAGGCCAGAGCAAAATCAAGGAGTTCTTGACCATCCGCCGTAACCGCAATGCCATGGTCGCTTCGGAAATCGTCATGTTCCTGCAGCAGTTCTGTGGAGTCAACGCGATTGCTTACTTTTCCACTCGTAAGAAATTTAATTTGCCCTCTATCATATTCATATTCATATTCATATTCATATGAATGAAATATGAAATATGTATTCTAACTTTAGGTATTCTAGAAATCTTCGTCGACAGCGGTTTCTCCATCCAGATAGCCCTGGTGGCATCGCTTGGGTTCGGCATCGTCAACTTCCTGTTCGCCCTTCCCGCGTTCTACACCATCGACACCTTTGGTCGGCGCAATCTCCTCCTTACCACTTTCCCCGTAAGCCTAATCGATGATTTCTTTTTGGTACTTACCCAAAATAAAGATGATACCTTAGCTGACTTGTTGGTTGCTTTTTTTTCTTTTTGCTCATAGCTGATGGCCATATTCTTGTTCTTTACTGGCTTCAGTTTTTACATTCCAGAAGACAGCACTGCTCATGTTGCTTGTATAGCCTTGGGGATATACTTGTTCGGCGTGGTCTATTCCCCTGGTGAAGGGGTAAGTACAAACATCTCTATCTCCATCGGCCGTTGGCATTGATCTTGATCTGGGTTTCCGTGCTAATAATATTCTTCTTATCCAATTCATTAGCCCGTACCGTTTACGTACAGCGCCGAGGCATATCCCCTGTACATCCGTCCGATCGGGATGTCGCTAGCAACAGCAACGACCTGGTTCTTCAACGCCATCATCTCGCTCACCTGGCCGTCGCTGGTGCAGGCCTGGACGACGGCGGGGGCCTTCTCGTGGTACGCGGCCTGGAACGTGGCCGGCTTCTTCCTCGTGCTCTTCTTCGTGCCCGAGACCAAGGAGAAGACGCTCGAGGAGCTCGACGCCGTCTTCAGCGTCCCGCTCCGCACCTTCGCCCGCTACGGCGCCGCCCAGTTCCTCTACTTCTGGGCCCACTACGTCTTCCGCCGCGACGTCCCCGCCCCCAAGGTCCCCTCCGCCAGCGCCGCCGTCGAGTACTCGGAACACCGGTTCTCGCAGGAGAAGACGCACGATGCGACCGCGCGTGTGTAGATAAGGTGGCAGGCAGGCAGGCAGGAAAATATATATAATTTCCTCACCCTAGGTATAAAGAGTTGGGGTACTCTTTACATTCATTTTCTTTCGCCTTTTATTCTTTTATTATCACTTATTAGGTACTTGCCTATATTCTATACATTCTTTAATCTACCCAACCTACCTACCTCTCTACGAGCTAGGTAGCTGTTTGTCTCTCATTTCTACAATCCTGTAACTATATGTCGCGGATACCCATTTTTTGGAATTACGGTTATGGAAAGGAAAACGTGCCTATGGTTATGCATACCTGCTCTACAGAGTATAGGCATGTACTAGGTAGGTAGGTAGCTAGCTGCTAGACACGATAATGTTTTGGAATTCCTATTACCCTTGATCAATTACGTACAATACTAAATTACCATATATTAGCTAGCCTAGTATCGACTCTCTACTCCCCCACCCCCTTTCCCCCTTTCCCCCTTTCCCCCTTTCCCCCTTTCCCCCTTTCCCCCTTTCCCCCTTTCTGTCTTTCAAACTTTCCAAACTATTTCCAACCTTTCCTCTCTTCCAGCCATCGCGCTTATCTCATCTTATCCCATCCAAATAATATAGGCCCAGCACTTAGATTAGGTAGGTACTACTAATATAAACGAAAGAAGTGAGTAATAACTGTTTCCAAATATCTGAAACAAGAAGAAAAAGGAGAAAAAGAGAGAAAGAAAAATGATAAGGAAACAAGGGAAAGGAAGTCAAAAGTACAACATGGCAATTTACTAACTAGGTACCCATCAATTCAATACCCCGAATGGTGACGATGATGATGTCTATGTCCCCCACTCTTGTGATGTGGAGACGAAGTCGAAGGCGACGTAAAGCGCAATGCCTCCTCCCAAGTCGGTCTTCGGGCACCGCCGTTATCATTACTGTTACTGTTATCGTTTTTGTTGTTGTTGTAGTTGCTGTCGATGTTTTTGTCATCGACGGTGCTGTGCCGTCGGTGGTGGTGATGGCTACTACCACCACCACCACTGCCACTGTCGTGACTATGACTATAGCCATGACCATGGCTATGACGGGAGTGGGAGTGGTGCTTCTCCCCTGTGTTGGGCCTTTTACTACTATTACCATTGCCATTGTTGTTGCTACCGCTGTTACTGCTACTGTGGCTGTGCCTGCGGCTATTATGGCTGCTATTGTCCAACAGCTGCCGACCCGTATCCGGATCAGCTCGAACCGTAGACGAAGAAGATGAAGATGAACCGCCGCCGCTGTGGTGTCTGTCTCCCGCGTACATTGAGAGTCTCTTTGCCGTCCCACCTGTCGCAGGCGGTGGTGGTAGATACCCCACGGGCTTGGCATATGCCGTGGTGCTCACGTCGGGCGCCGAGGCCCGGTATGCTTTTGACGGCGGCGGGCTTTGCGCGCGTCTGTACGTGGTCCCAGTGGTGGTGTGGTAGTAAGAAGATGAGCGCGGTGGGTGTGGCGTGCGCGTCATCGTTGTTGTCATCGTTAGCGGGCCTGCTATTTGGGAAGTCCTTGGTGATGTAGAAGGAGGGGTGGTGGACGACGTCGACGTCATAGTGGTAGTAGTAGGAGGCACGGGCCGGTAAGTATCCTGTTGGGATTTTTCTATGCGGTGGATCCGTGCCCGTTCGCTGTCGTGGTCGTAGTCACTGTGACGGCTGTCCTCGGTAGAAGAAGTGGCGCCCGTCTGGTCTCCCGTGGTTATAGTCTTTAGGATCCCAGGGGGCATGTACCGACTCCGTGCTTTGCTCGTCTCTGGGCTGGCTAGCAGCGTGTACCCCCTTTCCCTCGCGTATGATTCGAGAGGGGCACAGTGGCGTATCGACGGTGGAGGGGCTTGCTTGTCAGAGTTTGCAGAGAGAGGAGATGGCAGAGGCGGCGCCATGATTGCTAAGGGTAGCCTCGGGGTGGACGGTTCCGTTAGCCCAAGGTCGTATATCAGGTCGTCAAACGCGGCACCCAGAATCTTCCTAGACTTGGCGTCGTGCTTGACGGGGAACTGGCTACGAATCAGCTGCCGGGGTAGTTTCTGGGATTGGCTTTCAGTGTCAGCAAAGAGCTGGACGTCCGCCACAATCTTGTCAAGGCGGCGAAATTCCTCGTCCGGATGTGCCAGAATGCAGGTGGTGAGGTAGTGTGCGAACCCCACAGGCGTCAAGGCGGGGATCCGCGGACGAGAATATGCGTCGAGTGGTATCAGATGATACTGGCAGTCTAGATCGGTGAAGAAGTCGGCGATGCGGTCGTGGACGTCTTTGGCTCGAGAGTTGAAGATCTCTGCAGACATATGATCGGATATTAGTAAAAAAATACTATGCAATCGCTATAAGCGGATCCGTATAGGGGTAGAAGAAGAGAAGGGGGCGGGAGGGTAGGTAGCGGAGAGGACTGGCATGTCATTTGTTATTCAATCAAAACTTACCTACGAATGGATAGATCTCGGCATCTAGCCGGTATCTTGAGTACAGCACGCTGAGCTTCTCTGGCGTGACGACAAGGGCGCTGCTGCTAGGTGCAAAGTCGTCGATCTGTGACCTCATCACACGTCAGCTATTGGCATATATATACTAGGTAGATACCATTTCATTTCATAGATCACATACGACATGCTTGGCTAGCCCTCTTAGAAACTGTCCATTCCGGGGGGTAGCGTATCCGGTCTCGTCGAACAGAAGCCCCCATTCAACTGCCGACGTAATAGGAGCACTGAATCGCCTAGAGATGGCAGGCCGCTTCGCGAGAGGAGGAGCGCGGTCACTAAAACGAACGCTTGGCCTTGATACTTCCGGCGCTATTGTACTAGTGGAGCTTAAGGGAGACCCAGAGGAAGAACTGCTAACGATAGAACTTGCTGCAGATGAAGAAGTAGCCGAGCCAGAGGCACTTGATGATGAGTCCGAAACGGTGTCCGGTTGTTGCTTCTTGGTTGCTTAAGACTTTTTGTTAGCGTGTGTGGGATACCTTCAAATGAGTCTTACATTCGTCCCTCTCTACCTCAAGAGCTTCTTCCATGGTTTTAGTAGAGCTTTCATCCGCTGAAGGCCATAGTCGAGATCGAGGTGTTGGTTCAGAAACATTCAGATCCCAATGGACAGATGGGTTAGACGGGCGAGCATCGCTTCCGTACGAAGATTGAGAAATATCGTTTTCCCCGAGGTTGACCTGTGTTGAATCTTCAGAACGTTGAAGGTCTGCTTCATGAACACCAAGAGCCTCGATATGCATTTTATAGACTTTGTCTACCTTCTCGAATGAAGATGGTTTCAGTCGTAATATACTAAGAATAAAAAAAAGCCTACTACTAAATACCGGGTGCTAAAACGTGTCGATATAAAAGCGAATGTCCGAGAAGTTGATCTAGACATATATCCCCAACAAGTTAGAGCCCAACTTCCAAGACATCTGTACCCAAAACTTCAGCACCACCCGGGTAGTCGCAGTAAGATATTCTCGTCCTGACAGAAGCCGGGCGATGGAGTAACATCTCGTAAGGAGGGCCATCCCTGTTATAGAGGCATCGAGGCTCGGGGCAAAGCTGCCTGTTACGCACAACATGTAGTCGGTGCTACACCTTCGGAAAGAATACAGCAGTCTTGTATAGTTGATCACCTCCTTCAAATGGACGCGGATGTCATCGAGGCGATCCGGTGGAAACTATTTGACGAAAGATGTTAGTGAGTCTCGGAAGGCTGCGTTGTTTAGCTTAGTTGAATCGAAGATAATACACCATCATGTCGTCACCAAATAGGCAAATGAGTTACATTATGAATCTATTACCCTCGGGGCAGAAATCGCCTAGGTATCTATCTACCACTTATCTCGAGGATTCATCTTTTTAGCTGCGTATTCCATGCCACCTCTGAATGGCTGGCAACTTAGGAGGATTTCTAGTATGTCTACATGGGACAACCCACCCAGTAAGCTAGCTGTCAGACATGTGCGACATAACTCTTTGGTTTCTCCTAACCTCAATGTTGCGGCTCACGAGGCCTGAATAATCAGATCCTCATCATCTTAGCAGAAAGGCCCACTTAGAAGTCATCATCTGAGCTCCAATTTGGGTCCCTGATGACAGGACGATCTTCTGAATAAGCGGCGTACTCTGGCTCGGCTAGAAATACCTTACGGGTGTCCTACAAACATTTTAGTTTTGCCCATTATTGGGGATAGAATATTGTGGGATTTCATACCCCTTTGTACCATTTGGAACGTCCGTATGATATGGTTCCTCGAGATCCGATCTGAGTCTTGGGCGTGATATTAGGCCCGACCTGAACAGCCTCTGTGCTGCGAAGGTTGACATGAGACGGATCATCAAGAGAGCTGTCGTGGTTATAATTGCCATTAGAACTATTGTGGCTGCTAGAAGAACCTTCTTGGGTATGATCACGTGAATCGTGCTGATGATTTTGGCCATCAGGCATCTCCCAGCCGTAAAGACTGTAAAAATTGGTCGATTGCTGCTCCGCTGGGGAACTCGGGGGTATAACCTGGACAGAGCTTAGATTTATCCCTTCCACAACCGGCTAGATTTTCGTCAGATCAGCGTGGTGAATTGCGATAGGGGGTAGCCGTACATCACCATCAGTATCACCACCACCGCGATTATCATCGTCATCATCATCACTGTTGAAATTGGCGCCTTGCAATAACCACAGCCCATCCCCGGACAAAGAAGAAGAACCGGTTTCATGAGTACCGTTGCTGTGTTGGTTGTTTATGTACTGCTGGCTTTCTTGCACAGGAACTGAACCATGTTCGTCCATGTCTTCCTCAGAACCGTCATCAGTGATGGCCTCGGAAATCGCATGACAGATTCGCGCGCCGCCTGGGGGAACGATTGGAGCATCCTTGCCATCGCTATACCGAGTCTTCCAGTCAGTGCACACAATACACCACTTAAGCTAATGGTTAGCAAAGTACATAGGTAAAGGCGGCAATAACATAATATAGCTTACAGGCTCGAGCTCATTGCGTTGGATCTTGCTAAAATGCATTTTCAACTTGATTTTGTCACAAGGGCCATGGCATTTGATTTCACGCTGCTCAGATCGCGCATGATCTTTACAAATCAATCCGATGCCTTGCTTGTGCTTAACCCACTTGGAGATTTGGTTTTGGGAGAACTTGTCAATGGGGAGCAAAGCACCGTCGACAAGACACTCGAACCTGTCAGTGGAAACATTAGTAAGCTGCGAATGGAATCAATCAGTCAATCAGTCAGCCACTTACTCTTTCGGAAGAGTTTTCACATGACTGCTTTGTTTGTTAGCTTATGAAGGAGTCAGACCTAACTTGGTATAAATGAAGCTTACCGCCGTTGAGAGCGAACCACCAACTGATGCGAAGACATCTTGCCAGATTGAATAGTATATATTATGAGATATCAAGAGAAGATATCATATATATACCGGGGTTCACAATTAGTGATAACCTGTTGAAGGCGTAAGTTGATCTGATTATCGGGGAAGACTAATGAGATAAGACCCGAGCATGAATGCTGAGACACCACCAGGAGAACTAAAGATGAGGAGGGCAACTGATAAAATGAGTTGAGTGTCTGCAAACGTACCTTAGTATTCCATGGCCGGATGGGTTAATGCTACCTAGTAGGTAATTAAACGTAGAAAAGAAGAAGGGGTGGAGAGAGGTTCAGTGTTCTGAAGGCGTCGTCAAAAAGATGTAGCGTCTGGTATGTGTGGGGAGGAGGAGGTGGAGTGTAGAGTGTAGAAAGTAAACTTTGAAGTTTCAAGATTCTCCAATGTTGTCTTCGACGTGGTGAAATGTTTGTTCCATGTAGAAGGGAGATTAAGGGAAAATCTAAAAAAGAAGGACGCATGAGTCTGGTGGGTGGCTGTTTTAATCTTGTATGGTACCTGCCTGCAATCCTCTTCTTTGTTAAAGAGATGAGATATGAGAAGTCATGTCAAGGAAGGAGCTTACCTGTGTTGTGAAGATCGATGGTGGAATATGGAAGTTGCTACTGGTAATTTAACAAAGTTTGTTCAACTTGTTGTTATAAAGGTACCTATCGAGGCTGCTCCTTCCACGTCTTGATCAATGATGTGTTCAAGATAGGGGTATGTGTCATGATGTACCCACCAACTAAAGTACACGATGCATAGTAGCAGTGCCACATACCTACTACTAAGCAATGTATGTACTAGATAGTATCAACCATCTCAAGTATCTGGTTACCTATTGCAAGACACTCTCACAGAATATGATTATAGGTACCTTATATCATCTTTGAATGACCGTCTGGTATTATTGATCATCCCCAGGTGCAGGTAACGTGAAATCTAGCGATCAATTCCAGGGTTAGCAATATTCGCTACCTACCTAGGTACTATCACATCTTGAGAATGGAAATTTCTATTGAACACGATTATATCAGATTTCAACTGCGAGTTGCCTCCATACTGGGCCCCTTTCTATATGGCCCATTGCTAGTAACTGGCAAGACCTGTTCCCATTCATGCCCATCACCCTCAAAATGATCTGAGGGGTGTTTTGGCTCGACGGGCTCTTCGGTAGGTTGGTCCTGTTGCGGATTGACAGTTTCGTACTCGAGAGCCTTGATGAAGACGTAGAAACCAGATGCCAAAAGCGAACCCAGGACAGGGCCTACCCAGTATATCCAATGGTACGAGTGAAACTCGCGGATAGCAACGCAGGGACCAAAGGCTCGTGCTGGATTCACGGCTCCACCGGTGTAGAACACTCCCCTATATCATAAAAATCTTATCAGCGTCCTAATCTCCAAGGGCAAGTAAGTTCATAGACAGTTTAAGGGGAAACCTACATTAACTCGGCAATGAAAAGCGACAGCCCTATTCCAATGGGGGCTATGAATGTCCCGCGATGTTTCTCGGCAGCGAGCATGAAGATTGTGAACACCAACTGGGCTGTCAAGAACATCTCGATGAACAAGCCTTGTACGACTGTTGTCCCGGGGCTTAAACTGGTTGATACGGAGAGTGGTCCAGGCGTAAGTCCTTTCACAACGGCTGCCGCTGCAATGCCACCTATGATCTGGCTAACAATCACCATGGAACCACGAATATACCCCATAGCGCCGACTAGCATCATGCCCATTGTGACAGCCGGATTGAAAAGGCCGCCGCTTATGCGGAAGAAGACCCAAGCATTGACAGCAAGACTCATGCCGAAGCATAGTGAAATGTACAACAATTTGGAAGGGTCGGCGGCCGGATCTCCTGGCAAATTCGTGTTAACGGCGTTCGTGCCGCCGAACGCGAACAATAGGAACATGAAGGTGCCCGCAAACTCGCTCATCACCGCGATGAGGTGATTCTTGATTTTGAGAGGCAAAACATTGAACGGCCTCAGGCGCTGGGGCTTGTTTGCACTAACTTGCTTCGGCTTTTCCCAGGGCCGTCGAATGTGCCCGTGTATATCAGTATTCTCCATCGTATATGACCTAAAAAAGAAGCAATAGTATGATCCGAATTGACGAATTGAACAGCAGATACTATATTGGTTGATCGATGGACTTGTCACCGCATTTGTTGAAAGATGGATATTATATAGAAACAACCATAATATTAGATTGGGTCGTAAAATCATTTGCCTTCTGACAAGCTCTCAGTAGCCTTACCTATAATCCATCGGCAAGTTGTTAGATATTCACGCAGTTGGATACCGAAGGCCAATTCCTGAATCGTTAAATGATTATAATTCGAGAGGCTCTAGGAACTATGCATCACGATCCTTAAACTCCCTATACGCGAATCTTTCGCTCGTCATAGATTATTCTTGGGAATTTAGTAACTCACCAGTTAGCATTGATCGGCTGGGAGATATCCACGGATACAGATAAAAACATATCAAAGATATTGCCAGCTATGGAGTTAGTGCAAAGCGCGATTCGCGTAGCAATATAGCTAGGTTGGATATGAATCGCATAGGGAGCTCGGATCCATGACATCAATATCGCCAGATCTTCAATATTATCTAGGTAGGTATATGAAGTATTTTAACACCTTGACAATTCTTTATTAGACTGGGCGCGTATGCTGACGTGAGTAAGAGAGCGTGTGGTGTAGATATCTAGATATCTAGTCCACTCCCAATGGGTAGACGTGTTATCGTGAAGGGAAATGACAATCTGGCCTATCGACTAAAATAATAATTTGTGTAATAAGTATCATGGTCGGGACTCGGGAGCGGACCGTATTACAAAACAGGCCAGCTAATCTTAGAAAATGTCGACAAGAAGCCACAATTACGCCGCATCCCACATCGTCCGCTCCGGGGGGCTTTGATGTTTGTGAGTCTTGTAAAACCTGACAGAATTCGTAGTTTAGTTGGTTGAAGGCAAAGACAAGCGTCTTTTGAGTGTTTCAATCTGCCTAAGCCATATCATATACCGGCACTTGATAGGATGCTAAGCGAGGGATTAGGAGTAGATACAGAACAAAAAAAAAGCAGAAAAAGCAGAGAAAAAAAGAAAGAAAGCATCTCAGCTTACGGCTTATCCATCCTACGGGGAAATGGATCGACCATCAAGGATGATAAAACACGATCTCCGTTGCCTGACTTGAAGACCCCCTGAAGCAGAACGAGAACCAATGCTTCTAGAAACGGCGTCGAAGCCCACCCATCTACGAATCTAGCTTCGGGATCATGGCGGCCTCAGAGTCAGGGGCCATCATGCACTCTAAGACTATCTTTCGGATCGCATCGCGGACGCTTGAAATACACACCTGCAGCAACAAGCATAATATTAAACATGCATCTGTTATTAGCATCATCTTCTCCACAATGTTGCTAATACGCTTTGGCCGTTCTCGAGCTCATGCAATGAGTACAAACAGAGGTAGTACATACATTAGTGAGAGAGAGAGCTGCCCATGTTATCCGTGCCGTGGAGAATCATTAAAGGCAATCCCTTGTAAGGAGGGGGTATCCACCTCACGATCGCTCGTCGTGGAGTACGCGATCTTGCCGATACCTACATAAGCCAACCAGGCTGTACCTTTGCCATAATTTAAACAAGCCACGGTCTACAAATGAGGATTAAGACGACCGAGAGATGATCTATCGTAGAGGGCAATGTATGCCTAACAGCTGCTAGTAGTTCGCAACGAGATGCCCAATGGATGTAAATCCCGACAGAGGTGCATGGCTTTAGATCGTCGAAACCGTTGACGCGTGAGAAACAAGATTCAAAGCCAACCGCGTTCCTGTAACTCTTCAGATTGGTACATAAGAAGAGCGACGAGCGGCAAAAATCAAAAATAGGTACATAGTACAGAGGCACGAGAAAAATGTCTTATGTACCTAGGTTAGCAATATGCACACAATTACGGCTGTATGTGCATAATGCCTACTAGTACTACATCCTAAGACCTAGGTAGGTAGGTAATGTACATGTAGATAGGGTCATCAGGTAACAGTCGACTACTAATCTACTAGTTTACTAGTACCTGATTATCATGCACCCAACTCAGGGGCTCCTAACCAAATGTAGGCACATAATAAAACAACATGGACCATCCTACATCCATGGATACTGCTACAGTACATACTATTGTACCTAAACTAGTATGCGGAAGAATCCACCATTACCGCATTATGCAACATCGAGGTTCCAAGCTGGAATTTGGGGATGTACATACTATGTATGTATGTAGTGTACTAGGTGCATAGGTAATAACACCTGAGGCTATCTCGCCCATATAGTTACATACAATTATACAGGTGAGGTGGTGTGGTGTTTGACTTCAATGTTACCAGCTTGCCCACCCCCGCTCATCGTGAGTGCAAACTTATGTACATATGTAGTGTAGTTTTCATCCATGTTTCCAGACTGGCGCTTTGCCTCACCTGCGGTCTGCCCTCATGCTGAATTTGACCTATAAAGGCTTAGGGTTAATTGGGCCTATCTTCGTCCAATGTGTGCCACGTCGTCCGGCAGAGAGAAACAGGCAAGTGGCCCTTCCGGATTATGCATCGTTCTTAACTAGAAACGGACGTAAATCACGTTCTCGGCCTCCAATTCTAGCGTTAGGCCTCGATACTAAATACTGCTAGGTAACCAGACTGCTTTGCAGTGCTTGCAGGTCGACTAGCAGCCCCTAGGCGCCCAGAATGGCAGAATCTAACTTATATATACCTGACTAATAATACATGTTATTACTAGTTAGAATATCAATATATGTACCTATGGATGATCCTCATCGCGCAACTCTCCCACAGAACTCTTACAAGACGATCGAGACCTCCGAGACGGTGTGACCAAAGTCGTTCTTGATATGATCGGACTACGTTCTGAATCTTGAATGTCTCGGTATGGGGTCAGATTTTTACTTGACTGACGAGGGACACATTATGTACTCGTCACGCAACCCCGGCCCCCCTTTTCCACGACCCCCGGATACGCAGGTACGATCTTCGATTACATAAGAAGGGCTTTGCAAGTTTGTCGTATGAGGCAAACAGAGAATATGGGGATATGGGTAAGCGTGGGTATTTGACGTATTCGACGGTGTCTCCCCCCCTCGTGTTCACCACCAAACCCGCCTTTTCAGCTGGGCTGAACAGAAGGGTTTACAGTCTTACCGGGAAAAGCCCCAGAGCTTCATAAGACGCAAGCAAGTTCCATATTACGTATGAAGTGCTTGGATATGAAAAGGTATGACGAAACGTCCAACCTCTACATGTGTTCGATCATACAGGTACCTATTATTGTGCAACCGTGGAGATCTGTCGGCCTCACACCGTATCTCATCTTCAAAAATACATACATGTAGTTATGTATCTCATACTAATTATGTATGTACCTACTTACATAGGTACATATCTTACCTAGGTAGGTACTATTAGTAGTACATATATGTATGTGAATACAACACTACGCCCGCTAAATTGCTATTCGTTAAACATCAAAGAAGATGTCATGGGTACGCGATAACCCATGTTGTTTACTCCATAATGCTATGATACTGGCCGGGTCGAACTGGCAAAACGGGTGCTCTGTGTTGAGTTGGGCCAGTTGGCACTGACTAAAAACAGGGTGAGCTCCCAATCCACGCGTTTTTTTATTTCCTAAATTGGCGGCCCTTGTTTCTTCCCGCGGTGTACTATGCTTCTTGGCATCAGAATATGGCAAAGATATTATTATGTACATGCACAATACACAGGACCACAGGACCACAGGACCACAGGACCACAGGTACATTGTCTTGACGTTCCCATCTCAGCACCGTAGCAGTGCATACTTAGTTATTCCGTTCAATGTTGATGTTGGTCCTTTATCCTTCAATGAGGACATACATAGGTATAGGTATGTACATCCATCTATGCAATCTATTTACATAGGAATAATACTACATGTATTTATCAAGCAGGAATCGAAGCACATATAGAGGAATACATAACTGGATGTCGATGTACAAAGTATACCTACATATGAATATGTATGTACTATGGAGGTAAAAGTTCGTCTTATTGCACATGTGTGCTATATCTACCTCGGGTACCTACATATGTGGGGTTGATGTGTAAACGGCAGGTATTGTACAGTGTGCTTTTTCTTCATTATCATCTTTTTCGTACCTCAATACCCCCTGTGACACCCATAATTAATGGGGGGCCGGAAATGTTACCGGCCACTTAGACCTGGTGCTCCCTGTTTTAAACACACAGTGAGCGTAGATAGATGACACACTAGGTACAACGGCGTATCCGAATGATGATTTATGTATTAATATGCAATTGTCAATTACATGTATGTACATCTTGTATCGCTTCAATCAATGATCTAAGAAATCCAATCGGTTTGGCAAGTTGGCAACGTTAGGATTCTTAGTTAAGTTGTGGTACACCAAAAGCAGATATACATAAGTTACTAAGAAATTCATGTTGGTAAGACGGCATGATGTCGTAAGTGACCAAAATGGAAAATAAGACCATAGCTAATTAAACTAAGTAAGTAAAAAAAAAAAATTAGAAAGAAAAGAGAATCCACTCGAATTGTAACTCACCAAAGATTTCCTCTTTTTTCTACGGATCATCTAACTACCTAGTATGTACTTAGTTACATAGGTACTTATGTATCTTGAATACCCCTGGCTCTAGGCGCAAATTGCTAAGATTGGCTCTTGATATCCTTCACTTACATCCAACATTGAACCCGACATGTGCTTATGAAGTACATATGTGCACTAATGTACTCACGAAATTGGGGTATGTTACCTAAAGGTACATATGTACAACATTGGAAATGTGAATAATACTGAATATCATCAAATGCTACATAGTACTATGTATGTACCTAGTAGTTATCCTACTGGGTATCCTACTGGGTGTCCTACTGGGTATCCTACTAGGTATCCCAGTAGGTATGCCACCCCCGGGGAAGTTTATTCATGCTAAGATGTCAAGGTCCATGTCCGTTTAGAGACCCCTTCAATGCCCTGCCTGACCCTTTCTAGTGTTCCTAATCTGAGTGACTAGCGTAGAGAAGGGGACCTGTCAAACACCTCTGAAATCACTTCAATCAATCAACCCAACCCAATCCCATCAAAATTCGTCCATTCATTCGAAATCCAATCCAATCCAATCCCATCCCATCCGACCGTTCAATTCGACCCGCGCCTCTCTTCATTTTTTCCCTCTCTTCTCTTTCACTCCTTTACTCTCTTTTCTTATTAGCGATTCAAAAATTAAACAGCTTTCGCTCATCTTCAGATACGAGGAGGAATCTATCTGTATACGTAACGGCAAAGCTGGGCCAATTAATCGCCATTACATAGTTCTCACAGCCCTCTTTTGTATCGTTGGTTCCTCTTTCGACCTTTTTTTTCTTAGATCTCCCGCTTCATGATTTGATTTGCGACAACATTGAACCTCTGGTCCACTTCACAGTACATACGCACAAATCGGCGCAGCGAAATAATCACGGCAGCATATTGCAAAAGGAGGAGAAAAATTGGGGTTTTAAAGACGAAAAGAAAACCAATAAAACAAACTATATCCTAACCGTTGATAATCTCATCTCGCATCCTCTCTTTTTTTAAACAAGCATTAACGACGAAATCGTCAATCCGTCACTCCCTTGGACCCGACACAACGAAATCTAATACGCTAGCAAGGGGAGCGTGCTGCAATTCCAGAAGCTCTACCCCCTACTCACCTACTCCCTACTAAAAGGGAATATACAACATCAGCTTTGACCACGCCTTGCTGACCCGCTCTCCGACGTACTGGTTCGACTTCCCCCCTTGTCCCTTTTTAATTATTGAAGCTACCCTATTAATCCATTCTCTTCCTGCTCATTTCATTTACTATTTGTTCCTTTTTTTGCACTTTTTCCTTTTTTACCCCCCCTAGTTTAGATCTTGGTGTGTTTGTACAGTTTCTCTTGGGGCACCTTTACCTATTATCCGGTCTATCAAATACACTCTCCTGGCCCATACCGATCCTTTCTCTATCCGATCTCGACGATTTGAGGCCAAACTGAATGCACCGGTAAATCAACACAGCTCTTGTAGAGAGCTATCAAGTGGATATAAGAGACTGTACGTGAACAGGTGGGCATACCTGTCTCCAGCAGTGGGATAAGAATTTGGGGTAAGCAAGGAAATTGGTTATCTATAATCGAAGTTGAAACAGACAACGCAATGGTCAACATGACGGTCACACACGATTCCCATCGAGGGTCTTCTACCTCACAGGGAGCGGCCGGACTTGCTCTCGAGGATCGGTTTGAAGTCCTGAAGGAAATTGGAGATGGAAGTTTCGGTAGCGTAGCTCTGGCAAGGGTGAGGACTGCAGGCGCCAGTGTAGCTCGCCGTGGCACTGTGGTAAGTTATGGTAGAGACGTGTGGTGTGTAAAAGGGAACTCATTAAACTGATTGTGTCTCTAGATTGCCATTAAGACTATGAAGAAGACATTTGAGTCCTTCACGCCGTGCCTCGAGCTCCGCGAAGTCGTCTTTCTACGGACACTTCCACCACACAGCCATTTGGTCCCAGCCTTGGATATATTCCTCGATCCTTTTACTAAAAAGCTCCATATTGCCATGGAGTATATGGAAGGGAACTTATACCAGCTCATGAAGGCCCGCGACCACAAGGCCCTCGATAACGGAAGCGTCAAGAGTATCATGTTCCAAATTATGCAGGGTCTTGAGCACATACACGCACACCACTTCTTCCATCGCGACATCAAGCCTGAGAACATTCTCGTAACCACATCTGGACACCAGGACTCTGTTAATTCGTTTAGGCGGTATTCGGCTTTAATGACACCGCCTTCTACACCTCCGGCATACACAGTAAAAATCGCAGATTTCGGCCTAGCACGGGAAACGCATTCCAAATTACCGTATACCACATATGTATCAACCAGATGGTACCGTGCTCCCGAAGTTTTGCTGCGGGCCGGCGAATACTCGGCTCCAGTGGATATCTGGGCTGTCGGTGCTATGGCTGTGGAAATTGCAACTTTAAAGCCGCTCTTCCCCGGAGGTAATGAAGTAGATCAAGTTTGGAGAGTTTGTGAGATCATGGGAAGTCCTGGTAATTGGTACAACAAGTCGGGTGCTCGCGTAGGAGGAGGAGATTGGAGGGAAGGTACACGATTGGCCGGCAAACTAGGCTTTTCTTTCCCCAAGATGGCCCCGCACGCGATGGACACGATACTTCAATCTCCTCAATGGCCTGCCTCTCTCAGTCAGTTTGTGACGTGGTGTCTTATGTGGGATCCAAAGGCTAGGCCGACGTCGACTCAAGCATTGGCTCACGAATACTTCACGGATGCGGTTGATCCGTTGCGACCTAAGTCGTCTGCGTCCAGAATACTTGGCCGCAAACAATCCGACATAGGGCGTGGAAAGGATTCCGGTTCTACGACGCCAGCTTCATCGAAGCCGTCATGGTTTAGAAAGTCGTTGATCGGTCGAAACGATAGCTCGGACGCTTCAACTGCCCCGGTTAGCGTAAAAGACATAGTAGCTGCACCACGTCCGTCGCCCATTCATTCGCCGGAAGTAAATGACGCTGCAGCTGCCAAATCTCGACCTGCTCCAGGTAAGCGAACCACGTGGAACAATGGCCCATCCAACGTTGCGCCGATGCCAATCCTGCCCACGATTCGGCCCATCTCACCTCTTTCAGATGCTGTTACTGCCCAGGCGTCAAACCGAGCTCCATCTTACAACGATTCCTATGCCAGTAGAAGTCAACGTGCTATGGAGGAGAAGACGGCCAAAAAGATTGGCCGACAACTATCTGTACAGTCGGGTACGAATCATTATGCTGAGATACATCGGCAACAGGCTGAGCGCGCCCTAAATGGCACTGGTGGGCTTGCATCGCCCCCAAGTGGACACAAGGAAAGTTTCTTCTCCCATCTTCGGAAGCGGGCGAGGAGATTCTCTGGCCGGCATCAAACTCCAGTGTCGCCGACGAATGACGAAGACGTTGAAGCACAGGCGGGTTGTGGGCCTTGGGCTAGTAATAGGTCTTCCATGGTTATCGATCAACATGGTTCAACTACCAAGGTAGACAACTATGAATCGCTAGACAGGACTTTGCGAGACCCTCATGACTTGGGTGTTCCCGCACCACCCATTCACATGACCACATCCAACGGAAACCTGAAACGACATCACTCATTACCGCATCAACAACCCAGGTCTGTGGATAATCTTATCGGAGCGGCCCGTACTACAGGACCAATCTCCAGCAGAACAAGACGAGCACAGGCAACTCACGGCGTGCAAAGCGACGCATTGGACGAAGAAGACGAGCTACTAGACGAAGTGCTGAACTCGACCCACCGCGCAATGAAACGACTTGAGAAGGACGGAAAGGGTAATCTACGTCAATCAGCTAGTAACCTTGGGCTTTCGAATCCATACCCGACACCATCGCCATCCGCCAGTGGAAATGTTATACTGTTCGCGGATGGGCATGAGTCGGTGACGCCAAAACCATTAGACTTGAACAAAAACTTGGGAAGAGAAGGCCAATCGAAGTGGCCGACTCCCCCTTACGATGAGAGCGAATGGGCGTCGTCAGCAGCAGCAAGCATTTGGGCTGCTGGTAATAGGTTTTAAAAAGCGTTTCTGTACCTGGTTGTGTTATCACTTATTCGTCATGGCACGGTGTTGGGAGTTGATTTATGGTTCTCGTGGGTCTTCGGCATTTATATCGCAACTCTCTTTTCCAGCATATTTCACGATCTTGGCGTCGATTTTGACTTCGCCTATCTGGAGCCTCTTTCGACATCTGATCTTTTCATTCTGCAATGTCACAATCTCGAATCTCAAATACCCCCGACAGCTGGTTTGAAGTTTAGGCCGGTTAATAATGTGTTTTCGGCCGACTTATCTTCGAGAATACCCAATATAGACTTGATTTACAAGGTTTCAACAAAAAAAAGAAGGGCGCTGTCCCAATATGAGATGATTTCTTTTGTTAGACGTGGATGGTCCGTGTCATATTTACTTGATTGCATCTGATGGCAAGAAAGACTGATCGGAGTATGTGCGATTGTGGAGGAAGGGTTGAGAGGGACAGTCCCGACCAGGCTTCTTTTTTTATTTATAATAAGCCTGAGCAACTGTACCAAAAAAAATATTAAGCTGCATATGTTTTGATTTTGGAATTACCTATGGTGGAAGTCCTGCGTGGCTGAGTTCAAGTTTTAGACGCGTTATCTCTCTGGAGGCTCGTTACCCCAATAGTTTGTCCATATATGGTGCAGCAACTGGAGGAAAAGGGTACCTATATATACACGGCAATATTTATACCAGAGGGCATCATCAGCCCGCAATCAGTTCGCTTGACAATATTCATGAATCAGTGCCTATGAAATAAATATCTTGTACGGCAAATCAAGTGATATATCATATCCATGGATGTAGGCCAGATTTCAAAAATTGATGCATGAGTTAGTTGTCTGGATGTGTGCATGTAAGTACATATGTAGGCGCAAGGGTATTTACTATACATACATACATGTAGTAAATATGTACATATGTAGGTAGTCGGGGACCACTTCAGCCCTATCATAAGAGGATATTAAGTACCTGCCTAATGTACTTACGATCTTCCCGCCATTCTGGTTATGAAGACATCCATATTACATTTTTAGTCTAGGCAACGAGAATTATCGAAATAGCTAACTACTACGTACTACTTATATATATTCTTACCTTGGGAGGCCTTCCTTCCTTTTTTCCCCAAATCAAAACATTAAAAGTTAAAGGGGAATTCATGATTATTATACTTTATTACTTCTGGGAAACCTCCTTCTACTAAGGCTTCTAGTACCTACATAGTACCTAACCTACCTAACCTAACTACTAGTTTACCACAGGTTACTACGTATAGAGTTATATCCGAACTTATAGACGCATACGGCCCCATATATGCACATATGGGGACGGAGGCGGCTGTACGACTCCGCGCTTCATTTCAAAGTCCTACATAGCAACATAGCGATTTTAAGTCTTACCTGACATTTCACATTATAACCATTATAATCATTTTCATTATTTATTATACCTTTACCCCTTTTCTCTATCTCTCTATCTCCCTCCTCCCTCCCCTTCCCTCTCTCTCCCTCTCTTTCGGATATTCGGCTCTCTTTCTTCGGCTCACCTCCAGCTATCTCATTTACCCTTTGCCGCACGAGCGCTCGTCCTTTTAGAAGGCACATAACGGCACATCACCTTAGTCAGGAGGGCGGTTTAAAGTGAGGGCCGCAAAGATCGATCGATACCTAGTATATATGATTGGGCTCTTACGACAGGCGAAACGAGAGGCGGCACCATGAATGTCAATTTGCCAATTCGATCGTCGCCGAGTTTAAGGAATCAGGCTAGTAGAAATTATTTTACCAATTACACCCCGCCATCGTCCACAGAAGCCGTCAATGGCCCGGTGCGCGAACCCGCTCGCAGTCATTTCATCATCAACGACCGCCTGATAGTTGGTGTTGACTTTGGCACCACCTTCTCCGGGTAAGTTCTAGCTCATCTATTCTTATAATGTTCGTTTTAAATATGGCATAGAGATGAGATCCACAATATTCTCAGAAGTAGCGCATAGTAATGAGCTAGAGCAATACTTGATAGCTCAGAAGTCCTACACTATACTACCCAAGTAGGACCAGACTAACAGCAGGACAGAGTAGCTGCAGTATATACGTCGACACCAGATGATATCGAAATCATCAAGACGTGGCCGGGAGGAAATGGCATCACGTCGGACAAGGTTCCTACTGAGATATCATATGATTTCCCCCCTAATTCACCTCCAGGGACTACTCCTACAGTAAAATGGGGGTTTCAATTCAAGCCGGAGGAGTCCCGGTTGCGATGTATCAAGCTGTTTCTCGATCGATCTCAAAAACTCCCTTTCTACGTTAGTCCTCAGGAGACAGCCACGCAACTCAAGACGTATCACAAGACAGTAGTTGATGCCGTCAGCGACTATCTCACGGAGATTTATAAACATACCATGGATACCCTCACTAGGCGATACGGCGAATCTTTTATGGCGTCAACCAATGTAGACTTTGTATTGACTTGTCCAGCTGTGTGGTCCGATGCCGCAAAGAACACGACATTGCAAGCCGCTGAGAAGGCTGGCATGGGCCTGAAGTCGGAGATCCAGATGGTTAGCGAACCTGAGGCCGCTGCAGTTTACACTCTCAAGGCTATCCAGCCAAATCATCTTAGCGTGGGAGATAATTTTGTGGTATGCGATGCTGGTGGTGGGACGGTAGAGTCGGTGCTTTCTACAATTCTCTGATGCATTCCGGGTCGATGACTAACTGGCTGTGTAGCTTGATCGCCTATAAAATCATCTCACTGAAACCGCTGAGGGTAGAAGAGTCAGCCGTCGGGACGGGTGGCCTCTGCGGAAGTGCGTTTTTAAACTATAGATTCGAAGAACATGTCCGAAGCCGACTAGGCCCTAGCCGATTTGAGGAGATGAAGACAAAAAAGGCGAAGACGTGGCAAATGGGTCTTCGATACTTTGAGGAGTTTGTCAAGAGAAACTTCAACGAGGATGAATACCAAGAAGTCAATGTTCCGTAAGTTACTCACTCTTTAAACAATACCGAACTTATTCGCTCATATCTTGCAGATTCCCAGGACTCCCCGACGACGAAGATGCCCGGGTCGATTCTGGGTTCCTGGTCATGACAGCTGATGAAGTCAAGGAGATTTTTGAGCCTGTTGTCAAGGAAGTTTGCGACCTAGTGCAAGGTCAGGTAGACACCATCCGAACCAGGGGAGGTATCGTATCCGGTATCATACTCGTCGGCGGTTTCGGTCAGAGTGATTATCTCTATCGACGGCTAAAGGCGCATTTTACGAGCGCGGCCCCGCCACCGTACACGGAACGGCCAACCCATACATCTAGCGCAGCATCATTCGATAGCAGTAACAATATCGAAGTCATGCAGCCTGTCTACGCGTGGACAGCAGTGGTCCGAGGTGCTGTGCTTCGCGGGCTCGAGGGCAACATGGTTATTAGTAGGAAGGCGCGCATGCATTATGGAACGTCCTACGCAACCGTTTATGACGAAGAGAAACATACCGTCAACGAAAGGTACTGGAGCCCCTTGTGGGAGCGCTGGATGGTCAGTGACCGGATGCAGTGGCATATCGCTAAGGTGAGTAATTCTACGTCTTATCTTCTTTCCCCCTTTGTTTCATTTTAGCATTTATTTATGCTTTCTGTTTTCCTGTTATTTTTCTCCTTTTGTTTTATAAACGGCATCACCGTACTACTTACTTACTCCCCCCCCCCTCCCCCCTTATTAGGGCGAAGCCATATCCCCCCTATCCCCGATCGCGTTCCACTACACGCGCAACTTCCGACCGGGGCAGTCGCTCATCGTGACGGACGACCTCATCGCGTCGGACGCAGACGAGCCACCAGTAGCGTACTCGCGCGACCTCATCCACGTGTGCACCTTGACGACGGACCTGAGCGCGGTGCCCAGCAGCCTGTTTACGCGACTCACGACGACCAGGGGCGTTGAGTTCGATAACCTCGACTTCACCCTCGAGATGATCGTCGATAGCGCCGGTCTCGGCTTCGAGCTCAAGGTCGACGGTATTAGGTACGGTCGCGTGGAAGCTGAGTTTCATTAGGATTGGCACGTCTACAATCTAATAAGACTCTGTAGAGATAGAAGGGGGGAAGAAAGAGAACAGAATACTTGGGCTCATGTAAGGCTACTGAGGATAGGTTTGGTTTGGTTTGGTTTGGTTTCTCCCAAAGCAGCCACGCCATGTCATCTCTCACCATGTTTGGAAATCTCAAAAGGTCGAAAAGAGGTATACTTGATTGATCGGTATTGTACTGGATTGAATTGGATTAGAAGTAGCAGGCTAAAGAAGAAGTAATTGCCGTATTTTTGGTTCTTTATTTTAATTCCTCCTCTTCACTGGGTGGGTAGTTTTTCAGCTCGGCGCTTTTTGGGGGGAGGGAAAGGGGAGGTTTAAACACCTATAAGTACCGATATTTTGGTTTCTCCTTTTTGATTTCTTCTGGGTTGAAGCGTAATGTTTGATGTTGTTTGACTTACATCTATACCTACTTATGTAACCTAGTTACTTACTACTTACTTGCCTATCTACCTACGTATCTACCTACCTAGTACCTAGGTGCCTAACTTATCTAAAAGAAATTATGTTAAAAAATCCGAGGAAGATTAATTTATATTTTATTTTTCTTTATATGTGTCCTAGGTATGTATGTGTATGTAGGTATGTATAGGTACCTATCAAGCAAGCCAGCCGTCTTTTTTAGAGTAGTAGTGGTGCTTTTCCCCCCCCGATCATCCAGCCAGGCGGACGGTTGCCTCGTTTTCTCTATCTACATACATACATATACATACCTCCAGGGCTCTCTACCTACCTATACTTTCCCGCCTTACCTTTCCCCTCCGCATTAGGTTCCCTCCCCTTTGATTGGTTGATGAGTTTAGGAGCACCTACCGAGGGGGGGGGGGGGGGGGGGGGGGGGGGGGGGGGGGGCGAAAAGGCGCAACCAATCTAATAATCCGGAACTTCTTGGGGGATTTGCTTACATACCTACCTACCTACCTACCTACCTCCACTCCCAATGGTAAGTAAGTAACAGCTACTCTGACAAGGAGAAAGCAACGAGAAGTAATATCATGCAAGTACTTAGTCATCCTCATCATCATCATCATCATCGTCGCCGGCCCCTCCACTACCTACATAAGAGGTGCCTACATACCTTCCTTAGTACCCATCCCAATAGACATCTTCCCCTTGCAGAACCAGCGAAGCAACTGATATATACCCCCTAGCCACTACTTCACATAGTACAGGCTAGCAAACAAATGCACAATGTAGGTCCCATACACCCTCAAAATAAAAAGAGGCGAAGCCGCTGTGCTTCGCCACTATGGTACACATCCACCCATTGACACTCACATTTACATTCACAGCCCTAGAAAGAGGGGGGACGAAAATTGCGGTGAGAAGGCGAGGGAGATGAAAAAGAGAGTGAGAGAGGAATTTCATTATATGCCCAAGGTACCTAGTAGCTATTCTAGACGAGTAGACAACCAAAATACCCATCTCAAGTTTCTTGCGTCTCCCTTCGTTTGCGCGCCTCCGATGCTGAAGATTCCCCCCCCCCCCCCCCCCCCCCCCCAAAAAAAAAAAGACTCAAGTCAACTTTCCAACATCTAATATCATCCATACGTGCTATCATTTCCTTTCATTATTACCTTTTCAGGTTGATTTGCTCAACTCTGCTTGTACGATCATTCATTCGTATGTAGGTACGTTGTGCAACAACCAGAACAACAACAAATATCTCAACAGCCGCCGAGACCCACGTAGGTACATGCTAATAAAAGTCGTGACATGGTGAAACTAAGTAAAAGGGATATCTTGTGCGTATATTCTGCGGAGGGGAGATATAATAAAATTAACATCATAAATAAATAAATAAAAAATAAAAAAAGATTCAGGGTCTCATTTCATATATCTCAGTCACCCGCGCCGCTCGGGTAATGCCGTTACCCGTCCCGATCCAGCACCGTGTGTGTGTACGGATCGAAGCGCCCTAGACAAAGGTGCATTACCCCGGACGCCTCCGGGGAGAGGGAGGGATGGAAAGAACAAGGCTGCCGGCAGAGAACTAATGGCCCATGCTCCCTTGCATGGCACCTGTGTCGCATCGGACGGACTGCAAGCACAATCAGACTGGGCAATCCGGCGTTCTGTAAGGCTGAACGGCACAGCACGATTCTGCCTTGTCGGTACTGATCTGCCCCATGCATGATGCAGTGAAAGTATATGTGCACTTCCGATCATGCACCGCCCATGTTTCAACACAATACCATACAAGGCAATAAGTTTCCCCCTTCCCCTCCCCTTCTCCTATTTTTGTAGTAAGGCCCTCATGGGAGAGGGAGGCATATAGATTGAGAAGAAGAAGAAGAAAAAGAAAAAGCCAAAAATGAAACATCAGGGTCACAGTCGTAATTAAGTCAAGGCCAGCTTTGGGGCGGAAGATGAGCAGGGATTTTGGAGTCAAGTCGGTGAGAGAGATGTACCTAACTTATTAGGGAGGTTAGGTAAAGATACCTAGTGGGTATGTATGTATGTATGATGTATGGTGTATGGTGTATGGTGTATCCATGTATAGGAAAGGTTGCCTTGTCGGCTGTCCGCCTGAAAATTCATAGAGAGGGGGGCGATGGTTCGCGAACCATTTGTGGGTATGTATTGGGTATTTCCGATATGCTTATAGCCTTTTCTTCCTTCTTCCTTCTTCCTTCTTTCTTCTTTTCTCTCATCCCCTCCCCCTTCTCTCTCGTCTCAGTTCGCCCCTCGGTAGACTGCGAATTACTTGTGCTTCTTTTTGTCATTGTTTCTTTTCCAGCGTCGGTCATCTTTATCATGATTTATTATGACCTTATTCGCATTCTCCCGCTGCCGCCGCCTTTCCGGCGGCTCATAGCCGGGAGGGTGTATATGCCTTATCTGCGAGTGCGGACATGGCACTTCAGTCCATCTCCTTGCTTCATGATAGCGCTGTTCCGTTATTAATCTGTGGTGATACAAGTGGTCGAGCATGTGAAAATCAGGACGGATGTTATTAGCCGTCATGCCTTCGTCTATGATGTGGTCGCGGATATGATACATCCGCATATCGAAGTTCACGCGACGGTCGTTTCGGGCCACAGATGATTTGACGTCGAATTCATACGTATCGCAGAACCAACACTTCGCCTTGGCTGGAAGTCTGTCCCGGAGGTGTTCCACAATTATGTGCTCGATCCAGGCTTCGGTCTCATCGTAATTGAAGTTCACATCACAAGGTCCAATTCCGACAAATTCGCACGGCAGGATGACAGTTCCAGCTACCGGATTGGGATACATGTTGTAAAAGGAGCCATTGGTAGAGGCGGTATACCGAGTATAGTCAGTATCGGGAGACGAGCCGGTGTATGGAGACCCGTTGGTGTATTGGGTGGCATCAGTATACTGAGAATAACTCCCCGCGGTCGAAGTGGATCCGAAATCCATGTTGGCCAGTAAATTGCGATGAGAAGAGTCGCCGTTGTATGGCGAAGAGTTGGTACCCAATCCAAAAGATATCGCCGGAACCAACAGCTGCTACAACCAAGCCAGTTAAGGAGGTGCTGTCCAACCTGGTTTGCTGCAACAAATAAGGTAATGGCCTATCAGATCCTGTTGGGGGCTGGATCTGCGGGAGTTGCATATGATATTGGGGCGACGACTTCGACACGGAATTTCACACACGCAACTATAACCTGACTAGACTAAACAGAATACGACTCAAGGATCCAAGGGCCTTCTCTTCTTTTCTTTTCTCTATTTTCCCAAGCTTTGTTTGGAAATTCGTCAGCAGTGGTACAGCTAGCCACACTGAAAAATGAATATATATCTTGGACGACAGTAACCAGCTGTCAGTGACGCCTTGTCGAATGTGCAGACTCCAAATAATAGTTTGCAGAACGAATAATCCAAAGTGAGTCTAGCTCGCTGGGCATTAGGCACCGGGCCGCAAAATACCAATTCGGCCGGCGTTTTGTCGATCCCGAGCAAGAACGATATATGATAAGGGGGGGGTTAGGATAGAAAAGAAAAAATGAGAAAAGGGGGGGAAGTTGAAAACTTTTGGGAATTTCCAAGATCTTTTGGAAATTCAAGATTAGATGAGCTTGGGGGTCAAGGTAAGTTTATAACTTTTTCTTAACTGGCAATTTGGAAAAGGTATATTGGAAATATTGGAGGAAACAAAATCCCAAAAGCAAAAAAAAGCAAAAAAGAAAAGAAACGAAAAAAAAAAAAAAAAAAAGGTAGATGAGGGGTCGTTGTTTCTCTGTTGCGTCTTGTTTTCTCCTCCTATTAGACTCACGTCAAATTCGAGTATTGGACTTTCAACCACTACCCGGGGCATCGGCACCCACCATCGTCTGTTTCTAAATATGCAACCCGACCCTCCGGGCTTTGTTTTGCTGCATGATCCTGATCCCCATCCACATTGCCCCCCCAAATTCCCACCCTACCCATACTTCCAGCCTGGATTTCCTGCAGCTGTGCCATATCAGCATGTGGGTTTTTGTCGTGATCGTTGGGCGGATAACAAATAGTGACACCATTCACTTAATATGAAGCATGAAGAAGCATGAAGCATGGGGGGCATTCTTGGACCACGACTATCCGAGCTTCCATCCGAGGACCAGCATTCCACTGGAAGGAAGCAGCGTGGCGTGAAAGTGCCGACGGCAATCAATTTCATCTTCCGGCCTTGCTACGATGCTAACCATCTCATGAATTCATAACTAGGTAAGGGGAGGGGGGGTGAGGATCATAACCGATGGCTAGATGGTCCATGAGTTTCACCCGTACCAATCAACCCCAAACCGGGGTCTACAGAAGTGGATTGTCGTGGGGGGGTGTGAGAGTCATCTGAACCGGAAAGAGTTTGCTTTGCTATAAGCGCAGAAAGACCACGCAGGAGAATTCGTCACACCCTTGTCATATCGACTATAGCCGCGTATCCTCTGTGTTAACTCTGTGTTAACTCTGTGTTAAGAGACACCATAAGCCCAACTCGATCTCGTGTCGCGTGATTAGCTTGGGGTTGTTGGACGATTTGTGTCCCCGCCTATCGGACGGATCTGGAGCCTCTGAATATTCTAGGTATTAGCGGCTGCGCGAATTGCCGCCAAAGGTTACATCTTGAAATAATTGGTCTACGCTGCAGCGTCGTGATACCAAGCCTCAGAGATACCTCCCTCAAAACGAACGTCTTGTATGACGTGTAGGCATAGCTGATAGGAGTTTGGTAGATTAGCTTGCCTACTACATATGTAGACGAGTAGCTAAACTACTTCGTCATGCTGATGACATCCTTCCTGTCTAGTAGATAAATTGCTGCCCCCTGAGGCGCCACAAAGCCTTTCTAGTCTACAACATAAAGACGAAGCTAGGAGGTGATAGGGATTACCTCAGTACCGGCTTCAGGTCGACTTTACCGAAGTGTCACAAACTTGTCTCGAGATTTTACTCGCTAGTCTTGAAAACGAAGGTTTTCTGTAGCCGCTCCTGGCAGCATTTAATACAGCTTGTTTGCCAACGTTGGCAGTTTATCAGGAAGCTAGAATATCTGGAAGCCGGGAAGACAATCCCGAGTGATACAAGACGCCGATCCGGTGGTCAGACGGGAACAACCCCAGTGTACAAAGTTCCATAGTTAGCCGTTATTTGCGACACCGGTGAGGACCAGGGGATTGTTCGGGTGGTTGCTTTTTCAGTCATCCTTTGGGGCTTTTTATTCTTGGTTTTTCCATTTCCTCCTCCTCCTCCCTTCGTCCCTTCGTTGAAGGGATTCGTCAAGATTCGTCAAGATTTGTCAAAAAAGTGAATAGCGTCCCATATCGCGCGACAGGATTGCTTGTACGTGTCGAGGGTAAGGGGGGGTGATAGACATGCGTCTGCATGGGATATCGACTAAGACATGCATACAACCAAATTTGTTGCAATAGGTGCGATCGATGGAGAATCGACTGGGTGATTTAATGGGGGGAATAGGATCGGCCGAAATTTTAAGCCGCAGAGCCTCAACATTCCTCAGATTTCCCCACTTTCTTCTCTCATTCCCGTGCCCACTCCGATCTTTTCATGCTCCGTTACTGGCCCTTCTCCCTCTCCCTCTCCCTCTCTTTAGAGTCTTTACTCCTTTTACCCCCCCAATACCCCAGCATCCCCCCTTGCTGACATAGTAGTATCTGCACTTTAAGATGTGTTGTGCTTGTAAACCCCGTTACAAATTCATACTATCATGTATGCGTATGTATGTATGTAGGTAGGTACTGAGCAGGCACTGGGCAGGTACGCAGATACTTCAAGCTATTAGATCATCCCTTTAATGTTTTGTTATATATTGTGTGTTGTGTGTTGTGTGTTGTCCACGATCAAATCCCGAATATCATGCTAGATCGAGTGCTAGATCGAGAACTAGACCACGGGACGCCACATATACCCATGATTCCTGCCCAAGTCATTCGATTCTTATCCATCGACTTGTTTTAGTCACTGCTTATTGATTTGGTTCTGGTCGTAGTATGCGACCTCGTTTCATTCGGGGTTGCAAAGAACCCGGGCCTTTGCCACGACATTCATGAACTGCGGGTGGCCGCCGTGCTCGTCTCCCGTCTTGATGATACCGGGGAAAGTCACGCAGCATATCTCGCGCCCTGCTAAACTTTCCTCGTCTTCGGCCCCGATGTCTTCCATCGTAGATAGCTCAAACAACGTCTTTTGGTGCGCATCTATCTTAGGCATGTGAACTTTGAATGTGGCTTTTTGCACGACCAATAAACGTGCGAGTTCAACCGAGCTATGCACCAATGTGCGAAGTGCATGATCCCGCGCATCTGTCGCGCTGACATCGGTGATCGCATCCAGGATATGATTAACCCTGGAGATGACGGATTCAGTTGACATTGACGTTTCTTCCTGCATCTTCTGCGTGGCCTCCTTTCGAAGCATTGTAAGCGTCATGGCACGCCATTGGCTTACCGCTTCAACTGAACCTGTTTCAGGGTCAGCCCACGAATCCTAGTATCAGAAAGAGTGCTACCTACTGAGAGAAGCAAGATATTCTTCTACCTGTGCTAGTTGGTCGGCGCGAACTTTGGTAAGGCCAACAAAATAGGCGTTAAAGATGGTCTCCACTAAGATGCTGGAAACTAAACTCTGCAGTAGATGCAGCTTTGCCGATGCAGCAAGCTGTCCATACATGGGAACCAGTTCGGCAAGGTCGTGGAGAATTGCCTCGTCTACATGGGTGAGGTCTAGAACCTGATTAGTTCAGAATGTTCAACCATATCGTATGTACGCCTTGTGGCTGACGCATCCTACCAAGCTTCGCTCGTCTAAAATGTACGATAACCCAATTTTGCAAGCCATTCCCCAGCTTTATCATGGAATCCCCGAACTCTTCATCGCTAGTCTGGTCGCCTCTCGTGGTGCTAGTGCTGACCCATTGTTTTAGCCCAGCGATATGGCGTTTTAAAGAATGAATTTCGTCGTTACGCTCGTTTAGCTCGTTTTGTAGTACCTCCGACCTCTCACGCAACTTGGTATTCTCGGCCTCTTTCGCGTCCATCTCAGCGCCTAGTACTCGAAGCTCTGCATAGACCTGTGTGAGTTCTTGGCTAAGGCTCGAATACTTTGCCTGCCAGTAACTAGCAGTCTCGCTTTCCTTTTGGGCGAGCCTATCCAATTCCTGGGAGAATTCTACTTCAATAATATCCAGTTCCTCCTTCAATTTTGTAATTTTCTCGTTTTTCTCCTTGAGTAAAGTACTCTCTTTCTCTTTGGTTGCTAAAGGCGCACCACCATTGTCTTTATTTACTTGATTCGTGGTCTCGTGGGTATTGTCATTTTCGGGGCCAGGTGATGGCGACGAAGAAGCACCACCGGTGAGCTGCGCGCGAGGAGGAAGAGATATTATACTGTTTCGTGACGAAGCTGGAGAGCGAATGGGATGGGAGTTGTTTCCGCGGCGCTTCTCTGGTGGGCTCATGGTGTCGAAAGTGGAGAGCTACACCTAAATAAACACATTGTCCTGGTGCCTGGCATTCCCCCCTCACATAAAAAGCAGCAGCACCATGAGAAAGTTACTAATCGTAAGCCGCGAACGGAGAAAAGACCGATGTTCTGAGGCTGGCGCAAGTTCAGCTGTAATAGCGAAGTGGATTCAGTTGCCTATAGCGTTCGGTGCCTGTAGGTGGCAGTTTGATTAATTAGTCTCCGAGGTTCCATGTTAGTATGATGTTACTTTACAGGACTTCAAATAACTATGTATGTATATATTACTACATACCTTGGAAATGAATACCCTAAAATGTTGCCTATAGTGGCGGCTCAAGTTCGGATGTATGTAATCGATTTACCCTATATGCATGGGCACATGCATGTACAAGTATTATTTACCTAATGTAACTATGTACTAGCACTGCTAAGCACATGTACGACATAAGGCCTTGAACACTCCCCTAACTTTAAAAATGTCAATTCCATCTTTTTTTTTTGCTAAACATTGAATATTCAACATTTTCATCCTTACCACGTAGGTCTGGTAACTTTGAACTTGAATATACTAACCACTGTATATCAAACCAGGTCAATCTCTGCTTCGACTTCATACGCCTCATCGCCGTCCTCTTGCTTCTTTGCGCCCATCCTACAAATCGCGATCTTCTCAACCGGCACATCCTCCATCCACACGAAGTCATCGTAGCGACTCAATATCCCGCGCGCATCGATCGTCAGCTTCCTGGACCTCCTCTCGCCTTTCCCTTTTCTCCCTTTGACGTATATCGTGTTCAGTATCGTGGCATGTAGCAGCATCGGCCGATTTTCCACAGCCATCAACCCGGCTTCCTGAAACGCAGACCGCAGGTTCTCGCAAAATTTCAGCAGCGTGCCCTCGGTGTCGACCGGCGAGGCAAACAACACCGAGGCATCCGATGTCTTCTTTGCCGTCGAGTGTAGGCCCTTAAGTGTTATGGATAGCAACGGACCCGATGGCTCTTTGCCTTTTTGGTTCGCTTCTTGAGCCAAACTTGCAGTAGTTGGAGCTACAACAGCTGCTTGAATGCTGGCTAAGATTTTACTCGGGCAGAGTTCCTTCAGTAGCGCCACCGCCTTCTCCCGCTCTTCGTCCTTAAGAAGGCTCATGACACCGATGGTTAGGTGCAGCGTCCCCAGCGGCCGAACAGCCTGCTCCGGTATAGCAAAGCTTTCCGGGCTAGTCACATCCGCCTTGAAAGCTGATAGATTTACCGAAAGTTGATGGCGAGATGCTCCCGTGACAAGTGGTAAGCATAAGAAATGCGTCGGTGATGGTCGTGGCGGCATATTGACGATTCAGTGAATTGTTTGAATCTACCTGCTGGGTATGCAACTTGCCCAGGTAGGTTTGGTAGGCACATATGTATGCGGCCTGCAAGCGAGGTTCGGGTCTGATGATTGCGAATCAGTCAACAAAACATACATACCTCGTGCATTGCGAATACGAAAGTATATACTTGCTCATACATTTTATGCTTCAAATCAAGTGAAGCAAATGAAATTTGATGTGGAAATATTATAATTCCTAAGGTGTGTGGCTGAGTACATAGATCGTCTCGGCGAAGAAGACTCACCGGATATCGTAATATGATACCTACATATAGCTATAAGTTAACTTGTCGATTTGAGAAGGTACTGTATAATCTGCCTGATATGTAGGCACTCAGGACCCTGAAATTAAGTTGCAACCACTCTAGGCATTCCACGTGTAAGCTGAATGCTCTTTAAAGAAGAGTAGGTCTCTTCCTACCTACCTCGGTACATACATACCTAGGTAGATATGTAGTACATAGTAGTATGTAGCTTCTTACATACATGTACGTCTAAAGCCTGGGCATTACTCAATACTTCACTACAAGGATAAATCCATAACTATTGCAAATCACTCTAGACCTGAAGCCGGCGATCTGCATTGGCCACGTACGGAGAAACAAGCACCGACGGTCCTGCGTCACAAGATCTCGAAATGAACATGAGAAATATGACGTAGGGGAGTACGTCAATAAACGCCCGCCAGCAGACATTGGGAAACCCTGGTTCGTGTTTTGAGGGGTTTGGCACTCCTAGTCCAACGTATGAGGTACGGTACGAGATAAAAACACTTGGGTTAGATCCACGGAGGTGAAAACAGATATATTAGGTAGGAAGCGCAATTTGCATGTCTGATCGTATGAAGCATTTTTGCTTCCCAAGACCGGCCTTGACGATCATACTCTTTTTTATCGTCTACCGGTTCGCGCCCAACCATCCGCGTGCATTAGAACTGTCAGAAGAAAGTAAACTGGTCTCTAGCCGATGATTCGATGTTGTGAAGTACGAGGTAATTGGCGTGGGGTATATCTCAAGTCAACTGATAGATAGGTAGAATTAACGGCAGCCTCTCCTTCCCTCCTCTGACGACGAGCAGCCTTCATTTCTAATGATGCTCGAAGTCCTTAAGTAGCGGTCGCACCTAGTGAAGGGTTCATGCGATAGCCATGGTCGTTCAGGTCGATCGCACACGACAACTCGTGGTCAAACACCATTTCCGGTCCTACATCCGCCGACTAGGTGGTGCTGAAGAAATTCTTGAGCGTTTGCTCTACATCGGCATATTCTGCCTTGACCGTCTTAAGTGTCTCCGTAACTCGGGTAAGGCAAAGCGTCTCATCCGTCTCCGGTGTGCCGTCGAGGTTTTCCTTCTTGCCGTATCGCTGGATTTTCTCACAGCTGTCCTTGACCTTGGTTAGGCCAAGCGTCGCAGAAGAGCCCTTCAAGAAATGGCCGAGTCGGTACAGCTCCTCAAGATTTCGAGACTCCCTACATTAGATGAAAAGAAAAGGGTCAAATTAGCTTCTATAGTATGGATGAAAGAACCGGTGAGATCGGTGTTAAAATGAATTGTGGTTATAGCTAGTAGCCATGAGCAGGCGAAACGTTAGATTCCTGTAGGACTTACAAGGCCGTGTCCATTTTCTCAAAGGTCTCCTCGGCCTGCTCAAAGAAACCAAAGACAATGGATTTACTGAATTCACGGTCATCCTCACTATCGTCCATCTCTAGAATCTGACTAAAAGTCACGATGTCGATCGCATCCCCAAGGTCTGGTAGGTTGCTGGTGTCATGAACATCATCGCTCTGTTGCGCGGGCAGACGCAGACAATTTGTCAGTCATTTGCCTAATTTGTATTTGTTGGCAGTGGATCCTCATTCATACCTGATCGTTAGTAGGCATGATGCCAGGCCGTACTGCTGTAAGAGAAGGGCTCCTGAAAGACAAGGCCGGTCAGACAAAGCAAGGGTTGGTCGTGACGAAAAGGAGCCTTCAAGATGAGCCAGACTCACAGATGGGCGTAGCGGAAGATAGCAAGTAGTAAAATTGGGCGAATATGCCTTGGGAGAAAGGTCGTGTGGGATGGTTCTGAAAAAAAAAACCGCGGTGACTTTAACCACTCTAGTGTTGTCGAAGAATATTTAGGTGGGGTCTGTTTCGGTAGGAAGGGGGAAGTGATGGTGATGGGTAATTCTAATGGTAATGGTAATGGTAATGGTAACGAGTGATGGATATGGTATGGTTATGGTTATGGTTATGGGTTATGGATTACTATGGTAGTATGTATGGATTATTGGGTTATGGGTTCAAATGGGTTATGGATTATGGGCTACATATGTGCTATGTGCTATGGGCTTTGGGCTATGGGCTATGGGCACGGAGTATGTCAGTTGGTGTATGTCGGTGGTGTCGGTGGTGTCAGTGGGTGATGGGGCAGCAGGTCGCACACAGTGTATGCATTTATTTGCTTAAAAGTCGAGATTATTCGCTTGTCGGCATCTATGCCGAATAATAATAATATACATGTATTGTACTTACTTGCGCTTGGATTTAAAATACCAAAACTTGAGTCACTTGGGTCACCTTACATATGAAATGGGCAGGTAGACAAGCCTGGCAAGCCTGGCAAGGTAGGCAAGGAAGGTTATGTACATTTTCAAAGATCCAATGTAATGATTTTTTTTGGCTCAAAATATCATATGTATGTTATACTATTGATGTACATATCATTACATACAAGTTGATACAACATGGTAGGTGAGGGAATGCATTGTGCTACCTAACTTAGGTACAAGATAGGTACTGCATGGAGTACTACATACATGTAAATATTTCAATTTGTTCTAGGCGGTACATTGGAATACTAGGTGCATGGATTATCTTAGGCAAAGTCCAGCGCACGGCGGTTACAGTTTTTGCGTACCTGAGGGGTTCCGTCAGGGTCTAAGAGACAACGTCACTGCCGCAGAATCATGCACTTAAGCTACTAGTACATAGGAAGGTACAATACATACATGATCCGCAACCTTACGTACAGCACTGGATGCCACTGATGAGAGTCGCAGTACATACATGTACCTAGTAGTTACGAGGTATCTTCTACCTTTCCAACGTACATACTATCAGTGATGTATGTAGGATATCCGCCTAACATTGAACATTGATTGAACCTTAAACTGTGCAATGAATGCTTCAATGTTCCTAGCAGCCTACATAATGTAGACATGGAAACCCAGTAACTACATCAAGTAGAATAAAAAGAAAAGACACCGTTGACGCTATTAAATAGGCTGATAAATACCCTAAGGTTAGGTAGCTAAGCTACATAACAAAGAATGCTGCAAAGACTCAAGACTTTTAAGCAAAGACAACCTTGCTCATGATCGTCGACCCTATTCAAAAGAAAATAAACGATTTTAGTGGTGTCGGTGGATCAGTGGGTTTGTCTCTAACGGGTTAACCCTCTACTAAATCCGACCATCCATTTTCTAGACTCCTAACTATCGTGAAACCCAGTCTATTGAAGGGGTCTGGGGGCTACGATCATTACTAAAACAACCAAACGCACCTATGAGAGGTGCACTACGCCCTATCCGCCATACCTGCGCCAGAAGATTGACACGGCATTACATCTATCGTACCAACCGAGGGCAGGAAGGATCTAGGGGATTCAATGTGGGATGACAGGAGAAGGGATGGATGTTTGATGATATTGTATACCTACATACCCATCTAATCATCTAACCTATAGCCATCTGCTCGTCAGACTCGTCTACCTACCTACCTACCTACCTACCTACCTACCAGGTCCTACCTCATACCTACCTAGGTGGGTAGGTATTTATTTAAGCTCACCTCACCACTAGGCATTTCCTCCTTACATGTTTCCGGACCCCTGAGCGCGCGATATCATTAGACAGGCTCGTCATCCTCGTTTCCAAATTGGCGAGCACCCGTGCCTATTTAGCTGCTTAGTACCACTAAGTATCTCCACGAGTCCACCCTCTCGTCTTGGCCGGACTTGATGTCCATGACTATCATGAAGCCGAATATTCCCCGTCAACGTTGCCTGGCATGATCAGGAGGGAAGGTGACGAGAAGACCAGAAAGCCTCACCAGGCTCGTGTGCCCACCATTCAGCACATTGCTAGCATCGCTGGAAGCTTCTGTGATCGACATTGACGCATCTCCCCCCTACGGGCCTGCGCTACAATCATATTGCATATTTGCCCCGGTTTGCTTGCGTCTTTACTCTTTAGGGCACAAGCGAATCCTGGACTTGCATAGTTGCACTCCCGCCAAGCTAATCCTACCAATTAATGGTGTCACTATTCAAGTCTCATGCCCCTCGCCGATTTCAAAGTGTCGCGGATACTTTTAGGTAGGCAGAATCACAGCTGTGCTATCATGTAAATCGGAGTGCTCAAGATACGGACATTGTGCTACAGCACGCAGTTAAACTACCTAGCCACGGCATGATTCTTGCAGACATCAGGTCGCAATTACAAATGTTACCATGTCCGGTTACTTTTTAGCCCTCGAGCTCCGCAGCTATGTGTTAAGTATGTATAATATCTGAATTCAAAATTGCCTTACCTATATTATTGGCACTATCAAGGTGGAAATATGCATACTAGTATATAGGGCAACAAAGCCGTAGGTATTTCTCTTTTCATCACCTTCGTTCCTATTTGGTGGAACAAATCCAACAAAAAAATAGAATCGATGAACGCATGTTCATGTCTACCAATACAAGACGGCCCGTTATCTTTTATCTAAGGTTAAAAGAAGTCTCAGGCTTAAAGGCTTACTCGTCACAATGTGAGAAGTGACGCAGGGTCTTTTTAAAATCAGTAGGCAGCCACGCCGAAAGAAAAGAAAGATAGAACAATTAAGGGGGGGTGGAGGAAAAGCTTCTTGATGCCATGAGGAGTCTAATGAGGACGCTTAAAAGTGATAATAAAGTATTTTATTGATTTGAAAAAATGATTTGTAACATCAAGTGTTTGTACTACTAGTAGTATTTCAAAATTCATACAGAAAGGAAAGTAACTCGTGCCCCCCCTGCCTGTGCACCCCTCAATTCATCGCGAACCCCTCCACGACAAAGTTCGCGCCCCCTGCACCGAGGGCTTGGTCACGTTGTTTGATTCTCGAAGCTTTTCCGAGTCCCCACAATGCATCTGATGTCCAAGTGGGGGGAGGACTTTGAATCGGGAAAACGTCATAGTCCAGACCCTGGATTCCCTCCCGTGTGACGTGCCACAACACACAGTGCCGCGCACACCTTCAAAAGATCATTCGATAGCCTGTTATCTGCATGATATGTACATATACCATAGAACAATAACTACCTACACATATTACATACCAATTACTAAGTAACATATTACTAATACTACCTACTAGTAGTGTACCTAGTAATAGTTAAGTAGACTTGGATCTACTTTCTCTACTTTCTCAAAGACCTCAAGAGTGCTCTTCTCAAAGGCTGCATGCAACCTAAACATGAGATGGATGCAAACTCACGTACATATTCTAATAATGTCAGGATTGAACGGATAGGTTTTCGGATAACCCTAAAAGGGCAAAAGAGGAGCAGATCTCCCTCCCTTTCTTCCCGCGGCTCTTTCATGTATTCAAACCTCGAAAAAAAAGAGAGAGAGATCAATAAAAAATCAGGTGGGGTTTTTCTTTCCATTTAGTGTTCGCTAATGATGAAGAGACCCTACGGATATAACAGTGAATAACAAGTTCGGCGTCATCGTCCTTATAGACCCAGACATTCGCCGAACTAATTTCATAGATGGTCTTTTGCTTCGAGCCTTTGACTAACCTAGGCTAGTTCCCGAAGTTCCCAAATAACTCAGTTAGCCGCAATAAGGGGGCGGAAAAGGGGATTATGTACCCTACATACCTACCTACATGTAAGGCATTCGAATTCTCTTATGAGTCTTATCACTACATATCACTGTCTAGTATCTACTAGTCACAAAGTCACCAGGTGGGGGGGTCAAGACCGTCAAGTTCAATCATCAATGCGGTACCTAGTGGTACATAGTATGCAGTATTGGCCTAACCTAACACCGGTAGCAGCAGCACCAGGGGGGCCATGCCGCTTTAATACAACCGCTTGTGCCTTTGTCTTAGTTCCTTTTTTTTATTCACATAAGTGCTCGGATATCAAAAGATGTCTGACCTTTGACCCCCGACCTCAATAAGCTCACAAGTCGCTTGTGATCTAGAATCAACTGAATTGCGCCAGTTGTCTTGATTAGCCTTGCTCATTCATATCCGCGCAACTAAATGTGTTGGGATACCGCGTGGGCATATCACACGATGTCGGCATGTTAGGTCAAGGAGCCACGTGATCTCTTGCGGCTCCTAGGTATCTTCAAAGATATTACATGCCTAGGTAAGGTACCTTACTTTGATGAGGCTGACGCTACCTAGTTGCAGACGTAATCTGATTTTGATGAAGTCATATTTCTTACGAGAGCTATACCCTGGAAAGCAGCCCTATCCCTTTTTTGTTCACGTGGTAGAGAGGTACTTATCTATAAGCACTTACTTCCAAACTTCAAAGTCTTATATCAACATTAAACACCGAATCTAACAATACATGGTAAAGTTCATGCTATCACGGGGCCTTTTTACATAAAAGAAATTTACGAAGATAAAAAAAAAGATTTGCCTACATGGCCCCCCCTTTTACAAAAAGAATGCGCATATAACACTAACGTAGACAATCACCGGTGTACATACCATCAAGTAGGACAAATTAGTGTGTGCCTTCACCGAGAAGGGTAATCCCGGGATCTTCAGTTCGAACAGCTGACGATTCCCGGAAATTTATTTCACGTACCATCCCAAATATGCTTCAGCTAGATCTTTGGAATTAAGTCCGGGTTCGCAATACCCTGAATTTGTTAATCCGAGGTCTAGCTGTGTGGTTTTGTGGTATTACATACATGAATTGGCTAGGGGGGAGGACTCGGAGGAGACAGGGAGGTATGTATGTACATATATTAGTGCCCGCCAAATCTTCAGTCTTTACCCGATGTTATACTTACTTATATAATCACTTATAGTATTGAACTAAAAGGATAATATCCTATTCGCTTATTCACTTACAATAATAAGATATCTACATATATAGCCCAGGGTTGAACTCATCGGGACGCGACCCCCTTAGCCGACATCGAACTCCTATTTTCAGCCGCATAGCTCTTTTTTTTTTTTTTTTTTTTTTTGAAAACACCATATTTCCATCATTGCATAGGTACCTATAAACTAAACTGAGTTCATTAACTAACCCAAGCCGGAGCAAAAGCAGCGGACTCGCTAGACCCAACTTAGTCGAGTACACTTTACTTGCCACCATCAATGGTATGTAGAGTAGACTGGCTCCTGATCTACCTTTTACTATTATAGTATACCAGTTCTAATGGTCACTCGACATCCGTTCTCGGGACCAAGGGCAAAAAAAAAAATAAAAAAAAAAAAATAATTCACGTCTCTCTCTCACCCATACCATTGGTACCTAATAACCCTTCCCTACCACCTTTCGTCCAACCCCCATCCATTGTGCGAGGTTGGGTATCCAGGTTCCAGGTAGGCAGGTATGCTATGTGTGTATGTACAGCATGCCGAGAGAGCCTCGATCGTACACATGATCGGCTGCAGTTACTATGAGTAAGGGAAACATTGTTCTAGCCCTGCTCCAAAACTTTAGCAGCTGAACGAGTCTCGCTGCGGGTTGGCTTCTGAAGATGTCATACCCATGGCTTTTATTTTTATTTTTTCCCCGCACCGCATCTCTTTACCTATACATAGATGGCCTACCTTACGTATAGTATCTAGTAGTTGGGTACGGAGGTTAAAAAAGGCCCATCCAGGTTAGAGATGTCGGGCTGCACAATCATAGCAAGGGAGACATATCCGTAACACTCCTGTGATACGTAGGTTATCTTGGTTTGTGCTCTGATTTGCAGCTATTCTGCTTGGGCTGTCATTCTTTAGCGGGATCCCCGGGCCTTAGGCCGTCGTGGTTCTGACATACGCATCAGACATCCCTATAGGTCCCAACCCAAAAATCAAGGGCAGGTTGGCAATCTAAAGGGGAAAAGACTATACTCTATTCTTAGTAGCGGATTATCATTGCTAGGCCCATATATATGTATATCCAATTTTCTTGCGCCCAAAGGAAGCAAGCTTCCGTCGTGGAGTGGCTTCTCAGCGCAGCTGCGGTGTTACTATCAAACGCGACAGTCAGCTGTCAACATTATGCGTTTGGCCCGCTTATGGACATGGTATTATAGCATGAAATGCCATGCCATCTTAGTGAATCGTATTCTCCGCAGAGAATTGCCAGCAAGCCAGCCTTGGGTCCTATAGCAACACTTTGGATGCTACTGTCAAAAGCCATGCCGCATCTTGCCAACCACCTTCGTCTAGCTTTGGCGGTGGGATTCGTTCCTCTGGAACATTAGAGAAGCCTTCGAAATCCGCGGTGCTTGCACTTCGTGGAAGATGGCTTCCTTCTGTCTCGCCATCGGACAAGTCTCCATCAGCAGCATCCGAATCTTCGTCGTTCTCCTCAACAGAAAATAAAGACCACATCCACGAACCCACTCCCCCATTCTTTCTATAAACCAGTCTTCGCACAGCTGCCTCGTCCTCTATGCTTGTATCTAGCTCGAAAGATTCAAGCTTCTCGTCTAGCCCTACGAAATCCGGCCCTTGTATGGATTCTTCTCCAGACACTTCTTGACCGAAATAACCATCCTGTGCACTGCGCTCGCCGGGCGTCCTTAGATGGGTTATATTTCCAATCCTGCTATGTGATCGGCTTCCATGACGACTGGTCAAGGGAAAAACATCCTCCTCTGCGTTTGTCAGACTACCTCGACGACTGCTCCGTCTGCTCGCAAGTTCTCTTTCCCGGGCAAGTTCTCTCTCATAAGCTTCGTCTTCCACGTTATGCATGCCAGTTAGACTAGTTGAGCTTTCTCTTGAGATAAGCCAGGCCTGGCCTTTGGACTCTCGCGTGCCGGAGCTAATCAAAGCCCCTGTACGCAGTACCCAATCGTTGTCGCCTCCCTCTTTAGCGTTGGGCAATGCGTGATGACGTGGAAGAGGAGATGATGGGCCTAGGCCAGTGCGTCTTGCATGCGATGCAGTAAGATGGGTCGTAGATTTGCTTTTTGGAAGATTCGCATTCAAGACGTCATGGGCGGATGCGCGACGGCGGCTAGGTGAGTTGGCTCGCGTTCGAGAAGGGGACTGCAAGAGCCTAGGTGTGGTAGGGGCGGATTTCCCCTGAAGGTAGGAAACATTATGTTGAAACGCAGATACTTCAAAATCGGGGAGGTCTTCGGGGTCGGTCAGGGGAAACTTGGACGTGAGGGGCGCGAGAGAGAGGTGGTGGAGGTTCGTAGATGATCTGTTTTTTCGACGTGCCTGGTTGGCGTGTTGCTTGTACGCGACATCCATCGTACGATTTAATGCTGAGGAGAAATCTCGAATACTATCTCTGCAATATCTCTGCAATATCTCTGCAAAGGATAATTCAAAGTAGTGGTAACGTATAAACAGATCCCAATTGGCAAGACTACAGTAATGATTCAAGGTTGGTCCGAGATTGGCGAGAATCCGGAGCCACCTACGAGTTTTGACAACCAGAAAGACAGGAATTGGGACAATCAATGACTTGCAGATCAAAGTACGGAGATGGAGTACTACTAGGTATGTAGTAGGTAGTTATGGAGTAAGGTGTGCCATCAGGCCCATCACTGCCATGTGGATAACAGGTGCTAAAGCTTAAGGAGAAGCTTTGACCACTCACTGACCGTTAACGGTTTCCGTTGTTCAATGTTCCGGCTATTACCTTGTAGAGACTAGTTACCTAACGGTTAGAGTTGCTTTCCGAGGTTCAGCGGTTCAACCGTTCAAGACTTTTTCAAAAACTTTAATCACATCACATTGCGCTAAGACGTATCGGAGATAACTACCTAGTAGTGCCCGCCACATATGTACATGTAAGATACATGCATCTAGCCAATGTAGCCAATGTAGCCAATGAATGTACTAGGTACAGTATTAATAACTAGCACAAAACTTTGATCGCACGGCCTTCTAGTCCTTCGTCATTCCTAAAGCCATCAGTCTAAACCACCCACTACATACTACATACTACATACTATGTAGTCACTTACAAGGTAAATAAATACTAGGTACGCTGCGTTGACATAGCTCTCACAGCTCGTGGCCACTTCTCAAAATGCGTAATCTACGCAACATTCGATATAATGCTTGGAGACCATCGACTGACTTGGATGGGGAAACTATCACATCGACATGTTGGGATCCTGCCAAGGATGAAATCTTATGTACCTTTGGTCCAAGAGAGCAAGATGGTCACATTCGTCTGGTGAGGATTTTAGAGCATGTGAGGGCTTCTTCTATTGACATGTGAGTTTGCGCCATCTTCCGAAGATACTGGCCGTCCTGTGTTACTTATCATTTGAACCTACCTCCAGCGAATGTCAAGATGTTGCCTCATGGGATGCTCCAAGTCCAAATCCAGACTTGGCTGTGGATAAGATCATAAGTTTGCATCATTTTAGCGATACTCTTACAACATGTCTGGTCCTCGAAGGGGGCGATATAGTCATCGTCCAAGAATCAGATGGCATGAACCCTCAACAGGGAGTCCATATCGAAATCATGGGATCCATAGATGAGGGTATCACCGCTGCAAGCTGGTCTCCAGATGAAGAACTACTAGCCATTACCACCAAGGCGAACACCATGGTTTTCATGAGTCGTGGCTTTGATCCTATATCGAATATGACCATGGCTGCTGACGACCTGAAAGCGTCCAAGCACGTCTCTGTCGGCTGGGGTAAGAAAGAAACACAGTTCCAGGGCAGGGGTGCCAAAGCCCTTCGGGACCCTACAATACCAGAAAAGGTAGACCAGGGCGTCCTTAGCCCCCATGATGATGGAAGTGTCATTATTAGCTGGAGAGGCGACGGGGCATACGTTGCGGTCAACTCCATCGAGGCAGGCATCCGTCGAGTCATTCGGGTCTACTCTCGAGACGGTGTCCTTGATAGCGTGAGTGAGCCTGTTGATGGCATGGAGACTGCCTTGAGCTGGAGGCCAGCCGGAAATTTGATGGCAGGCATACAACGCCTCGAGGACCGCGTAGATGTCATCTTTTTCGAGAGAAATGGTTTGAGACATGGGCAATTCTCGCTGAGAGCCCCTGAAGACCGAACACTCGCCGAGGACAAGATACGACTAGAATGGAACTCAGACTCTACAGTGCTAGCCGTCACCCTTGACGACCGGATTCAACTTTGGACTATGGGAAATTACCATTGGTACCTAAAACAGGAAATTCTCACGGAAAAGCGGCCTCTTTGCCTTACATGGCATCCCGAAAAGCCGTTGCGTTTTGCCTCAGCTGTCTCAAGTACGTTTCAATATATCGATGCATTTTAGCGCTAACATGATCGCAGGTAAGCTATTGCTCGCAGAATACATCTTTGAAATAACTCGTGGGTCTCTTACGCCGCCCTACGACCACGGAGCAGTTGCCGTGATAGACGGGAAGACACTCAAACTCACCCCCTTCCGGACCGCCAATGTTCCTCCTCCAATGTCCTTGTTCGAACTACATGCATCGTCGCCTATTATCGACGTGGCTTTCTCCCCTGCAAATACATTCATGGCTGTCCTTCACCAAAATGGGGTAGATGTACACGAGTGGAGAATGAAAGAGCACCGCTCTTTGGCTCCATCGTTGGTGGGTAGTGTGACTTTTACCAAGGATAATTCAGGTGAAGAGTGTATGCCTCTGCAAATCGCCGTCACTGAGAATAGTGTTGTTCATTGCCTCGGGTTCGAAAATGGGCCGGTGATCCAATCACATCCCTTTGATCCGACTACTGGCGAATTCTCCTCCAATTCAAGTATCTATGCAGGTTCCATGTTTGGATTTGTGCGCTTAACTCAAGCAGGATCCACCGATGTGCTTGCTCAGGATTGCATTGGCAGGCTTCATGGCGTTGTGAACCAGCAGGATGAGCTATACTCAACTCGCCTTCCAGTTCAGCTTCCATGGAGCGAAATCGTCGACTTGGCTGGAAACGTCATCGCTGTTGGGTTATCTAGAAATGGTCATCTATATGCAAATTCTCGCCTCTTGCTCAAGAATTGCACATCTTTCTTAGTCACACCGGCTCATCTCATAGTAACGACTACAACTCATCTGGTCAAATTCATCCACCTGGTTGACGTTAACAGTATGTCCTTGGAATACCGTTATTATTTTTTGTAGCTAACTCATTTTGTATTATTGTAGGCTTGGAGGTACCGCCAGATGATCCCGAAAACGATGAGAGATGCAGGAGCATTGAGAGAGGTGCACGGCTTGTAACAGCAATGCCTACAAACATGAGTCTGGTTATGCAGATGCCTCGAGGGAACCTGGAAACTATCTATCCTCGAGCCATGGTTGTGGCGGGCATAAGACAGCTAATCGATGCTAAAGATTATGGAAAAGCATACTCACATTGTCGCACTCAGCGTGTAGACATGAATATCCTTTATGACCATAGACCTCAGCAATTTCTCGAAAATGTTGGGCTCTTCTTAGACCAGCTTGAAGACGTCTCATATATCGACCTTTTCCTCTCGTCTCTTCGGTAAGTCATCATATACATACCCCTAAGTTCAAATCTAACGCAAGATAGTGATGAGGACGTCACACAAACAATGTACAGAGATACGAGAGGCGTAAGGAACCAAGAACCACCCGAAAATACTCCTAATGGAACGGTCGTTGGTAGTACTCAAGGTGCTTCTAAGGTCAACACAATCTGTGATGCAGTGCTATCCCATCTCCAGTCACATAAATTCAAGGGCCACGGAACACTGCAGAATATCATTACCGCCAATGTCTGTAAAGTACCACCAGCATATGAGGACGGTTTATTGGTTATTGCCTCTCTACTCCAGGAAGACGAACAACTTGCCGAGAAAGCTGTTGAACATATCTGCTTCTTAGCCGATGTCAACACGCTATACGATGAAGCCTTAGGTCTCTACCACCTAGATCTAGCACTTCTAGTCGCACAACAGTCGCAAAGGGATCCTCGAGAGTACCTGCCGTTCATTCAAAATCTGCACCAACTCCCTGAGCCAAGACGGAGATTTTCTATTGATGATCACTTAGGCCGTCACGATAAAGCCTTGACACATCTACAATCTACTCATGCGCACAAGGAAGCCCAAGAATATACAGTCAAGCATGCCCTCTATACTACGGCGTTAAAACTGTACCGCTATGATCAACCAAACCTGACCACCCTCATCGGCCTCTATGCGACATACCTTGAGACCAAGTCTCGATTCCGAGAAGCAGGACTCACGCACGAATCCCTCCACGATTACGCGTCAGCTACAAGGTGCTATCGCGCCGCCGGTACTTCTTGCTGGCGCGAATGTCTCTACACGGCGCAACAACAAGACCCTCCTTTATCCCCCGACTCCTTCAACGATCTCGCCTCGACCCTCGTCGAAGCACTTTACGAAGCGAAAGACTATGCATCCGCGGCCGCCATCCACCTCGACCACCTCAATTCCCTCGAGAACGCCATCCCCTGTCTGTGCAAGGGTTACCTCTTCGCCGACGCTATGCGCCTTGCGGCGCAGCGCGGGTGCCCTGCCACAATTGTGGACTCGGGACTCGCGGACGCGCTGGGGAGCAGCACCGAGTTCTTTGCAGACTGCAAGGCTCAGCTGCGTGCGCAGGTGCCACGAATTCTCGACCTGCGCCGGCGCGCCGCCGAGGACCCCCTCGGCTTCTATGAGGGCGAGCGTGCCGGTGGCGGCGGCGGTGACATCCCCGACGACGTATCAGTGGCGGCTAGTTCGCGTATCAGCACGAGCGCGAGCCTGTTCACGCGGTATACGGGTAAAGGAGGCGGTAGCGTGGGCACGGCTGGAACAGGGGTCAGCCGGGCGACGAGTAAGAACCGCAAGCGTGAAGAAAAAAAGCGTGCGCGCGGCCGCAAGGGCACCGTCTACGAGGAGGAGTACCTCGTCAACAGCGTCCGGCGGCTCGTCGAGCGCGTCGAGGCCATGCGGTCCGACGTCGAAAAGCTCATCGCCGGACTTCTTCGCCGAGGCATGCACGAGCGCGCGCGCGCCCTGGAGACGCTGGCCGCGGAGGTCATCGACGCTTGTACGGTTTCTATCAAGGAAGTCTTCGTTGCTCCTGGTAGCAACAAGGGAGGGGAGGAGCAGAAGAGCAAAGGTCAAGCAGTTGATGGCGAGGATGGAGATGGGAATGGGGAGTGGAGGCACCTGGGCGCGGACGCGGTGTTCTACGAGAACCTGGAGGCGGCGTGGAGGAAGCAGGAACCGCCTGTTATCAAGGCGATGGAGAGACTTGCGTTATTGGCATAGCATACTAAGGCACGGGCATAAAGGGGGTTTGGCTATAGTGGGGTCAGGGGTTGGTTGGTTGGGTGGATGGATGGATGGACGGGGTAGGGAAAATGGCCAGAAGAAAAAATATATGGTGGGAAGACGGATCTCATATCACATGCATGCATTTTCGATACATTTTTTCAACCCGTTAAAACGTAAAACAGGCAAATATGAAGAAGGGTGCAGAAATCGATTCGTTCGTACGTGCTGCTACTACTTCTTCTTCTGCTTACTTTCTTTCTTTCTTTTCTTTTCCTTCCTTTTATTTAGGTGGGGTCCTCATAAATGCATTTCGTTATATACAGTTATGTTACAGGTCTAAATGGCATCTATTATCCTACATTCCAACCGGGCCTTATGGCGTCGACGAGGAGGAAGGAGGATCTGATGATGATGACGGTGGTGACGATGAGGAGGAGGATGGCTCCACGTTCGACTCTGTGGGGGGAGGAGGTATAGGTGCTTCGGCTGCTGGTTGCTCTGGGGAACTACTGCTGCTGCTATCCGCGGCGGTGGAGGTTGTAGAAGCCTCTGGTAAAGCGAGCCCCGCATTCCGCGTCCTCTCCATATTCCTGGCCATGACCTCGCCAATCTTCTCGAGCATCTCGATGGTGAGGCGGGGCTTGCCCTTCTTCTTCTTGTTCGCGCGCTCGGCGCGGTGGAGTTCCTGCAGGGGCGTGCGCATGGTATCCATGAGCTTCTTCCGGTCTTCCTTGGCCTTTTCCTCGGCCTCAAGACGGGCGATGTACTCGGGCTCGTGGCGCGTGCGGAAGCGACTGTACTTGTTGCGAAGCTCGTCTATGACGGAGGGGGGGAACGGGGGCCGTAAGAGAGTTGGTCGGAAGGTCTTTTCTTCGACGTCGATCCGGAGGGTGTCGCACTTATAATCTTTGTACTCGGCCTCTTCTTTCTTGGGCCACGGGATCGATACGTTGAGGCCGGGAACGATGCGCGACCACCGCGACTTCCCTGAGAGTCGGTCGTGGATGAGCCCCTTGTGAACTAGTTGGTTGATTATGACGTCTCGGGTGATGCCCGTTTCGGGGTCCTTGATCGGGTGGACGAGACGGATAGCGGAGATGGATATAGGGAGTTCTATATTAAGGACGGGTGGGTCGTTTTCTCCGCGTAGTTCTGCTTGTACTCGAAGATTGCTCTGCATTAAGGTAAAAATCCGTATTAGCTATCCAAGCTTGCTCTCCTGTCACATAAGGGAGCATTTTACCTTGTTTAGTCCATCGACAATGACCTCAGCTTTGGTCTCGTCGATCCTCGAAATCTTCCCGATGCGACCCTTATCCGGACCATCAATTAGCACCACCCTGTCCCCTACGGCGAGGTTCAAGTTAACAGCGCCGCCGGCCCACTGGCAACGGCGATTGCGCATAGCAAGGGTGATGCGGCCGTATGTAGCGTATCGAGTCTCATGGATGGCGCCCTTCGCACCAGCCCATTCGCCAATGTCTCGCCTTGGTGCTAGGGGGCCCAAGTTCCAATCGTCTTTTACGGCTTGTTTTGCTTTGGCAAACTCTTCGCGGGCCATGGAAATCTGCTGCCGTTGTTCCTCTGACTGCTCCTTTTTTTCCTTTTTGAACACCTTTAAATCTTTCGCCTTGGTCCGCTTGGCGGCCACCCGCTCGGCGGTGGCCACGCGGCGGAGGATCTTTTGCATTTTCCTATTACTTCTTCTTCTTCTTTTTGAATCAATTCGGTCGAGGGGGGTGGAGAGAAGAAGAAGAAAGCAGAAGAGGTGGGGGGTTGTGGGGGAATTGGAGGGGTTGTGTATATTTTCTTGTTCCTTCTTTCCCTCACAAGTTCATCTCGTGCCCTCCAAACCCAAAATTTTGGCGGCTTTCGAGGTTGAATAACTCATATGGGTCCAATGGCCAATGCGTTTATTCAATTGGTCCACTTGAATTGAGAAAAAAAAAAGCCCTGTTCCATTTGACTTTGACTGGGGGATGGATAAGATGCCCCGGAAAATCTTAAAATCCGGCAATTCACTCCAAGGTCATTAGGCCCCACATCATCATTGATGGGCTTGCCCTTTCAAGATGTCGGTGAATCTTGCATCTTGCGAGCATGGATTTTTTATAACTAAGCTTGCAAGCTTCTTATCAAAATTGGATTCACTCTTATCCAATCTTTGATGTAATTACCAAATTTGTCTTGCAACAATGCAATAATGCAACTAAAAAGCTCTTTTACATACATATGTACATACATATATTGGCACATCCATACTATTAGTAGTACATCACAAGCTCTAACTATTGATTGCCGAACATATGTATGTATGTAACAGTTTAGCTACTGTAGCTTTTCTTGTAGGTACTATGACAGTATTGTGCCTCTCGTCTTGTCCAGCAAGATATCACAATGAGATATCACATTGTGCTACGGAAGCCTGCTCCAAACTTCACAGATAGTTGAACCATCTATCGGATTCTATCCACTACGCCGGAACTTTGGTTGTACATGGGTCATACAAATTCGCAATCATCCGAGGTTGTCCATGATTTGTAATGTTTTATATGTATCCAATGCTGATGTTTGCCTACGATACATAAAATGTCTTATATCAAATATATACCTAGGTACCTACGCACACATGAGACTGGTTTATGCCGAACGTTGAAGGTCTACCACGGAGCTAAGGCGAAAGAAACAATAACATATCTCAATTGATCTAACCTGTTTAATTTAGCTAGCAGATCTACTCCAATGCGTTTCATCGACGTGTGGACCATACTATGCAGAATTAACACCGGTTCCAAGCCTGGCTGTTGTAGACACCGAGCCGCTAGATATTGCTTATATAAAATACTAGGTTACCTACCTAGGTACAGTACTATGTAGGTATGGGTGTGAAGCTTGATAGCATAGCATTGATTGAGTCAGTCGGCTGTCACAGGATAGATCACCTGGGCAGTCAAGCCACAGCGACCGCTAGCTAAGTCTTGCCGCGTCAACCTAGGCAGTGCCGTTACGGGAGCTAGCTATGTTAGATGATTGATTCGAAAAAAAAAGGGGTAAAAGCAGTAGAAGCAGTAAAAGTAGAAATTTTACTATGTAGCAACCTAGGAAGGCTTGTTGGTTTTTGCTCGTATGAGCCCAAGTCATACGCGTACGCCAACCCCCACAACTCGTATCAACTAAGCAGGCAGACAAAGGAAATCAAGACTACGCGATAGGGAGAGAATGTGGAATGGAATGACATGATAATACTGAGCCACACCTTTTCAGCTGAAGAAGTCAAAGAAGCCCGGATCAGCGAATGGCTACTGCGGCGGCCAGTCGGTGAGAGACACAAACTCCTTGAAGATCTCCCTGGTTCCGGGGGAGACTTTAGCGGTTAAGTTGACTCAAACATGCCTACCTATGTGAGTGGCCTAGTCTTATTTTTTTTTAACGCTGGAAGTTGATCTACCGGCACATACCCCCGGTATCATAGCTATTACTTTGTAGTATCATGTATGTATGCAGCAATACTCGCATATATTGGACTCTAGGCAATTCAATACATCAATAACATTATCTGAGTCAGCGCGTGGCCTATCAAAGATCATTAGCGTTGGCTAAGTATTTGCGGTTGGGATATATGACGATGTGTTGTGCGAACATTAGAGAGCCTCGAGCTCTACCTAGTACCTACCTACCTACCTACCTACCTACCTACATGTATGTTACTGCATACATATGCTACCTAGCACCTATGAACTGTATTGGTGTCTGTCCATTGTCCACAGTGTGTGTGATGTTCATACATGTAGGTACGACACAATATCCGGGGGTTATGTATGGCTTTTCGCTTGCGCCAGGATATAGCTACACTACATCTTGCGCCGATTTGCCGACTACGACGGCGTGTCAGTTACATGGCAAATATATGTCTATATCATATTTTACTATTGTACAGATGAACTGTTGGTTATGTATATTATACGTAATGACATAACAAGCTGAACACGTATGAGGCATGGCTTATCGGGTGCATGTGAAATAAAGATGTTCATATGGAAGCGATTTACAAGAGGTGCAAAAGAAAGAACACTGAACAGCGATTGAACAGCGCACAGGCCCGTCCAGTACCTACATGTAGTAATAGTGTCTACATATAAATGACGATAGTTTAATACATGCATTATGTACCTTATGGACCTTGGCAAATGTGCTGCACTTCACTGTTCTTCTTGAATGTTCGTACGAGCGAGCTTATTTATGTATGTACATACGTACCTAGGTTCTAGATGTAGGTACATGTAGGTACTACTAGTAGTACATAATAATTAGGTAGCACCGGAATATGTTTGGGTGGGTTGCCTCTTCGATTTCCGGAGCGCAGGGGCCACATCTAGCACCTGTTTAGCTGTTCTAGGTACATTATCGTACATTACCTGTGCTAAAGCAAATGTGTTAGAACCTGGGCCACATCAATTCGTAATGTCATGGATGTATTGTACTACTATCATATACATGCATGTATGTAATGTTTATTAAAACGATGTATCTCTTTGTGCTTCAAGGCGAATGCCGACCAGTGTGATTAGAAACATTTGAACCAAAAAGTGCAAGCGGGTGCAATTACATACATAGTAGTAGTACTACTCACTATGTACTCTACTATGTACAGTAGCAACTTGGCAAGGAGTACATAATACATGCTACACGTAGATTCTAGGACTTTATTGTTCTTTGGATCGGTACTAGGCAGGTCGCTAGGACTACCTAGTAGGGACCTACATTCGTACTTAGTAGCTACCAAGACTTTGCCTACATTCATACCCTACAGCACCTTGAAGCCCTGTAAAGGAAGAAGAAAAAAAGCACCAGACCCACTAAACCCTGCACTGAGTTTAGGCCCTGTGCCCTGTGCTCCTGTGCCTTTTTCCCAGTTAGAAAGCTCCAGGGCTTGCCCAGGTGTCCCTTATTTCCCCATTGGACATCTGGATGTACCTACCTTTGGCCGTTTATGTACAAAACTATGTACATACCTATGTATGTAGGTACTAAATTACTACTAAATTACTACTACATTTACTAATAACATTGATGAATGTGTATGTACTCAGGTACAATAAGGTACATACTGTGACTGTTGTAGCCCTGGAAGGTTGCTTGCCTACCTAGTACCGTCTTGCCTGTCTTGCCTGTCTCTCTCTCTTGCCTGCCTTATCCTTTTCCAACCTTTTTTTACCTTGCTCTTGCTCTTGCTTGCTTTGGTGCTACCGCTGTCAATTGAGCAACGTCCTTCCAACCTTTCCTCCTTCTTACAATTCTCCATCTCTAATCTCCTCTCCCATCTTCTTCCATCATCATCAAAACATCCAAAGGGAAGACCAACTGTGAGAATTAATTCATCAAAGTCTATTGACTTCTTTTTTCTTGCATATTCTCTGAATATTCTACTGCAAAATAACCCTTCTATTCTCTGTCCCCTAATCCAACGCCTTTTCCCCAACCATGGCTGAGATCCGCCGAAAGCTGGTCATCGTCGGTGACGGTGCCTGTGGTAAAACCTGCTTGTTGATGTACGTCGCTCAACCTCCCCCCCAAAATAACAATTCCATCTACCACCATGCTAACCTTTACAATAGTGTTTTTTCCAAGGGAACCTTCCCTGAGGTAAGAAAAATATCATCCGCATCGTCATCATCCTATCTATCCCCTTTCCCCCCATCTACTTATCTCTAGCATCCGTCTGCGTAATACCGAGACAAAGGGACCGCGGTCCAATCAATGCTCCATCTCGAGCTATTGCCTCGTCGCCCATTGATGCCATCACCAACTTCCTTCGTGTCCCAATTCATGACAATCGCACATGACACATTGTACAAATGACTGATTTTGTTTCCTTGACAGGTCTACGTCCCTACCGTCTTCGAGAACTATGTCGCCGATGTCGAAGTTGATGGCAAGCACGTCGAATTAGCCTTATGGGATACGGCTGGTCAGGAAGATTATGACCGTCTCCGACCTTTGTCCTACCCGGACTCGCACGTTATCCTAATCTGCTTTGCCGTCGACTCCCCTGATTCTCTCGACAACGTTCAGGAGAAGGTCAGCATTCCCGCATCCTCAAATCGCCCATCTCGTGCTTTCTAGATAAGCCAATAATGCTGACACGTGCCCTATCTATAGTGGATTTCCGAGGTCCTTCATTTCTGCCAAGGTTTGCCCATCATCCTCGTTGGCTGCAAGAAGGATCTGCGTTACGACGCCAAGACCATCGAAGAGCTACGTAAGACTAGCCAGAAGCCCGTGTCTCCTGAGGAGGTAAGTTATATGCATCTCAGCCTTGTTATCATCTATATTGCCGACGTGTCGATAGACGCGACGTTATTTAAATGATAGCCTCGCTTCGCCTTTTACTTGGTGTAACCACTAACCATCATATTCCATCACAGGGTGAGGACATTCGTAAGAAGATAGGTGCCTACAAATACCTCGAGTGCTCGGCCAAGACGAATGAGGGTGTGCGAGAAGTTTTCGAGCACGCCACCCGGGCAGCTCTGCTATCTCGCAGCCGCCAGAAGAAGCACTCCAAGTGCTTAGTCCTTTAAAGAGATAAACAAACCCCTTTATGACACCCTCGACATGCCGTCATAATTCATCGTCGTCCTGGGTTCATTTCGTGGACGAGATACACAGATGACAAAGGGTTTTGGACGGACTGGAAGGGTTGGACGACCACTGTGTCATTAGTCCCGGCTGGAGTTTGATTCGTCCAATCGTAACTGCTACTTCGGCCGGCGTACAACTCAGGTCAGCTTTTCGCGCGTCTCCCATATTGTATTGGGAGTCTATTGGTGATGGGGTAGCGGGGTATCATGGTACTTTGAATTCCCATGGATTGTGAGAAGAGAGAGAAAGAGAGAGAAGGGGGGGAAGGCATGTGCTGCTGCCGTTAGAGAGAATTGTGGTGAGCGTGTGGTATGTGTGTCAAGATTGGCGAGACAACCCCCAGAGAATACGGCTATATCATAAATCTTCTCCTTTTTACTGCTCTCTTGGTAATTCCCGCGTTAGGCCAACCGGGAGATGGACATTTGTTGCGCAGAGGGGCTACACTTTCTACCTGTCTTTTTTCCCAATCGTACTCCTTACTAATCCTCATGTCCCCTGGTCTTGCGCTCAGTATGTGATCTGTTTGTCGTGCATGATCGTTTGATCGTATTGACATAGAAGAAGCTCCCAAGCTGTGGGGTGTATTTGGCGAGCGTCATCGAGTAATTCGCCTCGCTCCCTAAGCTTTACGGTGGCCCTGACGTCAGCTCTAGCCGTATCGTATCCTTGCCAGTGACTCAACTCGGAGTCTCCACCGTTCCAATCCTCGTGATCTATTCCAAGGTCCTGCTACTTGTAGAATAAACCCACCTGTCCAAATTCTTTCTCGTCTTCTTTTTAAGGTACTTATTAAATAAACTGTATGACTACGAATGAACTTGCTTCTGCTTACTATTTAGAGTGAGATGGATGTGGATACGCTACACTCTAGATATTAACTAGCTACGATCTATTCGATGCTATCTATCTATCATGTGCTATCATCATCAAATACAACCTCTGGAGATGAGAGGGCATGGCATAAAGGGGGAAGCTTGATTCATCCTGTTATCAGTCGGACTTGGGGATAAAGCTTTTGGATGAGGCTGGGGGGTTAATGGGAGTAAGTAGGTATATATCTGTTTATAGGTATCTGTTTATGTATCTGTCGTAAGGGTACCTATCTAGTAATAGGCTTCACGGAACGTGCTCGTTGAATGAATGAGTGGGGGAGTAGGTGAGGGTTGGAAGTAAGAGGCTGGGTACTCGTTCTGTCTGCAGCGATGGTAGTGATAGTGCAGGTACTGGACCTCATTCCTCCTCCTCCTCCTTCTTCCTAGCTAGGTATCTTTGGTGCTATTTCTTCTCGCCCCTGCTCCGGGTCACCTTGATTTTGTGGTCTTGTGTAGGTATAACTTATGTGGCATACTCAGCTTGTTTTCTTGCCTGATAGGAAGGAGGAGGAGCTAGATGGTGGCAGGGGTGGGGTTTACAGACGGACAAGAAGGGGGGGAACGATAGGGGGGGTCGGTGGATGGTTTGGTGTATTGTAGTTTTGATCACGGGGGGGCCTGTGTTTGCAAATGTAGCCACCAAGTTTTCTTTCAGGTTCTTTTGCTTTACTACTTATGATTCAATGTTTATTTCTTCTGTCTGTTCTGCTCTGCTCTGCTCTGCTCTGCTCGGTTCAACGCAAAATGAAGGAAGGAAGAAAAGAAAAGAGACGATAATAATAACAGCAAGTAAGAATACAACAACGAACGCCCGAGTAGGTTACCTAGGTAGATAGGTAGGTTGCGTAGAGGGAGGGCAAGTAAGTTGAATGAAAAGGGGTACGTTAGGTTTCTCTCGCGAGCCCCCCATCCATCCCCTGAGCTGTCCCTTTCTTTGCCTCTCTCCCCTATCCCCTACCCCCGTCGCGATTTCGACCCCCAAACTCCCCTATCCCTCACATCGTTGTGGGCTCCTTCTTTCCTTCCCATTGCTTCACCTCCTTCTCTTGGTTGCTTAGGCGGGGCAGGTCTAGGGAGGCATATGTTAGTTTCTAAACAAAAATAATTTTAAAAAAACCCCACTTCCTCCTTTTTGTTCCAACTTTTTAAGGGCTTCCTGTTCGGGGTTATGCAAGTTATGTATGCTCGCGAGAGAGAAGCATGGCGGTGGTTTTAGGTAGGAGAGGGAAACGGAAGAAGAGGGGTGGAGACGGGGTTATATGTGTAGGCATGTATCTATATCCATATTCATCTTCATACACACATGACTCTGGACAAGGTCACAAAAAAAAACAAGCTAGAGCAGCGAGCCAATAACAAGCAGAACAACGAAGGGGGGGGAGAGGGATGCTAGTACTTACGGCACCGCAGGAGCCGCACGTCTTGACGTCGCCGGAGAAGGTGCTACCGCACTTGGGGCAAGAGGAGTTATGCATCTTGAGTAGCTGATGTGGTTTGTTGTAGACGTGAAAAGGTTTCTATGTCTTTCTTTCTTTCTTTCTCTTTGTAGAGATGAGATATCTGGCGCCTTGTTAGTTTGGGCTTTGGTTTGGCTTGGGGGTTTAGTTAAGAAGAAGAGGTAAGAGGTAAGGATGGGCGAGGGAGAGAGATATATATATGGGCCGTATCGTATGATGTATGGGGCGGGGAAGTGGGCGTAGATGTGTTCTGGGGTATATGAGTTGTATCATCCTCTTATCCAGCCTTGCCTTCATTTGCCTTGTCTACTATGCTTCTCGCCTCAGCTAGATGAGGTAGACAAGGATAGGATAGGATAGGATAAGCATATATAGGGCAGGTGTGCAAGTTGTTGATACCACATCATAACCATCTTCCCCAGAAGCTAACCCTCAGGGGGGGTACTTCTCACTCGACGACAGCAGCATCGAGTGAGTGATGGTGGTGGTATGTATGTTGCATATCATGTATTGTGTATAGCAGTAGGTAGTATATATAGATAGGAATAGGCAAGTTGACTCACAAGTGGATAGCAAAACCTAAGTTTTGGATCAATGGATGGATATGGGCTGGCTCGGTTCGGTGTACCTTTTCTTCTTCTTTCTTTCTTTTGCGTGGGTGTGATGGAAGGAGGGCGAGGAGGAGGGGGGGTGTTGGACGAAGATTATATAGTTTTGGGGAAGCTTGGGATTTATCTTGCCTGTATGTATGTATATCTCTCTTCTCTACATGTACCTAGTAGATCAAAGTAGGTAAGGTAAGGTAAGGTACGTAGGCAAGATAATCAATAGTAGTGGAGGTATGTATGTATGTATGTATGTATGTAACATGTTGGAATAAAAAAGCAAGCGGGGTTCGGTGTGATTGGGGGTCCCAGAGACCAAGAAGCAGCAGCAGCAGCAGCAGCGAGTAGCAAGCAAGATGATGGAGCTCTATCTACTATGTAACCTATTCTAACTAAGCTTGGGTAGGTAGCTAATAAGCTATCAAGCGTACATGGCAGTTTTGGACGTATGAACGTATAGACGTATGTAATCCATCCCCCCCTTCCCCTCCTCTACCCTCCCATCCATCTATCCTCTTCCCCATCTGATCTAATCTCTCACACAACAACCACGAACACAAACCAAACCCGTTCGTGCGTGCGTGCGTGCGTTCGTGTCAAGTTATTAATGGATTCTCGGGATATTATTTCTCGATGCTTCATCATCCCGTGTCTTTTCTGCCTCACTTACACCCCCTCCTACTCCCACTCCCACTCCCCCATTCCCATCCCCACCTCCACCTCCCCTGCCTACCTATACACGGGCATGATGCCTTTCTCTTCCAACCAAGACATACATAACTACATGAAACGCGTGGCCGTTCGCGTTCACACGCATTGGCTCACATGTACGTATGTATGTACTTAGCCTGCTTCTCTAGAATGAATAAGAAATACCGTTGGATCCTGCCTAATGGGGACCGGCATCGATGGGGTCACCTGGCATTGCTGCGCGCGGGTTACCTACTAGAGTTGGGGTAGCGTCTATCTATCTTTCAATTGTGTGTGTGTGTGCGCGCGCGTGTGCATGTGCGTGGGTGTATGCGAGCAGATATGGACGACCTATCTAACATCAATGTAAGCAAGCCAGTAAGTAGGTAGGCATGTATCAGAAAGAGGAGTCATCGGTCTGCCCTGTCGGTAGCCCGAATTCGCCCTCGTTTTCGGTCTTTTGTTACTTGGATATTATATGTACATTAGTCTATCTACATGATATGTATGTGTTAAGTGTAAAGTGTGTGTGATGGTGGAGTCACGAGGACTGGCTATCTACTTCAAGCTAACCTAGTAAGGACTAAGAGGGGGACCCTGAACCAAGAGGTCCAAGAGGTGGAGATGACGATGATTGCTACTGCTACTCTTCCAAGTTCCTACTCCTACTTCTGACGATAAACTATTGTTGGTGTTATGTATGTAGTGGACCTATATCGTCTCACATGTGGCGTGCTTGTTGCTAGACGCTATGCTCCTATAGTATAAGGTATGCTAATAGGTAAAAGGGTGGTGATCTGTTTAGTGTAGGTAGGCAAGGGTCTGTTTCTGCAACTTGAAGGCGGGTATGCGATGCAAGTAAAATGCATGTGTAACTAGGTGGTAGCTAGGTAAGTAGTGTAGGTGTGCTCACTGGTGCTGGCGTAGAGATAGTCGGGACCATTATGGATATTCCCCAAGAAAAAGAGACATCATCGCCGAACCACTCACTGGACAGTTGGTTACGTATCTTAAAAGTGGTGCTTTGCATCGGCCCATCAAGCCGCGGGACTCGCTATCTAATCAATCGTGCATGTGTACGCCTTCATCTGTATGTGGCCTAGAAGAGTAAGACGTAGAAGTAAGACGCATAGTCCCGCGAGGCAGCCAAACACCTTGGTACACTGGGACCGGGCAACCTTTTAATGTTACATACCTTCATCATCCCGCCATAAGCGATACAACACATCCACGCACCCACACTCACACACACACACACACACACACACACACACACATGTGCAGCTTAAGAACCTGAACCCCTGAAAGCCTTGGCCCTTTGCTGTCGTGCATCTGCGCGCGACCGAGGTGGATAGCTGCAGACAGGCGGATCCCGACTGTTTGGGAGCTTCCTCAAATCACAGAACACAGCTTCTATCCCGGAATTCCTGCCTGCATCGACGCCGTGACCCGTACTCGCCTGGTGGCGTTGACCGATCGTTCATCTGCAGCCTGCAGTTTGCCCCCTTTTCCTATGTATCCCAAGAACATCCCATTACATTGACTGGGTAATATACCTTATACCTATACAAGATACCTCCAGGGCTACAATGAAGGGAAAAAAACAAAGTCTATGACAACGCTCTAACCTAGACGCATTGCGCTGGCTCGCCTCCGCCTATGGAATAATAAGGAACATGAGTCAGTTTTTTTTTTCTTTTTTTTCAAGCAACGGAGAGGACGGGGAAAAGACGGGTAGCCACTGTCGGGGAGGCAGGACAGGAGGAGAAAACGAACCTTTGATGACCTTCCCAATAGCCTGCAACATGCTGATAAACATGACAGCACAACCAAACGCCACAACGCCCATAGCGACATACGTCTTCCAAGACCTCGAGCTCAGTTTTATATAGCAAAGTGGCGGCAGGATATACGCCAACGCGCAGGCCGAAGTCGCCCCCACAAGCTCGAATACGACTCCGAGATCACAGGTCATCAGGCTCAGCGTCATGGCGGAGACCACCAATGTCGAACTGAAAATTAGATGGATGTTCATATTAAATGGCTCGTTGGGGAACCAATAGTTGATCATGACTTCCCGACATACGAATGCCTCCAAGGGAAGCGTCGTAAGCATGTTTAAACCGAAACAAAGCCGAGCAATAGTCACCATTATGTTATCAGCCGGGAAGTTGTTCAGCACGTTGCCGAGAGTCTTGTCGCCGAAGGTGAGGAAGCCCGCGAGGGCCATGACCATGCATGCCAGCATCGAGATGCTCGTCGAGTAGTGTGTCACTTTGGCAAACCGGTCTATGGTCGGTGTCTTGAGGGATCCGTAAATTAGAAGAGAATTGTGTTGGCAGACGAAGGCTGTGACTCGATTAGCTTCGAGTCAACGGTATCTACCGGACGCCCTTGTTTTACCAAGTGAGACCTACCAAATGAAATAACCCCGATAGCCTGGAATATGCCATCGTTTACGGTGAGTAAGGAAAGATTAAAGGACCCCCGAGCTTCCTTAGGTGTGAGGGCGCTTTGAACGATGACGGTAACTAAGATGATGACCATGCTGATCAAAGCCAGCGTGCTCGCTTTTGCTAGCTATAATTCTCATTTAGCCACCAGGCCAGACGAGAAGGAGTACCTACTGAGCTGTGATAGACTTAGACTTACTTTGGCAATATCTCTATATAATGTTAATGGATAACTGATTCCAAGAATGAATATGACAATAACAGCCCTCCGGTCCGCTAAGAGCCATAATATGGGCATGTCGCTTAACCCAGGCCATATAGTGCGCAGCACTTGTGGTATTGAGTCGCCTACGATGACCCCAAAGGCCACCATACCGCCAAACGCGAAGGCCCATTGCGCAACACTTATGGCAATCAGTCCCGTTTTGCCGTAACAGTGCTCGACCGTCCCCTGGAAGCTGTTCGCGCCGCTCAGTTTGCTATTGATGACGATTAGGCGAATAGTCCAGTCGACGACAATGGTGAGTCCAACCAGCAGTACGATACCTGCCAGTAGACCAGCATCCTTGAAAGCGTAAGGTTGCCCAATGATGCCGGCACCGATAATACTATTGGCCATGTTCATGAAGGCCGAGCGCATACCCGACTTGGGACGGGTACGTTCTCGCTCGGCCCACTCATGTACATCATCGTCGAGACTGTTAGCTAGCGTGACGGACGGGGCTTCGATGCCGGTTAAGAGCGGATGTCGTGTAGTTGAGCCATCACCGTCGGGGCTATCGGGTTCGGCAACGTCAAAGTAATCTGTAGGCAAAGTTGAACTATCGTGACCGTTCGCTGCGGGCGGAATGTTGGTAGGTCGTAAATCGAAGCGCACTCGGTTAGGGGTTCTCGGAGTGTGCGGACTGCGAAGAGCACTGTGGTGAATATCGTCATCAAGAGGGCCCCCCGGGTGGACTATAAGTCCATTGTTCTCTCCTCCTTCTCCTTCTCCTTCATCATCATCATCATCGTCGTCGTCTTCGTCATCATCAGAAGCGTTATTTGTAGCGAGCAAGCCATGATGTTCTTCGTTGGAGCGAGCTGCTGAGGTGGTAAGATTGGTGTTACGTGTTTGCTCTCTATTAGAGGAGCTATAAGATGTGGCCTTGGCCATTGTGTAATTATGGTGGCATTGTTGCAGAGAAAAATTAACTTGGATCCGTCCTCGATAACGGTTTAAGATGAATATGATTATGATCACCTAAAAGTTCAATTGCTTGTTGGCGTAATAGTAGAAATGTATGTATTTATTCCTAGGTAGGTTAGTACTTTAAAATGTTGTAACAATAACGTTAATTGATTCTAGAAAAGTTGCTCAGCTTGGGCCGCGTCTCCGACTTGCAGGGCTGACAAGGGTTACACCAAGCTTGACTGGTAGTGATTACGTTCTTTGAAATAACTAAATTATTTCAAAGAATTAACCATCCCTTATCGTCATGTGATAAGATGTACGCACTTTGCTACTAGCTAGCTAGCCTGCTACTCAAGTACGCAGATGCTACGTAGTGCAGGGATTATTAATTTGAATGCTGTTTCTTCAGGGGCTAGCTCAACCTTTAATATCTGCTAGCTACTACTAGTTACTAGGAGTATTACCTAGCTACTAGGTACCTAGGGTATGTAGCCTCATTACATGACCCCTTTTCTAATGATATTACTATTGAACCTCCCTGAAGCGACAAAGACACTCAAAATAGTGGCAAGCATGGAACTTCTAGAATCGAAATATTTGCATTGTCTATTACATGTTTCTATATACAATGCCGAACACCACATCTTGATCTTCGGCTTCTTTTTTACTTCGGCTGACTCCTTCCTGCCTATATATTCCTTCCTTGCCCTGGGGTATCAATCATGTGTGTATTGTTCCGCGCATGGAAACGCGGCTTTCGTGTCCTTCTTCGCATGGCGAGGACGCAAAGTTCCCCGGCTATATCATGAAACTGAAAACCCCCTTCCCCTCTGCTCTATTCTACCTAGGTATAATATATATATATATATATAGATCATATAGGATATATAGGACATGGGGCGGGTCTGTTAGATGTGTGTTGCTAGGGAGCAATACTGCATATTCACTGCTCATGTGAAGCAGTGTATAGTGAGTGTGAATGCGAGACCATGAAGGACTTAAAACCGCATTTCAAATCAAACAAGCATGCCAATAGCCAAGAGAATACAAGCCAAGGAGGCATATATGCCTGTCCCCTGCAATCTCTCCCCGGATGATTCGTTGGAGGGTGAGCTGCCTGGTGCCGTGTCTGTCGCCGAACTGTCTGAAGTACCGGCGGCTGGCGTCTCGTGGGGGATAAGGCCCATACCGGAATCAGTCGAGGCCGTTGATGAGGCCGCCGTGATGCGGGTTGTTGTCGATGTCCCCGTAGTAGTAGACGATGATGATGTTGCACTCGAACTATCGCTGCTGGTTGGAGAAGCTGAAGCTGCTTTAGCGGCAAATCCTGTGTCCATAATTAGTTTCTGTGTCACGCGTCACAACGTATGAATCTGACATAACACTTACCAATTCGCTTCTGGTCTAGATCAAACACGCTGTAGACATTCTTCAGGAACATATCCCCCAGAAGCCATGCACCGGGCACAAATTCCATGCCGTACACGTTGCCGACACAGACTCCATCACCATTTGGCGCCGAAATGAAATCCTTCGCAGAAGCATTCCATATCTGACCTGAAAAGCTAAATGCAACTGAAGCATCGCTGTCGCATGGAACAGTGTAAGTCTGACCTTTGTCAGTGGTCGTGGACCCTGGAACCAACGCATAGAACGCCTTGACGTCGTCGGGAGGTCCGAAAACAAATGTCGTGCCGGTGTCAATATAAGCCTGTCTGCCCTTGACGGAAGCTGATTTACCATCATACAACACATCGTCCATCGGGATAGCCCAACTGTTTCCAGACTGAATGGGAGTGTACGAGATGTCATCCTTAAACTTGGCCTTATTAGGGGCCCCGAAAGCAATTTCTCCATCATTTGTACCGTCCGCGTTTCTAGCAAGCGAAACCCCAAAGACATTGGCATTAATCAACTTGGCATCTTTAACGTACGTAAGCCATGTGCCCGGAGTCATCGAAAGTCCCAAAATACCCTCGAATGGAAATTGGGAGAACTGGTCTGAGGTGACATTCGCAACGCCAAAAGACATCGATACTTCTAATCCGGCGATGGATATGCTGTCGGATACGACATGCCCACTCACCTCGCCCGAGCCATACTGAACAGAATAGTTTTCTCCAGTGTCCTTGTATGTGTTGGAATCGTTCGGTCCAAAAGTGTTATGTTGGGTACAGGCCTCGGACGTGCAGCCCGAACCCATAACCCAGGTTGTACTTGCTCCCGTGTCGACCAGCATGTACAACGATTTCCCTTCCGAACCAAAGTCGGCTTCTATGAAATACGAGTAATCCGTTCCGTCTTGGTCAATACCCACAGCATTGCTTGTCTGAGGATCGACGGCACTAGATATCTTGAAATCATTTTCTCGATTGTGAAGAGACCGGGTCGGCACTTCAGATCCGTACTTCGAGGCTAGGTTCTGTATAGCCCTTGAAACTCTGTCTGGGAGGCTCGATTCAGACTTCATGACTGGTTAGTGGGTTCCCATCATGCATCTATTAGGGATTGACATACACCTGATGGCCTTTGTTCTAGTTTAAATGTGATAAAACCGAAATCTCCAGCGGTCTTGTCTGGGATTTGTTCATCTGGAGAGTCTCGTGCCTCTAGTCCTCCATAATTGCTCGAATCATGGCGTCGAGGGAGATATGGTACGGCGGCGTGTATACCAGTTATCCATAATAAAAGCTGAAGCGATACTATGGTCGGATACATATTGACAAGGTCCCACGTAGCCTTCCCCAGATCGAAGATGCCTGGCGTCTGGATGTGTTCGCCAGGATGAGTTGCTATGTAAGAAAGAATAGCAAACTAAACCGGCACACACATCTGGAGCAAATGGCACGCGGCCGATTTTGGACAAAGAAGCTTGCTATCAATGGACGAAGCAAGGAGTTGTTTGGTTAGTTGAAGTTTGGTCGAGCTGGTCTAACCGAAAGTGAGTGTAAGTTCCAGAGTCGCAGACTCTCCGGTCGTGTATTATAGTATTAAAGATTAAAAGAGCGTCATTGGTAAAAGCCGGGGGGGTTTAAGGGAAAATGATCCAACCAGGAGGAGGAACGAGTTACGACAGAAAAATAGGAGGTCGTCAGCGACGAGTATTGTACAAGGAACGTAGGGTCTCGCAGGAGTATTCGATACGTCGATATGGAATTCCAAGACAAGTGCGCCGGCGGGAGAAACACGTTTGAGAAATAAGACAGACAAGAAATTACAATCAGGCCTCCCGTTTCTAGTTGAATTACAATAAGAGTAAAGTTATGTATGTAGAGCAAAGCAAAGCAAAGTAAAGTGATGGTGATAGACGATGTGGCCAAGAAAGACGACCAAACCAATATACAGATTAGAAGTACAGCCGTGGAAAAGACATCGGGCGGGATGTGGAGAAGAAGGTATGTAAGGTGTCGTAAATGTGTGGAGGTCGGTACTGTGTAGAGATAATCGAGCACGACTCAAGACTGGAGGAGGGAGGAGACGAACCATGCTAACCAGCATCCTCCCCTAAGCCCCTGCACCATACATGCATACCATTAGAAGCCTACATGTAGCCTTCCTGGTTGGTTAGTTTCCTCGACGGGGATCTTGGAGTACATAACTACTACATAGTACATACATGATTACATATGTAGAATCATTGTAGATATGTACTGACATACTGTCGATTTACCTGCTTGTATTGTACAGTACAATACAATACATACTTATCTCTGTAACTAACTATCTAGTAGTCACCGTGAAATAATAAATAGTTTGCAACTTGCAATTCGTATTGCAGTTTAGGTACTTCATTGTTAGAAAGGAAGCTCAAGGTCAACCCTTGTTGACTACATCTACTAGGGGTAAATCAAAGATAGCTACATGTACCTATGTATGTATCTTTGAGCTCCCGGTTCGGTCATTTAATACTTAGATGTTACTTCTAGAATCCACTTGCCATAGGCTGCTAGCCGGGTATCTCATTAGTAGTATTTAGTACTACTACCATAGTATAATTATGGTGATCTACTTCAATGTTGGTGAAATTGGGATTTTGTCCTTATGGATCCGTGATTGGTCGATTGCGATAAATCCTTTTGTTTGTGGCGTGTGTAAGAGGCTAAGAGCTTATGGCTTCGAAGCCTCTTCGTGATAACTATTAACTATGTCTCCCTCGAGGCTCTGTCCCTTTCTCTCTTTCTCCTTACCTGCCACTCTATTCATACATACATATGTAGTACCAGACATATGTAGTTTACTTAAAATACCTCCCAACCATTTACATACATGTATATCACGAATACCCGAGCAGTTGGAACTTCTTATTGGACCCATTGGCCGGCCTTTTCGGCTGGCTTAGGAAAAGAAACTGAAAGCGGAGACTACCGCATCGACGATCGCACAAGGGTATCTCCATACAGTATCTGGAATGGTAGATTACGTGCAGGGATTTAGCACAATGACCACTTAGTGAGCCCAGGTCGACCTTAGTCTCAAGGTGGAGAATGATTCGATATGGGAATGGATAAACAGCCAAGAACGCTGGCTCTGGAGATCTTTGATTCAAGAAATCATATCTGTGATTCCTATCCTTGCCAACCCGACATCTACATGTCGCCAACTGCTATTCGCAAGAGCTAGTCAACTAAATAATAGATATTTAGGGTCCTCAAGCCAGCCTAAAGGGAGAATTCCACGATAGGGTAAGTCAGTATTGCGTGATGTCCAAGTAGAAATCGGGTCTGAATCAAGATGAGACTAATCCAGGGCGACACAAGGTAGCCGACCCAACCGATTCAACTAATGTCCAATTACGTATGGCGTCGTATGCACATACATATGTACCTACATATTAGCGGCCACCGGCCACCGGCCACGGCTCGAGAAACATAAAGCTTTCTCAAGGTTGGTATATTTGGTATATTTGGCATTCGTTGACCATAAGCCACCACGAAAATTTGTCCACGAGGTTGGCTTAACTCTCTAAGCCCGCATTGGACGCCGAATCATAACCATGAACCCGGATCTTTGCGCCTGAGTCAAGGGGGACTCGTAGGAGGATCCAGAGGATTGATGATCTTGATAATCCCCAAGTAGGTACGTGCCTATGTATGCTTGTATGTAACGGTTAGGCAAATTTCAGTGTTCTAATGTTGTGTGGCTCAATACCTAAAACGTAAGGTGAATAATATTATCTACTGGGTATTAATAGTAGTATACCTACCTAGGTTAGGTAGGTAGCGGGGATAGGAACATTGAATAGGAGAAGTATTTTGTGATCGCCGGTTACGTAGTAGAGCCGAGCCCCCTGCGTTAGTTACAGGATCTGGGCCTATCAGCATTGTTGCCGGTATGCTGCCGAGCCACGTTTTAGCCGCTCGAAATTCATCGTCGCAACCTCATTCTCTCAGCCGCCATTGGAATAGGTACCTTACTACGTAGTAGGGTAGTTATTGTGCAACTAATTAACGAACCTCATATCGAAGTAGATGATGATCCTACCTAACATTACGTCCATTACAAGAAAGAGACAGCCACATGACATAAAATATCCGGGTAGCTCGTTTCAGTTTTCTGACCGTCTATCTTTTGGTGGACGATCCCTCAGCCACCAAAGAGCACCCAACAATGTCAGCACCGAGGTTTTCATCTTATATTTGGCGGCCTTTCCAGACTAAAGTCTATGTATCCGCTATGTTAGGCTTTGCTAGAGGGCGATACATCTCACACCACCGACTTGCGCTATCTAACGTTCTCCACTGATCGTTGCCTTTAGGCGTTGTGGAAGCAAGATTTTTGTTTACGCTTAGGAATAATTCAAACAGTTGGTCGCTGATGAATCCTGTTGTTGCCAAGTCGCGCAGAAATATCCATACGGATTCGTTTTTCCAACGCAACGAATCTGTGATTTGTAAGACTTCTGTGAAGATGGAAGAGCTAATCTGCCGTTGGCTCTCTTCAGACTTAATCCCGCCTATGGCGTAGCTGAGAAAACTCCAGCTGGACGTGTCGGTATGATTCTTCAAGCAGAACTCCTTAACATCACCAACTATGTTTTCAGCGGATATCGTACGATGGCTCATTAAAAAGCGTGCATGGTGCCAAGCAGGGTAGTTGCGAGGATGTCGGATTCCTGCCACCATGACAACGTTTCTGATATCGTGCTGTAAGTCTACCCGCACGCCGCGAGCCGCGAATAGGCGAAGCAGCCAGCGTCGATGGGACCAAAGAGTGGGAGACTTGGCGTGGCGGTAAAGTCTGGACGTGAGCAGGCTATCCACGAATTGCTTCTCTCGTCTCAACGCCAACTCATCAGGCTCACTATCATTCAACGCTGATATGAGCAATCGTTTCCGAGTATTGGCAGCCGTCAGGTGCTCAGGATCCATGAGAAGCAGCACAGTTGTGGCACCCATTAATTCGCAGCGGGCGATGGGGCTTCCTTTTTGAGGGCCCTGCAGTGTCTGACGAGCAACGAAGAATGCTTGAACCAGTCTCAGCTTGGGTATTGCTACAGCGGTGCCATCTTTCAGGTAGTTAACACCTGGTTGTAGAGGATGGCTTTTCCCAAGGAACTCGATCTCTAGCAGCTCATTGTCTGGTAAATCGGTCAAAACTGTTGAGATGTCTTTATACACTTTATCTAGGTCATCAGCCTTTAGGTGATCTAAAAGATCTTTATCTAGCGAGCGGGACATTGATCGTGTAGGTAACTAAGTTTCAAGAATAAGATGAAATATTAGACATCCTATTCCAAATTACGTGAAAAGACACAGATTGTATGTCGTCGTCGATAGAGAAGACGCCAGAATGATTCGGTGGTGATGAAGCTTAAGAGATGGATTGGATAAGTAGCTGGATAGCTGGCTAGCTGGGCACATGGCAGTTAACTCGAATAGGTAACGGTGGGATGCATGTGGGGAAGGACGGTGTGGCTTCTATGTACATTGTAGACAGGTTACCTCAGCACCGAGGACTCACCAGATGCCAGGTGGCTCACGGTCTGCATAGTGGGGCTAGACCAGCTTACATGAATAGTATGGTATAAACTCATGATATAATATGTAATATTACACTAAACCCCGCCCAAAACATAAGCCTCAACAAGGTTTAAGGTTACATATACGAAACTACATGGTACAAAGTACAGAAGCTTGTCTTGTTGTCGTGGCCAAACTGATTCATTTGTGACGTATCCTCTCAAATCACGAAAAAGCAGTACGGGATATACAAAATGTTATCGCTGCTGCTTCTAGTTTTCCTGGTCGAGCTCGGCGCTCATCTAGTCAATACCATCGGTGCCGCGACCATAAATAATCTAGTGAGTCTCTATTTATCACTCTCCCAAGATCCAAGGCTTTGCCGTCTCGTCACGGCAATCGCATCGCTAACCGTGAAATAGCTATGGAATCTATACCTAGCCCTACCGACCCAGACTTCGAAACAGGCGGCAGAGAACAAAAAACTACAGAAAGACTACCTCACGATCCGTCGTGACTTGAATGCTACGAGCAGCCAGGATCAATTTGCGAAGTGGGCGAAGCTCCGACGACAACATGACAAGATGCTAGAGCAGCTCGAGAAGATGAGTACGTCTTATCCCGACATACGGAATTTAGTGCTGTGTTATGAGACCATGTAAACTAACAGGCCATGCGCGACTAGAATCATCCTACGAAGCCTCAAAATCGAAGTTCGAGAGCTCCATCGGTATCGTACGGTGGACAGCTACGACAGGATTGAAATTTATCCTCCCTTTCTGGTACGCTAAGCAACCGATGTTCTGGCTTCCGCAGGGCTGGTTTCCCTACTACGTCGAGTGGGTTTTGTCCTTCCCACGAGCTCCCGTTGGTAGTGTGAGCATCGCATCATGGCAGGCCGCCTGCACTGGAATGGTTCTATTGGCAAGTGACACGGTTGCAGCAATTTTAGGGTTACTATTTGGGGCCAAGGTTACCCCGGAACAACCGTTCGAAGGTGGCACGGAGAAGGAAACAATACCCAAGTCACAGGAGGCGAAGAGCAAAAAAGAATCATGAACACCTATGGATTAGGCAGGCTGTAATAGAGGGTATAGAGGGTACAGATACACGTATTATTCGGGCTACCCTGTGGTAATAACTATCTACTTAAGTAACATAGGTAATGTCTCTCATCTTAATTTGACGCAGAGTTTTTCATAGCATAGAAGCTCGTACTCTGTAACACGATTGAGATGACTCTTGGCAGAGTAACTTGGGGTCTTTCTAGGCAAGCAATTTGACTCTAGCGACCATCGAGAAAAGGGATCGCCAAAGCTTCGAAAGTGCCAACAATAAAGATAAATCATTGTCTTTAAGAGGTTTGTTACCTTGTATTTTTACCTGATGTTCTTCTTCATGTTCATGTTCTTGTTCTTGTTCTTGTTCTTGCATGCGGCCTGGGAAGTAAGGCACATATGATAATACAAGTAAATACTTGACTGCTTCATCCATTATCTTGTTTGGCTTTGTAGCCAATGGGGGAGCATACTCAGACTCGTACCTACTACATGGTAGGTAGTATGGGTTGAGAGTTGCATTGCATTGCAAAAACTGAATAAAATAGAACAGAAGGTGAGAAACAGGAAGGAAGATGTAGAGTTGAAGAGTTTTCTGTAACTATGTAAGTAGTAAGAAATTCCCAAGAATTTAAGCGCATCCTGAGGAATAATATGTACGCTAGTAATTAAATAATATGGGTACTAAACAGGCACAAGCCAATTATAGACCTTCCCCGCGTCACAGGTCAATCCATTCAATCCATTCAATCCTGTTGCCCCATAAGTTAATGCTTAGCAACTCGCTTACCCTTTTAAATAGCTTTAAATATAGCAGTGACGATCCGCTACAACCCGTTGAAAGGTTGAAAGGGAACAAACAGATAACTATTAACTTAAACCCGATAAGACTTTACATAGTACCTACTACCTAGTAGTCTAGTACTGACTTTCTTTACATCATCCATCTATCCATCTGGCCAAGCTGGCCTTCGAAATCCCATGGAAACATTTGACCAACGTTGTTTAAATACGGTATCTTGTATACCGCATACTTAACCTCTCATTAAAATACTGATCGAATGAATGATCAAATGAAACCTTGACAGACATGTTATAATTGCATACAAACCACTACAAGGCTGAACTGACATCATGGCGATTCCTTGGGGGACGTAAGTTAATGCCATTTGATGTCTATGCCATATACCTACCTATATATATATATATATATATATATATATATCGAATGTTAACAGTGTATGTACACTTTAAATGCTAACATCATTGCTGCTTAGAATCAAGTCCCTACTCATCTTCTTTGGGCCCATGCTCCTACCTAAAGCCATCTCCTACTACCGCAGCTTTCGTAATAAGCCCCAAGTCGCCGGCGTCACGGTGCGCCCGATCCCTCCCAAGGCCCTCAGAGCTCTTCTCGTCCTCGCTGCCGGCGCCTTCGTCTTCATCGTCCGCGCGCTCATCCCCTACTTCTCCCCCGAGAATATCTTCGTTCGCACCCAATCCCGCTTACAGATCCCGACAGACGTCCTCTTCAACCGTCTGGCCTCGTTGCGCCCGGACAATATTCTGACCGACGATGACAACTCCCTGCGCGCCAAGTTCGTCAATATGGAGTCCCGCGCCCTATACCTCCATTACGGCCCGGAGGCCCTGGCCCGATGTCCCTTCTGCACCTCAGACGACCCAGCTTCTTACTTCTACTATGCGGTCCCGACGCTCCTAATTCCCCATCTCGTTAACCTCATCATCCTATCCGTCGCAACCTCCGACTTCCTCGCTGGCCCCGTCGGCCCGAAGTGGCGCACCACTGCCACGGTTCTCATGATACTAGGTGTAACCATCGATCTGTCCGTAGTGAGTACCTACAACTACCAAGCAAACATGCGCATCAACCGTCTAGAGGGCCTCGACCTTTTCTTCTGGACCTCGCGCATACTCCGGTACCTAGGTCTCGGCGCTCTCGACCTCCTCCTCGCCACGCTGCTATACCTCTCCAGCACGAACCGCGCCTTCGTGACCCCCATCAGCGCCGCCGAGCGCGTCGAGGCCATAACGCGCCAGCTACAGACGGCCAAGGGGCGCATGAGCGCCATGGGCATCATAAAGAACACCACGATGCGCGACGAGGCTCTGCGCGAACGCATCCAGACCTACTGGCAGACCGAGGGGCGCCTCATGAGCACCGCCTTGGAGGACCGCGAGGTCATCGAGGGCATCAACGACGCCCTCCAAAACCGCATCAATATAGAGGATATCACGCGCGATGCCGAGGCCTACTCAAGTTCAGCGATCCCGCGTCTCGAGGACCTGGCGCCACAGACGACGGTCGGATGAAAGAGAGTGTGTATGGGTGTAATGCCTTCCCCCCTTATTCACCTACGTACGTACCTTAGTAGGTTAGTAGGTACGGTACATGGGTACCTAGGTAAACACCTAGCTAGCCCTAGAGGATATTTGATAGAATGCCTTGTGGCTGTTATGTATAACAAGATAGAAAAATAGGTACAGCGAAAAGCAAAGCAAATCAAATCAACCCCAAAGTAAAGAAAAGGCGAGATCATACCCTAGGTACTCTACATGTACGTACTATAGCGATATGCTAGATAGATGATGGAAAATCAAATCAACAACTTTGGTTAAAAACCCATATATAGGTTCCTACCTACCTACCTACCTACCTACCTACCTACCTAGACCTCAAGGCAACATAACATAGCACACGATATATGAAGTAAAATACTAGGTTAGGTTAGATAGGCAGATAGTGCGCTTTGTGGTAAATGTGCGAATTTGATGGTACATTCGATCCAAATCTACCCAAGTACGAAAGAATTCCTTATTGGGATTTTCTTCCTTTCCTTCGTCTCTCTCGCTCTCCCTTTCCCACACACTTACATATACACACACTATTTCTCTGTTGTGTTGTGCCCCTTTCCTTTCTCTTGCGTAAGGTAGGTAAGTAAGTCTGTCCTGAGACTTACTGACTAGGTTAGGTACAATGTAGCAAAACTAGGTACCTATCTACTGGACACAAGGCTGGTTTTGATTTGGTATTGGTGGGCTTGGTATGTGGCTTTGGTTGCAACCTAGAACGAGACGCCACTCGTTCTAGAGAAGTTCATAAATACCTACCTAACTAATAGGTAGGTTAGGCCGGTGCTGAAGCGGATATGAGAACGAAGCCTCGATGATTTTGGGGTGGGAATGGGAGAATGGGAATGAAAAAAGAATCCAAGTACGGCAACCACCGCTTTGGTTCGATGGATAGAAATAACCCTGCCCTATCATGCCATGTCATGCCATGCCCTGCTCTGTCCCTTCGTCGTCGTCCCCTCCTGCCAATTATCAGAATATCACATCCATGTGGTCGTTTCCTCTCTCCCCTTCCTTGGGGTTCCCGCCGGTATCCCGATGAACGCCGTGAAAATGACAATATAGGTATTGGATGGATGGTGTATGCTTTGAGCTTTAATGTCACATGGAGTCGATGGTACTCGGAAAGGAAGGGGTAGAATAAGGAAAATTAAAACAGGAGAGAAAGGGAATAGGTAAAAAATGCATTATACTGATGCAGGATAATACAAGTAGGTATGGGGCTTGAGATAGGCCGCTACTACCAGAATTAATGAGTCCCTCGCGTATCCGGTCTCGTGCCAGCTGTACTCGACATGCTTCCCTTTCTCGACGTGCCATCTTGAGACGCCTCATCCACGCTTCGTTCCAAGAACCCAGCCCATAAATCAGCCAGGGACTCTTTACTAGCTGATGTTGGCGTCGGCTCGGAAAAGAAATCCGCGCTGAGAGACGGCGTACTAGGCGTCCTGTGGAATGGGGAACTTGGCAGGCGTAGAGAATTGCTAGAGGCTCCTGGTCGGGCTAACCCGGCCTGTTCCCTCTGTTCGTCTGTCCAGTTCAAAAGACCGGCAATGATCTGGAGAATCTGGAACTTCTTGGGATCGGAACGGTCAAGAGCGAGGAATTGAAGAAAGTGGTTGGTAACAATTTGTCTATACGGTGTCAGTGGGCTTGCCATAAGCGGTTGCGTCGGTATAGTAGAACTAACCTATCAATACTGTCCTCGGGCTTGGTTTTCTTGAGATATCGAAGAGCTTTAGTTAAGTGATCGTTGAGGACGATGGCCTCGTGTCTTAATTTGCCAATGAGGAGATTCTTCTCCTTGACCTCCTTTTCGAAAGGCGCTGTGCGCTCAAGTTCCTTTTGCAACGTGGCTTTGACCTTCTCCGCTTCCGTAGCTCTCGAGTCCGCGTCGAGAACAAGTTTCTTGAGGGCCTGGAGTTGTTCTTCAGACGTCTCGACCATCTCGCGCAATTCCTTTTTACGGGCCTCCTGGATCTCCTGGAGTGCTCTCTGAAGGCTGTCGACGGCTTGCGACTGAGTATCTCGTTCCGAGGCAATCTGTTCGTAGCTCTCTCGCATGGACGAAAGCTGCTCCTCTAGCGCTGCAGCCTTCTCAGCTAGACTCTCCCTGATCGACCGCTCCTCCATTGCGAGCACTTCCCAGTCACCCATTGCGTCCTTAGCCGCTTCTGCCTCCTCCCTTAGCTGCCGGATTTGTCGCGTTAGATCCTCCTTCTCCTTCTCTGTGTGAAGAAGCGACAAGTTACTCCGATTGCGCAAACCGGTTAACTCTCTCATAGTATCTTGAAATTCGGCCTTAAGCTTTTCGATCTCATCTTGGTGATCTTGTGCGCTCTTTTGAAGTTCCTCGTTCTGGCCTTCTAGTTCTTCGATACGTTGGTTTGCTTCTTCTAATTCTTCCTTTCCTCTGGCTAATCTGTTGCCAACGCTTTCCTTGATTTTCTCGACTCTACCCATGAGGGTTTGATACTGCTCTTCTACTTGCTCTTTTGCGGATTCGGATTCTTCTAGATCCGACTTGAGCTGAGTGACCTCTTGTTTGTGGGTTTCTTGTATGCCTTCAAGTTGTTTCCGCAGCTGCTCGACCTCTGCTCTCAGAGCCTCGCGCTCTTGCGTTATAGCATCTAGCCTAGCGCTTGTATCTGTGGGTTCGGCCGTTTCTTGTGAGTTGGGCTCTTTGTTAGAGTAGCCATTGGTGGTGGGCGACGTAGCATGCCCATTTGTAGATTCATTATGTGTATCCTGGAGACTAAGTCAGTCCCATCCTTATGATATGAGGCTTGAGGAAGATTGTGGTCAAGTTCACCTCTATTATGGAGGAGTCTGGGTCATCAGACTCATTCCCTGGGGTTTCAGCGTGTTCTCCATCTGGCATGGTATTTGGGAGTGTACTGCCATCGTCAAGTGGCTTTGGCTTTGCATTGTTCTTCTTCTTTTTGTTATTCTTTTTCTTAGCAACTGAAGGATGAAGGGTCAGTTATTAGATTGGACGTGCGGGATAATGAGGGGGATGGTTGATGACTGACCTGTATTTAATTGTTGCGATGGCTCGGTAGGTGCCATTATGAGATTATTTAAGAGGCATCAAGGTGTTTAGCTTAGGTAGATTCATAGATCGCAGGTTGAGTTTTGAAAGATGATTGAGAGAAAGTTGCGCCGTTCAGTTGTAAATGGAGAATCCACAATTTCCACACGTAAGCCCTTTCGAGTTAATTGACTTTGGAGCATCAAATGTTAAGGTTAACTATTTTTAAATTCATCTGACCAATCAAATCGCCGTCGATTGATTGAATAACCTTGGAAATGTACCTGCACACGCAACTTCAGCAGCTACCAACCACTGTAACGCGGGGGGACTTATCCGCCTGTAGTACCCTTCATTTATCGCCCTTTATATAATAGCACCACATTCAGACCAGCACGTGCACTTCTGTGACAAAATTCGAGACTCAGCTCATGTATACCTATGTATATTCAATGATACTTGTAACTATTATCATACTTGTATTATTACGTTGTAGTTAGTAAGTAATGTAGCTTAGTAGAAATGCATCATCTACGTAACTACTACTTGCTATCAGGGTCTAGACCATCAGTTACCATCTAGAAGTGACATCCAAAGAAGTCTAGAGTTGTAAATAAAATAAAAACAGCCTAGCTAGAAACCCTGGTATACTAATATAGCAGACTTAACCTCAGCAGACACGAAGTTGTCTAACCGAAGCTAACGACATTCATGTATCAATATTGATACCTACTAAGATACCTACTAAGATATCTAACCTAGGTAACTACCTAGTAGGAATCTTAGACGCAAGGTCAACCGAGAGTAGCCATATGGACCTTTGGTGTGAATTAATTATGGATATTATTACATACCTGCATACCTAGGTACGTTTTGTCCTTTAACCTCCCGGGGATTGCATTCAAACAGAGTTATCTTCATAATGAATATGTATAACTAGTGTATTGTACATAAGCCCCGCTGACATCTCCAATCAACTTGAACTAAGAAAAAAGATAGGGTTATCCACATGTGTCACTTGATTGGTCAATCTTTGTTACCCATAAGATCTCAAAAAATTGAAACATTTTAGGATCTTTCTTTTCTTCTTCACATATTTTACCATCTTCACTGGATCCTTTTGGAATCGAAGCTGCCGCCACTTAATTGTGATGCTCTGATGGCTGGTTCATAATTCTAGTTGAAGTAGAATGATATTTGCCTTTCAAAATCCCGGTGTCTGCCCGACTTAGTCAATGGTACGGCGGGTTCGCTATGCGCAAATATGATAAGAATACCTACATATCGAATGAGGTACGTAGGCATGTAATAACTAGGTTAGACAGACAGAAAACAACGACAATGAACCTCCAGTGCTTGAATATAGGAAATCATCATGAATTTATTAAACTACTCGATACGCCCTAGAACCCTTATGCTGCAACCTTCTTAGCCTTAGATGACTTCTTTGCCGCCTTCTTGCTTGACTTGGCCGTGCTTTGCTTGCTCGCTTTAGCAGGCTTCTCGACAGCTGGCTCACTGTCCGGCAACTCATTGCTCTCAGTCTTTTGTTCTTCCTCAACATCGACGGCCACGGGGGCTGAAGCCTCAGGAGCTGCCTCGACAGCCTTCGGCGCCTCACCATCCGTACCTTCAAGTTCGGCAGGGACTCGCTCTACTTCATCAATAGACTTGATCTTGGGCGCCTCAAATTCGTAGCCCATGTCCAGTAGCTTTTTTGCTCGTTCACTGCGCTTCTGTTCTTCCTTAGAGATCTTCTTCGTCCATGTTGATTCTGATAGTGGCTTCTTGAGAGCATTGCCGGTCAATTTGCTTCGAGGAATCTTGTTGAAGCGCTTGTTGGCACCTTTCCAGACATTTTCATTAATTTGCGACTTTGGAACGACCTTAACCTTCAGTATTCGACCAAAAAGAAGATAGTTATCCATAGTCTTTGCGACAACCTCTGCAACGGGCGCAGAAGCAAATTCAATAAAAGCGAAATGCTTGCTGGCTCCTGTCTTCTTGTTTCTCGACATCCTGAGTCTCTCAACATCGCCGAATTGTGAGAAATAAGAGCGCATCTCACGCTCGTAGAAACCATCTATAATCGTTAATATCTGAGGCCCGTCTGAGAATGAATTGATCTACTTACGCGGCAAGCGACCGACGTATACAACACCACGTTCGCTATCTTCAGATTTGGCAGACTTGAGCAGCTTCGCAGATTCTTTCGGAATTTCGCCTACGTCTTGCCCCTCTTGAAAGGTGACATCGCCATCAGTCACAGCATCCTCGCTGTCGTCATCGCTGTCATAAACCTTTGCAAGAGCCTGAGCATCGTCTTGTTCGTTATCTGATGACTGCACTTCTTCTTCTTCGTCCTTCGCCTCACTATCCGCTTTGTCTGTTGGGATTGTGGATTGCGCGCTCTTGGAAGCCTTCGTCTTAACGGGTCGGTCATCGGATGCTATAGCTTTCTTCGATCGACTAGCATCTTTCGTTGGCTTTGACTTCTTCGTCGAGACTGGGCTTGCATCATCGGCAGCTAAATCATTGGTATAAGCTTAGGAAGTATACGAGAATATGACACTTCATGCTCACCCTTTCTTTTAACAGCAGGAACCTTGGCTTTGGCTTGAGACAAGGGCTTCGGGGCCGATATGACAGCTTCTAAAAAAAATATTAGAGGATTGGCATCTTAAATCAATTGGATTAGAAACTTACCCTTGGGCTTTCTCTTTCTCAGTTCTGGTGCCATTTTAAATGAGTATTTTTCTTCAGAGTTCCTTGTTGTTGAGTACTATATATGTAAGTACCAATTCAGGACGGTTTTTTTTTTCTTTTTCCTTTTGCGCTTTTGCTTTGCGCTGGGGATTCTGCCGTACAAATTTTGGCGGTGAAAGAAAGAACCCCACATTCCCCGGGTACTTGTCCAGGTATTTGAATTTTGTACAGTGGACCGTGGTACAGCCTGTGCCCTGTGGACCGTGCATACAACATTGAATTACAGTAGTTAGTAACTAACTATTTGAAGCAGCTTCAAATTGAAGGTGCCTTGTGAATATCAACAATACTCAGTGAAACTAAGTCCTCATTTACCTAACCATAAAAATAAAAATAAAAATAATTCATTTGAGCATGCGAGAAACTCACAATTTGCCAATTTCGAATTAGGCGAACCAGAGAAGAAGTCTTGGTCTACGACAACATTGAACACTCCTTTCCTCTCTAAGATTGGTTTTCACAATAACTATTACATAGTGACCTTTCTAACATCAATCATTTCTTTCTTCAAAACAGCGATAACATCAGCAGCAACAACAACGGGACTGATTCGCACGTGCACTCATTAAGAGACGAGTCGTCAAGATGAGTCCATCTGAGGAACCACTAACCCACGATGAGATTTGGGATGACTCAACCCTTGTTAGATCGTGGGATGATGCTCTAGAAGAATACAAGGTACTTCCAAGATCTCGCACATCAAACTGATTAGTACTCTGCGGCTCACCACTGTTGTCAAGAAATATCACAGCATCCACAGAAATGGAGGTAATGTGGAAGATCTTCTAAGCTCTAACCAGTGCGTATGATTTTCCCCTATTCCTAGCAGCCTTCAAATGCTCACAGAAGATCCTTCAAGGACTACTTCGGATGCCAAGAATGGGGCTGATGAAGCCCACGAACCGTCAACCCGTGATGGTCCCCAAACAGATTCCGAAATGAGAGGGGACACCACTGTAAGTTATCATCCAGACTAAGTTGAATTACTCCCCCCAGAAAATCTTCCGGGTGATCAATAAAGCTTGGCTTAGATCTCCCAAGATTCTGACGAAACACAGGACGGAAGACAAGAGAACGGAAAGTCAACCATCCAGCATAGCCATCCGCTTGGTGGAGGTCCCGGCCCTGGAGGGCTACTAGGTTCAGGTGAGCATCAGACGAGCCCCAGTCGTCCTGACCTGTCGCGATAAGGAACAGCCCTACCAGAGACAACGTTTAACTAATGATTATACTATAGTGCAAGACGAAGGTCTCAAGAGACTGCTAATGTCATGGTACTACGCAGGCTATTACACCGGCCTTTACGAAGGCCAACGCCAACAAGAGCCACCTCAACAAGAATCTGAAAAGAGGTGAAAAATAATACATAAGTCTAAAGGGTGCGCAAGTCGACCCGAGATCTACAGTCGTTGCAAAATCGTTCATGGGATTGGCTCGATTAACAAGGATTCGTAACGCCATGCGTTACAACCTTCTGAGGAACGCTCTTAAGGATGGTGACGTTGTCATCTGGGTTACGCTTTGTAATGGGCATGCGACAAGTAACGCATCAATTGTAGCTGTTGGAAAGAGTCCAACAGAGCACTACAAATTACTACATAGGTAGTAATAAACGATGAGGAGGAAAAGGGAGGAGGGAGGAGGGAGGATGGAAGGAGGAATCAAGTCAAGGCTGTATATATGCATGTTACTCATGAAAACCATGAACAGACTCTTCCCTATTCCGGACTTTGAATAACAGCCTAGCCGTGATAGGTTTGTTTCTTTTTATTGAACAAGAAACAAAAGCTGTGAATTGTTGGAATCCCCCTTGTGAGATTCAAGAATGATCCTATTCAGAGTGACAATCTCAAATCCAACACTTGGAATGGGCAGTCAACAGCACTTTCGTTACCACTCCTACATCTAAGCGCTTAAGTCACTCTAACATAGTTAGTTACTATGTAGAATTATGATATTATGGCAGTCGGTATTATACTATGTCGTCGTATAGGTTCAGCTATTATCTAGAGGCCGCCAGTTTCAACTCATTGCGCGCTTTTAGCACATGACAGTGATGACACATGGTAATTCTCCATGAGGCCGGAAGTTGGAAGGATGGCAAAGGAAGCTGTACAAAGTAAATGAGACTAGTCAAGAAGCAGCATACTTTGCGGAAGAACCAGTAAGTATGTAGTTAGAGGGCAGGGATATTTTCATAAGCGTGATATGTAGACTATTGTAGTAATACTACAAGATAAGGTTGGCCCTTAAGCAGGTACAGAAATCCCATGCAATCCCATGTGTTCCAGAAGTTCAGATGATAACAAGGATTTGTTACTTAACTATCCCCAGGGCCCCAGATCTCCTCTTAGGCTCTTACAGATAATAGTTAGTTACTAGAAGGAAACATGCACGTTTCATGCCAAGGACTGTTGCATTGGTTCGGTAACAACTTGGAAGTCCCCTTTTCTTACATCCATAGATTCTAGAGTACGGACATAAGCGCCAGTACTTAATATGTATGTAATATTCAATGTGAACTTTGATGTCACTATTCAATGTTGTACGGCATAGTAAAGGACGGAATAGTTGAAGGTTGATCCCGACTCCCTGACAAGTTACAACTGAACTTAATGCTTGCATGTGGTATAAGTTAATTGCCAAGCACGGAGTACGGCAAGCTAAAAGTCAGTAAAAGTCAGTTAAAAGTCAACTTTAATAGCTGACATCTTATAGGACGCCTTAGGTGGATAACAAAACTCAATTCAACATTGACTATTAACTATGTACTACTAGGTACTAGTAGTACCTGCTACTACCTGGGCCTTGTGATGGATGATACATGCCTAGTATTCACACGGCTGGCTCATTTCAAAATCCATCTTCACCGTCAAATCTTAAAAAGAACTCATTTCATAACTCGAAGGTAGTAATTATTTCAATTCATTTGGTATACACATATGTAAATCATTGACAGAATGGATCAATTTAGGATTAGAGACTCCTCCTACCAGGGTAAGTTGGGGTTTGAGCTATGACATTTAATCCTTGTACCCCTGATCTATAAGTCTGTTTAGGCGAAGGGTCAAAACACCATCCGAGACATTTCTGTCACAACCTCCTCCTAACTCTAAGCATCTAAGGTAACCCAAGCCCATGGCATACCTTGGTGCCGCCAGACCCGTCCTGGTTCTAGGACCGCCTTATTCTACATACTATGTTAGTATGTCGTACCTAGGGTATACTACTAATACCCTAACTACCTAAACAGTTCAAATGACATTCTTCCGAACGCCGCCCATCTGTGTACAACTCCACTTTGAGATCGGCTACTCTTGGCCCCGGGCAGGCATACCTAGGCATACCTAGGCATACCCAGTTGCATCCTGCACGGAGGTTTTGCTAGACCTGTTTCGAGAGCAACTCCTGGTCAAGGAGGCAAGATGTCAGGATGCCAGGGCACGCTCCAAGACCTGATGGATCTTCATCTTCGATTTAAGTAACGAGGTCCCCCTTCTGGCCCAAAGGTGGGTTGTTTCTTCTTCACTCCTCTAAAGACGACTTGTTCTGTGTATACGCTCTTTTCTTTTCGCTCTCTGTGCTTCGTGTGCTTTATCACTATCCATTCTCTTAATTACGAGCAGGCCCTCGCCTTTACAGCATCTCATTTGCCAGGTCCAATACGGTTATTCAGGAATTTCCATCTACAACGACTCCTTCCGTAAACATTACGTTTAATTCCTATTAAATCGACATCATGAAGTACGCCGCAGCTCTATCGCTAGCCGTTGCGCCTCTGGCCATCGCTAAAGCCGTCCACAATGTCTACCCTCAACACAAGAGGACTAGCCACATGAAGGGTGAAGCCTCCAAGGGTGAAGTTCTTAACCTGATAGAAGGCGTCTCTCTCGGAAGCACGACTCAGGTTATTGTCATTTGGGCGAACCCTGGAGCCAACGCCGAGACCACAACCCTCCACGAGCAGGTTACCGTAACCCAGACAGTTACCGCTGGTGCGCAAGCAACAGTAATTGGAACCGATACCCTCGCTCAAGGTGCTACCACCACAGCCGTCGCTGGCGCGATACAAACACACCACGTCCAGGTTGGTGGCGATGCCGGCCTCGTCTTCACCCCCGCTGAGGTGAAGGCCAACGTGGGCGACATGGTCGTCTTCGAATTCATGAGCATGAACCACACTGCTACTCAATCAACTTTCGCCGAGCCTTGCAAGGCTATGGAGGGTGGTATGGACTCTGGTTTCCAGGCGAACCCCAACAACACCGTCTCCCCCGCTCCCGCCGTTGCCATGCAAGTCATGACCACTGAGCCTTTATGTGAGTAGAAATCTTCCCATTCACATGCAATTATTCATAACTAACCAATTCCAATAGGGTTCTACTGCAAGCAGAAGGGTCACTGCGGCAAGGGCATGACCTTCTCCATCAACCCTACTGCTGAGAAGTCCCAAGCTATCTTCCAGCAAATGGCCATTGCCCAGAATGGTGCCGGAGCCGGCAGCGCTATCACCGGCAACGCCACTGAGACTGCCCCTGCCGCCTCTTCGGCTGTTGCAGCCGCGCCTCCTGCTGCCACAGGAGCTGTCGAGATGCCCTCTGGCGTCACCCCCGGCTCTGGCCTCATGGAGAACGGTGCTTGTGTTTGCGCTGTTACCTGCGGTGCTGGCAGCTTTCCCGCTGTACAGGCCCAAGGTGTAGGTGCCTTCGGTGGCTTCGCAGGTTAGTAGCTCTTCCAATCAGATCTGTCTTCCGAAGACAATATGCTCATCATCTTTGTAACAGGAGCTCTACCTTCCGGCATGATGGAAGCCTAAGGGAATAATGGGAGTGGCGTCCGGTTTTTGGGGGGAATCACGAGTATGATACCGAGGCGAACTTGCTAGCTGCTTGCAGGGAGCGAGATGGTCCCATGTTTCCGGAGGTTAAAACCTGAATGACTACCTAGACTTCTTTTTTTCGATATTACCTGGCATTTGGGGGCTTTTTTTTGAACAATATGACTGGATCGTATACTATATAGGTGCACTTAATAGGTCATCATAAGAAGTAAAATATTACTTCTGTTTAATATCGTAACCTTGCGTCTTTTGATTCACTTTGACTTGATTGGCCGATTGTCTTGCTTAATTACTTTAAACTTGTGTGTTGTGATGCTATTATGTTGAATACCAAAACTGTCAATACGTTATTACGCTACGTCTAAGTCACAAATGATTTTAGATTATATTAGGTGCTGGACTATATATCACGTTCACCTAAATCAACGACGAAGAGGGAAGGAAGGGCAAGGAACGAAAATGTGGGAAATGTCCAGACGCCGTAGCACGTCTCGGAACCGGAGATCCTGCTAAAAAAAGGGCAATTTCGCCTATGTGTCGTGATATCGTGAAAACGGCTTCTTCTTCCTCCTCATCATCACACACACACACCCAACGTCTATATTAGTTTAATAAATAACTTCTCTCCTTGCGCGCACGCCTGCCTCTACGTTTGGGTTTTTTTACTTCTTGTCTCCGGCTCCTTGCTTCTTCGCGTCGGCTAGGAAAGGGGGATCGTATCAGTTATTTTGTCCATCATATGGTTGGGGTGTGTAGGGGTATGTTGTGCATGGATAGGCGGTCTATGTGGAGGTGAGGTAGATATAGGTGGATAGGTAGGTAGGTAGGTAGGTAGGTAGGGTGATCGTGGATTGTTAAATCTTACCAGCAGCTTGCTTCTTGCGCATCATCTCGGCGACGGCTTCCTTGTCGCGCTGCATCTCGAAGCCAGTCTTGCCGCTCTTTGATTTCTGTAGGAGGGAGAGAGAGATGATTAGTATGGATGCTACGATCACTTTTTATACCACAGTGCCTGGTTTTTTTTTTTTTTTTTTTTTTTATGGCTGTTGGATGTCGAGATGGTCGGCAAGAAAAGTTGATTGATGAGACTTACCTGAGCAGCCTGGGCTTTGAGGTTCTTCTCACGCGCCTTTTCACGCTGGTTGCCGCGAGCCATCGTTTATTTGGCTTTCGTGTTTGTTTGACGAGATTTAAAATGAAGAAGGGGTGTGTGGTAGAGCGGCGCTTGATAAAACGCGAAGGCGAAGCGAAGAAATGCTTTGTTTGTCGGGGTTGCCCTTTGTCGGAGGTAGAGAGGAAAAAGAGAAAGGGTGGGCGAGGAGGAAGAAAGAGTTGTTGGGTTGACTTGGGTCTGACTAGTGTAGTGTAAGGAGGAAAAAGAAAGGGATACAGGGCTAGGCTGGTTCATGTAGGCGTCTAGCCGCCTGGGTTCCTTAAAATAGGCGGGAGAAAAAAGAGCAAAAGGTACGGGGTTTAGGGGGAGACAGAGACGTGGGGTTTCCACTTAGAGCCGCGCTGTCAGCTGTAATGTCAGCTTTAATTAGGTACCTAGGGTATGTATCGCTGTGGGCGCGTTTAGCTGCTTGGAGCGCAGACCCTTTTCAGTGGGCCTGGTCAACTGTAAATGCCTGTAAGCATGGGCGCCAGAACCCACGGGGGAGACTCCTGAGCCAATCATGCTGCATTGTAATCGCCTATTTGGCCCGCAAAACGGGTACTAGACCTTCTGAATCCTTCTGAACTCTTCGAAGGATACATATGTACCTGGAGCATTTCAATTGTGGATGAATTCGATCACTCTTCAGATTTCCAGATGTCTGTTAATAGACATGTGTACCACATAGGTCTGTATCATCATTCATGTCTGGTCATCTCTTTGAAATCGGTCTGAAGCCCATACGTTCTGTAGTGAAACAGATCAGTTATATATTTTATATTTGTAATACATAGTACAGTCCGCAGACATGAAGACTGGGATGCATCATAACTATGTATATTTTTATCGCAACTTACACAAGGGTGCCTACTGTAATATGAACATTCAATCTATTCTGTAAAGTGTTCGCGGTACATACGACATATTATATGAATATATTATATGAATATATTACCATTTAGCTAAGGATCTTGGTGGGGTTATTCATGATCGATATTATATGTGTAGTTACATGGGAAATAGGCCAAAAAACGACATCTGGGCGTGAAACAATGTTAGAGAATTGTCAGCCAATAGATCTGTAGTCCCAACCCAATTCTCACGATGTATTCGCTCAAAGGAGCAACACCGTCTTGAAATCATTGGATGAGGTGAGGTTTCGCTGCAGGTTCAATATCACATACCCTACCTGCCGGTTTCTCATTATCATAGTACGTGGATCGTTAAAACTTGTGATTCGTGTCAGTTCGCCAAGCAGATTGTTGCATGGTGTTGATCTAAACTGACGAAGGGAACTGATTCACCCACCTGCATCGCGGGAGGATGCAAGCAATTCATCTCCAAGATCAGGTCCTCGTACCCCTCTAACCCTAACCTAGTATAATGGGTAGGGATGAATCCTTGCTAGGTTTTTGGCGAGTGTAGATATTTCGATCTTAACCGGCTCCTAAGAAATTCACGGGCACTTACCGGCCAATGGCTTGAGCTATTTCGAGTTCCTTTAAGGATGCACCTCAGGCTACAATCGAGCCCGAGACCATTCACCCTCCAGACCGTCCATTGGCCAGGCCAAAAACAACTGCCCAATGCGAAACATCGATGCCGCCCCGAAAAGAGCTGCTAGGTCAGGTCCTTGGTCTTCCTATTGTTCGATTGTTCTATTAAATCATTATCTTTCCTTACAACCCTTCTTTAAAGGAAATTTTCCTTTTTTCAATTATTAAAAGATCCAGAGCGCCTGGTCTGCCAACTTTCATTGTACATCGACCTGGAGTGACAAGGACCCATTGTCCTTGACGGACTCACATAATACCAATATCTTCAACTTCATTCATTGTCTTAAACCCCATAAAACTTTTGTTGATGCGCCTGGCAGCGCCTCACTTTCCCTCCCTCACACGCATAACTTTCCTTCCACGTCTCTTCTCGACCAAATCTCCTCCGCCAACCCACGTTCATTCGATCGAAATCTCCAGATCTGCTAGCCAGATTCCTCGTTTGTATTAAAGAAAAAAAAACTCACAACTGCTGGCAGTTTCAACGGTTGGTTCCCTTTTTCTAGAACCCCGTAATGCTACCAAAGCAACGAAACGCTAATGCTTATATACCTAGAGATATCACACTAGGTATTACCAAGGCCCTCAAGATGGTGGGAATAAAATCTGGTTCCGGCTTCCAAGGCTCTGCCTACGTCATCCTTCAGGTAATTCGCTACTGTAACATCGCCGTTCTCCTCGCCGTTATATTCGTTTCGGGAGTTATGATGTACTTCGCCAAGATGCCAAACGGCTTCCAGTTCTTCAATGACGTTTCCCTGGCTTTTGTTATCGCCGTCGCCGGTCTCCTGCTGTGGACCGAGCTTCCTATTAACTTGGGCAAGAGAATCATTGCAGAGAACTGGCCCGTCATTGGTGAGAATCGTGGCTTCACCTGGCTCGGTGTCGCCATGATTCTCATGGGCAGTCATCATCTGGGCGCGCTCAGCAATGACACCTACAACAACAAGAACGTACCATTCCAGGCCTGGCAAGCGATCATGGGATCCGGTATTATCGCCATCGCTTTCGGCGTCACCAACATCCTGGCCTCGCTCATCTTTAGCAACCGAACCAACGGTGTCCACGCTCGTGAGGTTCGTAGCAATGGCGCAACTACCAGGGATGTCAACTTCACCGAGGAGTATGACAGCTACCGAAGCAACTCGATTCGCAAGGAGAAAACGAAGAGCCTATGGTTCCTCGGAAAGGGCGCTGCCAAACCTAAGATCAGCCACCCCATTACTCGCGATGTCGAATACGGACAGGACGACCAGCTCCCCATCGTCGATGACCGCAGCAGCCCGATCATCCCCGATGTGAAGCGTCCCCCAACCGCACTACACCCTGCCTACAATGCCGGATCAAGAGCCAGCCGATACAGTGAGGCCAGCCATCTTGATCGCTTTACTGAGAATAGGATATGAGTCTCGCGACCTTTATGGAATGGCCAGGGGGTTTCAGCCTAGGTAGGCACTGAATACTCATAGCATAACGACATCCACGGTGTTCAGTGAGGAGAGGCGTTGCGGTTGATTTGCAGATACCCTGAATCGGGCCAACAGGCATTATTTCCTTTTTTTATATTTTATCCAATGGGTTCATTATAGCATTGATTAGGTAATTAGGTGGCATGAGGTATGCATGGCTTGGACGACGATACATTAATTATGACTTTTTCTTTTCCGTTATGCAAATTGATTCAATGTTGTATTCTTTGAAGTGTGATGAATGCTGAAGATTGAAGTAACATGAACTGCAGTGTGGTACTACTGTAGGTAGAGTACTATTGATGAGTCATCACGTATTGATGTCTTTCAATAGGTTCGCACGTGACCTTTCTAATTCCATTCATTGTCATTCAATAATCCTCGTACTGTGTACCGAGGAATTTATTACCGCAGTAACCACATTCATGTCACTGGTACTAGATCAATGGTAGTACTGTGTACATAACTAATACTCTTTCCGATGTACTAGTGATTCTACTATTCTAGTGCATGTAACTTTTCCGTGTACTACTAAGGTTAGTACAATACATACATACATGGACTTCATCGACCCAAGCTTCCCATCTCCTACCACTACAATAACCTCAAATTTATTTTGCGCACCTTTGGACCTTCTAACTTTTAACCCAAGACAACTTTGTTGAAATTGGACTTTTCGCTTATTTTAGCAAATACTTCTACTTTCCTCCTACCTTCAAAACAATTGTTCATTCTTCGCAACGGCCTTTCATCTCTCTTTCACTCCTTCTTTAACATCGACGCCATCCAACCTTGTTTCTTAACCCGTTTCCTGTCCTCGGACCAACAACACGCTCTAGTTGATTTTCAACTCGTTTCGTTCACGTTCACGTTCGCGTTCGCGTTCAAAACATTTGTCGATTAGCACTATACTGAGTAAGGGCTTAGCAAGAATCATTAAAAAGCATTGCGCGCGTAGTTCTCGCCCGGAGGCCCCGTCGGCGTAGCGGGGTCCTCGCGAAGGCTGTCGTTGATGGTTTTGAATGCTCAATACCTAGTCTTCCAGTATTGAACCACAATTTGGCAAATTCGGAGAGTCAACCAAGAACTGCCTAGCATTTCCATTCTCCCACTTGTCTTCTTTCTTTCATGAGAACATTGAATGCGAAACACACACAGTGGCTATAGCATTTACGACATTACCTCGGAACTCGACGATTATTCCTGCACCAGTGCTACACATTGAAGAACAACAACCACCACCTAACGAGTTTTAATATTACGATACCTGACACCATCCTTGGCGACATTACCCTTCAATAGCACCTTCCTCATCTTAATCCCTTTCTACTTCCATTTAATTCAGCAACCATGTCGCACGAATCCGAGTCCGAGGCTGTGGCCGCCGATTTCCGTGACGCTCTCGACGACCTCGCCGGTTTTGCTCGCGCTGAAATCAATAACCTTACTCTAATCGCAAGAGAGAATACTGAGCATGCCCTCGCTATCTCTGGAGCTCTTCAAGAGCACATCAAGCGAGTAAGTTCACGCTTCCTCCCTTCCTCCCCTCCTCTGATTGTGGTACATCATACGTGTTTCATTTACATGTCACGTTGTAACTAGGGACAATATAACGTGTATACACGTATTAGTATACTAACAGGTGCTTATAGGTCGTTCCTCAAAAGAAACTCCCAGCTTTGTATGTCCTTGACAGCATTGTCAAGAATGTGGGCACACCATATACGATCTTCCTTAGCAAAAGGCTCTACCAGACATTCATGGATGCCTACGCTTCGGTTGACATGGCCACCCGGCGGAAGATGGACGAGATGCTCAGGACGTGGAAGGAACCTGTGCAAGGCTCTCTCGATAACCGACCTATATTCCCCCCAGACGTCACGCGACCCATCGAGAACGCCCTGATTAAGGCAAGAACGACTATGCTACAGGCACAGCAGGAGTACACGAGGAATCAGCAGCAACTGCTTGGTCGTGGGAGACCAATGAGTCGGGGTGTGCCTTATCGTGAAACCCCTACCCCTCCAAATGCCCATACACCTCAAGCCAATGGCTATCCACCGACTTCAATGCCCGCAGTCAATGGCTCTTCCCATACTAATCCCACTCCGGTAGCACAACCCAGCTACTCACAACATCCGGTAGGTGTCCAAATACCGCGTACAATGGTAATATAGCTAATATTGAATTTAGACTCATATACCCCCACAGTCTCGATCTACGCCACAACCAACACAGGCCCAAATGGCCTATCACCATCCTCAGCTAGGAGGTTATGGCACACCACAGGTTGGAATCAGCGTAGAAGCTTTAAAACAAGATATCCGTGGACTCATCACTGCCTCCGAGTCTCAGTTGGCACAAAGTCCACATGAACCTAGTATACAGAAGAGACTGAAGGCTCTGGTGGATTTACAATCGATTCTCCAGACGCAGAACCTGCCACAAGATCAGATAATGCTTATAAAGAACCAAATAACTGATCTTGCCGTGACCATAAGAGCACCCCAGGTTTATCCTGCCACTACACCTACACCCCTGCCACAATCTGTAGCTGTAGCCCCTCCTCCAGCAGCGACTCCAAAGGTCTCTCTGGATACTCTATTCGGTGCAGGCACTTTGGCTGCTTTGGTGGCACGAAATTCAGTGACACCACAGGCGTCTGCACCTTATGTTCACCCCCCTCCCCCCGCTGCTATACATACCCCAGCTCAAAGAGTTGAGCCTCAGAAGCCTACTATGACTCAACCGGCACCGCCCTCAGACCCTAAAGCACTGATGGACATGTTGAGGCAGGCCGGCCTACTTCCGACCTCCAACCCAGTGGGTACTTCAGCGACAGGCCCTCGCCCTCCCCCCTCAAAGTCATACCCGCCCTCCCTAGCCATTCTAGGAATGGCTAATAACAATCAGCCCGACCGGCCTATGACTATTGAGGCATTTACGCAAGACATCATCCTCCGGCCATCGTCACTGAAGCAGTAAGCCCCCCCACATGAAACTATGTTTAAACCGGTACTAATGAACTTATAGATACCGCCCTCATTTGCTTCCTTTCCTTTTTGGGTCTTTGGGGCCTCAGTGTACGCAGTGTGGGCGCCGGTTCACAAAAGATGAAGAAGGCAAGAAACGGAAGACCGCCCACATGGATTGGCACTTCCACGTGAACCAACGAATTGCCGACGCTGAGAAACGAGGGCAGCACCGAAGCTGGCTAGTCGACGAAGTGGTGAGTAATCCCAATCTAATCATGTGCGGCAGATGGGTAGCTAATATTATTCTAGGATTGGATCAAAACGAGAGAAACCATCGACGAGGATCATGTCGCTCCTCCCGGTGATTCTAATACTACCTCAGGCACCTTCGCTCCGAAGACACCCAAGATACAGTACATACCTGTCCCTGACGATCCCAACTTGGCAAATAGCGTGTGTAGCATCTGCCAAGAGAAATTCGAGACAAGATGGCTAGATGACGCTCAGGAGTTTGTGTGGGCAGACGCCATGCAGACTGGCAATAAGATTTATCATGCCAGCTGCTATCGAGAGGCGTTCAAGGATGGCGGAAGTACGCCGGTGTATGCAAGGGGTACACCGGAGCCAACAACCGGAAATAAGAGGAAGGCTGAGGTGAGTTGTCAAATATAATGCACAACTTAAAAACGTAGGGCTAATCACTAATGTGTTGTAAGCAGGAAGAGTTGTCCTCCACACGAAGTAGGGGCAAGGTAAAGGTGGAGGGTACCTAGAATGTGCGTTCCCAACCAGTTCGTCATAGGGAAAGGCATTCCCATACGGCGCGCCCAGCTGCAGCACAACAGATTCCAGCACGACAGATTCCAGCCCGACAGATTCCAGCCCGACAGCGTCCGGTACGACAGAGTCCAGCACGCTCACGCTTGTCTTATAGGTGTCCAGGGTACCAGAACTATCGACCCTTGCGTCCGAGTCCCTTGCGAAACTCGTTCTAGGGGGGAAGCGCCACCCATGAATGTCTCGTATGTTTCGAGCCCATGGGATTTTGGGACTCCATCTAACAATGATGGATGTTGGAAAAGCGCCACGACAGCAGGATACACCATTCTTGTATCTGACTGCCTCTTGGGAAAGAAGCGGGTACATAAAGGGTAGAGGCAGAGGACGGGTGAAATACTAATCATAGATTCATCTTTTGTCCCATAGTCCACCACCTACACATATACCATATACTATCCCATCACCCGGTTGCCCTTGGTGTAAGGTGAATGGAGCAACAGCAGTAGCGGGACAGGCGATAATAGAGTATGTTGCGGTGCAATTGCAGAGAAAAATCATGCGTGTGAGGCTATATGATATTTGCTTTTTGCTCTACCTGGATTTGCTTGCAACTTGGCGAGCGTACAGAGGCATCGATGGCCTGTTATAGGCCTAGGCAGCAAATAGTAAAACTACTTTCCCGTACTATGTCCCCTTCTAAGTTATTCCTTTTTTTCGGTGATTAATATGTGTGTAATGACTCATGAGTCTTGGGGTGAGATTGCGTCTGGGGCTTTGAGGATGTGACATGGGTTTTAGTAAGAAAGGCGATAATATGGTTGTAAGATCTCGATGATATATAGGTATCTTTTCGTGTAGTTCTATCCTGGTGTCTCCTTTAAAGTCACTTGTTTGATACGGTATTTCGGTTTCTTATATAAAACATAATGACCTAATCCTAGGTAGTTTGTTATCACAAATCACCCCTTTTTGTTGCTTTTTGTGGATAGGTTACACGGAAATCATGACTGAAAACATGTACACTAGGTGTTACATACATTGTTCTCGTGGTAATGGAATTATGATCAGATGTTTAGGCATTGTGTGAATTGAAAAGGGGGTACATAACCAAGATACATACCTTACCAGCCCTGATATAGGGGTTAATGAGTGAGACATGTCAAGTTTGTGTCATATTGGGCTTCTGTCACTACGAGATACATTTTCAGTTGCTAAACAGGGCACTTTGGGGGCCAAAGCACACATAGAGTTGTTCTCAAATACGCAAAGAGACAGAACCCTGGGTACTATTATCCAAGGGCATCGTATTGTCTTGTTTGCTATACCTCGTGCTGACTAGGTGCAATATCATGTTCGATCTCAGATTAGGAGTTTAGAATATATTCGTCGACTGGTGTATCGTACTTAACTAGGTTTCATTATTAGAAGCCTTGAATAATTTGTTGATGTTACTCTAATGTTAGTAACGTATCTGTGATTATTGTGCTAGGTTAGAAGAGGACATGTCTTATTCTATTAATAGAGCTCAAGGCACACTTGTGTGGCCTGGTTTCTGGAGAGAATATACCATTGCTAATTAGATATAAATATAGATAACCGACCTACGTCTTAAGCTCTCCTCAAGCAAGATTGCGGGTTGCCAGCACCAGTTTCTGTCTATTAGGCATGGAATAGTTCTGAGTGTTGTTTTGCTCCTTTTTCATATCATTTCGTTATATACACAGCTATGTGAACGCTCCGGGGATATGCTGATGTCACAGTCACACGAAGACAAAAAGCATGGAAACAACTTCTCTCGCTCAATGCCCACCTAGAAGAGATACAATAATAGTCTGTATATACAGATGTGTCGAGAATTACGAACAATACAACTTGTGTTAACCAAGTGGTCCCTGATGAACACCTGCTATTCAGTCTAATTGTTTTCGTTTAGTTTTACACAGAGCCTCTATTGTAAAGCAAACCCGTCTTTACTGGCCCAATATGCTGTTTTTAACACATCCTGTGTGCTTGGGTAGGTAAAGCAAAAGAAAAAAACATGTTACATTCTCTATTACTACCTAAGCACTCGTAAGAATTATCGAAACGAGTCTACTTCCTACCGGAAGCGGGCGGTATCTAGTCATTTAGGCCCAGGTAACTAAGTTTGGCAACCATGGAAATAGAGTCAATATAGCATGTCAGTGAGTAGGTAGGTGTGCGAGTATCATAGCCTCGAATATCATAACAAAAGGGCCCAAACCTCAAAGAACCTACTTAGTGCCTATGTGTGTAGGTTAGGTGGTAGGTAATAAGTTGGGGTTTCATTTCAAACCAAGATGACCATGTCCATAGTGGCATAGCTTCGTCACATCGTAGAGAAGAGAAGAAATCATCATAGTACATTTATCACCAATTCACCAGGTTACACAACTTAGGAGATCACTTGTTAACTTATCTATGTTCTACTGATATGTAGTGACTACCTATCTACTTACGTAGATACTACGGCAGCTGAGCTTCCTCGAAAAGGCTCCGGCTTCTGTAGCATTCTAAAAAAAATAAAAAAAATAGAAAGTCTGACTCACCTCAGTACTCACCTCTACCTTTTTTGATTGGTTGGATAAATGGGCGTTATTTACCCCTTATTGAACCTGAATCTTTAGCAGACTTCTTTGTTTTCCACCTAGCGCTCCTAGAATCTCCCCGATTTATAGGTCTGCTTCGACGACCGTACATGATGATGATGACGATGTGATCGAAAATGATGTCAGACACTTTGTCCTAGGGGAGGAGAAGGGATGGAGGCCTTTCGTGCTCTCACGCATTCTTCACAGGGGAGTTCAGAAAAGGGGGGAATACAACGCTCAAGGGGTTCAGCTGAACGAAGCGAGGAGAATAGGGCCTACCTGGAGGAGCCATCTGCCCCTTTTTTCCTACGAGAAGGCCGTTGAATACCTGCCTACCTATTAAGCGTATTTGGAGAGTCCACCCCCCCCCCCCCCCCCCCCCCCCTATAACGAGATCAAACCTAAGTAGTGGTCGGTCGGTTTCGTACCCAAGACACGGCTTGTTTGCGGTACAGCAAACTGCATATCCTACCTGGCCGATAAACCTCAGCTGGTACTGGGGATCCAAAATCATCAACCAGTTGTTTGTCTTCCCGGTCACCAAACCAACTAACCCGCGCTGCGTATCGCTCGCTACACCCCCCCCCCCTCGTTGTACATCGTGTGCGAAGAACGAAGACTACCAAGCCTTTCCCCTTGGGCTTTTCGGGGATGTGTTTTGGCAGAAGCACCCATGCGACCGCTATAGGTACATGATCAATTTTCGAGCTTATCCTCCCATGGCTAAGCTACCTGGTAGACTGAGGAGCTGGTGGAGAGAGGTAGGCATTATGGTCGCCGGTCCGAACCTGAAAGCGGGCTGGCCTTAGCAGAGAGCAAAGAGAAGGGAAGGATGGGTGGAGGCAACGGGAGGGGAATTACGTGATTTGTTAATGAAGAATATAGTAGATATAGGTCAGGGCTTCGTTGTTCGATGGTCGTGTTAATACTAGGTAGTTAGTTGGAGATGTTTTTTTTTTTTTTCGTAGAATCCATTTGGTATCCATCGTGATGAAGAAGAAGAATAAATAGCTTACCATAGTTTTCTCTAGCATGGCTTGATGTATGTATAGGTGATGTAGGTTAGGTATGTACATAATATCGTCGATGATCCCGCCTGCATATGGATTTAGGACAGTGGGTCTATATCACAAGTTTAAGCGAGGAGATTCGTATCTCTGACTAATCAACTTGCCTATACTATAACAGAGGCACTATATGCGCTATTTCTTCGAGCACATACTCTAGTTTTAACCTGCCATACATATGAGTGTGTGGACTTTGAAGAACTACATATGTGTGCTGTAACCTAGATACTGACCCTCCTTACACACGTACTAATACCCAACACAAAACTTAACCCTCTACCTACATATCCTACATATCTAGGTACGTAACTTAACATACCTTCAGTAAGGCTATCTCGTCAAAGGGGTGTATACATAGTATTTATCGACCTTTTGACAAAGCCTAACCATTGGTTCTGGTACGCCCTGAACGGGGGGAGAGGGGGGAGAGGAGAATGAATAATAAGTATGGGCTAGTGCGGCAATGCAAAAAACCAACACCCTGGTTTCTTGAGCTTGGAATTCCCGACCCCAACGTAGAAACGATGTATCATATTTGGGCTCCCAACTCCGGCTGCGGGTTGTACACTAAGTAGATAGGTAAGGTAAGGTTATACAACACCGCCGCCTCCCCCCCCATCCCCCCCCTTAGGAGATAAAAAAAAAACAGTAGTTTATACCCAATGCCTACTAGTTAGCTGCCTGAAGGATAAGGCAATATTCAGCCTTTATTCACAAGCCCCTCTTCAAAATACTGATAGAAGGAAAGCTAGAGACAGGGGTATGAATAGGTACAATACTAGGTATGGCTTGATCTTCTAACTATACCCCTTGGCCCTCGGGAGCCTAGTCTAGGGTCTAGGTGCCCTATGAAAGCTTATTTTAATACCTATTTTCTTTTCTTTGGCCCCCCCCTGTCTTATCCAAGAGGTATCTGCCTAGGTAGGTAGGCTTCGGATATGAAGACGAGACATGGGGATAGGATCCTAGTAAAGGATGAGCTATATTGAAAGGAAGAGCCAGTTTAGGCAGAAAAGTATCTTATCCTACACGATTGTGATGGCAGCTGAGTGTATAGAAGAGGAAAGGAGGATGGAGAATTGGATAAAGGGGGGAGGGGACAGCGGTGTAGCAGGAAACACACAAGTGCTGGCCTTCTTTCACATCGTGTCTCAGGGCAGCAAGCTCTTACAGCAGGGCAGGCCCCATCGTACGACATCCACCCAGTGGATTAAGTCCATGATAACGACGTTTCAGCTTACTCACATAACTGTAAGTTCGACTTCGGGATGTGACAACAAGGACTTGGGTTGTTGCGAGCAATTCCGGGGTAGATTTTGACGTGAACTATCGTTACCATGGTATACCAACGTGCCTGACCAGGTTACTACGCAGGCAGGGAAGGGAAGTAGGCGGGCAGATGGGTAGGTAGGCAGGTAGGTACTCTTTCAGCAGCCATGAAATATATGGACTCGTGCCACGTATGTATTGTATTTGCTTCTCCTTCACTATACTCACGCTGAGGTACATGTAGGTGACCAAGGATTCCCGCCTGCCCTCACGTCAAGTCACTTGAGATCGGAGCCTAATGAGCTGCTAGGCATGTATATGGCCGTGGCCTTTAGTGGGTAACTATGTGATAGTCTTGCATGAAATTCACTCAGCGACAAGACTAGGCCGACCTCCTCACAACCAAGGTACCTACATATGTATGTCTTCCCGCCAGCTGTGACCGACATCGACACATTCGGTGCTACCAAGTACGGCTAACTTTGGGTGAGTGATGTAGTTACTTATGTTAGTAAGTAAGAATGTGGAGGCGTCCTGCATCTGACCCCGTTTAGTACTCCGTTCTATGAAGAAATACACTTATATGGGGAGCTTCCGAAAATATATCAATCCAGTTAGATAGAAGATGATAATTGGGGTATTTGCTGTGGCTTTCCTAACACTACGAAGACCTCGCAGCTTCTGCGATAGGCTCGGAGTGGCCGTGCTAAACGCTTCCTGGAAAGGGGGCTCTGGCTACCTGAACGGTAACTACTTGCCTGACATATGTAGAAGCATGGCTCGTAACAATAATTCTATAACTTTGGGCGGCCTACTATCGTGACCTACTTGCAAACAACGAGCCTATGAGTATCACTTGGAGTAGAACAGATATGGCTCTACTATGGTAGAGACCACAAATGTCCTACTTGCTCCATTATCCTACAGGATAACCCTAAAAAGGAATAGCAACGATGCCCTTCAGGTCACCACATTGTTGGCCTAAGCTGGACGGCAGGGGTGTATCCCAGGGCATCATACGCTATGGTACATGTATTTCGGTATGGGGTATGTACAATACATACAAACACACGACGACCACTGGGCTTATCTAAGTACCTGCCTACCTAGGCAGCTAGGTAGGTAGGATGCTATGTAGATACGTAGCCACAGGGGCAGAGAGAGAGAGATGTGAGATCCGTTAGATACATATGTAAGGACCTATGTAAGGACATAGTTATGGGTACGTCTGAAGAATGAAAGAGGTGATCTCATAGTGCTCAAGTACCCAGGTACATCCCACAGCAACTTGTCATGTCTACACTAGTTCCCGAAAGTCTTGTGGAGGAGTGAACATAATATGTCCGGAAGGGTCTTTTGGCTAGTTAAAGTGGTTTCAGCTGGCAATCAGTGGGTGGCAGTCATTTTCCCCCGACCCCTTTGCACAATCAAGGAAATTTCACCACCAAAACAAAACGAAGAAAACAACAAATAATATGTCGAAGATGGACCAAATGTTTAATCTTGAAGGGGTGTTTCAAGTTTCAAGATCCCTTGGCCAGGCTTGTGATTGTATGCATGCCTAGGCAATTAGGATCCATGGTAGGGAGAGCAAGCTTTGTTCATGAAAAGGTCAGCGCTTCGGAGTCGAGACTCTCAACATGCTAGGAAGCTGGGTGGGTAGGTAGGTAGGTAGATTGTAACTATTCTCGAGAAACTTGATAACCTGAGACTGTTGCATGATCTCATGCTTTGAAATCAATATAAATGATACCTAACAAAGTATCAGAAGAATAAGTGTCCTTTACAATCCTGTTGACGTATCATCACGAAATAGGGGGCTTGCCTTATCCTTGTGTTAAAGCTGTGATGGTTATATCCATGTTTTGAAAATTTTACAATGCATTACAATGCATGTGGCACTGCTTAAGTCCGGCTAATCACAGCCGAGGAGGAATGAAGGCAAGCATCTACGTAAGGTCAAGCAAATCTATTTCTGGATGGCATCCAACCATCTGGGGTTGCCTTGTTGGGGTCGTGCTTCTAAAGTTTGCTTTTTCTTTTTTGATCTGTTTCTTTGACGGACCTCCTACGACAACCCTCCCAACAATTCAAACAGATGAGCTAATAGTAGAGTTAAATGATGGTATTGTAATATTAATTTTCTCTGAGCTGCTCCGGTTTGGTTAGGGGATGTCTAGGAATGTTCATGGGTGTATTCTTGGGTAAACTACCGGTTGCCTCCGGTGTTGAGTGGGCTGCTCGGGTCATACACATTGGTAGTGATAAGATCCGGGTACTTGACATCTCCCTGCTTAAGAGCTTCCTCCATAACTTCCATTATGACGATGCTCTCGGACAAGGGTAGGGTGGCGCTCTCTATCTTGCCGTCCCGAATACACCTAGCGCATTCGTCCGCCTCCCAGAACATGCCGTGACCCCAATTTCGTTCTGGGTCTATTGGCATAGGGCAGTCCACGACCTCAACTTTCCCTCCTCCGTCTTTCTTGACGACTCTGTACTGCAGAGGCTTGAAAGCGGGACCCATTACTTGAATTTCGCCCAGGGGTCCTTGAATCTTAATAGCGGGTCCACCGCTGTTCTGGCCATCAGTGTTGGTGGGGATTCGCAAGCAGGTCATAGCAATTCCCATGGACTTGTGCTTCGGGAACTGAAGAATAATGTTGGTCATCTCATCGGCCCCCGTTGAATATTTGTTTATAGCAGCTACCGTTCGCGGCTTCTCTTTTTCTGCTTCGGGTTGAAGGTGATAGAGGATCTGGAAGAGCCAGGTTAGGGAATAGATGCCCAAGTCCAGCAATGCACCGCCTGCCAAGTCCGGATTCACCATCCGGTCCTCGTTGGGAAAGGTCAAAGTGCCGTTCGGGCCATCATTTCCAAAGGAATTATCGGCTGTAGCCGACTTGGTTAGTCTGTGCTTCGATTCGATCGACTACTAACTTGAAGGCACTATTAGACGAAAGCCACATGAACTTACCAATCACTCGATATACGGGGCCAATGATTCCAGATTGCACCAGCTCGCGAACCTTAATGCTGAGAGGGAAGTATCGCGTCCAGACGGCTTCCATTAGGAACAAGTTCTTGGCACGAGCCGTGTCAACGAGTTTCCGGGCCTGGGCAGCAGTCACAGTGAAGGCTTTCTCACATAGAACGTTCTTGCCAGCTTCCAATGCTAGCATTGTGTTCTGAAAATGGTGACTATGAGGCGTTGCAACATAGACAATATCGATGTCTGGGTTGTTTACTAGCTCGGTATAACTACCATACGCTTTCACGCCATCTGGGGCGTTGACCTTCTCCAAGAACGATGTGGCGCTCTCTTTGGAGGAGGAGGAGGCGACAGCGATCAACTTGTGAGCGACATCACTGACACCACGAGTTGCAGGGTTTGTGAGGAGATCCTTGGTGAAAGCTAATTATATAGATTAATTATTAAATATGCAAAGACCTAATCGATTTCAGCTGGGCTAGATGTATGACTTACTTTGGGCGATGCCACCAGTGGCCATGATACCCCATTTGAGGGTAAAGGGTTGAGAAGCCATAACGAATGGTATACAGGTCCGCCTTCGTTTATTTGTGAAATTCTTGGGATGCCTCGTAGTGTCAACAACCTACCTACTGCGTAGTACGTTGAATAGATATAAACATCTATATATCCATCCAACTGTAGATTGTATAGGATATTGTATAGGAGACTGTATAGGAGGTTAAAGTCAAAGGTGGGGTAGGTGACTGTGTAGCCCATTCTTGCGATACCGTCCCGCCCGCTCGATAACCTAATCTATGTAGATTAGGTAGTACATACTAGGTAGTATATACCGTGGTTTTCGGTAAAGTATCGGCATTGGATGTTTAATCCTTCGGCGCAAGACTCTCCGTTGGAAAATGGTTAAGTGGGTCATGGACCGTTGGTGAAACCAGACGTCATCGACATCTGGATGATTAAAGTGCCTAATAAACCTTATTTTATAAACCTTATTTTAAGATGAATAGTTACCTAACCTAGGTACATATGTAGGATGTTTTGAGTTTTATTACTACATATACTAGTAGTAGAGAAGAAAACAAAGGAAGAAGGCAAACTCAGGCAAACTCCTTTTTGAAACGACGAGAAAGTTCCGAATATAATAGTGGACGGTAAACTGTAACAGGTAATAGGTGGGGAAAGTATGTGCACGACAACATACAAATCAAGTTGCCGACTATTTGGCTTAGCCACACCCCTTCGCTCACCTTTCAATATGTTTTACATAAAGCGAAGCAATTCCCCCACACCTAGGTCTAGGTCTCTGACTATGGATACAAAGCCGGTAACAATACCAAAGCTGTTATATGGCACAGCTTGGAAAAAGGATGCTACCGCTGACTTGGTACTCCTAGCCTTGAAGGCTGGCTTCCGAGGCATCGATACTGCAGCTCAGCCACGTCATTATAAGGAGCCGCTGGTTGGCGCGGCTGTAAAGTCAGCAATATCATCAGGAATTGTAAAGAGGAGTGATCTGTTTGTATGCCACACCCTATTCGCGAACGGAATATAATAAAGCAAAGAAGAGTTCCTATTAATTACTTATCTTTAGATCCAAACCAAATTCACTTCAATAGATGGCCAAGACCCAGATAATTTGCCCTATGATCTTGATGAGCCACTTGAGAAGCAAGTACACGCCTCAGTGGCTTCGTCACTTCGAAATTTTGCCTATTCAGATTCAGACCCATCCTACATTGACAGCTTAGTCCTCCACTCACCACTTCGCACCTTGGAAGATACTATCACGGTCTGGAAAACGTTCGAGACATACGTGCCCCACCAAATCAGACAATTGGGGATTTCCAACACGCCTATACAGATCGTTGACTATCTATGTAACAGTTCTGATATCACAGTTCGTCCAGCTTACGTACAGAATCGCTTCTACCCAGCAACGCGCTGGGAAAGGGACCTGCGGGCATTCTGCCGGGAGAGAGGCATTGTGTTCCAAACTTTTTGGACGCTTTCCGGGAACCCCCATCTACTGAAGAGTGCGCCAGTGCAAAAGCTGGCCACTAGTACGAATGTCGAACCGCCCGTCGCGTTGTATGCGCTTGTGCTGGGCCTTGAAGGTACAACAGTTCTAGATGGAACTACCAATGAGACGCACATGAAGGATGACCTCCAAGGTATTGAGGTTGTGAATGATTTCGCACGGAGCGAGGAAGGCCGACCTGTCTGGTCGGAACTTTTGGGACAATTCAAGAAGCTTATTGGAGAAAAGGCGTAGATGGGCATTGCATCACTGTATATCAACAAGGATAGCGGAATGAAGATCGGGGGGATATTCAAGATGTCCCCCATCGAGAGATCGAGATCTAAATCACGCAAGGTCGATTGCATAACCGTGGTCCCATTAAGACTGCATCCATGGATATCTACAATGTAGGTCGTTCAATGAATGGAATCAAAGTCTGTCTCTGGGAACTGGACCCGCAAATTTCCTTTCATGTACATGTATCTATCGGCACACATTAATTGATCTCGTGAGATGGAGACTTTTAAGTATCATATCATGTCATAAGTGATTCACTTGAACATGACAACCACCAATAAGAATTTCAAGAATGTAGGGGGGGTAAAGTTGAAATTTGATTGGCCACTAGCTGAGTTGGCATACTACATAGTACGACATGTACAGTACATATGTATGTAGGAGACGATAGTAAGTACTCGCCCGTGCGATAAGTGGCATGATGTTGTCCTCGATGTCTTGGAAGAGACCCGGCTGTGGCTGCTTCGTTGTCTTAACCGCATTTGCTAAAGACTAGCCTCTCACGATGTATGAAATCTGGCGACGTAGGGGAGAGGAATAGCATAATCTATCACCGAATGAGATGAACTGGAGTAAACACCTTTAGTTATCACGGGAATACGAAACATGCGATGCTACGCCTTGCCCACGGGATAGTTACCTTCTCGGTACCGACAGGAACCATCGTGGACCAATGAAGATTGCTTTCACGCACATACGTATGTGTATGTATTGTACATACTTGTACATACATACATGTAGGTAGCTCTACAGGTACCACTACCTGCAGTATTCAAGACCAGTCAATGTGTATGGATTCATGACTAGCACCAACTATTATAGGTAACCTACCTGATTGATAAGAGATGTCTGAATGGATTGAACCCGAGTTGTTCTGCATGTCTCGGGAGCTCGCAAGTTTTTGAACAGCAGCACATGGCATGCATGGCCTTGCCGTGTCGTATCTCTCAAGGCTTGTGCCTTGTGTGGCCGGGCCGTCATGGTGCTAGGATCTGGGGGGAGATTTATAAATACATACATACATGGCTGCCAGGCTACCTACCTAGATAGGTACTAGGCATGTAATAAGAGAGACAGAAGCTGAGCTGCAAGATCTAAGACCTGCAGCCATTAGAGAGAAGGGAACCAAACCGGTTCGAGCCGGCCCCTCGGGTGGGCCCCGCTTGACACGACGAACATGGCGAGGAACTGTTCCATGTACCGGTTTTCCATGGATCATGGATTGATGGATGGGAGGGGAGAAGATGTACATATGTACATCTTACCTCACATCATAATACAACATTGAACTTGTACTTTTTATTAGTATGATAATGTAGGTTCCCCACTTTCTCTTGGGGGCATTCGTTCGTGAAAAAAAAAGCCACATGTTGCACTTACTACATAGTGTACATGTACAAAGTATATATGTATGCAGTCACCAGTCACCAGTGGCATTATCAGCCTATGTATGTACTATGTAGTTAGTACCGCAACATATTACTGCCCAGAGGTTGAATGATTCCACCGACATGTACACTTGACCGTCTTCTTGCTTTTTTCCTTTTTTCTTCATTTTAGCCTATGTACCTACTATGATCCCTGTTTAAACCAATTGAATTACTTCCAGGTTACTTTTTGTGAGTGCAGCTTCGAAGGTGTGTATATAGACAGACACTAACTTCAATGCTATACCCCCCGGTCATACTATGTATGTATGTACTTACAGGGCTATTATGTAGTACATGGATTGTACCTAGTAGCCTGTAGGTGTGTGCTACCTATGTACTGGTTATGGTTACTCAATATACATACATAGTCGCACAATAAGCAAAAACTAACCTTGAACCTTGCAAAGTACAGTACCTTGTGTACATGAGCCCTACATACATACATTAAACAATTTGACCCGAAAACGATAAAAAAGCAAAAAAGAAGAGAAATGATTGAACCCCCACTTTGTTCTTCCCCGAGCTACTAGGTACTGTACCGGGTTACTGGAACCATCAATCTTTACCTAAACCAAACTTTACCTTATCCCAACGACTGCGGGGCCCTTGCTGCTGTTGTACGACGTTCGCATAACCACCCGTCACTGCCAGGGCTACTAGGGCTATTAGGGCTACTAGTTACTGGGGGGCTACTGGGGCCTGCTAGGTTTAATATAAGAAAAAAAAAGAAGGTGAAAATCAATGGATACGTTAGGCAGGTATTGATAACTTTCACCTATCAACTTACATACTTGGCTTCTTTTCAGGTCCCCACTTACCTACTTCCAAACTTCAACTTATTCCAGAGTCGTACATAGTACAGTCGTACATGCTACATAGTACATACACGCGCAAGTTGCCCTTGTCTATACGCACATATACATATCTTTCTAACTGCATGTAGGTTGGGATGTGAAGTTGTGAACTGTTCTTATCCAACTATTACCATTACCATCACTACATACTATCCCCCATCACCACCATTTTCATCAACATCTTGATCCTTTGCATAACCTACCTAGCTATCTATCCCTAGACTGCATCTTGCGCGTATCTGCACTATCGAAACCCGCTGCATTACGTTGTGTGTGCGTGGTTACTTGTCCTTGTTGTCCTTGTTGTCCTTGTTATATAGGGTATAGAGTTAGGTCGATAGTTGGAGTCATTTATGTAGGTACTGTATTTTCTTTTACATTGGATAAAGAGAGTATAATCCCTATTTCCACACCCCCTTACCCCCCCTACCCCCCCTTCAACCCCCCGGCTCTTTGCCCAGATCCAGGCGTGCCCCCTGCCTACCCACCAACCAGCTACCCGCCTTCGCGCCTCCATCCCGCAGCACCAGTGGTAGGCGCAGAAGCCAGATCCTGGCGGCGGCGCAGACTGAGGTGCGATGGAGCATCCGGCTAGACCACAACAGCAACACTACCAGCAGTGTACGAGAGGCGGTGACGACGCTGACAGGAGAAGGAAAAGGAGGTGGAGGTGGAGGTGAAGATGTCGAAACGGCCCACCATCCAGCATACTACTCTCCTCCACGTTCATGCCCAACACCGGGCACTGCATGATTTATGATGACCGTGCCGGACCAAACACCTCCACCCGTTCATGTCGTCCGCCTATAGGAGACGCAGGACAAAGTCACGAACACCTTTCTCCTCCTGCTCCTGCTGCTGCTCCTGCTCCCGCTCTTGCTGCTCCCACTTTCTTCTTCTTCTCCTTCCTCTTCTCCTTCTTTCTTTCTTTGGCTTATACTGGAGCTGGAGCTGCAGCTAATTCCACTAGTGCTAGGACTAGCTCTAGTCCCCAGCGCTCCTCCTCCTACACCGGCGGGAGCTGCAACTGCAACTGCAACTGCAACTGCTGAAACAGCTGTAGAAAACATAACCATGGACGATGGTTCAACGGCTACCGCAGCCACCACTGCAGCCACTGCAGCTGCAAACTCGGCAGAATCCTATGAGCAGGAGCACGTGCACAGCGTGTACGAGTCGATCGCCTCGCACTTCTCCTCGACGCGGTACAAGCCCTGGCCCAATGTAGCCTCCTTCCTCACCGCCCTATCCCCGGGCTCCGTTGGCCTCGATGTCGGCTGCGGTAACGGCAAGTACCTCAACGTGAACCCTGACGTCTATCTTCTCGGCTCAGACCGCAGCGCGAACCTCGCACAACTAGCGCGGGACCTCAAGGTGCGTAATGCTGGCGCTGGCGCTGGCGCAGACGTTGTAGGCGTCGCCGACGGCCTCTCTCTACCCTTCGGCGCCGCACATCGACGCGTTGACTTCGCCATCTGCATTGCCGTCCTTCACCACCTCTCCACCCGCGAACGCCGCGTCGACGGCCTCCGCGCTCTCCTCGACTGCGTGCACCCCCGCGCGGGTAAAGTGCTCGTTTACGTCTGGGCGCTGGAGCAGGGGAGCAGTCGTCGCGGCTGGGACGAGGGGACCGCTGACCAGGATCAGTTGGTGCCGTGGGTCATGAAGCAGCAACAGCAACAGCAAAAGAGCAAAAAGACTAGTAATAAAAAAGCACCCAAGAAAAAAGAAAAGGGAGAGGAGACGGGGGTTCAGGGGGGAGAAGAAGCAGAAGTCGCAGTAGTAGTAGATGCAGAAAAAGAAAAAGAAATACTAGAAGTTCAAAAAGGGGTAAGTGGCGGTGATACCACATATCAGCGGTACTACCACTTGTACCGCAAGGGAGAACTAGAAGAAGACGCCAGGACGGCGGGAGGCGAGGTCTTGGATAGTGGCTACGATAGGGATAACTGGTGGGTTATAGCGAGCCCGCGAGAAGAAGCTTGAAGAATAAGAAAGCCGAGGCTTGTTTCTATAGTACATATCTGTCTATCTACCATCTACCTCATAAATTTTAGGTTACATAAGGTAATAAAAACATCGCCATCACCTAGGGAACATCAACATAACCTCCTAACCCCCTATACCCAAGGATACAATGAACAGCCAAACCCTAGAGGTATTTACCAAGAAACAGAGAAAAATATATCCATATAAAAGAAGAATTCTGTACATTAAATTTCTCAAAAGCTACCAACAAAACTCACCACTACCTAGGGTACTTAGTATCCAGCAAAAATCCCAAGAAAAAAAAAGTAAAAAGAAAGAAATAACCACCCCTCCCCTTCCGTCCGTCAGACACCAACCATCGTCGTCTAACCAACCAACCAGCCAGCCAACCAACCCCAACCCCCCAATCCCCAGTAGGTATCATCTATTGAATCATCATGACATGCGGATGACTGATCGGCCCCTTTTTTCTTTTCTCAAAGCTCGAGGCTGAGATGAAAAAAAAACTAAAAAAAAAAACTGGCCCCATCCATCCAATCTCCTTTCCCTCCTGGTCAACACTAGCAAGCATATTCCACATCCCATTGCCCAAGACAAAGCAAAAATCTCCCCCCTTTCTTAAAAAAAAAAAGGGGGGGGGGGGGGGGGGGGGGGGGGGATGAGAGGGATGGAGTAAAAAAGCCAACTCCCCATGATCGATGCCGTACATTAAGTTTAAACCAGAAAAAAAAAAAAAAAAAAAAAAGAGAACTCCCTCTCACACAACACCATACTTCAAGTTGTACCACATCATCACATAGATAGCATTGCTGCTTGTATGTGTAAATATGCCCAAAAAAGTCCATACATACATACATGTAAGCCCCCTACAGCCCGAACAGTTTTCTTTCCACAAAAAAGTTAAAGAAAAAAAAAGAATCTACTCTTCCCTTTCCTTCCCCCCCCCCTTTTTTTATTAATTTCCTTAGCTGTAGCTCTCAGCCTTCCATCCATTTCCTTGCTCGCTTTTCGCAAGAAGGGACCATGATAAGTCTTCAACGGAGAAGTTTTCAAAAGAGTACAGAGAAAAGAAAAAAAATTGAGGGGCTTTAAAGAGAAGAAGAAGAGGATAAAAATAGGGCGGGAACAATGTACAGGCGAAGAGAATTATGTAGGAGGGGGGAATAAGAAGATGGGAGAAAAGAAAAACATGATATGAAAAAAAAAAGCACTTTTCTGTTCTTCCCCCTTGCGCCACCGCGTGATTTCGGGAAGGGGTGAATAGGGAGGTAGGTAGGTAGGTAGGTAGGATAGAAGGACTGAAATCCATCAAGGAAACCCTGAACAAGAGATGTGAAAATAGACAGAGAGAATAGGAAGCCAACTTCACTCCCCCATGCCTCACCTACCTACCATGCTCTCTCACGCTCTCTTCCCTACTTTCCCAAAATGCCAACCTGCCCATATGTTGTTTGATTTTATATTTCCCCTTTTCTGTTCGTGTCGTCAATCCATGATTCCCGTCGGTATGTCCGATTCTGAAAATATCCGCTCCGGTCCCGATGCAACGCTGCCAAAATGTAGAAAAGCGTACGTTACGTGTGCTGTCGTACGTTCTCATCCCGAGGATAAAAAAAAGCACATCAACAAGGCTACTAATTCAAGGTCCAGATCCCATCGAAGAAACAAAAAACGAAAAGCCTAGATCTCATCTAAGTAATCTCCTAAGACTGCTCTTTTGTCTTCGCTTAGCGGCCATGCTCGTACTTTGTGGGACTCGCCTTTTCGTAGTACTCGGCTCGTAGATCGAGGTGTCTTCGTCTGTTCATATCGGGAGACATAAGGTGGGTATCCGGACTCCTACGCCGCTTAGAGCCTGTTGGCTCCATAGATGGGTACCCAATCGGGCTCATATATGGACCTGGACTCGCGGTGGCGCTGAGGACAGGACTAGCACTTGGTACAGGAAGGGAATACGCCGGTGTGCTGTAGGGGGCAACGCCTGTCGTAAGCTCCGCGATACCGGGGAGTACCCCTGACGGTGGTTGGCGATCTCTTGTCTTGATGGGGGCGAGCGGTTGGGGATATCCATAGGATTCAGGAGAGCGTTCGGCATAGATGGAAAGGTGCGGAGGTACGCTTTCCCTTCGCGATGCTAGGGGCCTGCTTGATGGCACTGTATTTCCACGAGAGTAGCCTTTTCCAGTTCCCGAGTCGCGAGAAATGTTTCCTTGTGAATGCGAATGCGTATGCCGCGAAGACGATCTAGATCCACCCTCCGATGCCGATGCCGCGAGTTGGAACGGCGTCGTTCCAGCCCGACGTGTCATCTCCTGATCTCCGAGGTGCCAATGCATCGCCTCTACCGCCCGCCATGGCATCCCCATCTCTCCCGCAACCCCGGCCCACATCTCGGATTTGAACCTGTTTCTTCCCTTGTTAGCTACGCCGACCCTCTAAGACGGTTGGCCAGGGGGTTGGAGACGCTTGCCCCCTACGAATTTCTTATTTCACTTCAAGAATCACCCGCGAGGCATCTCACTTACCTTTCGTACAGTCTTGCCAGCTTATTTTTCTTCTCTTCATCCCACTCGCACCTTTTCTCAAGGTAGTTTTGATAATGTAATCGACAACTGATAGCACTTCTTCCCGGTAATTTCTTCGAAATATCCTCCCACTTCATGCCACTTTGCCGAAGTTCGATGATCAGTCTATCTTCATCCGAGCTCCATTTTGTTTGTTTCTTGGCAGGCGATTCTGAAGAGTGAGGCGGCATACTGCGCTTTCCAGGTACTACACCCGTCACGGACGATACTAATCCTCTTGGGCGTGAAGCGGCGTACGATGGCGGCCCACCAGTAGATGCCGCTGCTATAGACGCCGCAGCCGTAGATAAGGGCACTGATGCGGATCGAGTATGCCGAGAAGACACGGGTGACTCATTTGAGTCGGGAGCTTTAAGGAGTGAGGCGATATCCACGATGACGGTAGGGGGCCTAAAGAGCCGTGAACAGGCTGATTCTCATGGAAGCGCTAGATAGCGCTTTGGAGGGCCTCGTGGATGTGAAAGAGGCGGTGACAGTCCTGTTTTCTGGTTCAGCGGTGCCCTATGACACGCTGAAATCGTCTCAAAGCGTTTCGTCTTTGTTTGGTCTGTTTAGGGAAAGTAGCAGCAACGACGACTAACTTGTCCAGGTGGTTATGTTAGGATGACTAGGAATTTACAATAGCTCGCTAGCAAGGCCTTAAGGCTGAATGGACGTGATCACTGAGCTCGTGGTAAGATATGGAGAATGATGGAGGAAAAGGGGGTCTTGAAGTACACTTGAGAAGCAAATGGAAAAGAACATCCAAGAAATCCGAAAGCCTAGGTCAGTTTAAGCGTGATATTGTGTTTTTATGAGTTGTCACACATGATTGGGTGTCCCAGCTCTGTTGCTAGCCAATAAAGGAAGTGACAAGTTGAAAAGCTTCGAACGACGAGGCGACGTTGGGCGGGTAAGTACAGTATACCAGTCAAGCTAAGTAGAGGTCAATGATTTCGCCAGTTCAATGTACCTTTCTCTCGATATTCATAACCACTATGGGGTGTCGTTTTAGATTTTATGGGGAGGCACCATAGCTCTACATCGGAAATGCGCATTGCAGATTGGTATCATAGAAAGAGAAATAGGGCCAGAAAAGAAATACTAAAAAGGATATGTCTACAGGAGCTTGTGGGCTGAAGGCTTCAGGGTTGATGGAGATAGCAGCTAGGGTCTAGGTAACAAAGTATGAGCCCAAGCTCAAATGGATAACCAGGGTGTGGGGTGTGAAGAGGGTATGGTGTGTCGAAATAGACGAGTGTGGAGACGATGGGACACCAGGTTTCTACGTAGTTATAGGTAATAAGTAGGTCGTGCTAGGTATAATAGAGGCCAGTAGTTCGTAGTAGAGTTGGGTAACACTTCACCGACTATGCCAGCGCAGAATACATCTGCCATCGCCGCCCCCCCTCCCCTCCCTTAATGGCTCCGAAAAGGAGGGGAGGAGTATAGCTAGTAAGTGGCATGTTCTTGAGCCGTACGCCCTCAAAATCGGAGAATACTCCTGGAGACGCAGACCGCAGAGTTTGTGGATATTCATCTATCCGTCCCTAAAGAGGCTTTAGCATTGTAAGTCGAACAAACGAGTTGTTGGCGACCATGGACCATGCGAGCTATTGACCGGGGGCTGATGACATTCAATGTTGCCACGAAACCTTGCATGAGAGCACGCAGAGAACAATTCACCATTCCCATCCATGTATTTTCGGTTAGCACGCTAGTAAATCGGCGGATTAATGACGCAAATGGAAGCGCGACGAACTGAACAAGCACACAAACGAGCAAGGAGTTCGAGAGGTAGCCGGGACGTTTAGGATTGGAGTAATCACACCCCCCTCTAGAAGAGAGCATTGTCGGTAAGAACCTTAGGGGTTTGTAGCCTTGGAGCTCGAGCAGGATGAGATGGGTTGGCCAGAACGGATTGCAACATGCGCTTTGAGCCTTTGCGCGTGTGCCAGAGCGTAACAAGCACCTGTCCAGTGCCGTCCAGTTGCCGTACCAGTGCCGTTCCGAGGCTTATGGACCTGAAGACCCCTTGACGATCCGTTACAGGGCAGCTTGCAAGGCTTGGATGAGATCGATTCGGAGAAAGTACCCGTCCCTGGCGAGCGATACTACCAAGAGTCCGAATTCCAGAAGCCCTACCTAGTATTAGGTACTAACCTAGGCAGTGAACAGATCGGGTGGCGGTGGCGGCCATGTATGCCCAGGTACATAATGGCCCAGGTATGGCCCAGGTTGCCCATGAAACTGCATAGTTAAGTGGGGATCATGAAACCGACTGCCATACCTGCCTGTCAGGCCCTGTCTATGCCTGTTTATGTCACTACTACCTTAGTACCTTATGGCAGTTCGGGCATGTATGTAGCTACTGTTGATGTGCATGTGCGGATACATCCTTGGAGCCTGCTGCCACTACTAGTTGTTGACGACGAAGGCCTTTTCCAGAAGCACTAGAACTAATACCGGCTAGGCGAAAGCAGGAGGAAGCATGGTAGGATACATACATGTACACATGTAGGCCTTCGCTCAAAAGAGCAAAGTACTATATGTACATACATCAATATGTAGGTATGTATGCCATTGTATGGCTAGTGTAGTAGCTACATAGTACCAGTGCTGATATTGATCCATATGGATGCTGGTACTTATGTGTATAACATACACATGATGATGTATAACATGGGATGGATACGTAATACGTACCTACATACCTTACATAGTATAGTAGTTATGGTATATTGCCTCGTACGAAGTATGTATTGTATGTATTGCTGCTATTGCATACATATAGACCTGCGAGGTACCTATATGTGTAGTCAGGTATGTAGTTGTAGTTCTCTGCAAATATGACGGACAAGGATATCAATCTGGTTATGCCTGGGGGGTGGTGTTGCCTTGTTTAGATCGGAGCGTGCTAACCGCAGAAGCGAAGGGAACTATTAAGGTATGGTGTGTGTTGTATGTGTGAAGTTGTGGTGTGTAGTATGTTCGAAGGTTGTCGGAACATTGAAGAGGTTCGGTGTTGTATTGTATTGTACAAAGTACATTAAATACCAAAAACCAGTGACCAAACCCTAATACCACCTGGCAGTGACTAACATTACCCAGCAGCCCAGCAGTACTAGGTACTGTAGCTACCCAGTACAATGTATGGATGTACAATACAATAAGATACAATGCAATACAATTCCTTGTCTACTACTACACCTGGCACTTGCCATCAATACTATTATTTAAATGTACCCTAAGTAAGTACAGGAACTGCGCTAACAAAAAAGAACAAAAGAAAAAAGAACCTTGAACATTGAAGAGAGAAAAAGAAAAAGGAAAAGGAAAAAAAGAAAGACAAATGTCCACTTTTTTTTTATAAAAAAATCCCCTTGTCCCTCGGACACGGGAAATGGGGCTCTCTTCAACGCACGTTGCAGATAAAGCCTAACGTCTGTGCGCTATTCACGCTTTGATGAGCATATTACCATCGGCTCTGGTTCGTCTCATATGATCATTGATCGTGGTAGATCATACATCGGCCTGTAATAAGGAATAGTGTTTTATGTTTCCTGGTTCGTCTGGTTCTCATTAACGGCATCTTCAAAGTGTGAGTGCTAATATAAGTGTAGGTACATCTCAGGTCGTCATAGTCATAACCCAACTTTTAATCAATCAGTCAGTAGGTCACGAACGAATGCATCTGGGGCTCCGGGAACAACCCCAGCTGGGGCCGATGAACTGGCGGTCAGCAGGCATGCGTAACAGGTTTGGTAGCTACAGGACCTACCTATATTACTTATTCGAGCATCCATTCTAGATGTCCTACTTAGGAAGATGACGACGTGCGACAGGAGTACCTGGTAGGGAGCTAAACAAATACATACCTATTTATCTGTCCGCCATACATATGTAGGTATGTGTGTATAATGTAAGTGTAGGTGTAGGTGTAGGTATATACCCCAGCCTAGATGCTAGGTAAAGTACATACTATATGTAGGCAGGTCTGGTAGATATATCTACTATGTACCACATATAGAGGTTGGCAGGACATATGTATGTATGTAGTCATGTGAGTAAGTATGTCGCTCTTCCTTTTATTTCCCTTGTTTCCCATATTTTTATTTTCCTTTACTTATTCCTTTCGTCCACGCACAACACGTCAGTCCGCAAGTACAATACAGATATGTACGTAAGGCGGTACCGAACTTCAGCTTTTAGTGTCTGTTTTTAATAGCATGCATAGTAGGAAGGAAGGAAAGAAAAAGAAGAAAGCCATGAACCATGATCGACTTTACTTGCGTTGCATCACAATAATTAGGAAAAGTTGGTTTGGGCCCATCTTCGTACATGATGCTTATGCTTGTCAAGGTTTTACGCCACATCAAGTGCGTTGTTTTGTTTGTTTGCCCTACCGGTATCCAGCGACCTGATAGGATTATGACCCCTGTTAGTTCCTTTCTTGGAAAAAAAAGAAGGGGGAAAATAGGACGGGAGGGTAAGCTTGGGTTTTGAGAGGGTGATGACAGATCGCGTGCACAACACCTGGGCACTTAAAACAGTTCAGGGTCTATCTAGACTCTAGAGAGGTGATATCAGCTAGGTACCTAATTAACTAGAGGGGGGGTGGTAGTAGAGAAGAACCAAGGAGAAAAAAGAAGATAATGGCATTATACCGCACTCCTCAACTGCATACACCAGCATGCCTACATGCCTACACACGCCTACATAATACATGTACATATGCGAGTGTTGTGGGTAGCGTAACTAGCGGCATCTGATTGCTGCAAGCTGTTGCAATTACCTTGCCTACTACTTTGTACGTACATACATACCTACATGTAGGTAGGTAGCACAGAAGAGAAGAACATCGAATACATGTACGTACATATGTAAAGAAAAGGATCGCACACACTACTTATTTGCTCAATATACTTACTTATACATACTATTACCTGACCTGTAATGTGTAGTCGGAAAAGATGGCAGTTCGTCACTTATCCCCTCGAGACCCAACACCGGGCTTTTTAGCGCCCCCCATATTTTGAGCCTCGCTGGCGAATAAAATACAAGAGCTTGGACCTACTCTCCATATATTTATCTGAGCTTATTTTGAACATTTTGTACACTACTTCTAAGAGAAAAATCAATTAAACTTTTGATACTTGTACGCGTCTTTCTTTGAATATAAGGCATACCACTCTTATTAATAGTTACATACCTTTCATAAAGAACTACTTACAGTAAATTAACAACTTATGTTCGATTTAGCTGGCTCCCCTATCGCCATCTTAAATATATTAAAACAAATAAGCAACATATCGTTATTATTAAACCCATCGCCGTCGGTGTCGTCGTTAATAAGGTTTCTCGAGCGTTGAAGGATGAGTACAAACGAGACCAAAAAATTAAGTACCACGCGTTGCTGCTACACGTAAAAACGCGCCTATTATTTGAACCGGTACATAGTCGATGGTAAAAAGCTGGTAGCGAGCCTGGCCCGTGTGAGGTTTTAGTGGGGGGCGCTAAAAAGCCCGGTGTTGGGTCTCGAGGGGATAGCATTTGTATTCTTGCTGTCATTATGGCTGATGTAGTTGCACTTGTACATATTCACACCATCACCATACAGGTGGAAACACTGAATGCGTGGGGGGATGAGGTGTGGATGAGGAGAAATCGATCGCCTACCGGCTCGTTTGACTGTTGCTGCCCGAACGTGCGGAGCAATTCCATTTTTCTCTTTCTTTTTCTGCTCTCTGTTTGTTAATCAATTAACAAGAAGCGCGCTATAGCCCTGCTAGGGCTTATGATAGACTGGATACAAAGTCTTTCCCACCTACATAGCTGCCTAGTACATTTCTAAAAGTATGTGTACGATCCATTGTATCGCCGTCACATACCTGCAAATGACACGAGGAGGCGAATAGGTCGAAATCTAGACATCGATGGGTCTTTGAAGAGCCTCGAAACCCCTGAAGTTCGTTACTCTCGCTCGTATCGTGAACCACATGTGTAGTCGTAAGTCGACGCAAGGCGTGTACGAAAGTGGCTGTGTTTGGATGCTTTGATGAACTGCCCAACGTGCAACGTTGGAAGTCAAGTGAGGCGTATGTACCCAATGTATGTATCTTCTACTTCATTTGGCCTAGATTGTGATCGAACCAGATTGTCAGAAATCCGATAAGCCAGTCAATCCTGGGACCGTCTAGTTGGGCTCATCAGCCCCCAAACCAAATCCAGCCACCACCAATATTGTTTGATAATCTTTATACCTCGTTGGGATGTTGAATTTTCGCGATAACCTACATGTAAGTAAGCTACATACTTACCTACATACATGTACCCAGCCACGAGTCAGGTCTTGGTACCTATTTGTACTCCAAGCTCGTCTTAGCCCGACTCCCTTTAAAAGCTGTGCTGGCTTTGCATTGACGGGCTGACCTGTTTTAATTATTTGTTGTTTATTCTTGTGGACACACCACCGGCTAATTCATGGTTAGCTTGAGCCGTGACTTCGTTCCATATGTTCGGCTATTATTAGGTGTACTTCGTACAACAGCTACTGTAGAAGAGGCTTTGGGACAGACGCCAAGAGATCTCGGGCGCAACATATCTTCGTAACATAATTGCCGTGGTGGGATATGATAAAAGCCCTGGTGCTGCCCGATGAATGAACTTGGTCCCGATGGGAAGGCTAGCACTCTTGCTTCATCAAATTGATGTGAAGCAACATGCCATGGTGTGCTAAACTTTATTCAAACAAGGAGAGTACATAAAGCTGCATCTTATTGTTGGGTCCTTTTTCTAACAGCCGACAGGCTGTCCGCCCGAGAGGAAGCGGTGAACAATGCCATAGACGTCGGGGGATGCCGGCAAGAACAACGCATATTTACCTCCACGATGAATCCACGCCACTCGTGTTCATTGAATATATCACCTCGGGGGCAAGTAAAGGTAACGCAATCAAACGAATCTTACCCCTAGATGTGTTCGCTCAGCACTCTTAACCCAACAAGTCTCTGTATACTGAGTATAAGATGCAATGAGGCCATATGATACTATAGGGTTGCGATGTGAGCGGAGAGAGAAGACGTGCAGGACAATACAAGTGCGTTAGGCTGTCAGTCTAGGCTCGGGTGGCGCAGGAAAAACCGATATATGACCTGTCAGCTCGAAAACTGTGATATCCAAGATTCCGAATACGCCATAAATACTTCTGTTTGTTCGGTCCTCGGTTTCTGGATCACAGCTCCCGTCTTCCCCGCGCAGCCCGCAGCCCGCAGCCCATAGAGCGGCTGAACGTGGGCATCTCGACCTAAATAGGATGTCAGATCTGTTTGAGGATCGCCGGCCGACTACCGTCATTATCGAGGTGTCGAAAGCAATTGATTATACGTGGGGGGCTGAAAGGTGACAATGATGATGAAATCACGTATCATATCCATGCTGTTTTTCTGTGGATGAAATACCAATTCAGCTGCAGACGCTCGATGCTCGATGGAGCCAGATGCCTCGATGCTGCCGGAAAGCCTGTCGTGATACCCGATGAGTTGGATCTTCAGGGACAAATGATGCAAACGGAGTGCTTCCAAATAGTTGGTCCCTTAACCTAGAATCGTTACACCTGGGTTGTCCTACGTGACAAGCTATTGTATCATTGGATCTCGGGGGCTAGGTAGCTGGACACAAACGTCAGTGGCCGCCGTGGGGGGATGAATTGGCATTTCACGATAGCCTCATATATGGCATATGTGCGAACCATGCTATGGGCGTACTGCATTAGGTGGGAGCTATCCTTCATTGGATTCATTGTTGATTCATCGAATTAGGAATTAGGTGGATGTGCATGCCGGTTGTACGGGTGAGATCGCGATTGTGAAGAAGACGATGCAGTGCATATAGGTAAGGTAAGGTGAGGTGAGGTGTGAAGGATACACATGTGCATGCAATGTAATAGTACCGGTATTATGTATGATAAGATGTAGCCCTGGAGGATAATATGATGTAGGAGGATAGGTAAGGTACAGTACCTACTAGGTAGCTGCCTACAAGATGTAATGGTGCAGACTTTCAGTTCGTGGGGAGTTAGGAAGTTGCATTGGGGCGCATCCCTTATAACCTTTGAATGCAGGTGACAAGTTTTGTCGCGTACCAAACTTTATTGTAGTTACCTTCATACCTAGTATGTAGTATGTACCTATCTGTGGCTTGCATAGGTAGTGAACATTGAAAACTGTGGCGGAACCTTAGTTGCCGTTCCCCTGATGCGCCCTGCTACATGCCTACTGTAGTACCGTAGTACTCCAGACTCCAGGGCTATGTATTGTACAAGTACAATACAGGACACCCCCTTGCTACCCAAGTTGACATCACCCTAGCAGTGCAACGTACTTGTATTGTACAATACATAGTACCTAACTAGGGTAAATTGCAAAAGCAAGGATCTGGAACTTCTATTTTCAAGCCATCTTTCTCCAACTACATCTCCGCTCTTGCACGTTTTCCACATATACAACCATATACAATACGCATAACACGCGTACGCAACAAGATTTTTATTTTATTGTAAATCGTCATTGCATGCATCTACTGCCCAACATTCTCGTGTTCTCAAACGCATTTCATACCCGGTACCAGGAAGCTTAGCCGGCATCTTCATTGTGCGGCCCGAGTATTGTTTCCCTATTCCCGTTCGTTTACCAGGGGTCCCAGTCCGCCGTTCTGGTGGGACACGTTCGAGAGCCTCACACCTACAGGACGCCACATTTCATCACAGGTACTCAGCTTAGGAACGTATGTAGTCCGATCGAAAGCTACCGATCGCCGACCTCAATACGCCTTTTTGGTATTCTCATTTTCCACAGACCAGTGACACAAAATTCAGGTGAGCAATGGCGGATATCCCATTGCAAGTCATATCCGAGAATTCGGTTTCGGAGAGGAGAATTACTCCATCATGGTCGATTACCCAACTGAGAAGAAAACTTGAGCCCGTCACGGGCATTCCCCCGTCTTCTCAGCGTATCAGCTTAAAGACCGCTACCAAGGAGACTATAGCTGTCGAGGCTGCCGATGAAGACACCGTACTCCTATCAAATTTCCCCTTGTCTGCCTATGCAGAGCTGCATGTAAGCACGCCGATTCTCGTACATACATCATACAGCCCAAATACCTAGAAAGCCATTGCCGTTGGTTTATTGCTCGTTGTGCATACGTGTCATCATCATGAATAACCAGGAGATGTCTACATGCATCCTGGAGTTACAACGATACGCAGTGAGTGATGAGTAACTGACCAGGTTTCCAAGATCGTCGACACTCGGCCAGCTAGCCTCAGGTTGAATTTGAATGATACCTCTGGTGTCGAGAAATATGTCATGCCCGCAGAGGAGTACGAGAAGAAATCTGACTCAGTCTTGGCTTGGAAGAAGGCTGAAAAATTAGGCCGGTTCAATCCGGATGCTCCCAGCTTGGAAAAAGCCAAGATCGATGCCTTCAATTTCGATGTTAAAAGCAGGGGAATAGAGGTAGGGAAAAGGTGCAGGGTTGGTGGCAATGATGCTCGCAGGGGAGAAATCAAGTACGTCGGTGAAGTCAAGGAGATCCCTGGCTCTATAGGTGCTTGGGTTGGGGTACATCTTGACGAACCGGTGGGAAAGAATGATGGTAGTATTGGAAGTACTAGATACTGGGGCACCGAATCAGCGCTCAAACACGGTGTCTTTGTCAGACCAGAAAGGGTGGAGGTAGGCGAATGGCCTATGCTAGATGACCTGGAAGACATGGAAGAGATATGATCTGATCAGTCCACCATCAAGTTTGTATCTCATAGAAAATCTAAGTCATTCTCAACCATGGAAGGCATCCATGGATGTTACTATGAGACAAGAAAACTTACAGACTTTAGAATACCCCTTATATCTTTTCATTTACAGCACTACATTAGTATTTGGCCCCTAGATGTATCCCAGGTGCTACTGGGCACACGGCCTGCTATAGGTGTTAAATAGTGAGGATGGTGGGCTTTAATGTTGGTATACCTATTAGGTACCCACATGGTAGTCATCCGCATGATTGCCTACTTGAGCAACATACTTAGGTAACGTATAATTATTCTCCTTGCTTCGACAACACCAACACGCAGACTTGCTAGCCAACCAGGACTCGTCGGACTTTTCCCTTCTTCCTCACAACCAAGGGCTCATGGCTACCAAGGCAAGAACAACGAATTCTAAGAGCCTATCCCCAAGAGAATGTGACAAAGGATTTCAAGGCATGATTACTTTATAACCATTTTGATTGGAGACGCAAGAACAAACTGCAATAATGATCGTGATCTTTACTAGGTTTAACGCCATAACGGAATTACTAACCCCTTGTCTTGAACCGCATGGCGTGTTCATGCCGTTGTTAAGACATTCTTGTCCTGCTACCACATGGGCAACCTTCGCGTTCGGTCACACGTGAATATTACCCAGATCGAGCAGGTATAATCTGAAATCATGCTTCTCTAGACTCTTTGGTACTACGGGTGTTAGATTCCGGGGGTTCACTACATGTAGTACCTTCGGGATTTTAGGTTTGGCTTAGGGTATACAGTAGATCTTGAAGTAAACCTGGGCCACGGGTAGATCGTACATTTGCATAAACACACATCTACATATGCTAGCAGCTTGAATCGTACATACTTGGGTATTACGGTAGTTCCGAGAATACCGAGAAGCCAGAAGCCACAGTATCACATGGGCAATGCTGTGTTAAGGAAACAGCAGTTTTCATCAGTACGAACTATATAGGAAGGTGATATGTCTTCTAGTCAACCCACGCAGAAGACTTCGTGGCACAGGTGTACCACAAGAGTTGCACAAAGGCCATTTACGAATATACGTATTAGGCCATTAATATGAGCGTTCATTGCGTAGTAACAGCTGAGTTTTTAATTTTTGAGTTGTGCTCTTTGACTTGATAGGTAACTCAGGTTAGTTAAGTAACACATAATACACATGCTTTCATATAATCTAATTTACATGTGTAGGCAGACATCTGATGAACCAATTCCACTGTACGTATGTAGCATTCAAATGACCATGTAGTTATTGCCCAAGTCGATCTTGAGTCGGCACTTGGTCGACTTTATTAAAACAGGGTTTTTGTCAGGAATGAGGCTCATCCACGGGCCAACAACCGCCCATTATTTCCCATGCTATTTGATGTCGTCACATATATTGTATCAAACCCAACCCAAAGGGCGGTGAAAGCGAATAGGGCGAGTTTTATATTGTACAGTAGTTGAGACCTACCATAGTATGTACTGTAGGTTATTGTTGATCGCATTGAGGAGAATTGTAGTATCAGTGTTTGAAGATGCCTGGTACTAGGTTAGGTAAGGGCCGTGCTATGGTGAATCTAGTACAATAGTTACTAGTTACTAGGTTAGTAATAGTACGTAGCCCAGTAGTTTGATTTTAGCAGACTAGGGTTAGAAGGTGTTTGAGATTCACATATCCGTGTTTCCGTGAGGGAATAGAAATGGTTTTCTTTCTGTATTAATAATCCAATTCTTCTTGAGCTGCTGAACGACTATAGATCACTGATTGACTACCTAGCAATTACATTGTCCTATATATCGTGAGTAAGCCAGCCGTCTTATAGTCCAAAATCACTATAAGAAGTTGAAGAGTTCGCATTTAAACGCATTTAATCGCATTTAAACGAGTCAACCAACCACATGCCTCAAAAGTCACAGAATCGGAAATAATATGGAGAAGGAGTTTATATAGCGGGGGCAGTAGCTAGCCGAACAGCCCGAGTTGCCAGATTTAGATCATTGATAATGCTGCACCTGCTATTGTACCTGCTATTGTACCTATTAGGTACATATTATCCTCCAATTGAAGTTTGGACACTGATCTTGTTGATAATGATGCAATGGGCATCTATGTATGTATATATGTATGTATGACATGGCAACTTGAGAAAAGCTTGGCTAAAATGGCTTAACTATACTCCGTATCAAGGCTCTTGTTCTTCAATGTATAGTAATACACAACACGTAAGATGGCTCATGGCTATGCATGGGGGGATCTACTGTTAGAGATGTTGAGCCAAGCTACCGTTGAGTTACGTAGTAAAGGAATGATGGCGCTAAAACGATGCCCGTCTCGGAATATCTACTATGTTGCATGCATCAAGTACCACCCAGCTAGTTAGTTAGATCAGTCCTTTTTTCTTCTTCTTTCTTTCTTCCTACCTGTTTTGTTTTTTACACTTAGTTAAGTGTTAAATAGATAGAAGATACCATATATACTAATATGTACTACATTATTTAATTTCATTTTGTGCATCCAAGATATAAAGATGGGTATATGTAAGTAATCATGTTAATCCTTAAGATACACTACATATGTAGATAGTAGATACCTAGGTTAGTACACTAGATGTACCATAAGGATCCCCGGAATTCCTGAGGCTTTTCTCGGTGGAGTTCCTTCACAAATCCGATCTTGGCATGCTATCTAATGCGTATTACGTATGTTACTACTATACTTGTAAATCCTACATGTGAAACAGCAAGGGAGGTACTTGGGGCTTTGGTAGATCTACCATACTAGAGATAAGTACTCAATCTAAAGAACGCTCTTTCCCCACATCCCACCCGTCGCAGTTCAGGTCGTACTTGTCACCTCGAATCAAACCACCGACTGGATTCACCAACTGCATGTGGATTCAAACTTACCTGCCTAGTACCTACTTCCTTACTAACCACCATACAACAACTCTCTTCCTCCTTCACTTTCCCTTTCCCCTTCCGCGCCCGTTGTCCGACGAAGTAACGCATCACAACACGACGCAAGCCGCAACCGACCCCCCTCCCCGAATATCCTCATACCCACTCATAACATACTCATAACATCGGATTCATACTCCCCGCGGCGCCAATCGCTTATTGTCGATCAAGAAGAAGAAGAAACACTGCAAGTTAATCAAGAAAATGTCTGGCCTATGTATGGTTTCTGTAAAGTAGGACGATGATAATATGCGATATCAACTTTCAATGAGTGGCGCTAGTTAGGGCCGTCCCTCATACAACTTGTACAAAGAATCCAGTCGATTCCTCTCTATCGGCTTAGTTTCGTCTACCACCTTCTGTCCCGTCTGTCCCGTCTTTAACCTTCCTCTCCCACAACGGCTGGCCCATCGTGTGAAAGTCCGCAACCGCCTGAAAATGGCGATATCGACCATCTCCAATATCGCCAGTATGGCGTACTTTATTCTTGGCCTTGCCTCTATTCTTTCCGTCGCATCCGCCGAAGATGCCACCACGAGTACTGTACAGGGCAACTTACCTGACTATCTGCAGCAATCCGCCATGTCACTTTCTCTGGACAGTGATGTTGCTCCAGTCCATGTCGATTATAGAATTGCACCTTTGACGGCCGAAACTGGACTCAATCAGACCAATGGGGGTGACCTGAGTGTATGAAGCCCTAATTGTGTTACTGCATAATAGCTAATATGCCTCACAGAGTGTTCGTATGCGAGCAGACATGGTGATTGTTGACCAAACCAACTATAACGAGATCAGCCTAGAGGATAATATTGCCTACATTACTTGCGACTCTACTACCGATAATACCTACATCACTCCCAGCGACGTGCTCAATTCTGTTATGAACAGAAAACCAAGTCCAAGGGCAATTTTGCTTTTTAGCACTGCAGGAACCTATTGTTCACTTGTGGGATCCGACCTGGCGTTCAGAGAGATTTGGACCATGACCAATCCAGACGAAGCTGGGGAAACCAGGAACCTGACTTTGGCCGGTGGGGTTCGTGTCATAATTCCGACAGAAGGCACTGATGCAATGAACGGCACTCGATCTCAAGGCGGGAGTAGTTCGGCCGTGGCTATGAGCATCTTATATAGTATCACGGGTCTAATCACTCTGCTTTTCCTCCTCATCATTGCTACCGGTGCAATTCGGGCACATCGCCATCCTGAACGATACGGTCCTAGAGCCGGTTTCGGCGGAAGACCAAGACAGAGTCGGGCCAGAGGTCTCGCACGAGCTGTTCTTGAGACGCTTCCCATCGTCAAATTTGGAGATCCTGATCCTCGGCCAACGGCTAAACCGGACCCGGAGAATGAGCTGGATAGTATATCGGGGGACAGACAGCCCATAAAATCTCTGACGCAGCCTGACTTGACACCGGCTAGCATCGGACAAGGCGAGAACCCTCAAAATTCTGCTACCCCTGATGCTGCTGTAGCTGCTGTTGCATCGGATAATAATAATGGGAACAACGAACCAGTGGAGGATAACAATCTTGGTTGTTCTATCTGCACAGAGGACTTCAGTGTCGGACAGGATGTGAGAGTCCTCCCTTGCAACCACAAATATCATCCACAATGTGTCGATCCATGGCTAGTCAATGTGTCTGGCACCTGTCCTTTATGGTAAGTCACCACAACATAGGTATTCCAAGCCATCCTAAGCTAATGAACTGTAAACTAGTCGACTTGATCTTCGTCCTCGGGAGGAGGAGGAGGCACCAAATGATGACGGTACAGATATGTACGAAATCGCTCCACAGGAAGCGGCTGGTGGTCATACCAGCGGTCAACTTGCTCCTCCGCATGGGGATGAAGTAGAGATGGCACAGAGACGACGACTATCGCGTCTTCTAGATTGGAACAGGCTTAGACACGCCTCCGTTGATGAGCGTATTCAGGCTCTTCGACAGTATCGGCAAACCCAACAAGGACAAGCGGACGCTTCAGTCGATGACCAAAGACGACATGCTAAATTGTCGGACCGACTACGAGAGAAATTCCACGTCCGGACAAGAGCTCACCCGCCTAGTGAGCCGCCATCTACCAACTGATTGTGGGTTCCGGCAACGCCTAGTTTGAGTATATGTACACGCTGATAGGTTGGGTTTGTAGAAGCCATCAGTTACTAAATGGGTGACGAATAATGCGTTCGGTGGCTAAATACGGACATGAGATAATGGTTTTGAAGTGGACGGGTCAAATGCTATGCCTGAAATAGAACGGCGTCGGATGTTATTAGGGAATGTGTTTAGGGTGTCATGGAAAGGAATCGCATTGGTTGGCGTTAATGTGTGCGAGGCTATCTGGTTTTTGGGCCATCGGGGTCTCGAGGTTCAGCTGGCGTTAGGCAGGACACACGGTGGCAAGCTTTATTACAGTCATTAGGGCAAACCATCCCATATCATGCAGTCGGAATAATGAGATAGATATTGAAATGGGTCACACTTGTTTTCCCCAATCTTGTTGCATCAAATTGGTGACATTGGGATGGTGTGAGGATGAGTCGCGATAGGCCGAGAGGACTTGGTGTGTGAAGATCAGATGTATAGAATAATGATGAGTACAATTTAAGCATAACTACTATGCCTACTTGGTGTAGATGAAGTTAATATTTATACTACAACTACAACTACAACTACAACTACAACTACAACTACAACTACAACTACAACTACAACTACAACTACAACTATACAACACGAAATCCCTAAAAAGTGCTTTCCCCGTTTGAATGAGCTCCCCCTATTGCCGCCATCTCATTCTTACTAGACTAGAAGGGGAGAGATGAAGTGCCCGGCCAGTGCACATACCTAGGTATGTAAGATCGGAGAACCTAAAAGTGGATGGCCTCTATTGTTCAACGTCGTCGAACTTTTCTCGGATGTAGGTCTAGCAGAGATGCTAGGCTGGGCCGGGCCCGGAAAAGGTCGGCAGGATATGAGGTCGCGAACAGGCAAGTAGGTAAAGCGCCTATACTAGAACGCCAATGCGAAACACCTCCCGCGGACTCTACTAACATCAGGATAGGCAATCTCCAGGCACCATCTCTTTTTATGACTCCAGTGTTGTGTCTTTGGATGACTCCGCGTCGGGTTGGCCAAGATGTATTCATCTTAAGGTGTTACGACCAACCTTAAAGTATCCGGTTACTCATCCGAAATAGCGTCCGCCATCCGTTTGGAAAGCGTGAGATTGATCATGGGATCTTAAAATGGGTGGACAAACTTGGGGCTGAAGTTACCTACTCTTTGGGACACAGACACCGCATACACACCCATCCATTCGACTAGATGAACCTTGGGTAGATGTTCCTTCGGCAGAGTAAAGGTAGACACAGCTTACTTTACTAGCCCGATCACACACCCCCCGTGAGCATTATTGGCCCTCTTTCTATTCTCTTCCTTTTCTCCTCGTGTCTGTCCTTTCCCGCGCCACGTCCTTTCTTTCCCGGTGTCCCAAGAAAAGAAACACAAACCAAAGAAACTGCGCGCGATGTGTTAGGAGGCAAGAATATAGGCTAGGAAGTGAATTTCGATATGGCCTCCATTCTGTCTCTCCGAGACAATGGGGTCGCACTATCGACCCGACACCTCGAGTATGATGTCGGGTTTGTCTTCAGCGCGATCCTCACCTTCAGCGCTGGCTCCGTTCTATCGTACTTGCTTGGTCCGTAACCGATGATTTCTGCCTGTGCATGTGAAGAAGCGAATGCGCTAACGAGGACGATAGTACAACGAATACTTGTTGCAAAATGGTGGCGTCTACCATTTGTCGCCTGGGGTAAGCTAAACGAACTCCTCTAATCGCCAAGCATTTGACCTAAGAGAGTGCTTACTAACAGGTAAACGTTGCTATTGTTAGTGGTCCTGTCTATCTATGGTGTTTCATGGGGTTTCGTGTTCGCGTCGACCATCGTCAACTATGGGATAGGAGTCAACTCGAGCCTAGGCGCCTGCTCGGCCGCGATCCTCATATGCCTATTCTGCTACGCTAACTCAAAAGTTCGTATAGTACCCCTTCTCTGACCCTTATCACTTCCTAGTATTGTATCACTATACTAACATCCGCTTAGATTGTGAGCATTCCGGCCTAATACTTTTGGATAGGGGTGTTATGAGCTTACGTTTTTACTCGAATAGTGTATCTATTTGTTTCTCGTCGAAAAGGCGGTATGTGCTCCCTAACACTAATCCCATTCCAACTCACTGAGGGTGAGATTATGCTAATAAATATCAGTTCATCATCCGAGGCGGCACGAAACGGAGACTCGAGTCTAAGCTATACATTTTCAACTCGTTCGGTATAATGAGTAAGTCCTATATGGTCCACTATATCTCCAGATGACTATCAGCAGCTAACTCATTCGTAGCACTATACATGGTCGTGGGCGGCTTAAGTTTCTTCTAGTAGGTTAAGAGCAGGAAACGTCGCCACGTAAGCAGACGAATCATTTCGCTAACGATTCTATGTGCCGATCCTTAGCCGTATGGTCCGCATGGAAAATGGACACTGCATCATTGGAATACAAAACCCGGGGCTGGTGCCTCTTATAGTACTCAGCATCGTGGCTAACGTATAGTAGAGCCTGAGTATTACCCCGGACGCTTCGAGTTAAGGCTGACAATAACGGTATAGGTTTACATCACGTTATTAATTATAAACCCATTTCGAGGTTAGATCACCCCTTTCCGCGACCCAGAGAGTTGTTATGCCTCGAGTTTGCCTATAAGATACCATAGCTGATTTTGGGTCACTTATCACCAGGTATTCCCCTTTTTAAGGGACTTTCCAATGGGACGGCCAACCCTCCTAGACTGCGCGCAGCGGCCACGCGTACTGCTACCGGCGCGCTATGTACTATGATATCCGGTGTAATGTAAGTATATTGTTAGGGAGGGACATTCGTGAATGTACCTACTAGGTATGTGAGCTGGTATATGAGCTAAGACGATAATTTCCCTCTAGAAACTTTTCGGTTCTCATGGCACTCCAAGGCGAACCCGGATGGATATTCCTCACGTGTTGTAACGCGGATAGTACGTATATACTAGATGGTCACTCCGAATACTGATCTTGCTCCATTCCTTTACCCCCTACCTACCTCAAATGAACAAACAACTCATAACCAATCTAATCGTTTTCACTACCAGTCTTATTCTCTACATTAGTCATCTACTGGGTAACAGCTCGCGACAACTCCAGCGCCATCGAATCGGCTCCCACGGCCTCCCCGTCCGCCTCTTCTAACACCCCATCCGATAAGCGCTCCTCGCGCCGGCCCCACTCGGCCTCCATGACCTCACCCCTATCCTCCGCCCTGTCCTCGCGACGGAGCCAGAAAAAATTCACCATCTCTCTCCCACTCAACACCACCAGCTCCTCCCAGTACGAGCACATCTTCGGCGAGCCCGAGCCCGAGACCGAAACCGAAATCGTGAGTGCCGCCAGTGCGAGCACAAGAAGAAGCAACAGCGCTGCTGCTGCGGGCGCAAGCACGGCTGGCCCCTCCGCCTCGACCTCGACTTCCACACGAAGATACAAACCCGGCTCATTCGGTTCCGCTGATATCGATTATCGCCTGTTCGCCTGCAACAACGGCAGCATGGAGGACATAGCCCTGGACGACACACCGGATACTAACAACAACCACAATGACAGGGGCGGTCACGGAAACGGAAACGGCAAGGGAAAAGCCAGTGACTGGCGAAGAATAAGCAGCATGCGCATAGCAACGGAAGACAACGACCATCACCGCCTCCTCCGGCTCCATCACCAGCAACAACAAGAGCAAAAGCAAAAGCAATCACAAACCCACCCACCAGAACTACCAGCGGACCTCCAAGGCGACGCTCCCAGACAAGAGCTCCGCAACGCGGCTGCCGCGACCTCGGCGGCGATGACCGCGGACCTCGAGCGCATCCGGAAGTACCGCCGGCAGCGGTACGGGTCCGCGGGCAGGATGACGTCGACGACGCATTCGCCTTCTACTTCGCAATCACAGGCACAGGCACAGGCAAAGGGGGAGAAGACACCATCCCAACCCCAGACACAGACACCGGTAAAAGCAGAGACCGAAACAAAGGCAGAGTCAAAGGCAAAAGCAAAGGCAAAGGCAAAGGTAGTAGACTCGGCAGCAATAGGCGTAGCAGTAGCAGTGCCAGCACCTCAACCACCCAAATCACCCAAATCCCCTAAATCCCCTCCCCCTCCCCCTCCTCCTCCTCCACCGCCCCCGCCCCCACTACGCCACTCATCTACCCAAGCCTACCGCATCAGCCACCTAGCCTTCGAGGGCGACGACATCATGCGCTGGAACGTGCTTGCGGGGATGGAGGAAGGCTCGGGGAGCGGTAGTAGTAACAGGAATAGCGCTGCTGGTAGTGCTGGAGCCGGGAGCAGGGTTGGTAGTGGCGTTGGTGCTGGGAAGGGGGTTGATCATCCTGCGTGGATTTGAAAAAAAAAAAAAAAAAAAGAAAAAGAAAAAAAATTCAAAGTTACTTACCTAGGTTAGGTAGGTTGGGGGGGGGGGGGGGGGGGGTTAAGGGGTTGGAGGTGGGTGAGAATGCCTAAAGGAGGCTGAACATCATCGAAACGAGGAAACCTTGGAATAAAAAATAAAAAAAGTAAAAAAACAAGAAAAAAAAAGGAGGGGGGGGGGGTTCGGAGGCTAGGAATAATGGGAGGATAATAAGGATGGGAGGAATTAAGCAAGTAAAGAGGTAAGGGAAGAAGTTTATCGTGGCGGCGTGTGGTGGCGGTGGCAGTGGTCAGCAATTCATGATATGTTCTCTGCTCTTCTCAATGGTTTGGCAGTCAGTTTGTACAATACAATACCTACTAGGTATGTAGTAAGTAATTACATGCCTTTTCAGCTTTCCTAAGAAAGGGGGTTGGCTGACGACGGTAAAGGGGCTGGAGTTAGTAGTATGTATGTACACCAGCCATACTATCTCCATATCCATTATCTTTCCGAGATACCTACCTACCTACCTGGCTGTCAGGCGGCTGAATTTTCAATTTCTTGATATGGAAATCGCTCCATCTTGCGAATATGAAACAAGGATGGATGAATGCATGGATAGTATTTACCTAGGACCTAGGTATGCACCTACATATCCACCGAAGTTATTTATACGCGGGACGACTAACTATTCGTACCTACGTCCGAGAATTTCTTGTTTTCCGAGGCCATGTACTTCGTAAGGATAAGGATAAGGATAAGGATACCAAGGTAGGTTATCTACTCCGATCGTCAACAGAATGCCCAGTAGATAGCTTCAATGCTATGAACCCAGGTAGGCATGCTTGGGATCTGTGGGTAAGTTCGTATTCCATATAGTTACAGACGATCAATTACTACTAGTAGAACGTACAACTTCCAAGGTTTACCTTGATAAGAATCATACCATTAAAAACCTCGTATTCATCAACTGAAGAACTATCACGGTCACAGTTTTCTCATTTCAACATTAAGAGCCACATGTGTGTAGTTGCGAAATGGGAAACCCCAATTTCTATTCAGCATAAGAAGAGCGAGGTCTTTTGTACCTGCCTCGCAACGTGTTCATATCTTCGGGAATTTTCCTTGGCCTTTAGATGCCTCCGGTCCATGCCTAACAAACAAGCAAAACAAAACAAACATACTAGATTCTGGTGGGCGTTTAACCCAAAACAACCAGATATCCAGGGGCTCAAATGGCTTGAGCCAAAAATATGTACAATGAACTGAAGAGCCGGATTTTGTACCCCTCGCAATGCATAAGCCGTTCCCCTTTCCATAGACTAAACAATTATAGAACAAGAACCCCGTGAAAAGAATCGAATTTCACACTACTGAAGTTGCGCGGCTGTCTTAGGCAACGCCGGCAAAGATCTTGCCGTAGGAGCTCAAGGTTGAAGATGTCTCCATGAGGCTGCCCTCCTTCAGCATGAAGTACGAATACTTCTCAACAAAGCTGTACTCTTCACTGTCTAGACCTTGCGTGATCGCCTTCATGAAGGCGTCAGTATCGCCACTCTCTGCTGCGAATTCCGTGATCCAGACGTTCTTTCCTTGGCAAGCCGTGTGCACATTCTTAACGTGGGTCAAGAACTCGGCCGCTCCGGCGTCACCACCGGGACCATACCAATGGGCAGTGCAGAAATCAACCTTGCACTGGCCGCCGCAGGCGGTGAAGAACTGGCCAAGCCAGTCAACACCCTGGTTCGCGTTAGCACTGCTAGAAATAGCAGGCGCACTAATTCTGGCTCGGCCAGAGTAGGGGTTCATGAACTTGATGTGTCCGGCTGCAGCATCCGCAGGTGACATGTTAGCCTGACTAGGGATATCTGGTTCGTTAAAACTGAGGAGGCAGTCGGATCCCTTGGCAAGAGCGGCTTCCGCCTTCTCGGTCCAATCGTTAGAGTGATCAGGAATCGGGGACCAAAGCATGGGGTAGTAAGCAACACTAGCGTCAAGGTTGCCAGGGCTTGATCCCCAGTTGTAGGCCCATGAGATCTTGTTGGTCATGCCTAGGAGAGTGCTGACGAGGCTTGGGTCGTTGTAGGCGGCACCTCGCTTGCTCGTTCCAGAGCTGGATGATGATGATGAAGGGACATTTGCTGCACTGATGGACGGGGCAGCGGTGGATACGACTTCAGCAGGAGTGTACACGGCAGCGTTGTCGGTAGGAATGGCGGGAGATTCGACAGGCTGTGTGATTGAGGAAGCCTTGACCAAGGTAGCCATCGTGGTTTTGCTAGTGGAAGGTGTTGGCTCCGCCACAGTAGTGGGAACATCAACCTTGGCAATGGAAGTGGTTGATAGGATGACCGACTCGATAGCTGGGACATTGACAATTTGGGTAGAAGAAGGGGCTGCAGCAGTCTGTATGGTGGCTAGCTCCTCGCCTTCGGTGACGGTCATGGTTACATACTCAGTGACGACGACGGTATCAGTCGCAACCCATGCGATATCCCGCTTAGGGTGCATGTGGCGATGATAGGAAGCAGCGGCAGCGCGTTCCACAGTGGAAGCCGCGCAAAGCGCAAGAATGCTAAGCTTGCCCTGCATGTTGACTATTTAAGTATCGGTGTTGTTTAGTTGATACTTTAAGACCTTCAAGTATATGGTAAAGTTGGATTGATAATGCAAGTAAATTGTTTTATCTTTCCTTATTCTAGAGTTGATGTTGTGATTTCCGTGGAAGGAGTGTCGAAGCACCAGCGTCTCACTCAAAGGAGAGAAAGATGTATCGAGGGATACAATCGAGAGAAATGAATGAATTTGGTCGCAGGATGTTGTACGCTCTGCGCAGTATGAACCCGGTACTGAGACGGGAGGCAGGTTGCGCAGTCTATCAAAGACGCAGAAGGATTGATGCGAGTTTGATGAGTTGAGTTGCACCTTTGGACAATGAAAGTTGGTTGTGGTAGAGTCGAATGCGTGTGACGTTTGACGAAGGACAACGCACTTCTGGATATGGGGTAGCTCGTTTCTTTTATATCGAGATTGACCACAAAGAACAACCAACAACTTTGGACGCGAGGCAGTTGAGGTAAGTAATGAGTGGATCAGAGATGGCGACCTAGCTTGGTGACCTAGATGGAAATGTACACAAAATGATGAATGAACGTATGTGCGGGGAAAGGAAGGAGAGTGGTGATTCTCGGTATCCAGTGGATGGAAGATCGAGAAAGAGTGGTGAGGGTAAAGGAAAGATCGGAAGAAGGGTAGGAAGATGAATTTATTAACACCGATGTTTTGTGTTTTGTGTGACTGCCCACTTACACTACACTACATAGTACACTACACTGCCTTAGGTAGACATCCACATGTGCAGGCAAGTGCGCAAGTTGATAACTACCTGGGGGACGACTGTACATGCCAGACCACTTTGATAGTGTACACTGGTGCATTCACTACGAGGTAATCCATGTCAGGTACTAGGTATGTACATGCCTCACCTAGGATACCATACACACTATGCAGGTCCAGCAATCGGGATACAATGTGGGGCACGGGTATACAGTGGGGCACAGGGGTCAAAAAGCAAGGGGTCCCATCAGGGCCGTTACTTTTACTGGTCAGAGTAACCCGCGCTTACCTATTTGACAGCTGCTAAGTGCCCAGACGCCCAGGTTTCGTATAGCCTTTCTAAAAGTCGGGCAGGTGCCAAGAATGGAGGCTACTTGCCCGTTCGGATGAAGAGTGGCCATACCCGGTACTTCCTATTGGCTCGTTCTAGAACATAGAACAACATTAGACAACTGAACATCAATTCAATGATTAACACCGCTCGTACCCAGGTACCAGACCCTCATAAAGGATTTGAATCCATGCTGGTAATTGAATGCAATTAATCTTCCTTTGTTGACCTTATCAATCGATTTTCTTGTGACATACATACATGCATACATACTTGAGCAATAGCCTTTTCTTTTTTCTAAATATAACATTGAAAATCATAACTGACTGTTTAATGTTTTTAGACGTTCTTTGAAACTTACTAGTTAATACATACCGGCCGGTACCCTAAGGGTACAATACCTTGCACACACGTATGATGTGCTGACGTACATCCCTAACGGGATACGTAGGCGAGTAACAGGTTATTGAATGCAACGCAACCAATTGTGAGACGGAGCCAGTCCAGCTTCCGGGCCTGCGCTAGGACGGACTGCTCACGTAGCTTATGCAGGTACGGGCTACTAGAGCTGCAGGAACAAGGCATAGGACCGACCGCTTTAGCTCAACATAAAGGGCAATGGGCTGATGGAGGGAAGGAATTCAGGGGCTGTTACGGATTTTTGCCTGTTGGTATTTGTCAATAGATGTAGCTATTTGCAGGTTTTAGTATGAGCAAGATACCTTCCTACCTACATACCTTAAGGCCACACCTCAACCCTCTTACAAACATGTTTCTTTCACAACCAGACCCTTAAACTTGAGTATTCTAGCAGCCCTTCATTCAATACCTATTGTGCGCAGGTTGGTAGTACACGATATGTACATGACGAGTAGGTATGGTTACAAATTTATGATTGGGTGATTGGGTGATTGGGTCGCCTAATCTGAAACTCTAACTGCATTGCGATAAAGGCCAACCACCAAATCATTGTCACGGAGAAAAAAAGAAGGAAACGAAACAAAAGTAAAAAGAAGAAGAAGAAAAAAAGAAAAAGATAGCTAGTTTAGGGCAAACAAACGAAAGCCGCTCAAGCAGCAAGATGCCGCGCGCTCTCCTTTTTCGCTCTTTTAAGGAAAAAAATGCGGTGGCGGTCTCAACTACAGTCGGATTTCTGGAGCTCTTTGACTCTGATTTGATGCTGCGCACGTGTGGATCATCTGGTGGTTGGCCCTCAGCCGTCCAGGCCGAACTCCTCTTGCGCTTCCCCTCTATTCTGCTGACGCCTTACTTCTTTTCCGGCTTAGCTTCTTACGTGTGTCCACGTACTACTAGGTTGTGGTACCGACTATTCGGTGATCTACAACAACCCCTGGCCAGAATTTTGAAGATAGCCCTGGAGGGAAAAAGAATAAATAAAAAAATCAAGGATAAGAACCACTTTGCCCTACGAATGACGTGGTTGTGTAGCGCCAGTTATTCCTCGAATGAAATAAAAAAGCGAGATTGCCCAGTTACCTAACCGTCACTCTATTACTGTATTGCTGTATTGCTGTATCATACTTACAACTAAAGTCGACAACTTCATCAGTGGTAAACAATAAATGTTGTTGCGACACTATAATTATCATGGTATGGCACTGTTCTATCGGGCATCAAAATTCAATTGGGATTATCATATACCAAGCAGTTTTCGTCTGTTCATCAAATGTTGTTGTTCCCCAAGATTCCGTGCCCACTGCCGCCAACGCCCTTGTTGATTACAACGGCACATCAAAAAGCTTAGCTATTTCCCTACACGGATATAAACCGGACGATCTTTACTACAGAGTAGGATCAATTGGCTTTGCAATTTGACTCAACCATAAACCATCTCGTAAATCCTACACTACACTAATAAAAACACTAGAAGCATTGAGAACCGCTTTTCTAGTTTTAGCAGATACTTCTAGAATGTTGATGCCCTTTTCGCAAAGCTCAAAACAAGCCTCATCATCTATAAAAGGGAAGGGCTGATGTTAGTGGCCTTACTAATTGCTTCATGTTAAAACATAGGGCTTGATCTGATCTGATCTGACTTGACTCTGACTGACGTGTGGAAGCGCAATGGATATCCGGGATTATTTTTCGTCTGATCCTGACATATCAATCTCCAGCAGGGCTATTATCGGGGTTGTTTATTTCCAGGACGGCCTATATATTGCCTGCTAATAGTAGGCCGGAATCCAGCCGGAACCCAGCCGAAACGAAGAGCACGGAGAGCCACCATTCTGCTGTAACCCGCCGGGACTCCGCGTGAACGCCTGAACCTTGTAGATCGAGATGTCGAGAGGTATGATGATATTTTTTTTTTTTAAAAACTGAAGTTTTTCGACCACCTACTCAAATAGATTATCAAAAGCTGGGGCAATGCACTTGCCACGGGCCATAGTACAGCATTCATCCGCAACTTGGAAGAACAGACGTTGATCTACATTACGTGATCCAAAATATCAATGCAATTATCATCATAATTCTAGCTAGCCTTGTTATGTTTCCTTTCGGCGACCTCGGGAATACCGGTACCTAAGTAAGCAGTTTGCGGAGGCGCCCGGACCTTGATCGATTCTTTATTACATGTCATGGCTTGGCAATTAGATCCTCGGAAGCTCCAGATGTTGTTCAATAGGTAGTCGTCGACGAAGTAATCGCACAAGTTGTATATGAGATTGCTAAAGATAAAAGCTACCAAAATGTATATCAACTCAGGTAAGTAAGTGCATACTAGTAACTATGTGCGATTTGCAGGCAAAAGTCACAAATGCCTAGGTTACCTAGGTACCTTGCACCTTGGGTGAATCACCGCAATGCGATATCAGAGATTTAGACGAATATATTGAGCATTTGAACTCTGCAAATCGACCTGCGCGAAAATTAGATATTCAATTATCTAACCTAGGTGAATAACAGCGTGCTACTATGTATGCACCTACCTCATTGCATAGGCATCTGATACCTGCTCTAAGCGCACTGCATGTCCTGAGGATTTAACATTGAACCTTAGAACTTGAAGTTTGCCTTACTATCATGGTGGTGCCTTCCATGATTAATTCTTAACAACTTCATTGATGCGCTTTCCTTCAACTACCCAAACACAAACCAAAAAAAAAAAAAAAAAAAAAAAAAAAAAAAAAAAAAAAAAGGCATCCGCACATAAAGAAGGTATCGCCTGCCTACCTACCTGGGGGGGGCATGACAAGCATACATGTATACAGCCCCTTTTAGGTTTTAGCCTTCAATATTCTTTTCTCCTTATTATTTTCTCCTAATTATTTATCAACCATGGAATCTCCACTTCACCTTCTCATTCAACATCCATTCAACCCACCATTACTAGGTCCGGTTGACTTACATTTAATTCGGCCCCGCGCAATCCCGATGACAACTTTCTGTTCCGAATTGTCTACGGAACCATCTGAGTCTGAGTCTGAGTCTGAGTCTGACACCAAGTCGGACTCCTCATCGGTTATTTACGTCGACCAAGAACCACTCATTACTTTCCAAGTTCGCGTTCTTGACTTTGCTCTTCACAAGATTTGGCCCGATGCTGCCTCCGACGAAATCGTTGTGGAACGCATGGTCGGAGGCGGATTCAACCGTATCATCGGCGTTTCTTGGCAGCCGAGGGGAAACCCCGAGCCTCTGAGCCGATACATTCTGCGCATCCCTCGGTATGCTGACCAGCCCGTAGCCAGCCAAGTTACCATACTACAATTTCTAGTTCAATACTGCAGAATCCCCGCTCCATTAGTGGTTGATCACGATGACACCGACAACAATGAGCTCGGCTCGAAATATATGATCCAGAATCGTGTACCGGGATCCTCCCTACTTTGGTCCTATCCTGCACTTACTCATCCGGAACGATGCAAGGTCGCGCGAGAGCTAGGCAGTGTTTTCAGGGAAATGCTAGCCACCTCCAGTACTGCGTCTGGAGTCTTGGTGCCATCGACAGATAAGTCGGCGCCTCTAAGTGTACTATCGTGGCATCAACCAAACACTGCATTAGCTGTAGAGTATGCTAAATCCTCGATTCCGCAAGACATCCACAAGATACTGGAGGAAATTTTCACAAACCAAAAGCATTCCGAATTGAAAGAACGGCCAAACGCCATCATCAGACCGCATCTCATAGACTGTTTCTGCATGATGTCTTCAGAATTGGCAGCAGACGGATGGTTCTCGAATTGCCGTATCTCGTTGGCACACCTCGACTTGGAGCCCCGTAATATACTCGTCAACCCGGACCCTAATTCGGATCGACCTATCATATCCGCCATCGTCGACTGGGACAGTGCCGTCTTCGCTCCACAGTTCATGTGCTGTGCGCCACCTCTGTGGTTATGGGCGTGGAAGGATGACGAAGATGAAGACGAACGCACTGCTAATGATGTGCCACCAACACCAGAAGCGCGCCAGATTAAGCAGCTCTTCGAAGAGGCTGCTGGTTCAGACTACATTCGGTTTGCCTATCCGTCTGCTTATCGGCTCGCGAGACGGCTTGTTCGGTTCGCAATTGATGGATTGAAATCCAACGAGGACTACGAGAACGCCGAGGATATGTTGGAGGAGTGGAAAACGCTGAGCAGCTGCGAGTCCGGCCTTGTCTCCTTGATGGAGCAGCACAATAATGACGGCACCCCTACACAGAGCGAGTGGGGTGCTTCTCTAGACGACGACGATGATGATGCCGATATATGGGAGCAGAGTGATATTTTAGGGCAAGATGAACTCACCATTGACGAAGTCGAGGAGCATACTACCTTTCAAAATTGTGCCACTGGCGCCTAGCAAGCTACATATACCACTACTCAGCAGGATGAAAGTACTGGTGCTTGGCGGGACTGTTGCGGTATCGAATGGTGTTCTCTGAAATGAGCGTACCTACCTAGGGTAGTTACCCATGCCCTAGTACTGTTAAAAGCGTACCTATCTACGTGGCTACCTAGTATTCAGCGATCTGATTTTTAAAGTAGTTAAGCATAGCATATCAGGCGACCGAATACCATGTATAATGATAATAATTGAGAAGAAAAGTGTATTTATGAGGGACATTAATCGAGTTATAGTCATCCTTTCATTTATGTCCTACTTTGCTCCTGTCTATATTCCAATATAGGAGTATTCATTGATACCGGACGTAATACCTAAGCCAAAATGCCTTGACTAGAAATAATTACGATCCCTATATATACAGACTGTATGCGGTTACTAGCTGCTACGTATATAGGAGGCCATTGCAATAACATCACTATATTTTTCTTCGATATATACTATCTGTGTTCCATTTGAGCCAGCCTCGTCACTTGTGCTGTTTTTAGAGGCTACCAGATTTCCAGAGTTAGGTTTCAGGGTGAAAACAAGGCATGACACAGTGTAGACGTCGGTTTACATATGGGTGCCTGAGTACCTTTCCATTCCTCAACCTGTGAATCACTGTAAGAACAGATGGATGAATATTTGCAACACACATCGTTTACGTGGATCATCTATCTCTGCCTCACAAGCTTCACGCGGCTTAAGGTACCTAGGTAAGGATGCCAATTAGCTAGGTATTTCATATATTCACTGTTCTCTTCTCCTGGTATGCTATGTATCATACACCTTTTATGTTAAATGTACCTGTGAGATGATATCGAGTGACTCTCTTCTTGCCATGCCCTGGCCTAACTGCTTCTTCAGGAACGTGAAAATGCTGTTATGATTACTTACATACCATTGTCTCGACCTCGTCAATATTGCTAAGTACATGATGATCGAAACGCTATCTATGACTGGCTCAGGAGATTTCTACAAATCCTAGGTAACTTAAGTACCCTCCGAGAGATAACTTCTTTGAAATGGTTTAAAACGATGTTGAGACAATGACCAGAAACATACACCAGCAATTATAACGTGACCGTGGCTCGTCTCATTGGCCAATCACATGCGAAGTTGTCAAAGGGCATCGTCCCGATTCGGTATTCACGTGATCGGCCCGGGATACGACGAGCTGACGATGTGCCTAACAATCAACGTCTCTTTAACCATCTTGGCATCGAAATACATCTAGGTTACCTAAGTATTCAGCTCTCAGAGACTAACCTAAGCTACAAGATAAAGATCTTCCAAACAAATTCGTCGTCTTATTTGGACTTTCTCTCATATACCTAGACCTTAGCTATCCAATGGCCATTCGCCCACTAAACGACCAAGGAATTCTAAGAATATCAGCAGAGATTGGAACATGGAGCGGCCGAACTTGACTCATCGCATGATACTCCCACGGACGGGCCCGAATGATGTAGACAATGACCTGGACTACGCGGCCTTCTTCCAGCATGGTGATGATAACGACACATGTTATCTTCCCGACACTGGCTTTTCTGGATTTACTCTAGACTTTAATGATGATCTCGAAATGTATAACCTCCCGTCCTCGGCAACCCCAGCCGAGAATACCAACAACAACAACAACAACAACAACAATAAAATCGGGACTCGTAAACAAGGATTAAAGCGGCAGAGACATACTAAAAGCCGTCACGGATGCTTCAACTGCAAGCGGCGTCGCATAAGGGTAGGTACCTAGCTATAAAAAAGCGATGATGAACAGACATTATATCACACCTTGTATGCTAATGTTAGAGACACAGTGCCAAGAAACCCATCCGGCGTGCGACCACTGTGTAAAAGGGGGGCTGAACTGCGAATACCCAGCGGCTCCCCGGATCGTACACCAAGTACGCACTCCCCCCATCGTCGTGGATGGATGATTGTTCGGGGGAAAAACCTTCGCTAACCAGCAGGTGTAAAAAAAAGCCACAGCACCTAGTCCCTCTTTTCAGCCTGCAAGACATGCGCTTCTTCCAGCACTTCTTGCTGACCTGCTTCCCACACCAACCCCTGGGGAACGAGAAGATATGGACCCACGAGGTTCCGTGTCTGTCCCAGAAAGTAGGCATTTCATTTATTACGCCACACGACGAAACCAGCGTGGGTGAGTACCTCCTAAGTCAGATAGAACTGATGTTTTCATAGCACGAATACCTTATGCACGCGATCCTAGGCCTCGCGGCGTCCGATCTCATCAAGCAAGATCCAAGTCTAGTCACGTCTGCCATGGTGCACCGGCTCAAGGCCATCAAGGCGATTAAGAAGACACTTAACGATGTCCGCAAGATGGACACTTTCGAAGAAGGAAACGCACTTGGTAAGTAGCCTCCTAAGATACCTATCTAAAGCTTTCTCTTCGAAGCCTCATTCCTTACCATGCAAATTACCCTGCATTCACGACCACCAGTCAAAGAGGAGTTCATGAAACTAAATCATCACCAACAGTAGCGACCTGCTTCGCGCTAACCTTCCAGTCCGTGGTCCTCGAGGACGGCATGGCGGAGTTCATGACCTTCTGCCGGGGGATCGTCATCGTCGCGACGCAGATGTGGATCAAGGGGGCCCGGTTCCTCTTCAAGAACCTGCTCGAGAACCAGTCCGCGGCGCTCCTGCGTCCCTTCATCGACGCGCTGCCGCCCATCCGCCGCGACTGGGTCGACATGGCCGTGGCTGGGATCCAGGGGCTGGAGTCGTTGTTATGTCGGGATGACGACGGCGCTTCTACCACCACTGCTGCTTCTACTTCTACTTCTACCTTTACTTTCGCTTCCACCCCCACCCCTACTCTAAACCACAATAACAACAATCTCCCCCCTAACACACCCACTCCTCCCAACCCTTCCCCCCACACCCCTCCAAACCACCACCAAACCAACATAATCGCATCCGAATACCACACCCACCTCCTCCTCATGGCGACCTCCCTGCGCACCTCCTCCTTCCGCGCCTACGAGGCCCTCTGCGCGCACTACGCGTGGTGGCTCGCGCTCCCGCATCCACACTTCCAGGCCCTCGTCGACCCCGCAAGCCAGACCTTCACCTTGCTTGCCGCGCACTGGATCGCGCTGAAGCAGCTGATGGCCCCGATCACGGGGACCGAGCACCGGATGCGGGCGCGGGAGCCGGTGTCCTCTTCGCTTACGCATCCGCCCCCGTCCCAGTCTCAGTCCCAGGGAGGTGGGAAAGGTAGGGGAGGAGGAGGAGGAGAAGGGGAGGGAGGAGAGGGCAGTAGTAATAATAATAAGAATAATAACAGTAGTGGTAGTAGCAGTGGCGATAGTAGTGGCAGTCTAGACATCGGCATGGTCCGCTGGCTACGCTACCTCAACCGCCAAGTCGACGCCGAGCACCGGGCCTACAACACCTGGCCCATGTGGGTTGAGGAGCAGCTGGCTCGGGATGGCGGCTTTTTTCGGCAAGGTAACGCCGTAAAAACTGCCTAGCAGTCAAGGGAAAGGGGGGAATGGGAGAATGGGGAAAGGAGGGGCCGGCTTCCACCCCGAGTAGCCAGTAAGGAAGAAACTCAGAAAAACGCCCCAACCAAATCGCCGATCCACGATAGCGGGCTTCTTCCGCATGCCTACATACGCCGTAATACGCACCATTCTACCAGGCCAAGAAACAATTTACATATGTATCTCCCACCCTAGTATCATCGTACCTACTAGGTATCCAGGTACCTACCTATTTACCAATATCACATGCCATCCCAGCAAAACATTCGAAAGCACTACACACTTGCCTGCCTGCCTGCCTACATACTTCCTACCAAATCAACCCCCATCCACTCATCCCAACCCATTCGCCTCACGACCGTCCAAACAAACATCCGTAACCCCCCCTCCTTACTCGTTCTCCCTAAAAAAAAAAAAAAACCGTCCACGCCTCCCTCGTATACCAGCCGCGTAATCCCGACCGACACAGCCCCCCGCGACCTCCTTAAATTACCGAGGCTGAAAATAAATAGTTCCAATATCATCCGATCCCAGGAGGACCGAGTTATTAATCTAACTACCTATTACACACATATATTATATATACATACATACCTATCACGCAACTTATACATACCTAGGTACAAGCTCCCTGATCTCGCAGTCTCAAGGGTAGACAACCTACACTAGGGAGAAGAAAACCCTATTAACTACTAGTATCAACGTCCAAGGTCCTTAATATGGTGGTATTCATATACCACGTGACTCTAACCGTATGCTCCATTTATAGATTAGAACGTGACCATGATATTAATAGTAGACATGTACCGTGTAATAATATACCATGACACGATAACAGTACCACAACGAACAGAACTTCAAAGATAACGACGGTCATGTCATAAACGAAAGGATACGAATTACGTACGTAGTCTAGGATTAGAGGCTACCGTATTTGTAATGTGCGTTGCGCTGGATGCGTATTCCAGCTAATCATTCTTATATTTGGGAACCGTTGAAGGACATCACCTTCCCCAACCAACACTTCCTTCCGTAAATTCTCCCAATTTAACGGCCAACTATGTTGGAAAGATGCCTCCCTTCGAAACCCGTTATAAGAGAAGACAAGACCAGAACACCATCCTCCAACACCCATAAACTCCTATGTACGGAGTTTTCTGTTTTACCCCAATGCTATCCCACTCAAGCTCAGCCGACGCATTACCCCTAGGTAGCCTACCTATCCAGGTACTACACAACGCTGCTATATAATATAGGTAGATATTTACACATCGATAGAAATAAACACAATGCTCTTTTCGAAGTACGAAAACAAGAGGTATAGTGAGTTTAGAAAGGAAGGAAAACAAGTTAAACAGGTGCTAAAACATTGGAAATGAATTTTTGGGCAGTGTCGCGTGGGTTCGTGATAAGAGCAGTAGAGGTCTTGACCAACGTGACAGTACCAGACGCTAGTGAAGGGGCGACACTGGCTAACATGGCGCCCAGTATGAAAATGAGGATAGGGATCTAAAGGTATCTATTAGTAATTGGCCCCCAGAAAGAAGGATTTATGTTACTCACCCAGACAAACCACAGCATTTTGTCACTGCTGCCGGTCTTGAGCCTTTGAGCATGAGCACGCTGCAGATGTTCTTGCTGCTCCTTGGTGATATTGCGTTGCCGTCCAATCTCCAGAAGCTCGGGGACTTCTTGTGATCGTGACATTTCTGCAGTCTCTTGGTCGTACAAGGCCTCGTATTTACTGTCTGCTTCATGCTCGGCTACTGCGGCAGCGGCTGTAGCTTGTTTGGTGTCGAAAGCCTCTCGGGGGAAGATGTCTTCGTAGCGCGGCGGAGGGGACTCTCTGGTGCCGAAGAAGGGGATATCCCACCACTTACTGTCGGCATCTCGAGGAGGTTGCTCGCCTGCTGAACCAGGGCGTGGGCCTCGGATGTTGGGGACAAGTGAGGTAATACGTTGCATGACAGGGGCCGAATACAGATAAGCGTGGTAGTCAGGAAGAACCGGAATGGGGGGTAGAGTGGGCATTTGTGGCATCTGCATGTGTGGTAAATTTTGGAAATGCATTGTCATGGAATTTTGCCACTGGTGGAGTTGTGCCGAAAATTGATCTCGCAGAGCTGTCATGGCTGCGCTTGGAGATGCTGGTGGGACATCTTCATCAAGTGATTGATGGTGTGAAACATCCTGACGAGGGCGTTGAGGTGGAATTCCTGGTCGTCTCATATCTAACCAGTCGTCATTTTCCTCATCTGTGTCCTTCTCCGACGACGAGTCACCGCTACTACTGTCATCCACCGACCCTGAATCATCAGACATAAACTCTTCTCGATGAGCTGGAGTTATCGAGGGTGGCTCCCATAAAGATCTGAGTGAACTGGCACTATTGACCCTACTATTGATTGAGCCGTTACTGCGGGATCTGGAGTGGTTCTCGATGTGCCGGAGGACTCGCAGCACGTCGCTTGACCGAGCAATATCGGCGGGAGTGAGACCAGAAAGACTTCGCATATTCGGATCGGCCCCCTTTAGGATGAGGCGTCGCACGATATCAGAATAGCCATTCATGGCCGCCAAATGTAAAGGTGTAAAACCTCCCTTGTCACGGATACCCACATTGGCACCTCGTGACAGAAGACCGGCAACGAATCGGGCAAGGCCGAGAGAGCAAGCGAGATGAAGCATTGTCTGCCCGCTTGACCTCTTAAGATTAATCCGAGCTTTGTTGGGGCTATCATCGAGATCGATCAGCTCTAAGACACGGAGCAACCCCACCTCTACGGATTCTGAGAAATCTTGCTCAAGGTTGCTGAAGTTGGTGTTAGGTGTTTGACTTCCGGAAGGAGAAGGACCCCAAGAACCTCCATTCCCTGGCCCGCCAAAAATGATGTTTCTTGCAATATCTGCAACATCCGTCATCTTGCCGCCCAGCTTGTTGCCTAGAACAGTCAGAGCCGTACGTATCAAGCGGTGCTCATCGTCATCGACGTATCGGAAAAGTGGTTGTTGATTGCCGCCGAAGAGATGTTGGGGGGTGACGCCAGGCTGCCTGATTGATACCGGAACAATCCCTGCATTAGGAGACGGTGGGAGAAGGCAGACCAATGACGTCTCGCCCCAGTAGGTCGTCGTAGCGGCCCTCTGCTCCCCAAACATGACTTCGAGACCACCATTAGTAAAACCGCTGCCGAGAATAGTCACTTCAACTCCTCCAGACTTTGGGCCCTCGCCGGGTATGATCTTGTAAATCATCGGTTGCGGTGCCCTGTTTGAACTCATTGCTGTGGGGGTGTTGTAGAGATTTTGGCCTAATGGAGCATGCGACATGTTTTGCATCTCGTTTCTCAGCCGATTCGGACTAGGTGCACGGCTCGGGTGAGCTGATGTTGGCGCAGAAAACATTTGAGCCATTTGCATATTATCAAGACTGATGTTCCTGTTTCCTGATGGGTAGATGAGTTCAGCACTATTGCTGTTCGGCGTAGGGGGTCCCGTTGGAAAAGCTTGTCCCATGTTATTTAGGTGTGGTTGCTGCCCATGAGAAAATAGCGAATCGGTGGCCATTGGGAACGTTGCCATATTTGGCGAAAATGGCGAGGTGGCTGCAGAAGTAACAGCTGACTCGTTCTGTGCCCCTGAAGAGACTGCCGGTGGCGACTGGCCGGTTTCTAGTCTCGTCATCGCTAGGCCGCTGGGCAACTTCACAGATCCGCTTGCCTTCCTCTTCTTGGGTAATGGAGCCGAAGGGCTTGTTGGAGATCCCTGCCTGGATAAGTTACGAGGTGTCGCCGCTATCGATGTTCCCTGTGAGTTATTGCTGTTGTTGACAGGCACTGAAGGAAATGGGTAAGTCCCATTCGGAGGCATCCCTTGAATGTCAGATGTAGTTTGCGACGAGTGAAATATGGCTTGCGCCTCGATCGGTTTGATATCGTTCATCGAAGGGGGCTCAATGGCTGGCATAGGCGCATTGGGAACCTGTGTTGTGGTGGCTTGTGGAACATGTGCCTTGTGGTCATCCGTTATCATGATCGAGGACGAGATCTGCTGGCAAATAACGTTATCCTTGTAGTCTTTTATGGTGAAAATGACTTGAAATCCCATTTTCTCGCCATGGTGCCGGCAATAACACGCAATGCGCATCGGCGCATCCACCTGGACGGTACCAGCAGGGACGGAGAGATCGGCTGGCCCAGTTCCCGTAGGATCTATCATACTAGGCGTTACCACCTGCCACTCTTTAATCTCATTAGTGTTGAAAACGATGGCTCGTTCGTTTTCATATCGATTCCACAGCTCTTCCTCCTCCGGTTTCTTATGTTTCTTCCGACCAGCCCGCTTGCGCTCCCGTGTTATGCAGCCACTGCATATTCGTACTTCACCACCATTTTGGGGCTTCTGCTCGTCATCCTCCATACCGTCCCCTGATCGTCGCTGACCTAAGAAGTCGTGTCGAGCCGCCGCTGCCCGCCTTAATGCGCGCTGGAGTTTTTCCGGGTCTTGCATAGCACTGGTGCAAACTAGCATGGTGTACGCTTCAAGCATGTCGGGGGAGCGCACTGCTGGAGGCTTAGCCAGTAGCTTGGGCTTCGAGATTGTGTGTGTTGGCAAGTGGATCCGCTTGATGCCCTGGGGCAGATTATGAATGGTTAATTTGATAGGGATTTGTGTTTCAACCCTAGATTTGAGAGGAGTGGGTTGAATCACAAGCCTTGGGGTAAGAGCTTGGGTTAAGTTCATCTGCGGTGAATAGGACGGAAGGCCGTGAGGTACAGCTGGTATACCCATCGAGTCCTGTCTTACTTGAGGTGCTGGGCCTGTGGCTTGTAATCCTGACATGGGCCAGACCGAATTCATGTTTACATTTGCCATACTACCATTGAAATGGCCCGTTGTGACATCAGAGGGGGGCGAGTGGAACATGGCTATGGGGGACGCCTCTTGGCTAGTTACCAAATTAGACATAGGTGAACCTTCTCTAGAGCCACTCGTCTTTAATCCATTCATTGATTTTGTTAAAGAGTGTTGCTATACGCTAATTAGTTCGAACATGGTGACGATATGATGTATGAGTAGAGGGGTACAAACCGACTGCCCTTTATGGTGACCTTTTATTCTCTTGGCGACTGGTCCATTTGACATGAGCTGTCCTGCCGCATTTGATTCTTGTATCGGACCATTTGTGGGAGGGCTAGGGCTACTCGATGCGCTCTCGAAGTCGAAAACATTAGACATGTCCATAGTTGCGGCGTCCGTAGAATCGAACATGAAACTGGTCTCGTGTCTCATTACATTTTCGAAGTGCCACGCCGGCACATGCTCATCTGTCATCATCACGTCGGCTGATGTATTGCTAGTTTTGGCGGAATTGGAGTTGGCACTTTCTCGGGATGAGGACGAGGAGGACGAGCCACGGTGGGATGGAAGTTGGTGACAATCTGGAGCTGCTCTATTTAAATTGGTTCGTGTAGATGGGATAGGACCCGATGAAAATGGCTTGGATTCTGCAAAAACGGTCGGGTCAATTAATTCGCCTCCGGCGAAATCAAATAGAGAACCGCCTGCGGTGTGATGAACGTCGTCGGCGTCGTAGAGTTCAAATTCGTTGGCGAGGGCGAAAGGAGGCATTCCCGAATCTGAAGCGAATTGGCTCGTCCCAGTGAACGGAGGGGAGCCAGGAGTCGGCATGGCCCAGTATACGATCTTTCGATACGCCGAGGTGCGTTAACCTATGTGAATCTAGGAGCTAGAGGTAGTTATTCGATACAATGACGGCCGACCAGATATTGAATATCGAGTCTGAGTTGTGGCCGTCTTAGTCCTAACACCCCAAAAAGATCTCGACGACGAATGATAGAATACGTCGGACTGGCACCCGAAAGGCGTTAACTAGCGAGCCCTGATAGTGTGATGCAAGAGCGCCAGATAGGTTACAGCCACATTATGACCCTTCCACCACAGTTTAATTGACAGATTGATAGCGAATCTACAAGTAGAAAACGGTATTGGGGTTCGAGACCCAAAATCTCAATCCTTAGCCACTTTCAATTACGCTACGATGAATGAACCCCCGATTTCTAGTTGATGGACGACTCGAAATTTGTTTGGCGATCGTTGGATCGGAAGAGTGTGCCGAGTATGCGGGAAGGACGTGTGTTTTTGGGCAGTTATTTTTTTTTTTGGAGCGAATATCGGTGAAAAGTTGCGGTAAGTCAAAACAGACACTTCGATTGCTGCAATTATGTAGTATTATCCGGTTATCGGTTTCCGAAATCTGACACCGTTATAAATGACAAGACGTTATTTTTTTATTTTCAGGTAAGAGGTGATTATAATGATGATGATGGTGATGATGATGATAGAAAGAGGAAAGAATGAAGGGTTAAAAGGAAAGTCTTCCCACTCTCGATAGCACCGGTCACACGTCGTCAATGGAGGGACTCGTTAGAATATGAGATGGATTGAGATAGGAAGAGGGTAAGTTTGGATCAATTTGTCCAAGATGGAAGAACCCTGAGCGTGCAAAGCTGAGCTAACACTTAGTAGGCTTAGGTAGCACCAGACAAGCAGAGTGGAGCTTGTAAAGTGGTCAAGCAGTGGTCAAGAATTGGTCCAAGGTGCAAACGTAGCAGGCAAGTTCAAGCACGCTGATAGGATAGCTAGTGGGAAGAACGGGTACATGGCAAAATAGTACGTAGATACCTACCTAGACTTGACTAAAACTAAAATGGAACTAGGATTTATGTGGCAGCAGCAGCAGCTCACTTCTCTGTGCTCTTCCCCCCTCAACTCCTATGTAATAATTCCTGTTCCAGTTCTTTCCCCCCCCCCCTTGCTGTTAGTTACCACCTTGACGAAAATATCAGGTACTTCAGGTACAATACATCAGGTACCTAGTAAAACCGGGGTTTCTCCCATCTTTCACACTTCCACTAATAAATTACTTAAAAAGATCAATTCATATTAGCCTGGAAGGTTCTACTACTACTAGTACACATAGACAATCTCATAATCTCCAGCACTCCACGAAATCTTTTTTATACCGTTCAAGTTGACAATTACGGAAAATTGTTAGTGGCTTAGCAACCAGCCTGTAGTAATCTCTCGTGATATTCCTCTATAATACATAGTAAGATAGCCTATTAGCATCCTATCGGTAAAACCATTCGAACACTCACTACCTAATGATGATAGAAAAAGGGAAGAGAAATTCTTATAAATGCGTTACATACATACCTCATCTATAAGTTTGTGAGCACTGTTTACTGTATGTAACCTGAATACCAGACCTACCTACCTACATATGGACATTATGTACCTGTTCGCATCCAATCCACGTAGTGCAACTACATAGTACTACATACCTACATACCTACATACTACGTCTATACATCCATACTTTCCACGAAGGAACCCCCAATTTCAGTGGCTTCGGGGTTCTCAGCCTCAACTGGATCCTTCTTCAGCCGGTCTTCGGGTTACCAGGTAATCAAGTGCTGACCATCGCGCGGGCATGCCGCATCAAAACCGAAACACATGAACACATGAAAGCAAAGGAATTCCCGAGTTCCAAGACCAGCATCGAACCTATGTATGTAACTACACATGTGTATGTATAGGTATAGGTATAGGTATAGGTATAGGTATAGGTATAGGTATAGGTATAGGTATAGGTATAGGTATAGGTATAGGCATCGGTAGGTAGGTAGGTAGGTAGGTAGTACATGCCCATGTATGATGTATGTCACTGGTGTGTAGTAGGTCAAGATACCTACAATACATAGCAATTATCTATCTCCTTCTGCGAAGCTAAAACCCCGGTGTACACGACATATCTTGGCGAATACATGTATATGAAGCTTCGTCAACTCATTCTACACACATGTGCAATTAAACTCAAAAGCAAAAAAAAAAAAGAAGAAAAAAAGCATGTATACGCAACTATATATTCGAGACGACGGCTTCTTTTTTCCCCTTCTCTTATTTCCTTAGTCCTTTCCCATAACCAACCCATCTCAATGAAGTTTTTGCCACTTTTTGAGTCAAAGCAGTATTATCATACGTATATCCCGTCTGGTCTTAACATACTAACCTACCTAGTAGTTAGGTAATTACGTAGGTATTTATTAGGGCTACATATTCAGTACAACAAAGTGCCAAGGGGGGCTGGGCTCCAGTACATACAATACACACACATCACATACATCACATACATACCTATATTACCTTCAACTAATCTCCAGGCTAGAAAAATATGAATTGCTCAGGGTCTCTCTCCTTCTCCTACTTCCCTAGCCTAGTACATACTTAGTAAGTGTATAGATATCTGATGAATGAGCTGATAAAACGTTTAAACCTCTTCTAGGTGCTATAGCTACATTCTGCCCTGGTTATGAGATGTCAGGTGCTCTTTAAGGTAATGACCCTTAAGGCATAGTATCCCCAGGTTATCTTGTACCTACCTACATCCCTACCTCAATACTACTTTGCCATACCTACATACTAAATAGGTACCTTGCCTACTACCTACTTGGGTAGTTCCGGGGAAGGTCGCGGCGGTCACTGTGACATACTTGGTCCCCCCCCCCCCCCCCCTTCTCTCTTCCCCTGGGTGACATTCCACAGGAACGGCTTTTGTCAAAGTAAGCGATACCCGCTTTCTAACTACTCCTACTATGGCACTAGGTAGACAAATAAGTAAGTAAGTAGGGTACCTGGTTAGGCAAGTTTGTACAATACACACTTCATCAGAACAAAAAAAATAAATAAAAAATACGTGGTTTCTGTTTCCTCCAACCGTGAAGTGAAATGTCGAGCCGCATCCACCAGGAAACAACCCCGATAGGAAGAACCCCGGTTATCTCCTGCCCTGCCCCGCCCCTACCCTACGGGCATCATCATCATCGTCCTTCATCCTCATCCTTATCCTCGTCATGGAGGGTTGCACCGATCAAAACGCAAGCATATTTCCCTACGTGATTGCTTGCTTAAGACACGCAGCTCTTTTGGTTTGGAAACATTATAGTACATACATACTTACCAGGTAGGTATCTAAAGGCATCGGGTAAGAAAAAAAAAACATCAATCATGTGTGCATATGAATGACCGAAATGTACAATACCTACCTACCTACCTACCTTACCTACCAATTCGTTCGCTGCATGATTCTTACGCATCCCACACTCCCATCCGCATTCGCTCCTCCCCATCCCAGAGCCACCCGGACAAACCAACAGTCCAGAAATCAACACCAAGTCCTAGAGCATCTACTATATCCAGACGTATGTCGGTTATCTATATAACGCGAAATTCTTTTCCCCGGGGAACTTTTTTTTATTAGGTAGCCAATGCAGCCAGCTTCCCCCCCCCCCCCCCCCCCCTTCCTTCGAACGCAGCACATTCACTGCCTAGGTACCTAGGTAGATAGCCAGGCAAGGTGGGTGTCTCAACATGTCTATCTAATTACCATGAATATGCAAAGATACCTAGACGGCAATATATCTGCTAGTCAAGCTAGTTGACTTACCTAGTTCTTTAAGCATGCATATGCGACCATTTTGCAGGGTCCAGATAGAATGGCGCGGGGGTTGCACGGAGTTGCGATATCTCTCGCTACCTACCTACTCAAGACCTCTAGAAAGTCGACTCGCCAATCCAGGGGACGATACGACTTCGAACCCTGTATGAGTTAAGGGTCCTCTGCCAGCAAGGGTAGGCCAGGCTAGAGCTAAGACTCGGTTGTGCTGGATATACGGTTGCCTATGGCAGGTCCAAGATAGTCAGCTGATATCATACCAATGGACCGAGTTCGGGCACTTTGGCTTCAGTAAGCCGGTATCTGATTACTGTATCCGTCGAAGACCGGACATCCGTCCCAATGTGAAGTTCACATCGCCGGAGTCCCGAAATAGGAACAAATAATAACTAGATATTGATATTTGGAATGGGCTTTGAATTGACAACTTGGCAGCAGAAAGTTACTAGTAAATCGTGATGCCCTCTAAGTCTATGAGCTAGCAATACCAAATCCAAATGTATATAGCACCCACAAAGAGAGAAGCCCACAAGTATCTTATACATTTGAGGTGATATTTTGAAACTTGATTGGACCACCTCCATTACTTCGACTCTTCTCCCTACGTGATACTCTATTCATCATTCCCACTTCAAATGACACACACAGAGATGACCGCTGCGACCTTCTGAGCATCTATCTATGCCGAACTCTAGCAAAGCATGAGTAGCAATAAAAAGAAATGCCCAGGAAATGTTTGGCATAGCATGACAAATCATTCAAAACTCGGTGATAGCACCTCTCTTTCGGGTTGGTGGGACGCTTCGCTATCCGGCTGTTCGTCGGGAAACCGAATGGTCCGGCCGGGGTAACTCGACGGGTTAACGTTGGTGAATGGCTTTGTGTCCGGTTCTGAAGGCCGAGGGCTCAGTTCACGATTGCCTCGGGGGTCACCTACCTCGCTAGAGATTGATAATCGAAAAGTAGGACTCCTCGTTGCTGCATGTCGTGGGATAACGGAACCGCCTATCCGAAAAACGGGCCGCGCAGACGTAGAGCGCGACTCATTAGGGGTATTGGCTACCGTATCACCCCCAGAGTTGGTTCGTGGAATCACTCGCCCTCTTAACTGTGAAGATATCGCATCCCCGGGAGAGGATAAGGACCTTGATATGGTACGGGGAAGATAGATCCCAAACTTACCCAAGGGGATACTAAGCCCATGGACAACCTGCAAAGAATGAGCATGATGGCAGTGTTTGTGATAGATTGGGGTTGCTTACAACACTGCAGATTACCATAAACCAAACCAGAACCGAAACAGCTTCCTTGAGATTAGCTACATCTGGCCTCGGCGTATCCCCATGATTGGGATTCAGCGTAGTGATGAATTCCAATGTGACGTAAAGATAGAAAATGGCCGAGCAGCCAATTGGACCAAAGAATCCTGTGAAGATTGCTCGCTGTAGACCGTCTATTTGTGGTATTACCTTACGGAATGCCAGAATAATGGGAAGACGTCGAAGAAGCAATATTAATATCCCCAGAGCTATCAACCGATAAATAGGAATGACACTATTCGCGACAAAGCTATGCCACTGTGGTAACAAATCAGTGTTTGGTAGATCTTATAAAGGCTCGCGGATAGTTTGGAGTTGTGAGCTTTTCACCGACAAAGCCTAGGAAAATACATACCGGACAAACAGCACCATACCACATGAACATAACCACGTTGAGGAGCATATCAATGGTCGGTTGTAGTGAGCTAAGGCGGAAGCATGTGGTTAGCTTTTGCTGTTCATTGTCAAACTCGAGGATATCCTATGAAACTAAGCAGTAGTTAGTAAATGTAGCTTCGAATTATCGGGACATGTTGATAACACAAACCTTACTCATCAAGTGTCTCAAGGCGAAACCAATCATCCCAAGTGAAGACGTTGCCAGCGATAAAGCAAGCCAAGATATCGTCGCTACCAATCATACCACAGGTACCGACAATGAAGAGCGCGAGCGATAGAGCAAAGACAAGGAAACTCTCGCGATCCACAAACTTGCGTTCCTCGCAGAAATGGAGAAGCTCCTTGGCTATCCAACCTGTGACCGCGCCGTATACCACACTAAGGATAACAACATATCCCCAGGTCTCGCCGAACCACAGTCCTATGGCAAGGCCAGCGCCCCCCGATTCGCTGACTCCGCCATCGCCAATATACTTGATGAGGTATAATGCAAAGAACAGGAAGGGGTAGCCGAGGCCATCGTTAGCTCCAGATTCTGCGATGATTATCTTTTGAAGATCCTTGGGGATGTTATGATCAGCAAACCTCCCCTTAACAATGACGTTAGACAACACTGGATCCGTAGGTGTGACACAAGCAGCGATAGCAAGGGCGTGGAGGAAGGGCAGCTTTGGTACAAGGCCCCAGACGAGAAGGCTTGTTACAAGCCACATCATCGTCATCACCGGCCCTAAGAGCAAGGCCAAAGGCTTCCATTCTTTCCTCAAATAGCGACTTGGTAGCTGGACGCCAGCGAGAACCAACTGGACTCCTAGGACGAGACGAGTGAAGTATAATGTCTATAGTCAGAAGTATTAGTATCCACAAGTTGAGCTGCAGAAATTCCTAGGCATTAAAATTCATGTACGGCTTTTGTTGAGTCCCACCCCGAGGAAGAAAAGGTCTATCAAAGGGCTCAACTAATTTAATAGCTTGGAGTCTGCTTACAATCGCATCTAAGTTTTCTTCCGAGCCGGCATAGTCAAGAGGGCGGATAAAATTAGTTGCGTGGGGTGAGAAGACAAGACCAGCTAGAAGAGATATGACTGGATAAACAAGTGAGATGTCAGTTACTTCGTATAGAGCATATGATTTGTAGGTAAACAACTACTCAAAAAAGCAACAAAAAAAAGCATAACGATGGCGAGACTTACGAGCCTCGGAGAGATAGAGCGACTCCTTTAGTAGATAGGAGACCAAGCCAAAGAGGGAGATCCATCCTCCCAATAAACCAACAACAATGTTGAAGTTTGTAAGAGCAAGAGTTGGCATTTTCAGGTGAGAGATAGGAGTTCAAGAGCGAACAGTGCTTAGGGTTGAGGTATGTAGGTGTTTTCACGTAACGCCCGAATCGTCCTTGCACACACGCAAGGCAGGTAAGCAATGGTATGCCGGCGAAGCGTATGTTATTGAATCATCTGGATGTGAGGTAAGGTGAGTGGATGTTGATATGCGCGCCACTTTGATTCCAATTCCTGCGACAATGGCACCGGTATAGGTAGCAGGAAAGCAGGAAGGCGTAGATAGTGTCTTTAGATCTATCAGAAAAGCGGTATTCTTGTTGAATACCTAGGTAGGTAGGTAGGTACCTAACTCTCTTTTCCTTTCGTATGCACAATTGGATGCTGTACAGTAAACAGCAAAGGGAGTCACAGATAAGTGAAGGTGTAGATGTATGTACTATGTAAATATAATCAATCATAAGGTTAACATTTGCACTGAGATGCACATGCAAAGAACATCATTGAATTGTACAGCAATACCCTAACCTAGGTACATAACTATGTATTAACAATAAACACAATAAACATTAAATGTGGATGTGTGTAACTAGTTATTGATAAGCCCCACCTCCTTCAAAGATTGATTGACTTATCTTGGCAAGAATGCCTGTAACTATTTACATGCATGTCCTAGGTACTGTAGTTAGTAGTTACCCATGTAGGGAGTTATGTAGGGAGTTGAAGTTGCTTGCGGCCGTTACACACACCAACATTGAACTTTGAACTTTGAACTTTGAACTTCTCAACATTGAAGCCTTTACACGCTGAGAAAGGAAGAAAGAATAAGTAAACTAAAGAAACAAAGAAAACAGCGACCAACCTATCTCATGTGTATGATTAATCATTTTACAAGGTGAGAGTAGTAGGTGTATATTTATATTAGATATATTTTGTGCCACATCACCGTCTTGACAGACATCATCATGTCTTGTTATAAACATTGCTTGCATACAATTTAGTATTTGTCAATAGGGTTAACAGAAAAGAGAGAGACATAGCAGTCCCTACGATGGTATCATTTCAGTACTGCTCAACGTAAAAATCGTAAGGTCTTATCGGTATGTGTGCATTCAGTAGTCGTCCAACCCGAACACCCAGTATTCACCTACCTTACGTAGGTACCTAGTCTCCAGTGCTGTCCTTTCGTTGCTTTCCATCATGCTTCCGCTTTGAGCTTCGCCCCTTGGACAGCAAGCTTATCCGCCGCCACATTTCCAGCTTCTGCCGCGTGCCCTTTCACCCATTGGAAGAAAGTCCCTGTCCCGGCTTGAGTGCGTTCATCGATCTTAGTTCGAATAGCTTCAATAAGGTCCTTATTCTTCACGATCCCGTCCTTCGTTTTCCATCCGTTCTTTTGCCAGTTCACGTACCATTCCGTCACGCAGCTGATCGAATACTTACTATCCGAGAAGATGCGAATTTTCTGATCGAGTGGCACACTTTCCAACGCCCGTAAGATTGCCGTTAGCTCTGCTCGTTGGTTTGTCTGTACCTCGCCTTTAAGGCGCTCCGAGATATTCCTGTGTCATGCCCGTCAGCACTTAGGTACCCTAGGTAGCTAGTAGATTTCCACTTGGGATCACAAATAATACATATCAACAGCACTCACCTTGGATCACCTGTGCCGAAGTAGACTCCAACTCCGGCAACAGCTCCAGCACGGCCATTAGAGGATGCACTGCCATCCGTATAGACAGGCTCGATGTCTGATTCATCGTCTGTAACAATAAGATCCTCAAAATCATCCTCCGCCGACTTCTTCTTCTTCTTCTTATTGAGAGGCTCAACGCCTTCTTCCATTCGGAGTACTTCTTGGGCGGCTTCGTTCCCGTGCGTTCGAATATATTCTACCGCCTCCTGGCGTGTATCAAATCTCTTATATTTCGGCCCTTTCCACCCTTTGATAGCTAGTGATGCTGTGTCCCAATCGGTGTAAACTCCAGGCTCCCTGCCAATAGCCACCGCATAGTATCTCTCCTCGCCGGGGGTGGTGTTAGATGTTTTCTTCCCAGCAACGTATGCTTCGGCGTCTGCTCGACTTAGGAAAGACTTATCTATCAAATGTTAGCTATAATCAAAGTGAGAGAGATATTCAGCTCACTCACAAGAAGCACCTCTGAATCCCGCAGTTTGCTCTTGGCATTCTGCCCATGTCATGTATACACCAGGTTTTACGCCAGCCCTTACCGCATAGTATTTCTGTGCATCGGGGTCCAGCTTGCGTTTCTTGCTAGTCCTGGCCGTGCTTGTGGTTGCGGTGGCAGGTTTGGAGGCCGATTTTGATGCCTGGCCTTTCTTGGATGCGTTGGTCGACATGTTGAATAGTAGGAAGGCAATATTGATCGATATAGGGGGTAGATTCACTGGTCCATAGCAATGTGCAAATCCTAATCGTTAGAGGGATGGGTGGTACTTGTTCAAAACTCGTGGCTTTGTTGGTGATAATGAACAATTGGCAGGGAACCGAGGGCGCAACGATGCGTAAAAGTGTTGTTGGAGCAGTCAAAGGAGTGTCATTTTCATTAAAGGTAGACAACAGGGACCCTGGTATAGGTCAAAGATAGATTCCGTTCTCGTCAAAGCCTGTCACTTCTTTTTGCGACGCGAACAAATAAATTTAAGTTAAAATCTGAGGAAGAGAAGGGGAGAGAGAAGGGGGGGGGGCTTCTTCAAAGCATGACCGTAACCTTGAAATCTGTAATGCGCATTTGGGTTCATTTAGGTAACTATTGTACCGTGGACCTTAGGTACATATATGTAGTGTAGGGGTATGGAAATCTTATCTAGCATAACCACAATACTGCCAGTATATTATACATGGGTACATACCATCCTTATCGATACAGATACGAGTAGCTGCTGTTATACGGTGTAGAAAGGTCCACATACGACACCGTGCTTCAGTAATTGAACATGGGTTTTTGTAGTGATCCAGTCACTGTAGCAGTCACTGTACTATACCGCTATATTTCAGCCAAGTTAGTCGCTGAAGCACGGTGCGCTACACTAGTATGCATTGCATGTTCAATGTTATAGTAGCCATCACGTCAAATAGAATAATCACGAAGAACATCTAAATAGCGACATCATGAAGGTTCGTAATGGCAATGCCTCATTCTGTGTATGTATATATTTTCCATACGGCATTACACGTCTTGACTGTGTTGCAATGTGCTTCTGGAAGACTATGTCCTATGTTACTACCTAGTATAGAGCAAGCCCTTCGTCCAATAAAATACAATGAGTCCTTTGATGTCCTCCACTATCAGGGTATTGCCGGTGATGATGTCGATGTCGATGCCGATGTCGACCGATCAAGGAACCAAATTATAACATGATGTGAAGAGACAAGGAAACCTGAATGCTCATCATACTAGTATCCTTTTTTTCTTCTCTTCCTTGGGATGGGGTGGCCTGTTCAGCATTTTCATCACAAGATGACATACTCTTCAGTAATACCAACCCCGACGAAAGGATTACCTAATTCCCTCGTCGCAAAATTAAACTGACTGTCGTCATACCGCGATTGCCGAAAATGCTTATGCATGCAGGTGTGCGTCAACTGGCAATGCTTCGGTGCTATCAGCCTCCCATTCCCATCCCAGTAGGGTCCAATTCAACTCTTTGCGCCAATGGAGTCCGAGGCCTTTACCTCCACCACAAGGACTGCCTTCACAAACTGTAGAACCACTGCAAGCATCGTAGCCTCGATCCTCCGAAGTCATACCTCCCGTCAACGGCATACGGTGACGAAAGACAATCCGGCCCATACGCGAATGTAAAATTGCCATGGCACACATCGTGCATGGCTCATGAGTCAGGTATAATTCCAGCTCATGGCACAAGTAGCCATCAGGACAAGGGTGATCAGCATTGAATACAATCTGCTCGTCGTTAAGCAGTGGCTTGTCTTGAAAAGCTTCAAACTCCATAATCTGTGGTTCGTTTTGGGGACGTTGTTCGGCTCGCACTAGTTTCTGTGCCACCATACTGATTGCTCGAAGCGCGGCGTGGGCCATAGGGTTTCCAGTGCGACCAGTCTTCTCTTGCTGATGCCAGCGGGCATCAGCAGCAATGGCCACAATCTGTGTGGTTTCTTTGGCTTCTTCCTTGTAAGCTGAAATATCTTGAGTCAGGGTCTCTGACTTGCAGTCGTCCATTTGCTTATTGTCATTCATGCCATCATCAGGTGCCATATCGGCGGCCTCGACGTTCTCGACATCATCTGTAACTCCGGTACCTTCGCCGTTGGAGGTCACCGATACTGCTTTGTTGGTGATGGTCTTTTTTTCATGTTTCCCTCCAGGTATAGTTCGTTTAATGACGACAGCTCCGATAGGTTCACCGAACCCAGCTTTCTGGGACTTTTTAGCAATCTGATGTGCCAAGGTCATCCAGATGGAAGCATCTCGGGAGACGGTAGATTCAGTTCGCGAAATAGTGCTTGGGTGAGGACCAAGAGGGTTACTCTTGCGGTAGACAGTTTGCCAAAACTGCTGCGACCACATATTGGCCTGAACTTGAGAGGTAGGTGCTAGAAGCGGGATAGGAACCTCAGCCACAAAAATGTCATCTCTAATGTCATCAATTGTGGCAAGTCCTCTCACAAGTTCCCCATACGGCATCTCATCTTTCACGCCGAGAATAATGTATAGGAAGTTGGACTTTCCAGCATGAACTGATCTTCCATTCCCTTCGTTCATGAACTGAGCCTTTAAATGGGGAGGGAGGTCTCCAGGCTTGACGCACCGACGCAGATGAGGTAGGTTGTTAGCGGCATCATCACCAGCTAGAGATCGGGCGACACTGTGATGGCGAGTGTCAGCTCATTAACAGCGAGAGTCTCTAGGGGAGGTATATCAACTCACTTTAGAACATCATTAGTAACTTTGTTGGGCGCACGTGTGATATAGGCAGAACCAAGCGAAAGATTGTCTCTAAGCTCAAGGACAGTCTTCAGAGGCACCAGAGTACCTATGCTGATATCGGGTGGAAGTATGCTTTGCGTAACGGGGTCGAGAGCCTCGATGACTTCCTTCATGGAATCGCTCATAGCTGAAACTTTTGAGGACACGACGTCAGATTTTACTGAGCGTCGATGTCGGAAGAGGAAACAAGCTGTGGCGAGACAATGCAGTTGAAAGAAGCGTAGCCCGAAGCAGTAAACAGGTGTCGGTCATATAGGCAGGGCGAGACAATGAGGTGTACGACGCAATGCGACAACGAGCTGGAATTGCCAGCCTGATGTTTGGCTGAGATCCAAGAACCGATACTTCGGCGAGGTCCAGATCAATGGGGGTGGTTAATCCAAGCTATGGTCAGGACGAAAGTTCCTAGCATAGTACAGTGAAGTGCGAGGATACATAGATGGAGTTGAAGGGTATATGAACCGGCGTTCTGAAGGTAAAGGTAAATAAAAGAAAGATGTAGGGTTTACGCGGATGAAGGAAGGTAAGGTTCGCACGGCGACTTCGTATTGTTGTATTGTTTTGTATTGAGAAGGTGAGAGCTTTGAAGGTGAGAAGGAAGTATTCAAGCTCCCAATTCTAGACTGTCGTAGCTTCTAGCAAGACTGTCGATGTCGATGTCGTTCTCGTTTTTATTTTCTCTTTTTTGTTAAGTCGAAATGGAGATAAGGTTAGAGACGATTTGCGGGAGAAAGAAAGAGTACGTATGATGATGTTGAAGCTCACAAAAATTGACAAGCACTTGTGGTCGCGCAAAATGTTGATCCACATGTGAACTTCTAAAGTTCTAGTTACATAGTAACGCATTTATTTACAATTTCTCCACATATGCGAGAGTTTGGTGGGGTTTATCGATTACCACATACATAGTTACTGTACAGTGTAGACTGTAGTACATAGTACTAAGGTTACATACTACTATGTAGGTACCTGCCTACCTAGTAGTAAAAACCTAGGTCCATACATCGTGTTTACGCCGATAAAGCTTAAATTTCAGGGTCCTTTCTTTGTACGTAACCACCGCACTTGCCACAGGCAGCTAATGCCCTTGCTGATGAGGTAAGTGCCATGTGTAGTTTACCTACATTGTACGATGTAGGTAGTACCATAGTACTATTATTGAAGGAATGAGCATCCATGGATATGAAAAGAAAGGTACACGGTTGACCTCACTGATGTCTCTATCATCATTACCTCAATAAATCCTGAATGGATCCTAGGTCTCAATTTTCATTGTCGTCGCAACAGCGTGCCTTGATTAGTAGATACCTAAATACATAATAGGCATGTGACACTCAGTACACCATCATCTGCAAGGACGTCGCTTCAATGTTTCCTACAATGCGTTGGTACTACACTGTGCATACATACCTAACCTACATATGTAGGTTAGTACCCTAGGTACTGAGCTACATATCTACATACATAACATCAGAGCCTCAGACAATGCGCATTACATGTGATAGACATCGATATAGAGTGTGATACGTCATCTGTAGTATTTGCAACAACCCTATCAAATATGTACCACATGCAGCCGCAGTGCTGCTCAAGCCTCACAGGATGGATGCCTACATGTATGCATCACCTGTGCCTCCCCTTACTGTCATCTAGATAGTGACAGCATTCTAATGACATTGAAGATATTCGGTATAAAAAGAATAAGAGTACATATATGTATCCCATATATATGTATTCTAAAAATCCAAGTCCAAAGGTCAACAAAAACATGGAATATGACTGGGCACTTAACACCTCCTGGTACTAACTATGTTATCATTGATGTATCTATGATATACTTGTATGTACATATACATATCGATCAATGATTCAACTGATGTCCCTAACGCTAGACTCTTCTGGAACATTTGGAGTCTAGTACTTGGGACGTACCTAGGGTAGCGGCTAGGGTAGTAATCGCTCTAGCTATTTGGGACGTCCTCCGATTCGTCGAATAATATCGAATTGTTCGTTTGTCTCTTTGCTCCCCTGCTCATACTCTATTCGGCATATCCATTTCATGCGCATAATTCCTATCACCGAGACAAGGGTACCTGGTATTTATCTAACTTGACCGTGGGGTTATTTACCCAGGAGAGGGAATCCCCCACAGAGAGGCTGCAACAGCGAGTGCTATTATTGGCTCAAATGTTATTGTATTGTGAGGGTAATACGGAGTACATATATAATCCCTCAAACCGGCCTTATCCTCCACGAATGGATAAACTTTACATCCACCACGTGGGCTCTCAATGGTTTATACTAATTGTTGAGCTATTATCTGTATTATCTCTCCAGCCCTCATAACATTGAAGTTTATCATATTCTGAGTTGCCTAGTGGCAAACAAACTTTCATTAGAAGCAAATCAACTCATCGGCACTCCTTCCCCAGGTTTTGGTTGCATTGGCTTGGCACTTTGAGCTTACGTACCGTCGTACCTATCTAGGCATACATATATCAAGTATGGATCAAGTATGGATCAAGTATGGTATGGACCGTATGGTAGGTACATATGTATACTACATTGCATAAACAGGCACATGACATCCATCAATGAAGAGACTACTGATAGATCACGAAATAATACTAACCTACTAATAACCTACCAATACTATACATGAGCAGATGAGTAACTATATCATATAATATAAATTACATAGTAGAATAACGAACCACCTATGGTGATGCTTAGCAAAGAGTCGTTCAACATGAAAAAATGGGTTGGGATAGCTGTCAGATGTCCCACCTGCGCTGATCTTAAAATCTTAAGCGAATGCTGACGGGTGCACTTTGGGAGAAACAATGGGGAATATGCGTCCATACAGTAGTCTCGGAGATGGTTGGGTGTGAAACATTGTCCGGCAGGGACCCAGGTATGCATCAAGTCCAAAAAAAGAAGCCATCGCCAAGACGGATCTCCGGTAAATCTCTCATACTACGTAAGAGGGTGAGCCTAAGCTGTCGTACTGCGTAAGCCACCTCACTTACGCCTTGCCTGCTGGGCGCCGAGGACATATAATCTAAAACTAACATGGGGAACGGGGGTAAAAAACAGCAAAAGAAGATATCGCCAAGTTCGGAGTTATGAATATAGAGAGCAATCAATATTGGGTGCGCAGGAGATATGGGAGGGGGTAGGGGGAAAGGTGGAAGGTGGAAGGTGGAAGGCGAAGAGGAAGAAGAAGAGGAAGGGAAATGGAAAGAGAGGAAATCCGAGGCCCGTTTAGGAAATTATATGCCTTGTCTGCCTTGAATGTTGATATCAACTCACCGGACCTTTACATCCATCCATCCATCCTTACGTCTTCCTTCCTACGCTACGCTCCCGCGATAGCTTAACCCATTGAGCGATCATTACGTTCGCAGGCCACCCCCAAACATAGATGGCAGATGGGATTCTCAAGTCAGCGAATCAGCCGCAGCAGCACTTCCATCCCCCGATCGGGAATACTCAAAGATCCAATAGAAGATGACATATCTTGAGCGGATGTAATTGCTCCACCTAGTAATGTGTAGGTTTCTTTCTACTCATCTACCCCTATGCAGCTTCGAGGTGGGTGTCGGCGGTTGCAAGGTTTGTTATGTTTGCGCGAAACCCCTGGCTAGTATGAAGGATTGAGGCCACAGCCTTTTCTTATAGAAAACCTTGTCTTCTCCCCCCAATACCAGACTGCAGTGACTGCGCAGGTTGACTTTCTCTACCCAGACGACTTTAAAACCTCCGATACTCTTTAGTCAATTATACCTAGCCTTGCCTCTTATTTGTATAAGGATTACTAGTCGGTGAAACAATAACCTGTTGCTGTTGCATTCTGCCTCAATCGTCTATCTGGAATTAGAGACGCCGGACCAGCAACAGTGGAAACAAACCTAGTAGGCGTCGATCAAGCCAAGACGCTCAGCCTCTGGACCTCATTTGGGTTGTCTTGAAAGTGAACCCTTTACAATATCATCCTCGGCGGCCGGTACGGCTTGGCTTCATATCGAAGAGACCTGCCAAGGTTCGAGCAGGGCCAACTGTTGAGCACAAGCCCCATCTATAGGTGTTAATACCTCGAGTCTGACAAAACATCATTACGACGACGACAGCCATCGGAAACGTTGTGAACATCAGGCATGCTTCAAGCCTTGGACAGCTAGAAACAACCTAAGAGGCTACATCATAAAGTCCACCACAGTCCACCCACGCTTAACCTCAATCGATCTTTTTTGACCCGCCTAAGAGGGGGACGTGCCACTTCTTTTCTATTCACTTACACTATCCTCTTAGTGATATCGCAAACGACTTCGGGGCTAGATACGGAGGCTGATAGATTTAATCACAAACCAAAAACCAACTTATTCATCTCGGCCTCTCTTTTTTTTCTCCTCTTTTTTTTTCTGATTCACAATTATTAATATTTTCTCATCTTTGCACACTTGCACATACTCACGCACATACTCACGCACATACACGCCCGCCGATACAGATATTTCACTTACGCCCATCCTTTGGCAGTGACACTGGAGCAAACAAAGCGAGGGGTTCATCATTATCCATCAGATAACTACTGACTGGATTTTATATTGGGCTGCCACTTTCACTATAAGTAAAAGTGGCAGAACCAAGAAATTGTACAAGCCAAGCAATTGATTGTTATTGCTTGTTATTTTGGTTATTTGAACTTATTTAACAAGCTTTCACGATTTCAAGGTTTTCAAGGATTGGAAGTGGAAGTTGTCCAAGACTCTAAGTGAGTGAAAGTTGCACAATTAAACAACAATTAAAACAATTACCAACATTGAACTGTACCTTACGTTCTAGCCTCATCCGATTCGCCGGTTTCGCTGTGGCCTGCCCTACATTACTGCAGGTTCCTGCCCCTCGCTACCCTCCAATTCACATCATTTCCATGCCATTTTGGACGCTACCATCACCCATACCCTGTCCTGCCTAGGTACTGAACGCACTAGCGGTCTATACTAAGAAAAATATTTGAAACCTTAAACCAGCTAAGGTTAAGGGACCCTGACAAGATCCATATCGAGAAGCAACTTCAAGCAAGAGCTACCAATTTAGTACGAAACAACTGGACCGTAACTGGGGCAATGACTCCTCGAGGTCGCCTGCACCTTAAGGGAGATGGCCCTCTTGAGGTCTTTCCACTATTAGAAAACAGCAGTTTAACGACGCAACATCATTATTCTCCCATTACCACCAACACCAATACTACAACTTCTAATAATAATAATCCTACAACTGGCACTGGCACTAGTACTGGTACTGGTACTGGTACTGCACCTACCACCATACCTATTATCGAATCTACCACATCATCTACCGCATCTATTGCATCTCCATCTCCATCTCCATCTACGTCTACTACATCAATATCTACCAATTCCCACGGTAAGTAAGAAATTTCGGCGTTATGTATTACTATCCCCCATTTTATTTATTTCTTTCCTCTTCTTTCTCTCTCTCTCTCTCTCTTTTCCCACAGATTTTCAACACGAACAATTCTTCATTTAATTCCTCCCTTCCACGTACTACATTTTATACGCATTACATCAAGTGTTTGTGGCCGCACCTGCAATTCCCCATCACACCACAGTCGCATTCCGAGTTGCCACTACCACTAAAAGTACCTATATCCAAATTCTTGTATACTGTACTTGAGTACACGGCTAGCAGCTTTGTACCCTGTTACTAGGTACATGTAATAAATACATAGTACCTAACTACGTACATACATCTGCACGTCCGCCCTGTCTCGGCAGCCCGATTCGGATACATATAAATAACACTTACTGACACAACATCCTTTGGGCTTTTTTTTATTAGATCGCAAACCCGTTCGTCGACAATCACAATCGCAACAATCATCGCTTGCTCGTGCTGCGATGAGCAATCAGAGATTAATTTCTAGTTCAACTATCCCTCGATCAACGCCAACCTCGCCAGACAAGACAATCACCACGGAGCCTGAGTCCGAGTCTTCCACTACGACAACGCTCGACACCACACTGGCTACTACTCACAATGGCGCATCATCATCACCACCTACACCCCCTTCCTTGAATGACGAGCATTATATCCCATCTTACCAGAGCACACCCAGCCAGAGGGGCCTCGCACCGCCAACTCTCAATGCCCTTCCACATGTTAGTCTCGGTCCAGCCGCGCATCCATCTTCGCATCCCTCGTCTCTAGCTAGTGCGCTCAGGGCCCTGAATGAAGGGCCCAATGGAGTTGTTTTTCACGGCGTCCCTATACTTTCGGCTAACGATTCTCCGTACACCAAGAGCATCTCCTCGACTGCGCCGGGTTCGCCACGAATGTAAGAACTATCCACGCCCCCTCACTTATTTTATTCTGTTAAAATACTAATTCACCATCTTAACAGTCCACCTCTAAGACAGAATTCGGGTTCCCAGACCCCGCGTGTACGCCCTCATGCCACAACCCTAAGTATCCCTGGCATGACTCGATCGCTCGTGTCGCCAGATGGGAGAATATCCGATAGAGATGTGGCGGCAAAACTCGTCATTATTATGGTTGGCCTCCCAGCTAGAGGCAAATCCTACATCACCAAGAAACTTCGAAGATATCTCTCTTGGCAACAGCACAATACCCGGATATTCAATGTCGGCAACCGAAGACGTGTTCACGCCGTGACTTCACCTACCAAGCATCGAAAAGAGAGCTCCATGGATATGCCAGCACCCAGTGCCACCATCTTGGTGAATGGCGTTGAGGCTCCTGATTCTCCACTGCAAAAGAAGCCGTCCATTGATCAAAATGATGATCAAAAGCCCATGGATCAATCAGCAAAATTTTTCGATCCCAACAATGAGCAAGCATCCAAGATAAGGGAGGAGATCGCCATTGACACTTTGGACGAGTTGTTAGATTATTTGATCAGCGGTGGAGGCTCGGTTGGGATTCTGGATGCCACCAACAGCACGATCCAACGTCGACAGAAACTCTTCGACCATATCAAGGCAAGAGAGCCGATGCTGGGTATCCTGTTCATTGAGAGTGTCTGCAAAAACCCCAACCTCCTGGAAGCGAACATGCGCCTTAAACTTTCTGGTCCTGACTACAAGGATAAGGACCCTGTCAAGTCACTGGAGGATTTCAAGGAACGCGTCAAGGCTTACGAGAGTGCATATGTACCTCTGGGTGATTATGAGGAAGAACATGAAATGCAGTACATCAAGGTGAGAACATGATAAGAAAAAAACGCGCATAGTGCTTGGGAACATGGACTAATAACGATGACAGATGACCGATGTTGGCAAGAAACTTACACACTTCGGACTGGGGGGTTTCCTCAGTAGTGGCATTGTGCATTATCTATCGTCCTTCAACTTGTCGCCGAGGCAGATCTGGCTTACCCGACACGGCCAATCCATAGATAATCAGCTTGGCAAGATTGGTGGCAACTCGGAACTGACTAGCCGTGGTCATTTCTATAGTCTATCCCTGTACAGGTTCATCACGCACAAGCGTAGGGAGTGGCTCGTGGAACAAAAGGATAAAATTGCGCGGTCGTCATTCCCCCCTCTGCCAGGCGATCGATCACCCCCGTACCCTGACTTGAATCGCGAGCTTGACGAGAAGAATTTCTGTGTCTGGACATCCATGTTGACCCGTACCATACAAACGGCCGAACACTTTGAAGCTGACGAAGACTACGACGTCAAGAATTGGGAAATGCTCAACGAGCTTAATTCAGGCAAGTTCGAGGGCCTCACATATGAGGAAATTGCTCGCGAGCATGCGGACGAGTATACCAAACGCCAGATGGATAAGCTGCAATACGTATACCCCGGAGTCGGAGGCGAAGGCTACCTTCAAATCATTAGCCGTCTCCGAGACATGGTACGCGAGATGGAGCGAATCAAGGACCATGTTCTAATTATTGGACACCGATCCGTATGCCGCGTCTTGATGGCATACTTCATGGACCTTACCAGAGACGACATCGCAGACCTGGACATGCCACTCGGTATGCTGTACGCCATCGAGCCCAAGCCGTATGGCATCGAATTTCATGCGTATAAATACAACGAGGCTAAGGGATGGTTCGACGAAATTTCCGACTATAAACCGACTAAGACGATTGATCGTGCTGCTTAAGAAAGAAAGACTTACATGCGCAGATTTGGATACTATTTCCCTCTCAATCACATTTACTACTTGTACAATAATTTCCTTCCTTTTTTTCTCTTTTTTTCTCCCTCTTCTTTTCCCCAATTTAGGCGAACGAGAAGGCATGCATGGACATATGATACCATGAGAAACGGCGGCATTAGAAATGTCTTTTGGGGAGGTGATTTTTCATTAATATTTCCCCCTTCCTTCCTTGCCTCTTTTCTGGGAGGGTTCCATTCTATTTCACGAGATACGGACCCGATTGCATGAAATGCGGAGTTTTTGGTCGGTCCAGAGAGAGAACGGTCAAGGAGGGAAAGGGTAACGGTCATGGTATCATCGGACGGTTTGAGACTGGTTGGTTCGTGGCAAAGGGGGCTTCAGAAGGGAGGTCTTCATCGGTGTTACATAGTCCATCCTAATCTTCCGTGGCGACTTGAGAACGAGCAGGTGGATTGATGGCTTTGGCCCACGGCACCAGAATATACCACGCACTTGTAACGTAGGTAGTTGACGTAGCATGATATGGTCTTCCTAGATAGGCGGCCTTGAGGCTCGTTAATATATACATACGCACGACTCGGCTCTTATAGAGCACAGTAAATATACACGTATTCCTTGAAAATTTCACTGTTGCTTGTTTGCTTGTGAGGGCGTAGCTTGGCATGCTGCCGGGGAAGTTGTAATATGATATGAACCTCGGGTGTGTGTGTGACTTTCAGCCAACTAGGTGTCTACCTAGGTAATTATCTATTCATACATACGTAGTTGCGTATCCATCTTTCTAATCCGCCAGGATGGTAAGCGTTGTTGTTGGGTAACTAGTTAGTTCCCAAGGTTTGCTTGTCTATCTGTTTATAGTGTGTGCGTGAGTGTGAGTGCCAAAACCAGATATCTGCCAGATACGGGTGGTGGTGGTGGTTTGATAGTTAGTTAACTACCTAGTTATTATCAATGCATACCAAGCTATGTAATACTATCAAGCTGATATACCTACTAGGTTACTAGGTAACTAGGCCCAGTATAATATGTATGTATTTCATACATATTAGTAACTAGTTATCGGGTCCAGGGGGTAGAGGGGGGGGGGGGGGGCCTGGACAATGACTCACATACACGTACATACATATGTATGTACACACAGGCCTCCTTCTCCTTAGCCTACTAGCCCAGCCGCCTGGGGGGTTATAGACATGGGTCTTAGAGAGAAATAAAATATATTTAACGGCCTCGTGATAACTATCAATGCATGCAGTATATAACTAGTTATGTTCCCTGCTGTATTATGTTATCCTATGTTGTGAATAACTAACTACATGCCTAACCTTAGATAACTACCTACATATCTACAATTAACTAGCCTAGTAGCTCAGCAGCTTACTAGCACGCACACGCCTACCTACAGTACCTACTACCTACCTCCTACACTACGCGAGCCTCACCCTTCCCAGCATCCCAACTAGGTAACTACTAACTATCCAGCCATCGATCCATGGAAACGGGCAAGCCAGCAGACCAAATATAAGCCGACAAGGCGAGCAAGGTCACCTATGTGGCCCCAGCCAGCCGGCCATCCCCCTGGGTTGAGCAACCAAAACCGAGGGACTGGTAAGTCCGGTACACTAGAACAGGGCAAAAGAGCGAGAAGCGAAGGGGTGGTCATGTGTTCTATTTCCCCATTAATCACCTATAACTTACTTAGTTGGTGAGAGACTAACGAAAACCTCCCCTGAGCTAGGTAGGTTTCTCCTATTTCATTCAGGGGAACACTTTAAACTAGCGTCACATCATGAAGATCACGAATATATAAAGAGCAGAGGAAGCCAGCAGGTGTGCCTATGAACAAGGTTATCTATTTTTTTTTCTTCCTCCTTTCCCTCCCCTTCCTCTTACCTAAGCCTAAGTAGGGCAAAGGCAGAGAGGCAGGGCAGAGTAAAGGCAGGATATCTAAGCTATATATATATGTTCTGTATGTAGTTTTTTTTTTAGCAATTTATTGCTTTCGTTTCAGTGAGTTCGTGTCGTTAATCCATATCATTTCCCATTCCGTAATCATTCATAAAACCGTCCAGTCCTCCATATTATAATTACAAGGTAAAGTTTTCTTCATTCGATTCGTTTCGATATCATACCAAAAAGAAAAATCGAACAAGAAAAGAAGTTTTTGTTCCATAAGCACAAAAGTCAGTTTCGTCTCGTCTCATGATCGGAAGCACCATGCAAATGAGCAAGTGTCGTTCGTCTGTTCGTAATGTAAAGGGGAAGAGTGGGTAGAACGCATCCCTTTCCACACCAGAAAAAACATGTCGTTGCCTCTGTTGATGTATATAATCGCGTACTCGAAGGGTATTGTTTGCATTTCCTGCTCGCACAAATGTGCGAGCAAGTCAAAAGAAAAGAGAAATCGTAAAGTTCGTTAAATCAAGGTCTTTTTCGTCGTCATCATAATAGAAAAAAGGAAAGGAAACCACCAGGAAAACGCCTAGTTTTTTTTGTTAAATAAATTGGTTTTCTCTCGTATCAGTATGCATCACGGTATAGGAATTCCAGAAGGTCCAGGCATCCGATGAGTGCTATTGGTATCTCTTTAACTCCGTCATCTAGCAAATGAATCCAGGTGAACACAATGCAAAGGATATACTCTTATAGGGCATTCCCAAACTGCCAATGGGAATCCGCACTTTCGTTCTCATCTCCTTCTTGGTCATCGGTTTGCGGCTTATGGTAGTAGTGGTAGCGATCTGGGATCCGTGGTACCGAGGGGATGCCACGGTTGGCATCTGGCACGACACACAAAGGCGTATCTTCTCGTGATCGTGAGGGAGGTGGCATTGATTCTGCCCTCACATCCATCGAGCTGCGAGGAGTCTCGTCAATGGACATGCGTTCACCGGCCATCTCCCACGTCTCAAATCCTATAGATCCCGACGTGGACCGCGATCGTACTGGGGCCGACCTACGTCGCTTACGCAGCTTATTGCTTTCTTTGCTACTGTTCGAAAACGATCGGCGTGGGCGCTGTTCAGCTCGTATGATGACTTGGGGCGGTGCTGGGGACGGCGAGCGCATGCGTATCATTATCTCCTTAAAATGCAAGGTACCGCCAATGGATTTAGACTGCGGGAGCTGCAAGACACCATCTGGAGAGGTTGGCCGAGAATCCTTAGAGGAAGGCATCTTCCGTAGCTTCTTTGCCACCCTCTTAAGTGGTTCAGCAAAAGAAGACGACGTTGATGCTGCTACCTCACCGCTCGTCTCGTCCGTATCTAGTCTGCTGCGTTTGCGGCCACGGAGGCGTGGATGGCGAGAATCCTTATTGCTTATGGTAGGCGATGATCTACCATCAACTTCCTCTTTCGATGCCCATCCCCGGTTGCCTAGTCGACTTTTAGACAGGGGGCTGGTAGGGCTCTGCGGTGAGCTTGACCGGAAGACAGCAGCTATGGAAGAGGTACGCGGAGGTGGCAGCGGAGAACAAGGAGCCGAACCTGGAATTGGGGGCATAGGCAATGGTGAACGGCGGTCATTGCCACGGTTTGCTGGGCCAGCATGGCGTGTAGATTGAATGGCATGAGCTTGAAAGAAGCCAGAGGCTACCAGTTGATTGTATGAGTCCAGGACATCCTCTCGGGTCGGACGATTACCGCCACCCCCACCACCACCCAGGTTAGCTAGTTGTGGGATGTTATACATCTCCGAGTGGGATTTAGCAGCTCGGAGATGTTCTGGTCGCGGGGATGGTGATGGTGATAGTCGTTGAGGCAGTTCCTGTAGACTGCTATGTTTCCTCGCAACTGCCTGCTTCTGTCCGTTGTTGCGAGAAGAATTCCACCCTAGGACATCCTTCACCCGTCCGAAGAAACTATTCGACTTTCTATGATTGCTCATTTGCTCCGGAGAACTCATTTGATCGGCCACGCTGCTCTCGGAGAATGGTCGCTGGTAACGCATCCTACGCATTTCCCGTGGCGAGGCAGGTGGGTCGGAATAGAATTGCTTCTCATATTGTTTTAACTGGTCGGGCCCAAGAAACTGCACTGGAGGTGCAGCGCTTGCTCGATCGTTCATAGAACCCTCCAGAAAACGTGAGGTCGGTGGACGAGAGCCGCCATTTTGTGTGGGAGGCCTAGAAGTATCAAAGACCATCATGGCGGTGGCTATATTGATACCTGGCAAAGGGGTTGGCGGTGGGACGGATAAGGCATCAGAAGAAGGCCGCTGCGAGGAGATGTATTTCGGCTATGTGTAAAGGATTCAAGATTGAGGTAATTGAGAGATTGAGAGAACGTGAGAATATGAAAAATAAAAAATAAAAACTAATGAAAAATAAGAAATGGTGATGGAAATGTGATGGTTTTGAAAGTTCAAGGGTGTCAAGGTTTGGAGTGTGAGAATGTTTACTTGATTGCTTGGTTGCACCTGTCAATACACATTTACCCCAGTTTGTTAATTCCAAAGTGGGTCGGGGGGCAACCGAATAATTAAATCACCTGCCAAGACAACGGTCTAACGATGCAATAAAACCGTTCGCAAACCTCTACTAACCAAATATAGTAAGGCAACGTTCCTACATAATCTTAAAACTTTTTATTCCTATCATATTAATATCATCTTAATATTATATCAAGATGAGAAGGAGCTCATTCTATGGTATCGGGCAAGGAACTTATCTAGGTTTAAAAGAAAGAAGTAAGTATTGTGTCTCGCCTACGTACCTATCTTACGTACCTACATACCTAGTACCCTACCTAGTACCTAACGTAGGTACTGTAGCTATTAACTATACTATGTAGTTAATACCGAGGCATTTGAGAGTCAGAGTCTAGAGGCAGCCGAGGTAGGTATTGTATCTGCTATACGAGGTAGTTAATAGGTAATTAATCAAGCAAGAAACAAAGCCATCTTCGAGCATGTATGCATCGTCTTGATTTCTTTCATGTTTTTTTATGATAAAAAAAAACATCTAGGGTACTTAAATTCCAGTTGTCGTGTATATATACAAAAAGCATCGCGCTTTTCTCCCTAGATTCCTGTAACTAACACATGAAAACCGCGTGCTGATTCCTTTAAAAGGCCCCTGGGGATCACTGAGCAGAGAGATAGACCATGTTGATCCATCGTCGCCAACCCTCACCGAAGACACGCCCCACCAGAGTGATTTGACCCCTAGCCGTTTGGCTCCGTCCCAGACCGTTCTGCTCTCGAATAGGCAGAACCGTGTGACCAAAATAACCCTCTAGTGATCTCAAGCTGTCTTGGAAGAGCACCATGCGTCCGAAGAAAAGGTAAAAAGAAAAAAAAAGCATCAGCATGGGATAACATCCGGTGCCCAGAGCCCGATATGCAGAAAATGAATTATGCAGCGCAAATGAGTGATAGGGTAGATGGAGTGTCGAAGACAAACGAAACAGAAGCGGGCAATGGGTATGGCCTCAAAATATATACAAAAAAAGAGGCCGAGCAAGACATCGGCACCTAATAACACCCAACACCGCTGCAAACGTGGGGGCATTGTCACTCGTAACAACCGTGAACATGCAAAGCAAACATCGCTACGCGACAGTGTCCGGGAAGACGGCCAATTTTTCTGAACCGTCGGCTCGTCTATACACGGGGAGAGTTGGATAGTCTATTAATGGCCGGTCGCCATTCACATTACGGCCTTCTTGCGTGCTCGATGTGAGATCGTCGATAGAACGCTTCATAGATCGAGGTTCAGGCTGGAGGTATGGCGGTCTGTGGAGAGATGTTATGGAACCATTCCGGTCGGAATAGTGGTGTGGCGACATCTTGGGACTTGCGATTATGGAAGGGAGAGAAGGCATTAGGTCCCATAGATGTAGGTTGCCTGGGAGGAGCTCGAGACATCGAGTATGGCGCCGGTCCTTTGGAGGAAATGGTCGAGTAGCTCGCTGATGAGCGTCTCCTGAGGTCCGGATCACTCATAGTATCGTAGTGTGGATATCCTGGAGGGGCATAACTCGGAGAAGGTGGAGGCGGTGGATAATTGGCAGTTTGTGGGAAGATTGGTGCTGTAGGAGATACGGGAGTTGATTGATTAGAAGAAGGTGCTGGGCCATAAGGCTGAGCAAACCCAGTATTTCCTCCGTGCCCAAAGTTCAACATAGCCGAAGGAGCCTGGCCGTTCTGGTACAACGGTGGAGGCGGCGGACCGTATTCGGCATTGGAAGGGCGTCGTGGGTGATCGGGAGCGTAACTAGCTCGGTCTATACTTGAATTACTCGCTGATCGGGCGCGGAAAGTCTCTGGGGTCTGTGTTCTGTTCCGTCTTCTCGCATACTCGTCCTCTGCGTTGTTATCGTATTCGCTAGCTGCCGAAGCTTTTGTGTCACGTCTCCTCATCCGTACATCACGTCGAATACGCACGCGGCAGCCCTGCTCGGCAACCGTACGACTTAATGATGTGCTCTCAGTCAGTCCAGGGAACTTTTTAGCGCTGTAGACGATAAAATCAGTCGATCTCAGGTCCATTCGGTGATTGGCATTTCCTGGGCTTAAATCGGCTAGGCCATCCTCGTGGTCCTGATGCGGAGCATCCCGATCCTGATCCTGCTCTTCTTTAATCAATTCATACAGACTAAAGACCAAACGATAACGTCCCTCGTGACGAACAGACAGATCCGGAAATAAGAAGTATCCAGCTGGATCGGGTCGGTCGAGATAGCAGCATCCCGATACCGGGAATCCAGTTAAAACGGGGGGCGATGTAGCTGCAGGAGTTTGCACCCTTCCATGAGCCATAGGCCGTGCATGTTCGAGCGAGGCGTAACAGAAGAAATCGACATTGTAGTCAAATGTGATATCTCTGGCCCCCTCGAAATGTTCTCCTTCAAACACCCTTAGGATAACCACAGGCGGCGGATCGACTGGCCGACGGTCGGCAGATGCTACAATCTGAATTAGTCCAAGTTCGCAATTCGACATTCGCTGTAGTCAGAATTATCCATACATTTGGGACCCGAGCCACATGCTCTCGCACGTTCAGGCTGTTGCAGAACCTCTAATTGGTACCATAGATGCCTGCCACCCTTAGTGATGCGCTGCTCACGAGCGTACATTTTGGGTTCTGCTTGAGGAACCATGGCATTTGCCATATTTGACTCCGGCTAGGTTATCAAAAGTTAGCATGAAAACCGAGTAAGGGATGGTTTCGCTTTCATTGACACTTCCAAACACAGATTGTGAGACTGGAAAGCCAATCACCCAACCCACGACAAGAAAGTGGAATCGCCCGAGATAATTTCGGGTTCAAGCTATAACTGCGACATACCTGAATCGGAAGCATGACGATCATGCGTCCTACCAGACGGGAAAATAGGAATAGTAATAGTAATAATAATAATGGATGGACTGAAATCGATGTATTCTTCTCATACCAATTCCGACAGGTATTCGCACGATGGAGAAATCCCAGAAACTCGGACCGTTAGATACAACAGAACCAGAACCAGAGAAATGGGATTAGTTTTAACTCGCTCGCAGGCATATGTCAAGTAAACCCGTGTTGGCGAACAGAATAAAAAATTAATGAACCGTTAAATTGGGTCGAGGGCGAAGTTTGTTTTCTCTTATTTCTCTTTCTCTCTCTTTCCCACTCACTTCACTCACTGTCTATCTCTTTCCCAAGTACCAGGTGAACCCGAACCGCTGGCTATCTTTTTAGTGCGAGACAGATCGAAAAGGGTGCAGGTGACGTTTCGTTCGCTACAGCTCCCGAGTACTCGTTTCGCTTTGCCTTGATTCGTGGACGGCGGTAAAACTCGACTCAGTTGGATAAGTCAAAAGTTTGTCGACCTGGCCGACCGACGACAAGGCCCACAAAGTGAACAAGCTGGCGGGTTGGCGGGTTTTGTCTGTCGTCAGAATGATCGGGGTCGAAAGTTTGATGTGTGTGAGGGAAAAGGAAGAAATGAGCCGGGCCGGATGCCCAGAGAAGGGGAGTTACCAAAGTGGATGTTGTGTGGATGCTGAGTGGACGGTGAGTGGATGCTAGAGCGGGCAGGTTTGAAGCGTGGGAGCCAGCGGGAGGACCAGCAACATGCAGTAGTAGCAGAAGTAGGCTGGTTTAGCTAGTTGGCTTCAAGTTGTTAGGCACTAGGGGCATGTAGGTAGGTAGTAGGTACTACTATGTATGTGAATACTAATAGTAGATACCACAAATACAAGTGCAGATACAAGCAAAAGATACAAGTAAAAAAAGAGGGTGCGCTTGTGAGATTTGGCAGATTGGGCCATAGCACGAGCGCAAGGGAGATGGGATTGGCCCGAGCAAATCAACCGGGGTAGTACGGGGAGGCAGGGTGGAGATGATTGCATCGCGTTCCCTACCTATGGGCCAGGTTTAACCAATGATGTAGATGATTAAGTGGGTATAAGTGGACAAAGCCCCCCCATCCCAGGCATTTTCCTACATACATAGTAGTCATCCTAGGACATCCTGGGCGCATCCTGGGTCGTCCAATCCTTGTTGGATAGTCCCTGTCTAGTGCCCCCCTGTCTGGGCTGTCTGGCTGTCTGGCTGTCTGGGAAGTCATGTCCACAGTGCCGCGTCCAGCAGTGCTCAAGGATACAGGGGTGTAAGGAACTTTTTGAACCAAGCAGCAACCAAGCAGCTTGTATAAGAATGGAAGGTCATCCACACCAATTTCACGCCCGCTGAAGTCCGCTAGAAATCCCCGAATGGGCTTACCCGACGAGAATCATCTTTAAGTGTTTTAGTGTGTTCCGCCTACTTGGACCGGAGACAGTGCGGGAATCCTTCCAATCTACTATGTAAATACATTTCTATCCATCCCATAACTAATACCAATACCTATGTACCCATCCATACCATCCAATCCACCCACCCATCCATCTGGCCGTCTCTTTTTTTTTTTCTCCAATGTCTCCAATATCTCCCAACTCTCCCAACTCTCCCAAAACATGCAGGACCAAGGACCACAAGGGGCTACCGGACCGCTGCGCTGCAGTGCATCAAAAGCTGGGATATGTATAAATCAGTGGAACCTTTGGCGTATTGAGCCAACCAGCTAGCCTTCCGGGAGCCAGGATTTTATTCATCTGAATTTATGAACGGTTCGCGTCCTTGGGAGATCCTTTTTTATTTTACTACTAATATCTATGCTGTTAATACTACAGTACTCTTTTCTTTGTCTCAAGAAGAAACGCGTGGGTGCCAAAACGGTACTACTCCCCTCCCCCCAAATTTCCGTGGACCGTGACTGCGGGGGTAACCGACATTGCCGTAGCGGAGTATAGACGATAGACGATGCGCGGGTCGAGTTGAACTTCATACATATACGAATAGGTATATAGATAATAGTCTGTCTGCCTAGTTGACGTGTAGGTAGACATGCTGCAGTTATATGTAAGTAATTACTGAAATGCTTCGCATCGTCCTACACGAATACCGAGTGTCTACCGATACGTGGTTGCAACTACATACTAAGCCTATGCCTAGGCAGATACATGCCTAGGTTAGGCGTACATGATTATACAGGAATGGAAGTTCCATACGTACCTAGCATATGGCTCCGAATGAGGATTAGGGAGCCCTGGAGAAAAGAAAAATTGGAAATAATACCATTACATAACTATGTACTATCTATGTAGTAACTATTTTTATAACAGCGCTTGCCGATGATCATTAAAATGGAGGGCATCTCATTAACTACATTAATAGGTAGGTAACCTACTATCTACGTTTTTATGGCATGTGTTTACTTTTTCTTATTTCCAGCCCACCTCCTTACCTCTTAGGTACTATGTACTACACTACAAAAAGGCCTTCAATGTTTTTGAGACAGCGTGATCATTTTATGACAAGTCCAATTCAAAAGAGTTACTGTAGTTATACATATACTATCTTATCATCGCCTCCTTATGCATGCCATGCACAATACATCCATAAACGTCAATACCACATACAGCAGGTAGTAGTTACAGATATGAGACAGCAGCATTATGCGCAGCCTCGAGTACATCTTGTTGAAAGCAGGCAGTGTAAACAGGCAGCCGGAACTAACTACTAGGTAGGTAGGTAATAATTCCTTATAATGAATCCCTTGTTCCAGAGTTTCGGGTCTTGCGAAGAGAGAGAGGGCGTAGCATTCAACATAGCTTAGCTACATACTGCATGTAGATAGCTATTAATATGTAGTATTTGGAAGATTACACATCGAACAATAAAGACACAAAAAGGGGCGTTTCGAACTATCTACATGTATGTATCATATCAGCCCATTTACTCGGTAGCTAAACTTATGCAAAGGAGGATGCATGGCATGGTACATACCTGGCATACACCTACATATAGACAGCATGTTCTAAATACAGTATACATATCTTGAATACCACCTACCTATGAACCAACATCAGGATTCAGGACGCTACAATTACACTATCTTACTAGGTATGTACATAACTATATGTACAAGACAAGACATATGTGACATATGTGTATGTGTATAAGGTAATACTTTATAAAAGCTAATAATGCTGTCCCAAGCTTTTCCAGTATCAGGATCTGGGAAATCTCGCGCGGCATCTGTGCCTCAAGATGCCCGTCGTCGCACGTTCCGGGCTTGCTACCGAGCTAAGGTACTCAAGAATGATCCCCTTTTTTTTTTTATCTTCCGCTACATACACTCAACTACAAAGTACATACATATAACCTACCTGATCTGATTGCATGGATAAAGAAGGTTCAGTTTGACAAGTGACAAGGCCATCGCATGCTATGTAAGACGGTACGCGCCATCGTCATCTCCACCGAATAAAGCAAATCAACTCTCGTGAGAATGCAATCATTAACTAGTACGTAGCTTATTGTTTGTAGGTTATGTAGGTAGGCTACATATGAAGGACTTGGCAGATTATACATCCATACACTCTACCTACATACATGTATGTATGTAGTTCACCTTACCTTGAACATAGCCATAGCTCAATATAATCTACGGATTCCCAAACTCCTGGGATGTCGATCCTTTAGTACAGACTACAGTTGTGGGTTAGTGTATTGATATAGACACTGAAACATATCCAAGCTTTTTTCTTCCGCTTCCTTTGCTTTTTTCTTTTTTCTTTTCTTTTTTTTTTTTCTTTCCATCTTCTTGTTGGAAGTTTTCGAGACCTTAGAACCATGAAAAGCCCATGGTGTAGCAATTACATGACCCTTTCCCACGGGCCACGGGTTTGACACGTCGATCTACTCTTACAAGAATATTAGTCACCACTTAAGCTTCTGACGGGCCTTGGTTCGGCCTTCTCTTGGCAAGCGTTGACAGAAAACAGAACAGAACGGGCGGCCGTCAAGCTAAAAAAAAAAAAAAAAAGATTAAAAAGATAATTAAATTAAAAAAGACAAAAGACAGAAAGTATGCTCATCTACATACATATACATATACATATACATATACATATACCTAAGACCTAATCTTAACAAAGTTCGTCTGATGTCAATATGAGACGACATGCCCGCCCGGTAAACGGGCATTTCCAACTATTTTAACTTTATGATTGAAGTTGGGGTAGTGACTCTAGTGAGTCTACAGTACCTAGGCCCTAGGGTAGGGTAGTGAGTTTACTAGGTTACTAACCTAGGTACCTAGTAGTGACCCATACATCCGGGGCAAAGTCCCAAATCTTCCTTCGCCCGTCATTTAATTAACTAGTTTTTATTTGGTCCCTTCATCACATACCTATTTTAGTAACTATTATACTCTCCTCCTTTCCTTTCCTTTCCTTTCCTTTCCTTTTCTTTTCTTTTTAGTCATTGATGATTGAAGGCTACATAATAATATCTAACGTTCATTAATGATAGGCCATACTACTCCAAGATCGTTGCGTCGTACAAAGTACGGCCGAACACCCTGTCGGTCCTTTCCTCTGGGAATTGAGTGGCTGTGACCACTGACCATGGACTGCGAGTCTGCGACTAGAGGACTGACTCGATGAGAAATCTGGCCGTTGTGAAACTTTTGCTCTATCCTCTCATGGAACCGTCACCTCTCTCTGAACCGAGCGCCTTACGCCACAGGACCCGACTTAGCGGCACCAAATCTTCTTTTGGCTTTTGCTTTTGAATCCCAAATCCAAATCCAAATCCCCATGCCATGTTGTGCTTTGCCAGGGGTTTCCTAGATTGGGGGTTCAGGCAAAAGCCACCACCCAACGATCTGACCAGGGAGGGGGAGGGTTTAAAGGGAAATAAATAAAATGCTGATGACATTGATGTAAAACGGGATACCAGAACGTCTGGTCCCCTTCATCAATGTCTAAGTGTCTTAGGTTGAGTTGAGTCGGGTTGGGCTGAGTTGGGTTCAGTTCGCCATTCCATCTCCAGGCCTGCCACCGCTGTAGAAAACTAGGTTATGCATGCGTGTTCGCCAGGCTTGTCCAATATTCCCACGTGCAATCTATCTCCCAAGTGTTCCTTTCCGCTCTATCCCTTGCTTGCTTTTCCATGAGCAGCAGAAGCCATTTCGGTCGCTAGCCGTGCAGTAAAATGTCTTATCATATACATGTACATAGTAAAAAAAAATATGTATGTCTTATTCACATGGGGTAAACTGACGTGGAGTGCCGTCTTTTATGACAGAATTACGCCCCCCTCTCTCTCCCAAGCTTGCAAAAAGTCCCCAGGTGTAATTATGTCTAACCTTAGATAGATTGAATAATAAAAGCAAAATCCAGAAGCTATAATCTTTCCCAATTCCATATAGTACTACCCACGAGTCATGGTAGCACTCGCTGTAGCAGCTCCCAGCTCTCCTTTTACCCCAGCCCCATAGAACACCCGAGTCTCCGGTTCTCCTGGAACTTGCACCGGCTACCTACATCAAAAAGATGCTCGGGCTGGGTAGCACAAGTACTAGCACTGTTGGTTCTCTGGGTTTCTCGCCTGCAGTGTACCCCCTTGCTCTCGCTTCTTCTTGCAGCAACAAGAATCTATCGGCAGGGCACGTAACCCCTAGGCTACCTACATTGGTATGTATGTATGTACATACACACACACATATCTACATGGTGGACATCGATCACGACGGATCTACATACATACATACATACATGTAGGTAGGTAGTACATATAAGAGACCGTCTGTTCTTGTTTGTCCTACGTAAGGAGGTAAGATTCCGCTCAACCACCACCTAACCTAGGTTATTGTACTATGCAAGAGTGTAGATACCAAAAGGACCTGCTGCACCGGGATGATGTCTGCGGGAAAAACAAAAAACAATCGCTTCCGTGGTCGACGATTCAGTTCTAGTTTTATTTCATTCTACTTTTTTGTTACTTTCCCCCTTTAAATCAAAGGACTAAAAACTCAAAAATCTGTGTAAAATGCGTAGCTAGCATTTTGTGGGTTGATGATAGTGGCACTCGCTAACTAACGCCGCCATCAGTTTGCAATACATACCTATATGTACCTCTAACACATGCCCACATACATACACAGTACGAGTATTCCGTGTGTGGGAGGGAGGGAAGCCTTGGGAAGGAGGAGGGGTCTTAACATACATTACCTATGTACATACTTTTGCTCATTCTCGATACATATTATTCAAGATGCCGCACAACCAGTTACACGAGATCGCCTTCCGTCCATATGGAAACAGCTGATTCCTGTTATTGGATATAACACACCATGGCCTGATTTTATTTTATTTTATTATTGGTTTTGCAAAAGGACAGACAGAAAGCCATTATCGTGGCATGGTAGCTCTACAGATACGTATGTACATAAAAAAACCCCCCCAGCTTTGCCCTGGTTTAGCAAAGATGCACCCTGTGCTTTCCGATCCAGGCGTAAGGAGAAGGGAGATGGATGGATTCACAACGATGATGGCTACTCAGCAGCAGAGAAAGAGAAAGGGGGGTAGGTAGATACTAGGTACTAGGTAGGTAGGAGGGTCTTCTGGTTATCTGCATCGACCAAGGTCACACGACATCTTCAGCAGCCGAGACTAGTCTGTGACACCCCATGTTAGCGGTCAAACAACACCCCTTGATATTGTGAGTGTAGTTAGGTATATCGAGCTAAACATGCTAGGTAGTAGGTAGGTATGGATGGATACGGGAGCAAACAGTTGATAATATGCTCAAGGGAAGGGGGGGGGGGGTCTTGTTGGGTAGGTACCTACTTACGGGTAACCTAGACTATCACTGAGTGGATATCAAATTACCAACGATGTTGGCAGATCTACCTGTAAACGGCCAGTATCAACATTGCCTTACATATGCCCAGATAATACAAATTTAAATTCAATGTTGATGTCCTCATCAAACATAATTCTAGTAGCTGAAATCCATACGATACGAGTTTAAGAATGCTATGTATGGCCTCCTTTTCTTATGATCCCCCTAACTAGCAATTGTTTGTGGGAAATCTATTCGAGTAGGCACCTACCTAGGTAGTAATTAGATATGTAGGATTCGTATTGAGGCATTGTCATCCCCCTTTCAAATTACACTTGAGAGAATCGAGATCTTCTCAAATCACCACCAGGAAACCGTGTAGGCAGATAACCCTCCCGTTCCTTTCCACAACACTCCCCCCTCTACCTCCCCCATCCCCTCAAAATCCCCTCACGACTGGCACTAGCACTAGCACTGCCCTCGATCTCGCCCCACGTACATCTCTTATCCCAACGCCTCTGTGCCTGCTTCTGCCTCTCCCTCTCCCTCGTATCCCTCCTCATACTCAGCCTCCCCTTAACGCTCTTCTTCTTACTCTTCCTACTCGTCCTCGACACCAGCTGCGGCGTCCACTGATAGACCGGCTCCTGCCACCTCTGCGAGACCAGCATCCCGTCATCACCATCAACCCAGCCCCAGCCCTTCCACTTCCAATCCCTATTCCAGCTCCAGCCCCAATTCCAACCCCTACCCTTCCTTCCCCGATTCTGACCCTGATCGCGGTTCTTGCCCTCCTTCCCGCTGCCACCACGACGTCTGGAGCCAAGCAGCATATGCTGCCAGCAGTGCGCGAGCACGCACACCATGGTGACGGCGACGACGACGCAGACGACGGCGACCGCCATCGCCGCGATGAACGCTTTGGGGAAGTCGGCCGGCACCGCCTCCTCGTGGTCCGGCTCGAGCGCTGCATCGCACGGCGGCGCGAAGGCGAGAGTGGAAAGTAGGAGGACAGCGAAGGGAAAGGAGAAGATGGGGAGAGGGGGTTCCATTTCACCCTCGTGCCCGTAAACCTTTTGCTGGTCCACTCTCTCCGTTTTAGAGAGCAGATACGATGATAGTAGGCAGGCAGACAGGTAGGCAGGTATTGGATAATCCTCCCGAGAGGTTGCGTGCTGTGAAGTAGGTGGGTATGGCCTCCCCTTTCCAATTCTCACCTATCACTTCTCACCCCTCCAAAGAAAACCTGTACCTAGACCGAAGTTAAAGGAACGTCTAGAGTGACGAGTAGCAGTAGGTAAGCGATCGAGTAATCAGTGACATACTTTCCACTCCCCCTTTTTGGAGTGAGTTTCTACCCTCTGCGTGAGAGCAAGAACAGGTCAGCCCACGCAACAACGTTCAAGACCTGGAGCATCTTTATGTAATATCCATCATCATCATCATAGCCGTTTTCCCGACTGATCTCTCGCCGTCATGATTGCTGCGACACTTGCCGAATACGAGCCGGCGAACCGGCTGTCACCAAACCTAATCTTTGATGTCTGGATAGGAATAGGTAAGGCCTATATGCAGCCTCAGGGTTGATGTGAGTTCTGTAGTTTTCCTCTATTCTTTTTAAAGTTTATATCTCTCTGCTCGCCCCGGGATTGGAAGCCCCTTGTACGTGTATCGGTAGTCAATCATCGAGCCATCAGCTCAAGGACCTGTAAGAAAGTGATGCAATCATAGATATCAAGGAACAATGAAGTGTATGTCACTATATGATATGTAGATGTCCACGTGACCTCGATATCAGGTGACATTGGTCGAACTTACGATGCATGTTAAGTTGCGCGCAAATATTAGTAGGTTAGATAGAATATTCAAAGATAACAAACAGATAACCAAAAAAAAAATCTATTAACTAGTTCCAAAATATTTTACTTGCAAAAAAGATGAAGTAAGTAGTTAATTGAAAAGTTTTCAAAAAAGATAATTCATGACAGCGAGGGGATTCGAACCCCTGCCACTTCCGTGAGTGGGATATTCTCGTTATTCTGAGAATAAGAGTTTACTCAAGGTTCTCTTGAATCCACCGCCTTAGACCGCTCGGCCACGCTGCCAATCTCAGACAGGATGTTGTATCCTGATTCGATATCAATTGGACCGTAGTAGCACACTATATTGTTTGCACTTGTCTGTTTCGTCCGAAGTGTAAGCGACAAGTACTACGCTAGTGCGTACTACTATCATAGTACTATGTACATAGTATGTATGTAATAAGTATACGTAGCTTAGCCGCACAAGAGCTTAGGAAAGTGTGAGTGGGGCTCACCTATAACTACCTACATGTATGATGTATGATGTATGTACATCATATTATGTACAGCTTGATCATTGATGGCGCTGATAGGTCTAAACCTCAACAACATTGAAGCATAGAATGATAACAATATATGCCACTTATTTTCTTCTTATATTCTACGTAACAGTCTACCTATTACCTAGGTGGGTTACCCTTCATAGGTAGCGCGTACGTATAAAATGCATTATAGTACTAGGTATATTACTAGGTATTACCATCTGTCTTGTTAAAGGGGGACAGTCCTCCTAATCTTGCATAGTATCATATCACTCGAACAACACCGATTTGGGACTAAACGAGTCCATTTATCATTAACTACCTAGATAGGAGCCTAGCCAGTAACAACAAGAGAAGTTATGTCCGGGATATAAACGGAACAATTGGTCTATCTCCCCAACTTTTTTTGTCTCATTTGGCGCATTACTAGCCCTCCCTTTCCTTAGTAGCCGCATATCTCTCTTAACGTAGCCTCTTCCATGAAACAAGATATATGCATTCATTTATGCCTCCTACCCATCACTCCACCTCCCTTTTTCGGTTCGCCCTACACCTAGTTGGCCATCGTAGGAATACCGTCTCCCCTTTGCTCGGCTGACTCCTCGCCAGATTCAGGGCCTGGTAAAAGAGAATGTGCAACTGAGCAACATAGCCTTGACTGGCTACGAAACGGTACAGCCATCTGGGCAATGCCGTAATTGCTAGCCACGACAGTTCTATCTTGGTATCACGTACAAGAGAATAGAAAAGAGGCAATAAAAGAGACATGAGGGAATGGTATAAAGTTGGAGCCTCATGGTCTCACCCGAGTGTCGTGGGGAGGTTTCCTAAAGCCCATACACTTCCCATCCGTCGAAATGATCGACCGAGGTCGGACCAGAAGAATCCGTCGGTTGTGTCCGAGGGGCGAATTCACTTCTAAACTCCTGACGCAGTCACAATTCGTCGTCCTCCGCTTCGATCTCGGATGGCTTGAGTAAGCCTCCCACCTTTGCTCGTCGTTCGTGGTCGGCCGTCAGCTTGTCACGAGCCTCTTGCTCCTTCTCCACAACGTACAGATCTGCGTTGTCCCCGGCGAACTCCTTAAGAGAGATTAAGAAATCTCGGACTTGAAGTCGGAACTTCTCATAAGATGCGTTCAGGGTGAAGAGGCATTCAATAAATGCACCAATCTGCGCACTGTACATCCAGTTAGCATTCGCAAGTGGCTACCTTTTATCCCGAGGGTTTGCTTACATCTGTAAATTTGGGAAAGCATTGCGTAGGAGACCTGCGACAAATTCAGTCAGGAATTCCTTGTTACTCGTCCCAGCGGGGGCCTGGTCGGTGTAGACGGGCCCCTGAATCTTGGGTGTGGAACCATCTGCAGGAAGTGCGAAGTAGAACATGCGCATTAACAATAGCGATTGCGTTTTGAATCCAGCCTTGTGATCGGGATCTGTCAATACGAAGAACACATCTTGCAGGATGCTGATGAAAAATTGCTGGAAAAATGCGTTGGAAGTCTGTACATCGGTTTTCTCGGCGATATTCGTGACCAGTTCCAGGCACATGTTCAGTCCGGCACCTTCGACATCGCGGTTGTCATGTTTGCTAGCCCACATGCAAGCATCGATAACGAACTTGAACTGCCGGTTATCCAACTTCAAGAGTGCTGGGAAGCAGTGTAGGTTAATCGCTCTAAGCAAGTTAAAGAACTCTACTCGGTGTTCTGGGAACTCTGAAAAGTCCTTGTTGATCATTTCCAGAGTGCACTCAAATACGTTCTGCATAATGATCGGCACCTGGTCTTCCATGAGGCCCTAGATATCGTTAGTAAGAATAGGACATTGCGATCCTCAAAGTGAGCTTACCGTGAGTCTCGTGATAATAGTAGACATAGCCTTCAGAACTTCTGCATCGCGGGCGCCTGGGACATTGCGATTGTAGTCTACCAACACCGAGTCCAAAAGCTGCGGGACCATCTGTTGGCGAATCGCCTGTAGGTCTTCAGCTTTGTCAACGTAGCTCTCAATCAACTTGAGAATCTCCTTCTTGATCGTTCTTAGCCCTCGAACCTTGGGCATACGGGGAGCAATCTCGCCTAGTTTGACAGGTTAGTTGAATCTCAACAAGAGGTGGAACATATAATTACCATCGCGAGCAATAGCCTCCGAGATTAGCTGGCTAGTAGCACGATACATCTGTAGCATATCTAGGTATATTCTGCCAATCTGTGGGCCGAAGTAAGGTCCGATGGAGGAACAAGCTGAGACGTTAGTCTTCATGATATTCCCGATAATCTTAATTGTGTCAGAATCCTGGAGGATCTGGGGATCTTGAGTAGCCAGTCTAATGATTTCATCCCATGCTGCATTCGGGGCATTCATTAGCTCGGCAAGCAACCGTTCTTGCTGGTGCTTGTTTCCTTGTGCCGCAACCATATATCCGCAGGCCTCATAGAATGTGTGAACTTGTTGGGGGGTGAGATCGCATGTAATGCGCTGGAGATTTCGAATGATTTCCTCGATAAAAGGCTCGTTCTCGCTAGGCTGCAAGGCAACGAAGTGTCGTCTGCATTGCCTGGCGATCTTGATGAACGTATCGCACGCCATATCCTGGACACCTATAATATCATTAGCTATCAATCGAGAGCCTTTGGATTGTGGAGCCAACCTTCGTGAGACTCATGCATGAACTCGAACAGCTTATTGACGACGGTCTTCAGAAATTTCCAATGGGCCTTGAGGAAACGAGGATACTGCCCAACAATGTACATGATATTACTGGCCACAACGGCCTTGTTGTCCTTGCCACGCTTCATTTCCGTGAGGCCAAGCAGGTCCTTAATAACCGTAACTAGGAAACGCTTCTCAGTTTCCTCGTTCATTGCCAGCGAGATCGAGCCGATGGCCCAGCACAAGACGTTGCAGTTGTGCCATGACCATTCAGTACCATCAACCTGCTTTTGGAGTTTCTCGGTCATGATAGTTTCCGTATCAACGACGTCAAGATGTGTCAAATAGACGAGACATTCACGAATGGTCTTATATAGTTGCACCGTGTCGCTCTCCTTCACGAATTCGCGCACGATCTCACCCTCATCGTTCTCAACGATGAGTACTTCTTCAGGTCGCACCATCTTTTCAATCATGACCACTCGCAAATTGGATAAAACCTCCTTATACTTGTGCATGCGCAGCGGGAAGCTCAATAGCAAGTTCGGATTCACTGCTCCACTGGCGGAGCCACCGCCCATCATGAGCGGGTTCATCTCTTGCAGAGGCGCAGTCTGCATCTCCTCGTAGAGTTCTTGCACAAGCTTTAGCCAATAATCTAGGCAGATCTTGAAAATCTCTCGATCTTCAATTTGTGAAATTCGGATTAAGTAGAAATGACCGTGCGTAAGGAAATCTCGGTTGGGGAGATTCTCAACCAGCTAAATCATTCAGTTAGTCAAAGTGTTCTATAAGGACGGCATGAATAAGCCTACATCAACATGCTGACCAAAGAAGTTGCACAAGAAGAGTGCCAATTCTTGGAGGAACTCCTGGTCTTTGGAGTTGCTCTGAGGGTATGTGCTCTTGAGGTCAAGATGTAACGGGATGATACCCGCAATAGTCGTAAGCACATCGACAAACATCTTGACCAACTGTTCGCTGTATGCGTTTGGCTGGCCCGGTCCACCGGTCACCAGGCCTCCAATCTCAGTAAAGACTTGTAGAGTGACGTTGCGGAATTCCTGAACTTCAAGGAATCGTGTTCGCAGAGTCTCAATGAGCGGCGTTTCAAAGATGTAGCCTAGCGGAATCCAGTTGCAAAAGCGCAGTAACGTCTCGAGAGTAGCCTTCACGAGACTGGCCTGATTCGCCGAGGTAAGGATCTCCTGGCATAGTTGGAAGATCTGCGAGAATTCGTTGCACATAGTCGTCTTCAAGTTTCTGGTCTTGGCCGAGGTCATTTGCTCGGCGGAGTAGTCGAAAACTTCTTCGGAAAGAAGTCGAAGAATGATCATGTTGTTCTCGCAAATAGATAAGTTCGATCGACAAGCGGAGATGATCTCGTTGATGAACGTAGGCCAATTATGAGGCCATTCCTGCTTCAGAATAGAGACAAGAACTAGGTTCAACTTGTTCAAAAGAGTACGCTGGGACCTGAGCGACTCTTCCGTGCCAGAAGCTTGGATAATGAAGTTTACAACAAAGTTGCGAATACCTGCGCCGTGGTTAACTGTAACAGTTCGGGCTGACAATAGTCGGGGAACGGGAAGGCATACCTAAACACTGTTCTCTGGGCAGCACCTTCCATCTCGTCATGATGACATTGTCTAGTATTTGGAGCCCAAGATCTGCAACTCGTCAGCCTTCCGCGATATCCCATGCCATATTGTTCTGATTAGCACGACGTACATTTCGTCTGGGGATGTCTCGACTCGGAGAGAATCTTGTCGACAAGAAGCCAGGCATCGGGATCTTCTTTGAACTATAGAGAAAATGGGTAAGCTTTGGCATAGGGATAGCAAGAAGGGAGCATGGCGCATCACATACCTGGTTCAAAGCAGTTTGGGCAGCTTTTTGCTGAAGGCGGGGAAGAGGTCAGTGTTAGTAGCTCAGCTATCCACATCTTCACAGATGAACACATCTGCAAAAAATTGGACAAAGCGGATTGACAATAAGCTTACCTGCTCACCACGGCCGTCGTAGAAGGACTGGACCATGAGGTCCAGCTCTGTGATCGTAGGCGCCATCTCGAATGGGGTGGCGGGGGAAAGAAGAAATGAGGCAGGCTACGCGCCTATAAACCCACAGAAAGCCTCGCTCTAGGTGTGTGCGTCGAGAGAAATATTAGTTGAGGGTATAGAAAAGATGTCGAGTATGAGCGCAGGAAGAGTTGAGGAAAGAAGAATGATGTTAGAAGTTTATTAGCAATGAAGAAAATGATCACTAAAATAAAAGGTGCGATGGGTGGAAAGAATTGCTCGGTAAATGGAGGTGTTGTAAAAAGGTATGTATCACCAGAATTCAAAGAAGCGGCGAAGTGACGGGTCTCTGAGAAGATAGCGACTAGGTACCTATTACTTTTTGGTGCAGTTGGTAACTAGTTGGTTAGGTTAGTGGGGTTTTGGGGGGGGGGGGGGGGGGGGGGGGTGCTTTTTTTTCTTATTTTTTCCCGTTTCTCTTCTCTTATTTGCGAAGCTTGCGCTGAGGGGGAAGGTGGGTTAGTGGGCTGAATCAACAATGGTTAGATGTAGGTACTGATGTAGGTACTGTACAGTGCCTACATTCTAGGAACACCACTGAAAGCAGGTTGCTTAAAGCTTACCTAGGTACCTTAGGTAGGTATTGTATTGTACAATACTGTACTTGTACCGCCAGGGATTAATCAATAGGTATGTATCACCTAAGCACTGTAGCGGCTGAAACTGCTCCAGGGCTCACTAGCATTTTAAGTTAGCACCTGGCATCTTCTAGCATTTTAGTTATTTTAGTTATTAAGCACAGCACCAAACGAAGTCGGAGTTTGCGGAAACCAATTATATGCCAGAGATTCTTATTATGTCATTGGCTTGTCACGTCGTTAACGCTTCCGAAAATAATTTAGTAAAGTTGCACTGACCAATCCGAATCGATTTACCCCTCTGTGAAGCTTTGACTCTTAAGTATGGACGTGTGTGTATGGATGTATCGCGCGCCGAGGTTTTTGATGTACATGAACATGTACATGTATTTAACATTTAAAAGAATTAAAATCTCAAGTGCGGTGCTCTTTGTTACTGGACCAAAAATAACATTGAAAAGCCGAATTCGTTCAATGTTGAAATACCATTTTTAGCCTTTCAATGCTGTTCAACAGTTCAATGTTGTTGCAACTTGAAGTACAGATATGTACGTATTTGTTGTACATGTATGATATATGATAGATCATAGAAGGCAACATTGAAACTCAATGCTACATATGTATTATAAATCAAAACTTCACTTACCAAATTTCACCGATGCTTCCGACTTGATACTTGCCTTCTCACGATGTTGCGTTCAATGTTTCTACATAAGGTAGGTAGGGTTTGCCTTTGATCGTGATAAACTGTACCTAAATTGTAGTAAAGACTTCCGAGTTCCTAATCAGTATGTATGCCTTACAAGAACATATGCAATCTTCGATATAATATGTACATACATGTGCATGTATTCGACATCTCTGATACTTGAAGTACATTTATACCTAGTACCTATGTAGATAAGTACCAAGAATCCAAGACCCATCGTCCTAGTTTACTGGTACCGAGGTATTAAAGGCAAGATTGAAGGTGGAAATTTATTCGATACGCCTTCTAAACCCCTCGGGATTTCTTTTTCCAAACGACCCTGCGACCACTATCACCATCCCGTTGCTTCTAGAGAACGGAGAACTATGGAGGCCACTATACCAACATGTCCCCGACATTGCCGGTCTTGTTAACTACCACTCTCTACATGTATGTAGATAGATCTATGTATGTATGTACGTAGGTACTAGGTACATATGTAGTGTTTGGCGAACGTACAACAGACTTCGATTTATCTTATTGAATGATAGCAGCAGTTTGTTTGGTTGCCTGGCTCGGGATCCCCAACGTAAGTTCCCGATGATATATGACAAGATCCTACCCAAGTGCCTAACCTACATATGTATGTAGCTTCTCCATACATCAATCGAGAAGCAAGTATGTAGTACTCATGGGTACATATTATCTCGTCTACATTGATGGCCAAAATTCGCACCCAATGGTTTACATACATGTATGTACTAAGTATGTATCACATGGCTAGAGGTACCTTGGATATCTATCATTCTTGATTTTCCGAGCCTCAAAGCCTCTACCTAGTCTAGGTACCCATAACCTCCATTTTCTTCCGGCGTGTTTACCATACAAGTATTTGTTTTTTATCATCTAAAAAAGAAAAATATGCAGATGATAAGGTATCCATTCTTTTAAGCCAATAATTATCATCATGGAGAATGGTAAACATGAGGTGAGACAGCCACTACGTTCGCACACCAACTTCAACCTACTGAAACGATTACGCCTTCTGATATCCGCAGTCGGCCAAACCGTTCTTCAACGCAGCGAGCGCCTTATCAATGTCAGTTCTGGCAGGGTCGGTCTGCTGCAGTTAGCTTCGATGTTCCCCAGTCATTATGATACAAACAAAGGTCTTATAGAAACATACCACGCTGACACCCATGTGCCCGAAACGCACATATTTTGCTGCGATCTCTTTATGAATGCCGCCAGCAAATACGACACCGCTCTTGGCAAGTTTGGGAAGCAAATCGGTAGCCTTGACAGTATCAGGTAGATAGATGGCTGTCATACCGTGCGCTTGATCGTCTGGGTTGGCGGCAACCTGTTTCAAGCCCAATTCTATTACGGTCTGCTTGATCTTGTCTGAAACCTCCCGGTGTCTAGCAAATCTTTCAGAGAGGGGCTTCGTGAGAATTTGAGATAACGCTGTGTGAAGAGCGTGGATAAGTTGTGGTGACGGGGTTGCAAAGTATGACGGCTTCTTTGCTTCGTAGTTTTGCATGACTGTGGGACAGGTTAGCATACATCGTCACTATTCTTCTTTTCTTCTTCTTCTTGGCTTCAGGGTACTGTCATACTGGGTGTCCAGTTCTTCATCGAAGCGAAGTACGATGCTGGCGGATTCTTTCTCGCCTTGAATGCGTCCATTGCCTTCCCGCTAAACATGGATATAGACAAGCCCGCAGGACAGCCAATGGCCTTCTGGCTTGCTGTTATGACGCCGTCAAGTTTCCACGCATCGAACTCAATCTCTTCGCTGGCCACACTGCAAACGCCATCCACGATGAGCAAGGTATCCGGTGACACACTCTGTACGGTTTCGGAAAGCTTCTGGAGCTCGCTCAACACACCGGTTGATGTATCGACATGGGTGACCGTGACCACCTTGTACTTCTTGCTCTTCAATGCCTTTTCGATCTCGGGTAGCTGGGGTCGGCTACCTACGGGGGCCTTGAGTATGTCGACATTCGCGCCGTAGACCTTGAGGCAGTCGGCAAAGCCATCGCTGAAGTAACCGGAGCTCAGAACCAGAACATCCTCACCCGCCTCGACAAGATTCGCTGCTACTAGATCCCAACCTAGAGTTCCTGACCCAGAGATGACGAATGGCTGCGAAGTCGAAGAGGTGGTCTGGAAGAGCTTGCGTAGCATGGATAAGGCTTCGCCAAAGGTATTAACGAAACCTGGGCCGACATGAGACTCGCTAATTAAGGTATGTTAGAGGTGATTATTATTGTTGTGTGCATATTTTATATGCTATGTGTAAGTAAGTATTACCAACCTATAATGGCTCATGGACTGTAGAACAGCATCATCAAACTCGATGGGGCCCGGGATGAGCAAGGTGGAGTGTTCGGGCTGAGACGACATATTCACGGACGGAGAGGAAGAGAAGCTACGGCGGTGAGTTGCAGTATTGAGAGTATTAGGAGTATGAGAAGTAGCTGATAAGTGTCGTGATATGATAGAAAGCCGGGCTGCGGGGTTGGAGTTAGAGGTTGTGCTGAGTAGACGGTGGGGCATCTCGCCGACCACAGCTCCGGCGACTCTCCGCAGCGTTGAGTAAGCCAGTTTTATGGATTGCTCGAGGGCAGCTGTTCCTCCCTCCAGGCCTAATTAATTAAATAATTAATTAAATTAATAGCGGGCACCTAGGTAATTGGTTGACCGTTGAACTCAAATTGTAGGTAGGCAGGTACAGACGAACAACATTCAAGTTAAAACTTGGCCCAGAGGATTACCCCGGGGTTCTATACTTTTATTAATCCCCTGTTTTCTAGAGGTGAACTGGTTAGACTCCCCCACTATTGGTAACACGCTTGCTGAGTATACCGAAGTCTCCGTATTCGGCTATATTTTAATATATTAAATTTATTCAAGGCTGAATCTAGACTGTAGTACCTATCATATAAAACGAAAACATTGAAAAAGCAGGATTTTTAATCATGTCATGGCACTGCTGTAGCTTGTATACCAACATAGATATGTATGTACTGCAGCTATACTATCGTAGATATTGCTGCGAGGTTATGTAAGTATCCATACTTTGAAGGTACCTAACTAGTAACTACGTAGTTGTGGCGCTGCGCTGCGCTAATAAGTGAATTTTAACATGGAGCTCTAAATTGCGGGGCTGGTAAAGCTCCCGGACCCTGACATGGACATCGGAGTTAAACGTCAGCCTCCAACAACATTGAAGGTACCTGCTGCACATATTATTGGCAAGAGATGATAGCTTGCTCAATACCTGCCTAGTACACATTGGGGTATCAAAATATACTTATATTCTACTGTACATCGAGGCTCAAACAGCAAAGAGCTTATACAATAATACTGGCGAACCTCCGAATTAGACGTATTACACCGCAACGTACATTCCTACCCGATCGCGCATCTCGAATCGCTATCGTCCATAACCGCTCGCCGAAGAAGTAGAACTGCGCAAGGTAGCGCTCTATTCTCAAACAAACGATCGATTGCCAATTGTCGACTGTCGTATACTTATTGACTGATCTACAACCTAATCTAACTCAGCAAACCTCGAAATCTCTAATAACTTCATAACCAAATGGCCTTCCTCATCCTCGTGATCGGGGACCTCCACATCCCCGACCGCGCCCTCGATATACCACAAAAGGTGCGACAACGTCCCTCTCCGCTCCCCCATATCCCCCCCTCCTACCTAAACTGGCGCTCTGCTTACCCTTGTTACCTCTCAAATAGTTTAAGAAACTCCTATCCCCCGGCAAGATCGGGCAGACGCTCTGCCTCGGCAACCTGACGGACAAGCACACGTACGAGTACCTGCGGTCGATCGCGCCGGACCTGAAGATCGTCAAGGGCCGCTTCGACGTCGAGGCCACCTCCCTGCCGCTGTCCCAGGTCGTCACCCACGGCTCCCTGCGCATCGGCTTCATCGAGGGCTTCACCCTCGTCTCCACCGAGCCCGACCTCCTCCTCGCCGAGGCCAACAAGCTCGACGTCGACGTCCTCTGCTGGGGCGGCACCCACCGCTTCGACGCCTTCGAGTACATGGACAAGTTTTTCGTCAACCCCGGGAGCGCCACCGGCGCCTACACCTCCGGCTGGACCCAGGACGGCGAGGACATGGTCCCCAGCTTCTGCTTGATGGATGTGAGTTGCGATCGCCCTGCCCTACAATCCGCCCCCTCCCTTGCGTCACGTTGCGCGTGTATTACCCGAACGAGGGAAGGAGACAAAGGAATCGTCCTTCTCACCACTTACTTACTAACCATCAAAACACCCCAGGTCCAAGGAATATCACTCACACTCTACGTCTACCAACTGAGGAAAGACGACAACGGGGTGGGGAACGTGGCCGTGGAGAAGGTCACTTACACAAAGCCTGTAGCACCCACAGGGGGGTCGTCGTCATAAATAAACAAATAAATTCACCGTAAGAAGAGAATAAGAGACTTAATAATATCTAGAATACCTACCAAACTGGGCCGGTTCATCACCATACACGAAGACGCGTTTGATGTATACCTACCTACCAAACCACTCACTCTCATAAATATAAGAGCTGGCCTCTTCCATGTACTTACCTTGCCTTAATCAACGACTAAAAGGCATCTTTAACATCTTGAAGACAATCTGGTAAATCACAACGCAACGAGAAAAGAAATCACTTTCTCTTTTTCTTTTCTTATGTTAAAAAAAAAAAGGGAGTATCTTAATCTGGTATCCAGGCCACACCGAAAAGTACAGTACGCCGTTGAGTATGATGTAGGTACCCTATGTACAATGCAGAACCGAACGCCCATCTCCCCCCCCCCCCTTTTTACATTAAAAAAGTTCATGACGAAAGAAACATAATAAAAAGTGTGAAGAAAAGGGAGGTTTTCATCATTTGCCCTCAGTCTTTTTCCAGTGATTGATTTATTCAGTCAGTATGCCAGCTTGTTCTCTTGCTTGCTCGTCCACTTCCTTTCTGATCCACCTGTTCGCCCGTCTCCATGCCTTCCTACCTGCTTCAATGCAGGCAGAATAGAAACATAAAGAAAAGAAAATCCCCTTATGCTCCTGAAGAAAATGATCGTGTGAATTCATTACCACCATGACCACGGAATGGTCTAGTGCGTTGCTCTTGGTCTCGGGTTTGCTTTTACTCGGCTCCACCCCCTCCTCATATCATCATGCTCCTACGTCTCGTCGCAGTCCGGTCTCGGGCCGCAGCGTCCGCTTCCGCAGACGAGGAGCTACCGAGGCTGTCCCCCTCCATAGAGTTATCATGTGCTGTGCTTTCCAAGTCCAATTTGGATTCCCTCGACGCTGTCATCGTAACTCTTCTCGTAGGCCGACTCTTCTCATGATGTTGCTGCCGCTGCGGCTGGTATTCAGGGTCCATATCCAAGTCCTCACGAACCATTGAGGACAGTCGTCTCGATCTCGATTTCCGGGCTCCTCGGATGTCACTCTTTTTTAAAATCTCATCGGCGTCCGGTGGGTGGCCGTTCTTCGAATCGTCTATCGGGGACGAGTGCGGCATGTCGTAAATATCCGATTCATTGTGGAATATCTTAGCCACCTCAGCCTCTCGCGCCGCAACCTCGTCTACGCGACGACCGGATGTTCGGCCAGAGCTCGATTTTAAAGCACCCCCGCTAGATGAAGATGAGGACTCAGCATCGGCTGCTCCTAATGTAGTTGTCATCGCAGAATTTCGCTTCCTTCGATCCATCACTACAGTGGTAGGTAGGTCATCCGAAGGGGAGGATCTCGGGTTCTTCCTGGCCAGGGGACTAGCCATGGCATCTGGAGTCGCCTTTGAAGCGCTCGCGACCGCGGGAAGTTCCTTCCATGACATTGGCTTCTCTTCAGATTTGATCGCGGATGATGGGGCAGAGGAGAACTCGTCTTTTTTCGAGTGGCTTGTTCGTCGGATTTGTTTGCCCTCCCCTGACACGGCGTCGAGTAGCTGTTTCGAGGGTCGGCGCATCTTGTCTCGGAGGTTCGGCTCGGCATAACTAACGGCAGCCCTAGCTCGACGACTGCCTCGCGATGTCTCTCTGGACGAGATATCTGCAGGAGGTGGAGTGTCTCTAACATCATCCCTCTGCATTGATTCCGGAGTCTCGGGTACAGCCAAGTTCGGTTCCGTGGTGGGTGTCTCAGTCTCAATGTCCACGTTCGCGACCGGTACTGGCTGTGGGGATTTCGGAACAGGTATCTCGATGGGCGGAGGATTCTTCTTTGCTCTGGGCTCCTCCTTCGCGGCTTCGTCTAACATGGGAGGCTTTGCGGCCTTCTTTGGAGACTTCAAAAACTCGTTGGAGCTCTTCGCACTTAGAGGTTTCCTCGGTGCTGTTGAGACGCCAGTCTTTTCCTTGATATCTTTTCGGTTTGCAGGGAGCTTGATCGGTCTATTGCTGATGGGTCGAGCTTTGAGGCTTGCGGTCTTCTCCGGTTGGTTCTTTGCAACCGAGGTAGTTTGAACAGGTTGCTTCGACACCACTTCATTCTCCTTCTCATCTTCCTCTCTCGATTTCCTCTTCAAGCCGGCCTTAACAGATTGATTAGGAGATGAAGGTTCAGTTGTGTCTCTTGTTCTTGCTTCATGCGAGTCATTCATAACCTTGGCAAAATCAATAGATTGTTCATTATTCTTTTCGTCCACTTTGGGGGCCGCGGGTGGCTCGCGTTTGGTCTGAGGTTCAGATGATGTCTTCTCAAGGGACGCGTAATCCGACTTCTTTGGCACAAGTCTTGCAGGTAGATCAATTTTAACCGGATCTTCATCCACGAAACTTGATAATACGGGCGGAGGTCCAAGGTCTGGAGAGTCGGTATCGTCGACGATAGAGCGCAACGCCATGATTTCATCCCGACTAAGTAAACCAATTAGCATGTCCTTCTTAGAACGGCTTTCGGGAAGGTGGCTTACCCTAGTGTCTCACGAGGACATGGTTTGTTTTCCCAGATGGGTGGCAATCTGCCTTCTTGAGCCGCAGCAGCCTCCAAGTCCTGCATAGAGCTCATTGTATCCCTTCGCTTCCATTCTGACATACTCGTGCGACCAATACTTGATCTGTGTTTTGCCTTCTTTGCTGATCTAGGTGATCGGCTCTTGGGTGTCGGCTCATGTCCTAGTCCGGCAAGCATAGCGCCCCATTCGGCAAGTTGCGCCTCCATTTTCTCCTTAATATCGAGGGCATGGTCGGCGATTCTCTGTGCTTTATTATCTTCTAACTCAGTTTGGAGTCGTAGTATTTGTCCGCGGAGGTCGAGATTCTCGGATAGTAGGCGAACACATTCATTCTCTAAACTACGAATTTTCAATGATTGGGTTGAATTTACGCGTGCGATGTCTCGATTCTGACGTAGAAACTTTCGGCGTACTGCAACAGTTATATCAGCTTTGTATGTTTATGGTTATGGTTATTATTATGATTATAATTATGGTGATGGTGATGAGGGGTGCTGAGTAGATGAGAGAATATGAGAAAATGTGACAGAAAACATACGCGTTTCTAGGCTGTCTGTTGACACCATTGGCTCGTTGAGTCGTGCCATTGTAGAAAATTCATGAGGTGGATATTTTTGAATAATTATCGCAATGTGACAGCTTGTTGATCATGTATGTATGGGATCTCGTAAGCGTGGAATGGGTTATCAAGGCAATTCCTTGAATAACCACAGCATACAAAATAATAGTGGTGTTTGATTAAATGCGGTGAAGAGATTCAAAAGTTTTGAACTGCGAAATGAGTTGGCAAGGTTAAAAGTTTGGGCCCATAAAAAAAGGGAGGATATCAACAAACTTCCGGATATGGTATAGTCTGTAGAGCTATGACCTACATATGCACTACATATGTATGTAGTACGGGATTTCTACGGTGATTCTAGTACTATGAGCCCGTTGCGCTGGCACCCACATGTGACTACACTAGACACGCTAAAAACATTTAAACGCTAACACGGCTAACACGTGGAAACTTACCTAGGTATTCATGCATATATCCGATAAAACTTGACATTTATCAGGCACTTAGACATTACATACACATATGTATGCAGTACTATGCACAAATGAGTCGTTAACTTTAAACAACGCTTCATTCTACGAACCTATCATTTCATGTTACCAACTATAGACATCTATTAATATCCATGATCACTATTAGTGGACTTGATTAATGCGACTCGCCAATTGCCTCGACATCACAGGCTTCTGTTAAACACACAGTACGAAGTAGTCAGTCTTGAGTTTCTCGACTTACGAATTACATAGTGCCAAAAGGCAGTCCACAAGACAGAGCACTCCAACAACGGTTCAGCCTATCTAGCCTTTATTCAACTATCCCTGACGTCAACAGACTCACAAATTCACAATGGCATTCCCCTCACGGACACTCCCTAGCCATATGCGCCAAGGTTCTACCTCAAGCAACCCTGGCGCTCCGTCTAGTGGACAGCCTTCCGCACTCCTAGCCAGAGTTAACGAGAAGAAGGCGGAGCTGGAGAATTTGAAGGAGCTACGAGAACTGAGCGCGGCTATGGCGAATCAGATGGAAGCCTTGGAGCAGAAACTGGCTACTCTATCCGATGGAACAGAAGGTGCGAGTAACTGAATAGACCTTTCAGTCATGCAACTGACTCAAATTTGATAGCAATTGCAACGGTGTTAGGTAACTGGCACAACGTTTTACGTGTCATTAACATGGCATCAGGTACGCCTATATTCAGATGTAAAGATCTAGGATGATCTTGCAGTACTGACTTCCTCTACAGCCAAAATACCTACCCCATCAAATCCACCAACTGCAGACGAGTCTGAACCAGAAGCCCAAGAGGAGGAAACATTACCTCTACCACAAACTCTAGTCCGAATACCGACGGACCATGCACCAGCCTTACAGGCTCAGGCCGAGGCTGTCATGGAAAATGAGGCCAACTCATCCTTGACACCCTGAGTAGGTATCTTTGTTGCAGGTGATAAGAAGGGATCTCAAAGAAAGCAATTACGTAGTGATGCTTACTTGCCGCCTCATCATTGACTTTATGATGTTTATGGACAATTATGTCGCATATACTTTCCAGTCGATATACATATGTATGAGTCGTAACCACTAATACATAACTACTCTTATGTACAAGTCTGAAATGGAGGAAGATGTCTGTGCTGCATTTCCTGCAAGGATATCTCGATTTAAAGAAAAAAGTGAAGTGGGGGAAAGATCGCGTCTATCTACGTCAGCTAGGCTCAGGGATCTTTTTCCCATAGCAACAGCTTAGTAAGAAACGCGATCAATCAGACGCGAAAGAAAAGACGGTTCATTGAGCTAAACTCACAATCAATTGTCGACTATCAAGTACAATCTATTGTGTACCCAGTAGACTACCAGTATGTAGTGCTTGCCTAATTAGTACTATGTACATGAACATCATCTATTAGACTATTAGACAGTTTAGACTACCTACCTAGGTACCTAGTAGTATTACATGTATCAGATGTACGATAAGTCGCATTACGCCATGGAGTAATAATAAAATAAAAACTTCCTTCGGCGAGACTTCCGAAACATGAAAAAAGGAAAAAGGAAAAGGAAAATCGGCCAAAAGGGTAGGTAATAGTAAGTAAGTGCTACTCATATAAAGTCACACTCATGCAAGCCGAATCACGTACATGTAGGTTACTATACCTAGTACCTACCTACCTACCTACCCGGGTACCTACATTATTGCCTCAATACTAGGTACATTATCTTATTTTATTTCAATAAGTTATCCCTTACGCAACTTTGTTCAACAATACTCTTCCATCGTAACATAATAAATACTAGTCAGGGCTGTTCTCTCTTTTTCTTTCAAGGACAGGATATCAAGACATTCAATTCAATAATTCAGTAACAAACCCCGCTACTACTTTTTGATAGACGCTACACTTTATGATCATCAACTTCCCCGTGCTTCACAGTTCACTCTCTGGCCCGGGATTCGTTAATAACTGGCCTGTGCCTAGCTGTGCCTAGCTAAGTAATAACGTTACATAGCAATAACTCATCAAACCCTTGCGTTAACTTGCGTTAACTTACAAGCATTGACCCCTGAGCCCTGCGACCCCAGCTGCCTCACTTTTGGTTCCCGTATATTACTGGTCAATTGTATCCAATCCAAGTTCAGGAAAAATGGCTCCTATCCCATCTCGAATTCCATCTCGATTATTCCCTTCTGAGATCTTTAGCGATACAAGTTCTTGCTCTTGCGAAGACGATAGTATTTCTCACGATAACTTGAATAATCTCGATTCAGTCTCCTCTACACTTCGTAGCCTTTCTATTCCTCAACTACTCAATCGTCAATCAACAGATCAACCCACTAGATGCACCGAAGATTCCTTGACTACTCGTCTAGATTCATTGACTGCTCGTCTGAGTAACCTCTGCATAGACAACACTACACCTCGTGGATCCAACTCGAATGATAACCCCAAAAACCAGACTCGACGCCGCTTGACAAGACCAGCAATCACGCCCAGCACCTTCGAAACACTTGAAACCGTTCTCGAGGACGAGATACAATGCGCTTCTAAACTTGCACCAAAGATCGTTTCGAACGAAATCGAGGTACAAGGTGTCTTCCAACTTCCAACCCCAGGTACGGGCCGCTAAAGGAAAAAAAACGAGCATCCATGTACCTTATGTGTTGCACTTAATTCTGGTATACTAATTTTATGCTTCTAATAGGAGAGAAATTCGCAGATCACCCTTTAGTTGCAATCGCCCGTAAAGGTGTAGGCTCAGCTCAAGAGCAGCTCGCAAAGCACCGTAGCGGTTGGTTTGAAGGCATACTTTCTACTAAGGTGCCCATTGAGTCCCCCACTTCGGAGTCCAACGTCGCTTCAGAGTTCACGGACCTGCATTGTGGCTTCAACCTCTTGCCCATTCAAGATAGCGCCGAGTCTCAAAATCCGGATAAGGCTCCCAACCCGATCAGTTTCACAATCTTATTAACACCTTTAGCTCCGGGCGAAGAGTTGTTAGTAGATACCGAAGAGGATACAGACGAAGAAAATATGGCTCTTGCAGAACCAGCGAAGGGACTAGAGGTGTCATCAGCAGCATCTGCTCAGCCTACCTCAACACCGGTTAGTCCAGCGAGCGAAAGGGGAATGCATCTAAAGTTAGATACTACTCCCTCGAGACAATCTGCAAAACCTATCGCTAGAATCGAAGATTCCGTTCAAGCGCTTGATGAACTTGAAGACCAGCTAGAAGCTTTTGACGAGGCCGCTCTTTTCAGAAGAATTATTTCCCCCGATGCCGGTGATGTAAGAAGCAAATCGATAACCCATTCATTATCTGTGGCGACCGCTGGAGTTAAGCGAGCTACGACGCCACAGCCAAAGCGAAGCACTCCATCTAGGGCCGATTCTGCTTTTCTAAGTATCCAGTCATCCAGTGAGCCACGTCGTACTATACGTAAATCAGCGTCTATGATCTTCCTCGACCCTCCAAAGCTAGGGACCGAGGGCAAGCTCGTAAATCAGGGGCCAGCAAGAAAGCTCCCCAGCAAGGGTATAGCAAGTCTAAATCCGCCAAAGCAGCAACCCAAATCAGTCAAAAAACTGACTGTTCCGACTTTTGAACTGCCTGGGGATGAGGTCGCTCGGAAACTGAAAGAGAAGCGCGAGGCACGTGTCTCGACGCAGATCGCCGCCGAACAAGCGATAAAGCCGACTGTATCAAGCCTCCGACGCGCCAAGTCAGCAAGACCCCCAACACGACCGAATTTCGAGTTACCGGGCGAGGCTATCTCCCGTCGTAAGCGCGAGGAACGTGAAGCGCAGCTGAAGGCTCAAGAGGAAGAAGAGAAGAAGAGGCGAGAGTTTAAGGCAAGGCCTATTCGTTCTAGTGCGCTGCCTAGTACTTTCCCTCGTGAGACGATCGCGAGTCGAGCACGGCAGAACAAAAAGCAGTTGGTAGAGAACTCGCTTTATCAGGCCCCGCTAAGCCCAAACAAACCTCCATCTACCGCTTCTTCTACCAACTCAGCATCACGCTCCCCTTTGTCGAAGGCCAACAACCAATCTCAACCACGTGGTCGCGGACTCCACCCTGAGCCCTTTGGAATGCAATCGAGTAGAGCTACCTCGAGCTCAACAGTGGGGAGCATGAGCGGCCAGCGAAGCCCGGTGTCGACGGAAGAAGTACAACAACAGCGACTCCGCGGCCAGGAGATATACAAGCGAGACAATTCGTGGAGTGGCGACCGTGAACGTGAGAAACGTGAGCGTGAAGCCCTGGCTAAGCTCGCAAGAGAAGAGGCTGCCGAACGATCCCGGCAGAGGGGTCGTGAGTGGGCGGCTAAGCAAGCAAAGAAGAGAATGACGGTTGCCTCGTATCATGATATCATGGCGTAATCACTTGCTCGCTCACTCGCGAGGGTAGGAAACCTCGTCATTTAAGCTATGATTGTGCTTCGGGTTGGGTTGGAGTTGTCAGTGTGGTGGCTGGCGTTGTATTATTCTATGCATTTGCATAGGTACTATATTTTGTATTGGGGTGGTGAACAGGGTAGCGCCGAGTCTGGCGTTTTACAGGAAAAGGTCTATATACCCTTTGTGTCATGGGTGCTACGCATCATCCCCTTCTCCCCCTTTTTCTTGCTTCTGTCTTTTCTTGTTTCTTGCTTTTTGTTTTTTGTTTTTTGTTTTTGTTTTGTTTTTTTATGTTGTTTTACGGATTCATTTTCCATTCGATAGGGCATTACCCGGGCACTTACTACTTACCAAACATAGTCGTCTTTCTTGTTTTTCTTCTTGACTTTGCAATTGGGCCCTCATTCTGTTAGTTGTTGGTTTGTTTGTATTATTCGTTGTACAACACGATAACTTCGATAACTAGGTACTCTTATAGTATTGATTCAAGGGGAATATAACCCCTTTTTTGCTAAAAAAAAAAAAGGGAAATATTAGAAATGAAGTCTATCAAAATAATATTTGGATAGAGATTGGTGAAATGATGAGATTTATTATAGGGTTATTCATCAATGTCTATATTAGCCACTTGCGTGTCTATTTACTGATATGTATTACCTAGTACTTACGGAGTACCTACCTAGGTACCTACTCCTGGATATACTCGACCTTAACACAAAGATCGGCCGTTGTCGAGCGGTATTCGGGGTGTCGGCCCTTGCTACAGCTTCGTAGAGCTATGGTGCTAGGCTAATGCACGGAGTTGATCTAATATCGAGCGGTCATTTCCGAGTCATACACATAGTAAGCGGTACATATTAAGTAATAACTATGCACTAGATTTATGCTGGTACCTGGTATGCATCTCCCCCCAAAATACACATATTGACCTACCTACTTAGCCACGAAAGATGGGCAAGCTAACCATCATCAAACACGTCCGCGTCTTCGACGGTGAGACGGTCAGCGGGCCCAAGACGGCCGTTATCGACGGATCACGCATCGGCGATGATTCGCTGGCAGACGACCCGGATCCGTCGGCCGTCACCGTCATAGACGGCACCGGGTGCACGTTGCTGCCGGGCCTCATCGACTGCCACGTCCACATCCGCGATGCCGCGCAGCTGGCTTCGTGTGCCTCGTTCGGGGTCACGACTGTTCTTGATATGGGGTGAGTACCTACGCAGTCTTGTGATTGTGAATTTAGAAATGTGAATGGGGGTCTGAGGGAGGGAAAGAAGTGGAAAAGAGCAATGTCTCTCATCATCAACTACTTATTATAGTATAGGTGCATACCACCGGAAAAGTCGGTTGAGCTTCGCGCAGCAAGGGGCCCGACGACTTGGTTGGGTGTGAATCTCCCAGCATACGAGGTTAGTACTACTGTGCCTACCTAGGTTACACACGAACCAAGCCCGGAGAGGCGGTAATTCATAGGTTAGGTAATTATGGAAAAAGCATAGCGTTCGGGGTTTGAGATCATGCTGTGCCCTGCATGTCATGTTTGTCCTACATGCCACATTCGAATACGCGAGACAGCTGCATACCTACCTACTATGATGGTACAATATGACACGAGGCGCTAACCCTTCGATGTGAAACATACATATTTATAGGAGAACTCCAGGCACGGCAAGCTATTCAAGCTATTTGGCGGCGTCACGCCAGATCACGCGGTCCACAACACAGACGAAGCGGCAAAGTTCGTGCAGGACCGAGTGGACGAAGGCGTGGATTACATCAAGATCATCGCGGACGTCCCAGGTCACGAGCAAGCTGTCTTAGACAGGATCCAGGCCGAGGCTGAGAAACACGGGAAGCTGACAGTCGCCCATACCGCGCAGTATGCGGCGTTCGAGCGCAGCCTGCGGGCAGGGTTCGACGTCTTGACGCACGTGCCGATGGACAAGGCCGTCGACGAGACGATCACAGAGAGGATGCGGGAGCAGAAGACCGTCGCGGTGCCGACGCTGTCGATGATGGAAGGCATGACCAACAGCTGGGTCCTGTGGGGGATCAGCTGGCTGACGCTGTCGGCCGAGCGCAACCGCAGCTTCGAGGCGGCGCTGCAGAGCGTGGCGGGGATGCGCGAGGCGGGCGTCCCCATCCTCGCGGGCACGGACGCGAACAACAGCGGGATCATGACGATCGCGGCCGGAAAATCGTTGCACCACGAGCTGGAGCTGCTGGTGCGCGCCGGGTCAACCGCGTTGGAGGCGCTGCGGGCAGCCACCTCCTTGGCGGCGCATCATTTCAGCCTGCAGGACCGGGGTCGCGTGGCGCCTGGTTGGCGAGCCGATCTGGTTCTCGTCGGCGGTAAGCCGGACGAGGATATCACGGTCACACAGCAGATATTAAGGGTTTGGAGCGCTGGCGAAGAGGTTCCGGTAACTGCGGTAACACGGGAAACAGGCTGTGCGGTGATGTGAGGATTTACATTTGAGGTACTCTACCCTAGGTTAGGTAGGTACTATAACTATGTACTAATAGACTAGGTAGTAGGTAGGCTACTACTATGTAACTAGTTACATGTATGTATTATGTACGTGGCCGTATTACCACGTATTAAATTCAATGTTGTACAAAGTTAATTGCCCACATAGGGTAGGTAGCAATTTCTGCAAGGGTCAGGACTGGGTTGCTTCAAATGTTCTTGCTCACTTTTCATTTTGGATGTTCAATGCTGTGCAATGGAGTAAATGGAGAGTTCCCCATTGGTTAGATCTACCAAGAGAAAAAGCTTGATCTTACTTAACCCCTGATCCTAAATGGGGTGTTAGGGATATGGGTATGGTATGATCTAGACCTTGCTTGCCCGCGGTCATGGAACCTTTTTGCCAAGTGATTCGATAAGCGGGGTCCAACCAGAATCCAGGGTTCAGGTCAATCCCGTATTGATACTCAGGTACCTGCCCTAGGTTAGCTGCTACTATCTATTAGCTGCCCACGTCTGGTGCTAGGACCTACCAGGTAGTCCACTGTAGGTATCACCAATGTGCGGGCTTCAAGTTTCTGGTTCTGGTTTGATCGACAACGATGATTAATTATAATCGTGGGTTCCTCAATTCGAGCTTTCAAATGAGTAACGCAGGCTATGTAATCCATATGTCAAAGATGTTGGTTGATTACTTACCTACCTATATTTGCGAATCCGAAGCCGAAGGAAGAAGATCTTCTACACTTATGCAGCTTATGTCATCTTCAGCCCAAGACTGTAATTTGGGGTCTTGTTGGTAATACTAGTGTATGTATGTACAGAATCAATAAAGGCTAGCCATCAAGCTCGGGGAATGCTTCCTTTTTGGTTTAGAATGCTTTTGTTGAATTCAACTGGCTATTATAAAATTATATCACAGTTCTAAAAGATGATGCCATTCATGAACTTTAGCATAAAGGGAAAAGCTTCTTTACACTCTTGGTTTGATGGCCCTATTATGGAACAAGAAAGGCCTAGTGGCTTTTTCATATCTGGTTTTAATCAGGCACAATGCAGTTCTGTGTACTTGGGCTGTACAAATTAGACAAATATTGCTGGTACCTTTCTAGGGTATTGTAGCAGAATGTTAGAGACAAGACCCTGAAGTAAGAGAAAATAACTCAGTACCTAGTAGGTATCCTACAAGTACCTCTACCCCAAACACGTGCATGCCTAGGTATATATAGTATGTAGAATAAAGGCAAGTGCTACATCTACTGCGACATAAAAACCTGTCCCATACGGCCATACCAGTCAAAGTCCAGGCAGGTCCAGACCCTTGACAGAACAAACATCAAAGATGATGCCTGCCACCAGCAAAGGTCAGACCTACATATGTATGTAGTAGGATCAAATAATCCATTTCATGTAAATAGCTGGCTCAGGCCTGTGCGGGGCACTGCCTGTAACATTGAAGTTTATCACAATACAATACAATACCATACAATACAATACCTCTAACAATACCATACCATACCTACCTAGTATATACTAGGCACTTACATGTTCCATATTCCATATTCCCATATTCCCGTTACCCATATCCCATTTTCTATCACTTTCATATTCACCGCCATGAATCATAGACCCTTATTAGACCCTTAGAAACCCACATTCACTTCCACAGACAGATACGCCCTGTTTACAATTAGGTAGCCAAGGTCTTGTAGGGCTACTTAACTACTATTATTATCTGCTAAGCTTTCCACATCCCTGACTCACCCGAGAATCCATTGTGCGTTATTGCTTTATTGCTCCGCCTCGTTCGTTATTCGGTAACTTTTGCTGCGCTTACACGGCTCGGCGCTATCTTTGTACAATACATTGCTGTACATTGTACTATACCAGGTACCTATTGCTGGCAATTACCTTAATACCTGCAGGTCGCGACGGGAATCCAGCTTGAAGAACGACGCAAATCCGAGAAACCCTTACTTATTATTATAAACTTTACTCCAACACACACGACAGATTCAAATACGAACATGCCTTTATTCTCACGATAGTACTACATATCTTAAACCCAGGTTTTCCGTTTCTTCCGCGCCTCCCTTCGAGAAACGCCCGTGGGATTTCCATGGCCTAAACTAACCATGGAATCACTTTCATCATCAAGCGACGACAGTGATAGCACCAAGGCACTGACTTCCCAGGATAATAAGAAGAAGTCCTCCAAGATACCGCTCTGGCTGCAGACGCAGGCTTATAAAATCCGACACAGTCGAACTCGCCAATGTCTAATCGCGTTCTTCTTTACCATCATCATCGTACTTTTGGCAGTTTTGGTATGGCTTGATACCAGTGGCCGCTTACATGAAGTATTCAAGGTATGTATTATACAAAATCCACGTGGCTTGGCACGCGCATGCAATTCTGGTTGTCTTTGTCAATCATCTTTCTTGGCATCCTTAATTGATTTACATAAGTAACTAACTAATCACGCAATGCGACAGAAAACAACCCCTCTACAGCTAACTCAGGGGTCCTATCTTGGCGAAGTCGTACCACAGAGCGCCAAATACCCACGCAGCGTGGAAGCATTTCGCGGAATACCATATGCACAATCGACATCTGGTGAAAACCGCTTTAGACCCCCTCAATTGTTGAATGGAACAGGAAGTCGCAACAATGTTCAACGTGCTCTTAGTTTCGGACATAGGTGTCCACAAAATGGAGGCGGCAGCGACCAAGGCGAAGATTGTCTGAACTTGAATATCTACAGGCCTCATTTTGGTGATGATCCAGACACTGCGACCGTCGAAATGAACAAGCAAGGTGTCAATGGCACGAAACTACCTGTCGTTATTTATGTTCACGGCGGCGCATTCAATGGTGGGAGTGGTTCGGAAAGAAACATGCTGAGTTTTGTTGCATGGTCAGAGACACCTCTCATTGGAATGAGTTTCAACTACCGTCTTGGAGCTTTGGGGTTTCTGCCAAGTGGAATAACCGCGAAGGAAGGCTTGCTCAACTTGGGGCTCAAAGATCAGCAGGCCTTTTTCCAATGGGTGCAGAACAATGTAGCCGATTTTGGCGGAGATCCCAACAATGTCACGGTGATGGGTGTAAGCGCTGGCTCTCATTCGGTAAGTTCCCGTGCCTTTGTGAATGGAGTTTAGAGATCTATGACTAACCATCCCTCAAGATCGGACATCACTTGATATCGTACTCTCCTGCGAACAAGTTGAGTTCTGGACCTCCCCCTTTTCAGAAAGCGATCCTCGAATCCGGTGGATCGTTAGCTCGTGCTACCTTCGTCCCTACCCATCCACTCCATGAGAAGCAGTTTCGAGATTTCTTAGACCTGTGTGGACTTAGCAACACAACTGATGACAAAATATTCGAAGAGCTTCGGGCTTTACCCTTGAGCACTATTGCCACTGCGTCTAGTACGGTATTCGGGCGCTATAATCCGAGTTTACGCTGGCCCTTTCAACCTGTCATTGATGGCCCTGGGGGTATAATACCAGACCTACCCATTATTTCTTGGCAAAAAGGAAATGTTTTGCGTATTCCAATCTTGACGGGCTCTAACACGAACGAGGGTGCCATATTTGTTCCATCACGAGCCAATACTTCGTCGGCAATGGATAATCTCATGTCTGCGATCCTTCCGGCTCTAAACAAAACCGAATTAGACACTCTAGACACTTTGTACCCTAACCCCACCACAGCCACTGGACAGAGGTTGTACGTTACTCAACCACCTAATGGGTTTGGGTCCCAGTTTTGGAGGCTTGACGACGCCTACGGACACTATGCATATATCTGCCCCGTGCTTCAGGCAGCGCATTTGGCTTCCACTGCAGAGAACGCTAGTCCCGTCTACGCATATCATTACGCCGCCCGATCCAATGGTCATGGTAGTGCAGACCATGGTGACGAGGCCCCCATTGTGACACATGACATGGATGTCATTGGCCAATATCCGGGTGTCGTCAAGATGGCAGACGCGATGAATGGTTATTGGAGCCGGTTCGCCGTTACAGGTGATCCGAATTCAGGGGCGCGCAGTAATGATACGAATAGTGTGGTGTGGCCGAAATTCGTCAGCCCATTTCTCAACAATACCGCTGCTACCAAAGACGCAAAGACAGTGATGACCTTTGGTCAGGGCAACGATGAACGGATGGGGGTGCGCGGACGTCAAAACCAGGGCATCGCGGCGCAACTGGGCAACGTGACTGAACGAACACAAGACGAATGCCACTTCTGGTGGGATAACGTACTCTTCAGTGAGGGGTTCGGAACTGGCACCACGAGTTTGACGAGTAATCAGACCACCAAAGCAAGTTCATAGTTGCTTGGTGGGAAAAGGGGGAGGAAGGAGTCGAGATACGATGAGCATTATCATCGAAGTTACAAAGGGGTTTTGAAAACCAAAGGGAAATATTGCACAAAATGTTTGATACCCTATTTGCTTTTGTACCGAATATGGATTGGCGCACTGCATATACTAGGATAGCATGAGGCATGAGGCATGAAGCATGGCGTTTCGGTCAGGAAAGAGGGGAGTTGTGTTTTGTAATGTAATTATAGCACGTACCGCTGGGTAGCATATGTGTCTTGGAAGGCCTGTATGTACAATATGTGTGTATCATACCTAGGAACCTAGGTTACGTACACACTTGATAGGCAAATCAATGTCCCAACTGGATCATTTATTGTCTTGTAATTCGTATTAGTCTTTGGCTTTTGGTGGTGACTTTTCTTCTCTCCTTGGAGTTATCTGCTCGTTGATGAGATAGGATGGATTCCCACCCCCTTTTTTCTTCCCGTGCCGTGGTGACAAAATACTGAATAAGTACGTTAATAGGTAGGCTGGTAGTCAGCTAGCTAGGTTGGAGTTCTATAACATTGAAGTCTTTAATATTCTTACTTGGTACTTGGTAGTTGGTAGTGACTTATATACACATATACTAGGTGCTAAGGTCGCAGTTCTACCACGGGCACAATACCTACCTACATAGGCAAATGGAGGTACATACATACATATGTCTGATTGGCTCGGGGTGCTTGGGGTTTCCGCGTGGAATCTTCAACCTACACTACCTTACGCTATGTATGTACCTATCGGCGAAATTCCTGGCTGGCTGGCTGGCTGGAGTTGCATTTCCTACCCTCCATGTGGTAGATACCTACCTATGATAGACAGAGGCCACAGCAATAGGTATGTTGACATTGCAATGTGCTTTATACATACCTACCTACCTACCTGTCTTACTATCATTCCTTTCTCTACACCGCTGCCTTTGCTTGCTTTCCACCTTTACTTTTCCACACCTAGTTAAAAGGAAGGAGAAAACAACTACCTAACTACCCACCTGGACATGCAAGCAAGACATGCTGATCTACATACCTAACCCTCACCCTCACCCTCGGCCTCGGCGTACCTACAGTACTCGTCAAGGACATAGTTATGTCTGAGGCGGGGGAGTAAAACTCTGTTACTACATACATACATACATAGTACTAACCTACTAACCTACTAGATTAAGTACCTCGGCTACATTGTATGAAGAACCTTGGAAGTTAGAGCGGCCTATGGTATAACTACTTAGACACTTCATGCTGCCTAAAGTACTAAACTAGGTGCTAGTACCTAGTAGTATGTAGGTCACTATAATGAACGGCTTCGTTGAGCCCGGGTAGCTAGACGGGGGCAGATGTTGAGTATGGGAGGCCAAACGTGATAAAACGACGGTTATCAAATAGTTAATGTTTACGTAAAGTATTACCCCCTCACGTGTGAGAACATGATACGGAACTAGGATAGGATAGGATTGTGCTCATTTATTGAAATTCATGCGCACGACGGGTTGGATCTGAGCTCGATGCCAGCCAGATAATGCCAGATAATGCCAGATAATGCCAGATAATGCCAGATAATGCCAGTCGAATATTTGGGTAAATCTAAGCTACTGGGCTGCTATGTATATGTTCCATTTGCATTCCATTCATGCTCGGAACATGTTTTTCCTAGGACCTAGTGCGAAAAAGCAACAGCGTGTATGATCATAAGAACGAGCCAGCTAAACACCGAGATAGGGAGAGAGAGTGATGATGATTGATGTTGTTGATGGCGGCGGTGCGAGTTTGGAGTTTGACAGGCAACTTGGCTTAGATCCAGTTGGAGTCCTGTATCCAACGAGTGGATGGTGAAGAGGGAAGTAATAGGCGACGAATTGATTTAGTCCTCATCCATCTTGTCTCCGTCATCCTCTGCCGCCTCCTCGACCGCGGGCTCGTAGTCGTCCTCATCCTCATCATCGTCATCTTCGGCCGGGTTTTCCTCTGCAGCCTTAGCCCAGTCGATGACACGGCCTCGGGTTCGTCGACCACCATCGACGATGTTGCCAAGATCGATCTCATCCATGTTGTCCTCGGCATCTTCGTCACCTGCGTAGAAGGGCATGTTAGTATTTGGGTCATAGTGGGACCATCACTCGTTATGGGAGGGGAAAAAAAGGCTTACCAGCTTCGACCTAGAGAAGTTATTGTTAGCTTAAGTAAAATGAAATAAAAGATTGGGAAAATAGTAACAACGTACCTCTTCCTCCTCGTCATCATCATCGTCGTCCTCGTCCATAGCGGTGTCGACGGGTTGCTCAGCTGTAGCAGCCTTGCCTTTGCCCTTAGCCTGAACGTCTTCGGCCCCGGTGGCGGAAGCCTTTCCGGGGATGGCGGCGCCGTTCTCAGTCATTTTGTGTTGTGAATTTTGGTGATTGGAACTGGGTTATAAGAGTTGTGTGTTAGGGTGTGTAGCAGTTGGAGATATTGGAAGAGGGAGAATGGAACGCTTTGCGATTGATCAATGGTTGAAATGGGAAATCGCAAGATTGGCGCAATTGGCTGCTGGAGTTGAAAGTCGTAAAAAGGTGGAAAGGTTCAAGTACTTCTGTGACTTTTTGCGCGCTGGAAAAAAAAAAACAGGTACCACTGCCAACTTACCACTTGCTGCCACTGGTGCTTGCACTTGTGTGTGTTTATTGGTTGGCTGCAAGCTGCAGCTTCCGTCTCCAGCAAAAAGCGAGGGGGCTAGTCTATTATGGGTATGGCTTGCAAATTCTGCCTGTTCAATTGATTGACCGCCTTTTGAAAGAAGGGAAACTGGAAAGCTAACAGGGAAAGAGGAACAAATTACCATACACAGTAGCATCGGCTGCCTTTTTCGCCGACCTGCGTGGCATCTGCGTGGCGTGGGCACTGGGCACTAGGTACAAAATAGCACTAGACATGCACCAACATTGAACCAGTATGCAGTTTGATAATGCCTAGGTGTTATTTTTGTATTGTAATTTGAGCACTCGAAACTGTGCTTTGTAACACTTTAATATTGAGACTTGGGAATAGACACTGGGACTCACAAATCTATTATTTAATACAACATACGTAGGTACAACTTGTAGTTATGTAGGATTATAAAAACTTTCTGGGATATCCATGAGATTAGGTACTACGAAGTATACAGCAGACCAGAAATCCAGAGAGCACCACTAGGTAGTCACAAGTAGAGAAAGCACAGAAATAGTTATAAGGAATAGAAACAACATCAAAGTGTATTTCTAATACTCGCTTCAGCAAGCATAAAGCAGTAGTCTATTATTTGGCCGGCTCCCCACCTCCTCCGCTCATCGTTAGCATGACGACTATCCCTATCAACCACCAGTATCTGCAGAGGACAGTTAGCAAACTCAAACAAGCACCGCCAATAATGCCGGTACGATAACCAAGGCGCGACGACAACGACAATAGGAGTGGGTTTTGCAAGCACATACTTCTGAATAAACGACTTCTCCTCCGGCTCCGCCTTCTTTCCCTCCGGCGACAGCACGACCGGCCTGTTCAGCTCAGGCTGCTTCCCCGGCGCCGCGCCCAACACCAGCACCTGCGGGCCAAAATCCCTCGTCTGTCCCGCATCGATCCGCACCCCCCGCAGCGCCGCGCCAAACACCTCGCCCTTGCCGTCCACCGACAGCATCAGCGTGGGCGAGTACCCTTTGCCGAAGTTGTCCACCGACGCCACCGACGTCGACGACACCCACCGCTTCGCCGACGGGTCGTACACGCCCACGCGCACCAGCCGCGCGTCCGCGGGTATCTCGGGCGCTTCGTACGAGAGGATTTCTGCGTCGGACGCGGCCATCACGGGGTTGTACTGGATCTCGGCGAGCAGCGAGGGCGCGGTGGGCGAGGGCGACACGGGCTGGATGTATATGGCGGCGGTTCGGTCGGCGGCCTTGGCTACGCTTGCGAGGGCCAGGGCCGCGAGGCCCGAGAAAGCCGATGAGAATTTCATAGGCCTTGCTTGATATTGCTTTTTTTTTTAATTTCTCCTTGGATTTAGTTATTAAAGTTCGATGTAAGTAGGTAAGGTTGTTATAAAAGCTAGAGGGGGGGTTGCTTCAATAAGTTGTCGTTACTTGATGTTTTATTTGAGCAGGTAGTTAACTAACTATTGTTTCTGGAATTGTTATTGTTGGCAGGGTTGGGTGCTAATACCCCAATTTTTTAGGGCCCTGTAGGGTCGAGCCTACATACTAACCTACCTGACTGCTACTAATAACGTAGCTTTTTGATCAGCAATCTTCAGGGCTATCTGGGGCTTATTTGAGCCTCAACAACCAAGGCTCATCGCGCTCAGCCGAACACCTACATCGATACTATTCGATAGTAGTATTTTTATATATATATATATATATATATAACTACATATATTGTATATATTTGATATGAGTTGTAGAGTTTCGTCAGTTTACATTTTATATTCGTTTGTCTTTTGATTTGCAGACTTTTGTACTAAATATCAATTCGACCTCCTCTTAAACCTCATGCTTCGCTATGAACGTTACAAAATGGGTATGCCCACGATTCTACCAATGTCGAAAATATCGTTATTGGCCTCTCTAATAACCAAGCCAACTTTACTGAACCTAATCCCCCCCCTGCACATAGCGCCAGATGCAACCCGTGCCCACCTAGAAAACTCCTAGATTGAATATTCTTGATACCTATCGATGTGTAGTATCCTGAGCAAGTCATTATCCACCTGCTATTACCATCCTACCAGCTTCATTTCATCTCTGGCGTGTCTCACTCCTGTCGTCTATGAATCCTTGGTTTCCTCCTTTTCATCTCCTTCCTTGGGTGAAGAGGCTTGCTCACCCTCCAGGACATATCCGTTACACCGCGCAACGAGGCCCTTATAGTAGACTATTAGAACTTCCGGGTTTGGTACTATTCTCCAATCCACGCGGGTAAGGAATTCAAGTTCTAACATCTTCAGTTCGGCTACCTTAACGCCCCCTACGCGCGCGTAGAAGGAATTATTCCAGAATGAATCCGAGAGCCCTTTCCCTGCCACTGTTGCGGCGGTAATTAGGAAGCGATGTACAGTTAGTGTGTTAATCGTGAAGTCCGGATAGTACTCGCATAAACGGTCGATGTAAGATACCATAGAGAGGAGAAGTGGGGGAGTCAGCGTAGCATGCTTCGCAAGCCGCTGTAGATAGTCCAACACTGAGATACCAGGCGCTGTCCTATACATATAACACGATTAACATGATAGCTCCGTCACTGGAAATAGTGGGGGCGTAAGTAGTACCTGGAGTGAAAACGGGTAAGTTGACCACTTTTCATCGCGATCAAGTCATTGGTTTCAATGAGTTCCCCTATCATATTTGCTATAAGAATCACTATATCCTCCACATCGCAGAACTCATATTTCAGAGGCAGCACTTTGGGAGGATGCTCGTTTGGTTTCGATCGTTTGGGGGAATTCGCTTGGGTTGATGCCACTACCGACGAAGATGGGTAGGGCGTAACTGGATCTTGCGATTTGCGCCTCTTGTGAGGAGAAAGTGGGAAAGCCTGATTTTGGGCTTGAGTGCTCGCAGATCGATTGGGTGATGGGGTTGGCCCGGGATTTTCTGGGGCTTCAGGCTGTGGTTTGGGCTGGCTCGACATTGACACTATGGTTGTGGCTGTGGAGCTAGATATCCGCGGACCTGACACGGAGGCGGCTCGTAGGGGGACCATGGGATCGAAGGGCTCCATTGGCGAGTACTGCGTAGCGGCATCAACTGCAACATATTGTTTCGGTCGAGAAAGAGATGGTGATCGTAGGGCGGCTGAGGGCGAGGAGCGTGATAGTGAGGGTTTAGATTGGCGGCGCGGTAAGGGCACCGTTATCTTAGGGGATTGGCGGGGTGAGCGAGAAGTTGCATAATGGAAAGTCCTTGGTGATGCGCTTGTTGCTCCTGGTATTGTTGGCGACGAAGTTAACATGATTTCTGAGGCGTCATAATGTCTCAGTTGCGTTGAAAATGGAGTCGCAGAGATTGCTTATTAGGCTGCACCAGATTTGGGACATTCATAAGAACTGCGAATTTTGTCGTCAGAAAAAAGGAAAAGGGGGAAAAAAGGATTCCCTTTTTTTTTCTTGATCTTGTATTGACCTATCAACCTCGGTGCTGTGCCGGTTTCCGTCCTGATATCTACCTAGGTGGGTAGATATGTACCTAGATAGGCAGGGTATTTCAGTGCTAGGTATGCGGTTTACCTATACGAATAAGCATTCAGTCCTTCATTTATGTGACAGAGGCAGTGGTGGGACATGCTTGAACTCATAATTCATACGGCAAGTTCTTGGTTGTAGAAGAATTGAAAATTGAATTGAGAATTGAGAATTGGTTAAGGAAGTTGGAAGCCAAGAAAAACACCAGATGCAGAGAAAAAGAGAAGGCAAATTTCAGTGAGCTTGCGGCTGTTGCTCTTGCTGATTTGCTCGGCCAAGACTTGAACCAAGTGGGGAATATCTTATGTAGGTAGTAGGTACCTTTACTACTACTCTGTGACTGCACTCACCCACCGCCCATCCAGGTTCTAGGTTTTTACTTTTTAAAGTGATCCATCATCATACCCGTGGACCTAAAAGATTGGCTAAGTTTATACCCCGATTGCGCTCTGCAGGAGTCTGCACCTGAGAATTAAAATGTTCAAGGGTGGATTGATCTAAAAAGGTGTAACTAAGTGCTACTATGTACTTCGTACTTAACATTTTTGTACCTCTCAGAAACGCGATATATGCCCACGTTTTGATGTGATTTAGGAGAGCCAACGCATACCTAACCCATTCAATACTTAGTATCTACACTTATCCTAGCAAAGGTGCATGCTACAAATGCATATGGAATCAGATTATGGATAGACTCCGATGTAGATGCTAGCATTGCTAGGCCCAAAAGATAGTACATAGTATAGTAGGTACCTACATAAGTTCTCGATATCTACTATCGTGGAGAGTTAAAAAAGCATAATACTATACTCAAATATTTATGTCTCTCGACGCCCTCGAAATGCAGGGAAGCCAGTCTCTTGGCTGACCTTGAATTTCTATCATGGGAACAGAATCTTGTGCCTTAGTGGAAAACCAGGAACTGAATGACCAAACGATATGATGATAAGAAGCCTAGATCATTGATAGTAGTACATGTAGTTACTTCTTGGTTACAATTATTACAAAGGTTAAACTCTAACAGAATGAAACTTTTATGTATATCTTATCTTCAACATTGAATGTTCAATGTTGTACAACATACCGACATCAAGCATCTAAGGTTAGGTTAGTAATCTAATGAATAAACATTGACGTTGGTGAACTGTAATAACAACTATTAATAACTATGTACAAGTATGTACAAGTATGTACTCGAGGTCAACGGTGTATCTATTACATACAGCTTGTTCGACAACATCATGATTTCCTGTGAACATACAGACTCGTAGTAATTCTCTCCTTCATTATTTGGCCCTAGTATGTAGCGGGACAACTTTGACTGTAAATGCGAGGAGTATGTCACTGCCACAGTGGCGTTATGCATGTAGTTATTTACTATGGATGTAACTATTGTATTGTATGTACATCAATGATATGCAGCACAACTTCAAATCATCAATTCCCTGGGGTATGTAATATGTAATAAGTATCTAGGTACCCGTACAACATATTATCCTTGCAACCTTGCAACCTTGTAACCTTGAAGTCTTCATTGTTCATGTTCGCGACCAACGTCGTTATCGACAACAATTCTCTAATTTCCACCCTATACCATCGACCATCGACCATCGCAACATTGCGCCTTGAATCCTCCATCCTCACCACACCTCTGTATTAACCTAACGGCCACGGCCACGCACATAACATCCATGGCTCTTGATCCGGAGTCCGTCTTAGCAAAGCTTGATGCTAGTGCGCCCGAGCAAACCGATGCTTTACGATATTTGAAGAATCAAGTAATCGGTCACATAGAAAGAAAGGAAGAATGGCTTCAACGCGGCATACTTCTTCCTATCGTCAGAATATTATCTTTGGGTGCCATTGAGGCGGGCGAGAGGAACCCAGAAACTCCGTTTTTGGCCGTAGATATATTGACCGACGAGGACAATGCCAAGTTGCAAGCTCTACAGCTTCTTAGCAGCTTTGCAAATGGTAAGCAAATATCTTCTGCGTGGTATCTTGTCACGTCTTAGCTACGACGCTGGCTAACTTTCCTTGCTTACAGCAGGTCCATCATTCCTCTCTCCGATGCACGCGGCGGATGTGTTGCCTGCAGTCCTGAGCCGTTCAACCCTCCAAAATGAGAACCCCCAGATTGCCCTAGCTGCTCTCCGAGTCCTGCGAGATGTCGCTGCCACTGCTACATACGCTTCTCCATCTTCGCCAATCACTCTAGAATACCTCGCCGACATGTTATTTTCCGATAGCCACGTACCGTCTCTCTACTATGTTCTATCTCTCAGTACGCACAACGCAGAAGCCCAGATCACCATTGTGTCCCACCTTATAAAGGACCTTTGCCGTGAGGAACGTCACCAGTCGATTCTGGTCAGCAGTGGGATCCTTGACGCGCTTGCCACGAAGCTAGCAAGTTTCGCAGTTGCCCAAGGACAGGTGATACCGAGGGCGGAGATCATCGCTGCGATGGAGGGTCTAGAAAACTACATACCGAAACCTGCCCCAACCTCTAGGAGTTTGGAGGGTATTTTAGGTGCAATTGCTTCTATTATACGCGATTCACCATACCGAGCTTGCAAGCTTCTCTACTCACCCTCCATTCTGGCTATATTCCCTGTAGCCGATGTCGATCACCTAATCAAAACTGAACCGCAATCGTATCCTAGCTCTATGGAACTGCCTGGACTGCGGCCGACAAAACATTTGAACTTCGAACCTATGAGCCTTCTTCTTCCCCGTATGGCCCAAGAGTCTACATATACCACACCTTCTCCATCAAATACATTACGAGAAAGTTCGAGTCGCAATGAGCGGTCCGCATCCAGGTTCCCCAGTAACACAGCCTCACGAACTCCTTCAGCCGATACTTACACCTCGACAAACGATATCGAGGGTGAAGAAGCTGAAAGTCCTATGATACCGTGGCTTCTTACCTTGATCAGATCGACGAATGGTACTGAGATGTTGATGGCCGTTTCTGTCTTGGCTTCTCTCTTCAAGGCTGGGTTTTCTTACAAGTCAAGAGAAGCTGACCTAGGGCTTCTTGTCGTGCCCGTTCTTTTGAGCATGCTAAACGACGTCCAGACTAAGCTGAGGGATATCGACTACAACTCCTCTAATCATGATACCGTTTCTACACTCAAAATTGTCGAGGAGGCACCTGCTATATTGGCCCGTCTCATAACTGATAGTGAACTGCTACAGAAAGCTGCTTTTAATAGCAATGCAGTTAAAACAATATGTAAACTACTCAAAGACAGCTACGATGCACCACCCCCTGTTACCAAATCATGGTCCTTACGCAAAAGCCCGGAGTCGGCGGCCGAACTACGGCCTGAGTGCCGGCTAGGTGAAGAAGGCCAGCACCGGTGTTATGTCCATCGCACCAAGGTAAAGGAAAGCACACTGCGGGCTTTGGGTGCGGTAGCGTCTTTTAAAGACGATTATCGGAAGGCAGTCGTTGATCAAGACGTAATTCCTCGCATCGTCGAATCTCTTACCCCAAGCCATAACAATCCAGTCTCGGTTGTTTTAGCAGCTTGCTATGCAGTTCGTATGCTCTCTCGTTCAGTTGGCATTCTTCGGACGGCTTTGGTCGATAATACAGTGTACGCCCCCTTACTTCAGCTATTGCAATGGCATGATACAGACGTACAGGTAGCTGCTGCTGCAACTGTGTGTAATCTGGTCATGGACTTTAGTCCGATGAGAGAAGTAAGTGCTATAGCAGAGATGAAACTATTCAACTCATACTAATTAGGCTTTTGTAGTCACTTGTTCAAGCCGGGATCTTGAAGGCACTCTGTGAGCTTGCGCATTCTCATAGTGCCGATTTACGATTGAATTCCCTGTGGGCTCTCAAGCACCTAGTGTACTCGGCTAGTGTTGATTTGAAGAAGAGATGCGTAGAAGAATTAGAATCTGGATGGCTAGTCCGCTTGATCGTCGACGATACCGAGGATCAGGCCCTTTTCTCTGCGTCTACGAAGGCAAGGAGTGAAAGACCAGAGACGACAACCGATATGGATGAAGACATAGACATGGGCATCGGCGAGGACCACGATCGGGCTTGGCTATCGACGTCTTTCTACAAGACGCCCACCCCTCGGGCCCATCCAAATGTTCGTATACTGCGGCTCGCCGAGACACGCCTAGAAGCGCTGCGCGAATCTGAGTCGAGTCTCATACGGAAGGCTAGGCATGACGATATGGCCATTCAAGAGCAAGGTCTCGGGCTCATCCGCAACCTGATCGAAAGTGGTCATTCCAGTGGTAGTGCCGACTCGCCAAATGACACGACGGAGATGATTGACTATCTGTTCAACACTTTGGGACAAGACCGACTGTTTGACATACTTAGTGCTAAACTACGAGTTAAGGTCCTCCATCCATTAGGCCGACGAGACGCTTCGGGCAGCGAGACGCGGATTCTTCCTCCCCAAGCCAAGACTATCGAATCAGTCATATATATTCTAGTCCATATAGCAGCTAGTATACCACGTCACCGACAACTTGTGGTATCCCAAACGGAATTGCTCAAGCAGCTAGCAAAGCTATTCAGCAGCCACGACAGGGAAGTGCGAGTTGCCCTATGCCACCTGATCAACAACCTAACATGGCAAGATAACGCCAGCGATGGACCTGGATGTTCACAGAGGGCCCTCGAACTCAAGAACTTGGGGTTCTTGTCAAAACTGGAGGCACTCGAAAGGAACGACGATGAGCTCGACGTACGCGAGCGAGCAAAGTCGGCGGTATGGCAGATGAAGCCATCGCATTAACCCCAATAACTGTTAATTTCCCCCCTACCAGAAACAAGAAAGGGGGTTTAGAAATTATGGTACGGAACGCGGTTGTAATAGTATGGTGTGTAGCAACTTTAAAAGACGAATACAATGGACGGATACACACAACAGAGAATTTGGGGGTTGCATGGATCGGCGGTGCTACAAAGGCAAATCAATACCTACTTAGTTGGCGCGTTGGCATTTCAGGAGAGCCATACAAACTTATACCCGTCGCGAGGCGAACGTGTGTTCTGTGGATAGTATGATAGTGCTGTCGTTGTTGTCAGCATGAAAATGATCGATCCGTTTGCCTTTCCATCTATCTTGCTTACCGTATGCATGTACCTACCTAATACCTACCCTCCCCTTCCCCCGGTGTTGCTTGAGAGCACACGGCAGACAATGGATGCATGAACGCGCTGGGATTTCAGGAGGCGACGACAGCTAGCCCGGACCAAGTTCACCGGGCGGATGAACATTGGATGTGAGCCAATGGTGCACACGGCGTGGGTGACACGAGAGACTTGGTTTGCTGGGCGTTGTTACTACATACCTACTTAGTAATACAATACTCGTCACGGTAGACTAGTATGTAGGCACCATTTGGCGACCGCATTCCCCATGTTTATTTATGCGAGCAGGCTAGATGGTAGTTCTACATAGTTACTAGGTAGTCGATCTGGAGGTGGAGGTGGCACGGGCGTCTCAGCAACACATGGATGCATGTATGTATGCTTACTTACACAAGTAGGTAGGTCAACGATGGGAATGAGGAGCTACGTACTAGGTATGTATACATATGTATGCTAGGTAATTCAGGTGTTGTAAGCTGCACCCATGGATCAAGATTGGAGAGGAGGATCGTTGGGGGAGGAAACAGTTAATGTGGTGTCTTGTTCGCATTTGCGTAATTGGATCGCCATCTCTTCTCTTTGGGGATTTGGGGTTGCGTGCGCGACGTTCGGTTGGCCACGGCCATGTTGTGAAGGGGTAGGATAGGACGTGTATTACATTTGACGTCGCTTTTCACTTAGGTACGGATGGCATTCGTCTGGTAATCGAGATCATGCCTAGGTATTGTAAAAGATGCCCAAGCTATGTACTTGGTATATAGATCACCTACATACTTGCCCTACGACAGACAGCTTTTCCCAAGTTGAGATATTACTGCTCGTCGGTGGAGGCCGAAGCAGTAGGTAATAAACCCACGGAGTTTCGGGGTTTCTGGCTCGGTGTTGTGGCGTCCAGGGGAGGTTCGAACAAGCTCTAGATTAGATCGATTCCTTCTCTGTAATTTTCTATTTCCAGATGATTCGACGGGTGGCTTGTATAGGTAGTTTTGCAACCTAAAAGAAGAACAAAGAAAAAAAGGGAAAAAAAAAACCTCGCCTGGTGGCATGACACAGGCAAATGTCGATCGTTTTTCTAATACAAGCATAACTAGCGTAGCATCGCCGATGGATTGGCTGTGGATTTCCCGTAAAAGCCGGGGGAGGAGCTGCGGGAGAGAGACTCTGCAGGGATTTTTTTATTATTTTTTTGAGACATGTTGAGGCTCTCAGTGGTCAATGTCCCTTTCCCCCCCCCCCCCCCCCTTCTTCATCGATCTTTAACAACCTCTCTACCTTGGCTTGTAGGGTAATGATGAACTTCACTTCACTCACCATCTATATAGGCCAAGAGGTTGTATTTTATTAGGTAATTGCTTTTATATAAAGCACATACCGATGAAGGAGAGTGGTAGGTAGGTAGTTCTATACTACGTACCTACACTATATACGTGGACATTCCAAGTGGATAATACAATATAAATCTATGATCGAGTGGTTAGTCTGGTCTTTCAATATCTAGATTACAATCACGTCACATCACGTCAAGTCAAGTCGACGCCACTCTGCATTTTTAGCTATGTATATACGGCCCTACCGGCGTTCGTCGGGGCTGAGGAGGGGAGCTACCCCCCCTGCAAGCGCCGGCATTGTTCTCACGATGCTGCTAGGCTAGTAGCCAGAAGTTGGTGTACACTATGCACAATACATACATACATATGGTAGCACCTAATCCTAGATGTTTGCCATTTTCGGACAGAACGTGGTCGAGCACATTCGGTGGAACCATCGTCAGTTTTTCGAAATGTGTAACCTAGTGTAGGTAGTGCGTCTTGTCTTGTGCAATCTCATCCGATGCTGCCGTGAAGCGATCCACCAATCTTGCTATTCCTCACAAATGGTAGGTAGTTATAGGTTTTTATTGTTACTTACCTAGGTACCATGTCTTTGCTTACCATATCCGGCCGTCGGTTTAGGCTTTTCTTCTGATGAAGAATCACTCTCTCATCTACCTAACCAATCCCAGCTTTCTTACTTACTAGGTAATTTGTAAGATCAGCTCTTGTCCGTCTCTTCCGTTACCTGACCAACAATCGGACACCACGGCGTTATATTCGCCGATTTTTCATTACATGTTCAACAAATGTCTAACACCGGTTGCACCGGGGTCACAAACTTGAAGCTTGCCACGTTCCTGTGGTATGTACACTAGCTATTCCTATGTAGTACTTTGCCTAGTACTACAACTCAATAGTGTAGAGTCTTATACCTACCTAGCCTCCCCACATTAGGGCTGATACCTACCTACCTAGATCGCCAACCGTGCTGGCTTAGGTACTGGGTATGTAGAGAAACCGGCCATGCATACCTAGGCACAGTATACTCGGAACTGTATTATGTCGATCTAAGTACATACAAACCTAGAAATACCTAGCTTAGCTCTTTGTGATCTTCTGACATCGCGTCGTCCCGTCGACTTCCGTTTCCTTTCTTTTCTTTTTTCTTACCTAGTCTTCCAGGTTTGGAGCTCCGAATATAGTTCCCGAGTGGGTAACTCCTTGTACACAGGTTTCAATTGTTGGTCTAATCCCATCCATCCCATGCCACAAACGTATCACCACGATATCCCGTCCTGATCCGCTTCGCACCTTACCTTGCCTGGGAGGGGGAGGAGGGGCGAGGCCTTGTGGAAGCTTCCATCCGCGAGTTGTGAACAAGTGGTGGTTGGATCATATGATCATCTAGGGAAATACATCGTGCGGGTCTCGGCTTTAATCATCGACTGCGTTAATATGTGATGTATGTATGAATAATTTCTTTTGGGGGCTTTATAGAATTGAGTCATCGCCAATCGCCGGCCTTCCGACCGTCGCGAGAGTGCTACTCTACCGCATTCGATCTTCGATGTCTGCACAAGGGGGCCGAGAGGGGGCATTTCTCCTATGTATGCATGCATGTATTAATATGAGCCTCGTCCGCCCTGTTTTCCTACTCGTCCTATATCTCAGCTACTCGGCGAACCACCGAAAACACCGTGGTCCAAAGTTTATATATCAGATCTAGCCCCCCTTTCCCCTATCTCACTTTGAAAGTGAACTTGCTTCTCTTTGGACGCCCTTAGGCTTGCTTAGTAGAAAGGGAATACCAACCAATCTTATAATTATTAAACTTACCTAATTCAATAATGGCGATCCTATTCCATCGCGCAAACGATGCTCTGAACATCAACCTCCCGAGCGGAGACGACCAGCTGAGCGTGAACGGCAGCGACTGGCTCTGGGCCGTGACGGCCATCTACGTCGTCTCCTTCATCGCCTTCTACGCGACCAGCTTTGTGGCCCGGTCCGGCGAGAAGATCTTCCACTACCTGTTCACCATCGCGCTCCTGGCCGGCTCCATCTCCTACTTCGCCATCGCCTCCGACCTGGCCTTCGTTGAGATTCCCGTCGTCAACCACAAGCCCGACGACCCCTGGACCCGCCAGATCTTCTGGGCCGAGTACGTCAACTGGGTCGTCAGCTTCCCCGTCGTCACCATCGCCCTCGGCCTGCTGAGCGGAGTCTCCTGGGCCACTATCCTTTACAACGTCGCGCTATCCTGGACCTGGTAAGTGCCTATTGTCGGCTGTCTCCAAGATTCGAAGACTAATTAGGAAATAAAAGGGTTATCTCATACCTCGTGGCCGCCTTCACCACGTCTAACTACAAGTGGGGATTTTACGCCTTTGGTACTACCGCCTGGGCCCTGCTGGCCGTCAGCACCCTCGTAGGCGGCACAACCTCCGCCAGGCGTGTCGAGGTCTCCCGAGACCGTATGTATATCCCATGCCTCTGCGTTTCTTTTCCTCCTATCCCTTATCCTCTATCATCAACTAACCTTATTTACGTTTAGACACCCTTCTGGCGGGCTGGATCAACCTCCTCTGGCTCCTGTACCCGATTGCCTGGGGTCTCTCGGACGGCGGCAACCGCATCGGCGTGACCCCGGCGTACATCTTCTTCGGCGTCCTCGACGTCCTGCTCGTCCCCGTCCTCTCCTTCGCCTTCCTCTTCCTCTCCCGCAGATGGGACTACGGTAGGCTCAACATCGCGTTTACTCGCTACGGCCGTGTTAACCAGGTCGGCGGCGCCTTTCCCGAGAAGAGCACTACTGCGCCGGCTCCACCTGTTGTGGGTGAGCAGGCTGCGTAAGTGGGTAGGCAGATGTCATTGAGCGCCGCCTTGCTAAGGGCCGTGCCTGTGGAAACTTGGCTCGGCTCCTCGCACTGGGCACTCCTGTCTCTTACGTATGTACACACTCTGGAACCCCCGGTCTCGTTTAGTGTCGAGCTTTATGGTTAGGCTGAACCTGTCGCTCTTTTTTGATGATCTCGTGGGTCACGACCACGAATTGTAATCTCAGGGGGGATGGTAATTGGTAGCTAGCTGTCTGTTGTTTGGCTGGTTGAATCGGTCTTACCTACTTTTTTCTTTAAATACCCCAATCACTCGCTTAGAAGGAGGAAGGAAAAAAGATTATACCCTTCGTAATTAATACTAGCAGGTGTTGTTGTTGGTTGGAAGGGGGAACGGAGTATGGTGGTGTGGGTGGTAATACTTAATGCTAGTTAGTTGTTTGATGAGGATAATAGAATACCCCTTTGCTGCTATCACGCAAGTCTTATGATAGACAAACTGTTGACATGAGATTGTATTAAATCCCCCTATGTGTTATGTATGCACAGATAAACTCTCTGGGTGTCGTCCTCAGCTTCGACCAGACATGCTCGCCTAGGTTAGATGACTTGGGGAAGATTGAGCAAATTGAGCAAATTGAGCAGCATACCGCTCGCTCAGGATTGAAAGGGTCTGACACACCTAGTTGAACTCTATTCGTGTATATACCTAACCTACATATGTAGGTATCTACCTAACCTAGTGGGGTACCTAGGGTACCTAGGGTAGCCAGTTCTCAGAGATGAAGAGCGTAGCTTTCTTCTTCTCTATTATATATTCATCCCAGTCTTCTCATTTGTGCCCTCGCAATATACCCAGCCCATCTCTGTCCTTACAGATATCGAGGCAAAAGCAGTTGTTGATCAAGTCAATGCACCTCCCCCACTCATTATAAACATGCAGGAAATGAAAGACCGCGGCGGACTGACTCTTGGATGCGCGAAAGACATTCGTTGTTGTCAGCACACCTCCGCCCGTCGACAGCGACATATGCCATCTTCCATCCCCTTGACAGATAGATGATGCTATGGTATTATAGGTAGTACCTAGTACGTCACTGCTTATCTACGTAGTGCCTATCAGTGGTCCGCCCGCACTCCCCCCGATCCCGGATTGTGCGGGGCAGAGAACAATAGGGCGTGTTGCTACTCCACCTCCGAACTTTTAAGCCTTTGTCCAATCGAGGCTGATATGATGACCTACCTACTGTACTAGCATCTATATCCTTATCTTTCCTCTTGACTTAGTACTATTTATAGGAAAGCAGAGGAACGGATAGATATCATATCGACGTATCTACTACTACTTCTTCTGTTCAAAGAACCAATACCTACCTACCTACCTACCTCCCTACCTCCCTACCTCAAACAATAAGAAACCATGGCTCCCTCAGCAACCACCACGACGCTTCCAATCAGCACGGCACCCAAAGGCCTGGCAGAGAAGAAGCCGGCGGGCAGCGAAAAGGCGGCGACGGAGAAGACGCCGCTGGAAGCCATCTCGCACGGCGTAGTGCTATCGGGGATTCCCACCTTCCCCAGCTTCACAGAGCATAGAAGGCATATCCTAGTGCACATGTCCGCCGTCTTCCGCTTCTTCGCCCGCAGCGGCTTTACCGAAGGGCTTTCCGGGTAAGCATCTAACCTTACATACCTAACCTACCCACTTACCTGCCTGCCTGCCTACCTACCTACCTTACATACATACATACTCGACGTATATATATATATGTATATATAGTAAAAAGTCCGATTGATGGATGGACTGATTGATTGATTTAAGCATCAAGCAATCAATCAATCAATCCACCAAGAAATCACTTGTCCCCCACATCGTCCTTCGCAAAGACTTGCCTCGTAGCTTAGCTTAGGAAGCTTAGCTGCCTTAGTGGGCACGGCTTTGTTACAAATTGCTTTCAAATCTGCTGCTGGGCCACGTACATACGTGCGAATATACCCTCCCCCCTTCCCCATTCCCCCTAAAAAAAGAAGACTATTCGGAGGATCTCTATGCCTACTAGGCAAGGCACTTACATACATACCTAACCTACTGTGTTAGCGTTACAAGTTTGATTCCCCATTCTCTCCCCACACTTTATCTCCTTTTATTTTGTTTCCTTGTCCGTTTCTGAAGGAGTGGGAGGGGGGGAGAGGGTGTACCTAGTGTACCTATTGTAGGCAACTTGTAACTGACATCATACTCCGTACGCAGACACATCTCGGTGCGGGACCCGGAGTTCAATGGCCTCATGTGGATGAACCCGCTCGGGCGGCACTTTGCGATGCTGACGGCGGGCGACATGCTCTGCCTGGAAATCGCCACCGGCAAGATCGTGGCCGGGAACCCCAATCGACCTGCGAATGCCGCCGGCTATCTGATCCACTCCGCCGTGCATAAGCGCAGGCCGGACAACATTCACGCCATGTAAGTAGATTATGACACCATACCCATCAAAAGGGGGTGGTATTCTTTCACATTCCTCCCTATCATGGTTTTCGTTCGAGTCATAATTAGGTGTATAAGGGTTTTTTGGATGGGGTTGGGTGGGCGGTGAGTCATCTTCGGTATAGTCAAATGAGCAAATGATTAGGATCAAGCCTCGATACTTACTACAACATGACGGGGGAGGGGGGGATGACTTGACGACAGAGGTTTCCTTTTTTTTTTTTTTTTTTGGCCAAAATCGATGATGCTAACCGATCTTGTCTCAAAAAAAGCTGCCATGCACATTCGAACGCCGGTCGGGCGTGGAGTGTCTTTGCCCGCCCCCTGGAGATGCTGAACCAAGGTAAGTCAACTCGAGGCTCCACCATCTCATCTCAATCTATTTCCACTTTGCTGCGCCGTGCGGAATATTCCATAAAATCAAGGCTACTCCTGCCTACCCTATGCTTGCTTCCCGGAGGAGTCGCTTCCTTGTGTTATTTTCGTCACCTTTTTAAGGCTTAAAAGGAATACAGGCGTCGGAGTTAAGTGAGTGAGTTGGGAACTTTTTTTGCTAATACGTGTCCTGAAACGCGTTTCCCTTTGCAGATGTATGCAATTTTCACAACGCACACGCCGTGTATGCACGTTACGGTGGCATCGTATTCGCCGCGGAGGAAGGCGAGCACATCGCAGAGGCGCTGGGGGATAAGAACAAAGGCGCCATACTGTTGAACCATGGTTTGCTGACGGTGGGCTCGACTGTGGATGAGGCCGGGTTCCTGTTCGGATTGCTGGACCGTGCCTGTGCGATGCAGCTACAAGTCGAGGCGGCGGCCGCCAACGGCATCCCGAAGCACATCATCAGCGACGAGGAGGCAGCGTTCAATTTTAGAATGGCCAGTGAAGCGAACGCGCTGTACCGCGAAGCGCAACCGGACGTCGAGTATGAGCTCGCGATGGCCGGTGGCGAGGAGTATCTCGCTAGGGGGTTTGAGTACCTGCGGATAACGCCGTAGAAGCTACCTAGGTAGTCGCGAGTGGTGCCATGATACGTAAACCTGCTGCGCGCTTCGGCGAGATATTACACCTTCATCTACAATCTTGGTTGCGCGCCTTGTGATAGGCGCGGGGAGAGTTAGATTTCCTCGCTAATCAGCCATCTTTAAGATAGGGGGTATTAATATGTAGATTGAAAACATCGGCTAACTCCTTAATATGTACTTGATCCTGGCGCTTACGAACATTGAGCGAACTACATACTGTTTCTATGTATCTACTGTGTTGTCTATCTACACAGTCGATAGCATTATGTGGTAGATGATATGATGCCTAGGGGTGACCGAAGCGAAAGTAACCATTTGCCGAATTTGCTTTAGAAATAGGATGCTCAAAAACTACCGGGAACTACTGTAAGTATGTGCATGCATCCATGGTTGAGGAAGAATGGTAAGATGGTAGGGTATGATGCAAGACATGCGATGAACACAAAAAAAAAAAAAAAAAAAAAAAAAAGCTGCAAAGTTCCCCCTTCATTTACTCTGCCGCCGACAGTAGTCCAAGCCGTAAAGGGAATAGCGCTGAACCGGGGAGACAATGGGCACATCCCGCGAATGTCAGGGACGGCCCGCATATTGCGTGGTTTTGGGACAGGGGTGCGAAGGGCAGCAGGGGGGAGGGGGGGAACGAGGGAGTGGGAGTTTTTCTGCGATGCAGACATCGCGATCGCCCGATCATCGAGAGGTAGTTAACCCTGAATGATTAGAAGAAAAAAAATAGTTATTATATGTATGTATGTATGTAAGAAAAATAAATAAATAAATATAACTAGAAGAAGAGGGATTTATTTACAACGGAGAAACTTACGGTAGGCAGGCAGCCAGTCAGATGCCCACTAGAGGTATATAGTTAGGTAACCTTTGAAGTAGGTAAGTCAAAAATGTCGTAGGTTACGTTACTGATGTAGCAATCAATGCAAACCTACCTAGGTACGTAAATAGGTCACTTATTAACTGACTAACCTAACCTAACCTACCTAACCTAGTGTATTATTAAATAATACCTCCTTCCTCTCTGGACGAGGTCTTGATATTACATAGTTAAATGCGCAAAAAAAAAAAAAAAAAAAAAAAAAAAAAAAAAAAAAAAAAAAAAAAAACATTTAAAAAATTATTCTCTTCCCGGTTGTAGATCAACCGAACTTTCACTACGTACAGTACTCAACAACCATCTGCCGCGGCTTGGGGGGGCCTCACTTTTAACGCCGATGGTTTCACACCTAGTTAGTTAGTTGGTTAGTTGGTTAGTAACCTAACCTACCGACAGTAACTATCTCTCACCGAGAAAAGAATACAGTAGGTTAGGTTAGCTGCTTACTTATCTACCTGCATATAATATATATATATACATCTCGGTACCCCTATGTCTATGTTCAGGGTCAAACAGGAAGGGGGGGGAGGGGCACTATCTTTCCCACCGAATTTATACCTATCTATCTACGTAGAGAAACTAACCTAGGTTAGGTGGTTTATAGTGCAAATGCGACGTCGATGTATAGAATAGGTAAGGGTGCCATTCATTGTTGGTACTGTAGTTCGCGGATGCAGGCTCTGTGCTCTCGAACTCTGGAAATCTGCAATCTTGCTTGCTTTGCTGCACTGCCACCGGGAAGGCGACCCCAGATAGTTAGATGTATGCTACTATCATGTCAATTTTCCCTCCCCTGGCAATGAACCGCTGCAGCGAGATCCGCCCCTAGATCAATACCACAATAATCTCAAACGTACCGGGTCAGACTGAACTGATGGGGATGTAATGCCTGTGTATACACCTAGGTTGTTGTATGTGGTTCGGCTAGAAGCTACCTAGTAGGTAGGTATCCTCTGCACAAAGTGGTTTAGTTAAAATTTCAATCAATCTCGTATGAGATTGGGGCTCGTGCGGTCCTTTGCCATATCTAGAAAGTAAGCACACTATCTGTGCGTACCCAATGTATCTTATTATTGCGTGCAGCTTGCCTTCTGACGAGATCAAGGATGCCATTGCTTGGCAGATCGGCAACATTTTGATATGTATGTACATACCACATGCACTTGACTAATAACGTTACCTGACTACCCAGTGTACGTAACTCATTTCGTGCTGGCCAGCCCTTGGACATCCACAGTTTGGCCGGCTGTCTACCTCAGAAGGTAATTGCCTGATTCAACAGAGGTTATTGTACGACAGTGGATGATATGATAGAACTACCTCGGACGATTCTGCAGAAAATCGCTCCGGGTTGACGCAGCAATGGGCGCATGGCGGACTGGGCGAAGCCCCGATACTAGATAACCCAATAACACACCCTACTGCAAGATAAGCCGTTGATTGATCTGGCCATAATCATTCCCGCTGTGCCGACAGAGTAGTTGTGGCTGCAGTCAATTTATCCTATTCCTTGTTTGGTGTAGCCCAAGGCCAGGCCCCATATGTACGGTGCGGCTCTAATCAACGACTACCCGAATTGACATCTTCCAGATACTGCAATCTGTATAATGCAATCTGTGATCTTGTTCTTGGCTCCTGAGGCTTCGTGATTCAGGTGTAGCCGTAAAAGGGCTAGAACTCGTCGGGATCTTGATGACCCACGCAATTCCAATTTCGACCCGACGCCGATAATTTGTGATCGGGGCATGGAATGCAACTGCATCGTATCTAGGATGCTGGCGCCTCGATAGAGGGCATCAGCAATACAACAGCATACAGGCCGGCTCTGGTATTTCGGCGGCGTTCAAACACGCCTCTCAGAAAATCATACGCAGATTGTGAAACCGTCATAATGAATGACGAAAATTTACCACTCATGGATCACTCCGAAATGATTTCGAGTATGACTCGTCGTCATTCAATCGGTATGTGATCACAGAATACCAAGGTAAAATCAGACCATGAAGAGCCTCCACATATACTGGGGCAGGCAGCAAAAGCCCTTGCCTAGCGGCGCCATCCAGGTATCCATCAATCCATTGAAAAAAGAGACGGGCGAATTCCATGGCCAGATGAGTCAATCGCCTGTCGTAGAACTGTAATTTCCGTTTCCGTCCTCGCAATGACCAATTTGGGGATGCCAGGTTAGCGATACATTTGTTTGAAAGTGCGTCAGTGACACTATGAGCATTCCAGGAGGAAAGGTGGAATGATATGACGAGTAGGGAAATAGGCTTCTGGAAGCTCCCTGCTGCCTGCTGTACATACAGTTTAAATATGAGTCCTGGCTTCAAGACTTACGAATTGGCAATATGAGTCATCCCTAGCGGAGCTGGAAAAGGGGTCCCTCTTCTCAATAGACTAGTTCCCAATCCTCAGGCCTACTCGCCTAGGAGGACATCGTTGTCCATCACCGGAACACTGGCACGACGAGACACCAGCGTAACTAGAGCGGAGAATTAATCACGATTTGAGACTGTTTGTGTGGAACAATTGGGAACCTATCCGATTGAGTCTTTTCTCCTCACCTACCTGCCTAGATTAGAGGCTCTGGATATGTTTTATGTAGTACTCTCAACAGCAACGGCTGCGAGTGATGATAGACCTTGGTGCCTGGATCATTATTAGGTAACGCCTCACCGGTCAACTCGGATATGTGAGACCACGAGTAGGACAATTAGTGACGCCGCCGGGACCTTCCGCTATTGGTACATTTTAGGAACGCGTGGAACGAGATCGCAAAACACCCATTCATCTCTCTATTATTAAAGTTATTCCGAGGCAAGGGATAAGACGGGATCCACGCTAGAAGAATTCATAGAACGATCATGGACGAATGAGATTCCAGGACGAGAAACAAGCCGGCTCATTTCAGTCACTTCAATGCCTGTGGTACATAGGTGGGCCCGGACTGGTTCAAAGGGCCAGTCAGGATAAAAAAGCCTCTGAAACGTGGCATAACAGAAACCTTAAGAAACGTGCCTTGACAATGATAGTGCCAAGGTCCAAGGTGGATAGAGAACCCGACTGGTTCAGGCCGTCGACCAACGAAGCCGTGCTATTGACCGTCGTATGGGTCCGGTTTCGGTGGACTCTGGAGGTCCGGATCCCTCCATGGCTGACACGTCGACAAAGTGGATTAGTCCGACGGCTCTAGTAATCTTGGACTCGGTAGTCCAGGAAGAAACAGTTATGCTAAGGTAGGAACAAACCCCCGTAACCCCGTAGGCTGGCATAAAGCCCAAGGATATGTACATATGAGGTCGGACGGGGCACGGAAGACAAGCCGGGACGGGAAGAGCAAGAAAAGGATAGAAAAGAGAAGGGACTCAAGGGAGAGAAGCAAGATGCTACGGCACACAGTATACCCTTATCCCAAAGCAGTAATCTCAGGAGTACAAGATGTCATGGAAGTTCCAATCGAAGATGAGAACTTGGATTGACCCACGGAGGACATTATGCGACATTACTGCCGTTATCCTTGTTTGCGATGCCGTGGCATTGAAAAATGCCAAATGCCAGTTCCATATTATTATTGCACGTTAGAAGAGGAGGGAAGGGAGATGGAAAAAAGAGAGTGAGAGAGAATTGATTGGAATGTTTCTAGTGTTTCTAGTGTTTCTAGTGTTTCTAGTGTTTCTAGGTTGCTGTAACACCATTTGCGCTAACGGCACTTCAAGGTTTATGGGTTGACGTCTAAAGGGGACATCAAGGGATGTGGTTGGTTTAGGGTTGCGTAAAATGCGCACTTTAAAATAAAATGCGCGTATTATTCAAAACCCCTGTAAAATGCGTATTATACCGTATTATTCAAAAGTGGGTCACGTGACCACCCTAACCTAATACACTTAATATATACCTACATATAATAAGGCTTTACACTCTGAAATAATATGGAAGATTTACAGGATTTGAAGCTAAATTATATGGCCATTTTTGCCATTTTCCCTATGCAATAGGGCGCCGATTTGATCATACTCTTCGAGCACATTATGATCAAAGTCCAACGCAATCTTCAAAGCTTAGTTCAGCCGGATCACATAAACGACATATCGAGATTTGCGCGCCTTAGATACCTGTAAAATTAGGTAATATCACCAAATTTTGGTGCAAAATTTACTCCACTTATGTACCGATCCACTTTTCCATTTCGGACCCACTGCATTTTATAATAAAATGCAATATTATATTTGAATAATACGCGAATAATACGTTTGAATAATACATTCCGCAACCCTAGGTTGGTTAGAAGTTTTGAAAAATATTCCGAAAAGGTAACTATGTACATGCTTATTGTACGGATACATGGCCCTTGCTCTTATTACTACGTGCATGTACATAACATATGTACTACTAATAGACTAATAGTACTACTAGGTACTAATAGTACCTCCAGTGCTGTGGAGAGCAAGCCTTATAGCGAGATAGCGAGTGGAATCTCCAAAAGATAACGAGCTAGTTGTACCTAAGATTGTCTAACCTTGGGAGCGACTTTCTTTTCCTGCTGGGGCCAGTAGAGCACCCGTGGCTCACCCGTGG